GTGCGATGGCCTGTGTGGCAGAACGCTGGAAACAAGCAATTGGTACAAGATTCCAGGTTCAGCTGATGAGAGCGCCCGCGAATGTCAAAAGTGCCGTTACGCTCGCAACAATCCCCTCGTGACTAAAGCTTCGTCAAGGAAGTTTAAGAGAGGAGATCTCGCGACGGGCAGCCGAGGGACTAGACCTCATCGCCTGGATAAATCTACCGTGGACCCCACTACTGACCTCTCTGCTCCTTACCAAACCTTGGCCGATGTTTACGAGGAACGGGTCGGTGCGCAGCTGGATCAGTGGACTACCGCCATAAACGCTGTGGTGTCTTCAAGCGATGCTCCCCTCATTGCAGACGATGTCGATGCCGACGACGACGACGACGACAACGAAACCGCCATGCAGAACCCGATCGCCCCCTTGCGGCTGCCACTCGCAGACAAACGGAACGCGCAGCTGTCGCAACTCCGGAATGAGATGAGGTCTCTCAGTAAAGCCCCGTCGAGAGATGGTCGCAACTACGTCAGCTCGTTCGTCAGTACCAAGCTGGTGCTGTCGGAGTCAAAGACTATCGATGAGTACCGGTATGAGGTCAAACAAGGATCAGAACGCCGTTTAATGGCGGTAGCATATGGACCGTCCTACAGCAAGGATGTCGCGCTGCGCGTTGCTTCCAGTGCAGTTGGCATTCTCAACTCGTTCCCTGGTGAGCTCGATCTGGTTTCCACTCCGCTCTTCAATGGGTCAAAGTTTGTAGCCATTCCAGCGGCTGGAAACAAGATCATCACTGCATTACTGGAGTTGGAGCTTGAGGGTACCTGGGATCCTAGCCGTCTACGTCTCCCTACTCCAGAGATTGACAAGCTCGACCCTTTGAACAACGACAAATTGAAGGACACGATCGAATGGACTGTACGTTCTATGATGATTGACCCATCTACCGGGGAAAGCTACGAAGGCACATATACCCTTCCCGAGCTTTCTGGAGTACCGACGTTCCGTATGATGCCAAATCTTCAGTTCTATGATCATTACGGGAACTGCGGATTCACCCAGGACCCAACCAGCAAAGAGGACATTCATAAGACCGGCCTGTACGACCCGAATGTCGAGCAACTGGAACAAACCGAAGGCCGACTTGAGAACAACCTGCAGACCGAGAAGCTCCTTCGTTGCCTGTCTGCGCACCTCGCGCGCACTACTTTTGTTCGTCTTGATGACTTCAAGGTATTTTGCGACAGCTGGATCTCCAAGATCGCTACCAACTACTGGCACCGGTACGATGTCCTACATCTCTTTGAGACGGCGGCTGGGTTGGTTACCATCGCACCAGACGAGCGCATCGAACACCGGTTCCCCGGTCTTCCGAAGTTCCCCATTCCTTCCAGGGATTACTCGCGTGCCATGCCGGTAGTCACCACTATAGTCAATGCTTGGCTACGTTCTGGCGACATCAGAGAAGCATGGTTAGAAGGAGCTGTGAAATACGAGGCAGTTTGCTCACAGATTGTTGCTGGAGAGCCTTCTTCGACTGCATGCTCGTGCAATGAAGACAGCCAACACAGTACTGTTCATCCTTGCGGCAGCTGTCACGGTATCTTCCTGTGTTCCCGCATGCAAAAAGGTATCTTCGCGCCAAAGATCTGCGCCTCATGTTTCCAGCTGGAATCGTCGGATCCAGCTGCTGCCATAGACGAACGCGCACTCAAGATCGCGCTACGCAATGCAAAGGTTCGAGGGGCAGGGACAATGTCTGAAGCACTCGAGTCCGTCCGCAAGTTCGTATGTCGCACTCAATCTCCCGGCGGGGGTCTCGTATCAGCGCGGTGGGAAGATTACATGACTTCGACTATGCGAGCCTTCTCCGCTACAGCAACCGCGCACGATGGCTTCCGAATATCAGTAGATGCGGTGTTTCCCTTTGGTATTGCAAGTTCCGGCGAAATTCATCATCACGCCCCGTCAAACTTGCGCCTGACAAGCACGGCCTTTAATTCTGCAAAGGGCATCCATCTTCCCGCTATAATGGCAGTCATCAGCGACTACATAAGAGCAGTCGGTGACGCGGAAGAGGATACCGCAGAGTCGGGCAACTTGCATGACCGACTGGAGAGCTTTTCTAAGTCACTATTTGAGCGTCTGGCTGCATGTCGCAGGGTTCGCCTCAAATGCCCATCTACGAAAGCGCTACGGGAGAAGCAGACTTTGAACGATGAAGTTTTCAAGGCGATGCATGAGCAATGGGTTTCGGGGAAGCTCGTGGCGAGCGATCAGCTTGAGGACGCCAAAACGTACAAAAGCATAGACGCTGTCAAGTGGTCAACAGAAGACTTGACTCGCCTGAAGTTTCTCATTAACCAGCTTGAAAAGGAGTTTGGTGTTAGTGTTACAAAGAGTACAGACGGTTGCCCGGTGGTTGCTCGCCTTCCAAAGACGTCAACTTCTTCACAGGAATGGAGTTGGGTCGCAGCGGCCAACTTCTTTTTTCAACGTCTCGATAGACTCAGGAAGAGATGCAACAGATGGGATGCCACTATCGATACGCCGATCACTCTTTTTGTCGAGTGCATTTTCCAAATTTGTGTCGGTTTGTGGGACGAGACGAGACCCATGAAAGAGAACGCGGTTTGGTCCCTGGATGAGAAGAAGGCCTACAAGAAGAAGTACGGAGACTTGCTCGGTCTACCCATCGTCCTCCAGGCATGGCACCCCCTGTGCTTATCCATCGGACACTACCACCACGGGCTACAGATGCGGACTGGTTGGCCTCCCGACGCCACGGAAATGTCTCATCGTAAAGAAGGCGTAGCTAACATAAGCTTCGAGACATCCTTTAGCAACCAACTAAAGAGGGCATATCCCTCAAGCCAATACCAGGAGCTTCGTGCAGAAATGAAGAAGATCAATCTAGCCAAGGAGTACTACGACCCGGATCTAGAGCCTGCGGACTTTGAGATGCCTGCTTTTGAAGGCGGCGATGAAGCCGATAGAGCGGCCGACCTAGAGGAAGCTCTGATGAGCGCGCTGGGAGATGGGCCCGTTCCAGGAGCCTTCACTGAAGACGAGGAAGATGACGCCACAGGTGCGGATGATAGCAACGAGCCGTCTCCACCTACCCGAGTTGCGTTGGCCAGAGAATACGACGAGATCCAACAGAATTTCATTTTCCGCCATGGTAACGGCACGGCTGATGTGCCTGGATCTGAGGACATCTTCAAAAGCATGAACAATGCGGCCAAGAACGGGAACCGAACCGAGTTTGACCGCCAGCGCGTCAAGCTACAGCGCCTTGAGAACCCATCCCCAGGTTCGTCGGACTCTTCCAGCTCGTCAGGCTCTGACGGGTTCATCGCTCAGTTTGACAAAGTGGACCATGTTGAGACATATGGCGCCAAACAAAACAAACATCAAGTCATTGGCAAGAAAGGCCGAAAGCTAGGTACAGTCACAGCTCGTGATCGCAACCAGGTCTTGGATCGTGTTACCTTTTATAACGCTCCTAGACGATCTGCTTCATCGTCAGAAAGCAGTTTGCTGCAGCAGCAGATGCATCAGGCCAGCCATGGTCTCGATCCAAAACACCCAGAACAATACGGCGTTGAGCATGTCGCTCGAATGTCTACTGTATCTACGACTGAATACTTCCTGTGTAACGGTAACGGATGCGAGAACACCAGAATTCCGTTGAAGTATCGCGCAGTTGCGGATGTTAACGAGTGCATTTTCTGCAATCTCGGCTATCATAAGCATGATCCTGAACGTGTTGGATGGTGTTTGGGTGGAGAGCATGGGCACGAGGCTCAACAAAGCAAGCTTGTTGATGATGACGGCTATGACGCGGACACTTGCAAAGACTGCAGTAAGGATGAAGGAGAGTTTGGCGATCACAGTAGTGAGGGTGAGGATGAGGATGAGGGGATTGTGGCTGGTACTAATGATGATAAAGCGGATGGTACTGAGGGTACGGATGATATCATGACTGACTAGTCCGTTCCCAGTGCCCGCGGCATCGTGGAGGGCAGTTGACGTGGTATAGAACAAGGCACGCTTGCACAGGAGGTGGACAGGTATGGTATGGATCGAGCTCAGGACCTCCGGAAATGCGTTGGTTCGTGCATGTACAGTACACTCTATAGCAAGAAGTGCCATTGCGTTTTATAGTCAAGAGGGTCAGGTACCGTGACACTTGTCGTCACTTGGGTTAAAGCATGCAGAAGGTTTGAAGCACCCTCGTGCGTACTGCAGTGACGCTCGTGATGAATACGACCGTATACGTGCATTATCTCCAGCGTCGTATTAGGAGTCAGACATAGGCTAATAGTAGGAAGCCCTTGTTACATAATAACAAGGCCTCTAATAAATATCTTGAAGAGGCAATCTTGCTTATAGTACTTTATTATATATTCTATCTTTTTATTTAAACTTGTCAGCTATGTTGCAGTGCGTAATTAGAAGAAGAGGCTGAATTAGAGCTGCTCTTGCTTCCGGCTTTCAATGCGACGCTAGAGACAGTGCTGCCCAGGTGTAAGCCGTGCACGTCCTGCCTTAGCCCACATTCTCAACCCGACATGTGTTTATTGAACGGCAACAAGCAAGCAGGGCCCTTGTTGGTCTGACACGCTCGAAGATAATGAGCACCATGTCACCGTAGCAGCATTATTGGTGGTGTTGAGGGGGACATGGGACGATGGCAGCGGACGAAGTGTGGATACTCGGCAGAATGAACGAGGATGGATGAGGCTAAGCACCGTAGCAGCCGTGCACGTCCCTCCTTGGCCCAGACTCTCGGACCCCGCCATATCCATTGCCTCGCCCACGTTCTCTGTTGGGCTCTCTGATTGGCTCCTTGAGACTTCATCCTTCAAAGGCCTTTCATCGCCTCGTACATCCAAACAAGTGGCGACGCGGCAGGAATGCGTCAATGGCGTAGCAGGGCTGGGCAACTGATCTGTTGCCATGCCTCTTGATCGTAGCTTGGTATGCTTGTGCAAGCCCTAGAAGGCTTATTAAAAACGTCATAGCTCCATCAGCTATCACGAATAGTACGTTGAAAAGACATAAATCTGGAGAAAGGTCCACGGCGCAAGAACTCGGATTTGGCGACTACGGGGCAGAGAGCAAGGAGTAGAGTAGATGCAGTCGCTCTCGGCCCAATTAGAGGGTGCTGCTTGTGCCGAAAAGGCTGGGATTTGCTGTCGCGTGAGCTCCTTCCAGACTGGGTGGGGCTTTCAAACCTCTAGTATCCTCGCGTCCACAGTAACGTTATGCCCCCGCCGGAAGCGACGGTCTGTACACTAGAATTTTCTTCGCATCCTTGGACCCTTATATAACCTGTAGCTCGTCGGCTTGTGCGAAATGCTCAACTTTGTTCACTCAAGTTCGCGCTCCCTGTGCGCCTCTGCCTCATCTTTTCCACTCGGCTGAACCTGGGTGGCTACCTCTGACCCTCAATTCCTACGCACCGGGCTTTTGCGGCAGCCCTTTGGAACAGAAGAACGCACCACAAGCAGCTCGAGGCGTGTGTCCATCACCAATCCGTGCATACCATATCGGAAAGTTCGTCATCGGACCGCCCGGCTATTACTAGCATCTGGCATCGCGTCGATTTGCAGATCCCATCGACCACTCAGAAGCCACCCTATCGAACGTGCTACTGTTCTGCATTGTGCGTGGAATTACTTGCGCAACCCACATCATCAAACGATTGTAATATCCGTGGGATAATCCGCCGCCTCGGATTAGCATCAAAGCGCATATAAGCTTCGCCTAGGACCCGCGGCTCTGGGCAACGCTTTTTCCAGCCATTCCACTATCAGCATATAACAACGAGTCCGGCCCAGCCCTCGTTGTACAGTTGTTACTATGGCGAATTCTCACGAACCTACGCCACCATCCCTCCGGGATTATGGTGTTGCTGCACCCCATGGCCCCAACATGACCGGCGAGCACCAAGCTACTCAGGACATTGACATCCGTAACGACATGAGCGCGAACGAGTCTAATGTGTTTCATGCCCTGCTTCACCCCGACGACCTTTACAATGCCAACGGCACCTACTGGGCAGACATGCCACTGGGTCAACGGGTCAAATTCATTGGACAAGTCGACAAAGCTGAAGCGAAAGCTGAAGCAACCTACTTCTGGGACATGTTCAAGAAAGACCCACTTGCGCCTTTTGGTCACTACTTCCGAACCTGTGTAATTCCTGGTATGGGTCTTGGTCTCGAGGGGTAAGTCGAAACATCTCATCGCTCAATTCTTCGCTAACATGAATCTAGTTACGTTCTGTTCTCCATTGGTAACGTCAGACCTCTTCTGCAGGCTGCCTTCCCAGCATGCTGGGGTAAGCACGAGATTTGCGATGAAACCTGGCTACAGGCTATTGACTACCTCGAGATTTGCGGTATCATTGTTGGTCAGATCCTCGTTGGTATTGTTGGTGATTGGCTCGGCCGCCGCTTCGGTCTTATCCAAGATGCTGTTATCATGTTCGTCGGTCTCCTCATGCTCACTGCTGCCTGGGGTGTCACCCAGAACGGATGGGTCATCTGCTACGTCTGGGCTCTATTCTTCTACGGTATCGGTGTTGGAGGCGAGTACCCCATGACTGCGACTGCTGGTATGGAGAACGCTGTCGGCTCCGGAAAAGTCTCTACCAAGGACGATCGTCTTCACCGTGGCAGGAAAGTTACCAGTGCTTTCCTGATGCAAGGTTGGGGACAATTCTTCAACCAGGTCATCCTGATCATCTTGCTCCTCATCTTCCACGGCGGATCATCCCCCCCGTACTCGAAGACCTTGGCTCAATGGACTTACCGTGTCTCCTTCGCCATTCCTGCTGTCGGTACACTCTGGCTCGTCTACTTCCGTTACTACAAGATGAAATCGGCTTCGAGGCAGCTGGCGCTTTCCAAGAAGAAGTCGAACGTTACCGGCTACGACGTTCAGTCTTTGAAACTTACCTTTACATACTTTGGACCCCGTCTTCTGGCTACTGCTGGCGCTTGGTTTGCCAACGACGTTTTCTTCTACGGCAACAAGCTTTTCCAGAACGAATTCATCAGCATTATTACGCCTGGTAACAAGTCTGTCATGACCGGCTGGCTGTATAACTTGATCAACGTCGGTGTATCGCTTTGTGGCTACTACCTCGCTTCCTTGCTCATCGACAACAAGCTTTACGGGCGCAAATGGATGATGATCGTCGGTTTCCTGGCTGACTTTGTTCTCTTCATCATCCCCGGTTTCGCTCTGGACTACTTCACGTCGCCTGAGAACATTCACGGTTTCCAAGCCATGTACTTCTTGTCCTCGTTCTTCAACCAATTCGGCCCCAACAGTGTCACTTTCCTTGTCGCTGCCGAGGTCTTCCCTACACCGGTCCGCGCCACCGCTCACGGTTTCAGTGCTGCTTGCGGTAAGGCTGGTGCCCTACTCGCCGCCGTCCTGTACAACTACATCGACACTCAGACCAAGTTCTACTTTGTTCCCTGGTTTGGTCTTGCTGGTGCTCTCCTTACTCTACTCTTCCTTCCAGACACGACCGGTCTGGATCTCAAGGAGCAAGAGCGTCGCTGGGCATACATTCGCGCGGGCAAAGAGCACGACTACCACGGTATTGCCATCCACTGGAAGCACCTGTCCTGGTGGGAGCGCTTCCGTGGCCAGCACAAGGATTACGACGCCAAGCTCGACTACGAGCAGAAGATTACCGAGATGCGCGCAGAGTGGCTCGAACGCCAGCAACACAAGTTCTCTGAGAAGAACGGCTGGGAAGGTGCTGACCCTGACGAGGACGACCACCTTGATGTACACAACTACTTCAAGCGCACCACACCCGGCTCGCCAAAGGGCCCTGAGCCTATGATGGCGCCTAAGTCTGTGTCGGAAAGCGACTCGGCGGATGAGATTACGAGGGAGAAGAATGGACAGCTCTAGTGGAGCTATGAACCAGATGTTCATTGTCGATATTTAGATAAAAATTAATTGTTAGCGTTATCGTTCTTTACAGCATTACAACGGCGTTTTCATTGTCTCGCGCTCGACGCAGAGGCTGTACTATGACACAGATAATGAAGATCGTTATGACAAGTACTTTGATCTATCCAGACCTTTCCTGTTCCTGTCGTGAGTTGTTGAGTTGCTGAGACTTGTCAATGTATTGTTGAACTGGGTCAAAAGCAATACGATATAGCTAAACTTCGCAGACTACGGACAGTAACGTGCAGCTGCGTTGTCCGGGTTCAGCATACGTACATAATATTATGCACGCCAGTCTTATGCACAAAAGGCGTATGCAGTTGATTGATCCGGCTAACAGAGAAGCCCTCATCGCTTAGCCCCGGGCAAACCTAATCAACAGCCTGAGGTTTCGCAATGAGCGAGCACCACAGCAAGGCAGCCGCGTACCTGCAACTGGTGGCGCGGTCAAAAGAACTTTACCGGTAACTTTCCTAGATTTTGGCACACAGGACGTTTCAGCGGTCAGCCATGGTGGCAGGAGCAGCTGGGAAGGTTGGTAGCCGGGGCAACAATCACCCACCCGCTTTTTCTCCATGATGCGCGGACAGTTCTTGCGGTGACAGATGGTTGACTTTGGCCGCGGCGCTACTAGGGCAGCTTGGGAACCGTAGAAAAGTCTGGGTGTTGTGTGTGGTACTGCAGCTGTACATATCGGACCTGCGCAAGTGCAGCATGCTAGATGCAAGTCGTAGCGTCGGACAGACAGGGTGGGAGGAACATTCTTGGAGCTCTCGGCTTTTCCGCCGAACATGTACGGCACAAGCGCTACACACTCCAGTGCCTTCTATCGTGAGCCGCCCGCAGTCACGCCGGCCACGAATTCGCACCACATCACCGTTTGACAACGTCAGGGCAAAACGTTGAATACGAGACGGGAAGGAAGACAACGACGTCATGATCTCCTCCCCCTTGAATCGTTATCACGGCAGCGGCAAGAAATCATGCGAAACGAGATTACGAGCATGGACCTTGCTGCGAAGTCCGGAGAATGGACTGGGGTTGGCCGTGCATTTTAACCTTTTTCTTGCATGCGCCGATGTCTGAGTGTACTATCTATGTAGGTACAGATTGGATTTTGTTTGTTTCAATATATTGCGCTTGCATGGGCGGCATTCAGATTCTAGGGTTTTCGGGGATACAGCGATGGTTTCGTGTTAGTGGCGTTCTGTTGAAGCAAGGGATCATCAGGAGAGGAACATTTTTGCAGAGGCATGGATCGATTGCGCGTTAGCGAAGAGCGAAACGACGAAGAGGGACACGCGTCGCCCACGACGACGGGTATGCAAAAAAAGAAACCCAGCTGCCGAAGTTCGGTAACAATTCTGGGTGCTGTTGCTAAGGATAGTAAGAAGCAAGGAAAGAGAGGCGAACAGACGAAACACAGCCGGACAGCGATGCGCAGACAGACTGTTGCCAACAATATTCCAAGGGCTGCATAGGGCCGCCACCTGTACCGGGCAGCGATCTACATTGGTGATGGGCAGGCTTCAGCCGATCGAATGGTGACGGACCTGCCCCTGGCACTATGGTTGCTAGTGGCACGGCCGCTGGGCGGGAGGCGTTTGCTGGCGTTGCGATAAGGTGCACACAAGCGATTTGCAGTGGAGAGAGGTTGCGTGGCAGTCAAAGTCTTCACTGTTGGTTGCGTGTTTCGAGGTGGTTGTTGCTTGTGGCTGGAGCTGCAACACTCAGGTGGCGGGTTATACGTCCATGTTCGCTGTCGTGCGATGGCGAGAGACAGCCAGGCAATCAAAACGAAGCAACTCGGCGGCATTCAGCAGCGTGACAGCCTCTGCAGCAGGGGACTAGCCTCGCCCAACGGTTCGAGTGGGTTAACTTGGAAGGAAGCGGCTGAAATTCTTGGAACGATGCTTGTCCATCTGCCAATCGCAGATTGGCCTCGTGTCTGTGCGCTGGGGCTGGGTGGTTCTACTCTCGTCGAAACACACGGGCGCAAAGCCTCTCCAATAACTCCCTTTCCACGTACACAATGCACAGGGCACCATTGGGTAAGAGTGGGTCCCCCACCGCATTGCGACACAACAGCCGCAAGCCTTGCGTGTGTGTTGCCCTGCTGTCCCAGGCAAATAAATAGATCTGCTTGCGGCCTCCGTTCTGATTCTTCATCCACTCAACGCACAAACAGATTCACCCGCTCAACTCACCCAATCTACGAGTCGATCATCCAGTCGCTATCTTCAAGTCAAGTACTTCTAAGCCTCTAATACCCAAACCCCCAAACCACCACCAACACATCATCAACATGCGTTTCACCATCGCCTCCGTTGCCATCATGGCTGGTGCCGTCGCCGCTGTTCCTCAGTACAGCGTCCAGCCCATCTCTCAGATCTCCGACGGTCAGATTCAGGCTCCTCCTGCCACCAGCGCTGTTGGCTCCGCTGTCCCTCTCCCATCGCCATCTGACGTCTCCGTCCCCGCTGGTGTCACCTCTGCCCTCTCCTCCGCTGCTGACATGACCTCCACTCGTAAGTTATCCTGTCAACCTGGTACATCAGTACGAAGCTAACAACTTCACAGTCGCCGTCACTGAGACTGCTTCCGTCACCTCGGTTGTAGTTGTCCCCACTGCTACTCCCGTTGGCCCCAGCGGCTCCATGGTCACCCCCATCGTCGGTGGTAACTCCACTGCCTCTGCTACTGGCTCTGCTGCCGTCTCCTCCACCGCCTCATCTGAGGAGTCCGCTACCTCTGGTGTCGCTGGCAGCTCCACTGAGAGCGCCTCTGCTCCCGAGTCCACTGGTGCCGCCGCCGGCAACATGGTCTCTTTCGGTGGACTTGTCTTCGCCATCGGTGCCGCTGTATTCGCATAAGCGTCTCATCTCCACCACCAGAGCATTGGCTCTTTTTCCCTTCTTCACGATATACCAACAATCCGGTCACGATTGGGTTGCATGTTTGTTTAAAAGCAACACGGAGTAACACAGCATTAATGGTGGGGTCTTTAATTTTCAAACTTGGAAAGGCGCGAATTGGACGGGGTATGAATGAGGCATTGGATTCATGTATCTTGCCAATGCGATAATGTTCCATGGGGATGCACACACATGGTTAGGCATGTATAGATAGTTAATTACAATGAGATATTGGCCGCCGACAGGTGCCCTGATACCCATCTTTCCATCGCCTGTCTCGTGAAACATTTCCACTTTCCTACATCTTTCTGATAAGCGGCAGGCAGGAGATGCCTAATCCCTGGCAGCTGACATGTGAAAGTTCGAAACCATGCGGTCGAATGCGAAGTCTCTGGTACCCGGAACTGACAACGCCAATGCATGCAAGATAATCGCCGACCTGCCTTTCGTCTTGCAGCACTCTTCCCATCTCTCATACTGACTACGTCATGCATCTGCAAGACGACTCCTCTATTCCATTACGCGGTTTTACCACCCATTCCCCATCTTCTTACCCTCCCACAACGACGTACGTCTCTTATCGTACGCGCAACACGAGAAAGACAGCGGGCGGCCCCGAACCAACAAGCTTGTGACATTGCATTAGCTTGTCAACACTAAGTAAAACGCTACTCGAGCAAGCCACAAGCTTCGAAGCTAGAAAACCTTGTTTCAACACTTGGCGGATATTAAGCTAACCAGTCAACCACGGTGTGCGTCTCAACCATTTTTCATCGTTTTTGAACACAGCTAGAGCAAAGTAGAGGGAAATGTGCACGTGCTATGCGTGAACAACAAAAGCTCATGCTGGGTTCTAGATTTCTGTCGTCACTATCGACAGTATGGTACAATTAGGATACTTTTTTGTAAGCATGTGAAGATACCCCATGAGTTCATGTTTAGATGACCGTGGGGAACCTTTGTATACATCAGTGACCTAACATGGCAAAGGGAACCTGGGAACCTGGCCAAGTAATACATATCTTCGGGTATCATTCTCCAACTACATATGCATCAACTATCTTGATTCGACAACCTGCGTGAGCAACTGTCCAAACGTATTTAGTCCTTCTTCTGCGGTAAAGATGCGCTTGGGTATCTCAAACTCGACTTCTGGCTCTTTCTTGAGGTCACGGTCTAGTTCGACATCAAGCAGCGCCGTGTATGAGTGGTCCAGGAAGTCTTCCAGGTTATACGCCCGCTTGGTAAACTGTTCTGAAATGATCTTTGCCAGTGTCGCTACGTTAGGGTGGTAGTGCGATTGCAGTGCCTCTAGCTCCCAGACACTGCTTTCAATGGCATTTGTGAGGAGAGGGTCTTGCTCTTCCATGTCAAAGGGATCGTCCATGCCCTCCTCTTCCAGCTCCTCCTGCAGAGCTGGGTCCCGGATCTCGCGGTGCATCATAAATGTGCAGGCTGGATGTTTCTTGAACATGTTGTAGGCCCAGGGTACCACGACGACCACACCGGCTGGTGGTCCATGGAGTGCTAGTCGCGAGAGACGCTTGATGAAGCTGGCAACGAGGTTTGCGGGCAGATGGGAGGAGGACATGAAAGTGTCTAGCAGGCGGAAGAAACGCGATCGGTGTTTTGAGTGCATGAGGCCATCGTCCAACAGGGAGTACAGCTTGAGGTAGAAGGATGGGTAGTCGAGGTTCTTCTCTGAGATGAGGTAGTAGATTCCAGACAAAGCCAGTAGAGAGGTTGCGCCGCCCACGTTGTAGGAGTCTGTCAAGAAGTCTGACAGAATCTCAGGTTGCTGAAACCAGGGTGCAATTTGGTGAGAGAAATTGTGCAGGATAGTCTTCCGTTGCTCCTTAGAGAGACCTGTTCGCATGGTCGCTAACCATGCTGCTTGCGCCTTCTCCTTGTATGCCTGAAGAGACGGTATCGGACTCTTCCCTTGCACCTGCACGTAGAAGCTTTGGATGTCGGTCTTGGACTTGGGAACTTCGGTAAGTGTGTACAGAAGAGACAAGCTATTGGCAGCTACGAGTTGGCGCGTTGTGATGTCGAGATCGCTGTCGAGTACATCCCTGAATGCGTTAGGATAACGTCTAGCCTTTGGTGGGTATGCACTTACTTGATGGTCTGGAATGTCTGGTATCGGATATCGTCAAACTGCTTGAGGTACTTCTCGGCAAACTCGTCGCGATTCAGATCGTCGAGGGGAAGGCACAGCAATACCCGGATGAGTCTCTGCAGTGGTCCATTCTTGATCTTGTAATCCTTGGAAGACTTTGCTTCCTCTTTGACTAATCGCATAACCAGTGTCAAGGCCACAGACTGCTTCGGGGGGTGTTCGCTGCGGAGGAAGTCGTCTAACAGGACATCGCAGAGCTCTCGGTAGCGCTCCTTCAGCCACGATACAATGACACCCTCAGCCTCGCTCATGCCCTTGCTCTTGATCATGTCGCCTGTTACGAGTAGTCGTGAGAAGACTCGGCAGAGGGCGACGGCGGCGAGTATTGGTCCTTCATTTTCGGCGTCTGCTTGTCTCGCCCGCCCCAGAAGAGTGGCAATGTTGTTGTAGTGTTTCCGCGATTCGAGAATCTGTTTTTCGAGCTGTACGATTTCGGATTGGAGATCCTCGCCGTCGTCGCTGGGTGATTTGCGCCTGCTTTTTGATTTGGATTCGCTGCGCTCGGGCTTGCTGGGATCCCTCTTCCTCTTGACACCAGACATGTTGGCGGCCTTTGTGCCCGACATAGTTTTTTCTTCTTCTCAGACGTGTCCCTGGGTGTGGTGTTGGAATGCTCACGAGCGCAAAAAGTTGGCCATGTCGAAAAGTGAAGGGCCGGGCGAAGTTCGGCTAGCGCATCGGCGTCGGCGCTTGGCTCTTTGAGTGGACGCAGCATCACGAAAAGCTAGCTTTCGACGACGACAAAGCACCCCAACTCCCCACTCTCATCAGACAGCCATGGCCTCTCGTCTTGCAAGGAGCGCGGTCGGTGAGTAGCAGCACCCCGATGAATATGCCGTGCCATTGACCCCCGTGCTCACACACAATAGGCGCCGCCCGTCTCCGCCCATCGCTCCCTCTCCGCGCCCTGCCCTCCATCGCCGTCCAGGTCCGCTATCAGTCCAACCTGCCCCAGGAGGACCCCAAGAAGAAGGCCCAGTCCGTCCTCGACGCGATACCCGTCCCCGGCAACAGCCCCCTCACCAAGGCCGCCGTCCTCTCCGCGGGAGCCGGTCTCAGTGTCGCCGCTATCAGCAACGAGCTCTACGTCGTCAACGAGGAGTCTATTGTCGCCCTCTCGCTCCTTACCATCTTCTGGGCCGTTGCCAAGTACGCTGGACCTGCTTGGGGAGACTATGCGCAACAGCAGGTCGACAAGATCTCGGGTATCTTGAACGCTGCCCGCCAGGACCACACCACCGCTGTCAAGCAGCGCATCGAGAGCGTCCAGGACCTCGGCGGTGTCATTGACATCACCAAGACCCTGTTCGAGGTTTCCAAGGTGCGATACTGCGATTGGGGACATGCAGGGACAGGAGACTGATGAAATTACAGGAGACCGCCCAGCTTGAGGCTCAGGCTTTCGAGCTCGAGCAGAAGACTGCCATCGCCGCCGAGGCCAAGTCTGTCCTCGACTCGTGGGTCCGCTACGAGGGCCAGGTCAAGCAGAGGCAGCAGAAGGAGCTTGCCGAGTCCATCATCGCCAAGATTGAGAAGGAGCTCGACAACCCCAAGACCCTCAAGCAAATCCTTGACCAGAGCGTCACTGACATTGAGAGTATGTTGAGCCGTACTTGCAACACATGACACGGGCTAACAGACATTAGGGATCGTTTCCCAGAAGGCATAAGCGTCCTATAGCATCCACCAGTCAAGCCATTCAATGTTATATAAATCTGTGCAATAGTCAAGCTCGTCCAATATAGAGAGAGTACCCCAGGCTTGGGAAAAGGCCGAAATTGATCTTGTTCTGTCTCCTGAAATCTTGTGTTTCGCCAAGCGAAAGATGGTAGGGATTTAGCAAAATATCGTTTGAACCTGTGTACTACATGTCCCAAGGCGGGTTGAAGTAGCCTCCCCACTTGACTAAATGTATCCCTCACTTACCTCTAGTACCCTCGCACCCCATACAAGGGGAGAACCGAACAGGTATAGAGATAACAACCCTTACCTTGCGGCTTACAATAGCTTCTAATAAGAAAACTTATAAAGATAAGTATTATCGTAGACTTCTAGAATCTTAATCTATATCTATATAGCTCTTAATATGCTTTATTGTAGTAGGAAGGAGTATCCTGCTCCAAAGAGATGTTAAGTTTCTCTTTTTGATGTAGTGCTCGTAGATGCCTAAGAGTGCTAGTCCTACTGAAGCCTACAGTGAGGGCTCCGAATATCAATGTCGAAACACTCATGCCTATGCTCGCTTTACCCGTTGAATAAATAGTCTCAAGTGTAGACAAGGAAGCTTAACCAGCTCCCAGCGTCAACCACTGTCCTGTCCGGAGGGGTAACCTCATGAATCGACAAATATTATGGTCGCTAACTCATCCTTTCACTACAGGGTACGATCTCTAGAAAATGGAATGGTCTTGGTCGAAGAGATTTCCATCCATCGTCGCAGTCATCGCTGACAGCAAAGTTCACAAGGACAACTGCAACTGCAACCGCAGCCGAGCTGGTTAGCATTGCTGCGAGCAAGTCCCGGAGATCTACTTGCCGTCCTTCTCCAGGGGAGGTGAAAGTATAAATACATATGAAGTGGTCGGGCCGCGTTGCACGTCTTGTTGCTAGGTGAAAACGGTAATAGAGTACTGCCAAGTCTTGGATAGCTCAGAGTAGGGAGCCCGTAGGTACCTTTATGTAACTCTGTAGCCCTACCGCTCCAAGTATAATGGACTTTCGTCATGTTCCAGATCTTCAACTTTAGTCTGATCATCAAACATGCTCTCCATGTACCACACGCTCCTGGGATGCCCAATCACAGCCAGACGATATTTCCGCATAGTGAGTTGTCTCACAGCAGGTGGCAGTGTATGCGAACAAATGCTAGATTGAGGGGTATGTAACACCATGACTCGCATGCTCCAACAGCAACAAGAACAAGACCAATACCATACAGTAACGTGCACATACCAGATACATTCCCCAAAACATACAAGAGAAAAACTGTGACACGCAAGAGAAATGCGACCGCCGTATACTGATGTCTGCAAGACATAAGAAGACCTGTGTGAAGATGTCGAATCGTATCGAACATGACCCTTTTGGAAAGCTCCAGATAATGCATACTTGCGCTACTATGCTGAACGGAACAAATGATTGTCGTTTCGAAAGATGTAAAAGTGGTTTTTTGGCGGGGTTGGATATACGAGAAAAAGGGTGGTCGTCGTGAGAAAGGTCGTGACAAGAGAGAGGGTATCGATGAAAAGAAGTGGTTGAGTGCAGCGGAAGACGGCTATGGCCACCAGTTCATCCTCTTATAGCTCTCAATGACCTCTTCGACCTTTTCTCTTGTGATCTTTTCTACGTTGTATCTGTCCTCGTGTTAGCATCTTGTCATCTCCAATATATACTCAGAATGACTCACTTGAATCCCGTCTCCCTCTCAAACAAACTTCCATCCATACTTAAATCTGCGTCTTTCAGAAGTTCCTTCTCCATGTATGGTGTCAGGGGTGTCGATGAGCTGATGCCGGCTTGCTGCTGTAGTTCCGCCCATGGGTCTAGTGTCTCGTCGTTTACTTCGTCCACGACGTGGTCGAGGTTCAGCCGTGCAAAAGCTGAGATGAGTGTGCCGTGGAAGCCAGTTTCAATGTTGAAGATCTCGCCCATGAGCTGGGCTGTTTGCTTTTGTGCTAAGGACAACGTTAGTACTGCGGTAAGTTCAAGGATGAAGAGTGGTAATCCGTACAATGATTTGCATGATCCACGATGTTGAAAGTGGGTGCTGGCCTGCGTCCTGGGGAACTCTTGGTATACCACTCTACACCATGCCATAGTGCCCTAGTGGAGTCCTCGACATGCACCAGATTTGTTCTCAAGTCTTCCTTCCACAGGAAACGCATCTCTTTTCCCTTGCTCTGGTATACCCGCGCCATGCAAAGCGCTGTGCTCAGGAATTTGCTTGTATACGGGCCATAGACGTGTGCCATCCTCATAACCATCAAGTTCAGTCCGTCGATCTTGGCGAGGTCTTCCTCAGCCTTAAGCTTCCACTTTGCCAGATTTGACCACGGTTTCGGCTTGTCTGACTCTTTGCTCGGTGTGCTGTCGGACTTGTAGACCATGCCAGTGCTGATTTCGACGAAGCACTTGACTTTGCGTTTGGCGGCTTCGCGGCCGATGGCCATGGATAGGCCGTAGGAGCGGAGTTCGTAGACCTTTTCGTCTTGGGCAAAGCGTGTCTCGCCGCCGCAGTTGAAGACGTAGTCGAACTCAGCGCCGCCTTCACGGTCGAATATTCGTGGTAGGGATTCTGTGGGGTTCGAGTTAGCCTCGAACGTCTGGTTGTAGACATCCCTTGCACCCAGAGATGTGGTCAGGGGTACGCACTTTCCTGCGCCGCATCCGCCTGTATAAATCGCTCTCTCGAGCACGCTTCCTTGAATTCGGGTGCGAGCCATGCTAGTTCTGGGAGGTGCTTGTCGACGATGCGTATCTGCGATGCTAGGTTGTTGTCGTGGATGTACTTGGTGAGGTGTCGTCCGGTGTAGCCTAATCGACATGGTCAGCCCTCCTGTCATACCTGGGTGGTGCTCAGAGCAAGCCTTACCCAACCCTCCTATTATCAGCACCGAGGGCTTGGTCGCCTGTTCTGAAGCCATGCTTGGAGTCGCGTGTGTTCCTGATCTACGCTTGCTATGCGCGCAAGAACAAGTCGCTAGGAGATTTCGGATGGCGCAGTGGGCGGATGGTGTCTTGTAATGTCAAAGTCGGGGGTGGAGATTTGAGCGTTGCGGGTCGCGCTCAGACCTCGTTGCGATAAATCCAACAGCAAAGGACAATATCACGGCTGCTATAGGCGAAGCACTACTCTGCGATCGTCCGTCGTGCTCACGTTATGTTGGAAAGGAGATAACACGCGGCCCTCGCGATCGTGGGTGCTGGGCTGGAATAAGAGGGACTAAACCGCGAAGAGGGATGCTCAAAGTAGGATACCGCGGCACAACAACGATGTCATATAGCTCAGGCCCAATATGTACGACTCATTGACCTGCAGGAGAGGGGACAGGTCAGGCCGATATTTAAATGTGCACACCCAAGCCCCGGCGATAATTCTCTTCAGAGGAGAGCCACCTGCATCACTGAGGCTATTCGCATTAAGAAAAAACAAAAGATGGGCGCCCATAGCAGCCAGCCAGCCTTGGTCGGGCACTTGTGGCTGATCCTATGCACACCATAATGGTCCGCTCCGCAAGCAAGTCGACCGAGATTAGTGTGGGCATCGTTCTTCATGTAGCGAGACCCCGATGTGTTGTATTGAAGGCGCCTTACGCCACCACCGTCCATGGATGCAGGTCTTGTGCAGACACCATGTTTGTGCAGTAGTGGCATCTGCTTTGCCACACCACGCCAGCTTCACAGCATGACGTTTGCTGTTCCTTTCTCCTGGAGATACTGCGGTTGCCGCGGGAGATGTACAAGAAGCGGGCGGTGAACGACGGCGCGCTCCTCCCGCAGTGCTGGACCTTGTCTCAAGCATCAAAACTTGGGTCGCATGACAGCCCAAGGTGGGGGTTCATTCAGGGGCAAGTGCAATCCGTCGTTCGAACGAACAGATTTATCAGGCAATCCCTTGTCGACGTAGCCATCCATCTTTGGGCTTTTCCGGACGTCGTTGTATAATGTGTAAGCCACATTCGCGATCTATTGACGAGTTGACGAGCGATTGCCGAATAAAAAGCAAACAAATGCGGAGCCGCGACGTCTGGTGCTCATTCACCTTTCCCTTTACGAGGTGCAATGCTGGGGTTGCTCTTCTAGCTTAACGTCTAGCCTGCATAAAACTCTCGCTTCATGACGATTTCAGATGTTCTGAGGACAGGCATTGCGAAGGAATGCTCGCTTCGCGGCATCCTTGATATGCAACCAATGTTATGGCCTCCGAGTCAAGCAAGAAGTCGTGGCCGGCCGAGTGGTGGCTGTTGCCGTGATGCTGCGCTGCCGCATCTATTCTCCAGCCTAATGCCGTCGGCGACTTGTTATTAGTCGTCGAACCTCAAGACGGCGACGCAAACATCCAAAGTGTGTACCTGCGTCATGTCACACGGCTTCTAGGTGCCGAGATCTATTGGCACCTCGTAGCACAGCATGAGAATCTAGAGATCTGCTCGATCTGTACCTCCCGTCAATAAAGCAAGGCAAGTGCACAACGCCTACAATTAGCTCCGACGCCCTCTTACATCCGCTTTATACCACATGTCTTTCCTTCACGGTGATTGTGCGAGGCAGCCGACGTGCAGGTTTTGCATCCAGACCAGACTGGGTCATGATGCATATGAAGGCATGCATGCACAACCCCTATGTCGAACAGTGGTTCATGCATAGAATACAGACTAACTATGGTGATCGTCCCGCACTTGCATATGCATCAGTAATCGGAATCATTTGAGTATCTCTATTCGATATATTGTTGTAGATGAGGGACTAGATCAGAGAGCTATTATGAATATCTCGACGCTATGCAATGACTCCTTAAGCATAATAAGATCGCAAAGTCATGTCGCATGGTCGCCGAATCGTGCCACCTACCCATTTGCATACAGGAGTAGTACAAAATACCATCATGCTTTTTCGCCGAATGCCGCCCATTCAGTCTCACCCTGGGATGCTGTACGCACCCAATGCAAATCCACGAAGATGTCCGAAGACAGAAGAAAACCGCACTGCATGCATGTTCTGCTCTAGAACTCCCAGGTCTCATCAACTGACTTGATGGCCCAGTCGAATTTCTCCCGAAGCGTCTTGGAGAAAAATTTCTCAATGGGGACGTCGAACTTCTTGGAGAACACTACGGTGAGACGAGGATCGATGTAGTTCTAATTGTGGTTAGTCAGATATTCTGCCAGCTGTACATGTGATGACTTACGATCTTGGATGTGCCAAGGGCAACCTCCTTGTTGCCCTCCTTGTCTTCCATCTGTATCTTCATGTTCTCGATACGCTGGTTGAGCTTGTCGACGTTGGCCTCAAGCTTCTCAACTGTCGGGCCCTTGCCCTCAGCCTCGACCTTGCCGGTCTTGTTCTCCTTTTTGTATTTCGCGGCCAGCTCGTTGACCTTGTCCATGCGCTCCTCAAGCTCCTTGGGTTTCATCTCCTTCTCGCCGTCAGCCTTGAGCTTCTCGTTGTCCTTTTCGAACTTCTTGGTGATCTTCTGGCGCATCTCTTCGACCTCCGCCTCCTGGTGCTGCTTGACCCATTCATCGTCAAGATCTTCAGGCCGTTCAAAGTACTCGGCGCCCTTCTTCTTTTTGATTTTTGGGTCCACGTCAATCATCATCATCTTGGTTCTCCAAACTTGATAACGAAGACCATTAATCTGAGAGGGGTTAGCATAGTCGAAGGTCTAAATACATCGTGGCAACACACCTTCTCATTCATTTTCTCAATGGAGGTGGCGTGACTTGCGGCGACGGTACGCTTGTGGTTACATAGGATGGCGACTTCGCGATTGGCATCGTTGTAAGCCTTGACCTTCTCTTGAATCGTACCAGTGGCCTTCATCTCCTTGAGTAATCGAGCCATTGTGTAGGAAGCGTTGTAGGTACGGAAAACCTTTGCAGTAAGACCAGGCATGTAACTCGTAAGATGTTTGTTGAGACCCGACGTAGTCAGTCGGTCGAAGATGTCGTCTCCTGTGGTCTTGGGCTCCTTCTTGAAAAGTTTGAGGTTCTTGAAGACTTGCGGGTCGACCTTGACTTCGTCGTAGAAACGAATACTGTCTTTACCCAAGAAATCGAATATGACAGTCTCCGGGGGCTTCAAAGTGATATGCTGGAACTTCAGCGAGCAGCAACCGACCGTGTCGGCTTCATCCTCTCCCTTCTCGTTACCAGCACGGAGTGCAAATTGATCGATGAGGTAAATAGCAGTAGCACGCTGGCGGTCAGCCATCATCTTCGAATTGAGATCTTTTCGGTAGTCCTTCCGAATGCGATCGATGTGCTTCTTGAGTTCTCGTGCCTTCTCAAACTTCTTGAAGTCACTCTGACCCTTGATGTCAGAGTTGGCTGCAAGCATGACGTACTTGTAGGCACCGTTGATGTTTTCTTGCCACATGGCGAGCCATGTGCCTTCATGATCGTGCTTGATCTCCTTCCAGCGATGACCTGCGGGCGGCTCAGGGACCTTAGCCTTCTCACCAATATTGATGGTGATCTGCTCGGGCATGACGCGCTTCTTCACGCGTCCAGTCTTGGGATGCTCGCCACGGCCACGGAAAAGACTAGGAGGTTCAACACGGAAATTGCCAACCTTCTGCTTGCGCCCGTCCCACATGCAGTACATATACTTAGCCTCGGCGGCCTCCTTCTCGGCCTTGAGCGCCTTCTTCTCTGCCGCTGGGAGAGCCTTTTTCTTCGCGCGTTCTGCATCGAACCACTCAAAGATGGGCTTGAAGTCGCACTTCTCGAACTTCTTGATCTTGACTGTGTTTCCGTCTTTGTCCTTGCCGTGTCCAGTCTTGTCCAGGTAGGTACTAAAGTCCTCAAAGAAGTTCTTGTTGAAAGTTGGGTTCTCGACGTTGTGAGCGGAGTTTAGCATACTTCCGTAAAAAGTAGCCACTTCCTCAGCCTCCGGGTGCAGAGTAACAGGTACGCCGTCGTACACCAATTTGACGTGCTTAGGGAGCGGCTCGTACTCAGGAGGAAAGACAACACCGGCGTGTTCCAGTGTATCCCACTTCTTGGTACCGTCACTCTTGCCTGGGTCTTCCCACCAACGGTACTCATCCTCCTCTTCCTCAGCCTCTTCGTCTTGCTCAGTCTCTTCCTTCTTGACTTTGCCCTTGCCCTTCTTTGCAGGTGCTGCGGTGGCGGCAGCAGGCTTTGCCTTGGTGGCTTTCTTCGGAGCAGCCTTTTTCGCGAGCGGTGCGTCGGAATCGGACTCTTCTTTCTTCACGCCATTCGCCTTCTTCACTGGCGCCTTCTTTTTTGCAAGAGGGATATCATCGTCACTGTCGCTCTCAACTTTCTGCTTGCGTTTTGGGGTGGCCTTCTCCTTATTGCGCATAGCTTGGGCCTCTTTTGCAGCGGCCTTCTCAATAGACTCCTTCTTCTTTGTGAGCTTCTTGGCAAGAGGCACGTCAGAGTCCGCCGACTCCCCGATCTGTTCGGCGCTTGCTTTGGGGAGAACTCTAGCCTTCAAGGGCACGTCGCTGAGTTCGGAGTCGGAGTCGTCCTTGGGAGGTTTCGCTTGCTCTGAGGTCCGTCGCCGCTTGCTCTACCGGAGGGTTAGCTCGTTGTAACGCGTACAGAATACGTTCAGGGCGACCTACCAAAGGCTTATCGTCATCCTCTGAGCTACTCGCGTCTTTGTACGATTTGCCGTTCGTGACGCTGCTGCGCGACTTGCGCTTTCCGTTGGTCTCAGGCGCATCCACATCCATCTTGTCGTCGTCGGCAACTGGCCCCATGCGGATTGAGATGCCAGGCTCGACGTGACCGTTGGAAGGGACTTCGGCGTCCATTTTCTTATCTTCCTCTTTGGTAATCTCTGCGTTCGACTTGGCTACTAGGGAATTATTGTTAGCCATCTTGGGTCTTGGATACAGTTGCAAAAGTCGCGCCAGGAAGAGCGAGTATTGGGAGGAGGTGAGGGTTGGTGAGGGTTGGGTGGTGAGGTTGTTGAATTTGACAAGGGCAATCGGCGCGCGAGAGGGAGATAGTCGTGGCGCGTGCAGATAGTCGGGCGCACTCACCTTGGTCTTTTCCTCTCACAAGGGGAGTGTCGTCGTCTGAAGAAGACATGATGCGAAAGGAAGGCGCGCGCTGAGATTGTGGATAATAAAAAACAGGATGGGCGTGCTCAGCGAAGTCTGGCGCCGATCGAGGAAACCTAGCGGATGCGAAAGAGCGGACCCTATGGAAGGGTGGTAGTCGTTGAGATGGGCGTGCCAGGCGAGGGCAGGCACGTCGTGCGATTGAGGCGATGTTGAAGGATAGAGGAGGGAAGACGCAGGTGATAGACGAGTGACAAGAGGAATGCTGAGTTTAAGTGAAGCGCAGCCCCAGGGAGCCACGACCTGCCCAGCTGTGCTTCACTAAGTCCATCGGCGCACGGGCGTTCGGCCTTCATCAAATCTGGGCCAGTGACTTTCGTAACAGATGCGTAACCTCACCACCGATTCAAGCACTCGGACACTGCAAATAAGCTACCACAGATAGCAGACAGCATGCAAACTGCTTGCTTTTCCCATCGAGACGGAACTATGCGTCAAGGCTCTGGGAAATGGTGCTTGCCACCTGTTCATTCAGTTGCTCCTGCCTATGTCCACCTAATGTTGTCATGGCGATGTCGTGTTTGGGGCCATTTTTGGGCATCAAAAGCGTCATTGGCAGACAGAGACGCACTTCATACTGCACTCCAGCTCCCGTCAGCGTGGCGGCGCGAGTAGAAGGCATCGCATCCGGCGTGCTGTGTTGGAGAGATTCACGTGACACTTGGCGTGTTAGCGCGCAAAGCAATTCAGCATCCCGATTGCCCGACACAGCTCCCGCTCAGCAAAGACAGCAGTGAAGCACCACCACACGGCTGTCGCCATCTCCACTCATCTCAATTCGTAGCCATGATGATCTCACGAGCTGCGCGCCCGGCCTTCAAGGCGGGCATGGCCGCCGCCGCCGCCCGGTACGCTCCCACCTGAGCCCGCAGCTTTTCTCGCGCCCTGCAACCCCCCATTGCCGGATCAATTGCATCGCCAACTGCGTCAAGTGCTGACTGGAATTCGTGTATATAGTCCCACCACCCTTACTGTCTCCAATGCCGCCGGCTATGCCACCCTCCGTGAAATTGAGGGCCGTCTCAAGTCGATTCGCAACATCGAGAAGATCACCAAGACCATGAAGGTTGTCGCCTCCACCAAGCTCACCCGCGCCCAGAGGGCCATGACCGAGTCCCGCAAGTACGGTCAGACCTCCAACACCGTCTTCGAGAGCGCCGAGACCAAGCCCATCGAGGGTGAGGGCAAGAAGAACCTGATCATCGTCTGCAGTTCCGACAAGGGTCTCTGCGGTGGTATCCACTCCGGAATGTCGAGGAAGGTCAGAGCCATGCTCGCTGAGGCTCCCGACTCTGAGCTGGCCGTCATTGGCGAGAAGTGCAAGGCGCAACTGGGTCGTTCCAACGGAAAGAACATGGTTCTGTCTTTCGCTGGTGCAGGAAAGGACGTTCCTACCTTTGGCGACTCCCTGAACATTGCCGACCAGATCTCCATGCTGCCCACCGACTACGCTTCCGTCAAGATCGTCTACAACAAATTCATCAACGCTTCGAGTTACGAGGCCACCATCCAGGAGGCTTACTCCGAGGAGGCCATTGCCCAGTCTGGTACGTCACAACTCTATAGCCAGATGAACCATGTCTAACTGAACATCTAGCCAACTTCTCTGCTTTCGAGATCGAGGATGAGGTTCTCCCCAACCTCCGCGAGTACGCTCTCGCCAACTCGCTCTTCTGGGCGCTGGCTGAGGGTCACGCTTGCGAGCAGTCTGCCCGTCAAAATGCCATGGACAACGCTTCCAAGAACGCTGGAGAGATGATCAACAAGTTCCAGATTCTCTACAACCGAACGCGTCAAGCTGTCATTACTGGTGAACTTGTCGAGATTATTACCGGTGCAGCTGCTTCCGAGGGTTAAGCGCTCTAGGAGCTTTAGACTTGATATCCTGGGAATCTGGTTCCATCTCCCTCATGGGCTGTGTAGAATAAACCTCTGTTCATAGCTCCTTTGTATCAGCCAGTTCGTGGAGATTGTTCATGGTCTAGATCTTGTGTCTGCGTGCGTCATGTGTGCTTCTTGACCGCATATACGCCACGGCGTCTACGTCACACCTGGGCAGCACCGTGCATGTATATGGCGTATCCATCACGTGCGTCACCCCTCCTCCTTTGTGGTTGCAGACATGTAGGCTAAATGTATCCTTGGAGGGTTGCCTATGCGGAAAGCGCATCATTCTCGTGTAATCTTGCTTTACCCCTCGTCATGGGCCTCTAAATCGGCCACCTGAAAGTATTTGCGAATTGTCTCATTTTTCAATTGGATGTACCCAAAACTAATGTACGGTGTGAACTCCGGCAGAACCCGTGCGCCCAAGCTATCTACGCACGCAGGTACCAGCAACCAAAGAATCTTGTGGCCAGGTGACTATACCACTACTCAGCAATGCGGACACTATGCACACCAGCACTTCTGACACTGCAAATCAGCAGTGCATACAGGGTGCTTCAAACCTTCTGCATGCTTTAGCCCGTTGTGATGCGGTACCTGACCCTCTCAAGCGCAAGTTTCGTTTCACTGACAAGCTACCCCTACCCTTATCGAGACCTGAAACCAGCCGTCTCTCTGAACACACGCTCGCTGCAGGAATAGTACGTCAGGGCCTCAGGCACCTTATAACATGCCCTACTATGGGCGTTCGCATTGCTTTTATTATCCGTCGCATTGCTTTTATTGTCGTTCGCATAATTCTCCACAGAGTGCTCCGGTAGCCGCAGTATAACCAATCATTTTCACAGAGCTGGCTTCACTTCTTTCATTTGATGAGGCTGCGCTTCCTTCTTTCTGTCCTGTCTCTATTCTAACCACCTCTCGTCCAAGCGCACGTTCCCAACCATCCTTTCCTCGCTGCGCTTTCTTGAATTTCGATCTGGACCGACTCTCTGCGACCGACAACTTCAAACGCTTGAGCAACATGTTGGCGCAGGCTAGAATTAATACGTTGAAGGAGAAGATGAAGGTTCTCAAAGATCTATACACGAGTCGCCGCTACACACAGTGCGCAAATCTTGGAGAGCATCTGCTGGGCGAAGTCGACGACAAGGTACGTAGCGATGCACATGACATGGCCCACCTTCCTTGTGTTGGGAGCTGGCTGAGGTAGACGTAAAACGTCGGAAGCAAGAGCTGACCATCAACAGGTTCATCCTGTACATACCGCTTACTTAAATTTCTACATTGCACTCTCTCACGACACACTGGCAAGAGAAGCGACCCTTAAAAATCGCTATAAAGAATTGAACGCTGCGGAGAAGTACTACAAGGAGACTATCGTCGCTCTTGCGCCACCCTCGCCGTCTTCTACTGCACCGACCGTGGACGACGAGCAGCCCATGACACCAGACTCCGCCACCATTCCAGACGAGCAGGCTTGGTTCCGACGATTGTCTAGAACGAGATCTTTCGACTCCACTAGCAGTTATCGCAGCTCGACCTCAAGCACGGCTTCCTACGCCTTTGACTTGGAGCAGGACCCAGATCTTACGCTTAGGAATTTCCGCTTTCCATCACCACCCGGAAAAGATGCGAATTGGGGCACGCCTGTCGAGTCTAAAACCCTATCACAGTACTTTAGCAACGACAGTGTGCTATCACCGCTATCATCCGAGCAGGTGCGATCGAAACCAGGGGTCCGGCTACCGAATGGCACCCCCGCCTTTATTCGTATGGTAGAGGGTCACCTTGCTAGTGTTAAAACTCTTAAAGAGGCTACTGGTGTACGGGGTGTCCGATTCGCCTTCCCAACACCTTCTCCCTCGCCCACAAAGTCGTGGTTTAGGGATTCGAGGAGCAGCCCCCTATCAGAAGAGGAAGAGAGGGAAAACCGACGACAGAAGAGGAGAAATGTGACATTCCGACCACGCTTTGATCCTGAGAGCGTGCGGCAGCTGTGCAACGATGCACTGGCAGAGCTCTGATCAACGTCGGAGCTACATTTGTGTCGGTCGCTTTCCAGTACCCACGTACACGACAGTGAAGACGCGCATGATGAACGCACAAGGAGGTATTTCTCTACCAAGATTAACAACGATGCACATGTTTTATACGATTCTCTTTTGTTTATTCAGCAAGGTGTCCCAGGAGGATGAAGTCTCATATACCCCGGTTTAAAATCTTTTGGTTGGCTCTCTTTGTAAAGCTACGATTTCTGTATATCCACGCCTTGGATGCGAACTTCTAGTTGTATTAGTATAAACAAGCTTTCTCTTCTACACTGCACGTTGCTTCAGAGTCCCCTGAATATGTGAACCATACTTCATTTTCCTAGGTACAAACCCTTGAGAAGGGCATTCGCAAGTCTCACACGTGATGATTGGCACATGAAGTGGCCTGCTTGAAGGCTAGATGGATGCATAGTATATTCATATGTTGAACCCCTCAATGCATGCTCGTAGGCAGTGTGACAAATGGTCTGATCGGTGAAGAAGAAAACTCGCTCCGTGATATCGTACTTTTTGAAACCCGCCACCGTAATGCCCTAAACGCCGTTGCAATGCAAGCTCCTCCACACTCCCGGATCTTATAGATATGCTCTATTTCTGCATCTCATCCAACCCCCTCTTGATTCTCTGACACTTGATCTTAAGAAGCTTAACACTCTCCAAGAACAGCTCGTCACTCTCCCACTGTCCTGTGCTCTCCACCTTGAAGATGAAGTGATCCCGTATCCTGCCTAGCTTCACTTTGTCCTTAAACTCGGGATGCCTTAGGCACTCTCTGCTAACAGTATCGTTCATGGCGTTCTCGACTACAGCTTTTGGCTCGCCTTCCTTGCCTTCTAGCTCAGCATGTTTCTGGGTGTCTTCGGAGGTGACTTTGTCGAGTTTGATCACCCCGCGGGGGAAACAGCGGGCGAATTTCTTAGCGTCTGCTCCGATGATAGGCTTCGTGATATCGATGGTAGGCATAAGGCGGTACGAAGCAGTTGCTACGGGCGAGAACTTTGCGTGGTCTTGTCCGATGCCCTTGATGGCGTGCATGCTCAAGGCTATGCTCTGTCCAGGTCTCATCTTGGCGATGAGAATGTCCGGGTTTGTAGATCGAATCTCTTTTCCTTCGCTATGCGCAAACACGTCGTTTTGGCGACCATGAGGCTCAAAGACAATATCTTTAGCGTAGACATTGTGACCGACGTAGAGCTTGTCGGGGTCGGTTTCTCCGGCTACTGCTCGCTGTAGACCGCCGTCTTGCCATTTGCACTCTACGTCAAGTCGTAGTACTACCGTGTTATAGTCGGCAGGTGTTCCTGAGCCTGCATCGTCGTCTGTAGGTTTCTTGTACCATTTCATCCAGCGTAGACCCTCGCGGTCGCCGCACAAGGGGATCAGACCGAGGCGGTGGGCGAGCACCTCGTCTTGAATAATGGATGTGTTTTGGTAGATGAAGACGTCTTCTATGGCGAGGGTAGGGATTTCGGAGAGGAGAATCCGGCGAAAAGCGTTGGCAACCGAGGTGTCGATACCAGTGAGAGAGAATTCAGTGTTATTGGGGGAGTGCTTGTGGAAGCTAACGTTGAAGTTCTGGGTCCGTGATTAGTATAAAGCCAGATATATGGGTGAGTTTTGTGGTCGCGCATACATTCTTGAAGTACTCCAAGTCCCATTCATGGTTCTCGCCAGGCCAGTGTCCTGGAAAGTCGGTAGACTGCTGGTTGGTGACGGTCTCTGGACCCACTCCAAGCGTCTAATCATTGCATTAGCGAGAAGCAAATGGTAAATTCCAAGTCGCGTAGGTACCTTGCGCTTCATCAGCTCCTGTGCACTCGGTGTCGACATGGTTGCGGTATTAAGGTCAAGTTTGGTGTGCTCGGTGGGGAGCACTTTCCATGTTCACAAAAAGTTCGAGGAAGGCGCCGGCGCGCCAAGACCCACCCAGCCAATGGCGGTAGGCTCAATCTGGTAGCATCATCGATATGAGGAAAGCTCCCCTCCAACGCCACGACCTCACTCTCCACTCTACACGCCCATTGAGGCCCATACATCGACGTAGGGAGAGATACAACCACCATGCCTGTCTCCTTTGCGCGTCTGGCCGGCCCCGCGGCGAAGCGAGTGTGCCTCAACGCCTCCCGACCCCAGCTCCGAACCGCAATCCCTTCACGACCCATTGCGCGATGCCTGTCGACCACATTCCCCCGCCGATACGCTGAAGTCGAAGAGAGCCAGCGGACACGATTGGTGGCGACCGATTCCAACTTTGGTGGCGTTGCACCGGCCGAGACAGCCCAGGAAACGAGGGCTGAGGAGGACGACCATGTAGACACCAGGAAGATCCGGCATTACACGGTCAACTTCGGACCCCAGCATCCCGCTGCCCACGGTGTGTTGCGCTTGATTCTGGAGTTGAACGGAGAGGAGATCGTGCGCGCCGACCCACACGTTGGACTGTTGCACAGAGGAACAGAGAAGCTCATCGAGTACCGCACATACCTCCAGGCCCTGCCCTACTTTGACCGACTCGACTATGTCTCTATGATGACCAACGAGCAGTGCTTCTCGCTGGCTGTCGAGAAGCTACTGAACATTGATATCCCAATTCGCGCCAAGTACATCCGTACCCTGTTCGGCGAAATCACCCGCATCCTGAACCATCTCATGTCGGTTTTGTCCCACGCCATGGATGTTGGTGCTCTGACGCCTTTCTTGTGGGGTTTCGAGGAGCGTGAGAAGCTCATGGTGAGTTTCGTGTGTAGCAATACGGTACATCACGCTTGCTGATTACATGCAGGAATTCTACGAACGTGTTTCTGGTGCCCGTCTCCACGCGGCCTACGTCCGCCCTGGTGGTGTGTCACAGGATCTTCCCCTCGGTCTGCTCGACGACATCTACCAATGGGCTACTCAATTCGGTGACCGTATCGACGAGACTGAGGAGATGTTGACGGACAACCGTATCTGGATTGGCCGTACAAAGGGTGTTGGTGTTGTCTCAGCTGCTGACGCCATCAACTACTCCTTCTCCGGTGTTATGCTTCGAGGATCTGGTGTTCCCTGGGACGTCCGCAAGTCGCAGCCGTACGACGCCTACGACAGGGTTGATTTTGATGTCCCAGTTGGCGTCAACGGCGACTGCTATGACCGTTACCTCTGCCGTATGGAGGAGTTCCGTCAGTCACTTCGTATCATCCACCAGTGCTTGAACGACATGCCAGCTGGCCCCGTCAAGGTCGAGGACTACAAGATCGCGCCACCACCACGTGCGGCCATGAAGGAGAACATGGAGGCGCTTATTCACCACTTCCTGCTCTTCAGCAAGGGTTACACCGTCCCACCTGGTGAGACATACAGCGCCATCGAGGCCCCCAAGGGAGAGATGGGTGTCTTCCTGGTCTCAGACGGTAGCGAGAGGCCATACAGGTGTAAGATTAGGGCACCCGGATTCGCCCACCTGGCCTGCATGGACCAAATCTCAAGAGGCCATTTGCTTGCAGATGCCGTCGCCATCATTGGCACAATGGACTTGGTAAGAGTTCCCCCTGTATCACATGATAACATCGCTAATCCGGGACAAAAATAGGTATTTGGTGAAGTTGACCGGTGATCAAGAAGTAGAAGAAAGGAATAGAAAGGCAGTTGCATTCTGCTTCGAACCGAGTCGGAGCCGCGGGTGTTAGGTGACCAATTGTACATATGGTACTTTGACAATTTCTTGAAATTCAATGACATTTGTATGTTTATCTCATCTCTTCACACCTGTGCATCCACGACGGGAAGTCACTTGAAGAACCGCTGTTGATGAGAGGACCATGCTGGAGGACGATGGTCAGTCAATGCAAATACCACATACAGGAGGGAAACTGAATAGGTATTAACATAACACGCCTTAGCTTGCAGCCTACATTAGCTCCTAATAGAAAAACTTCTAAAGAATGATAGTACTACTTGAAGAAGTGTCTGGTTCTTTCTTTGATAGTACTTGCAAGAGTCAGCCCCACATATTGTCTCCACATTCTGACAACGACAGCTGCTCCTCGACCGAAGCGATCTCTTCTGCTCTTTACCTGCAACATATCTGTCGGTTCCAACTCCCAAAATATTAGTTGTTGCTAACACAACCCATGCATCGCGGCTCCTTTCGTCATCTCCTGAATACCGCGACTTCCCCTACGTCCTACTACCATTTCTACAATTGCTGAAACGAACAATACAGAACCTCACCAATCCTGTATCGTAACTCGACATGGCAGAAACAAAGGCAGCGGAATCAAATCGGTAACTCAGTAATTTAGTGTGTAGACGAAGCATGAAAGAGAAGGACTCGAAGCAGAATTTGATCACCGATGCACCGCTTGTGATTTGTTCCAGCTTGAGCCAGTACCTTGAACGGAAGGCACATGTCAAGACTCAGTTCCACTTGCATACCTCCTGTCCTTGCAGATACGGAATCGTGGGAGTTTTTGCAGCTCGTGCCTTCGACTGGATAGCTAAGTATCTCGACGAGAACCAATTCTTGTGCTCTGGTTGTCTGAATTGTTGCATACTTTAGGATGATCGATTTAGCATATAGTCATGCAATTCGAGCAGAAGTAAGCATAGGGTGAGAATTTCTGGCCCCCACAGGCTTAGGATCATACCTAGGTAAGCATTGACCTGGTGGCGTCCGGACGCTCCTCAGAGGGTACCGTGAGTAGATGCATCAACCACTTGCTAAACATATGCAGTGGAGATGAAACGGCCGATACCTGCCTCAAAACTATTTCTGGCCAATACTTCAGCATGTAGAGTGCAGATCCTCCTAGAACAACTCGTGGCTATTCGGTCCATGTGATAAGCGACGTCGCTCTCTCAATCAGTGTTCTAGAGCTTCAATATTGTGCTCATACTGCAACAAGCAAGCTTCTGAGGACACGGTATAGAGCCGAGCTTTCCGACTTGGGATGCCGCCTATCCTTCCGAAGAACACTGTCCCACTGGCTAGAAGTACCTAGATATCTCAGTGTCAATGCGAACCTAGCTTAATATATGGTGGCGTCCAGGCAACAACGCCGAATACCAACGTGCCGCCCGTCGGTGTGGCTGGGAGTTGCCGCAAAGGGGGCGGCCTCTCAGATCAACACGAACGAGACCTTGGCTCAACTTCCAATGACTCACCTGCGACACGCTACAGTCTTTCTTCATGCTCCAGAATCATCAGCTCCAAATCGCAAATGCTCGATCAAAGTCATTAGAGTCTTCACCCCTTGAGGTCTACGCGCGAAAGCCAGCATGTGAGACGGTGTTCAGGTTATACAGTCAGTTTCTCGCGACCTAGCAGGTGAGTTCATCACAACTTTACGCAAGAAAGTTACTTACATATCCCCAGGCTAATCGCAGATCAAAACTCTCCTTCTTCCGCCAGCCCGATCGTCGAAAGCCCAAACACCTAGCTCGCTTTCGTACATCCAACCACGCCTCCTACCAGGAAGGGACTGCTTGCTCTCGATACACGAACAAGGGAGTTTTCCGCCAATCGTATCCATGCCGACCAGCACCTGTCTCAGGCTTGCCGACCTACCTTCGTATATCCTCACGCTCATCGATAGGATGCTATAAACACCCGCTATTGCTTGAGAACGAGTCGCAATTGGCATGCGGATTCATTCAGAATACACTGCAGGAATCCATGCGTTAGATCAGGGTAGCCGACGTACTTTGTTAAAGCCGTTGCTGTAGGCTTCTCGTTATGTATTGCGTCGGATCATATGAGTATGACAAGAAGGTTGCAGGATCTTGCAACTTGGAGGCATATGGACTGAGGTTATAACGAAAATTAGGCTGACACATTTTGATGCCCATGCAATTTGTGTTCAAGAGGAGCATCTGTAAGGGATTGTGCTTTTCTGGCCGTTCGGTTGATCGCACTCCTCCTGCATACCCTACGCTGGGGATCCACGCTGCGGACTATAAACGTACCAATTGCATCAGCATGCCACCCTCCTGCTCACTTTGCCTGCATCGCGCTTCCCAGCGCCCACTCGCCGAACGTTCGCCTACTGCAGCCGGCGGAGGATGCTTATTCCAACTACATACGGGGGATGGGTTGCGCTATATGTCTTGCGACATCGACATGAAAGCAAGCATGTGGGCGAGTACATAGTTTCGTGCCGCATGTGGTGTGGAAGGCATGTTACTTGTGATTGTAGGTAGTAGGGAAATATTGAAAGACTAAACTGAACGGATCGAGTTGCTGCCTGCTACAACATTCCTCTATCAGTTTCTCATGTTGGTTCATAGTCAGCATGCAATTCGTAGCCTCATTTTCTTCCTATAGCTCGCCCTACAGACCTGGAAATCATCATGAAGATGCTTTTGCTGCGAAAAAATGCTCGTATAATGTATTCTCAGTAACCATAGACTGCTGCGAAATCTGATGTAGTCCTTATGTTTGGGTAGCTGCAGGTGGTGGATAGGTTGCAATCGCTCTACGGCGACTGTGAGATATTGCATGCGCATGCGCATGCATAAGGATCAACGAAATCGTATCATGTGGCATAGTGCCGGCATGCGTTTCCCTCTTGCACTGATCAAGCTTACCTATGTACCTTCACTGTTCGTATAAGCAGCAATCAGTCATCGGCACTGATGCCATACGAAACATTCTAATGGTAGATCCTGCAGGGGCAGGACACCGATAGGTTCACCGTCGCGCGCGGATGTTGCTCGCTGCTCAAAGGTCCTTCATTCCTTGGCACACTGGACGCGAGGTCAGTGCTCGCTCGTCTCCCAATAACACACCCCCAAGCACTCAGACTTATTTAGGCATCCAGATAATTGGTCTCCTTTTGCTATCTCTTTACTTCACGCCTTGCTATCATGGTTCCGGCCGCTCCTTTTGGTCGCTTTCGAGCATCGACACAAACATTGCATCTTCTGCAGCGGCTGAAAGGACTTTTGTGATAGCCAGTTTAGCCTACCGAGATTCGAGACTATGATCTTCACAGTATACAGGTAAGTGAAGTTGGATCGACGCGTCGGAAGCTTCGAAGGCTCTCAGTTGCGCATTTTGGAGGCGGCTGACTGCCTTTTTATACCGTCTCCATTTCCGTAATCCTATCCTCTCCTCAACAAGAGCTAACTCATCCCGCAATCATGTTTCTAGATTCCCGGAAGATTCACAACCTCCAGAAGGCTAGCGACGCGTACTCTGCCCAACGTCGAACGAGCAGCCCGGAAGACACCTGCCCTTTTCGGTCGACCCAAGTCAATTCGGGGAGACTCCACATACAAGTTTCAAGCGTACTATTGTATAGCGTGAATGCGGCGCTATCTCTAGCTCAACACTGGGTCAAACGAGTAATACGGGCGAACTGTCAGTCAACGTGATGGCATCCCCGATGGATACATCGTCCTGAAACGAACACAATCTACTTGGTGATTGAAAGAGCCCCTAGAGATTCTGCCTAGATATTTCAGAGCTAGGTTGCGCATTACCGGCACTGTGTGTTACGACGTTGAGGAATTGATAGATCTGACGACCCATGCATACAAGCGAGGAGACCGCTACACGATCTTGTGGGAGATGTGTACATACGGATAAAGTCTGCTTCATTAGGACTTGCGAATTGAGCGGCAAGCGTTGATCGTAGCTCGGTATTTCTTATGACGGTGGTCGAAACTTGCTTTAGGCCTACGGTGCTGCACACGTTGCAAGAACATCAGGAGACTTGAGTTACACAAGTATTACATAGCAATTCCCGTCTCATATGAGACAAATTGATGTAAGCAGATAGCTACATGATGGAAAAGTAAAAAAAACCCGCCACATTTTTAATAAGTGAGATAAGACCCGCAGTGTACACCCTAAGATAGTGTACCCATCCTGCCTGATGGCCGTAGCTTCGATTTGGAGTATGTTATATGTGTGGGTGCGTGGGAGGATGCCCAAAGATGCGACGCGTCGTGAGGCTGCACTGACGGCGATGCCGCGGACAGAGACAGTGACGTGGTACTCGAGTCGCCCGACGTGCTCTGCTAATGGAGAAGATAGCTCATTGCTTGGTTTTTGCCTTGTCGCTGGTGGGTTCGTTCTTCTTGTCGTGTTCGTTCTCCCCGTTGTGTGTGCTCCTGCGTAACGGAGGGCTGGGTTCCTGGCTTAAGGTTGAGGGCGGAGCAGCAATTCGTTTCTCTATGATACTGTCAGCTCATCCACAGTCTTCTCTCGATGAACAAGACTCATACTATCGTCTCTCAGATCTTTGTTCAAGATCACTGGTTTGGCACGCTTACGACCTGCTGTCATGGTGTTTGTGGAGCGCAAGAAGGACGCGTCTACTGTTCTTCTGTTGGGTGTGAGAGGAGGTAGAGCTTGAGTTACAGAGAACAAAAACCCTTGAAGTATGATTCTAAGTGAGCTGGTGCTGTAGTCGCTGTATGATTTGTGAATTTGAACGGTGGGACCGGCCCCTAAGCGATGGTGTGGCTGAGGGGTAAACAAGTACGATCGATGGTTAAGGTAGGCGACAGAAGCCAGCCTTGCGCTGGGGTTTGATAGTGGGTAAGGCAAGTTCACATTTGGGTTCACTCGAAACAACGCCTGCTCGACTCCTACGCTTACCTAGCAAGCACTGTCGATATGGCGACGCTGTGGGTGACACTCCCCTGCATCAAAGCCGCTCGTGATGAGAGACATGACGACAAGTCATCTCCTTTCGGTACTGAAGATCGAACCCGTGCTAGCTGTCATTAGAGATGTTGCGCCGAGTTAGCGATGGAGTGGCAAAGGTTGCATTAATATCCGGCCTGAATTGTTAATATTAAGCTGTACGGCCGATACGCAAGCCCGTGATGAGTATTTTGGCACGGCATCCTGATACTCTTTCTAGCAGCTGGTGGTGTTTTGAATTTGTTACATGGGGCATGACTCGTAGTGCTGGCTTGGGGATATGGCGTTCCGTTTTCGTCTTAGTTCCAATCGGCGGTGAAGCAAAACAGTCATTCGGCGTCGTCGACGAACAACCGCAACATTACAACTTACTATCCGTCATTCGAAGAACCCACGAAAAAGACCATTGCCTGGAAGTAACTTTCAGTTCGTCAGTAACTGCTACTAAAGGTGAACGACGATCGTGCGTCCTTACCCGATCACAATTGTGTACCAAGGCATTGCGTCTGATCCCATCAGCTGTGCTGACGCAGCCAAGAGCAGACAGAACAGCGGCATGATGATGATTCGAAGTGACTGCTCCTTCACCACATTGAAGGTAGCAATCGGGGCAATAAGAATCAGTATCGCTAACACGTATACGAACGCGTTTGCAGCGGCCGATATTGTGTTGCTGTTGATAAACCGACCATTACTGTCCTCCTCCTTCTCCTGATATCTGCGCCTATACACCGGCAGTCTCATCAAAAGGTCCTGAGAAGGCGTAGCGATAACATCGACCAGAGGATTCAGGAGCCAGTCACGAATGAAGAGCGCCATGGGCGAAAGACCTTCGTCATCCACCGCGGCTAGATTGGACGGGATAGAGTCGCCCTCCTGGCCGTACATCGAAGCCAACTCCCCATTTGCACTGCGCATACCAGTTTTATTGACAAGGCTGTTGATGCGGTATTTGTTCATGGATGCCATCGAAGGCGGCGTCGACGAGCTCATCTTCGGAGAAGTCTTGACAATACGTCCTGCCAACATCATCAGCCGCTGGTGAGAAATATAGTATGTCGATATAAATACCGTGGAGCAGCAGTGAATTAACCAGATCATTCATTACGCTCTTGTACTCAGCCTCGGATGGCGCGGGTTCTTCACGTTGTGCGTTCTTTCGTAGGTAGTGTTCGACTACTCTTCCACATTGGTGGACCTCGCCCTCCACGTGCGCTAGGCATAGTGCCCATTCTCTACCGAAAGTCTCGTGAATTCCAAGTTGTGGACAACCGGCGGTCATCTCGAAGAGTTTACTGTGGTTGTATAGAGCTTCGATGCGCTCCCTAACCGATGGTGCATCATTGATTTGACAAGAGCTGGCTTTCGTTGCCATCGCGATTGACTGGATTATCTGGAAAGGTATGTGACAATTGAAATACCTCTGAAGAGTGATTGCTGTCACCTAGCAGATTTCAGTGCTATAAGTAGTATTCGCTGACAGTCGAGTCCTCTGTCGGGTGGCAGGTGGTACCGCAATGATTCCCTTGGATCTTTTGCCACCCCTTCTTCGTCAAGAGCCTCATGCTGAGCTGTCTGATAAACATGCAACACCACATTGCGGCGCCGAAGCGTAAGCCCAAGTATGCACGAGTAGGCCTTGAAGGGTCGAATCAAAGCTAATGTTTCTTGCCATCCATTACACCGCTTGAGACCATCTCTGGGACCACATCGATCGGACACACACAAAAGCTCACCGGAAATCAGAGTCTAAACATCGTGATAGGCTTGACGGCAAGCCCGGAGAAAGTCAAGGTCGTATACAGCAAGAGACAGCCACGTTCGATATCCATGAGCAGTCAAAGCCGTAGCAAGCGCAGATTGTCGTGGCCTTGGGAGGCTATGCCGATACGTCAAAAGAGCTGACCAGGATTGTGGGATGGTGTGCGGACGTGCATGCTGTGAGAACATCCTCTGAAAGCTGATCGTCACACGCTAGGATCGCTGGCTCGACCCGTACCGATGCGTTCGGGCTAATCTGTTGCTCCTAAGAGAAGATCAAAGAATCGAAGTTGATGGATGTAGAAAAGCAGCATTGAAGCTCTTGAGCTTACCTAGTGCTCCTACTAACTGACAAGCGAACTTTTGAGCCGAAGGCCGCCAAATCTCGCCAACCCCGCCATAAACAATCGTCCTGGGATTTATGCTATCGACTCATGGGTTTGCTCGCTGCATTCCCGGGCCGATAATGTCTTGAAATTGGCTTATCGAGAGTGCGCACATTATATATAGGCAACACTCATAGTGCCTTCCCTCTTCGCTGCGCAAGAGTCTTCCGACAAGGACGGGACGGCTCCTGTTCGTTCGACGTTCGTGTGTACCACCAACGCGCTTTCGCGCCATCAGATGACTCTGCTTCGCAGCAGCACATGCTGTACGACCATGGCGTTACAAGGGCCAAGGTCGACCATGTCTGTCAGATCAATGCGCTCTTGACGATACCTTCCCGAGACGATTGTCATGGAAACTGCATTGAAAGCCCTGCGCCTGGCTATTTGGGATCATGTTCTGACAAACGCTTTACTGGCTTTGACGACATACACCATACTTGCGGTTCGAACAGATCCTTCGATTCTGACAGACAGCGAAGACAACCACTACACCACCAGGAGCCGAATGATATCTTTTGACGACCCTCCTGGATTGAGGACCCATGCATCTTGGGTCTTCAGCGTTGTTCCGGTAAGATTGGCCATCATAGGAGTCTACACCGCCTTTACGCTGAAGCTATCAGCCTTGTCGTTGTCGATCCGCTCACGAAGTGATAATGGTTACCAACTCGCTCATCAACCCAGTGACTTGTAACGTCATCGTGGCTATTTAATCCAGTTCAAAGAACAAGAAAAGCTCAAACTGACTCCCACTGTCTAGACATGCATACTGCCGTCCCTCAAATAGCATGTAAACGTCTTTTGAAGACTTTTGCTTCGTTCCAAGCTTTCTATCAGCCTCTTGATCGTGGGCTAACCTCTTGTGGTGCTTTTTGTTGGATTGTCTTGCGATCAGAACCTATTGCGATGAAGACAATGTTCTACGCGTATACGTTCTCGGCAGTAGTGTCATCGGTTGTAGTACTATGACATATCATTTGCGGGCTAAAGTACCACGACTAACAGCGTCACCTTCATGCGGAGAGTTGGGTTTTACCAAAAGCGCGAGGGGAGAAGAAAACATCATGAAGATCAATTACTAAAGTAGTCAAGGACAACTTTGATGTTTGTCCTCTAGTCACCCAGCGTCTTCTTATCTCTGAGAAACTGCATTGAGCTTACATTAAGATGCAAAAAAAGATATGTAGGTAGAGCAGCTCAGACATGACATCCATTAATCATTTCCCTCTCTTTTACAAGAGCATGCCCGCAGCAGAACCGAACGCCATGATGCCAAACAGCAAAAGCCCGGCTTTTGAAGACGCACCCTGTGTGACACCCACTGCGCTGGCAGCTCCTGTCGAGTCCGCAGCTGAAGTACTAGCACTTGCGCTCGTGTCGCTGCTGGCGCTTGCACTTCCGCTCTCACTCATCGTTCCAGCCGGAGTCGACTGCGCAGCCGTGCCGCTGCCACTACCACTGCTAGCTGCGTCTGGGTCCGTCGAATTCCTATCAATTTGGTCGAAAGGCGGGCTGCAGATAACAATCTCGACCCTCTTGCTCAAGCATTCTCCTAGGTCCAAGAAGCTCTGACCATCGGTGATCGAGCACGACGCTGTGCAAGGAAACGGACTGCCTGATGCGGTGGAGTCGTTGCTTGAACAGCATGCGTACATGTCCCAGAAAGCATGATCGTTGATGTCAGCGTCGTTGCTGATGACACATCCGCCGTTGCGACCCTCTGGTCGGCCGATAGGATAGCTGGATGGTTGCGCGGATTGTTCAGGAGCGACAGAATTCGAGGCACATCCCACTGCAGGGCCGTAGCTGAATATAGACGGGAACTCTGTAGGTTTGGTGAAAGGGCTGGGCGAGGCGTTTGTGTAGGTGGTGTACGAGTAGTTGTAGGTTGTCGTCGGCGTTGTTGTGGTCATAGACGTCATCTTGAACAGTTGTGTTGAATGTGGTGTGAGTGGAAGGGCCGGCAGGGTCCAGTGTTATTTGAAGAGGCTGAAGGCGTCAGAGGGACCAAAAGCAAAGAAACAGACTTCAGCTATGAAGCGACGAACGAGCTGACGCGTCTGGAGAACCGAGCTATATAATGCTAAGGTGGAGAGAAGCGGTGTCTCGAACGCAGGCGGAAGGATACGAGGTGTGACAGGTCATTGATACGAGCTTAGGGGGCCCGGATTTAGAAGGTGAGCGTACCTAGGTAGGCTGCCTTCCTGGTTTCTCCAAATAGTAAGTGAGATCATCGAGGTCTGCAGAGCACTTGAACTTTCCGATACCGAGGCGGATGCAGAAGTTTGAAGATCTTCCAGATAGCGTTCGGCGCGCAGCAAACAAACAAGTGACGTGAATGAATGTGCATGGGGGGAGGCCAGTGAGCGCTTGGATGGATGCGGGGCTGGCTGGCTTAGCGTAGCGGCTTGAGCTCTCCGCTAGCTCCCATTGGTCGCCTGCTTCCAGCACCAAATATGCCTTCTCCAACTTTACGAGACTTGTAATTGTAAACCAGTCTCGATAGCACACTTTAGAGCCAAATGCTTACGCAGCTTAGAAAAGTACAATGATCTCCAGACGGTTTCCAAATCCGATCAAGATCAATGAGAGCCCATGAAGCACAGCGTAAACTTTTTGTTTGTTTCACTGTTCTTATGGAAAAGGAAGGGCTTACACAAGAAACAACGAAGCAATAGGTAAATGTTTTGAACGATTGAATTCTCATCTTGGTATCATAGCTGCTATGCAGAATATAGCACATTAACATCATACTAACATCATCACACTCATGCGCTTCCCATAAAGCACCATCTATGCCTTCTCGTCAATAGAGTGGTGAACACCAACAGTGCGGTCTCCGTGCACACTGCTCCTCCTCATGGTTGGGTCCTTATCGTAGTCCTGGTCAAGCTGGTTCATCTCGTCCTCAGTGTCGTTGAGGTGGTGGAACAGAATCCAGATGATGCAACCAGCAATGAACGACGAAACAGCAAGACCAGCAAACATCCACTGGATCTTGGGGTCGACAACGAGCGGGTTGAGTGCCTCAGAAATAGCAGATCCGAAAGCGTTGGTAAGGAGGTACATGGACTGAACGAACGACTTCATGCTGGGCGGGGCTTTGGTGTATGCGTACTCGAGACCAGTGACAGATGCGAAGATCTCAGAGAGACCGATGAGCATGTAAGCACCAGTTTGAGCGGCAATGTGAATGTTGTTTCCCTGGTGAACGCCATCGACGAGATCAGCGTCACACGCACCGGGATGCGCGTAGCAAGGCCCGGATTGGTAGATGTAGTATTGGATGACGCAAGCGTAAACCATGGCGAAAGAAGCGATCCAGAATCCGGCTACGATACGGTTGATCGGAGGGAACGGAATCTTGTGCTTGCGGAGCGTGGGCATGAGCCACTGGTCAACAATGGGCAAGAAAACGATAATGGCGATGGGATCGAAGTTCTGCATCAGGTCGTTGGGAATACCGTGGCCACGCATTTGACCGGCCTGAGTGACGAAGTTGTTGGAGAAGTTGCCGTAAACAACCCAGTAGATGGGGTAGAAAGCGAAGACCTGGCAAGCGATGAGAGCACGCTTAACTTCATCGACAAAGTGGTCGTCCCAGTTGAGAACCTTGGTCTTGCCCATGCCGGCCTGGTAGGAAGGCTTAGCAGCGTCCATCTTGCGGTTCTTGATCATCAGCCAGATAACGCGGAAAGCATCAGTAATGATGGATCCCTGAGGAGGTCGGACAACGTAGACCTTGCGACCGAGGACGAGGACGAGCAGTCCAACGAAGAAGACGCAGAGGCAAAGCAGGTAAGCGGACCAGAAATCAACGTCACGCTCCATGTAGGGGGTGGCGAGTAGAGACAGAGATCCGGCGTTGATGCACCAGTAGAAGATCATGTAAATCCTCTGGATAGTAATCGCAGGATCAATAATAACTTTCTCGCCAGTCTTGTCGTCATGGCCAATGACCATCTGCCTTCTCTTGTATTGGTCGGCAATCAAGGGAGCGACGTTGGACTTGATACCACCAGTTCCAAGACCAATGACAATGATGGCAACGATGAAACCACCGAGTCCAGCGCCGTGGTCGAGAGCAGCCGGGATAGATGTGCAGGTAAGGATGATAAGACCGACGATGTAGACACAGCAGAAGATGACAATGGTGTTGTACTTTCCAAGGTATTGATCGGCAATGATGGCACCGAGAATGGGAGTGACATAGCACCAGAACTGGAAGAAGGTGGAGAGACCAGTGGCTCCCTGGTGGCCCATACCGAGCGCACCACGACCTTCTGAACCGTCGCGAGGACGCGAGATGTAGTTTTGGAAGATACCGGAAGCACCATAGTAGGTGAAACGCTCACAGAGCTCGACGATGGCGACCAAGAAAGCACTCTTGGGAAGAGGCTCTCCGACCTTGCGGAGGGTCTTCAATTCCTCAGCGGTAGGCCTGATACCGCCAATGCCGTCGTCCTCTTGGATAAAGGAAGCACCATCAGATCCGGAGCCGGTAGTCAGCGCACCGGGCTTCTCGAGGGAAACATGGGCGCCGGCGACGTTGGAGTCGTTGATGGTAGCGCCGTAGAGATGGGGGTGGTGGTCAGCGACCTCTTGACCGTGCTGGAGTGCCTCAGCGCTGTTGAAAGTGTCAGTAAGCTGTCGTAGTCCCGACAGACCCGAGTACAAAAGGGCCGAGGGGCAGGTATATAACATACGCAGTAGTCTCATGGGCGGTAGCCATGGCTTCAAAGCTCAATTGCAACCAAAGACAGAGTCAATGGAAAGTCAGCCCAGAGTGAGTGTAACCTGAGGTAGAAGAGAAGGTCCGGTAACACCTGGAGTCTTAATAGAAGAACGAAGACACCTCCATTATTTAACCCACCCCCTCGTTGAGCACGCGCGGAATCCACCTGCCAGTCACGTATCCAATGGCTCCGACGTTCGCCTCTGTCGCTCAAGGGCTGTGGAACCAAGCACGCACAAGCACTCTCGCCATGACCGATGTAACGTCTTGATAGCTCTGCTTCTAACCAGATAAGCGTAGTCGTCCGGCACAAGGCCTGTCGAAGCCTTCCCTTGGCGGCTTAGTCGCGCCATTGCCCGCTCGGCGTGCAGCTAACCGATTCGCCCCCAAGCCGGAACAGCTGCAAGCACCTGCCAAACGCGGCGATTGCACGCGGCGATCTTACGTTGGTGTTTTCGACAAAGTAGTTGGTTACCACACTCTATCACGCCGTGCCGAGCTGCCGGGCCCTGACCACCGTGAATGCGTGAGTTGTGGTTCGCCCGTTTGCTGCGGCGTTGGACGACCCCAGCACCATCAATGCTCGTATAAAAAACCGCACACGTAACTTTAGCTGCAGTCATGCTAACCGTGCCGCCACAGAGATAGGATGGCATCGGCAATCCTGCAACCAAATAGCCAACGTATTCTATTTGCAATCCAGCTCTGACCGGTCCATAATCTTTTCAAGTCTCCAGCCTTCCAGACACTCATCTGGAAAATTTGCCTGGCCGACCCACCCCGATTGCGGAAAGTAGAAATAGTTCAGACAGTCTCTCCGGGTTCAGGGACCAGGACCGCCGAATCTAACGACCTCGGTTTCTTTCCAAACAGTCCCGAATACACACTAGTTCGGGCGACGCCGAGAGGGAGACAGAGAGATAAGCTTCTGACCCGCAGTGGAGCTGTTCACGGTCGTCTCGCCTAGACACGCTCGATTGGGGATTCAAGCCACGACATGGCCAATGAGTCTGCGAGGATCTCCGCATCGCGCGCTTATGGACTGCTTAGTGGGGAATTTAAGCGGTGGTTGGGTTTTCGATGGTGGTGGACCATCTTTGCTTGGTAACGGTGACCGAGGATCAGGCGAGAGATGAGCGTAAGACGGGGGACATTGCAATCCGACATTGTATATCGCAAGTCTCTTGTCGTGGTAATGACAACCGCGTGTTGCAGGCCATGGCCTTCATGCACATCACGTCCTTCTCCGCTGTAAATGTTACTCCGCCTCCGTCACGACATGCAATTTCCGCCATAAGCACGGCTAAGCTGCAGCGCCCAGACACGGAAGGCGCGGTCAAGCTTTCTTACCGACACACATTTACCTGTCAGCGGCGCAGTGGCGCGCCTGAACGTCGGGTCGCGTACATGTTCCTTGTATAAGCGTACAATCCCCGCGTTAATCCCGGCCCTGCCCTTGGTTATGCGTGGTGCTGGGTGCTGGGTGCCTGTCCCCAATGCTTCCAGAAGGCCACGCCTGCAGGTGCGCGGCGGTAATGGAAGATAGTGACCCACGGCCCAACCCACAGATCTGGAAGCTCGTTGTCCTGGTGCCCACATGAGCTCCATATTATAAACTTGGTATATGCTTGAAGCCCTTCGTGTCGCAGGGCGTGAGTGTGGAGATGTTGCCCACTTGGGCAAACTACCCACACGAGCGTTCCACTCCGTCAGCACAGGGCACTCGAGACACGCGACTATTTCACCCAGTGGCAGCTAGTGCTGTGTTGGAGAGGTTGGTGTAAACGGTCGAGAGATAAGGATACGAAACATGAGTCACGTTTCGCCATCACTTCTTCATTATGTTCAGCTACCTTCTATTCCTCCAATGCATTACAATGCCGTCCATGAAGATTCCATTCTCTACCCGCCATGCATAATTAGCGACCATGATGTCGCCCTAGCCTTTTGATACAAGGGACCTCCCAAACAGAAGAAACATTGACACATACAAGCGTCGGGGTACTGTAACGAAACAAATAATACACGCAGTGCCAGTGGAAGGGAAAAGAGCAATTGCTTATGAAGAAGGCGCAATGGGACCGGTAGTATTGGGGTCGCAGCATTGCTTTCCTCCACCGCAGCTGTCGGGGCATTCTAGCAGACAAGCATCAGGGCCGCCCTTTACGCTGGGGTTCTTGCTGACGCGACCGCCATCTTCCGCGCCGCTGTCGTCAGAGCCATGGGCTGAATGGTCGTGGCTGGCGTCGAGGCAGAACTCAGGCTGGATGGTAGAAGAGTGAATGCCATACTGGTGGAGGCATTCGCGGATTTGGCGTGCGAGGTCCATGTAACGTGCCGAGCCCTCACCCTTGAAGTCAAAGTCGACCTGAACGTGCAGGGATGCAATAAGCTTCGTGTCTGACAGCTGCCAGACGTGGAGATGGTGGCAAGAGACGATGCCGGTAAGGTCGGTAATGTCCTCAGTGATGTCGTCGATGGAAAGGTTCTCCGGAACGGCTTGCAGAAGGATACGAGAAGCAGCCTTGCACAGGGGCAGAGCAGACAGAAGGATGATGACGGTGATGAGCAGAGACACAGCGGGATCAGCATACATCCTCCAGGAGAAGTCGGTGAGCCAGATGAACAGAGCAGTGCCAATGACACCAATGTTGCCAAGAGCATCGCCCATGACGTGTAGGAAGACACCACGCATGTTGAGATCTGCGTGAGAATGACCGTGGCCACCTGCGGATGACTCTTTCTTGGGCTGGTTGTGGTTGTGGCCCTTGTGCTGATCCTTCTTGTTGGTCTTGCCATTTCCGTGAGAGTGGTCGTGTGAGCCGTGGCTCTTGGACTTGGATAGAAGCGAAGTCTGCTCAGTGGGCTCGTCGTCATCTATGACATTATTGTCCTCGTCGTCAGCCTCGTCGTCGTGCGCGCGCGAAGACTCGATAATGCTGTTCCTGAAGGACGAAGGGTGTACGTAGATCTCGTCGATGGTGGCATAGTTGCGCGAGTGCGATCGGCTGTGGCGTTTGTTCTTCTTTCCAGGAGTAGACGAGCGGCGTGTGTCTGCGTCGGATGTGAATGACACACCGTTGGACTTGGTGGGTGTTTGGGTGAGGTTTGACGGGAAGCCGACGCGGTTCTGGGGCAGCACATCCGCGATGTTACCGCTCTCATCTGCGACGGCATGGTCATGCGCGTCTACACCATGAGAGTGACCCTCCTCAGCGTGTGAGTGCGCGTCATGTCCGTGGGAATGGCCGCCGTGGCCGTGGCCGTGATCGTGGAAGAGGAAGAGACCGATGATGTTGGATGCGAGACCGCAAGAACCGACGATAAGAATGACGACGGGGTGCGAAACATCCTGTGGCTCAACGAATCGCTGGATAGCTTCGAGGAAAATAGAGAGACAAAGCGCGACTAGAAAGACTCCGTTGATCAGAGCACCTAGAGTCTCCGCACGTTGCCACTGCTCCTAGTTAGCAGAGCCGTCGCGCACAAGCAATGAGCCCACTCACTCCGTATGTGTATGTCTTTGAGTTTGTCTTCTGGCTAGCCACCTTGACTGCCCACAAGCCGACAAGGAGCGAGATGACATCGTTCAACTGCGCGAGGGGTCAGCATGTGCCTCCGCATTATACGTCGAGCCAGATATACGCACCATGTGGAACGAGTCGGCAACCAGCGCCAAAGAGTGCACCGTATATCCGGCAATCAGCTCGACGAAGAAGAAAGCCGTGTCGATGGCGAGCAGTATCATGATGCGCGTGGATTTGGAGAGCCCCATGTTGGCGGTATCGGAGCGTCCTTCGCGCTGCACTGGGGTAATGGGTTGACGGCGCGAGGGGTGCGATCGAGGCTTCGGGGCCTTATGTACGACGGCGGAAGTGGGTAGGGGGCAATGTCGTGTTGGGGAGTTGGAGAAAAAGGGTTGGGCTCACGGTTCGCAAGGTTGTCGCGTAGGAGAATTAAGAAGCGGAGTGGCGCTATTGCGTCAGGCCTCACCCAGTGCAGACGTACAAACTAGCCATGTTTGCGACTAACGGCCCGTATCGACATGCAATACTTGAGCAGTAACACGCACCCAAAACAACTTTAACCGCCTCACATTGGCAAACTCTCCCTTGTTTCCGCGTATCTGTAGCACGTCCACTGCGCGCTGCTCTCAGTGCGACAACCGCGTACCGAGGTTCATAGCTAAACGCTGCCAATATATCCACAGATACTGGCAAACCTTTCCAAAGCCTTGCCCCGCAGAGTTGCTATGGTTTGCTCCTGTAGCGCGTGCCGCTATGCCGCAGTTCCACAGTGCCACAACTTGAACAGTGAACTCGGCTAGTTGCGAAGGGTCTGAGTTGGGCCCACCGCAAACGATGACATACCGTTGGCGACGTGCCTACTTGAGACATGTTCCAGCCTTGATGATACTCGTCCAACTCGCACATGACTAGTTCTGCACTTGTGCCTGTGGCGGGTGCGCTGACTAAACACATCTGCGCCATAGTGTAGCATGTGAATCAGCATTCGTCTCTACAAACACGCCCATACGTACTACTCGTTACCAAAGTACGTCTTCTCGATGTCTACCCCAACAACCACCGCGAATGTCACCAACAGCAAACATATCATCAAAACCATGACGAGCCCTACCTCCCACCCTCCTGCCATGGCCTTCCCTCTCACAAGCGCCCTCTGTAGCCGCCAAAACCTGATTGCCCCTACTAACACCACGACAATAGCCATGCAGATCAAGGTTGCTGCAAGCGGTTTCCCGACCTTGTAGAAACCAAAGTGCGGGTTAGGCGTAGCCGAATGCTGTAAGTGGAAGAGCTGAGCGGTCAAAACTCCTGTCATGACAAGGATAAGGGAGGTACGGAGGTAGCCTAGGAAAGTGCGTTCGAGTGCTGAGCGCCTCATTAGCTGCCGAAACATCCAAGAGTGGACAGGGAAGGGGATATACCCAAATGATCTCTGTGCGCTCCTTCGTCGATGCTCAGGCTAACGTGTGCAGCCCAAAGTTTGACAACTGGGTCATACCACCGCTCTGTCCTTGCTACTTCGTCTCTACCAGGCCCTTCCTGATACACATTGACCTGTGCACTTGTTATGCTGATGTCAGAAGCATGGCGCCTGAGGTCCTCTGTTGAGTCATTTGTCGAGCTGCGCAGCAACGCATTGCGCGATCGTATACTGTTGAGACTAGGTATCGCACGCGGTTCATTCAGTGTAGTAGTTCTTTCGCGACGTACGGGTCCCAACTCCTGCGAGTAGCGCTGTCGCTCGTAGCGCACTGCAACTTCTGAGTCAGGATGTGGTTCTGCATGGGCGCGATCATGGAGAGCCGCCGCAGGTAGGCCAAGTGGTGATACAGCGCGAGGTGGTGCTGGAACGCTCATGGATCCGGTCTGCATGCGTGACACGAGAGTAGTAGTGTGGAGCTTAAGAACATAAGACCAGTCATGGTAGCAACCACGTAGAACGCATGCGATGCTATCTGATAACACTTTCTTCGGAAAAGAGCGGGAGCGGAGTTGTTGCTACCTAGGGGAGTGAATCGAATGGGCAGGAAGCTTGGGGTTGTGGGGATGCGTCGGCACGTCGGCCGGACCATCGCGCATGCTCTTGAAGGTTGAAACCGCTTGCTATATGGTAAATTCCAGGAACATCGATGGTGGACAGTTATTAGAATTACGTCTCTAGCTACAGCAATACCTCGTTATCGTTACATCGTCCTCGCGCCAAGAACTGCATTACACAAGAACGAGCCCGCCTACCACCACGACAGCAGCGACGTACACCTGCTCCATAACCCCATGTGTCGCTCTTGTCGCAGCGCCACTCGAAGTGCTCGAAGGAGCAGCATCTGTGCTCGATGGCGCTGAGGTACTCGTGGAAGAAGAAGAAGCCGTAGAAGTAGGAGCACTCGCCGATCCAATCTCATCAACATCGTCTGGCGCATCGTACAATTCATTCCCATCACTCGCCATAGTCCATCCCAACGCAGTACCATCACTGCTCACAGCTTTTCCACGTACAAAGCTCTCCAACTGTGCATCGGAAAGGTCGATTGTTGTCTCGAATCCTGTCCTCCTTGCCACAGTGACATTGGTCCAGGTACGTGAATCGCTCGCATTGGCCGTGCATACAACCCAACTTTCGACCTCAGTAGCCCCGTTCCAAGAGAAGAACGCCGTGTTTCCGTCTTGATCCCAGTGCACGTCCGGCTTGGTGGATGGTTTTCCCTCCCATTGCTGGCGATACGCGCGGTATGCGTTTACAACGTTACTTTTGCCAAACTGTACGTCAAGAAGGATGTTGCCTTGGTGATCCAACTCGGTGAAGAAGGGCTGGCTGCCGAAGCCAAGCATGAAGTTTGTGGTTCCGTTAGAAGGGTCGATGGCTTGCAAGCTGCCTTCGAATGTTGCAAAGGTCTTGCCTTGGTTGGCGAATTCAGTAATAAGTTTGACGGTCTTTTCGTTCTGATTGACATCGAGCAAGAGACCTCGCGAATAGCCAATCGTCTCGGTGGGTCCATTGTCAAAAATAGTCATGCGAGTTTGGTTGTCGTTGAGCCAGCGAGCATCGTGTTGGAAAGCGAAGTTGGCAGCCGGGTCAACGTCAAAGTCCGATTGTTTACCTTGAAGGCGCCAGATGATGCTTCCGTCTTGTCCAGATATCTTGTATATGGCGTCCATGACGCGTGCTGAGACTAGGTAATCACCGTTGCTGTCCTTCTCGACGGAGTTTATATGGAAGTAATCCCACGGCGCTTCTTCGGATTGACCAACCTCAGACGGGAGAGAGTTGTACGACTCGTTGATTCCAACATGAGTACTGGCATTCCACTCAAAAATAAGCTCTCCAGTCTCGATGTTGATTTCCTGGAAAGTATTCTCGAACAGCCAACCATTCTCGATACCTCCGGATGCAGTCAAATCCCATGGAATGCCATGGTAGATCAAGACAAGCGCGGTATCGTCAGCAGTGATGTCGAACTCGTGGATATCGCCCATTTCATCTCCGAAACGGTTGACCTGAAAGTGCGCTATCTCGTCATAGCTTTGGTTGAGGATATGATATGAGCCTCGTCCGTAGCCGTTCAGTAACTCTCCAGACCAGAGTGTAAGTACAGGCTCGCCCTTGTACGTCTGCGTCTTGAAATCGAAAGGTTCGCTGTAGTTGCCGGTCCATACAAGTGACCCCATGCGATCGTCTGAGAATTCTGGTCACACGAATTAGTATATGAAAACAGCGTTACACGATCGACCTGGCGCGGCTGAAATGCATGGCTTACACGTAAAATCTAATTAACTCCCTGGAAAAAAGAGAAACATACCAAATATTGCTGGCCAATTCTGCCCACTCGTAGGCAGACCATTGATCCCCAGGAACACAAGTCCGCTCTGCAACGCTGTTCCATTTCGATTGATCTGCATCTGCGGTGGCTTCACATTCGTGTTCGACATGTAAGTTTGGTACGGCGTGCCACTCGGATTAGAAGCTCCATAGCTGTCGAAGTCATAGCTAACAGAATCCTGTGCAGTAACAAAGGGCAGTAACAGAGACGACAGCTTCAGCAGTGACAGGCTAGCTTGGGTAGCGACTGAGTGGGCGCTGTGCATCATGACGGCGCATACGTAACGATCGATTAGAACCAGATGAGAGCGAGGAAAAACCAGCAATTAGGGTATCGAGAGCACAAAGAAAAGTACAAGCAGGCTGAGAGCAGGAAGGAAACACAAGTACCGAAAGGCGGCAGCCCATGATGTACCCCGGTAAGGGTGCGGCTTGTTGGATTCCCAGCTCATCTCCTCAATCCGGTCTGTCGATTGCTTACACTTGGCCCGGATAAGCAGACAAGCCACGCTTACTAGGCCTAAGACGCGTTCTTGGGCGCCCGGACAGGTCATGGGGGATGCGATCTTCTAGATGCAGCTTGTAGACAGCTGCAGGGTGTGGGGCCGCGCATTGACATAGTACCAGACTTTCCCATCCTACAAACCCTCCATTACACGAGCAGTAATGCTGGCAATTCGTTAATCACGTCCATACAGCAGATTTCCAGAGAACAGACGTAAGCTGGATAGCTTTATTGTGACGCGAGATAGACAACAAACGGGACTTCGGGAGTTAGGCGTGCCAACGGCTCACGCTGCTAGTACGGCTGATTGTGCCGTACGCCACATATCAATGGCGGTTGGTGCGTCAATCATACTGGGAATATGATTCGTACGTTACCGCCACAGTCTTTCACTCTCGCTTATCGGTTTCCCTGTTTAATGAAAGATTAGTGATGGCTAGAACGGCATCATATCTCCACGCACGTGAGACAATTTCTTAACACGGCAAGCATATTGTGACGCCGCGTCACAATGAATTTATCTGGGTCAGAATAGCGTTTTGACCTCTTGGTCTGCTATGCAGACTGACTCTATTTGCTCATGAACTTGCTCGCAATGTTGAGCGCGCTGCCGAGAGCGCCTCCAGAGTTACCACCGCCGCTTCCACCGCTGCCTCCGCCCATCTGCGATTTCAGATAGAACTTGAGAGCCATCTGTGCAGCCTGAGCAATGGCATCTTGCTTAGTAGCAGCCGGGTCCTAAGTATGTCAGTAAAACACTCAAATGTGTAAGGTACACTTAAGACCTACAGTCTTGCCCTCGCTTTGCTGCTTGTCGAACAGCTGGGCTGCCTGACCCATGGCCATCCCGATGAACTTGTTCTGTCCACCCTTGGCATCCTCGTTACTGCCGTTGTTGAACATCTTCATGGCTTGCATAGCCGCAGCAGCGCCGACGTTGTTTGAGCTGGCTTGCTCGTTACCGCCGTGGCCACCACCGCCGTAGAATTTCTCGTGCTGCTTGACTGCATCGTCTTCATCTACATCCTCATCCTTGAGCTTGTCCTTCTTGCCGGACAGCATACCGAGGACGTTGCTAAACAGATCGTTGTCGCCGCTGTTTCCAGACTCGCTCGAAGCATGCTGGGCCGCACCTGAGAAATCGTCCGAGGCACCACCATAGCCACCGCCGCCGCCGTAGGATGTGCCCGAAGAGTGTTGACCTCCGTGGCTACCTGATCTGCCGTACCCTCCAGTGTTGCCTCCATAGCTGCTGCCTCCGGATGGGCGGTCATTATAGTCGTCACCACCTGAGTAGCCCCCACTGGGACGGGACTCATGGCGCCTGTCGTCACCGTAGCCACCGCTCGGGCGGTCATTGTAGTTGTCGCCACCGCCTGAGTAACCTCCGCTTGGACGAGACTCTTGACGTCTGTCGTCGCCGTAGCCTCCGCCTCCAGAGTAGCCTCCGCTGGGACGGTCGTTGTCGTATCCTCCACCCTCGTGTCGTCGTCCACCGTGGTCTTCGCGTCTCTCATCACCCAACGCTGGACCACCGTAGCCGCCCTCCTGTGGTCTTCCATATTCTTCTCTACGCTCACCACCACCACCACCGTAACCGCCAGAGGAGCCATAACCTCCTCCTCCGCCTCTCCTCTCTTCGTCGCCTAGAGCAGGCCCACCAAAGCCACCTTCCTGGGGTCGGCCGTATTCTTCGCGGCGGTCACCGCCACCGCCATATCCGCCCTGCTCGTGTTCGCGACGGTCGTCTCCACGACCACCATAGCCAGACTGCTGGCCGTACTCGCGGCGATCGTCGTTGTATGACATGTTGAAGGTCTAGAAGTCTGCTTTCCCGTTAGCGATGCCAGAATGGAGAACGATTGACTGCTAATGCTCCCACGTCTCTTAAGCTTGCTCGGAGCTATGCGACGCGAACATGCAAGTAGAGAAGGTTGTAGGTCATTGATGAACATGGGAGAGCAATGACTTACAAAACGTTGAAGAAGTGAGGGTTGTATGTGGATTGAGAGTTGGCAAAGTTTGAATGTGCAGATGTGTGTTGAGGAGGATGTCAGGTACCCAAGTGGCAGCTATAGCTCTTGTCGGCCTTGGAAGTTGCTTGCCCCTCCAACCAAGGCGCTGCCCCTCACTACTGACGTACAGCACCCACTACGCGGCAAGCTTCCCTGTCATGATTCGCGCTAGTGTTACAGCAACATGCACATCACGTCACGTCGGACAATTCAACGATTAGCGGTCAGCGTCGTCAGGGTGCGATTCATGTCTGCTGCTACAAATATAGTATCAATGCAATGTTCGCTGCATTGTGATGTCGGAAGAGAGCTTGGATCCATGACGTGACATTCACAACCAACCAACCTCATCCTATCCCATCGACCTTTAGTAGTCATCGCTCCTCCTGTTCGAACCCCCATACCCAGAACTCTCGCGGTCATTGGAGCCATAGCTGTCCTCGTTCCGGCGTTCAGAACTTCCGTACGAATCATTGTCGTCACGACCCGAAGAGCCACCATACCCAGAAGAAGTGTTTCCTGAGCCATAAGTCTTGTTGCTTGAGCCGAAGTCATCGTCGTTGGTTTTGCGGTTAGAGGAGCTGTACGAGTCGTCGTTGTCACGGTTCGATGAGCCGTAGCTTGACTGGTTCTTGCTTCCATACGAGTCATCATCATCCTTACGGTCTGATGAACCGTAGCTTGATTGATTCTTGCTACCGTACGAGTCTTCGTTGTCATTGCGGTTCGAGGAGCCGTAGCTGGACTGCTTGTTGCTTCCGTAAGAGTCCTCGTTGTCGTTTCGGTTCGAAGAGCCGTAGCTGGATTGCTTGTTGCTGCCGTATGAGTCCTCGTCGTTGTCATTACGGTTTGATGATCCATAGCCCGAAGACTTGCTCTCTGAACCATAGGTGTTATCGTTGTCATTACGACCCGATGAGCCATAGCTTGACTGTTTGTTGCTACTGTACGAATCGTCGTCGTCATTGCGCTTCGATGAGCCGAACTCGGAGGTCTTGTTGCCAGAACCATACGAGTCGTCGTTGCGATCGGAAGAACCATATCCTGATGACTTCTTCTCAGATCCGTAGGTATCCTCGTCATCATTCCTGCGCGTAGAAGATCCGTAGGAAGTGCTGTCGTTGTCATTCGATCCATAGCTGGACGTTTTGTTGCCGTAAGAGGAGTCATCCTGATTGTTTCCATATCCAGAGGACTTAGACCCGTACTCATTGTCGTCACGGTTGCTGCTACCGTAGCCTGAGGTACGGTCCTCGCGATCGTTATCGTTGTAAGACATGGTGATGAGAACTGGTGTTTGTTTGGAAGAATTGAAGATTGAGAATCTATTGTGCAGAAAGAAGTCGGAGCTTGTTGATTGCTGACGATTATGGCAGACATCCTACCTCTTTATGTACGCTCTCTCGGACGCAGACCTACCCCTCTATCACCCCGCAACACCAAAAGCAGGTTTGGTGTTGGTTCTGCCGTCTTTGCTCCATTGCTATCGCTGCGACCCCTGTGAAGCTGAGCCGTGAGCTAAGGACCGCTCTAGATCTCGGCAAAGTCCGAATGCGCAATGGTTCCGCAGCAACTCATCACCAAAAACGTCATGGTAAACATCTGAGTCTCCATCGTGGCACCGCAAAGCCACCGCACAGATATGACCGAGCAACGTACTAGACTTTCGGTGTGGCCTTTCGTAGCGCAGAACAACCTTTGCAGCTACATTAGCACGACCGCGAGCGCGCCGAAGCTGGATTTGCGGGATTAATGTAGTGGCTGAGCATGATGTACTGTGTTCGGACGTATCTGGTGTGTTGGAGGGGTAGATTCCAGATGGGCGAATAGAGCGAGAACGATCGGACACGGGATGGCCGACGGGTGGGACATCAAGCACGCAAGCGACATGGGTTGCGAACTTCATGTATGAAGGATGAGTATTCCAGCGGTTCCGGAGATGCTCAAATGAAGAGAAGCTAGTGACGATGCAGAAGAGATGAATGGTGGTTGACAAATTACCTAGGTATGTATGGTCGCGCTAATTTGGTAGTTACACGCCGGTCCTTGCACGTAAGAGATCATCCAGAGTTGAACGAACGCAACCACGGATGATCAGAGTTAGCTTCTAAACAACCAATGTTGTGAGTTATCTCGCAGGTGCGCGATGCCCATAATGGTTTCGTTCTGAACCCTCAGCCTTTCGAGCGTTAACATCAGCTCCGGCGCCTACCATCCTCGCCATCTTGACCAAGACATTCATCCTACCACAAGTCCAATATGTGTCCGGCTCTGCCATCTTCATATCTCTTGGCGTGCATATCTGGTACGGATGTACTTCATTAAGCCACTACAGTTAGTCCGGTTGCACGATAACTTTGATCCGTCCTTTGGCGTCTTCTCTATTCTAGGTCAACGAACGTAACGGATTAAGCGGTACAGAGCTTTGGTGTCGTTGATCATCTGGATGGTTCTGTGCGGGGTGGTGAGAGCAAACAAGACTTCAAAGATGATGATGGCGATGAACGCCACTGAGGTTCAAACGTGATGTACACTTACAGTTGTAGAACGCATACCTTCACCACTTGCTGTAAACGAAGTATTCGCTTTACTGTGTTGCCAAGATAGAATTAGAGTACCTCTGAGCTACTTGCCCTGTGTAGAGACTCATTTCTCCTGTTACACTATTCTCTACAGTTCTCAACTAAGGCGTTAGGCATAGTCTCTTGTAATCCACTGATAGCACACTTGAACTTTCCTACGATTGTCAGTTGACCGAGAGCTTCAGCAATCGAAAGCGCTGTCCTGCCATCTTCTGTGAGGGTAGATACATCGGCATCCCAATCGATAAGGATATCAACAATGCTCTCGTGGTCGTTCTCGAATGCCTCAATCATATGTGTCCAATCGTCCGAAGTCCGTACATTACCTAGGTAATATCACAACCACACCCCTTGAGTCTCTTCACTATGTCCAGGTTTCCACCACGACAAGCCCGGTAGAATGGAGTAGCCCCAGAAGTTGAAGGAATATGTAGGTCAGCTCCATGCTCTAGCAGCGTCTCCAGTCCCTCGAATGCACAGTAATCAGCAGCGAAATGTATCGGAGGCTCTCGGAAAGTGCCGTTCAGAAACTTAGCGCACAGGTGAGGAGTTGCACAGCTACCTCTCTTACGGTCACCCAATACTGCACCCAAGGACTGGTATCGCATTTGCGATCCTAGCTTCCAGCAGCTTCGAGGTACTAGAGTCTTCAAACGACCACAAGGACATTTTCAGCTGAAAAAAGAATTAATTCAAACTACCTAGGTACGTACGTCCTTCTCATTTGCAAAGACCATCACACATCCTTCAGTACCTTTCCGCAGGCAGCACCTCTTCGTTTACTTCGTTTCTCTCTTCAAACGCCTCCACCAACCCCTTTGCTTCCCCCAAATCCTCGATAAGTATGCTGACATTTTGTTTCGCCATTAGCAGAACAGCGTCAAGTTCCTTCTTCTTAAGAGGGCCCTGTGCTGCTCTTCCAAACAGCTGAGTCTGGGCCACATAATCTCCTGGCTTATGAGAGTGCAGCAACTCATCCTCTCGAATAGTAGCATCTGAGCCACGTGAGAACATGTGAGCAAGCCGACCACGACATGCTTTGCGTCTCCTCTGGATATCGTTAAGTGTGCGCCACACCTCTCATTCGCGCTCCCATCATCCAGCCAGAACCTTGTTGCTGAAGTCTACTATGCGCTTGAGTTCTATAACCTCTTCCTGCAGGCTGAGATTCTGTACATCGAGTTCCCTGACCTGGAGGTGCTTGTTCTCCAGATTTGTGCTAAGTTCTGGAATGAGGTCTTCTTCTACGCCAACGATGCGATCTTGGAGACCGTAAACCGCAGTGTGTAGCTTTTGGACAAGACGCACGTCTAATGGGATCGCCGACATGGCATTGCTGCGTGGTACAAGATTGGGAAATGGTGGAGGATATGGAGGAGCCGAATCGTAGATGACATCGTAGTGGAGGGCGAGTTCGGACGGTGTCAGTAGAGAACAGAGAAAGGCGAAGACATGCTCTGGCACACGATCAGGGGGTGACGGTGGGCGATGATAGGGATCATGATTGGAGTCGTCACTAGAGCCCGATGACGAAGAATAGTAACCTGGTGGTACACCATTAGTTAGCTGAGGTGGACTCTCTTCATTACCTCCGCGTAGTGGCCAGTCGGAGTGCGGGGGAGAACAATAGAGAGCGCTACTTGAATTCGAACGATTGTGATATCCAGCATTCACGCCATTAGGCAGTGACTGTTCCTCCTGTTGTTCCTCGAGTTGTCTAAACTTTTCCAGTGACAACGACCGGTCCGCCTGTCCAGACTGAAGACGGTCATGAAACTCACTCCCAGCACTTGGGTGGCTGAAATTTGGAACAAGACCAGCGTCCTTCATAGTAACAGGGTAAGAGTTCTTGTCAAAAAGCTTTTGATCAGCAGAGGTGAGACTACGTTCAATTCTTTCTCTGACTCTTGCTCTCATGACTGGATCGACGGCTTCATTGCGTATGATACTGTTGAGCGCTGAGTTCCATGTTAGCCGTTCAGGCTGCTCGCTTCCGGTTGACAATCGGATTTCTAGTCTTCTCGAGGCATTTCCTTCAGCCTTTTTCTGTGAACAATCTGATTGAGTTGGTGTGGAAGAGAAATCAGCCTGCGGTACCGAATCAATATCAGTCTCAGGGGCATCCGTCAGGTGCGGTGGGGCATCAGGTGTGAATATCGTCGGTAGGATGCATGCTGAGTCAGGTACATCCACAGTGGCCTCTTTGCTGCCATCAGCGTATACGGAATTATCCAAAGGGAAGTCCATGAAGCCATCCCATTCCCTAGTGCCAGGGGTGATCGGTCCCCTTGGTGGAGATGGGGGTCTTGGGGAAGACGGAGTCCGCATTAGAACTTGTGCCCGTGGAGCTGCAAGACTCCTGCTGCGTTCTTTCCACCGCCGCAAGTTCTCAGCGTTTTGTTTGGCCGTCAAATACTCACTCGGCACGGGTCTCGGATACTCTCTTTGCTCTATCTCATGAACCTTATTCCGCTCTTCCCACTGTCTTAGATTTTCTGCGTTCTGTGACGCGGTTAAGTATTCACTTGGCACAGGCCTTGAACGTGGCTTCTGCTCACGCTGCGTCTTTGGACGCCTTATTGGGGCTCTGTGCACCTCCTGTCTAAGCTCTCCTCCCAGTGGGCCAGCGCAAATCGGCTCTACATCAGAGGCCAGCATGATGCTGTTGAAGAAAAGCTGCTCCCGTGGGTAAATGTGACCCCTGTATGGACCTCTGTCGATAATCACTGGAAGCTCATCAGGCGAATCACTACTCCTAGGCCCCACACGCCCGTCATCAAGGTCGTTCTCAATCTTGTCGCGTGCCCTTCGCCTCTCCTTCTCACGTCGTTCTTCTAATTGTCTTGGTGTAGGAGATGGTTCATGGATCGTGTAGTAATGAGTAGGGCGTCGAAAGGGGTGTTTGAGCCGCTGGAACGATGGCATCGTTGTAGTTTAGGAGCTGGAAACCAGGTGTCGTAGATGCTAGATGATACAAGAAGGCCAGGATGTGGGAATACAGTCCTCGATCATGGGGATGCATGCGTTGTTTGGCAATCCAATTTGTCCGATTGTGATAAAGGGGCGTTTGTGGATGTGTTGGCTGATGGTACGCTTCAATGACAATCGCAGAATCACGCATGACCATGGTGATGTCCGAACACATTTGTCTGCAGTGGAATTGTGTAAGCAGTCAGGAAGTGATTGCGCGGAGACTGGGACGAGCACGATGGAAGTTATGAGAAAGGACACCGTGTGGTGTTGAAGCCAAGGGGTATTATTGCCGATGGCGTTATAAATATACACTACTTGTATTGGAGTCTCTTCCAGTGAGACACTTGCTGTGAAGCCATGATCGTTGTTCGGGGTATGCAACAATCGTAAATGCGCCAGGGTAAAAGAAGAAACCGCTCCATGGCTATGCAACCGCGAGAATGCAGATGAAACGCCCCCATGCCGTGTAATCGTAAACCATAACGCCGAAGAACCTCAATACCTCTTCTTAGCCTTGGCAGCCATAGCCGCCAACTTCTTCTTTCGTTCCTCCTTCTCACGCTTCAGCCGGTTTTCCTCGGCTAATGCCTCAGCGTCTTCCTTCTTAGCGACCTTGAGGGCTATCTGTTCCTCTTCTTCGACGTCCCAGATACCACCTTCCATGTCGGAGGAAGCATCAGAGGCATAGTCTTCTTCTTCGTCTTCCATGTCACTAAGTTCGTCCCAGTCTGCATAACCATCGTAGCGTCCCTTGGCCGGGTTCGGTTTTGCCTTGACGGCTGGCGTGCCGTTCCGACTTGATGTTGCAGGAGCACTCGCCGGACGGGCTGTTCCTTTGTATCCAACTTCGACAGGCTTCTTGGCCGGCCGGGCTGTGCCTTGGTAGCCAACCTCGGATGGCTTCTTCTTTTCTTTCGAGGGATCGGCTTTCGGGTCTAGGACCCTTGAAGGTAATCCAGCAACAGGCTTCTTGCCCTTTGCCCCAGCACTTGCTTCTGCCTTGAGTGCCAAGCGCTCTTTTCTTGACAAGATCTTGGTTGGCTCGTGCTTGATTGGCGGAGCGATGGGCTTCGTCGCGTCCTTCTCTTTGGCTTTCTGAAGCATAGCGAGATACCCCTTCTTGGGTGCGGCGGACGAGGCTGGTGTTGACGTGGCAGGTGGTGCAGGCTTGGGCGCGGGCGCGGGCACAGGCGCAGTGGCCTTGGGTCTGGCAGCGGGTGCATTTGACGACTGTAGAGGCTTGCGGACGGGTGGATTTGCTGGTTTCGATGATGCTGGAGCAGCGGTTCCACGATATGGGACAGCTGTGGTAGATGCGGATGGAGTAGGTTTTGACGTGGCAGGCGACGAGGTGGCACGCGCCACGCCGTTGGGCTGCGCTGGTCCCCCAACAGCCTCCTTCCTCTGTATCTTGACTTGTCCACTCTCAACCGGCCCCGATGCCTTGCGCTTCAACTGAGGCGGCTGCGATGCGCCATTTGCCCCTCCGCTTGGTCGCGACACTGGCCTAGGGGCTCCGGCAGGCGGGGCTTGCTTGGATACGGTCGCCTGTGTCTTCGCGCTCGGGTCGATTATAGACATGATGTCTTTGAGAGACTAAATGGTGCAGTCAGCATGTGAGAGCCGACGTGGATGGAGTCGCCAAACTCACACTCATAGTGGGCAACTGATAAGCGTTTGACTCAGGGCTACCGGTCGTCGAATCGATTGGAGGACAAGTTGTACATGCTTTCCGGGTAAGAATCTCCGGAGTAACTGGTCGTCAGGGACTGATCGCGCGCGCGGAGACGGAGCGAGGCGCACGGGACCGGTCGAAGATTGAAGAGGGGAGCGGCCAGAGAATGAGCGGTCGGCGGCGGCGCAGACAGGTCGTTTTTATACCTGGGCCTTGCCTAGCCCAGCCACACGTGACAAAGCGGGCGATTTGCGCTAGTCGTCTTGCGGTATAGCGCAAGTAGCGAAATCCCACCAGAAGTCAATATTCGCGGACCTCGAACTTTTTCTTCTGAACGACAACCTACAGCAAGAACTTGTAGCTTCAGTCTCCGGTCCCGACGGTACGCACCACTTTGAATCTGCTTCCAGCAGCGCAATACTGACAAGCGCAGGTTAAATCGATTGAACTCCTGTTCCTACAAATCACCAAACCACAATCACAATGAAGCACCTCGCGGCATACCTCCTCCTCGGCCTTGGTGGCAACACCTCGCCCTCCGCTGCCGACGTCAAGGTAAGTCTCATACCGCGCTGTTCTGCGTCTTTGTCCCAATCTAACGTCGCAACAGGCCGTCCTTGAGTCCGTTGGTATCGAGGCTGACTCCGACCGTCTTGACAAGCTGATCTCCGAGCTTGAGGGCAAGGACATCAACGAGCTCATCGCTTCCGGTTCCGAGAAGCTTGCTTCCGTTCCCTCCGGCGGTGCCGGTGGTGCTGCCGCTTCCGGTGGTGCTGCTGCCGCTGGTGGCTCCGCTGAGGCTGAGGCCGCTCCTGAGGCCGCCAAGGAGGAGGAGAAGGAGGAGTCTGACGAGGACATGGGTTTCGGTCTCTTCGACTAAGCGCATCACCATCGCCAAACAAACACCTTCACCTACCTTTACGAAGTATGATCCGGCCAATCTCTCGACTATCACGAGAATCATGCGCAATGAGAACGATTTGGGGAGTGTCGAGCGTGCACTGCAAGGGGCTTGGAGAAGGATACCGCGGCAATAGTAGAATAGTTGCCTGCTGAGATACCCGGAATGAAGCCATGCACCTCCAAGCACTACAGGCAGTTTACCTGCTTTTTGTGACTGCGCCAAGCCTTTATTATAATAGTGATTTGCTTTGAGTGTGGTTCGTAAATTAAAATGAGGTGCTACCGAGAGTGCTGTACTGCCTTTTCCGTAACTGTTACGTCAATTTTTGTGGCAGGCATGTCACTCATGGAGTCTAGAGTAGATGCGACGACTGTAACTCTAGGTATGAGAGGCTAGCATGACCTTCGCCCACTATTGGTGCGACTTGTAGGATATGAAAAAGACTGGAAATGGATCGACTCCAGGTGATGTTATGAATGAGCTCGTTTTCCCCAAGTTGTTCCTAGATACTGCAACCTAATCTAAAGGTGTACGCAAACCTCCACGTTGCATTGTCAGCAAGAGAGTAACGGCACATACCTTCAAAGTACCATTTCCTGTACAGTCTTACAAAGGGTTGACTTGGCAAGAACGAGCTCGTTTGTATGCGAGGACCACTGGAGTTACTAGATGCCTTTTTTATAGAACGAGGCTTGAACATAGATTGTTTCGATGGTGGGCATCTGTTCCAATATGCTTTCAGACCCCAATTGGTGGTGCTGTATCGTCAATGTTCACTGTGAGTTCTGTCATGGTGGGTGGTGGTGGTGTGTGTGAATGATCGCACCTGTCCAAACCGGCGCTAAGGGGTCTCGCTTAGCGCACAGGGCAGCTACACCCGTGGACCTTTTGAATTTCGCATCGATTCCGTTGACGACCGACAACTACCCTCGCGACCCCAACGAAGTTCTCCCATCAGCTACTTCGACAATCGCAAATATGGCTGACGCTGACTACGACCCCGAGGCCGCAGCTGGTACGCTCTTGCCCCTCCAACGAGCCCTTCCCACACACCCGCACCGCTTCCCTTGGATACGTACACGCACAATGTGACAGGACATGGCTAACGAATCCAACAGCCCTTAAGGCGAAGAGGGCGTTCCGCAAGTTCTCTTATCGCGGCGTTGACCTCGACCAGTACGTCTCCCGACCCCCCGCGACTCTCCGAAAGCGATGGGGGATGTATACAGATGGTGGCGGTATTCTGATCGATATGCAGGCTCCTCGACCTTGGCTCTGAGGAACTCCGCGACCTCGTCCACGCCCGTGCCCGCCGCAGGTTCAACCGTGGTCTCAAGCGCAAGCCCATGGGCCTCATCAAGAAGCTCAGGAAGTCCAAGCGTAGGCAACACTGTCCGCACAGTTGAAGGGAGACAACTAACCCTGAACAGAGGAGGCCAAGCCCAACGAGAAGCCCGACCTCGTCAAGACCCACCTCCGTGACATGATTGTCGTCCCCGAGATGATCGGCAGCGTCATCGGTGTCTACTCCGGAAAGGAGTTCAACCAGGTCGAAATCAAGCCCGAGATGGTCGGCCACTACCTCGCAGAGTTCTCCATCTCATACAGGCCCGTCAAGCACGGAAGGCCGGGTATTGGTGCCACTCACTCTTCCCGTTTCATTCCTCTCAAGTAAACGAACTGGGTTTTGGTTGCATGGGTTCTTTCGTGGGGCGGATATGTACTTGACGACCTAAAATGAATACAGGTGTTAGGTGCATTTACTCTCGATGGCTATGACGAACACAACGATCATGGCGGGCATGAAGATATGGTGTAGATAGCACCACCATTACATTCGAGATACCTCCACACTGCTTCCTCCACTGGGTGATGTGTACTTGTTGTGATCGATGTTGAGCATGCTGGTCGATTGGATTCAATCGCTGCACTACACTGCACTGGACTTCACATGGGACAGTGGACGTCAGATCAAGAGATACGGCAAGTCTACAAGTTGGAGGGCAGCGGTAATCGTATTAGGTATTGTTACACTAGGAAATGCAAGTGACGTGTGCTCTCGCTACCTTCCAAGGCGCATCTCAACCTTTGCAAAGTTATACAGGGCTCGCAGGAAGACCTGATAATTAACGCCCTTGTTGTCTGGCAGGTGGCTGTATTGTGTGTTAGCAAAGACCTCATCATATGAACAAGACAACTTACAACATCTCAGTCAACCTCAGCTGCCATGGCGGATAACCTTTGAGTTGCACAGTAGGGCTGAACAGGATCAGAAGATCCGGTTCGCTCGAAACATGGTCATTCAGCTGGGCATCAATCAAATCAGTGTTGATCTGCTCTTGTCGTACGTCGCCCTTTTGTGCCATCTCGGCCAGTGTGCGCGTAAGGTCGACGATGGTGTCGCGGCCGTCATGTTCAGAGAGAAGGAGAACGGTGAGATGTTGACGTTCCTCCTCTTTCAGTTCGTCGTCTGCGCTCTGAGGAGGCGTGTTGGGAGGGGAGTACGAGGAAAGGTGGGGTGCACGGAGGGAGAGGGTGGGCTTTCTACGAGGGCCGAAGTAGGCTTCTAGGGTCGACCAGATGGAAGCGTGAGTTTGGGGGAGATAGTTCTTAAGTACGCCTGTTTGATATCATTAGCCAGAGCCCTACGTTACCGTGTTCTGTTTTACAAAAAGATGGTGGACTTACCCGTCCGCTCATAGACACTCAGAAACGGTATGCCGGCACTCGCTGCCCAGGCTGCTATCTCACAGACATCGTTTACTAGTCCTTCCAGCCCGGCTGTACCCTGACTTCCGTCGTCTTCCTGGTAGTCCACTATTACACTGAGGTGTTTGGGCAGCTTTTCCAGGTCCTTGACATCGTGGGCTATGAACTCTGGCGTGCGGTGATGGTACTTGAGCAGAGAGACAACCTTCCCCCTCACCAGTCGGTAGGCGCGGCGGAAACGGAAGAAGACGCTGAACAGGAGCGCAACGACGTGGTAGATAGCGAGGTGGAGGAAGGTCTTGATGGGGCCTACGAGAGGCTTGCGGCTCTGTTGGGCTGCGCGCTGGCGGCGGTCGCGGAGTGCCTTCTTCCTCTGCGCCTCCTTCTCGCTATCAGAAGGCTCAGAGGGAAGAAACGGCTTGAGGAGTTCTTCGCGTTGCTCGACCGAGAGTTGCTTGCTTCGCCTAAAAGCGGCTTCTTGCTTGGGAGTCAGGCCTGTGGTAGCCATTGCGGGCGGTGTGAGGGTATTGAGCGACAAAATGAGCTGGGCAGCCGATGTCTAAGTATGGACAACAAGGCAGTCAAAAGTCAAGGGAAAGAGAGGGATAATGCGCGCGTTAGCTGGCCATGTCTGGCAGACGTAAGATGATGAAATATCCCAGTGAGGCTGGTGCATACGAGGTACGTGTGGCGGCCGTTCCTGCCGAGCGCAAGCCAAGTATAGACGCGTAGCTGCCTGCTCCGCCATGCGCTGAGGCGTCATTACGCGGAAGCTGTCGCAAGTACAATGAGGCTGTAGGAACTCGAGCTTATTGTTTTGGATCTTTGTATACGTCCTGCCACGACAGGATTGGTGGCATCATAGTGCATGAGGTCACCCGTTGTCCGTTCGGCTGGAGCTGCTGCGACTGCGGACCAGGGACCGAGGCGTGGGGTGCGACAAGCCACAGTCGCGACTTGAGCATGTTGCTAGCCAGATCACGACGTGCAGATACACCTGCAACGAGAAATATCTACTCTGTGCCATGCCCAAGTGAGAACACAACATACGCTAGCAACACCTGGCAGCTTGATGCTTTGCGCCAATCTAAAACACCAGCTCCAGGGCATTCGGGGCGGCATTGGCCCGCTGGGTAGCTGCGATAGACGCCCGTAATACAATACTGCAGTAGTACTCAACCTCCAAGGCGGATTCCCTCCAATCTCCTGTAACGATGCAGCGCATCAGCTCCGATGGCTCGTCGGTACTCACTCACCAGACGTCGAGGACATCGATACGCGCACCCCAGTTCACCCTAGAGAAGTTCACTGTAAGCAGCCGTACAAGTTCAGGGTTGTTTTCACATTGACTCCTGCAGAGCAAAGATTTCCTAGTAAAAGACTTCATCGAAGACCTCTCCCAGATCGCCGTACCTGCGACTCGAAGATCTGGCGGCGCCGGTGGCCAGCAGACATTCGACCCGAAACCACTCATCCGCACGTTCGAACATGCCCTCACACGACTCAACAGTCTCTCCGAGGACCTGGAAGAGAAGGAGTCTGAGCTGTCAACAGCTGTACGCCGAGCAGAGCTACAACACAACCAGAATGTCGAGTCGCTAGGAAGGAGACTGGAGGCGGCCATGGACAGGTTCCAACGGCTAGACAGTTCGCTCAATGGTAGTGACGAGGGAGGGTCAGACACTGGAGGCAACGTTGCCATGCGCATCGGTGAGCGACTCGAAGAGCTCGATCGCCAACGCAAGAGAGCCCTGGACGCAAAGTTCTTGATTGAATGCTGGCAAGAAGTCAGCGAACGCGGCGAACTCATGATCCTCGAGGACCAACGGAAGAACGGCGACATAGTACGATGCGCCGAGATTGCACGCCAGCTGCTGCGCATCAGCACACGTCTCGACCCCGAGGGCAGCCAGCGAGTCAACGGAGACGCACCGAACGGCATGAAGAGGAGAACGGTACATCAGTCAAGACACAACACGAAGGAGGTCATTGAGAAGTTCTTGGAGAATCTTGAGCAGGATCTCCTCAGCAAGTTTCAGGAATGCTACGCGCGTCCAAACTACCCTGGCATGCGCGACTGTGCCATCGCGCTGAAGGGCTTCAACGACGGGGCTAGTGTCATCGGAACCTATGTCAACCAGCATTCTTTCTTCATTGACCGCATGCAGTTGAATGGAGAAGAGTTGGCGACGGATGTGGAAACTTGGGATCGCCTCCAAGATCCTGATGCGGAACCACCGGGTGTTGAGCCTACGCTGCAATCTCTCATTGATGAAGTCAAGATCGTCGTCCAGGATGAATCTGCCATCATAAAACGAGCCTTCCCTTACTACGAGGAGGTGCTGATCAAGTTCCTGGAGCGCATCTTCCAGCAGTCAATACAAAGTCGGCTGGAGATGGTGCTTGACAAAGCAGGAGAGCTATCATCACTCGCCTTTCTGCGCTCGTTGCAAGCCTCTAGGAGCTATATCACACAATTGGTAGATGATCTAAAATCCCATGGGTTGACAGAGCACCCAGAGCCTGCTACATCTGCGGTCGCTGCTACCCTTGACCAGCAGTTGGAGGAGCTTTTCTCGTCTTACTTCATTGGAGAGAAGTATATTGAGCGAGAAAAGAAGAACTTGGAGGAACTATACTCCTCGCTACTACTCAAGTTCACCATCTACCACTCGCGGCGCAGCAAGATGCCTACATCGTACTTTGGATCGCTGGCTCAGCGAGGCAAGGAGATGGCTGCATCCGCTCGTGACAAGTACATGGAGCGCTTGGAAAACACAGAATTGCCCGCTAGTCAGAAGGCGACCCTGCTCCGCATTGCTGGCCTGAAGGAAGATCAGCAGGAGAAGAAGGATATTGAAGTGACGGATGAGGATGGCAAGCTATCGCTACCAGTCGCCAAGCGTATGCTCAAGTGGCTGGCAGAAGGTGTCGGACGTGGACTCGAGCTGTCGCCTGGTAACGAGACACCGAAGGATGTGCAAATATTGCTTAATCTTCTACTACGACAGATGGGCGAAATCTACTTGGAGACGGCGTTGGACGCGTAAGTCATGTATTCCTCAGATGAGTACACAATTAACACGAATGCAGCGCACAAGATCATGCCGTTTCGCAGGAGAACTCCAAGACACCCCCTGATCTCACCCACCTCCCATCCCTACACGCCATTACCACAATCCTACATCTTCTTCAACAAACCACGACAACCATTATCCTCCCTCTATGTACACCCAATCTGACTATTCGTCGGGAGATCGAAAAGTCTACCAACAACACAACGTCGACTCTTGAATCGAAACTGTCCAACATACTCAATCTCACATTGACAGCATCGCTCAATTGGGTGAGCAGATGTCTATCTCAACAAAAGAAGACCGATTTCCGACCCAAGGAAGAAGACCTTATGGTAACAAGTGAAACGCAAGCCTGCCGCGACGTCTCCGCATTCCTGACTCGTGTTGCCTCACAAGCTTCTGCCGCGCTCTCTGGTCGCAACCTCTCCTTGTTCCTCGCTGAGCTTGCTCGCGGTTTGCGGTCCCTCGTTCTGGCACACCTACTGAAATTTTCCATTTCACAAGTCGGCGGTCTTAGTGTTTCCAAGGACATGAACCGCTATGTTGAGCTAGTGAGAGGATGGCCCACAGGTGACGAGCTGGAGCCTGGAGCGATGGATGTTCTGACGGATGTCAGTACGCTATTCATTATTGGACCTGAGGCGCTGAGGGATAGGCTTAGGGCTGCGGGTGGACAAGATGCGCAGGAATTGAAGGGTTTCATTGCTAAAAGAGACGACGTTGGAACTGTCGGGGTGCAGAGCGTGCTTAGTGGCTTGTAGGGACTTTACATTCTTAGGTAGTTCGCATGATTGTATCAAGCTAAGTGTGCTACAATTGTATCCTCCCAGGGTTTTATCTAGCAATATCTCAGCTTTGCGCCTGGTTTCGCGAAATCGTTGCACATATGACTTTCTAGCGACTTTGATGGTGGTATACACAGACGACAAACAATTACATATATATGGGACGCAAGCGTTGAAAGATTTATTGATTTGATAGCACCTGATGGTCAGAATCCATTGATTCTCTTGTAAAGACGACGATTGGTTCGTACGTTGGATCATTATGTACTTGGCACGCAATACGAGCTGCCCTTGGATTTGATTTCTACACCAACAGTTCACTGGCTGTCATACTCAAAAACGAATCTACGAGAACCGCCATCATACCCCGCGAAATCCCATGATCGGGCTTTTACTCTGCACCAATTTGGCTGCCAGTCATTCTTGCAGTATTGACAACAGCCTTCCCTCGTAGATCGTCTTTAGGCTTTGGAGTACATACTGATTATGAGGTAACAGTAGCTCTTAGGGTAAGCAGATGTATCCAGTATGATCAGTTCGCAATAACCTTCTATTGTCCTACGCTCATGAAGAATGCCTGAATTACCAGTATACCTCAAATTCAACCTCCTTCCTTTCAATAACCGTCCTAATATCCTCGAGACATTCTGTCATGGCAATAGTCACTTCAACACCACTCCGATCTTACTTTTCCATCTCCCTGCTATCCTTACTGACCGGCAACTTAACCGAGAACATGGCGTGAGCAGGTGGTAGACACTACACCAAAGTTACCCCAAAATCCAGATGTGTAAGCCTAGGATAGCTCTATAGAAGCTTTCAAGTGATCAGGTGGTGAGCCGCAATGGTGGAGGCACAAAGCGTGTACAAGCTGTGATAAAGATCCCAAGTGCATTATTGGAGGGATTCGGGCTCAACAAGTAGCCGAAGGGATGGAGCAGATTTGGGGGTGGGCGTCTCATGGCCTAGAAAGGCTTCAATTTACAAATACCAGTAGCCCGCGATTAATGAATTAGATCACAGCCTCTGTTCGGCTCGAGTATTGGTAGGTTGTTACAGCTTTGCTGGTTTTGCGAATGCAAAGAGCGACCTTCCTTTCTTTTCCGGATCTTGCCACACCCATCCACTTTTACCAACAACTTCTCCTGCCCCGCTAGACATCTGTAGCATTGTGGTATCGTCTCCATGATTCGCAAGGAAGCGTTTGTTACTGTTCTTCAAGCGACCGATAATGTGGCCTCGAAGCGGACTGCCGTCGCGATTGAACTCTACGGTATACGTCTCGACGACAGCCTCACCCTCTGCATTAGAGGCAAGCTCTGGCGCAGGAACATCGGTGATCTGTGGTGGAAGCGGGTTCTCTGTGGGATAAGCTCCTTCTTTCCTGGGCTCTTTCGATAAGATCACGACGTACTGATAGCTCAGAACACCGCCATTGCAGAGCACCAGTCCCCTGCGGCCTTTACCGTCTCTTAGCTGTCTTGTCATCTCAGTGAGCGCGTGCATTGAATAGTTGTTGCCAGCTCCACCAAACGACGTCAGACCGCCAAGTATCGTCAATGGTTTGTCACCACCAACAACAGGTAGCCCTAGATGCTGCGCGGCAATTTTAGGAACGATCGGAAAACACGAGTAGATGTCAACGATATCCATCTCTTCCTTTCTTACGCCAGAAACCTTCAAGCTTGCATCAATAGAACGCGCAATGCTAGGCGAGGAGTAGAAGTTCGGTCTTTTCCAGAACTCGTCCGCATCCTTCGTTCCTGCGCCACCAAGTGGATATATCCATTTTGACTCTGATACCCCTAGTTCTTTGGCGAAAGAAGTTGAAGTAAGAATAATGGCAGAGGCGAGGTTGACCGTGTTGAAAGCATTCATAAGCAGGGGATCTGCACGGATCTGATGTAAGCGGTCATTCCCAGAGTAGAAAGAAGGATGGCGTACAAGGATGACATATCATTCTGTTCCTTTTCCCAACCGTCCCAATCTCTTCTTCACTACTTGAACTTCCGTAATTCCATGCATATTCATTATTCTTCGCAACTTCGGAAAACTCGGCATACAACTTTGCGCTCTCTTGGTGGTTTGCCTTTGGTGTCTGGCCGCGATGCGCACGGAATGCGTTCTCGTAAAGTGGATAAACATGTATTGGTGCACCAATCCTATGAATAGCGCCAAGGTCTTCGCAAGAGTCAGTAGAGGAGAGTGTTTGCCAAAGAGAGGACACTGCATTATTTCCTAGGTCGCGGCCTGTTGGAGTGAAGACCGAGTCTACGGCTTCAGACGGCGCTGTCCAGCCTGGCGGAGGAAGCTTCTTTGCAGCTGCGCATGCTGATACTGGGTACAGTTAGTGATGGTGGAGAGAAAGAAAAGTAAATTGGCACGTACACGAAGCTAACGCCTCACCCCCAGTTACAATCGCGACTTTACATTCGCCTTTCGCAATCCTTTTCGCCGCTTCGTCGAGGAGCTTCCCTGGCTTGTCACCTCCATGCTCAGAATATCTTTTCCACTTTAGTTTCTGTTCAATCCCCAGCTTCTCTGCCAGAAGCCCTGGCAGATCCGGGTATGGCCAAGTCCATGTCTTGACGACATCGACGCTGTCGATCGCTGACTGGAGATCGGTATTCGAAGTAGACGAAGTGTCGCTGATGGCCTTTTGAATGGCTTCAAGCATCAATGTTGCGGGCTCTTTCGCGTCCGTGACGGCAGTTGAGCGGTTCTTGATGTCGCCAACGCCGATGATCACGGGGATGTTGGAGGACGGCATATCGATGTAGGAGACGGACTGCAAGGCAAACGTGTCGATACTCTGGCTACCCAAAGCACCTTCTAGCCATGATCATATACTACGCGACCGAGGCGTAAAACACGCTGCAATTCGGAGAGTCATGACTGGCGTGAGGAGTTACATTTGCCGAGGTACAACGCGCGGCGCGAACTACGGCGCGACTATCAGGCGCTGCCTATAATCTGTTTACGCTGTCTTCGCGCGTTAGTTGTATTACAATTTGGAACACATGCATAGAAAAGTGCGAATTTCATAAGGGGAGAATGAGGTCGAGTGTGTTCTAGCTGAGGAGATGCTGAAGGTACGTACCATTCAGGGCAATCGACCTGGTGACATCGTATGTGATATGATGCAGGTACGTGCACTTAAACAAGATCGGTATTGTCACAAGACTGTATCGAAGTGCAGGCATTTCGAGGTCCAGTCTTTTAGTTCTAACTCGGTTCACGTACGGACATTCTAACAGATTGGCTTGAAAATCTACTGTATACAAAGGCTTTCTGAGGCCACAGCCAGATTTGGTGCAGCGCCGGTTGCGATATTCCAATCTCTCCATGCAGCATACAGTAACACGACGAAAGCCTGTCCCTCAGGGTTGACGCCTTCCAGTGGCGTCCTCTGACCTTCATTGAGAGAATTGACAACCGGTGCTACAATACCAGTCTCTTCGTCTATATGACGGCTAACAGCTTCTAGCTTCGTTATTGCCCAATCCGTATACCGTTTTCCGAAAAGGCCAGGCTCAAGGACGGCCATTCTAAAAGCTGTAGCAGCCATCAACGCTGTGCCAGCGACCTCTGCAAACCAGGTCTCATCATCGAGATAGTTGCGCAGCAAGCCCATTGTATCGGTATCAGCTTCCATGGCGCCATCGAGAATTCCTTTGGTCATCTGCAGTAAGACATTCTGCTCTTCCTCGGTTTCAGACACATATTGAGATTTCCGTAAGGTGGCCAGTACCCTTGCCATTCCAGCTGCGGCCCAGGCATTACTTGTACACCATGCACCACCGTCACTCTTCACATTGCGTACGCCCGCATCATTGGCTATGTGTTGCCAATATCCCTTTCGCGTACCGAGAACTTCGCGGTATAGCTCACATTGGCGGACACTCTCCTTCACCATGTCTATATCTGCTGTGAACGTGCCGTTATAGGCGAGGGCCGGTGGCACCATATAGATAAAGTCGGCCCACAAGGAAGGGTACGCATCGCGGTGTGATATCGCGTCATTGGAGAATCTCGGCGTAGTCGAAAGCAGGTCGTGCAGTTGACGGCTTACTGCGGAGAGATATAGGTTATCAGGCACGGGGAGGGTTACTGATCTGGAAAGGAGTAGAGTAGGGATGCAGAGGGATGTCGGATCGGACGATGAGCCTAGTACTTGCTGTTAGCATACGCCCGGTCTTTATAATGTGCCTAGTAAGTATTGAAACCGTAGGACATACCATTTCCTTCACACAGTCTCTGGCTGTCAGTACGTATGAACGGTTTCACATATTGCAGTGCTTCTACATCCTCGACCCTCAACACTGGTATCTCACCGCCTGGAAATGGGTCATGGAAAACGGTAAATTGACGACTTCTGTATTCAAGGATTGCTTCGAACACCGTTCCATACTCCCAGCTATGCGACGCAGTCTCTCGCGCTTTATCTAGCACCTTATCGATCAGTATTTCCGGAATCATGACGTGTACTAATCGACCAATATCTCTACACCGGTGATCAGAGTTGATAGTTGCCCGGAAGTTAGGAGTGCGTGAACAAATGGCTGGGATAGATGAAGTTTTCGGCGGCTGCGTCTGGTGTCATGACGCGCGCCTTCGCCTCTTGCCGCGGACAAAAGCTTGGTGAGGGGTTGTTCCTTCTTCCAAGCTCTTTGCCGAAGCTTCAACACACGCAAGACAACAATGCGAATAAAACAACAAGTCTGGCGAGACAGGATTGAAGGGGGAGAATTTGGCAGATTACTGTAGCTTGCATGAATAGGCACAGAGCTCGAGTTGGCGTGATTTCCAAGGGATCGATTACCCCAGAGCTACCTTATGTCCGAGGAGTGCCGACTCAAGAGGTACGCGCAACGTCTTGGTGCTTTCAAAGGAAAGCACACACAGGTAGAAGGGCCAGCATCACGAGACATTTCCTTTTATGTGCGCGAGGCTACAGAACCAACAATCTTGATTGGGAACGAACGGCCGCGTAGCGTTGTTAGGCTGACATGACCCGATGTTGACAGCTTAGTTTTCTCGAGTATTGGTAGGGGATACCAACACGAACAACGTTGCAGGGCCGAATGCTCATGAGTTGCGGTACGTCCTAGGCAACGGACCTTGTATGTCTGGCTTCGAAGCTTGTCTTTTGCGACACAATGATATCCATATGGTGCACTTCACGTAGTGAAGACGAAAACTGAAGTTGCGATCATGTAATACCGAATGGTGGTGAAGGTTCGTCCGGCACTGGGAATTTAGCGCGAAGGATAGTTCCTCTACTCCGGAATCCGGATACCTAACTAAAGCTGCTAGACTGATGTCTAGTATGACAGTGGGTCGCGCCATGGTTGCATAAGCCTAAGATTTGATGTACCCACCAGAAGACCCGCAACAGATAATCCTCCAAGCGACGTCCAAGCCCCCGGAATCCTCTCTGGATGAAAGTGTTACGTTTTTAAATCTCTGCGGTGCCAAAGCTGAAGATAAGAGTATCAGGTGCAGTGATAACGACGCAGGCCTGATCGTACTGTACGCCCAAGGTGAAAATTTTCTAAGCGACTTGCAATGTCTCGTTCTACTGTGCATGCTTCTTCACGGCAGACGCAGTCTTGGTTTGGTAGTTTTGTCAGCTTGTCCTGTGGATATACAAAATCCACAGCTCAATGAAGCACGAACCGCCATCCCCACGATCCCCGGATTTTGCAGTAAATCGTCTGTCTCCATCCACCTCGTGGTGAACTCCATAGCTACCCAGACCCATTTCGCAAACCATCGGCGGGTATTTTGTGCGCTAAGACTTCTAGTCGTATTTCCAGAAGCTTGTCTAAGCTCTGGGCGTGCCTGAATTGAGCCTCATCCCTACGATTTGCGGCTTTTGTCGGCTCAGTTCCAAAAACCCTCACTCCGTACACCGGCCCGCCCCCATTTAACTCTCCAAACACCAAAAGATGAACAGTGCCCATGGCGCACGGGAGTAAAACCGAAGGAATGCGCGACGTGCAGGGCGAACGTCATCAGGCAAGTTAAGCACTGTGTTGCAACCACCACAGCACAAGAGGCGATTTTCCCCGCCTTTTCACGCGGTAGTTTGCCATTACCTAACGATAATTGGTTCCCCAGACTCCCCACTGCTCATGGTTCTGACAAGGGTCTGGGCTGATCGTCCCATACCATGGACAAGACTTGGCCACCGAGCCAGCAGCAGTCCACGGGTACCACATCGGAACCATTCCAAACGTGGAGTATACCTCGTCGTGCGCCGGGCCATACACCACATTTGAAAAATCTGCTATCATAGCCGACGCATCCTTCACCCGTCTTTGACATTGCTCTCTATATAACCGGCTGACATCCCCGTGTTGGGATCAGCAAGATTGGTACCGGCACAAACCAAGTCTCCATCATCTCGCAATTTACCTGGGCATCATGCCGAACCACCACATGGCTGACGAAAAGCCTGAGGCTGTGCCGTATGGCTACGAGGAGAATCAAGTTGGCTTCGAGGAGCCATTCGTCCACGGCGCTGCTACTGTTGGAGGTAAGACTGGACGAGGAGGAGATACACACCGTGGTTTGAAGAGTCGACACATCCAGTTCCTGTAAGTCCGTATTCTTTGACGTCGCTAAACCGCATGCTGACACTCCACCAGCGCGCTAGGCGGTGCTATCGGAACTGGCCTGTTCATCGGATCTGGATCTATTCTTGCTCTAGTCGGTCCTGCTCCACTCTTCATGGCCTATCTCAGTATGATGCTTGGTAGGTTGTGCCTGTACGAAATGCATGTGAGAAATCCACTAACTTCGTGTCTTCACTTCTGCAGTCGTCTACAATGTCATGAACAACTTGGCCGAAATCGTTACCCTGCTTCCGATGCGTGGTATTACCATCCCGTATTTCATTAAGCGATTTGTAGACCCTAGTCTAGCATTTGCCGCCGGATGGAACTACTGGTATGCATATGCCATTCTCGTTGCTGCCGAAGCCACAGCTGGAGCCATCCTTCTGGAGTATTGGGAGACGCCTGTTCACAACGCTGTCTGGATCACCATCTTTCTTGTGGTGGTTTTGTTCCTTAACATTGTCGCAGTCGAGGTTTTCGGAGAAGCAGAGTTCTGGTTTGCCTCCATCAAGTTCATCACCATTATAGGCCTGGTAATTCTGGGCTTTGTTATCATGTTAGGTGGTAGTCCTAATGATCAAGGCCGACTTGGATTCAGATATTGGAACAACCCGGGTGCTTTCAAACCATATATAGTGGAAGGGAATTCCGGTCGTTTCCTGGCATACTGGACTGCTTTCGTTCGCGCTGGTTTTGCCTTCATCACATCGCCTGAACTGATTGCACTTGCTGCAGGAGAGACCATCGCCCCTCGCCGTAACATCCCCAAGGCTGCTGGCCGCTTTGTTTACCGTCTGGCCATCTTCTACGGTTTGGGAAGCTTCATCATCGGAGTCATCGTTCCATCAGATGATGACCGTCTCCTCAGCGGTAGCTCCAACGCTTCGGCCTCACCCTTCGTTATTGGTATCCAACGAGCAGGCATCCAGGGCCTGAACCACGTTGTTAACGCGGCTGTCTTGACATCAGCCTGGTCTGCCGGAAACGCTTTCCTGTTCTCTGGATCCCGTGTCTTGTACGGTATGGCTCTCAACGGAGAAGCGCCAAAGGTCTTCGGCAGGACAAGCAAGAAAGGAGTGCCATACGTGGCTGTCCTGGCTACTTGGGCCATAGGTCTTCTTGCTTATCTCAACGTCTCCAATACTGGTGCGCAAGTCTTCCTGTGGTTCTCAAATATCTCCACAATCTCCGGTTTCATCGCCTGGATTGTTGTTATGATCACCTATATCCGCTTCCGCAAGGCCTTGATATTCAACAACTTGCTCGAGTCGCTTCCTTACCGTACGCCATTCCAGCCATACCTCACATACTTTATCCTTGGTGTTGTCTCACTCCTGACCCTCACGAACGGATTCCAAGTCTTTGTGCCAGCCAACTGGTCTGTATCCGATTTCTTGGCCGCCTATATCACTATCCCCATTTTCTTCGTTCTTTACGCCGGCCACAAGATCTACTTCAGAACCGCCTTCGCGATCAAGGTTGAGAACATTGATGTTACGACTGGTGTGCGGGAGATGAATGAGCTGTGCAAGGACGATATCTCTGGTGCGCCTGTACCGAAGAATGTCTGGCAGAAGATCTGGTACTGGATTGCATAGAGTAGCACCAAGCGCGGATGTACAGCGTTTATAGCGTACGTGTCTTCGGGCTTTCCTTAGTAGATGCCAGCCATCAATGAGATTGTTACGAACCTTCAAGCCGGGTTGTCTGTTTTTGTCCAAATATGTCTTGTCTTATGATTGGAATATCAGGCCGTAATCGGTGAGTAGTGGACAAACTGTAAGAAAAACCTGATGTACTCATTGCGGTCGTTCATGATTCCTCCTTCCTGTATCTAACTTGCGATATCACGACCCCCATGAGGCGTAATCGTGTATATATACAGAACGAATATGGCCGACCCCTCTTTCAAACTACCCAGCTGAATTTGAGATATCAAGAATCCCGGAGTTTATCGAAAAAGTGAAACATCCCACCCAAGAGGCTTTGTGAGGCCTAACGCGTGCTTGCACCCTGGCTCTAGAGATTTTGCGTATATTGGCAGTGACGATACACGCCAACTTACCGCCACTGTACGTCTACTTATCAGCGTCTCCGTCACTGGTTCAGAAACCAGAGAGATCCTTCCAAGTTCAGCCATACAAAGACGAGGGTGCTTTGGAAACATACGACTATCGTGAAGCCTGTACGAGACGGCATGTGACACCGATGACTCTGCATTGTCGTGTAGCTCTGTTGGAGATATACAAGACACTGGATCGATGAGGAACCTTGCAACAGTATCTCACCAGAACGTGTGGTTGCGTGGAATCTGTGAATGTCTGGCAAAGAGTACCTGGCCAGACGTATGTCCACGACGTTTGGATACGCTAAGTTGCGCTCTCTTAAAGCCGTCCATCGACGCATATCTCAACAATCATATTTAGAGCTTGGAACAGCTGCACTCAACTCGCTGAGGGTAAAAGCACTCTCCGTAAGATGGCGTGAGCCCTCAGATAGACGGTTGCTTGTGTTTCTAGGCCCTGCTAACACATGCATAGCGGTTAGCTCCGCCATTTATGCTTGCATCAAATCATGATTCAATAGACCTTGTGTATAATCCGGACGCCCCGCATCTTCGCGCTCAAGCGTCGTGCCTGGAAAGCTCCCGCCTAAATGCCATGGTGAAGGATGCGCCATTCACAGACCATATCAAGATCTGTACCTTCTATCAGGCGGCACGAAGCGAGCTTCAAGCATACTGAGAACAGAATGGCTCTACTCGCTCAGCTCGGTTAGGGAGCCGATTTGATTGATTTGATTTGATTGTGGCTTAACACCCTATCTGTTTAGGGAGCTGAGCGATCGGGCGACAAGCATCATGGCACTGGGCATATAAATCATGAAGACCTCATCTTGCTCTGAAACAGTCACACTGACTAAGTTCTGTGATGTCGCATAGATGTTCCTCAGACCAGGGTGCGTCCACGTGGTTGCGGCTCGAAAGTGAGAGTTTGCGACAGCCTGCATTGCTCTTGTCAACAGCTGTATGATAGGCTTCCCGCATCGAGAGGGAAAGAACAGGCTGCCGATATGAATCCAAAACCTTCGATGCGATTGATTTTTCCGGACTTTGTCGGTTTCGTGGAAGCGTCTAGATGACTAGACTGACGAAGGACAGTAGCTTATGAACCTGGCGACAACAGGGTATATATTAAACTTACCGAGATTATTTCAATAGATCAGAGGTATCTGGAAATGGAAATATACGTAACATGACTCCAAAGCAAAAATGGGGGAAATGATGATCGCCCTTCACCGGTTCAAAGCCACACGTTTGTACCGTTTCGCTTGGCGTTGCCAAATCCTTTACAGATCAGCGAGTCATGAAACTGCATCTTCCGTAGTCCAATGCTATCCAAAGCCGTTTTGTGACAGCTCGCTAATGTACCTTTGCCCTTGCCATCACATTGCAGCCTCACCCGGATCGGCTGAAAATATCGCCGAATCAACAACAACCGATTGATGCTTCAGGAGTGAACGGCTTTGATGAAATTTTAAAGACAATGTTGAACGAGTCTGCGAGAACCGTGTTCAAGAGAACTTTGATTAGGGGCTTACCCCATGTCATTCATGTCACCGTCATCACACATGTGCTTACTTACCACAGGATTTCGCAACCATGTTTAGACATGGGACATTCTCTGAGGATCGCCTTGAGACATGAGCTGCGCTGTTCTGTCTCACCGCTGGCGAGGCTGAGCTTTGTCCGACCAGATGCGCATCCAGCTAAATTTACCACGCTTGTGAATCTTGAGCTGCGAGATACGCAATGGTGCGAAACTAGCCTAGTTCTGGAAAACGGTGCTTCGGACTGGCCATAGGAAAATCACTTCTTCTGGGGCATAGAGAGCTGGTAGCAGTAGCTTTCATCAACCACTTCCTCGGGTTTTGGATAGCGGGACAAAGCATCGTCGAGATTGCGCAAGCGTAAGGCTTTCCAAAGCAGCACGGGCCGCAACGGTATGCGCACGTCATCAGTCGTAGAGTTTATGCTTTCTGCACGGCGGAAGCGCTTGGCTTTAGGTGATCGCTTCGTTGCACTAACAAGGTCATCTGTGGGGGCGGAATACGTGCCGCAAAACCACAGCAACGTTGCGAGGTTGCAAGGTCTACCCACTGCAAGAATCAGCCCGCTAAGCTTTACGACTATTTGCGCGTCTCCGAACGACTCGAACATCTTGATTCAAGAATCGATCTCTCTGTCTCCAGTGTTGCGCTTTGACATACGAGAGAAACTCCTAACAGCCTCAGTTGTCCACGTGCAAGGCTTTGAAGGGCTTCAACCATCAATCTCACCACCAATTCCACTAAACGACGAGTGGCGAGGCTAGCCATCTCGAACGAAGATGGTGTGTACTGATACGCTTGAGTAGTAGCCGGTGAAGATGTCGGAAAATTGTGTTCTTTCGTGATTTGTTGTCAGTACACCCTCTTTGCGCACGATTGTTGGCCCGGAGAAAACAGCCATCGTTGTACGTACGTCGGTATACGGCGAAGGATCCTTCATCTTCTTACGCCCTCGATCCTTCCTAGTCATCGTGTGGATCGTAAAGTGCCAGGCGGTAATGCAGCTGTGAAGGTTACAAGTGACGTTTGCGCAAGACGAGATCTCGTCCAAGATATATATCCAGTAGGGCCATGACTCGCAGGGCTCGGACTACCCTAATTATCCATTCCAAGGCGTTGCAGCATTCTCCTGCTCTTTTGCAATCCTTCCGCAACCTGCCCAGTCTGAACCAGGATTAGCAATTTCCCGATTGGTTAGTCCAGAACCAACGAACGAGTAGAGGATCTCGACCTTCGAATAGGATGCAGGGTATCCGATATCAATACTCAAAACTATACGGTGATTTCGTTCAAGACCCAGAGCTTGCAAAGTTTCGTCGATATCTGGATTACTGGTCTTGGATGTTATACAATGAGAATTGGGAGATCGAGCAGAAGATCCGAGAATGCAACGAGATCGTCGCAAACATTCATAGTGTACCTCCGACTCGCAGCGTCTACACGTTAATGGACTATCCTCAAACCTACGTGAAAAAGCAGGATCCAACACTGGAGTCGAAAATCGAAGACTTGAAAAAGTTGATCAGGCGATACGGTCGGTCGCATTCTACTCGTTGCGCTTGGCGATATGCTGACCAACAGTGACACAGGAAAGGACCTTACCCTCGCCCACGCCATTGCCAACTTGCCTAGTCAGCCCGAGATATGGGCCAGACATTTCTCCGAGTATACAGAAGCATTTCAAGATGGTCGTTTCGGGCCGACAAACGAGGATGCTACCGTATACAGTCAAGTCCCCTCGCATGCGGATACTTGCTCCCTGAAAGCCAGCGAAGTAGATCAGCAAGACCACTTAACAAGCTTCGCAATCCGTCATCTCAAATCGATCAACATACGCCTGCGAAAGTGGATCGCTCGCGGTTCAAAGGAACGGTCCGAGGAGGAAGGAGCCGCACCAGAGCAGTTTGTTGGCCTCGAAAAGATTGTTATGGTCGCCAATGTGTTCGCTGGCATCTATGTTCCTGTATTCTTTGCCGCATGCCTCGGGGTTCTCAGCAGTATTCAGTCTGAGAAATGGCGCATCGTTGTGCTCGGTGCATTTGGATTGATGCTTACCGCATTATTGATTTTGTGCGTTCCGACGTTAAAGCGGAGTGACATGTTCGCAATCACAGGCGCCTTCTTTGCCGTGGGTGGAATATTTGTGGGGGCGAGGAGTATGGATTGACAGTAACGGATACTATAAGGTTGGTGTGAGAGATGGGGAGTGATTGCGAGTGGCGGTTGTGACGTCGCTGAGGCTCGTGCATGGCATCGGGCCTTTCTTTCACCCTTGCGTACCAATGTTGACCTAGCTAAATATAGATACGATTCATCCATGCTCGAGTACTTTCCCGCGTACACCAAAGAGTAGGTCTGCTCTGTACTCATGTCTGCCACTGTTTAGGATCAGGAGTCGCCTGTATCTACTCAGGTAGGTACTTTCTTAATTTAAATATTTCACTCTGGTTTGGAGTCATCAATTTCCTGCATTCTTTGTCATCTCATTGTGCACGCGTCTGTGCCGAAAGCATAACTCTCCGCACAATATTTATCCAACCAGGCACCATGCAGTGTGATAATGCAGGGTGTAAGTCCTTCAGTGAACCTTGACTTTACTGCCGATTTCCGACTGACAGTACAGGGCCGGACCAAGTCATCTCTCTCGTTGATACAAGACATTCATAGGTAGAGGTCTTAGGCGTGTAAAGTTGCCATTTGACGCTCAATGCCTACGCCCTCATAACAAAATCTACACAATGGTCGATCGGGTGATGGAACAAGAATTGAACGACTATGATAGATATCGCTAGGGTCCTCGAGAAGACCACGACCGATCAACAATCTCTGCCAAGAACCCTCCTGCGCGACCGTTTACATGGCATCCGATCGGGCAACGTCTTAAACTTTATCATGGCGGGGAGGTATGTGCACAGGCATCAACGCGAGCTGGCAATATTAAATATCACCATTGGAGGGCCGTCAGATAGCGGCACCCAGGTCCAGCTAGTGAAATGCCTTAATTTACCCAAATATTGGTTAGAATCCCATTGCAAAGCTCCAGGATAGGTCCTCTGTATTATCAGAGCCGCACGCCGGGCCGATATGGTCAGCCACAGTGACTAACCGCTGGATTATGTCCTTGCTAGTTAGTACTCCTTTGTCAAATCCCTAGAGCTCATCTTCAGTATACATACCAACCATCGAGCCACCTAACTCTTTATCACTTTTCGAAAACGAACGCCGACTACATCAGAAAGCTTCAACGCGCGAGACTCTTAGCTATGACTAGAGTGCCAATCAGCCCACCGAAACCCCTTCGTGAGTTCAGATTATCCCTCCAAACAGTCATCCATTGATACTTCGCCAGCTCCAATTGTGATAGTTGAGTAGTGATCGAGGGAATGATGCAGTGTGTCTCTCGATAGCCACTAATCTCCAGTAAATATTTGGTATATCACCAGTCTGTACAAATCGTTCACATCTGAGAAGATTGCTGACATCTCTAGTCTAGTTCTCAGCTAGCATCTTCCTTCACACCGCCACTATTATCGTACACGATTTCCTCGACACCGATTCAGCGGTTTACTATCAGAGACCTACCAGGGTTGGATGCCATCCATCGATCACAATGTACATTCTATCTGGGGACGTCATGACGGAGGAACCATGTAAAGGACTACGTCGCACAGGAAGCAAATTCTATAGACATCTACATATGTTAGAAAGAAGAGATATCGACTTTTGTTACAACCTTTAATGCAGCAGAGGTTCTACCACGCTTTCAGCAGCTTGTGTTCTATGCAACAAACTCACAATATATCGGCCTTTCACTACCAAGAACGTATACACGAGCATAGCAGTGTATGACCTTCCACACTCTCCCTCCTACTGCTGCCTTGTTTTGCCCCTGCCAATCCCACTAACGAGTCGAGTGAGTAAGACCCACTCCAGCTATTGTATGCTGCGCATAGAGTATGTTCTTGCTGAAGCACAGATTGGCAGATCTACAAGGCAGTAGTACTGTCATCGAACAGACCCATCTCACATACTCTGCGCCCTGCGCTTCAAGTCATTGGGTTCCGCTCCTGCATGTCGAAGCATTCTGCAGCAACTGCGGAGCGAGTACCACCGTACGAATTGTAACTAACCTACGCGCTAAGGGTATTCTTCCTCCTGCCCCGGAGTACTGACAAGACAGAAAACACGATACGTCTTTACAATGCGAAGTCGCTGCTGGATAGTTGTAACTCAGACGAAATGAGCTTCTTTGTAGTGACTAATCCGGGCGGTCGAAATAAGCAATTCCAACGTTACGGAAGCGTCCGCTGGTGCATTCCCGTAAGCCAACGGTATGGTTTGTTCCGCGATTTATGCGTAAGGGTTCGTGAGATCGTCGCGTGGGTGCGGTTGGTAAGGGATTGCGGTACTTGCGGTCGGCAGATTGACGAGTGCGGCGAGGTAAGGTTCAAGCAGCGCAGCCGTTGTTCAGGAGATGAGTGACCGTTGGAGTAAGCCCTGTGCTCGTTCTTAGTCTTGCTCTTCAACTAAGTCATGTATCATATTAGTGCGACTTATGCATACCCTATAGAATCTAGACGGTGCGCATGGGTCCCGTACTTACAAGACTTTGGAGGGGATGTGTGCGCACCTTGAAACGAAAGACACGAAAGACGCGGTATAGATATTAAAATCAATCTCAGGTAGGGTGTGACATTCATGTGAGAGGTCTCGTTGCGTTTTGCACACGTAACAAGAAGCTGACCAGACAATCGACGCGTCTTGCTGGTGGCCTTGATCGGCTTCCGGGCACCGCAAGTGTCAGAGCTCTACACATACCCCAGATGCCACATCCACCTCTACGTTTGCTTGTTGAGTTCTGCGTACGGAACCCCGGACACCACAGGATCCGAGGGTCACTTCTGATTATGGACTCACAGACACCATGCCCTTTAGCGCGCTTGTAGAAAGAGATGTGGATGCCACTACGAAGGTGTCAGATCTCCTTTCATGGAGACCCCAAGGCTAGGGCGAGTCCCTTGCGATCGGTAGAGCGCATGGTCCACCTCGCGAGCAGTAACGGGCCTCGACTTTTCCCGGCGAATTCTCAAAAATCCTCCAACCTCCTTCTGGGCGGAGATTTAACAGGCCTATTCAACGGCCTGTTAAGCGAGATTTGAGGCTTGTCTGGCACACAACAGCGTCACCAGGACAGAATCCGAAGATGCGGGTGTGGACGGCGATGAGTTTATGTTGCTACGTATTGGCAGACTCCTGTGAGGTGTTGGAATTGATTGGTTTTGGTAACAACGACAAACAAATGCTGTCCCGCTGGAGATTTCGAAACAGTAGACCGTTGGCCCAGACGATTCCGCTATCACTTTTCGGCACAACGGCGATCATCATCACCGTATCTTTACCCTTGCTCTCGCTTCCTCCGAATACTGTTTCACCGGTCAGATTTCTGACTCGCAACGACAGGTCCGATTTAGTGGCACGTCCTCCGAGGACCGCGGTGGCCCGCCGCAAAAAGCAATAAACGCCTGCGATCGTGAGATGCTTAAGAGCAGCCGGAGGAGGTGCCTTGAACGCCCTGATGGTTCGACTGTGTGGTTTGATGTTGGCTAGTCGTTGCAGTGGGCTGTTGTTGTTGTGGTGTTGGAGGGCTATTCGAAGAGTCGTGATAGAGGATTGACGCAGCCTCGTGCGCTTCATGCGCCTGTCGCATGTCCCTTTCTCGCTTTGCGCATTTATCTGCGTATGTGTTGCCCTTCTCCAAAGCTGTGCGGTAGTCTCAGTACGGATCCAAGAGAGCGTTTGAGAAGGATGAGGTATTCGTACCATCCTTGTGCCATACGATCGTAGAGTCGTGGGGCTGTGTATTGAAGGACATCGTCCCTTTGTCGAGCTAGTTGATCTTGATAAAGTTCTTGCGATACGAATGACCGAAGGCTGGACAACTTGGGGGGCTAATCCAAAGGTTTATAGTCTGACGATGTGCGTTACCTGTCCGACCAAGAAGACTAGTTGTGCGAGTTCTACGTGGAATTTTGATACGCGCAGGCGGCATGCATGGCCGGTCAGCCTCAAGCAGTCAAGGCACGATGCTCCGTCATGCAATAGCTCCAAGTGGTCTCGCGACCAGCCAACGCAAAGTGTCTTCTTCATAGTCCAGGGCTTCTGCGCGGCAATAGCAAAGGCTCCGGGGACGTGAAAGTTATGGTAACTTGGAGTCTCAAGCAATGCTTCGACTTCGCATTGTCTCAACGCTCGATGCCTGCATACCACTCAACAGCCACCGCTCTATCTTGGCAGAACGTCAAGTCCATGAGCGCATATAAGGCTGATCGGGCGCAGCATGCAAGTGATGCAGATATGGTGTTGAATCAGCGTACATCAGCCGATCGAGCACTTTTCTGGGCCCAGAGAGAACTGTAGCAAAGTCGTAGCCGCTAGTCACTGAACGCAAATTAGTCATTCCGTACCCACGTGCGTTAAGACTCCGAACTTGGCAGTGCACTGTCTGTGTGCCATGTCCCTTCGGTATTGGTAAAGTATTACCATGGCGGCCAATGTAGGTCTAGCGCATAATACCCTAGGCTGAAATAGACCGCAACTTAAGTCCAATCGGATTCCTGCCTGGTCCGAATGTTGCTAGTTGGATAGCTCAGATAACATATCGTTGTGACCTAGCAGTACTTATTAGTTCTATGTTTCGAGAAGTTAGCACAGTCTGTGTATTACGGCCTCCGGTGATAACTGCCAGCGCCGCGCCAGTACGTACTCTTGCATGATGACCATGGCCAGATCGATACATACCCTGCTGCATGCGGAATATTTGCTCAAGGCGTAGCGGTCTGGGTCGACTGACATTGTTCGGGCTTATCGTTGAGCAGCAACGTCACGAGTACGGCACATACCCTACATCGTAAGTAAGTCTTCAAAAGAGAGATGGAGGGTCTACATACGTCGCAAGCATAGAGATGAACTGCTGATTACGAAACAACAGACTACAAGCGGTTATGGTTACGGATGTAATAACAACCCCTGCGATGCTGGACGCTCGTCCAGCTGTGAAGTACAAGGACGTGACGGCCGCATATATGAGCAACGAGGCTGTGAGATTCCCGATCGTTAATGTTATCACCTCAATTCGGTGCTCGCTGAAATTGCGGCATCCAAAGATGTCCAGGGGTCTTTTGGACCAGGTCAATAGCACCCAGAGCCAGTCTGGAAAGTACGGAGCCCACGAGACAAACTTATCCCGGAAAAACCTACTTATCGTACTGGGACTTGATCGATCTACGACCTGGTATATGTCAGATGCATGGCCTTCGGGATCGTTCTGAGAGCCCCAAATTGCAGCATCAAGTCCCAAAAGATCATTCCGGTCTAAGAAAACCTGGAAGTCACGAAGCTCCGCAGCATCGTAGCCTTTACCAGCAAGGCGATTGAATCTTAGAAGGGCTTCCTCTGTTTTTGGTCAATCTACGTCGACTGCAGCAATGATCTGCTTACCATATTCCTTTAATTCATTCTGGAGCTTCTCATATAGTCTGCCCTGGGTCTTTTCTCGAACGATGACAGGTGTGTTGTATTCTGCGTCGATACGGGCAAAATTCTTCAAGAAGTCGGGATCGAACTGAGCATCGCGATCTTCAAGATGCAAGAGGTCTTTCTCCAGCCCCATCAACCTATGCTGACGATAGAGCAGAAGGCGGATCGCAAGCGCGGAAAATCTTCGCAGATGTAGATATCTGGTGTGCTGCGATAAAAAGAAGGCGAGCCTGGGATAACCCTCGTTGTGTAGTGTTGGATGATTGCCTGGGTTCGCTACGGCTCGTGGTGCCGAGGCGGGTGTTTGCTGCAATGTCGCGTAATTGGCTGCGGTCGCCATTTCCCCGGTGGACTGGAGAGAATGATTACGACTTTTGGAGATCCGAGGAATGAAGAAAAGCAGAGAAAGTGGTTGGGATGCGAAAACGGATTCGCCAAAAAACAAGATCTTGCTAGGAAACGATAAGAAAAGTGCACGTCTGGGGAGATGCTAAGAGAGTACTAGATGATATTGCCCAAGAGCCTGAAAGTAACAAAAGATGTAGATCGAACTTCGTTGAGTGGGTTTGGGTCGATGCGCCTCTGCAGTATTGGAATCCAACGTCGCGCTGTAAGGCTATATACCCAGCGAGCCACAAAGATAAACTGCATTATCTGCGTAAATGTTCGCCTGTCAGATGCTAAGGTGGTCAGCTTGGGAAGCATGAAGACAAAAGAAACCGTCACCGTGATGCCCAGCATTCGTCAGAATCTGGTCCCCGGATGATCCACAAAAGAGGTGTGGTGCTTAACTCGCGCTTATGGACAAGTTGTCTCAGGCTGCAGCAATGAACGGTGTTTTCTGATTTGATTTTCGTAGCTTAGGTGCGGGGGCAGACGCCCATATAGCTGCAGTCAAAGCTTCAAGGGTGGTGGAGTTGCAAAGCCACTGGTAGAAGGCCTGCGCCCCCGACATCAAGGAGGAATCTGTACAACCACAACATTAATTGAACCCCAACAAGACGACAGACACAGCGTGTATATTCAACACATGCTGAGAGTTGAAGCGCCGTGAGGGTCATATGTGTTCTTCCTCTGGCAAGCGCAGCTCGCTTCTGAAGATGATGGATGGCTGCGATAGGTGTCCGGAGCTTCTGGTAGGATTTCCAAGGATAAATAGAACGTTTCTCGCCGGCTCTAAACGTGAGACAGTGAAGCCTGCGATATGAGGGGATATGGCGAGCGTAGGGACGGCGGTAGCCCACTAACTGCTCATCATCGACACCGAGGATGTGAAGTTGCAAGCGCCGTTCGAGATAATAATGGAAAGTTCGATGTGATGTCGCCAGACCACCTGCACGCTACTAGTGGGTATCCAAGTAGACATGTAAGTATTTGCAAGCTCGTGGTGGCCGATTTGCTAAGAGACGGCAACTAGCATGCGCAGAACGAATGATGTGCAGTGAATGTGGAAGAAACGCAGTCAAAACTGAGTTGCGGGAAATGGTGTTGGGGTTGGTCTACTCCTCGAAGCCGTTGCACTAGCACTGAGTGCTGGGCGGTACGCTAAGGCGGAACGAATCTTCATTCGGGCTATCGATCGTCTCATTGCAGGCACGCCTTTGACATCGGGCAATTTAGCAGCATGGTCAAAGTTTAAACAAAAGAGATACGCAAACAACAAAATTGTATTGGCGTCCACTCCTGCATATCGGTCTCTTTTTGGAAGAGAACTTCAAAGCCTCCACCACGATCTGATTCGATGTAGTTCACATGTAATGTAGCGATGAAACGCCATCACATTCATCAAGTTCGTTGACAGGAGGTTAACGTCGATCAAAAATGGTTGTCAAGCCTGTCGCGAGCAGTCGTCATGAAGAATAATATAGTAGTAATACTTTATACCGTACCCGTTATGTCGGCTCACGCCCTGACCCTACTGTGCTTTCTCGTTGTGACCATCATCCTAAAATCATCTGTGTACATCTGCCTCTTGAATTTCAACTCGGGTGTCAGACCGATGTCACTGGGGACCATTCACGTCGAAGCCCCGACTACTCAGCGCTTAATACCAGGACTGAGCCTGGGGGGTATCATTATCCTTTCTGTTTCTCTCACTCTTTGGCTTGAACCCAGCACAAGCTCGGTGCAATGTTCAGTCGCCGCACAGAACGAGTGCGTTCTGGTATTATTCTGGAGTTTCAACGAGCAGAGGATTAGCCGTTCAATAGTCTCCTCGTCCCCTGCCACCTCTACCCCTTCCTCTTCCACGCTTCTTGCGGTCCCAGTTGCCCCTGAAACCGCGGCCACCTTGATGACCGTTCCTCTCGTCACGCTCACGGTCCTCCTCCTCTCTTCTCATCATCTCGCGTTCGCGCTCTATTCGCTCGGCCTCAAGCTCCTCAGGGCTCTTTTCCACACGGACCTCAGGCTTCTTGAGATCGGCAGGAAACCTTGGGTGTGCACCGTACTTGCAGTTCTTACCCTCGGGACAGAAGCCGCAGAGGTAGAAGGGACAAAGCTTCTCCTTCTTGTTGTGTTTGAGCGCGCAGTATGGCCCAAGCGGACAGAAGCCTCTATCGTAGTGTGGGCATGAGGGGCGCTTCGCCTCGGGGTCGATATGTAGGTAGAGACAGTCGTCTCCATTGGAGCACGTTTGTGTCCGGGCGTAGTAGGAGCACTCGGGCATTCGTCGTAGGTTGTACTCGTGAAGGAACTCGCATGTTTCGCCTTTCTTGCATAGGCCACGCAACCAATGCTTGCATACTAGACTGAGCCGTGTTAGCTTAAGAGGTGGTGTATGCTTTACCACTAGATTCACATACTTGTTGTAGGATGAAGAGACATTGTGTTTGTTTGGGCACCTATTGCCATCCGGGCAGTGACCCTGGAGGTATGCCTTGCATACCGGGCGGTCAGGACTAAGGCCAAAGCGATATTCGCGTCGCAGAAACTCGCTGAATTTGAACGTGTATTGTGGTTGCTGGCTTTCTACGGGTTTCGGTTCGGGTGCTGGCGTTGGGGCGGAGTTCATAACCTCGGTCATCGTGGCGCGTTGTAGACGAATACGCTTCAGCCGTCTTATAGAAGTGAGCGCTACACGATGTGTATAGAGAGTAAAATTGTGGCTCTACGCTGTTGATGTGACGTCGCAAACGCTAGAAGATGCGCAGCATCACTGCCAAGATCCAAGGACGCGAGTTCACGTGGACGCTAAGAGAAGGTGCGGACTTCCAAGGTTCTTTGTTCGACACGGCGATCACCGTCTACTCCCGTATCCACAACTGCACCTTGCCAGAAACGTCTTACATGGCGGCTACATCCCGCTTGATTTTGACTTACCCTGATCTACCCACTGCATCTGCATTTCCAACGTGCCGTCGAACCGATGTTTACAGCTGATGCAACCCTGGAACCCCACGCATGGAGACGCTCTTCCATGTTTGCTTCACTATTCACGGCCCGTCGATACGCTTTGCAACATGTGAGCGTCTTCATCGACGTGTTCGCAGTCAGCCATGATCGTTTCCGGATTTTCATCCCATGCGGGGCTGGTTTTGCATTCGGTCACCACTCCTGCAACATGGTGTCTGATGCTTCTTGGCTACTACCTAGGTATCTTTCTAGCCGATTTCGCGATGCCTTCTCTCCACAATGTCCGGAAGAACGTTCCTGGCCGTGTAATTAGCAGTCAGTATCCTACCTGTCACTCTGCAACCCACTGAGAAGCTATTTCGGCTCAGCACTGATCTTGCTTTAACAATCATCTTCGCGTTACCATAATCTTGCATTGGGGTAGAGTCGAACCATTTCGGGTGGATTCGAGCAGTTTGCTCTTGAAGCACTAGGGTCCACATTACGACGCCGGAATATTCAGGAAATTGCGGCTTCGTTCGCACCCCAGGCCTGCCTCCTACGATCAATGATGCTTGGTGGCACAACCTTAGTGTGAATCCGTAGCTCATCAGTTGCCAAACTGGGCTTCACCGTCTAATCTGTAGTAGAGCCGCTATAGCAAGTCACGCATAGGAGCCTTCGTTCGTTCTAGGATGGCTGCGCGGTCCTTTGGCCTTGAGGCGATCATCAAAGACATTGCATCACCGATGGCTTCTGGCGCCACTATTGATAGCCTTCATTTATATTTACATACAAGCAGGATGTGTTCCAGAATTATCCTCGACTACCTGAAGCCATTCATTCGCTTTCCTTCCTCAATCATCTTCCAAGTCGCACAGATAATCGGTACATATTGCTCCTGCCATTGTATTACATGCACACCTATCCGATCCTCATTACCAAGGCCATACCTCAAGCCCTAACACGACAAAGAGCTTCCGATATCCGTTCAGCCTTCACCCTTTACGATCCGGCTGCCGGCCTTTACCTGCAGGGTGTTCTGACGTGCAGGAAGCTAGCCACAGCTAAGCCATAGCTTACGACGACCGAAAATGAGCCGAGACTACTTCAACCCGCCTGGTCACGACACCACCTTTTCCACACCGCTGCAAGCTATGTATTGGAACGGAGTTTACTATCCTAACTGGCGCATCTATCGCGATCAGCCACCTGTATCGCTGAACTACGATGTCATTTCGCATGTCTTCTACGCCTTTGCCTGGTACGCTAATCACTGGAGATGGTTACTAAATACATGGACTAACATGGCAACAGGGTAAAAGACGATGGAACTGTATATGTAGGTACATCAGGTGCATCGAAGCTTCCCTAACTGACTCACTCTACAGCTAAGTGATGAATGGGCGGATGCTCAAATCGATGTCCCAGGCACTGACGACATTCCTGCAGCAAAAGGATGTCTTAACTCTTTCGCCCTGTTGAAGCGAAAGTATACCCGACTACGGGTTGTGTTATCTGTTGGCGGTGGTGGGAAAGGCAGTGAGCCTTTCGCGGGTGTTGCTAGAGACCCTGCCTGCCGTGAGCGTTTTGCTCAGACATCATTGGCATTGGTACAACAATTTGGTATTGATGGCATCGACAGTCAGTATATTGATCCAGAATGGCGATACTTTTACTGAACGGGCAACAGTCGACTGGGAACACCCTGCAGATGCCAGCCAAGGCAGGGATTACATCGCTCTTCTGGCCACACTCCGTCAGTACTTGCCGGCGCCCCAATACACCCTCTCCTCAGCACTTCCAGCAGGCGAATGGGCCCTTCAGCATATCAACCTGGCGCACGCTTCGCATTATCTGGACATGATCAACCTCATGGCTTATGACTACAGCGGGCCTTGGGTGAAAAAGTGTGGTCATCAAGCTCAACTATTCACACCACACATTCCGCACAGTCCCGAAGCCGCAATATCCTGCCACTCAGCTGTCTCCTACATGATGCAGCAAGGTGTCCCAAGACACAAGATCGTCATGGGGGTGCCAGCATACGGCCGAAGTTTCACCGGAACCCGTGGTATAGGTCACTCGTTCTCCGGGCAAGCAGGAGAGGAGGGCACCTTCGAGTACCGAGACTTGCCCCGTCCGGGTGCGGAAGAGCACGTAGACGAGCAGCTGGGCGCAGCCTACTGTATTGGTGGTGACGGAGGGCTAGTCACATACGATACCCCGCAAACTGTCAGAATGAAGGCCAACTATGTGCGACAAAACGGACTAGGTGGACTCTTCTATTGGACCGGTACAGGCGACGCAAGCTCGCTCACTCAGAAGGATCGCAGTCTGGTGTATAATGGCTTCCTAGGTCTGTTCCCGCAATAGAAGCTACGTGGCTGTAACTTGAGACTATGTAGCATCCAAACATCTTGATGCGTCCTGTTGTGTCTGAAAGCTGCTGTTTGTGCTCCGTGTGTGTTCGATGGTGATGTTGCCCTACGCAAGAGCTACTCTAGCGCGACGAGCTTGGACCCTCAGACCCTTGATTGAGGGCTGGGGTGCGTGGGATGTTGTCTCGTTGAAGCATGAAGAAGATCGCAGAATTGCCGATAACACCACGTCGCACATACTGCTTCCCGAAGAATACGAGACGTGCCTCTCTTCGCCTTGTACCCTGAACGTGCCTTGCCCGCCGCTGCAACGATTGCAACCGTGTACCGCGGGCGCATGCGATTGATGCGGACTCCCGCCGAACCATATGCCTGCACCTTCCACCTCGCTGGAATCTAGTACGCCGTCCCAAGGTCAATCACAGGCATGGATCCGGCGCTGACGCTCAATGCAGCTGACTACGATCCCATCGACCATCTCAACGCCCTCTTCTCCCACCCCGCCACGCTCTCCTCCGTCTCTGCCACCTCCGACGCCCTTCGCAACTACCAGGATGACCTTGACGAAGACATTGCCGGCATCGTCGCCTCCCAGTCTAGCTCAGACGCCGACAGCGTCCAGCGTATACAGGCTGCAAAGGCAGAGCTGGCTGATCTCTTCAAGAAGATTGAGAGCGTCCGGGAGCGGGCCATGCAGACAGAACAGACCATCACCGAGATGACTGCAGACATAAAGCGTTTGGATAGCACAAAGAAGAACCTGACGCTCTCTATGACGGCGTTGAAGCGACTTCAGATGTTGACGACAGCCTACGAACAATTACGGAGTCTTAGCAAGTCGCGACAGTACAGGGAATGCGCACAACTGTTGCAGGCTGTGATACAACTTGTGGCACACTTCAAGAGTTATCGCTCTATAGACCAAATTGCAACCTTGAGTCGCAATGTGGCGGACGTACAGGGCGAATTGCTGGAGCAGGTCTGCGAGGATTTCGAGGTGACATTCGCCAAGGGGGAAACGGCGTCACGAAAGGCCATGCTCGCGGAAGCCTGTCTGGTTATCGATGCGCTCGGAGAACATGCCCGCACGAGGCTCATCAACTGGTATTGCAACACGCAGCTGCGCGAGTATCGCCAGGTCTTCCGGGGCAACGATGAAGTGAGCCACCCATGTTCGCTCATGGTGATAGCACGCTAATGGTACCAGGCTGGATCATTAGACAATATTGGACGAAGATACAGCTGGTTCAACCGGATGATGAAGACATACGACGTCGAACATGCCTCCATCTTCCCGGCCTATTGGCGGGTGAATGAGATGCTGGCCAACTCGTTCTGCGAAGGAACCCGTGAAGACTTCAAGTCCATATTACAAAAGTCTGTGCGGAGAGGCGATGGGCAGAGTTTGGATGTCGAACTGCTTCTCTCGTGCTTGCAGGAGACACTTGACTTTGAACACAGTTTAGAAAGGCGGTTCGCTAATGAGGTTTGTGAAGACAGGCTATCATATCGAACTACATGCTTACTCTGTGCAGTCTCGCTCTTCAATGGACACAGTAGCCTCCAAGGACGACCGGTCGCATGGCTTTAGTCAGGCCATCTCCGAGGCTTTTGAACCCTACATGAGCCTCTGGGTCGAATCTCAAGACAAGTATGTTACACACACTTACCTGGTCATCGCGAGACTGACTTTATAGGCAACTCGCCAATCTCATACCAAAGTACCGGCAACAACCCCTCCGAAACCCAGAGGAGGATTTCTCCCCTCAAGCTGTGATACCCTCATCGACAGAGCTGTTCCAATTCTATCGTTTGACATTGGCACAGTGCGCTAAGCTTTCGACTGGAACGAGGTTACAGGAGCTATCCATGACCTTTGCCAAGTACCTGGATCAGTACGGGCAACAGGTGCTCTACTATTTTCTTAGCGAGAAAGCAGGAGCTCAAGGACCTTCCGTCGAAGACGCTGTCCTCATTCTCAACACTGCAGATTATTGCTATATGACCTGCAACCAACTGGAGGAGAAGATCAGAGGCCGCATAGACGAGGACTTTAAGGAAAAGGTTGATTTGCAGAGTCAGGCTGATGCCTTCATGGGTATCGCTAGTGCCACAGTCCGAATGCTCGTTCGAAAAGTCGAGATGGCGTGCGAACCTAGCTGGAGGGAGATGCGAAATACACCTTGGGCAAAGCTCGAGAGTGTTGGCGACCAAAGTAGTTATGTGGCTGAACTTTTGCGTAACGTAAAGGAAAGATCTGGAGAGATCCTGAAGCATCTCCACAAGCAGCAGTATGCGCGAGCTTTCAGCGACAACCTTGTCGATCTTATGGCTTCCACGTACATTGCGAACATAATGCAGTGCAAGCCAATCTCCGAAGTTGGAGCGGAGCAAATGCTGCTGGATTCCTACGTGCTGAAGAAGGGTTTCACGGAGCTCCCTACCCTCAATGAGGAGCCTGGTACAGCGCCACCGGCAAGGTATGTTACTCAAGTCAGTTCCGAGTTGCGCCCACACACTACTAACTATGCCAAAGCTTCATCAAACGCGTAAATCAGTCCATGTCCAAGATCGACCCTCTTCTCAAAACGTTGCAAGTTCGTCCTTCGCCGCCAGAAGCCCTCGTGCAAGCCTACCTTATCCATATTGCCGACAAATCCGACACCAACTTCCGCAAGATTCTTGATCTCAAGGGCATCCGCAAGGCTGAGCAAACTCAGCTTCTCGACCTCTTCTCTGCCTTCCGTGCATCGCCCAACCACGAAAACCTCGTGCAGAACTCGCCCTTCCTTACGCCACTGCAGATCCAGGCTGCAGGTAGCGTTGGAAGTACGGCAGGAAGCGTCATGGGCACGATGGGAACACCGAGTCTTGGTGGGGGCAGGTTCGACGCAGCAGGCTTGGGTAACATGCTCGTCAATGCCGCAAGGGATGGTGTTGATCGATTCGGTAGTCCTGCGCCGGGTCAGCAGCAGGCTGGAGGTGCGGATGGAGGCGCGAACCTGGAGAGTAATTTGAAGAACATTGGCAAGTTCTTCAGGAGGGATGTGGGAGGGTTCAGAGGATTTGGACGGAGTGAGGACGGACGATAGACGAAGTTGAGAGTGATATGCGCCATTACAGTTGGGCAGAACATTGAAGCAGCAATAGATTTATATCAAACGCTCATAATCTTAACACAATAGGGGTATCACAATCCATGTTCCGCATCCGGTCCGCAAGTCGGCAACTTCAAGAGGAAACGAACAAACCGTCATCACTTTGCTCTTCCTCCCTCTCTGGATCCCTCATGTAAACATCATCATGTCCAATCAGCCCGTCCCCGTCACTTATCACCATGGCCTCTCTTCGTCTCCTCCTCACCTCATCCTGAGAGCCACCGCCCATTCTAGGCTGGACGACATCCCACCTGAACCCATGGTTTGGCAACAAAGAATCGTCTCTCCAGACACCCATATCGCCTAACAGATTGAACGCCAACTGCGCGCGATGCAACACCTCTCCATCTGCACAGTACAGATCCTTAATGAGCAGGTCTTTGGCGGATTTGGAAGCGTAGAATCGCGTGCAGAGGATCTTTGTAGCGGAGGCGCGGATATCGTTGTTGTGGCTTGTCGCCAGTGTCAAGAGAGAACTTGTCTTGATGGCATCTTCTTGGTGGGTGGGCGGGCCGGAGGGGATGGTACGCCGTTGTTGCGGGATGTTCTGTGGGTTTCGGATCTCGGTGAGGGTGCACATGTTTTGGAGGCCGTGGGAGACTTGCTGGACGGCTATGAATGTGAAGACGCCTGGAAGATGGGTTAGTGGGGCTGGGTTGGTCGATGGTGAGAGGGGTCTGTACCGAGGCCGAGCCAGAGCCAGAGGTCGGGGATGCTGGATGCCATATCGAGGTGTGTTTGGTCATGGTGTGAGGCATATGGCAACGAGGCTTGGAGACATGCTGCGGTCGTGAATGCACTTGCGCCGTGACGGCCGTCGCGCGTGAAAGTGGGGAGCGGGCTGCAGGGATGTGGCGCTAGACAGGGGCCATCCATGCCGAAATCTTGGTCTGGGAAATAATTTCAAGCCGACCATCTCGTGTCGCCCACGAGCTCTCTCAGCGCCGAACACCCTACTCACAGGTCTCCGGGCCTCGACATAGTCACAGACATGCCGCCCTCACAGCTGAAGCGGCTAAAGGCCTCGCTCCGCGAACAAGGCATCACCGGCCCGCAAAAGTCGAAGAAGCAGAAGAAGTCGCAATCCAAGAACGCCGACCACCACGAACGGAAAGCCTCTGCGCTCGCCTCAATTCGCGAATCTTTCAATCCTTTCGAGTTCAAGCACCTTGCGCGCCCCCACAAGCATGAGTATGTCTCTGCGCAGGCCGAGAATGCTCCCAAGAAGATCCTCGGTAGACCCGGCGTCACCAAGAGCGCAGGCGAGGAGGCACGTAGGAAGTCGCTGCTTCCAGAGATGCATCGCAAGAACAAGGTCGGAGGTATCCTCGATAGGCGGATAGGTGAAGATGACCCGACAATGAGTCTGGAGGACCGTGAGATGGCGCGCTTTGAGAGGGAACAACAGCGCAAGAGGGGCGGGAATGTGTTTGACCTTGAGGATGATGCTGACGAGGTTGAGCTCACCCACGGTGGACAGTCTCTCCGTTTTGACGATGAGATTGGAGAGGAAGACTATGATGCGGCAAGCATTGCTGGGTCAAGTGACGGCGAAGATGGCTTCCTGAAGAAGAAGAGGCGGAGAGACGATGAGGATGGCGATGTGGATGGCGACGCGGCTGCGGATCAGCCAGAGAGGAAGAAAAGCAAGGCAGAGGTCATGAAGGAGGTTGTGGCCAAGTCGAAGCAGCATAAATACGAGCGTCAAGCACAGAAAGAGGACGACGATGAGCTACGAGACGAGCTTGATAAGGACCTCAATGACGTGTTGGCCGCTCTACGAGGACACATCAACAAGAAGCCCGAGCCTGAGAAGCCCAAGGACCCTCAGGTCAACGAATTTGGCATGAACGCCGACCGCGCTGCACTTCTAGCTGGAGCTACACAGCAAGACAAGGACAGAGAGTACGATACACGTGTGCGCCAACTGATGCAAGATTCGCGAGCGAAGCCGACAGAACGAACAAAGACGGAAGAAGAGAAGGCTAGAGAAGAGGCAGATCGCTTGAAGGAACTTGAGCAGAAGCGCATGAAGAGAATGCACGGAGAGCCTGTCAGCGATGACGAAGAACCACGCAAAAACGGTATCGAGGAGCTTGATGAAGACGAAGATGACGACAGCCTGCCAGATGATGCTGCCGAGTTCGGACTAAAAGCGCCAGGCCAACTGAGACCCGACGGCGTTGAAGACGAGGACGACTTCATCATGGACGATGACCTTGTTGCTACCGACTCAGAAGCCGATATGTCCGACGATGAGTCTGATGCTGGCTCTGCAATCGACGACACAATGGCCATGGACGAGGAGGACGCAGACTTCTTGAAGCACGTCATGCCGGAGCGGAAAGAGCAACCCAAGGCTGTTAACGGCGTCCTCACTCTCGGTGTTGAGCCTTCGTCCAAGTTGGCGTTTACTTACAAATGTCCGCGGACTCATGAGGAGTTACTGAGTGTCTTCAAGGATGTTACCCCCAACGATACCTCCACCGTCATCCAGAGGATACGTGCGCTCTATCATGCTGGACTGCATTCGGACAACAAGAACAAGCTTGCCGACTTCGCTTGTGCGCTCATTGATCATGTCTCCTACCTATCAAACCAGACGCCAGCTGTGTCCCTGGCTGTGATTGAAGCGATCATCCGTCATATCCATTCCATGTCGCGGTCATACCCGGTTCAGATTGCTACCAAATTCCGAGAACATTTGAAGCAGCTTCAGGTTTCGAACGACCCAACACCAGGTGATCTGGCTCTACTTTCTGCTATTGGATCCATCTTCCCCACTTCTGATCACTTCCACCAGGTCGTCACTCCCGCCGTCACCCTCATGGCTCGCTGGATGGGACTTACCTCGCCTGCTTCTACTACAGATGTTGCAACAGGTGCTTTCGTTGGTGCGCTATGTCTGCAATACCAAAGACTATCGAAGCGATACATTCCTGAGTTTGTACGCTACACTGGACTTGCCCTCAAATCAGAGCACGCCACGCCCGCTCTCCTGGCAGCGCACAGCAAGAACGTCATCACTGCCGCCGAACTCTGGAGTGCCTCATCCGCGTTCATCGAGATCTTCAGCCCGCTACTTGCACCCCTCAAGTCCGCAAACCAGACGTCTACCTACCAGAACCTCCGTGCCCGGATATCCCTTGCACGCTCCAAACGGCGACCCCTTCTCCTACACCATCACCGTCCCCTACCCATCAAATCCAGTATTCCCAAATTCGAAGAATCCTTCGATCCCAACCGCCACTATGACCCTGATAAGGAGCGCTCAGAGGCCAAGAAGCTGCAGAAGGAGTACAAGCGCGAGAGGAAAGGTGCACTCAGGGAGTTGCGCAAGGACGCCAACTTCATTGCGAGAGAGACGCTCAAGGAGAAGAAGGAGAAGGACAAAGCTTACGAGACCAAGTACCGGAGGCTTGTGGCAGAGATCCAGGGTGAAGAGGGCAGGGAGAAGAATGCCTATGATCGGGCGAAGAAGGCTAGGAAGAGGGGTTAGATGTGAAAGTGACTTTCAGCGAGTGGGTACTGCTGAGTGTCGCGCATTGGTACTGGCGTTGTTGAATGGATCGTTTCGTAACGAAGACAGCAGCATTGATGCATCAATCATTTGCTGCCACTTCGTGATGTTGACGTATATCAGTCGACTACAAAATTCTTTTTCTTGGCATCATTTTTGAGCATTCGATCAAATACTTGGTGATTGTCGCCGTGATGTTCATATACCCCTAGTACCTTGATTGTGACGAATTCTATGGTTGATCGTAACCCAGGGCTCACCTTGACCCCTACGCACCACTTTCTCATCAAGTAGAACCTATACTTGCCTCATCTTATAAACGTTGTCTGCTCACAGCTCCCGTTGGCCTTGAAGCAAACTCCCTCACACACCACCAGTCCTCTACTATTCACTACCTACCGATCACTGTTTACCAAATCAAGATCGGGATTATGATTGGTGACTTCACATATCCCAGAAACGCGGCGACACGTGAAGCAATATACGCTCCCATACATATCCACACGATGCAAGATCTGATGCTGATTACTACAGTATACTTTGCAACCAACGCGAGTCATTGAGTCTTAGCCTGCTGACTGAGGAGTATGCTGCATTTAAATCGAAGGGAAAAGTTCGACTCTTCTAGAGCAACGAGCTCGTTGGAAAATCAGGTATATAAGTTTAACAATCCAGACTTTACCTCTTACTTCTCGAGACATCTGCATGCCGTTCCACTTGCAAAGACCGAAACACTTCCTTGTTTTATCAACAACAGCAATAGAAGAAACTAAGAACGCTGAGATCGTAAGTCTTCTACTGTGCTGCGGTCTACAACAGCATACGATTAGGAAATGTAGTTAACTAATAACAATGCATTTTTTTGTTAAGGATCATCGGTCCAGAAATGGCATATTCCTGTTTCGCTCTATTGCAGTAGGCGAAAAATAGATCTCGGTGCTGTTTACTCGGCCAACCCTTGCAGAAAATTGCTGGGAGCGATCCTTTTTGATAGACGTTGTACATAGTAGACCCATGTAGGAGCGGGTCTCAAGCGGGCACGTCTACACGCGTTATAACATTGTAGCGTTCGCCTAGATTGGACGGACGGATTGATCCGACTCGACTCAGCACTGGATACTCTTGGTGGAGGTATCGTGTCGTGCAAATCTTTAAGGTGGGCAACCGTGTGGATGCGAATACGTAGGACTGAGGGTCAGCCAAGAGGGGAAGTCGGGGAGTGATGACGCCGAACGCGCGAGACTAGCTTGATGTAGTTGCAGCACTTCTGTGGAAAGCAACCTATCCGTATCAACGGAAGGATTGAGCCTCAACCAGAGCAACAAAGCTAGCCGCCCGCTCTTGAAATCCAGACACAAAGTATCGTGAAAACCCATTCAATGGTGCTTAGTTGGCGTGTAGAATTGACAATGGCGGTATGCACCTCTTGTAACTTCCTTTCCTAAAAGGACGAGGACCCCACGTTGAATGGCGCCTGCTCGCTTAGTAAAGACCAGTTTTCCCCACGTGCGGCTGCCATCCTGCAAAGAACCTTAATTGAACCCACAAACTTCTCCTACGCAGCGGATCTAGTATCGGACCTATCACGGGCGCTTTGTGGTGTTCAGAAACGGTTGCCCTGGATTGGATGCAAGTTCCCGTCGAATCCAAGTGCCGTCTCAACGTATCCGCACAGCCGGCTTTCCCCAGAGCATGACGTCAGAACTGACTTTTCGACATCACGAATGCGCTCAACAAAGACCTCCCGAATTTAGAAAATCCCGCCTCTTTTGATTGGAGGACACTACGTGCAAAGATATTGACGCACGTAATGTAAAGAGGCGTCGAGCTGGCTGCTGTGCTCAGCAGTATTGCAAATAGCAGAACGTCAAATGAGGTTGTAATCACGAATGCTCTAGAAGGATCCGTTTGTGCCAATTATGCCACAGCTCAACCATTCACCAAGCTCACTTGGCGTGCTCGCACACCGAAGTCGACATCTTTGCTCCCGAGCACGCAATTCAGGCCATACCTTTTTTATTGGGCACTAGGGCGAACCGCGAGCGACCATCACATCCTTCGCGCGCCATCCCTGTCGCCGCACCCGCATACCCTTGCAAGCTCGACCCATCTGCCATCAGATTGAAGCCGGTACCGCGGCGAAAAGCGTCACAGTCGCTTGAACTTCGTTAGATCTGATCGGCATATCAGGGCAGCATTATGTCACTTGTCAGAACCCTCCACCCGGGCGTTGCTTGGAAATACTCCCTACCTACCTCGAGCCCTCTACCGTAGCAGTGGCCTTATTGCCTCGACATCTCCCCGACTGCGCGTCGACCAGTAGCCTACATCGGATCCCTTCAAAACCAATTCCGATCCAGTAACGGAAGCGATCACGCAATTTTCCGCCAGGTCAAGCAATTCGGAGGCGTCTTGAAGGCTTCGGTCCTTCCCACATCCAGTACACTCAAGCTTCCCAAGCTATCTCGACTTCGAAGCTCACAGGGCCGATCCTGCAGCCCAGACCGGCATCGCGACACTGCTATTCGCTCTGGAGAGACCGCGTGCGTTTCGCTCCAAGCCATCAATTGCTTGTGCTGTGCTTGTGAACGCCTCCCAGCCCGTTGGTCCTCATAGATAAACTTTCAGACGCCTGGCAACTCTTGTCCTTGCTTCTGAAGCTTATTCGGCCTTGTCAAACTTGGTACTGGATTTCAAGCACGTGGCCCTCCAAGTGCTGAACCAGTGCATTTTTGTTCGAACGCGTTGAAGAACTCCTACCTTAACGATGGCTTCTACAGCCAATAAAGTCGGCCACAGCCTGGCAAAGGTCTTAGGCATCGACCTGCACTACCGGAACGAAACTGGCTCAGAGCGCGTAACACGAGGCGAAAGTGTTTTCACCATCGACTCCGCAGATACATATGTTGAGGATGAACCTACTGCGAAAGAATGGATTCAAGACACTCTTCCCAGTGGACCCGAGTTCAGAGAATATTGCTACAGCTTGTTTCCGTTCCTTCATTGGATAGGTCGCTACAACGTACAATGGTTAATAGGTGACCTTGTCGCTGGTATGTCAAGCTATAGTTTGATTGTTTTGTATAGCTACTAACTTTCGCCAGGTATCACCGTGGGTGCTGTTGTCGTTCCCCAAGGTATGGCCTACGCAAAGCTTGCTGAGCTTCCTGTCGAATTCGGATTGTACTCTTCGTTCATGGGCGTACTCATCTACTGGTTCTTCGCTACCTCGAAAGACATCACCATCGGACCCGTCGCAGTTCTATCCACAGTCACTGGCGGTGTTGTGCTGTCAGCGGAAGAGAAATTAGCCGGTCAGGGTATCTCACGAGACATGATCGCATCCTCGTTGGCCATCATCGCCGGATCAATCGTTCTCTTCTTGGGTCTTGTCCGTATGGGCTGGATTGTGGATCTCATCTCGTTGCCTGCAATCTCAGCGTTCATGACTGGCTCTGCGCTCAGTATCGCTGCTGGACAGTTTCCAACCATGATGGGTATCACAGGTTTCTCGACTAGGGATCCCACATACAAAGTGGTGATCAACTCGCTCAAGTACCTTGGACGAACTAACCTTAACGCATCATTCGGCTTGACTTGCCTCTTCCTTCTCTATGCGATCCGTTTTACATGCGGCCAGCTCGCAAAGCGATTCCCTACCCGTGCGAAGCTGTTCTTCTTCATCAACACTCTGCGAACGGTGTTTGTTATTTTGCTGTACATTCTGTTCAGTTACCTAGCAAATCGAGAGCACAAAGCCAACGGAACTAAGCCAATTATTACCACTCTTGGAACTGTTCCGCGAGGTAAGATGCTTCTTAATCTTGATCAGATCCATTACTTACAACTTCAGGATTCCAACACGCTCGCGTACCCAAGGTCACAATTCCCATAATCAAGTCGTTCGCCACCGAATTACCGTCTACTGTCATCGTCCTCCTCATCGAGCACATCTCCATTGCCAAGTCGTTCGGACGAGTGAACAACTACGTCATCAACCCATCGCAAGAGCTCGTGGCCATCGGCGTGTCCAACTGCTTGGGACCCTTCTTAGGAGCATACCCCGCAACTGGTTCTTTCTCTCGCACTGCCATCAAGTCTAAGGCTGGAGTCCGCACGCCTTTCGCAGGTGTCATTACGGCCATCGTAGTGCTTCTCGCTATCTACGCACTTCCGGCTATGTTTTGGTACATTCCCAACGCGGCACTATCGGCAGTCATTATCCACGCAGTGCTTGACTTGATCACACCACCAAACACCGTGTACCAATTCTGGAGGATCTCACCACTTGAGGTCATCATATTCTTCATTGGTGTTCTGGTTACAGTCTTTTCCAGCATCGAAAATGGTATTTACGTTACAGTGTCCGTATCGGCAGGCATGTTCGCTTTCCGTCTGTTCAAAGCCAAGGGTCGTTTTATGGGCAGAGCCAAGATTCACTCCGTTATCGGCGACCATCTGTTGGACCCGCATGAGGAAGACAAAATGCCATCGCCCGGTTTCAAGCAGAAGCCAGCAGAGGGAGAGCACTCCATTCGTGAAGTTTTCTTGCCTATTGATCACAAGGATGGATCCAATCCAAGCATCCAGCTGGAGGATCCTTACCCAGGTATCTTCATCTACCGATTTAGCGAAGGCTTCAATTATCCAAACGCAAACCACTACCTCGACCAACTCACCGACATCATATTTGCAAAGACGCGTCGTACAAACCAAGCGACGTACAACAGACCCGGCGACCGCCCATGGAACGACCCTGGCCCTCGTGGAAAGGAGGCTCAAGTACAAGACGATCGGCCTACGCTGAAAGCCATCATCCTCGATTTCTCATCTGTCAACAACGTCGATCTTACTTCAATCCAGAACCTGATTGACGTAAGGAATCAGCTTGACAAGTATGCGGCTCCAGACACAGTTGATTGGCATTTCTGCAACATCAACAACCGGTGGACCAAGCGCTCTCTTGCTGCAGCGGGTTTCGGTTACTACACCCCCGAGACGCCTGACAGCGGCATAACGCACCGCTGGAAACCCATCTTCAGTGTCGCCGAGATCGGCGGTTCAGACTCGGCTGCTGCGCAAGCAGAAGCACGCGAGAACCTCCTCGCTCAACGCGCACTATCGCAAGTACGAAGTCACGATATCGAGGCAGCACATCCAGAATCGGGTGACAGTTCGGAGACCGGTAGCATAACAAAGCAGTTGGAACACAGCAAGGCGTACGGACATGTGGAGGCTGGTGATGCTAGGCAGAGGGGCCGGATAGCGGTTGTTCAAGGGCTGAACAGGCCGCTGTTCCATGTCGACGTAACGGCTGCGCTCAACAGCGCGTTGGCTAATGCGCAGAGAAAGAGTCACTAGATAATTTTGTGGTCTTTCGGTAGTGGTAATGCGGCTTTCTTTCAGTATATATATATATTGTCAGTACATAGAGATGATATCTATTTGCGCTCGGCTGATGGCCTAGAGTGTGTTTTTCGCGTTCAAAAACTAGTTTTATCATTTGCATGCATCGTGATGCAGGTGCGCAGTCTATTGATGGATGCCTAAGGTGCTGTTGCAGAGTTAGCATTCACATTCAAGCTCGTTACGATCATAAATGTGAGAAAGCTTAGTAGAAGATGGTTTTTGACATTGTCATTCTATATAGACGATACTCGTGCTTCTGCCACGTGGGTATATGTACCGCATCATGCTCCATATACAAAAGAATCAACGCCGTGCTATGCCCCGCCCTGAATCATTTTCTTAGCCTCGCTCCGTACAGTGAAAGAAAAGTCTCGCTCCTTGTAGTAATTTCCGGGTGCTAGCCAGAGAGTGTCTGCGCATACTTGAAAGACCCGCTCTCTGCCATGCATATGTCCATGTCCCTGCTCCCTGGATTCCCGTTGCTAGGTGTCTGATGCCGCAAACATCTAGTTGTACGCTTCAGCTGGCAAAGACTCTCGACTTTGTGCGAAGAGAGCGCCTGCTTGCTCGATGTTCCACTGGCCAGCCTCCAGACATTGAATGGCGTAGTCGCGCTTGAGGTTGGTTTCGTGCTGAACATAGAGGATCATCTCTTCTTTCCTTTGCTGCTCCGGGTCGATAGTCGTTGGTATAGGTGTTGGTGTGGTGGATGGTGGTATTTGCTGTGCGTTTGCTGCATTGTTGTTTGCCACTGCTGCGTCAGGACGAACCTGATTGCCATTCAAAATTTTGAGTTTAGGAAACCAAGAGATGATCTCATCCTCCCAGTTGGGTGTTGGGAACCGGTCGACAATGAGGTGTTCGACGTTCCTGAAGCGGCCTTTCCAAGGCTTTAGCGCGTCCAGCGTCGCAAAAGCGTTGTTGCTGAGATCAAGGTTCTGGATGTGGCGGAAATGATTGCAGAGTTGGTAAACAGCGTGTGTATTTTGGAGGTTATTGCCGGCGAGTGTGACGCTGTGGATTGCTTGCTCTTTTGCTTCTAGCGTCTCAAGAATGGCATCGCAAACGATCATGAGGGCAGGGAAGAACTTCTTCTGTGCACCTTCTGAGGCAAACATGCCAGATTGGAGGATCTCTTGATCTCCAGCAATAGTCGAGAGGTTTAGTAATTTGTTGGCTGCATCGTAACGTCGTCCGAGGAAGCCTTCCATAAGCGCGTAGGATGGATTCGATTTCAGCTTTGCAAGCATGTCTTTGTCGACTAACGGTTCTCGTGAACGGTTTTCATGCTGGAAATTGTTTGGACCGCCCCTGAATCCTCCTCTTCCTCGTCCCCTTCCTCTGCCTCGTCCACGTGAGGAGTCACCATCAAGCATCATCTGATCGTCATCGTGGTTTTGTGGTGTGAAAGAAACGCTCCAGTTCCCGCGTCCTCGACCCCGACCCCGCCCCCGTCCGCCTCTTGGTTGATCGTTCATTCTTAATCGGAGTACGTTGGTTGTGCTGTTGTAGAAGTGTAAGTGAGCAAGGCCGAGAAGCTGAAACCGTCTATAAAGATCGAGGGTCCGTGCGCCGCCAAGCCACGTTTTCTCGCCCTCTGGCAATCGTCATTGGTCTGACGTCGAAGGTTCCGTGGATCGTGACTGCGGTTTACTGTTGTCGTGTCTTTACCTACACCTATTATTTTGCGCAGATAAACTCTGCCTGATCATTGGTTGCTTGACTCTGGATCCACACAACAGCGGCCTCACACTTTCGCCCTTCGTAGCGTAGCTAGGCAGCAAGGCAACTAGGCAGCCACTGTGATGACAGCCTGAAGAAACTCACCCTGACCAGCACTAGACTCGCTACATACCACACTCCATAGTTCTTAAAACAAAGGCATCTAGGTACCGTTAACCAGAAGGTGATAGCAGAAGTAACATGATAGAAGGCAGGACGACTGGTTCATAGTATGACTGAAGGCAATGTTCGCGTAAATAGGCGTTTCTTGTCAGATATTCGACCTAGATAATACAAGGTTTGTTCGGGGAGAATTTCCATCCTTCTACACCTCTCCATACCCACGCCGCCCACGTCACTCTACCAGATACGTAAAGATGAGTCAAGTCTTTCCAGAGATAGCCTGCGACGCCCAAAACTCCGAACACGAACGCGCGTAAATGCAACAATGAGAGGGTCCATAGAAAGACCTTGAGGGGAAAATAGCCATCTACTGTGAATGGATTTTCTTAATCCTGTTCACACCCTCATACAGTGCCCGGTCCACGGCTGCAGCGACGGTGAGAGTACCACCAATTACGGCGCAGAGACCGACGAGGAAGCCAGAGAAAGTCTTCTCGCGGACTTCGCGGTTTATGACCTTCATTGGTGAAATGTCCTGTGGCAGATATTAGTGATCGGATTCAGGGGTCAAGGGAAGGGAACCGCAAAACTCACATAAGAGAAGAAAACGCCGGGAATACCTCCCCTGGCGTGGATTCTTTCCTTGTGACCCTCCTTCTCATCAGTACCACCCTGGAGACTCCTATGATGACTAGTAACAGAGTACTGGTGCGTCTCAATACTGCCCTTATATGTAGCATCAATCGTGGCGCCGAGCAGCTCATCTTGTTTACCGGGACGACTAATCTCCTTCTCCCAGCCGAGAGGCAGGTAAGCGGTCGACACGACCTTGATGAAGTACATGTAGTTGTATGCCTTCTCGTCGGTGTGCTGCTCGGTGTCATCGAGAGGATTGATGTGGTGGTTCGACCATCCACCGGCGGCTGAGCCTTGGTGTTTCCTCTGCATGTCTTGGACGACCACATCGCTGAGCTGAGGGCCAAAGCGAAGCTGGTGGACCCGATGGGTAAAGGTGTGCGCGTACTCATCCTTGAAGTAGTTCTCGAGATCGTGGACGTGCAGGTTGCCGTTGGAGAAGGACTTTCCAGGAGCAATGTGGAAGTTTCCGACGACCTTGTTGACACGGATACTGCCCTCAAGACGACATCCTTCCTGGCGTTGTTGATCGAGATGTTCGGCGTAGTGCTCTCTCTCGCATTGTTCGACTCCCTCTCCACGGCCAAAGGACCATGAGATTGAGGCATAAGCATCGCGGACTTCGTCGCAGGTGTTGCAACAGCCAGGTTTGATTGCGTTGGTGGGGGAAGGGGCGCCGTAACATTCGCCGCAGTAGTCGGGGGCCAGATGTGACGCTTCGTCAGCGTGCCTGAAGTCACTATCAGCACTCTGTTGCTTCTTGGACATGCTCCTCTATCCAAAGCACTCTATAGACTTACAGATCCAAAGCCTTGATGTCGATAACTTTGCTACCCTCCTTCTCAGGACTTAGTCGAACCTTGTTGATACCGTGCGTGACGCCCATTTGCAACTCGCCAGATACATCCATGACATCGAGAGTGAGTAGTTCGCATGGCACTCTTGGAAACGTTACGTTCAGGGCGATCTCCATGCGTTCGCCTCTGCCCTTATCGACCACCAATTCTGGCCGTACCGTTACTCTCCTGTAATCGGCCCACTCGCCCCACGTTAACCAAAAGACAACCAACAAGCTGACTATGGTGACAACCCCACCGGATGTTGTGCGCACGCGCGCATCTTCGACCGTCTTGGTAAAGGCATCGAGCCTCGTGAATCGCGATTTCGCGGGCATGTTGACGGGCTACCACTGTAAAGTAGTTGAGATTGTGGGGTATTGCTACGACGAATTGTACGTTCTACCAGCGTGCTCTGCGATAGAAAGGGAGTCTCAAGGTAAGACGGCGGGGGTTGCAACCGAAAGTCGTTCGGGATATGGTAGGAGCTCGTGCCTGGAACGTGGAACCAAGTTCACGCGCACTGCAAACGCGATTGGCGTTGCTTCTGGGCAACGAAGAGAGTGAATGAATGAATGTTAGCACAATTCGTGCCAAAGCCGCACTATCATTGTACGAAGAAGGGAAATGGTGAGCAAGTTCAACGCGTGGACGCGGCAACGCTCCGGCTGAAACTAAAAGGACAGCTAACAGCATCTTGCGACCGAACACTAGCTCCGAGCGCTGCGCCGCGCTAGCGTGCTTCTGGTAGGTGCGCATTCCGAGCACGTGGGTGCATTGTGCCGCCAACACCAGGACCTGATTAGCACATATGGGAGAATGTTTTCAACATAACTGCACAGTGGCTCGAAATAATTTCATTAGGTCTTGGAAGCGGTGACCAGAGTGCTCTATCATAACGCTGTTCGAGGGCGATCCGATCGGCGCTCTGCAACCACAGAAGCATATAAATAGCCTATGAAGCGAGAACGTTCCTGAGCATGCTGTTGAAACCCTCGCTGAGCTTGTACAGCTCCACGATCGCCGGCTTTTTGGGTTCGCCAGCCTTTCTCCTAAGCTTCTCAGCAGCGCGCGCTCGGCTCTTGCGCTCGGCTTCGATTGGATCTGCTACATCTGTGTCGTCCATGTCTTCTGAGTCGGTCGAGTCGCTACCATCATCATCGAGTTCAAGGTCTTGAAGATCCATCTGTATCCACATCAGTACATGAATACAATGTTGTCAGAGCAAGAAACGTACCGCATTGAGTCCAAAGTCACTCGACTTGAAGCCAGCAATACCGCCCATAAGCGGGTCAGGATCGTCACCACCACTCGCCATCTTCTGTCTGGTCTTGTCTGAATGCCACTTCTTCCGCGCCATTTGCCACTTGATGAGACTGTTGATCTCGCGAATCGCCTTGTTCTTGTCGATCAAGTTTGAATCCATACCACCCTGGAAGAGTGCATTCATGTCGAGCTTACCGCCACTTCCAGGCCCATGGCGTAGGAAATCCAATATACCCTCTAACCAGCCCATGAGCTGGTCAAAAAGACCATTGTCGTGTTTGTGGACCTCGTGAACGAACTTGTAGAAGTTACCCTCGTGACGAGCGCACAGATCGATAAAAGCTTGCACGGTTTGATTGGGGTCTGCAGAAACTTCTTGCCGTTGGCAAGCTTCAATTGTCTTAATGGTGTCATCGGCGAACATGGCAAAATCAGTAATACTGTTGTATACGTTCGCGGACTTGTAGACACGGACAAGCGGCTCGTAGAAAATGGTGAATAGATCTCGGAAGAGTTGGAGAGTCGTGGGCTAGAGAAACGTCAGTCATTCGTTCCAGATATCGCTCTCCTTTCCAGCTTACCTCTTCGATGATTTGTAACATCATCAACTTATCTCTTTGTCTTAGGCAGAGCTTCAAGTACTGTTTCAGGTGCGCGAAGAGCTCAGCGCCTGATCGCATCTCCTTTTCGACCTGGCCGGTCGCGTTAGTTGCTGTACTGACATTGCTGCGGCTGCTAGCTGTTCTACTGAGGCGGCGCGATCTCACATTTTCGACCGCGTTGTTCCATGCAACGTAGGCATTGAAAACCTTCTCCACCTGTTGCGAAGATAACTCTGGTTGGAAAAACTCGGAACGTAGTATAGTCACCACCACATCGACGTTATCGCGCGCAGCTTCCTGTCGTATCGCTTCCTTAACGCCCTCGTCTGCTTGTACGTATGCTTTGATCTTGTCGCAAAGCACGTCATCCTTGATCCTGGTAGAACCGAGTGTATCGATTGTCTTCTGCACAGAGTTGACACCATCATTGATGGCCATACCAAATATACGTTGAAGTAATGATCGAGCACCGAACGGTTGGGCAAGGAACAGATCCAGGACTCCACTCATGACTGCGGCAGGGTTGGCTATCCTAATGACGTTCTTGAGGACACCGTATGGAACGAGAGAGTGTATGCGCTTCGCTTGAGCAAATAGCTCGGGGGAGTTGTCTTCCGCTAGGAACAAATGGTAGATGGTAGCAGCCACTTCTATCCGTAACCACTCTGCGAACTTTTGGTACTCTGGCTTGAGCTCTGCGATCGTGTTCTTGACCCTGATCTCCTGGAACAGGTGGGAGAGTCCATTGGCTTCTACAATCTCTCTCCTGAACTTCTCCATGTGGATATCAAGCTCCGCTGCTCGCTTGCGCGCAACTTCGTAGAACTGCCTTTGCTCTTCTATGCGCTTCTTGTCCATCTCTTCTCGCCTTTGAATGTCTTCCATCTCCTCCTCGTTGACCTCTATGGGATCGCGTGTCAGAAATTCGGCCATGGCACTCGATTGGGCAATGCGCTCATTGTGTAGAAACGATCGGAGGAAGGCACGTAGAGAAACACGTTGCTCTTCCCTGTATAGTTTCCGAGGGGCCTTGTACGCCGAGTAGTCCGTCGAAGCCCTTGGCGAGCGTCTTCCTAGCGATGTTTGTGAGGCGTTTTTCTTGTGTCCACTACCAAAGATATAGCTGCGCAGACCACCACCGCCACTATTCTCAGGTTCAGGAGGAGGTGGCCCTTGGGTAGATCCCGACGAGATAGAGCTTACATCATCGTCATCAACACTTGACTGTAGAAGCCCATCTTTTGCGTTCTTTCGAGGTAACGGGGCGAGTACTTTGCCGGGAAGTTCGAGACGTATGCGCTTGTGTAATTGGACGAAGTCTGCGTATCGACGGCCAATATAGAAATCTTTGTCTCCATCGTGCTTTACTCGTATGAGGTACTCCTGCAAATGCAACGTTAGATTCTGTCCGTTTTCAACTTGCATCTCTACTTGCCGCATGTGTGTGGTACCGGAGATGTCTCTTCACGGAGGTTGTCCTGACACCTGAGACATTGACGTCCCAACCGTTGATAGAGTGGCCGCTCGGCGTGTTCATGGTAAGTCCCTTCTCGTCCGCTTGTCTATCTACGATTTCCATTTCGGCGAAGCGTATTCTTTCTTCGTAACCTGACGCGGTAGGGATACCAGATACCATCATTAGCTCGACCAATTTCTCGGCTTTGAGCGCCAACTTTCTTCTTTTGGTCTCTTCCAGCCGATCTTCCGAGGATGAGATGTCTTTGCTCGCAAAGGACTCCAGAAACTAGAACAGCACCCTTGTCAGTTGCATCTCTACCTAGTATGACCTCATACGACGTACAACTTGGAGTTTGTCCTGCCAGAACTCCTTCTCCTTGGCCTTGTCCAGGAAGGGGAAGTTGCGAACATGGTTTACGAATATGTAGCGGAGGAGGGGCAGTTCTGAGTCTTCTGGCGCAACTTCGCCGGCATCTGAGCGAAAGGGCGCGCCAAAACGTCGCAGCGCTGTAGGAGAGGAGAGTTCGGCGATTTCGTACTTGGTTTGCTGGGAGATGAGTTCGCGCTTGAGATCTGCGCATCTATCAGTATGGCCAAGGGCCCAGGGATGATGATGTATTGCTTACAGTGCTCTTGTTTGCCCGTTAATATAGACCCTTCCGGCGGCACGGACACGGTAGAGAACTTGGAAAAGGTCGTGTCATTGCGCGTGGGCACCGCAGGCCGCGCCGGCTCGCCAAAGTTCTGTACTGAGGGCTGGGGATTCATCGTGGTGGGCTCGGTAGCACCGTTGAGCTGAATGGCGGGCGGGGCGTCGAGGTTGGCGGGCATACTTGAATTAATAGCAACGTAAGAACACGGGCTAGGGAGCCGCGAGCCGAAAGAAGGAAGATAGGGTGTAGAATTAGAAGGAAAAGCGAAAAGCAGCCTTTAGGGTCCCTGCAGATGAGCGTCGACGCGTGTTGTATGACGCCGGAATAGCACCTCGTACTGCCTGTGGCTGCGCCTGAGGCTGGTGCCCTGCGGAGATGCGGGCACGACAGCAAGGACAAGAGATACGATGGGGCTGCACCGCCCGTTCCTCTGCTCAAAGTGGATCACCTCAATGCTTGTCGGCACTGAAGCAGAGTCGGGCGCGTAAAGGATTGTGGCTGAGTGACGCAACCCGATGCCTTAGCCCATGACGCAGAGGCCCACGAGGCCGAACGCAGGAAGGAACGGCATCGCATCTCTTGGCCGTGTTCGCGCTTTGTCTCCCATCTTGTTTCCTTAATACGCGCGCCGTATGCTGTGAACGTATACGAGACAACCAAGTTGGACAGACAGATCACCCCTCCTCGGGACGGCGCGTAAGATTCGGATATAATTTGAATCGGACCGCTTCGGCTCGCTTCAACTCACAAACATCGCATCGCAGCATCATGCATCGCTTACAGACGTCCACTTGGCGCACTGTCACTAATACCTAGCAAGGAAACCTGACGTCGAACACGTTCTGGCCACGGGCCAAGATGGCCGATTTACTGACTAGTCACAATCTCACATTAGAAGAACATGCTCGACCCTGTGGTTTTGAACTGCAATTTGGTTAAGTTCTATATCTGCCTAGTTGTACAAGATACAGGCCCATGGGTAAATGTCTCTTCATGCCAATCAATGGCAAGAGTTATCCTGGGACGCCGACCTACTCCATTCCCAAATTGCTGCCGAGGTATTCTGTGGCATTTCGGCAACAAGAGAAATCAAGTTATCCACCCTAACGCCAATCCACTGAACATCTTACACTACAGCCACCCATGCTTTGCAAGTTTGAGACTCAGTAGTTGAGCTCTCCGCTGCCACCCCCACCAACCGCGTCCAAATCCTCGTAGCTCTTGATGGACCGACCTTGCACAGATTGTACAGGGCCAGGTCCGCCCTCACCGTATCGCTGAGGACCCTGACGGCTACCACGGGGCGGGGGTGTCAGCCGGCCACCGTTGACAGCAGGACGAGGACGACCATCACGAGGTTGGCGATCGTAGGGTCCAGTACGGCTGTTGAAGCGGTGGCCGCCCCGTCGCATGGGGCCGGCGCGGTCGTCGTGGGCAGCATTGGGGTCCCAGGTGCCGCCCATAGCAGGATTAAACATGGCGCCTAGGTGCACCCCATTCTGCATGCCATTGTTTGCCATTGCCATGTTCATGTTGGCCAGGTTGAACCCCCGCGGCGTTCCAGTAGCCTGGACATGGTTGCCCATTGGGAAGTGACCATTACTATTGGCATCACTACGCGATGGAGCAATATGAGCAGGGTCGACAACATAGCTGTTAACCAGTCGTAGCTGTATCAGGTTAGTAAGGAAGATTTTCCTAATGTTTCACGTCAATACTCACATCCTTACGCAATTTTTCGAGCCACTCAGGATGACGCTTCTCAACGTGCTTTTGCCAGAAATGCTGGCCCTTGAACAGCTTTGTGCACTCCGGGACCTTACAGCGCCACTTGGATTCGTCCTCTTGTTTGACATAGCGGGAGAGTTCGTCCTCGATGGCCTCCTCCAGAGGTTTGCCACCGAGCTTGCGGATGTCAACATTCTCTGGCTCAAGCAGCTGCAACAGCTTCTCTTCATAGGTTTTAACCCAGTTGAAAGCGCGCTGGAGTTGTTGTTGGTTCTTCGTGCTCAGCCGCATAGGCTTCCGCTCTTGCACTGGGCTACCACCCTCACCATTCTCAGCATCACCAGAAGACTCTTGCTTCCTGTACGGAAATAGATCTCCGGTAGCTGTGGCTCTCGCAGTCGCCTTGGCAGCAGTTGTAAGGCTGGCGCGTGGTCGACGAAGATGACCTCCAGCGCACTTGCGAATCAACTCGTGAACTGAATCACTCTCAAAAACACAGAAGAAACAGAAGTTGTAGACTCGTCGCAGGTACTCGATGAGAAGATCAAGCTTCTTCTTCTTGGCCAGCAACTCTTCGTCATCCACTTCATCATCGAAGGCGCCCTCGTCGTCTTCCATGGTCTCATCCTCACCCTCTTCCAAGTCCTCGGGATCGCGCGCTTTCTGGGCAGGAACCGGGGCATTGGCTGGGGGCTGCAGCCAGCCTTTCGACCGCAGAGCTTCAACCCGCTGTTCAATCTTGCTGACACCATCGACGTTAGCAAAGTCTTCCTCGTGCTGCGCCTTGAGATCAGAGTCGAGCTTCCTAACAAGTCGTTCGGCAAGCTCGAGATCACGCTCAATCCTCTCAGGCGCAGAGAAGAGGTCCCACAATGCCTTTTTGCGCGGCGCAGCAGGCGGCTCATGGATACCAACGTGGCAGGTGAAGTTGCCCCGTTGATCATCAATGACTGTTTTCCCGTTGAGAGCTTCGAGAGCCTTGTGAGCGGTTGTATGGGGACCCTGCGTATCTTCAGATTTGTCCTCGACAGTACCGTCTTCAGCCTCCTCGTCACGTCCGTCACCACGGTCGTCAATGACCATTGGCTGCTCATCGCTTGGGTTGAGAATGACCCAACCAATGCGGTGGCATTTTTTAAGTGGATTGGGGTCACTCATGCTCAGCCACTTGAAGCCGCCAGGGCCTTCTCCCAGGTGTTCCTTACAGAACTCTTCGACCTTCTCGCGATTGACGGTAGGCGCGATTGTTTTGATGAGTAGCGTAGGCTGGAACGCGGTCTCATCGCGGATCTCGCCGCCTTTGCAAGGCAACAAATCACCTACGCCCAAGACCTCGTTGGCAGCCGTTGCTTCGCCCTCCTCTTTCTCAACGATTCCGCCGGCACCGTTCGACTCATTCTTGTAGATGCCTTCCAACGTGAATTCATCAAAGTAGCCCTCATCTATCTGTCGCTCCCACTCCTCGTAGATGCCATGGCGATATTGACGAAGCTTCTCTTTGAAAGCCAGATCATAGTCTGGGTCATAACGTTCCTTGAACCACTCTTCGTTCTTATGCTTGTCCACAAACGTCTTCGCCATCTGTACCTGCAGTTTCTCCTTGTACTCGTCATATGCGGCTTGAATCTGCTCGCGCTCTTTGCCACGTTCCTCTCGGGCTTCACGTTCCCCTTTGAGACCAGGCTTGCGTCCGCCGTTCTTCGCGCGCTCCTTCTCCTCCTTCATGAGCTGCTCGACACGCCACCATTCTGCAAAGTAGTTGAATCCGACCTGATATTCGAGGTGCATGGGGTTTGGAACGGGGTTGGTGGTGAAGGTCGGCGCAAAGTTGTCCTGGCCAGGTACGTATCGATCGATGCCTGCTTGCACAGGTGGAGGTGAAGAGCGTCGTCGGTTGCCGTCCCGTCGCGGTCCATCGTAATCGCGCGCGCGATCAGGCTGGTATCGGTCGATGTTCTGGGGTGAGCGCGATCGTCGCCTGCCTGCCCTACGGTCTCCAGAGCCTTTATCACGCATGTTAGCTTAGTTCAATCATACCACGATCTCGATCCAAGTCGATGTTTGAGGCTGCTGTCCAACAGGCGTAGCATTCAACCGTGTCTGCAGATCGGCCGGAAGAGTGCTTTCCTCGTTGCTAAAGCACGCGCAGTCACTCCGCGCTAGCAGTGCTTGGCAGAACCGGCCGGGAGCAAACACGCGGCGTTATTTCGCGTGACGGTGAAGAGGAAAATCGCCCTCAGTCCAAAGAAGAGACCTAGCTTACCTGGTGAACGGCGTCGGTACGAATCGGCAGGCGGCCTAGAGTCCTCACGCGTAGCACTGTAATCCGTCAGCGTCGCACTTTGCGCATCTCCTTCTGCATAGACATACGTATATGAGTCCATCGCCACGGATTAAAAGCCCCGGAAAGGATTTTGAAGTCACAAGTGTGTGTCGCGAGATCCAGACGGGCAGTCGTGTTCAGGTGTTTCGGAAGGAGTGTGATGAGGCGAGCCTCAGCACTATACGCGTGGTGTTCGCTCGTTCTGACGCGCAATCTCGCCTGGAGTATGCGCTGGGTGGTGGTGGATGCTCGAGAGGCAATCGGAGCGGGTAGCTGTTTGCCATGATGGCTCGGTCAGAGAGAGGACAAGTAAGGGACAAGATGACGGAGAAGGAACGTGATTAGTAACGAGGAGGAAGAAGTAGGTAAGAAGTGACAAGGAGCCGACACGCTCGACGCGATTGATCGCACCCAAGCGGCGGCGCAAGAAGAGAAGGTCAGAGAGGCAGCTGGAGGGAGGCTGGGCGCAGGGCCACGGGGACAAAGCTGTCGGAGCTATGGAGATAGCTGTACAAGAGGAAGAAGGGGTATTACGAACAATGGGCAGCAAAAGGACGAGAAGGTGCACTCACGATGTGCTAAAGTGACTCCCGGGCGGAAAGATGCCTGTGGAGATGGAGATGGCAGAAAGAAGGGTGAGGTTGATCGCGGAGGGCTGGCACGGCTGAGACGGGGCTAGTGCCGGCTGCTCGGAAAGTGGGTCGACGCGTGCGCTCGTGAACTGTCCAGGTCCCACGCCTGATTGGTGTGCCGAAAAACGGGATGCGGAGTACAGGTACAAGACATATTCCATACACTACCTAAGTACCTGTCGCAGGCAACTTTTACCTAGCAGCTGCGTACAAGCATCGTTACCCATCGCCACCATGACGAGCTACATCCCCTCCCTAACCCTCCCCAACTTCGCCTTTGAGAACCCGGCAGTAGCTATCCTACTGCCAGTTCTGTGTGGAACAGCCACAGGATTTGCCATCAGTCGTAGGTCATACGTGTTCTTGTGTCTGTATGGAAACATAACATCGATGCAGCGAGCGTGTCTCAGACAGCATACCGAACGCTGAAGCAGCCTCCACTACACCCACCCGGTTACGTCTTCGGACCAGTATGGACAGCCCTCTATGCCACCATGGGCTACACAGCCTACCGCGCATACACCATTGGTGCCAATTCCGCTAACCCTAACACTGTCGCCTTGGCTAAGGTATGATGATTCCTTGTCTTCCTGGTACTGCTCAAGCTAAGACAACCCAGCACGGAGCGACTCTCTACACTATCCAGCTTGCCTTGAACCTCATGTGGACTCCTCTCTACTTTGGCCTTGGTAAACCTATACCCGCTACAGTCGACATTCTCGCTCTAGGTGGAACTCTCGCCTACCTTATCAGCGTCTGGGGACAGGTTGATCCTACTTGCGGGTGGCTGCTCGCTCCATATCTGGGCTGGGTTAGCTTTGCGACGTATCTTTGCGTGAGTGTTATCCCCTTGTGACATATTTGAGCCGTCGGAAGCTGACATTTGTGGATAGGCCGGGTCAGGCTACCTCAACAACTGGGACTTCAGGGCCATCACTAAGAAAGAGTAGAGAGAATGCTGCAGCGAGTGAATACCAAAATGTGTGCATCTCAAATCTACTTGACTGGTAAGACAGACAACTCTTTATGGGAGATGAGCACGCGGATATATCGCCGTGTCGTTATAAAATGTATATTATAATTTGCCGAGGCTGCATTGTTTCATCACAACGCTAACAGAGCATGTTTATCTTCATGGTATCTGGCACGGACCCTCCAGCGTCTCCTCTGTTCTCTCATGATCACTCTCATCGTTCATCTTGTCCATTCATTGAAACGATCTCTCGTCGTTGCTTTCGTATCATCTCCCTCTCCCCTAACACAATGGAACGTCTTTTGAGGCTGGCGCAACGGTTGTCGACCACAACTACTGGTACGGAGAAGCGCGCCGTACACATATGCAAAACAATTTCGAACGATACCATGTAGGTAATTTCCATTGAACGGACTGCTTTCCAGATCACACTCACTCAGTTCCAGTAACATAGAGGCCTCGCCTTTCTTCCAACTGCCTGCTTCTGTTCGAAAGCGGATATACGGATACGTTCTTGGTGGATTGCAGATCCGGGTCTGTGATACGAAGAACTGCAAGAGATTGCATAGATGTCGTTCCAAGAAGCGGAAACTCAATTGCCCTGCGTACTTCCACCTTCCTAGACGTCGTCTTACACTAATCGCGACCTGTCGTCAGATACATTTGGAAACTATGCTCTTGCCATTTTCTCTCAACGAGTTCGATGGAGACCATTGGGACATTCATCTCGCTGTCTACTATCACCTTACCGATGCTCAGGTGAGCGCTATCACGAATATACGCATTTATCTCGGGAAACTGGATGTACAATACAAGCATAGCTTGAAGAACGAATGTGCAATTACTAAGCTTGGCAGTGATTTGACCTCCACCCTACAAGCCTTAGGTCGACTTCGTGGACTTCGCCAGCTTACTATTGAGTGGACTGGTTGTCATAGTGGGGTGCAGGACTGGCTTACAACGAAGCAGGTGGTATTGGAAATGGCGAAGAAGGAGCTCGAGTGCGTGAAGCGCACTCCTGATATCAAAGTAATCATAGTGGGCTGCTAGTGCTACAACGAGTCTTGAATTGGTGGCTGGAGCCTTGACAGACGAGGCGGCGGATCTGAAGTTTCAGGACAGCCAGCATACAAGCAAACAGGGCATGACGGCAATGACACTGATAGTCTCGCGGCGCTCGCCGGATAGTGGGTTACATTTTCACCAGCATGAGCTTTCAGCTAAGCTCGATAGTACTCTTCAGAACTAGACATAATGCAGTATCTTGCAACTCCCTGCGGAACTTCGCAAGGCCGTCTACGAGTACACGTCTGCGGAAGAGGACCTTGGAATCCATTCGCCAAATATGGATCCCCACTACAGACTCTAGAACTGGTCATATGCGTCATCCAGGCCGCGTACATTACCCGAGACAGTACCTATAACTACTCCTCACTTTCCGTCAAATTCACGCCGAAACCAAACTACTCCTCTTCATCTCAAATTCTTCCAGGGGCAGCCGATTAGATTTGAGCATATAATTCATGGAGGAGAGATCAAGATTCATTTGCTGTTGAACAGCAGTTGGATTTTACTTCGAATTACATGTCGTTACTTTGGTGCAGCTACAAAGCCAGCAAAGAGGCGGTTAGTTCGTATCGTGACGACATAAATTACCTGCAAAATGGATGACGCTCTTCTACTCTCTTACAGACATCGAATGCGAAAGCTTCATGCCCTATCATTATGGTTTTCCCTTCTCCGGCCAGCATCCAACAGGACTGTACGCGTCAAAGTACATAGACAATCACTTCCACCACGATCATGGATACTGCTAGTATTGAGAACAACTACATACACGTGAAACTCTCCAAGAAGAAGGGACTCTATTCTCATATCTGCGGAAGATATATGTTACCAGACAGACATGTCCACGGCTTCTGGTCAGACTCATCATGCCCAGTGAACAGCGTATTTGGGGGCTTCATTCCGGGAGCGTGCGGTCGATACATTTGATTGCAGTACGCGAAAACATTAAACAATTATTATGCACTTTTGATTCTGTGTAGTCTTTCCGCAGGAAACGTCACTGATCTCTCCACTTACCGTGGCTAGCACCTTCCACACCGTCCTTCTTGTTTACCGCCCCACTTTCCTCGCACATGTTCATCAGCGATTACGCAATCTTTTTCCTGAGCTTCTTACTAGTATCACTCTGAACTGCTTGTATCCAAGTACGCCTCTACACTCGCTATGTACTCGCCAACTGTTCCAGAACGTGTACAATACTACGACCGTAGCATCATGCTTATGGATCGCCTCGCAGCAATGTGAGTACAGAATTGGCCTGCCCTGAACGTATACACTATCACTTTGTTGGACCTTACTAGGAGAATTACTACGCATACCTCTAGGGTACATCTTGGTGTAGTACATTCTCATGTACTACCCGCTAACTAGAATATAGCTCACAGCGGAACCATCGAAGGTGCCCCCTCCTCCGTCTACCAGCAGAGCTTCGCAATAAAATATACGAATACGTTTTCCTCTCCCACCCTGTCCGCCCCTTCCGCGAGCATAGGGAGTGGCCCCATTGGGCATACCCTAGGTCGCAGTTGAACCTACTTGAGACGTGTCGTCAAATCTACTTTGAAGCCAAGCTCTTCCCATTCGCCCTCAATGTCTTCGTCGGCTACGCAGAGCAAGTCATCGAGTTGTTGCTTACAACATTCACGGCTTCTCAGACCAACACCATATCTACTGTGCGACTATATGTTGACGCCTTCGGAGTCTATAGAGACGGTAAACTCCCAGAGATCGGACTCAATGCCTGGTTTATCGAAGAACTGGGGGATATGTGTCAGCTCGTTAGCCTAAGCGAGGTGACACTGATCTGGTTTGGCAGTGACATTGAAGTTGTCAGAGAGCATTTGGAGATGGCTGTGTTGTCGATTTTCAAGGAAGCCGGTCGAGCAGACATTAAGATTTCGGTGCGGTACTTTGACTGAGGTATTAAGATTGGGGGATTGAGAAGGGGAAACTCAAGTGTTATGGTAAAGCCGTGATATCTACGTGCATCTGTTATGATATGAGTCAATTGCATTTATAGAATAATTACCAGCAATCGTGAACACTATATCTGGATCTCACCATGTTACCATCAGAAATCGAGTCCTTTACCGTTCAATTTCGATGCTTCTAGTCACATGTCCAAATAAATGACCACGCTTGATTCAGAGCCCGTGTCCAGGTGGCTAAGACTGAAATATACCTTGTCTTGCGCAGATAGTGCAAGCGCTCTCAGACGCCACGTGACGTAGACCCTGCCAAGAAATTGATGTCGCCTCGCGACTTGTGATTCTTTGTTGCCCCACGCTCTGCTTTAGTAAAACCTCGTCTGCTGTACGCTGATAACTACCCAACGACAATCTCAAGTGACGCTGCAGTGATACTATTGCGCATTACTAACAACCCCAAATCATAGATTTCTCGATCAACTAGTGCAAAATGGTGTCGCGCGACCCACCTCCGTACACGCAAGACCAAATCGCCGCGATGACCTCACCGGAGGAGAAGATACGCGCCATGGCAGAGCTCAAGAGTAGGTATAGGAAGAAGTACTGGCTCAGGAAGATAATGACAATTGGGTGCTAGGCTACATTGTGCGCATGAAGAAAGAGAACGAGCTCAGGTCGAATGGCTACTCTGGCTCTGGTTACCGCAACACCTCCGGCACCTTCAACCACCATGAATCCCCTCATTATCCACGTGGCAGCTATCGCGGCGCTTATCATGGGGGCAGAGGTAGAGGACATACACCATACCATCCCTACTCGCGTCCCTACACCACACCTCACTTTGCGCATAGCTCCGTCGCTGTCAAGGGTACTGGCAATGCTATCCAGTCCCTCAAGGTAAAAGAAGAGGAGGATCTGCCGCAGACAACGACTGATGGCACCGTCTCCTCGTCAAGCGATCACCAGCAGCCCGAGTCACGGAGACTTTGCGCCATATTCACATCCACAGGTATTTCGACGAAACGACAATTTCGGGATCTTTCCTTACCCTTTTGCGCTTCTAACATATGGACAGGTCAATGTTCCCGCCCAGCATGCTACCTTGTTCATGACCCAGACAAACAAGCCGTCTGCAAGCCTTGGTTTTATAAGGATAGTTGTGCTAAAGGAGACTACTGCTCATTGCCTCATGACGCGTCGTCGCACAACGCGCCAACATGTCTTCATTTCCAAGCAGGCCGATGCACCAAGGAAGACTGCCGCTTTGCCCACATTCGTGTCAACCCTACGGCACTGAACTGCGTAGCTTTTGGACGTATGGGCTACTGCGAGAAGGGAGACACCTGCGCCGAGCTGCATGCGCATGAGTGTCCCGATTTCGCTAACACAGGAGACTGTTACTACGGTGAGAGCTGTCGCCTTTCGCACATTCGTCGCGCCACTCGCATGAGGAAAGCCACTCGTGGATCTTCCCCAGCCCACTCTCCTTCGTCAAACTCTCCCGGTACTTCGGACACTCCGGATGAGGGCATGGATACCGCTCAGGACGCTCCAGAGTGGACGATGCCGAAGAATGCAAACCCTCAGACGCCCCAGCAGTTTACCCAACAGGCAGACTTTGTTGCCTTTGAGACAGACGAGTAAGCACGGCCTATCGCTGAACTGGTGATGCCCGGACATGTATGTGCCCCCCTGCTCAGATTCCATGACGGTCCTCCCTAATTCGAGTTTTCCAAAGTTTTGATCCTGCGAGTTTCCGATCTGGTAGGTCCTTGTCATGATTGTTTCTGGCTCATCTTGACTCTTGAAGGTTCGGAGCTTTTCCTGGCGTTTAGGGTTCTTTCGATGATACCCCCTCTCACGATTTCTTGCCTCTTTTGTCTTTTCATCGTTTCTATTCGGGCGCAAGCTCTCATTGATGCCACACGCATATCTTGTGTCCAAAAGCGACGCTTGACGACGCTCGGTGGATTTTTTGCGGAGCTCCCTGAGGTTGTTGTTGGTTTGCTGATGGATATAGTCGTCCTCACAGGACATGTATTTGAAAAGAGAACAGAAAAAAGCATGTAAAGAAAAAGAATGAATGATCTAGACTGAACGAGCTTCTTCTGCCTGTTGTGACCATGCCATGAGGTTGTACATTAGAGACATTTGATAGTCATGTCCATTTGCACTAACGGACGTTCAAACATGGGCGCATCAGTAGCGTCAGGTACCATTATTTCCTGGGGATCAGACACGCCCTAGTGCTGACGCACTCACAGAAGGTCCGGATGGCTTTTAATGTCGTGTGCATTCTGAAAGTAGTCCTGATATAGTTTTACCTCATACATCAATCTCGTACCGGAGCAAAGTTGTACAGTGCTGATTGCTGCGCTTGATGGCAGCGTTGCGTCTGACATATGCGGCGCGCTGTGGAGGCTGAGGGGGCTGCGGCTACTGCTTGGCCCTCGTCCTACAGAGAATCGAGGCGTTCAATTCGACAGCCCGCGCCGGCAGGACCATGAGCGCTTCCACGTTTGCGATGAGTCTACGGAGATATAAGAATACCCTCAGAATTGAATAGCACAGACGGCACGACGCTCGCTCTCTATTGTGTGAGGCTACCCTTGAATATTGTTAGGTCTCCAGCCGCGTACCCCTTGCCTTCGCTGGCAGCGCGAAACTCGACGCGACAGCTCATTTTGCGCAACACCATGGCGCTCAAAGACTTGCTGAAAAAGAAGGATAAGATCAGGGACGAGGGCGCTACTCCCATGTCGCCTACTGGCCCTACCCTGTCTCCTGATGTCCCGGAGTTCCAATTCTTCCGCACCACGACTTCGACGCAAGAAACCATCGAGCCGCCTAGCTTCCCCGGCGATCCCACGCGCGATTCTCCCCTATTGTCGCCCACTTCGAGAGGCAAGTTTGGCAGGTTCAGAAGCCGTAGCAACGCTTCGTCCCAGGGATCGGCGACTGGGCAGCATGATAACAAATTGGCGGAGCGGTTACACTTTGGGCGGAGCAGGTCGAGTAGCTCGATAAACGTACCGGAAAATCTACCAGAAGTAGGAGGCGACGGTGTCGCACGAACAGAAGAAGAAGAGGCCAAATGGGAGACGAGGGCCACGGTGCTGGTCACCGAGGGTTTGCAGCACGGATCTAGTCAGCCCAATACACCAAGCTACGAGCCTACAAGTCCAATGTCACACGGACGACCGACGAGCGCTAGGAGTCGCAGTGGAACTGTCGGTGCACCTGCGGACGAGGTATGCATAACTTCGGAGAGAAGGGCAAATATTGGTCTAAGCTTTGCATAGGAGAACATCCAGGAGGCTATCCGCCTGCACGAGAAAGGAAGTGAGTAGTCACACATGGAGGACTGCCATGATGAAGCTAACAAGATGACTAGATCTTGAGGCTTCCACCGCGCTTTTTGGTAGACTGGCAGAGCCAACCGGCGCAAACAATGCTCTAGCCCAAGTTCTATATGGTCTCGCGTTACGGTAGGTTCAGCGCCATTGCTCGCAGCTTGATATGATCAGAACATACCCAAATATTGCCCTGATATCTGCCCAAGGCATCACTGACTAGAACATAGCCATGGCTGGGGGTGTGTGCCTCACCAGGAACAAGCTGTCCAATACCTATCCATGGCAGCGGCGAACAGTGCTGAGGTCGAGAAGTTGGCCCTTGGGGCCGGCATGAAGAAAGGCGGCGCAGCCAAGGGCGAGCTTGTGCTGGCCATGTATGAGCTCGCAAACTGCTTCCGCAACGGCTGGGGCATCAAGAAAGATCCCGCAGCTGCGAAGCAATACTACGAGACGGCTGCCAACTTGGGTGACACAGATGCAATGAATGAGGTAGCCTGGTGCTATACCGAAGGTTTTGGTACGAAGAAGGATAAGGTAAGCAAGCCATGTCGTCCTCTGCTACCGCCCAACCACCGTTGTCCTACTGTGTACGACTGCGTCACCGGTCAATGTCGACTCGCCTAGATGTTCATGCGATAGCGACGCGAACGGTCAGCTTGGGGGTCTTGTACAGCCTCGACCTCAGCCATCACGCGTAACATCCACTGAGACACTACTTCCCCTCGTTATCCCGCCTCACTGTTTGGGCAGCACTGAGAGTGTTCGGCTGATGCGGCAGGTATGCTAACTACGCCTTGCCAGTTCAAAGCAGCTCAGTTCCTGCGCCTCGCGGAGTCCAAAGGGAACAAGACGTTAGGCAATACTTGGTAAGTACCATACAGTATTTCCTTCATTGCCTTCTACTATCGACACAAAGAGCGAGAATATACCGGACCGAGGACCACCTTCATGCCGTGTGGATGGAGCACATGGTGGTCACCACGAGCTGCCATCACGTTGACCCGCGCCATCCCGTTCCAGCCGGTGTTGCATCCTCAATCAATTCTCAACACCAAGCCACCATAGCAACCAGACATGATCCAACAATCTAACGCACGGCGCTGCCGTCCGAATCGGTCAACCAGTTTCAACGCGCATCTGCCAAGCATAATCGATTGGCCGTCGACGCACCGTTTTGACTGTCTTCCTCGCTTAGTCGATGCGGACGCCTAGACGGCCCTCGCCCTCACCCGCAGCAGGACCTGTCACACTTACTGCCAGTTCCCCGCTACGCACACATGATGGCATTCGCAAAGAAAAACTTGACCAGTAGCACATTACCCGTTTGGCACAAGCCTCGCTCTCCCATTCCAGTAGTGGGTAGTAGCATGCCTCCAGACCCGTTGTGTTGGGTGAATAGTACATACAAGCTTGTCTACGGGGATACACGTGGCGTGTCGTCGGTGGCCTCGGTTGCGGACCAAAGAGTAAGCGGGATGGTAGCCAATGACGACAGAGTTGCGCATCGTTGTTGTGTGTGTGTGGAGACACAGTCAGATGGTGCATGTTCAGATGGTCTGAGCAAAGCTGGAGATTGAGTTGCATTGATGGCGCGACAATGGTGTATGCTGAAGAGAGACGGGAATTTTTCGTATGACGGCTATCGCGACAATGACGGCAGCCTCGGGACGACTCCCATCATCATTATCATCACCATCACGATCTGGATCTTAGATCGCAGTAGTTTCGGCATCCCGTCGCTTTTGGTCTGGACTGCCTGGATACCGACGATATTTTCATTGATTGGCGGGATGAGCAACGTGCTGACTTGTGTCTCTCTATAGGATCTGGAAGGACAAGTACAATCCCAAATAAGACGCGATCCGCAACCCGCTTTCGGACAACCCCTTCCGTCCCGGTCCGACTTTAGTATAACAAACTTTACCCTGGGAGTCATGAGGATGGTCGTGTGAGAAGAAAGAACCGAAGCGTGGTCCCTTTCCCACGCGGGGAAGTATTGTTTTTTCTTCGGAACGTATGTTTTGCATAACGTTATTTCCAATAATTCACACCGCTTTTCTGACCTATCATTTGTTTCGCTGTTCTTGGATTTTCCCGTATTTTCCTTCCCCATAATTATTGCCTGGCTCGCGCTATCGTGTTGCTGAGGGTGAGGGAGTATTGACTTTAGTGGCGTAGCTGAGAGACCGTCATCTGGATCTGGGAAACTAAGGTCTTAATGATCCATACAAGGACATGGTCTCTCTCAACACGATAGGCTATGTTTCCGCTTTCAGAACGTGGGGAGCATGTGGTGTGGCACAGCAACGGGCTTGTGTCGTAGTACAGCAACCCGTCTTTTTGGGAAGGTTGTCAGATCAAGCTTAGTGATGGTGTGTGTATCTCATCTTTGTGTGACAGTCAAGACATCGTCCCTCTGATAACCCTCTTTTCGATCAGATCGTCTCTCCTAATGTCCATAAGCAGCACATCGTATGGGCACGATTGTACGGCTAGTAGCCATGTGGTACTAAGCCACTCACATCACTCTTCCCTTCCGACAGTGTACCCTGATTCTCATAACAGGCGGTCCGAATATGAATCATTCATCATCCATCATCCGCATTCTCTGCTGCATTAGTCCCTCATCCATCATGTTTCACCATAGCTGCAATCCACCTGCACCCAGATCCTGCATACGTGGGGCTGAGCCACCTTTCTTGCTGCGATTGATGACGAATGTTGTCTTACGCCCCACTGAGTGGACTGTGGGCCGATAACTTGCATTTGCATGTTGCAGAAATGCTGGACCCTGTGGTAAATCGGACGATAGGCGTGCTTTCCATCCGGGCCTCACCTTGTAGGACCGGAGTGGGGGATGTGCGTGTTGTAGTTTTTTGTTCTGCGCGAAGGAAGGCTGTGAATAGGTGGCTTGCGCTGGCTCGTTACCAGAATATACCCGCGTGTTCACTAAGCAACTTGAATGGCTGTGCAGTCATGGACACGCTATAAGCGATATGTTATGCACAACGCGGATCAAATGTGAAGGATGCGAAACCCGCTCATAGCGCGTGTGTCTTCCATTATGGAAGGGTAATCCTTTCATTGACGCTTCGCGCGATGCGAGGTACGCGACAATCAGCCGCACCGTGGGTCTCTGACGGAAAAGCCGCAAGTGGAGAGCTGGGACATGCAGAGGATGCATCACCACAAGTGGGCGCGGGCTGGCGTTGTCAGATGCAAGAGTCTCGAACATGGCAATCAGTGGCGAAGACACAAAGTCAGGATCATTCAAGGGAAGCGATGTAAGCGCTGAAGGAAGGCAATCCGATAGCATTACTTGACTCGTTCGCAACTTCTCTTCGCCCAATAGAACGGCGATAAACACTAAGTACAAGTGACTTTGTTCCCAGTCCATGCCAACCAATCGAGCCTTGCCAGACAAGGCTCTGTGACAAAGGGTCGCAGAAACGGCCGCGCTCAGTGACGCGACAAGGGAAAAACGTGAAAAGCTGGTATCTCAAAAACATCGCGGACGGGAAAGTCCGGAAAGGGGGTATTACGAAAGGTTGTAGCGTGAGCGGTTATCGTGAGAAGGCGTAAAGGTCGTAGTAAAAGTTATGTTAGTCGTAAGAGGAGAGCAGGAAGGGGAAGGAGAAGGGGAAAGCAATCGTCTCTTTCAGCAGTAAAACCAAAAACTTGATCATCATCGTCCTCCTCGCTCAGATACCAGAAACAAGAATGCTGTCAATCTGTCTCGCTCTCATGCCATCATATACAATCGTCGGATACATGTCCCATGTCCTTCGTTTCGATCTCTCTCAATATCTCGTGGTAACGTGAAAGGAAATATCCAACGCTCGCTACGCTTTGCAGTAAATACAAAAGATGATGCCAACCGCAAATGTGTTGCTCGCTAAACCAGTCTGATGCCAAAGGAGAAAACCACAATACAAAAGAAACAAGAGCAAAAAGGTAAATAGGTCAAGTCGTGAACCAGGTCTCGACATGGAAGGAAAACAGCCGCCATGTTATGCTCAAGCGAAGTAGGGTACCTGGTGAGGTTGGCCCGAAATTCGACGTTGCCGTCCCATATTGTAGAAGACTGGCAAGCAGCCAGAGCTGTGGTAGAAAGGAAAAGGGCGGTGCTCATCATGAGCGCTCAAAGGAGAAACGCGCAGGAAGAACAAGGATTCCAGCCGGACCGTGATGCAACTTGTGTCCCTACAAGCACCCCTTGTGTAGGGGTGCGAAGAAGTGAAGCGCTATGCTGATAACCGACGAATGCAACTTGGGAAACTACAAAGGAGAGGTGGTGGTTGGTAACGATAGTGGTGGTGTGCTACTTAGCACTCGACTTTGGTGCCGTCGGATGTACTGGGTCGCGACATGGCAGCAGACTCTTCGACGATGCGCTTGAACTCGTGAACGACCTCGGGGGCGATCTTGTCCCAGAGCAGACTGCGAGTGTAGATCTCGGCAGCAGAGTCACCCTTGCTTTGCTCACGCATGGCGGCGAGGGTCTCGGCAAGGTTGCGACGATGCGAAGGCTGAGAGCCAGGGGACAGGGGATCGCTGAGGTCATCGCTGGTCATGCTGTAGCGCGAGCGAGTAAAGTCGAGAGAGGTCATGCTGTTGTACTGGTCGGGCGTGATGGAGAACAGCTGCTCGTGCTCTTGCTCCTTGGTGGGTCCAGTGAGATGAGAGTGCAGTTGGTCAAGATGCGAGCCAGAGATACCAGCGAGTTCAGAGCCAGACATGGTTGTCTTTGGCCAAGCCATGCCAGAAGGCGTAGGCTCGAGACCAGTGACGTGGCTGGCAATGAGACCTTGCTCGCCCATGGCAGATGACACACCGGCATCCTTGAAGATGCTGTCGAGAACGGTAGCGGAAGCGGCACGGACCTCGTCAGGCATGCGAGGAATGGGAGGCTGAGCGCTACCGGACTTGCTTGCGACAAAGGCACCGCAGAGTAGGAGCATAAGCAGGAGACCAGAAGCGACGGGCTTGTCCTCGTCCTTGTTGCGGGACACAAGAGAAAGTTCTTGGTTCTGCTGGGGAGTGGCCTGGTCGTCGGAAGCGAAGTCGTTGACGAAGATGTAGTTGTCCCAGTCACTGTTGCCCATGTTGAGGTTGTCCATCTCAGAGGCAAAGTCGGTGAAGGTAGAGCTAGGTGCAGCAGCCATGCCGTTGCTAGTAGCAGCCTCGAGGCGTTCAGTAAGGACAGAGACCTTCTTGCGAAGCTCGCCGGTTTCAAGAGTGTGGTTGCGCACAAGCTCCTCCTTGTCGAACTGGAGCTGGTTGACCATGTGGTGCATCTCCATGGACTCGCGGTGCCAGTTCTCCTTCTCAGCAACAAGAGCGTCGTACTCGATGCGCATGGCAGCAAAGTCATCTTGCATCTGGCAGATCTTCTCCATCCACTGCTTCTTCTCCTCTTCAAGCTCCTCGGTGTGCTTCTTCTTTCGTTGCCGGGAGTCGAGACTACGATGATGTTAGCTGATGAACAGGGAGAGGAGAGACCAAAAGGTAGATTGGACCAAACGTGGAGCGTGGAGCCAAGAACCAAATGGGAGTACGTACGCGGCCTGCCTGTTGCGGAGGAGTCGTTTTTGCTGCTTGAGCTCCTTGAGGTCTTCCTCGTTGGTGCAGCTCTGGATGAGGTTGTCGATGTTGACGAGGGTGCGCTCAGCCGGGATGTCGAAGCGGGCGTTCTTCTTCCGGATGCCACCATCACGACGTGGGGAAAAGGAGCGGGGAGGGGTGTTGGGCCTCATTCGCTTGGGTCCGGGTCGTGCGTCCATCTCCTGCTGGTTGAAGGCCATCCAGTCGGAGTGGGTGTGGGGCGACATGGGTTGCTCTGGGGCAGAGGGGAAGACGGCGCTTGGTCGGACATTCTGGTGCACGGGGAGTCCGTGGAAGGGCATCTGCTGCTGCTCGACAAAGGGTGCAGCTCCAAAGTCACCTGGGCCGAAGGGGTTCAGCGGCTTGGGGGCTGTGGGCGTCCTGGAACCAGAGTTGTCGGTCACGGGCCATGACTGCTGGCCGTAGGTAGCAGCTTGGTTGGGTGGTAACCGGGCGAAGGGGTTGTTGCTTTGCTCGGTAAAGAAAGGGTTGTTGCCGTTGGTGTTGACAACAGAGCTGGTGGCAGTGCGGTCGACGAATTGGCCATTTGAAAAGTCCTCCCAGATGGAAGTGTCGGGTGAGAAGATGCCCTGGGTGCTGGTGGTGGGCGACATGAGGACGGGCGTGTCCAGGATGCTAGAGTCGAGAGTGGCGTTGTCGTCAAAGGAAAAGGCGGAAGGTTTCCTGTCGAGAGAGTTCAGTGTCGAATTTGGTCTGTGAAAATCCATGTGATGTGCGTTGTTGGAGTATTGATGGTCCATGGCGGGCCTATGTATCAAAGTACCGGTGTAGGCGCGGGACTGGCGGTGTGGATTGCTCTTTTCGGTAAAGGTGATCGCAGGATGTCCCCAGCGATTGTACTCAACTTCAGCTTTAGATATGTGAAGAACGGGGCAGAAGACGGGCAGCAGAGGCGATGCGCGTCTGAATAGCGAGCGATGTAAAATAGCGGCTCAGTGAGGGTCAGGGTGGTGGACGGTAAAGGTGGGAGAGGGGGCTTAAAGCATGGTGGTAGGCTTCGGGCGGGGTGTGCAGGAAGAAGCAGGCTTGTAGGAGACGACCGGGGTCACGCTTCCGTGGGATGCATCTGGGCACGAAACAGTGCCAGGCCCTGCTGATAGGACGCCCCAATAGCGTCGGGTATTGATGCATCATTCCAGCACTCTTCCCAGCAGCGACTGGCTGGGGTTGTCCTGTCACGCCCGCCATGGGCCCATTCACCCTCCGCACTGATTACCCAGTGTTTGCCCTGGGGCCGTCGCTGCATTGCATGTCGCTGGCTGGTCGGCAGCCGTCTGCCAGAGTGATGCTCTGCCGCCGTTTGTCGCCCGCCCGCTGTCACCCATGTGTATTTCTGGATTCACGGGGCATGCGAATCTGCCATGTCTGTCCTGTCAAGCCAGACACGGCTCTCCGTGTCAAACCAGACATGAGCGCTTGGTACGACAGCTCGGCTGCTGCTCCCGTGCCGCCCCGTGCTTCTGCTGCTGCGCTTCTGCAATGCTGCTGCTCTATCGATACGTAGAGCATGACTGGCTAGTCTGCGCGGGCCGGCCCATATACTGCCATTATTCCACCGGACTGCATCGCGATTCGCCTATACCCTCCTCGGCCGCGCGCCGTGAAAACTCTGCTCGAAAGAGTCAAGATGCAATGCGCGCTTGTCGAAAAATGCCCTCCCGCAACTCTGGGAATTGTTGTTTCGGAATGGTAGCGGCGCATATCGCGACCTTCTGGCGTAATCATCATCATGAGTACTGTCTGCTGAGTACGACGCGGCCCGCCTTAGCCCCGGCCTTTGCTCACTACACTACACACCCCGACCATCATCACAACCACCGCCGACCACTCGTAGCCCGGCACTTGCTCATCACCCGACTCTGATCTCATTTCCCATTTTTGCAGCCCGCCTTCGTTTCCTGAGCAAGGTGAGCCCTCTTGGCCGCCTAGACGGTCTTCATCATGGTGTCATCTGTCCAAGTTCCGGCTCGCTCTGGCGTCCGCGAGTCATCTCACCGCTCCCTGCCCGCACCATGCTTCCCTGTCTATTTTGGCTTTTTGACTACCGTTCCTGTACTTGCGTGCCCGCCCTCGTTATCGTGACCAGTTACCTCGTGCAAGGTACCAAGCGGCCGCCGCTCCGTCTGGCTGGGCTATGGCTCGACTCTGTCGGCGTGCTCATCAAGAGGCAAACACAGCAGCCACAGCCTACCGTCCTGTGCCACCCTCGAGATCCCACTATCCCATCTTACCGAAGGCCTGGAAACTCTCCAGAATTTCCCCGTCCGTCATTGGTCGCTTTTTGGTAATCGCTCTCATGCTTGCTTGTTGCCGCTTTCTCCCATTTCCGCCGAGCAACATCAGACGGTTTGTATCAAGTCTCGCATGACAGCCATAGTAGGCAAAGTATCAAGCTGCCAAATGTCCATCTCCACTGCAATCACCATCTTTGCGCCGTAATACAGCCTCGCTATGGCGGTTTGTGCACCCTGCCCGCGCTGTGCAACGCGTACTGCGGCTACTAAGACATACATCCCTAAGCAAAACTCTACACTTCGCGTCACACCAAGTGAGCGCGCCGTCTTTCGGAAATGGCAACGCGTCACTCTTCCTGTTGACAAGCTAAGCCATCCCGCCGACGCGCAGTACTGCTTCCGGATCGACCGTCGCTGTTGATCCTCTCTACTCCGTGTTATGGCGCGTACTGTGGCACGCGTAACTCGGGGCCAGGGACTGCATACTAGACCAAATGCAATGCTCCACTTATTGTACTCGGATGCTTCCGACTTCTCTACCCTGAGACGAAGGCTTCATATTGACCGGAAACTATTACCGATGCTGATGCATGAGAATCAAACAGACATGATGAGAAACACGATGGAGCCCAATCTCTAGGGCGCATGGCATAAAGGGCCCTAAATTGACGTCGACTAATTGTGGCTGCCAAAAAGGTGAGGCTGTAGCGGTGAAAGGCCCACTCTCCGCATCCGCGCATGGGCCATAACCACTAGAAATCGCCGTCATAGTTATTCTTGTCTGTAGAAAATGTCCACGATCGTTGACGTCTTGGCACCATGCACTGTGTTTTGTTGTTTGAAACCATGAGTCACTCGTCTTTCTCCGCACTCGGCCGTTGCATGGGTGGTGAGGGAAATCACCAAAAGCTCAGAGCGCCGGCCGATGACGGCAAGCGCATGGAAGGCGGTGGAACACCTAGAATTCGAGACCATTGTATCTTCGCTCTGTCGTGGTGGATCTGAAAAACCTGAAACACTTCGCGGGAGCGGTTACACTTCCCGAAGTCCAGTCGGTGGTCCATTATCAAACTAGTCAGTCGGCCGATGTCTAAGAGCAGTCCATCGCAGGTCCTGTCTCGATGTCGATCATCTTGCGGTGAGGAAGAAACATTCTTGAATGTTCTGATCATTGCGGTGAGAGGAGATGCTGCCTTGCTTCGACTTGGATGTGTTTTGGAATTATGGGTAGAGCTGGGTAGAGAAGGTGACGCGATGCCATACTACAGACGGAAGGGTAGCAACATGTCTCCTCTTGTCCGACAAATGCCGAGCGGTCTTCCGTAGTCTCGCGATGATGAGTAGATCACCACTGCGTAAGCCGGGTCGCGTGGTTTTGAGGTATCGGTCCTGTCAAGCGCGCGCGGAGACGGGCAAGGAGCGGTGAGTCTCGAAACTGAAGAAAAGCAGCGAGTGAACATGTAAAGGAGGTTGGAATGAAGTTGAAGGATGACGTTGCACACTCCTAGTTGCGCAACGCACTGTGTATTGGTAGCTCCACGCGCTCGGGAGTACTGGGTATCTCGTTTTGAAGCTATGGACATTCTGTGTTCAACATCGGCGTTCAGGTAGAAAGGGCTAGCACTGACCTTTGTGATTCCATTCAAACTCATGGCCATCGCTCCCCTTGCTTTTATCGCATGCTTGCGGCTGTCGCCGTCAAACATCATGAGCCATAGCGTGGTATGACAATTCTGGTCTCATATTCCTCCGTTATCGTCTCTAGCCCACAGTTTCACAGTGCGATCTTTACCGCCACTGACGATCCAAGACGCGTCGCTCGTCACATCGGTACTGAAGACAGGGCCAGAGTGACCTTGGAGTGTTTTGCAGTGCGCCCAGTCGTCTGCTGAGAAGATCTGAACGTTTTTGTCAAATCCAGAAGAGATGACAAAGGTAGAAGCTTTTTTTGGTATGAGTTCCCCTTGGCTGTTCTCCTGCAGCGGCACTCCGCTGGCTGGTCCATCCGTACCCTTGAACCATCGTAGGTCGGTGACACCTCCAGTGTTGGCCGCAATTGAGTTTGTCTCTCTCATCGCGCGGACGTCCCAGCACTTCATGAAACCATCTCCTGAACCAGAGAGTAGGCGATGACCATCCGTTGCCCAGTCCAGGCCGTAGATGGGCTTGATGTGGCTCTCCAGCATGTAAATAACACGGCCTGTGCGCACATCCCACACGCGGCCGATACTGTCGAGACCTGCACTTGCAACCAAGGACCCATCGCCGTTGAAGCTCACGGTATAGACTTCCTTGGAATGACCCTCCTGCATGAGGAGCTCTTGTCCGGTGTTGACGTCCCAGAGTCGCCATGTCGTGTCATCGGAAGCTGAGGCCAAGTACCGTCCACAGGGATGGAACGCTACTCTACAGACGCGATCGGTGTGACCTTGGAGAGTGCGAAGGGGCTTGTCGTCGTCTAGTGACCAAAGCTGGATCTTGCCGCCTGCTCCACCAGAAGCGAAATTCACGCTAGAGGTCGAGACGTTGCTGCCCTCAAGTGTCGCGCCTGGCATCCAATCTATGCCAGTTGCGCGCTCCGTATGCCCACCGCGATAGGCTTTCTTCTGTTCCAAACTAGGGATTTCCAGGAGCGCAACTTTTCCACCCCAGGTACCGTATGCGACATACTTGCCGTTGGGTGAGACGCGCACAATACTGACTGGGCGATCTGCGGTTTGCGACCCATAGAGCTCAAAGCCCTTCAGCCGGTCCTTGATGGTGTTGCGGAACTCGACGTGGGTTTTCAGCGGGATGGTAGCTTCGCGACGCTGGTATGCGACGCGCTCCTTTGCGCGGGGTAAAGAGTATTTGGCCATGTCGCGCCGGGCGTCGAGTAGTGATTGTGTGCCTTGTGTATAGAACTCTTCTTGCTCGTCACCAGGCGCCTCGTCTGCATCTTGCATATCCACATCTGCCGCATCCTCACCCAATGCTTCGGCTGCTTCTGCAAGCAGAGCTCGAAGTCGGTCGCGTCGCTCCGAAGGCCCTTCGCCAAACAAGGTGATAGGCTCGCCTCGCGAGCGCAGCTTTGCCTTGACGTCGCGGTCGGCGGTCGGTACGATGAGTTGCGCTGCTCGTCGTTTGCGGTCGAAATCCTCCATGAGGGAATGGGCCGACGCGTTTCCTCCACCGGGCATGGCATGATCGCGGTCAAGGGGCACGCTGGAGAGGTCAATACCCTCCATCGCATCGTCCTACATGCCTGGGTTAGCTCGAATGCGAAGACAAGCTTGCAAGGTAGCTGCGAAGCACGTGAAGCTCCTCGGCCAGTCTCTCGCCGCAAGTCACTGGGTACGTACCGCGCCATTCTCCTCCTCCACATAAGCCTGTCGCGCCGGGTGCATGCTCATCTTGACTGCTTGTCCCGCCGTGGGCAAGGTTGCTGATGCTCGTAGCGAAGTATCTCGAAAAGAAGTTCGGGGCCAGACACGGGTTTAGGCGATAGGGCTGAGTTAGCGTCGGTTATGTCATACTCCGCGTTTGAGACGAAGCGTGAATCACCTGCAGTGTTTGGTCTAGACGAACATGCTCTGCAGGTTAGAGACCAGATTTCAGTAAAACAATGCCAGCTCGTTGTTCCTAGTTTGCTGCTGGGGCTTCCTTCTGCTATTTCCATCTTTTGAGGATGCTTCAAATAATTGTAAGTACCACGGCCTCCAAAAACTAGCCGATCGGCAATGACGACGGCCAATGTGATTTAGTCCCTTTTCATTTCAACATATCTTGTCGCAGAGGTACGGCACCGCCAGCATGCGCTGCTCTCACGCCAACACTCCAACGTACTGACCTTGAATTTCCAGGCTCTGGCTGTGGCCATGTCATTTGCCATTACCAGCGCGGCGGGCCTTGCGCGACTTTCACCTGTGTCGCGACGCGCCTCATCCAGTGCATTTTTGCTGCTTGCTCTCTCCGCCTCGCCATTGGCAGCGTCTGCCTCCTCTAGTCGAACATCAGGCCTTCATCCGCAGCGTATGCCTTCCAACTTCGCACAACCGACCTGCCCGCTGAACAGAGACACTTCCCCGGCCACTGTCGGCTTACGATCCTTTCATTCCACCTCACACAACTGGCGGAGTACACCGCAGTATACCTACCACGTCGCGGCATCCTACTCAGCCAAGCAGGATCGCTTCAATGCGGAGCAAAATCTCTTCACACAACCAGTGCATGACCCCAGCATCAGCAATGAGGATCTGCGCGACTGCAAAGAGTCCATTGACAAGCGGAAACGAGCGAGAAGTGGCCAGGATGCTTTCTTTTTCAGCCAGGTGGGAAACACAAACACCACAACATTTGGTGTAGCGGATGGAGTCGGAGGATGGGTCGAGTCTGGACTGGACCCAGCTGACTTCTCCCATGGCTTGTGCGAGTACATGGCTTGCGCAGCGCGCTCATGGCCACACGGTTTCAACACGACAGCATTACACCCAAAAGACTTGCTCCAGGTTGCGTACGACGAGGTCACAGATGATGACAGCATTGAGGGTGGTGGTAGCACCGCATGTCTGGCTGTTGCAGAACCGGACGGCAACGTCGAGGTAGCCAACCTAGGAGATTCAGGATTCATGCACCTGGGATTGAACGCAGTACGACATTTCACGCAGCCACAGACGCACGCATTCAATACCCCGTATCAGCTTTCCAAAACTCCCCAACGTATGCTAGTGCAAATGGCTGTATTTGGAGGCCCATCCACACTTTCGGACCTACCCAAGGAGTCGGGTATAACGCACCACAAAGTACGCCATGGCGATGTCCTCGTCTTCGCAACTGATGGTGTGTGGGACAACCTGAGCCCTCAGGATGCGCTCGGTATCGTTAGTCGTCACATGGTCGATCTGGGTGCTTGGGTAGAGAAAGATGGCACCATTGAAGTCGGACAAGACCTAGCGAAGCTGGTACAGGCCGACTCAGCTCGGAAGGCCGACAGCTCATCCCTCCAAGCCAAAGTGGCGGTTGCAATCGCGAAAGAGGCCAAAGTAACAGGGCTGAACACTCGTCGAGATGGACCGTTCGCTAAAGAGGTGCAAAGGTACTACCCTGGGGAGAACTGGCATGGCGGCAAACCGGATGACATTGCTGCCGTGGTAGCTGTTGTACTAGAGGATGCACCTCAGCGAGCAAAATTGTGATTGAATGCATTAGACCTCTGTTGTTTGGCTGCATGGGTAGGCGATGGCGTTTCGGAGAAGACTCACGCTTGGGATCGGAGGCGTATCTGCGCATAGAACTATGGTTTGGTAATCCTGTTGGCCATTTGCATGCTTGGTGGAGGTTATGAATCTGGAAAAGTAGACAGAAACGCTAGAAAACAATATACCTGAATACGACCGTTGCATACCGTCTCCCATGTACATTTAGAGATGAGAGCACACCACGAGTACAGTCAGACTACGATGTTCAGCCGTTGTATTAGGGTTGAGCGAAACTCATCATTGCGACGAAAGCGGATGAGTTTGAGTAGTCTTTAGCAACGTGTTTATCAGGTTGTGATAGGGTCTTTCCAACAGTGAAAACACTGGAACGCAGGATACATTGAACCCTAGACTACGCTGCAACGTCAAAGCTCAGACAAGCAACACAGATCACACGCTCAAGCTAGTGATGGTTTGGCGGACAAGGCTTTTTGACGTCAAGGTGTAGCTCGGCTGTTTGTTTGTCGCCGTTACCTCAGCAACGCGACCCACGCGAGTCTCAGAATCGCGCGCTACCCAAGTATTGATGAACGCCAACTTCACCCCATCCTTACCACGAAACAGAACGCCTACCTTCCGGATGTATGCGCAACTAACCCACAGCCAACAATCGCTATCCACGTAACCCGGCGAGAACATATATAGGAACGCGCCTCCACAATCTCGACGCGACATTGGAATGGCTACCGTTTCGCCCACGCCCTCATATGGGGGTCGCATGCGTGCGCACTCCTCGATACGACCCAGGAGAGACTCTCCACTGTCGGTGTTGGGGCAATCACAGGGCTTCTCAGCGGATGCGCCCATGATGCAGAACATCAACATTGGCGACAGCTCCGACGACGAGATACCGCAACCTATGAAGCTTAGCGCTTTGACAACTGCACTACTTGCGCAAGGGAGTGACGTCGACTCGCCTGAGAAAAGGAAACCAAAGCTGAAGATCTCGCGCAATGCATCTCCTGGCTCCAACACACCAGTGCAAGATACCGTCACACCTGCACCAAGTTTGCGAATAAAGAGAGTACCATTACGGGGTGCGCCCATGAGGAGATTTCGGAGGACACCTCAGAGCGAAGAAGAGCACCATCCCTCTCAAGACCAAGAAAACATGCCCATCTCAGCAGTCAAGGTGCAGCCTGAGAACGTGCCCGATTCTGTCCTGAAGGTTACCGGCTCTGTCATGAAGGTGGCAGAGGATCGCCACATGCAACCACCTCCAGAGCACCAGTCACCCATACAACGATCATCGCAGCAGCAAGAGAAACAAAGGCCACTCCAGGCGCTCGACGCGAACACACCGCGAAGACCAGCACCTCCACCTCCCCCGAAGATGTCAGTGCTGGAGACGGCGACCACTGCGGCCGGAGCGGCGACAACAAAGACGAGGGAGAGAAAGAAGAGGAGCACATTATCCGTCAACGGGAAGCATTACTCCCAAATGGACAGGATCGGACGAGGAGGCAGTTCGGCTGTTTACCGTGTCATGGCAGAGAATTTCAAGCTATTGGCACTGAAGAGAGTCAAGCTTGAAGATGCAGACGAGGCCACCGTGCGAGGCTTCAAGGGCGAGATCGACCTGCTCCAGAAGCTCAAGAACGTTGATCGCGTTGTGAGACTATACGATTGGGAGGTGGACGAGCAACGGCAGGTGCTCAGTGTGGTATGTATACTCCGAGAGAAGGCAAAGCACAGCACTAACATCTACCAGCTCATGGAACTCGGAGAATCGGATCTCGCACGCATAATACGGATGAAACTCGACCCGGCCGATGGCGATGGCAAACTAGACCTGAGCTTTACACGTTACTACTGGAAGGAAATGCTCGAATGCGTCGGAGCAGTTCACGATCACGACATTGTCCACTCAGATCTCAAACCCGCAAACTTCCTCCTTACCTCGGGCCGCTTAAAGCTCATCGATTTCGGCATTGCAAACGCCATCGAAGTTGACCACACCGTAAACGTGCACCGGGATTCACACATTGGCACTCCAAACTACATGTCACCAGAATCGCTCGAAGACTCCGCTGGCGGCGCCCGAGGCCTCTTGTCTAACGGCAACGGCTCCAAAGACATGGCTTTAGGGAAACCTTCTGACGTTTGGAGTCTTGGCTGTATCCTCTATCAAATGGTCTACGGCCGTCCTCCTTTCGCACACATTACAAACCAGATGGCGCGTGTCCTCGCCATCGTCAATCGCGACTACAAGATCGAAATCCCCGATCTCGGTGTCGGTGATGTTCGTGTCCCTCCTGGTCTCAAAGCGACACTTCGTCGCTGCTTGCAACGCGACGCCTCGCGTCGACCAAACGTCGCTCAACTCTTGGATGAAAGAGATCCTTTTCTGTACCCCGATGGCGGCGATGACCTCAGGATACCGCAGGAGTTGCTCGGTCAGATCATTCAAAGAGTCGCGGATCGGTTTAGGGATCCGAACAAAAGCCCTCCTACTGATGATGAGATTCGTCAGTATCCCGCAAGTTTTTACGAGAAGATCAGACAGTTACTGGAGAGTGACTGATCTTTTCTTTGTTGTTTAACTATGTGGTTATTCTTGATGCTCCGTTTTGAGTATCAGCATTTTCTGTTCTTGGACAGCAACGCTTTGTTCTCCTTGTTCTGTTTTTTCACTATCATGATAACTTGGCGCTGGGTTTCCATCTCGAAAGGTTTCTTCGTTGTTGCATCTGCCTGCTTTTGGCTACCTTCTTATTACCCCCTCTTTTTGCGCGTTCAAGCGTCGCATTCTCCCAAAAGGCGTCCCATTTGTTAGCATAGGCGCTTTGTATTTTGGCTCTGGCACGAACCTGTAAATGGCTTTTACGAATGGCGGTCTAACTCTAGTCGCACACGGTTTCCTTGTTTTGTATATACCCGTTTTGGAGATGCTGAGAAATCAACTCCTTTAATCGCTCATTTAAACACTTGATGATGCTGATGTGATTGTGATCTCCAACAGTTTACGAAAGACGCTGATTGATTAATTATGATTTTGCATGATGCACTTTTGACGCTGCAAGACTTTTGCATGAACGTGACAGTCGTAATCTGGTTCCCACACTGTAGAAGGCTCTTCCAGAAATGCTGGTTACATGTCCTTGCAAGTGGTTGTATATAGCTAGGTAAAGTGCCTTGGTTTGAACACATGCTTGTAGAAACAGTAGTTGAAATAGAGAATAATCGATAAAGAAACATAACCGCTACATTGCTAGTCCCCAGAACGCCACATGAATGCTCTACATCCCGTAAGAACGCCATCGCAATGCTACCGTCTCTGTTGAAACATACTACCCAAACCTCATGACCCAAGAAGACCGAAGTCTAGTAGGAGGTCCGTTTATTCATCCGCCTCCTCATTTCCGAGCTGCTTACGCTTGATTGCAAGATCGGCCTTCTGCTTATCGATCTGGGTTTGCACACGCTTCTTGAAGAGGACGTTGGTCTGCCTGTCGCGCGCTTCTGTGCTCTGAACAATAGCCCTCTCCAACTCTGCAATCTCACCCCGGAGTTGCTCTTGACGTTGCTCTTCAGCCGCCGCGGCTTCATCCACCTCATCGACGTCTTCATCAGAATCTGCATCGTCATCGTCATCATCGTCGTCTGCAGATGTCGCTGCTGCTGGGGTAGAAGCCGCAGTCTCAGTTTCGACGACATTGCCGTTCTGGCCCAGAGCGTGCATAGCGACATCGTGAGCGGTCGTAGGAGTGTCGACCTGTTCAACTTGCACATTGTTGTTACCAGCGAGCAAGGCGTTGAGCTGATCATTATCGCCCTGGAACTCAACCTCGTCATCCATGAGTCCTTCAGCAAGCATCTGCTCCAGTTGGTCGGCATCCATTTCCTCCACTTGGGTAGCATTTGCCATCTCTTCATCGTCATCAACCTCCTCTTCAGAACTTGACTCCTCTGAGCTTTCTGCCTCGCTATCTACCATCTCGTACTTTGTTGACACCGCAGTCGCATCATTCTCTATTAGTCGATTCAACTGCGCTTCGGCGCGCTCAACATCAATGTATGATTTGCGAGGGCGGAAACGCCGTTTGCGAGCCCACTTCATGGGTGGTGTCAGACCATGGGGAAACCGATGGGTGTCTGGAGAGATATACGAGGGAAGCGGGAACTTCCTAGCTTCGTCCTCGTTCTTAACCTCGTCCAAAACTAGTAACATTTGGCATACGTCTGCGGTCTTGACCCAGTCCTTCTTGTTCCAACTCTTCAGCGACTCTATGACTGCGGGGAGCTCGACCATGGTCGCAGCGTACATGCGGTTCTGTATAGTGAGCATGGCTCGACGACCCTCGCGGTCGAAGAATCGGAAGTGTACGCCAGGCCCTCCCTGCGATACGCTCTTGCCGATAGTCTTCTCCTCGATGGACTTGCGCAGTAGATCGCAGTCTGGGCCGGGCTTCATGCGCAGCACAAACTGCGATTCGATCGCTGGGTCGGGTTCCGCCTCCTCTGCTTCACTGTCGTAACCGACACCGTATGGTCTGACTGGCGGCTTTCCTGCACCTTTGACCTTGAGGATAGCAGTACTGGGTCTCGCCGAGCCCATGGCTCCCTTCGGTTTGATGGAGAGTTTGATAGATTGAGTGCGATTATGCGATTTGATGGGCTGTGGTGGAGGTTGTTCGACTGCGGTGTAGTCATCCTCGTCGTCGGTATCGTTAGCCATGGCGAGGCTCTTCGCGGTAGGCTTCGGTTTGCGCTTGGCGGCAGGTGAATCAAAATCATCGCCACCGTCTTCGCGTGCTCTCTTCTTGGGTCCAGGCTTTCCCGGAGGAATGACATTACCGCTTTCGTCGAGTTTGGGCTTCTTGGTGTACTTGCGCTTCACTTTGGCCTCGCCATTCTGGCTATCCGCAGGTTCACCGGCCGCGGGGGCTGCGGGCTTCAACTTGATCTTGAGGCCTCCTGGTTTTGCGGAAATGGGTGTAGGCGCGTCGGACGGAGGAGGTTCTGAGGGCGGCGCATCGCTGGGAGCGGCGTTCGGGTTCTTGAGTTTGAGCTTCATCTTGGGCGACGACACGTAGGGATTCGTTGTTCACGACGGCGATGTTCGAGTACGCACGTGCGAGCGCGACATTTGCGAGAATGCGCGGTGGTGTGGAAGCTGGAGTAGGTGAGTCGGAGTCGTTCACATTCCATGGGTGTTCGGTCTTGGCAGCCGCCATGGTGAAGGGCCAAAGCTTTCCCATCGCGTCCCTTCACCTTCCCTACACTCAACTGCGCCGAAACAATACCACAATGCGCCTGCTGTTTCCACCGTAACAGCACGACACCGAACGGACCTCTGCATCTCACCTCACTCACGTAAATGCAAGCATGTCCCAGAACGACCTCTTTCTCAACTTGCTGCGGCCCGCCGTCCTCCATATTCTACGCGCGACAGGCTTCCAGCATGGCAAACCTTCGGCTGTCGACACCATCGTAGACCTCACAGCCCGATACCTATCGCTACTGGCAGAACGCACAGCGTACAATGCCTTTTCAAATCACAACGACCTCACGCCAGACGTTAGTGATGTGCGCATGGCAATGCAGGACTGCGCCCTCCTCGTGCCGACTATGACAGCAGGGGAAGAGCTATGGAAAGAGATACTGCGCAAACCCCTCGATGAGTACAACGAAGAGACGGGTGCCCGCGAGAACGAGGCAGCTCGGCGCGACGCCGAGGATACAGCAGACGTGACCGAATTCATCGAATGGGTCAAGGGCGATCAGAACAAAGAGATTAGGCGCATAGCAGGCATCTACAAGCCCGTAGCGACGAACCCAACGGAGCAGCTGGATCAGGAAGAAATGGAGGACTATTTGAATAGTATGTCTGAATACCGCGTATCACGGCTGCAGGTCCACTAACAGCTTTTCCCAGCCCTCATGAAGAAACACAGCAAGACCGGCGTCGAATCACGCTTCCAAGGCACTGTTCTTGGAGTTCCAGCCGAGCCTAAGACCATCAAAATCGAAGGGGGAGGCGCGGAATCGATAGAGGAGTGGAATCGCAGAACCCGGGAGAGAGCTGCCAAAGCAGCAGAGTCGAAGCGGGAGAGCCGCGAGACGACAAATCACATCGAGACCAGAGAGCCTTCGGAAGACGTGGTTATGGAAACGGAGTGATACCTGGTTGTCCATCATACAAGCATAGCGAAGGCGTTTGGGCACGAATCATTTTTACGGCGTTATGAAATACCAGGGCTGTTGGGCAGCGGGCTTTGTGGCTCACAGGGTGCTTCGCGTCATTTCGCAACTTGAGCTCGCGTGCTCAGGTACCACACGGCCACGGCCCATCATACTTAAAGCGCATCTATCTCCAACATATATCACATCACATCCAAAACTCTGGTACCAGCATTCTGTCGCTTCCTGCGAACCATAAGCAAGTGAGTCTGGGATGGCTGAGTGAAGTGTACGGGCCTTATTATACTGGTATTTCCGGCAAGCAGGCTTTGGGACCGATCACGCACTTAGCCCTCCCGCACTGATACCGATTACTACAATCAAAGACTAAAACGCGGCCCAGACGTTTGTTTTCCGCGTTCTCACATGACGGGAGCGCGCGCGGGTGGGGCAAGAATGAATGACGGGCCCACCCCGCAGACGTCATAGTAATGGCAGATAGCCAAAACAATGTCCTCCAAGCTTCAGCTTGAATTCCCGTATACAAACCCAATTGCACCCAGTCTTCAATCTTACACTCTGCCTGATTCCATTGCAGATTGACATTTCACTTACACATCCACCACAACCACATATACCAATCCCAACATGTCCGGTCTCGATCCTAAAGGCCCCTCGCAGCCTTCCCTAGACCAAGCCTACACCACACCTGGCAACCCAGCGCAAAAAGACCCAAAAGAGCAAGTACAAACAGAATTCAACGCCGCCGACAACTCAGCCAGTGTTGACCAACGTATCCCCACCAAACAAGCTACCGATGCCGAAGGACTACGGAACGCAAAGTTCGAGGAAGGCATGGGTGTACACGGCGCACCAGCGGGCGAAGAGAGAAAAGGTCTGGGTCATGAAGACGTAGGAAGGCATAAGGAGCTAGATGGACAACAAATGGCTGCACCAGGTGAGGGACGCGTTGCGGATGCGGTAGCTAAGGGAGGAAAGGGTATGGGTGGTGGTGGAGAACAGCCTGATTTGGCGAGTGACTTGGACAGGTAGGCACTCAAATTCTGGACTGAGGTACATCGGAAAATCATACTAACGATTGAACAGGAAGAAGGCCGAGCAGGCCGAAGCAAGAGATGCTATCAAACAGTCAAAGGGTGAGGCGACACAAGTTGGCGGCGCATTGGGTCAGACTGGTGGACCCGCAAACCCCGTCGACAACTCGAGTCAGGGCGGTGGTAACTACCCCAACTCTAGCTACTAGGCCTTTCTTGTCAAAGGTCGGGCACAGGCTATATCTCGACATATGTGGGCCGTCGGATGATTGTCAAAGCATAAAGTTAAGGACTCAACAAACGGCTGGTCTTGATATAGACAGCGAAAGCAACAACAGCAAGAGCATCCTATACAGACCTATGTTGTTTTGTCAACAATGCACACATGCGCTTATCAATCTAGCGGTGTTCCCACTTTACAGATTCTTTCTTAATCAGATCCATCATCACATATGTACCTCTACTTTCCGAACATAGAGCCTCTTCCAACTTACGCAAAACAGCTCTGTGGAGTCTACATGCGTGATTCATTGAGTATATACATCTAATATTGAACTGCGTCCATGCACTCAGAGGACCCCAGCATGTCTCGTAATGGGCATATTGCGCCTGCGGGGCGATGTCTGGGTGAAGTGGATATCAGAAATGACATGTCTTGGTACGGAACATCTAGTAAGACGGGGTATCTATTGTGCTATGTTGTGCATATGCATATAATAATCGTTAAAGGAAAGAAAGGGGATGCGTGAAGTACTGACTAGCGCAGCAACGCACAACGATCGTGATGTGATCCGATGTGGGCAAGTATCACGCGGTTGGTGAGTATGCAAAGATATGCGAGGATGGGTGCATTGTCGATGGCAGAGGCGTCAAGGGTCTTGTCAAACGTCACAGTCAATCATGCGTGTAGATTTTAGTTATTCTATATTTTACTTTCTTCGAAGCCCGGTAGCAGAAGCCACACACAGGCATTAATGGTATGATAACGACATCGATGCATGATGCAAACGTCTATCTCCCTAGCAGCACGGCTTCGCGGAGTGCTCCCTCTTTCTCTATCAGCTAAATAAAGCAACGCTGCAAGCGACCTCGATCATATACGACGCGAGCGTGAGAAAAATGTACGAAAACGCCACGATGCGGACCTACCACAGCCGCTCCATAGGAAGACGAGCTGGTGGTCTCAGGCATCAAACTCCAAAGACAAAAAGCAAAGCCCAAGCCCAACGTTATATACATCAGCGGCTCAAGGAGCCAAGGAGAAAGAGGATGAGAAGGAGGCAGAAGAAGAAGTGCCTACATGGGAGGACCCATGTACGCGTCGAACTGGAAGTTACTCATGTCGGTCGAGACAGGGAGATTGGGGTCGAAGAAGGCAGTGTTGTCGAAGACCATAGGCTCACTCGCATGCATACTCATACCATAGTCCATGTTAAACTGGGTTGAGTCTACAGGGACTTGGTTGATCATCTGTACTGGCATGGGCATGGGGACCTGCATAGGCAGAGGTTGCTGTGACGCGGGGTAGGCGGCAGCCGCGGCGGGGACAGCAGTGTTGTCAATCTCATAAGAGGGAGCGTCGAAGGAGTTGTCGATCTGCTCGGCCGCATCATTGTCGGATTGGCTCTCTGGCGATTGCGGGGTGGGCTTGTTGTCGACTTCCACCTCTTTGATCCAGTTTTGCTTGAGATACTCCATAGGAGGGTGGTCTCCGCCACCAATGCCACCACGCTTCTCGTCGTTCTTGCCCTTCCTGCCCCTCTTGCGGGGATGGAAGTGCGCACGTCGAAGGTGAGCGGCAGCGTTGTAGTACGCGCCGTACACCTTCTTGTTACGGCAGTGCTTACAGTTGGCAAGGAACTTCTTGTCGGCTGAAGAGTCGACGCAGATGTAGCCCTTCCTGCGCGAGGCATGGGCACGAGCAATGTGACGGTCAAGCTCATGAGTGCCACGGAACCCATCGGGTCGCTCGTTGCAGAAATTACACTTGATCTTTGGATGTTGAGGGCGCACGTACGGTGTCTTTGACAGAACACCGACAGTCTTAGAGGAACCATCCTCAGACCTTATCCTTGTCATCTGAGCATTGGATGACGCAGACTCGGTCTTATCATTGTTGTCGATCGCCTTCGGAGCAATCTTGCGAGACGCAGCTTGCGCAACGATCTCGCGTTCGCGTTGCGATTGACGAGAGCTATTCAATGAAGATGCAGAGATCTCGCTCGAATAACCCTCGCTTGATGAAGCTGAAGTCGACCTCCGCATATCCTCCGCCAGGCACGACTGATCGTTGTCGGAAGAGGCAAGTGTAGCACTTGCAGGAATAGATGAAGAAAGGAAAGCTTCACTGGAGGAGCCAGTGAAGTTGAGAAAATGAGAACCATCAGCGGACTCGCTGATGGGCTTTGATGCGACGTTAAAGGAAAAAGGAAAAGACCCATCCTCTGGGAGGATGGGCATACATGAAGAATTTGACTGGTTGCGCGACATGGAAATGTTATCAAAAAACAAAGGGTTGTAACTACCCTGACGACTCATGTTACTAGATTGAGTAACAGGAGTCATCAGAGCTGTTGACGGCGTGCTGGGTGAAGAGACATCCGAAGACGAACTCCACTGCAGGTTTGGTGTCAGTTGCAACTGTTGTGAATGCTGGGGGGTGGGGAGGGATGAGTTGTCTGGCTGGATGCAGCTGTTGACGTAGTCGCCAACGCTGTACTCAGCGATGCTATTGTAAGCAGTCTCTGACACCGACTGGAGAGTCGGCTGTCTTCGCATTGAAGAGTCAGAGTAGAGCGTGTAGTCGGTATTTTGCTCTTGGGGCATTGACTGCCAGTCAGAGTACGTAGTGTTTGAGCGCTGGAGACCGCTGGCCATGGCCGAGTCTGAGCGGTTCATGACAGGAGCCGAGCGGGTACGGTCCATGGACTCGAAGCCGGTAGTCTGGTGGGTGTTAGATGAGGGACGAGCAGACCAAAGGTAGTCCATACTGGGAGCTGAGTCATGTCTGACGCGTTGAAGGCCATTGAGCGTGGTACCTCGTGGGCCATGGAAGGTTGTGAGGTTTGGCAGGCGGCCTGGAACCAGGCGCGGTTCAGCTCCTCGTGCGAGAGATGTGCGTTGCTCAGGCAGAAGTTGCGCTTGGCCTGTTCGAGGAAGTCGACGTAGGTATTACTACTACTACTGCTACTGCTATTCGAAAGAGTCGAGGCCATGACGTCTGAGGGGTAGTGGGATGGCGCGGCAGGAGAAAAAAAAATAGTGGTAGCGGTTGGTAGCGGTGTAAGAAGCAAGCTGCACGAGGGACGGTGATCAGCAACAACGGCCAAAGCAAGAGATCGTCTGTGCAGGAAGATCTTACGGTGGTGATGGGCGGTGATTGTCAAGAAAGAGGCAGATTGGGGTCTCTGAGGATAGCGAGGCGATGAATAAGTGAGAGTGCGGGTTGAGAAGGGGAGCATGTGCTTTTAGCACCACCTCAGAGCATGGGGGACGAGCGATGCGCTGGCTCGTGTCGGAGAGCGTCTGACGACTGCGGCCCGCGCTGAGCGGTGGACAGAGGGCCAAGCTGGGCTCAGAAGGGCCATCCTCGTTGGCGATCGCTGGCCATGGTCTGATGTGTTATTGGGCCAAAGGGGCCGGCCGCAATTTTCATTCGCTGCCTCACTTCTGACGCACGGAAACCAATGAGCCGACCCTGGCTGCTCGATCCTGGGGTCTACCCAGTGCGACCCTATCGTGAACCCACACTCGGTGAAGGACCACCAGGTTTCATGCGTGCTTTCGCATTTGGCAAACTGTGCTGTCAGTGGCAGCGGCGTCGCCCACACATCTTTTCTCTGGCGTCGCGCCAATCACCCTGTTAATCCCAATCCGTCTGCCGCACGGCTGAATCGCCAGCCATCAGTCGTCATCGCTCAAGGGCACGCGAATCGCGGAAACGGCGGATCGCCGTCAGTTTTCTCGACTCCGTTAGCCATGTCAGCAATTGAAGAGTCCAGGCTCAATGATCGTCTCCCATACTGGCAACCGCCAGCCCATGTGTCGTGAACTACCCGTTAGGGTTGGTGTCCTCATCGCGATTTACACCTTGGCAGAGCATCACCCCCAGGTACCTAGGTACCCCAGCCTGAATCGCGTTACGCGGCTCATTTCCCGTAAGGTTTGATTGATTCAATCTATGCTGTTGCTAACTTGGTCACCAACTTTCCATCTGTTGTCCCCAAGTCGCAGGGGACTTGAGGAAGGCTGCGCCAGGAAGGCCTGGTGACAGCAGTCCTCTCAGCCTGCTGCGCTTACGTTTCTCTGGTGGATGCATCGAAACCGTAGATGACGCGGACGAGAACTTGGACTTCAGGCCCTCTTCCTGGGGAGGACTCTGTGCGACACCATGGCATATTGGCCCTGTCTCCTCCACGCTACAAACGCTTGCCTTGCGCGTGGCCATGTCCTGCATCCCTTCATCCATGTCGTCGCTCATGATTAGACTTTCTCGTAACCAGTACTGGTCAAAGGTGACTTCAGTAACATTCCCAACCACACCGAATTCCTCGAAAAACATGACTATGCCATCCAGCCCAACGGTATCCGATATTCGCCTTCCTGGTGAGTCTAGCTTGGGGTCAAACGTAAATGGATCAAGCGTTGCTACAGAGTCTCTACGGAGCTTAGCTGGATGCGCCGCCAGCATAATCGCCCCGGGTAGATAAACTCTCCGCCTTTCAGCCGCGTCAACGTCTCCATAGTTGTGCTTGCGCTTTAGCGTACGGCGGCCTTCTACGTTTGCCCGTGCGGACGAGGGCGAGTGGGTTTTTTGATGAATAATGGTTTTGACCGACTTGACTGATTTCCGACCCCACGAGCGAGATGAGTGTGGACTACCTAAAGTTTCACTTGTCGCAAGCTGGTTTGGTATCGCGTAACATTCTCGTGGTGTTGACAGCATCGAGCTTGGTGAGGTAGGTAATTTCTTTGACTCAAAGTCCGCCAGAGCTGTGTTTAGCGTCCTAAGCTGCTTCTGTTTCAAGGTTTCTTGTACTCGTGCTTTATCGGAGAGAGATCCGGGATCATGCCTCATTTCAGACAAGATGGTGGCCTCATCACCCTGGCATGGTGGTTTGGGTAGTGCCTTGCGCGGTCCCAATCGCTCGTTGCTAGAGGCTTCTCTGATATCCAAACAGTTCGCGAACCTATCACACGGCCTCGGTTTCCCTCTCCTGATCGTTTTCGTATAGGTCAGCCTTGCACTGATCGCTCGTCGCGGTTCTAGTGCTGGCGCAATCAATGCTTCGAAGACGCCTGGAGGTGCTGTCTGTGACTTCTTCCGTAATCGAGGTTGATCTGTGACATTGACTTTGTTGCTGAAGCTTCTCCTCCACAGTCTAAGGTTATCTTTGAGCGGCGGCGACGCCATTCTAATCGTTGGTGTTTCTGGTGACTCTGGTTGCCCGTGCGAAGGTGGTGATCTCGGAGGTGTTCGTAGTTGCAGTGTGGTATCGTTGTCATCCTCCACTTCATCTTCGGAATTCGAGGCCGAGGAAAACATCATAGTCCAAAGACCATCAAGCATGCTCGTACTGATCTCGCTTGTAGGCCGGCCTGCAAAGTTTGCAGACGGCAGCATTTCGACGGGCATGTCATAGTAATCCTCTGCAGCGTGTTCCATGGTCTAACAAATACAATGGAGAAGTGTAGTGGTGAGTACTCGAATGCACATATGAAGTATGGTAACTGCAGAGCTGCTTAAAGTCTCTCTTTGTTTACCCATGGCTACACTGGTGCTGTTGTTGCACAGACGAACATGCAAATGCATTCCGATATTTTAGTAGACAAAGGAAGCCTTGGAGATATCCGACAGAGGCGAAGCACGAATAGTTACCTAGACAGGAACTACTCTGTCCGCCGACGTCAAGCCATTAATCCCGGATTTGATGAGGATTGCTTACATTGGGTGCAGGTTCGCGGCGTACGACCGTCTTGTATCACCCCTTGCATATGCGCAGTTGCTGAGCCTCACCAGCCCAACCAAACTAAGCTTCAATACTCAAAGCATCTCTAGTTTGTCCATTATCTATTTCCAGATGTCCTGCATACATACGCGCTCATTCTATTCGGATACTCCCGTGGAAGCAGTATGCTGCATGTATCGTGGACATGATCAAAGATCATGGTGCGTTGCTCGCGAGTGACGTTTTGCAGCTCTTTGAGTACTACGCCTTCTCAATGCGTCTATCTCAGATCTTGCTTAGAGGTTCACATGTAGTTTCGATCAGGATGACCCTCTCCGGACCCTCCTCTGATTCGTAAAATATTTCCTAAGAAATTTGTCCTCATCCAAATCAGAATCTCGAGATGTCCGGATTGTGTACCAAGGAAACACACCATGGCAGTTTTGGACACGTATACGCTTTATCGAACGAATAATTCGTTCAACAATACGAAGATCGAGTATTGAAAACATGTATTTATACAGCTTGTTCCGCTCATTTATGTATTACTGCCAATCTTTGGCACCAGATATGCTTGCCATCAAAATTTAACTTTTTCCAACCCCAATGTTGCCATACCCAACTTACAAGTTAGGAGTCTCTTCCCTCTCACCGATGACGTTCAAGAAAGCAGTGTGCACATGTTCAGTCAAGTCGCTGGCTTGTAGCGACCTGCCCTTCTCCTTGAATGCAAGCTTCGAGCACTCCCTGGTAATGCATGATCCACCATATGCTGCAAGAGCAAGTGTCTCACTCCTCGACATCTCGGTTCCGATATCCCAGATCTTGTCGTGGTATGCTTTCCTGTATGCCAACAAGGTCGCCAAACTGCCGGTAAGAGTATCACCTTGGCCACCAGAGCGCTTTAGACCACCCTCACCCTCGGATACGAGTGTGTGCGAGCCATTGGATATGTAGTCCTTGGAGCCCTTCTGAATAATGGTGACGCCGCCAAAAGCCTTTGACAATTTGGCGCAGAGCTCTGAAGGATCGCCTTCATTGACATCTACACCCTTAGCCTTGGCTAGCCTTCCGAACTCAACAACGTTGGGTGTGAGTATACACTCGGTGCAGCCATCCACAAGCTCCGGTCTTGTCTGCGCAAGGTAGAGACCGTCTGCGTCCAGCACGAACGGAATGCCTTGTTTCCTTGCCTCCTGGATAACCTGTGCGCAGGTGTTTTGCATGAGCTCATCACGACCAAGGCCGGGACCAATGACGATAACATGTAGGCGTGATAGCATGCTAACGACTTCTGAGGTGATGCTCTCTGCGCTTTCGGTCTTGGCGAGGTTCTTCGATTGACGCATGTATGGATGCACCATGAGGTTGGGAGAGTAAGTCTTGATCACCGCACCGGCACCGGGTTCGCAGATTACGTGAGACTGCAGGAAGTTGAGCAAGTTGTTTGTTGTAAAGATATATGTGTATTCTTACCATGTCACAACCTAGCTTTGCGGATGCCATAGCAGAGAAGTAGGGCGCGCCAGTGTAGTCTTCACTACCGCCGATAACAGCTACGCGACCCAATTGACCTGTATAAGCAAGTTAGACTCTTTTTCGTTGACTATTGTCACATGTCCGTACCCTTGTGGAAGCTTTCAAGCATGGGCGGTACCATGTTGTAGACCTTCTTGAGGAGGTCTTTCCTAGTTGCGCTGGCCATCTTGATATTGTTTGAGGGACTGGTTGCTATATTGAGCGTGGTTTTGTCAAGTGTTTATAATTCGTGAGTGTTGTTGAATGCTGTGATGAGCTTTCCGGGTCTTTGGTTTTGTTATGGAGCTCAACGCGAAGAGTACGTCATAATGATAGCGGGGCCATGATGGGGCTGCTCCACGCGATGCGCGCCACAGGATGCGATGATGTAGACGCGTGGAGAACAGAGATAGGAGAAATCATGAAATAAAGTCAATGCGAAGTACGACAGCGAGGTGATGGTAAGGTATTTTCAATTGTTTTCGATTGCTAAAACAGTCTTTTACTCCGCCGCACCTACACTCATCTTCGAAAACCCATGAAAGAAGGCGCATTTCCCAAATGTAAGCCCGTGTCTCCTTGTCAGACCCCACTAATCATGCTATTCCAGCATTATATATACACATACGGCAAAATCGCTCAAAACATGGAAGCTGGTGCTCGCCGGTCGACGCACTTCGCTCAGGCCTGCCCAGACAACCCAGCGAACCCCGTTACGCTTCAGTATCGCAATCAAGCCATTATAGGACGAACGGCTGCTACAAAACCAGATAGTGAAGGTAACTCTCGGCTCATTACTCAGACGCATTGCATCTAGGTGGAAGCAGTCTCCGTAGTTGCAGCTGCTGCCTCAGGCTCAGCAGCCTTCTCAGCACCATCTCCACTTTTCTCGGCCTCCGCTTGCGCTGCGGGTGCGTCCTTAATGACGTCCTTGTCGGCTTCTGACATGTGTACGTCGCCGTCCTCTTCGGCAGTCTTCGTGGCAGCAGCTTCGGTGGTAGTGTCGTCGATCTTCAGTCCCTCTGTGGCCTTCTCGACAGAGGGCGCCTCCTCCTTGGCAGACTCTGACTTCTCCCGCTCTTCGCCCTTGACGCCATTGGTAGCAGTTGGCTCAGACTCGGAAGCCAGAGCGCCACTCCACTTGTTGAGTAGATCTGCCGAGCGCTTCTTGAAGTTCAACTCTCCCTCCATGGGGATAGTTTCGAGCTTCATGATCGCCCTCAGGACCTTATGAACTTTGGTCTTCTTGATTACTTCAGCCTCCAGATCCTCATGGGCTTCTAACTGTGTTAAGTATTCAGACATGCTCGCCATATCTTCGTCCTTGGGTGCTTGGTCGCGCGAGAGGAAACCCTTTTGCAAGCGATGGCGGAGGTATAGAACTTGTTTCTCGCGCTTCAGTAGCCGCTCCTCCTCGGTCATAGGTGGCTCCTCTGGGGTTGGATCCACAGCTTCCTCGCTAGACTTCTTCTTGGACTTGGGTTCCTTCTTTGGTTTCGCTGCTGATGCATCCTTTGGCGTCTTCGTGGTCAGCTTGAGCTTGGTCTTGGGAGTCTTTGCAGCCTGTTAAAGAATTAACGGATGTGAAACAATCGAGGATCGTGATTCATACTTTCTCGTTCTCACCATCACTCTCGTCACCCTTCTTACGCTTCTTGGTGGCCTTAGCCTTCTTAGCGGAAGGAGCGGTCTCGTCAGCGTCTCCCATCTCAACGTCTTCAGAGTCCGGGGCTGTGCTCTTGCGCTTGGCAGCCTTTTCGGCCTTCGCCTGCTTCTTCTGATCCTTCTGCTCCTGATCTTCTTGCATGGCGGATTCATGGGCACTCAACATCTCCTTGAAGTGTGCCAGATCATAACCTTTAGCGGCAACCTGGTACGCTTCCCAGAGTTGCTTGTTCTTCTTCCCTTGGTTGCCGGAATCTACGTCCTTCTTCACCTCTTCGATGTCGAATGGCAACAAATCAGTGTTAACTTGCCATGCAAATTCGTTGGTGCCCAAGAACATAATTGGGTATCTTCTGTCTTTGGCGTTTTTACCGCCCTCGAGGAAGTCTTCGCGGTACGTGCCGTCAATGCGCCTAGCACTAACAGGACGCTTGACGAGGAGCGATTCCGGGAGCATCTCCTCATCGCAAACGATGACTGGCCATGGCTGGTAACCGCGCATGGCGACCATGAACATGTCACCAGGCGACACGTCTAGGCGCAGCTTGACTTCCTTCTTTCCCTTTTTGGCCGGTGTCTTCTTCTTGTGCTCGGGGACACCTGCGCCTGACTTGCGCTTTCCATTTGCAGCCTTCTTCGGTGCTGGGGTGCCATTCGTTACTGGCGCGTCGGAGGCAGGGGCAGCATCTAAAATAGCGTGTCAGAATGCAAACGTGATGTATTGGCAATGTTCATGAGGTCTGGGATTCGAAGAGAAGCGTGGCTGCACTTACCTGCGTCATCGCTAGCTGCAGATGGCTCTGCTTGCGCGTCAGCAGTGGTGTCCTCCTTCTCAGCGTCGTCCTTTTGCGCGCTGTCATCTTCGGGAACTAATTTGCGATCGCGTTAGCTAATGCCTCTTCGGTTGTTTGCGCACAAGTAAGTTGTTACCTTCGGCGACGCCTGAGGTGGCTACGACACCGTCCTCAGCCGGCTTTGCCTCAGCAACAGCAGGCTCCGCTACAGCGTCTGTAGAACGCGTCGGCTCGTCGACAGTGTTCGTGGTATCCGCAGACACGGGTGGGTTGGCTTCCTCGGCCATTGTGCGAGTCGAGCTCACGCTTGTATGATGTCGTGTCGACGCGTAAGGGAGGCGCAGATTCGCGAATTACCTCTTCGATGTGTTGGGGGCGATGGCTATACCGCGTGATTGATGGTTGACCAGGTTGGTCGATGGTGCGCGGTGGGTGAGGTGGTTGGGTCGTATTGTGGTGGTGTGGGGAGGGCGAAGAAGAGATCGGAGACGCAACTCTTGAACTTTCCAGCAACGCCAGGCGTAACACGTGACGTTCTTCGGCCTGCACGCACCACGCGGGCTATCGTGTTCGGAGAAGTTTGAGGTATTTCTCTGTCGCTCGTTCAGGCACCACTGAGGATTTGATAATGTTGCAGCGAGTGTGACGTGTTTGCTGGGTGGTGGAAGGAATTCGCGCGATGCGATGACTTGGGTCCGTGCAGGAGTACAGCCCTGAGAGCAGCCGCGCCTCCGGCCAAGCAAACCCACCGTTCTGATACTTGTGCACGACGCTTGGAGATGATACGAAAGTAATGGCCTTCCCTCGTCGGCGCAGCTCTTTTGCTAGTGTCCTTGTTATCTTCTTGAGCTGAGGTGAGTGGTTGAGTAGTCGATCGGTTGTGACTGCCAGGCCGCCAATGATGAGCTAGACGGAGCTCTGGAGGTAAGAGCGCAAACTGTTGGTAGTAGCGACACCCGCCGAGATCACACTTCCTAGCTCTTTCTCGCTTTGTCAGGTCTATACACTTGCTGTTAGCTGATGACACTCGTTCTGTGAGGATGACAAGATGTAAATGGCTATGTTGGGTGGCACCAAGTCAGAACGCTGAGCTGCGGGGTTTCGGACTTGCTCAGGTAGACTTGTCAGGGTATTTTTGCATTTCGGCTACTACTAGAATGCGTCAGCTTAAATACGACTGGTGTTGAAGATAACAAAGAAACACTCACTGTAATCCAACCTGCTCTACCAGATATCCGGATTCTATCCTGAAGACAAAGCGCGCTGCATTTGCAACCCTATTGTCCCCCTATCACAACGGCTCCTCCCCTGCGCAACCAAACCTCGTTGCAGATGTGGATGTTACCTCGTCCGAGTGGCATAAGCAGCCCATTTGCAGTCGAGCCAGCGTGAGGGTTTGATGTATCTGCCTCAACCTTATTCGTAATGATGTCTCCAGGGTGGATAACAAGGAGCCTACCGTTGAAAAGGTCAAGCTAGTCGAATTCTACTATCGGGGATACAACACTGTGGATTGTATCAATTTTCTGATGTGTGAAGGCTCGCTGGCCCTTTTGGGATGATCCCAACAATCCGGAACGTTTATCCAGCCACCTAAAAGCTTGTGATACCATTGCTTTGGGCCAGCTTGAACAAGTCCTCAGCTTTATGAAGATCGCTCACGTTCCGTCTCTTTGCTTCAGTTGTTGGTATGTTTTGCCTACGTAAGCAAAGACGTCTTGAGAACAAAGGCCTGCCTGCATAAGATGTAGTGAGAAATGAATACTGAGAGAAGACCTCAAAGATACGACATGCAGAGGAGTGCACATATACCACCACCCTGCACATGGTAATACAAGCGCAACAACGGGCATACGTGAAGAACACGATTTCAGCCTTGGCAGCAATATCCAGAGCTACGTTATAGGGTTCAGTTTTGGCCGTGGCTCCGTAGTGCCTAGGATGTCTTGAGGATACTGGACGACAAGGTATGCTTGTCCGTTGAGCATTAGGTGTACTTAACGGAGAATACAGAATCGGTCATATCCTTAAGCAGGACTGAATATGGGGCCTCCAAATTGAAGACTGCCCCGGATTATCACGGTCCGAAACAGGGGGTTTCCGTATCCGCGTTGACTATCGATAAGCCTAACCTGCATCTTCCATCTCTTGCCAACAGTTCGCTGCAGAGGCACGCTCGCTTGTCACTTCGGCTTGCAGGTTCGAACTCGACTGACGATCGGGTTGTCCAGTTTTGTGGGAATACTGCACATAGCGAAGTCTTATTGTGACTCGCTCCCACACTGTCGAATGGCCAGTGCTAGTGTTCTGCAGATATGTAGAGGTCGCAAAGATTCTTCATGCGCAGGGCTCTTCCGACGTGGTGTGAGGTAGCCATGATTGATGCTGCGGCCTTTGCACGTAGAACAGCTGGGAAGAGCTCATCTAAAGCTGCTTTCGAAGAGCCAAGGGACGGGGGCCAAAACGAGGCCCTGCTCAAAACCGATTTCAAGGCCCCAGATACACTGTGCGCGTATTCATCATTGTATCTGTCCGAGTCGGTTGCTTGTACAACGCATGCGATAGTCGTTCGTTCGGCCGGTGCATGTGGTCGATCGAGGGGCAGTGGAGCGTCAATAGTGCCATCGTGTCGTCGTAGCGAGGTGCATAATTATTAGGAATGCAGAATGGCTATCCAAGGTTTGCGCGTGGAACATGCGAGATGTTCTTCTGCGGGTGATGCGAGGGTGTTGATGGTGTTCGAAGCGGGCGGCTCCTACGAGCGGCCTGTGGTTGTCGCTAGTGGTCCAGCCATCACGTGTACTGTTAAGCGCTGCAAAACCAACCTTTGAGCATGACCTGAGGAACACTGTATGTGTTTTCGTTTTGGCCGTGGAAATGAAATTGCCACAACCGTGATAAATGGAAAGAAAAGCAACAGTCGAGGTTCTAGACATAGCGTGAATGCATGCACTTAGGATACGTGCTTCGGCAGACTTGCGCAGGTGCACTCAACCCGCCTAGAACTTCTGTCATACGTTCTGAAACAGTAACGTACAGGATACTGCAAAAGCCTTACCCGCTAAAGCCCGGTTCGCGCATACTTAGCGCAAGGCAATCGTGGACCCGGAGATCTGCATCCCTAGCTTTCGTCACAGATCAGAAAGTTGCGCAACAAGCATCCCCGCCATTCACACCAAAACCATGGCGACTGAGGCACCCACCGCAAATGGCGCACCTACTGGCGACTACTCAGCAGTGTGGGCGGACAAATACCGTGGTGTATGTATTCTTGAGCATGAACTGCATCTTGTCTAATTATTTGTAGGCGACTGTAGAGGACCTCGACCCCCCGCCTGCGTTGTCTATTCAACCCTCGGACCCTATATCATGGGCGCTCATGTCCGGCCTTGAGCGCGACTACACACATCTCACAGTAATCTCTCAAACGAACCGCGCACTACTCGGCTACATCAGCATTCCGCATCTACAGCAGCTCCTCAAAGAAGGCAAAGTCAAGGACAGCGACCCCGTTGAGGCAGCAATGCACAAGTTCCAGCGACGCGGCAGGAGGTACAAGGTCATCACGACCGAGACCCCGCTAGAGGAACTCGAGCAGTTCTTCGCTGGTGGGGTAGATGGAAGTGGGAAGCAGGAGTTCGCGGTGGTAACGGACGCCAGTAGGAAGTTTGTATTGGGCGTAGCTACACGGGCTGATTTGGAGAATTTCGCCAAGAGGAGAGCATAGAAATGCTCAGGGAGGGATCACAGGAAAACGTGGGAGGGTACCCATAGGTGCATTGGCAGGCGTTTATCTGGTATACCCTATGGCCGGGACTATGGAGGCTGGATTCACCACACGGCTTGAGAAACAATGGGTCTCTTCAAAATAGTCACCATGTTACTTGGAAGCATAGAATGGTAGACTAACATTAAATAGCGAACTTGACTAGCTTGCCTACGTTCCACTAATACATAGTACTGTGTACAATGCCATGCTTCGTAACACCAAGCTGTCCAATCTTACTCACTCCAAATATGCTTTCATATACAAACGTGTTGGACTACTTCTCTCATGAAGAACGCGTTGAATCCCCACAGACGTCATGATAGAGGGTAATGCATCTGCTGAGTCATGTCCTCCTCTCATTTCCGATCCATGGTCGCCATGCGCAAACCATAGTCTCGGGTTCCCCACACACCGGAAGGTAGAGCGACGGCTCCTCATGGTTTTTTGAACTTGGATATTTTTGGACACAAAAGTCCTCAACCGCAATTTTCTTTCTCTTGCATCGTTCGTCGCTGGCATGCTCGCGCCTTGCTTCCGCATGCGCAGTAGACCCCTCCTCCAGCACCAACTATCACAAGCCTGGAGACCAGCACTCCGAACGCCAACGAGACTACCCGCAGTACCTGCTTTCCCACCACCAAGTTCGAGATGCTATTCCAAAAAAGCGTCCAAAGCGCAAACGGGCGCTGGCACGACGACGCCCGTTCCTGACAACGCGAAGCCGCCCAAGTCCAAGTTGCCTTTCTACTTTGAGGCTGGATATGCGCTTTTCGCAAAGAGGCCTTCACGGCCGTTTCCTCCGCCGTTCTTGTCGTTGCCTTCAACGAGTTTCTCTGAGCCCCTAAGTACACATAACAAGAGTAGGGATCGTCGACCGACTGTAAATGGGGAGATGATAAGAGGGGTTACAAACGGGGACGATGCGGTGCTAGTCAGTGAGAGCTTCATTGCAGCAAACGACGGTGTGGGAGCATGGGCGACGAGAGAAAAGGGACATGCCGCGTGAGTCTTGTGTCGTTTGGTTATCTAGGAGGTGCGAGTGCTGATCATACACTACACAGTTTGTGGTCCCGTCTCATCGCCCATTTCTGGTCCCTTGAAATCGAGGGCGCATCCTACTCCTCCACCTCGCCTCCAAATCCCGTCACGTACCTCCAGACCGCATACGAGCTTACCAAGCAAGCCACCTCCTCGCCCAACGAATGGCACGGCACAACTACTGCCTGCGGAGCGCTTCTCGGAGCGGACAACGAACAACCGGACCACCCCTTGCTCTACGTGACGCAATTAGGCGATTCCCAAATCCTCGTCATACGACCAAGTAGCAAGGAAGTCATCTACAAAACGCAGGAGCAATGGCACTGGTTTGACTGTCCACGGCAATTGGGTACGAATAGTCCAGATACACCAGACAACAATGCGGTCATGGATTGTGTGGAGATCCGGGAAGAAGACGTCGTACTGGCGCTGACGGATGGCGTAGTAGACAATTTATGGGAACATGAAATTGTTGAAAATATCTGCGAAAGCATGGAGAAGTGGACCGGCGACAAAGATAAAGATACAGAGGACCAGACGTATGCTGCTGGTATGCAATTTGCAGCACAGCAGTTGATGAATGCCGCAAGAGAGATAGCTCAGGATCCGTTTGCTGAGAGTCCATATATGGAGAAGGCGATCGATGAGGGCTTATCCATCGAAGGAGGTCCGTTTATTCGGCCGTGAGAGTGAGACGCCGCTGACGTTATTTTAGGAAAGCTTGACGACATCAGTGTCGTAGCCGCACAGTGTAAACGGCGCAAAGGATGAAACGGCGTAACGAGATTCTAACGACCGAAAACCTGCAACGAACGACAGACTAAACCACACGCCGATTGGTAGTAAAAGCATCAGGTTATCATGCGCTACGTTTGCCTCGACTCCAGAAGCCGCAATGCCGCGGAAAGTTTGCCAGATCGTAGGATACACACCGTTATGCGCAACCGCCGTATGCCTTCCACACACGCACCATAGCGCCACGCTGGCAACTGAGAGACGCCACGCATTGCAGAGTATATACTAGATTGAGGACGTACAAGGTACGCAACCCGCATGTTGATGCACGGCAAGACGGGAGAAGAAACGAGTAAGATGTTTTAATAGTATTGTCATGAAGTCCTCGGGTTTGCGATATGTAAAGTTGTTTAGTGTACAGTGGCCATGAGGCTGTTTGAGGGCGCAGTTGAAGCAAACGCATACTCTTTACCGGCCCATGCTATCCTGATATTCTATTCTCTGTGGCGCATGGGTAAAAATGTCAACAATGTTATTTGAGCATGTCAAGGACAATCGCGACCGGAGCATTTATGACCGCTTTCTCCATCCCCTTTTGGACGTACGCCTTCCGGACTGGTCACGATCGTATAATTTCTTCACTCGGTAGCACCGCGAACACCGCTTCGCGTTCATATAAGAAGTGTCTGGCCCCTTTAAGCACGCGCTGCAGAGAGCGGGTTTATAGGCATCCTATGACTTCGGGGTTTCCCCTTCTTTGCGAACCGGTGAACCTGTGGGTGAGCGAGTGACACGACGTCTAGCCCTACCAGTTTTGCTGCGAGATCGTGACCTGCTAGAGCTTATGGACCGTTTGCGCTTCTTGATGTCGGTGCGAGAGTCATTGGAATCAGCTCCGGATGAAGTAGAACGTCTGCGCCGACGCTCTCGCACAGGGCTTACAGACATGGAGCTCGAGAGAGAACGACGCCGGCGGCGCGGAGGGGTTCGTGATCGTGATCGCAGCCTGGGCGCTGGTGAGCTCGATTTGGTTCTGAATGGCGGGGAACTGGAGCGCGAAGTATGCTTGTGTCGCCTCCTGCTCTCGCTCGGAGACCTATCCCTCCTTCGTCTTGCAGGTGGAGACTTGCTGCGCGAAGGAGAGCGACGGCGAACACGGCGAGGTGGAGATCTTGAGCGGTCAGTTGACGGAGAACGCCGCGTTCGACGCCTGGGCGGTGGAGATTGAGAGGGTTCTGACGATAGTGAGCGACGTGTACGACGAGGTGGTGGAGATGCAGAACGACTGCCCGAAGGTGAGCGACGGCGGTCGCGGGATCTATCGCGACGTCCTCCACGTCCACGACCACGTCCCCCTCCAGGTATGTAAACATCACGCTCGCGAGTAGGTGGTGAAGGTCTCCGTCTCCTGTCACATGTCAGTAGTCTTCTCTCCGCATAGACGCGGAAGACGTACGGTGGTGACCTTGAGTCGTGCTCGCGTCGTGGAATTCCTCTGTCAAAGTCTCTGCCGCGCCCTCTGCGATCGCTGCCACGGTATCTTCCTCCACCACGGCCGCGTTCAGGTCTATCTGAACGCTCAGGACGCTCACTTTGTCGGAAAGAGTCGATCATAGCATTCTGCGCTTGTTCTTCGGCCCGTCGAGCATCAGCTGCGGCCTTTGAAAGCTATAGAGATCCTTAGCAACAGTAATGGTGTTGGTCCGTAGTTTGGCTTACCTGCTCCTGCTGCAGTTCGGCCTTCTTCGCCTCCAACAGTTCTCGGGGCACACCCATAGGACTGTCTTGCGCACTCAGCATGAGGTCCCATAGCTCTTTGCAGAAAGGTGCTGTATCCTTGTTAAGGAAGCCCGTCAGTTGGATTTGGATTTCCTTGATCTTGGGCTGCATAGGTTAGCAAACGTTGCGCTATGCCGATTCTAGGTCTACTGACAAATTGGTTCTGTTCGATCAAATTGTAACAGGTCTCGACTACGATGTCGTCTTCGTCGCCGAGAATAGTGGTGATCCTGTTAGCAATCCACTTCTTCATGAGGTCAATGTTGACTTTCTCAATGTCGACCTTCTTGTCGAACTCGGGTGGAAACTTTGTTGCCTTGAGACGCTTCTGATCGACGCTAGACGCCATTTTGAGAATTAAAGATAGAGTGCAATTGGGAGGCAAACGGAGTGACGCGTGTGGAGAAGGACGATTTCGCGACGGTGAAAGCTGGAGCTCGGGCGGACCCATCTGCGGGCTTGGCATCCATCTCCGGGGCTACGTCAGTTGTTCATGCAGGTACAACGCGCTAAGCTCCTGCCACCCGCCGCTCCAAACCTCACGCTTTCCTTTCGATGTCTTGGGCTGGGAAACAGCGAAATCCGGTCTACAGCATCAAAGTGACGGAGTACGAAAGCATAACGCTAACATGAGATGTGCCATCGGGACAATGTCCTGTTTCACCTGCTCTCGAACAGTCTATACGAGGTCTGGCTGCTCGAATCGCACAGAGCTAACATGCTCAACATGCACTTGCTGCGTTCGCACGTCTCCTCCTTCGGCTCTCAGCTAAATTGTTTTGGTCACGACTTCTCTTTATATCCTAAAGTCATGAGATTCCGACCGATCAGGATGTGGCCACAATCATCCACTTACCTGGGCCAGCATATCATTTCTCCCACGACCCATCATATCACTCCGATTGTCACTCGAACTTCTCCTCCACATCTTTCTGTCTATCATTGATTCTATCCCCATTCGTCATGGCGGATCCAGCTGCGGTTTCTGATGTGCCTCCTGTGGAAGAACCCGAAGCGCCTACCGAGCCAGAGCCCGCTCCAGAACCTCTAGCAGAGCCGCCTGCTGACCCAGCACCCGAAGAGGCTGCCCCATCCACTCCTAAGCCTGTTGTTGAACCAGAACCAGAACCAGAATCGCAAGCGGAGCCCGAGGCAGCACCTGAGAAGGCACCAGAGCCTGTAGTCGAAGCTCTGCCTGAGCCAACAGACGAGCCCATATCCAAGAACCCACCTGAGCCTGCTGCCGAGCTGGCGCCCGAACCTGCTCCCGAAGAACCAGTCGCAGAGCCGCCAGCCGGAGAGTCTGAAGCTGCACCTGCTCCGGTTCAACGTTCCATGGATCCTGAAAGGGAACCAGAGCCAGAGTCTGAAAGTGTTCCAGAAGAATCGCCAGTAGAGCCATCAGCTGAAGAACTGCCAACGGAACCTCGAACCTCAGAACCTGAAGCTACACCTGCTCCGTTGCAACGTTCTGTCGACCCTGAGCCTGAGCTACATACTGAACCTGAAGCTGTTCCTGAAGAACCTCCAGCTGAAGTACCTGAAACAGAATCCCCAATCGAACCTTCACCAGCAGTACCCGAAGCGGTTCCACCAGCAGAGCCTGAGCCTACAGCAGAGCCAACGTTGCAAGTGCCAGCTATAGCACCTGTCGAAACCGAACCTATAGAACCCGCGCCAGCAAGTGAGCAAGTGCCTGAGCCTGCCGCTGCTCCTGAAGCTGAGGCCGAGGCTGAATCTACACCTGTGCCTGTCACGAGGGTAGCCGAAGCAGAAGAAGGCGCTGGGGCAGTAACTGAGCCTGAAACCGTGGCAGAAGAACCCGAGCCAGCACCGGCTACTGAGCCTGGAGTTGCCCCTGATTCCGGAGCAGCAGAGCCAGGAGCACCTACCGAACCTGCACCCGAACCAGAAGCCGCGCCTGCATACACAGCTGCAGAGACAGAGGACGTGCCAACTACATCTCCAGAAGCTCTTGCACCTGAACCCACACCATCTGTAGCAGAAACAGAAGCACCAGCTCCTTCTGTGGCAACGACGACTGCGTGAGTACACTTAGTACCTCTCACCATCCCTGAACTAAATCAACTCCCTCAGCCTCCCCGCATACACTATACTGGATCCCAATTTCACAGCTACCTGTGTACTAATGTTCTCCAGAAAAACTCGCAAGCGCGACAAGGTCAAGCTACTTGCAGCTATGCGTGCACCACCCGAGTCTGTTCCTATCATGGTGCTTCTCCGCCAGAAGAAGAAGGCTGGTGAGGATGTCAAGGCTATAGCAGACGCTATGCTTGCAGCTGCAGGATCGTGAAATGAGTTGGAAGATTGGTATTTAGATCGTGGTGGTGAACTTCAGGTCTCCCTAAGAAAGCCCTCTATCTGGCGTTGAATACCGACTCCTATGCAGATGCTACTACGAAGCGAATGAATCTCTCAGTCTTACATGTCTCCTTCGAGCCGCGCCCTCTTGTCTGCGCAAGGAACTGCCAACACGATGAGCGTGCGAAGATCACCCTTTCTCTTCTCTTCGTGCTCATGTATTGAACCCTCCTTATCATGCCTCTTTGCGTGAGTCTAAGGTTATCGATCACGTCCGCAGCTGCAGTTGCCTTTAGCCCCCACCGCAAGTTCACATGTTCTCTCTTTCTTGACCTTGCGCTTGGTGTTGCGCAGCATCTCTTGTGTCTTTGTATGTCCATGCTCACTTCCAATCTCCTCTTCACCCGCCAACAGCTTTCCTAACCAAACTCCTCGCCTCCTCGAGTCCCCTACCCAACTCTCCCCTCTTGTGCGCCTCCTTCACTTCGTAACGTAGTTTCAGCAGGTCCTTTGCGCGCTTGAGGTCTGGGTCTTGCTCATCGTCTGTTGCTGTGTTGGGTTTTGCGGTGTTGTCATGGGAGGATGTGGAGTTGAGATCTGTAGAGCGCGCAGATACGAGGGCAAGCGCTGCAGCGGGATCCTGCAAATGAAATGGTGTTAAAAAGAAGGGCGATGCATGGATACGAGGATAGGGTAACGTACACAAGCGCGTAAGGACACAAGATCGGATAGCATTTCCGCAAGCTGCATTGTGTTTCCTTGGCTTTGCGCCATATGCGCGGGTGCTAAGGGGAATATTGGGATATGTCTTGTTTGCTCACAAATGCGTAATGTAATGTGGAATGGCTGTTGCGGTAGTTTGGTTGCGTTGCGATCGTAAGTAGGATGGATGACCCAGCAGCTCTGACGTTCACACGGCAATCCCCCCCACATCTCGGTTCCTAACCCGTAGCGGGCAGGGGCCCGAGATCAAAACTCCCGTCGATTACCGGTCAAGTACCTTCCCGAAGACGGTCTGCTACATCTTGTTTGCAGTCATATATACGTGCTTTTAGGTTATATCTGAAAACCTTGGGAATACTTCATCATGGCGAGCATACAAGCTATCAGGGCGAATTGTCGCAAGGTACGTGATTTCGTGTGGTATTCGTGTTATCAGGAAACCCTAGTAGGAGAGAGAGCTGGAGAGCCATGCTATGGTAAAAGTAATTGGCACGAACCAGATTGACTATCGTGGCTTGTAAAGTTAGTGTTTCTGTGCTTTGGGACTGGACGGTTGAGGAAGTTGGATTGGAAGAGAACGAAATTTGGACTCGGCACAGAGGAGACTTTTGGTATAATCTGACACTTCGCAGGTCATGTGCATAGGCAGGAACTATGCAGACCACATCAAGGAGCTGTCTAGTGCTACGCCCAAGCAACCCTTCTTCTTCCTGAAGCCACCATCATCTATCTTGCTACCAGGCGCTGGTCCAGTACTACGACCTCGTGGTGTGAATATGCACTATGAAGTTGAGCTCGGTCTCATCATGGGCAAGACAATAAGGGATCTGCATCCCGAGGATACCAAGGGTGCTATGGATGCTATAGAAGGTACTACGGACGCTATACATGAAGCCAAGTGTAACATTATATGGAGTCCCTATCGAACTAACATCCGAAATACAGGTTATGTTCTCGCTATCGACATGACTGCACGTAATGTGCAGGATGAAGCGAAAAGAAAAGGCCTGCCATGGTCCATTGCGAAGGGTTTCGACACCTTCATGCCCATCAGCAACTTCATCGCGAAGAGCCGGATCCCAGACCCACAGAAAGCACACCTTTGGCTTTCAGTCAACAACGAGATGAAGCAATCCGACAACACTGAACTAATGCTTTTCCGAATTCCGAGACAACTAAGCGACATTAGTAGGGTCATGACGCTAGAAAAGGGCGATATTGTACTCACAGGAACGCCGAAGGGCGTGGGTCCAGTGAAGACGGGCGACATTATGCGTGCGGGACTCAAAGTGGATGGTAAAGATATCGAAGAGGCGAACCTGGAAGTACCAGTTGCAGATCGTGAGGGTTTGTACGAGTTCAGCGAAACATAAGGCGAAGTTTCCATACGTGAGCAACGACCGAAGTTCATCAGATCTTGAAAATTTAGAAAGCGCCGATTCCAGATATCTCCGGTTTCGCCCTTGTTCCATTAGACCTCTTCCTAGCCTTGGAACGTGACAGTGGCATAATTGCCGCTTTGCGAGGTGACATCTTAACTCTGTCTGCAGGGGTGCTTTCCGTATCATCGCTCTCACTACGTCTAGTTCTTGCTGCTTTCTGCGGGCTCCGAAGAACGACAATCAACGACCTCTGTTTCTGTGGATTTGCAGCATTTGATCGAACTGGGAAAGGATCCTTTTTCTTTACAGGCGATGTAATAACCTTTGGCACGTTCGATTTTGCCGGGCTTCTTGTGACCCGCTGGGTAGGTTCCATAGCCGTGTTCTTGCCTCGATCTGCGGCAGCGCTTCGCTCTGAGATTGCCGGTGTCCTATGGGCGGCCCGGGTTGTAGTGCTGGGTTCGGCTTTGATCTGATCTGGTTCTTGCGCATGGGCAGTTTTTCGCTTCTTGCGCGACGATAAAGCGGGCTCGGCTGGTTGCACAGATGGAAAAGGTGTAGAACTACCTGCCCCTAGCGGCTTTTGCTCATCAGCCTCCTGTGCTTGACTTTTCTTAGCTTGGGCACGTGTCACGCGTTGAGTTTGGGGCTCTCTCTCAGGTAGTTTCCGCTTTCTCGAACCAGCTTTACTGACCAACTGTGTTGATGGCGGAGCAACTCTGGCACGTGGGCGGGCCTTACATGTTGAGGCTAGAACTGAGGCTGGGACTGAGGCTAGGACTGGAGATGTGCGGTTGTTGCGGAGTGGTTGTGTTGGAGGCGGAGAGACTCTGGCATGCGAGGGAGCCTCGCGCGTTGGGATCGGAGCCGGACTTCGAGCCTGTTGGATGTGTGGCAGGAGCTGTGTTGCAGAGAGAATGTCATATCCTGGTTTGTCAGGCAATGCATAAGGTGTTCGGAGTTGTTCTTGTTCTTCCGAATTGCGCAGTAACATGGAGTCGTGAATCGATGGCCTCTGCATCAGTCTCTGCCGGGCTGACTTTGTTGGGCTGTCTGAGGTTACTGACGGAGCGAAGGTAGTGCTTGGATTCCTATTATCGTCAGCAATGTCGTGCACACGACTGCGTCAGAGAATTTTCTTACCTTTCTCTCATCTCTGGGTATTGTCGTACCTGGTTTCCTTCATGTGTAGGTTTCTGCATAGGGGCCAACTCTTCATCCTCAGCTTCAGTAGTCGCGTCTGAATGCCCGTCGTTCAGTAACGGAGGTGGTGTCATAGTTCTCATGATGGCTTGCTGGATCCTGAAAACTGTCTGGGAACCAGCGGTCTTGGTAGTGTGGTCCTGTTGGATAACTTTGAGATGAGTGAGTTCTTTTTCCAAGCTCCTGATCCGACGGACGTCTTCAGTTCGACCAGCCTCGAGAACGTCAAGACGCAGAAGAACGTTTTGAAGATCCCTAGGGACTTGTCTAAGCCTATCTAGATCCTCCACGGCATGGGACATAACATTGTCCAGCTCGATCTGCTTCTGCCTGACGTGCTTGTTTGTGTCAATGAAGTTACCCAGCCGTGCCATCTCGCCCATTGCCCACTTTTCGAATGCTTTGTCGTCATCTTCGGCTTCGATTGCCGCAAGTCGCTGCTCTAGATGACGGATTCTGGATGTAGCAGCCTCTGCGGCCCCCGCAACATGTTCAGTAGTTTTGATCCGGACATCGTAAGCTTCGTGATGTCTCTGGAGTTTGCGCATCTCCGTGAGCAGGTGAGCATGTTGCTGTTTCATTTCTGGGCCCCACAGCAACATCTCAGCCGATGCGAATGGCATGCGTGAGTCAATGTCGCCAGCCGTGCTCGGCCGTCGGGGAGCCATGGCGACAGAATATGGAATAACACTCAAAAGGCAGTGGACAAGGAGATGCGGTGTTGCAGGTAATAGTATGGCGTTGCTGCTCAATGACGCACGAGACAGAGAAGGCCGCTACACGTGAGGTGAGATGAGAACAACTGAAAATGCAGAAGCTGTATGGTGAGAGACAAGACTCAGCACGTTATAGTGGGTCTTGTCGCGAGAAGCAGGTGCGACGCTGGGTGTGGCTTCCTCAGCTGAGCAGTCTCAGGGGGCCATAACGTCTCAACAATCTGCTACTTCAACACGTCAATAAGGCCCAGGCCACAATACAAGCGGTGAAGTAAACTCTTTCTTATTTCTTGCTACCTATTAGGTACATTGAACATTCCACTCAATCAGATCAAGCAGCACGCTTTGGACCTTTCGGCGCGTCTATTACATCATCTCTCTTCATGATGCGAATCTTGGTGTCTTTCTTCGAGCTATCTCCGTCTGATTCGGACTCCTTCAGCCGTTCTGCGACGCTTTTATCGTAGCTACTCGGGTCGATACCAAGAATGCCACCTACGTTGTTACGATCGCCAGGAACAGAGAACTCACGGAAAGCATAGCGCCATTCGTTGAGGAAGCCGCGAATAGCCTTGCCGACTTTGTCCTTGCCATTCTTGGAGTGATGGCCGGTTCCTGTGATGGCATACACTGGACGAGAAGATGAGCTGTGCTTCAGAAGAATGCCCTCGAGGTATGACACGGATTCATCTGGGTGCAGACCTGAGTGACATTAGTTCTGCTAAAAATCGAAATCACCAACTCGACTTACCGTGAAGATCAACATACAGCTCTCTTGAGCCGTCGCTGTCCTTGTTGCGATCTTCGTAAAGAATACGAGCAGCTTCACGGTGGGCTTCACGCATCAGGTTATTCTCGCTCTGCCCCCTAAGACTAAGAGCTTTAGCCGCGCGCGAATCACTACGGTTCCAGGCCTGAGCAGCACTGATAGGTGTTAGCATGGGTGCCCCTTGTGAAGATCGACGTAACCTACCTCTGCAAAAACTTGTTGCGCAGACTACCATGCTTAAAGGCCTCGGCGCGAGCTTTAAGATACGCTTGATTACCCTTCTCGCCGGTCTCTAACCACGGAATGTGTTGAGGGGCAGGTATTGCCTGTGCAGCCACACTATTCTCGCGAGATCCGGTGAAGCTTTTGGTTGGTCTTAATCCCTTGCGGACCGGAGTGACAGGAGCAGGGACAGGGGACATGCGAACGACATCAGCAAGGTTATTAGGTCCCGGGGCATCCTTGTGATGACCATGGCCACCCCGCTTGCCGTGGTGACGCTTTCCAGTCTTAGCAGCGGCAGCGGAGCCTAGACTAGGGAAAGCATCATTGTCGTCCACTGCAAGTACTGATGGTGTAGTAGCACGTGAGGTTTGGCGACTGCCGGTTCTAGATTGCGGACGACTACCGCCTCCAGGGGTGAAGTTGGCAAATGGGCTAAGTCCTGGTGGAGGACGTGTAGGGCCACCACTAGTAAGGCCATAGAGCTGTTCCAAAGAGGTTGCAGCTGATGTTATCGATGGGGTACCTAGGGGTGAGCCGTTGTAGTGGAGTGTAGGGAACTCATAATCAGACATCTGGAAGTTTGGTATAGGTGGAGTCTGGACGTCTGAGACAGCCATACGAGCCATGAGAGCAGAGGGATCATGTGAGAAGAGGCATGTGTCACCAGCTAGACAGTTTCCATTTAGGAAATATCTGCAGTGAGCGTTAGCTTAGAATACCCAGAGGCATGTGTATACACCTACTTGCATAATGTCTTGCTGGTATCGTGGCTGAACCTGCAATCTGCTCTGGCACAATGTCCTGTTGATAGGAAGTATTTGCACACGATGTTGCTTTTCTGCTGGCCTACGGGTGTGCTAGGTCTAAACGCCGGACTCATAGACTTTCCGATGACATATCCAGGATGCTCTGAAGGAGTAGTGGGGAGTTGTTGTACGTCTAGTTGCTGCCCCATTAGTGCAAGCAGGGCAGCACTGAGGTCATATCCATTAGCCTCCAAGACCTTCTCAAGCTCTTCGTCTGATCGGTCGTCCCTCAGAATGGAGCGCAACATGTCGTACGGGCCCATGTCCATGGTCTGGGGCTGCACCCATTCGGCCGCGGCACCGTTGAGCGTGCCGTCACCCAGGAGGGAGGACTCTGTGCTTGCAGCATCATCGTTGACCAGCCAGTCGACGGAGTGGCCATCGAGATCGCCATAGGACTCTGTGTTCGGACTTGCGCACTCGCTGAACTGGTATGCGCTCAGGCTGGGGCTATGGGGGATATGCGGTGTGGAAAAAGCAAGTCGGGGCGAGGGTCGCGGAGAAGTAAAGGGGGATGCAGTCGACGACTTTGTGCGTGCGAAGCCGGGTGGACCTATGCCGAAGCCTGGTGGAGGGTGCACCATGCGCGGAGAGTTGTTGACGGGAGTCGGGGCGCGGTTGGCCTGCCAGGGAGCTGGCGAGGGCCGGCGGATGATGGTATGACGACTGGGAGGAGAGCTGGAAGAGCTGCCGGCGTCGCGGTAGCGCCATAGGCAGTCCAGGACAATGTTCTCGAGGGACTTGCCGGTAAGGTTTGTCTCCTTGCGCAGAAGCTCCTCGAGCTTGTCCGTCTTGTCCTCCTCGTCCAGGGCCTCGTCCTGCAACACAGGCAGCGCCTTTTCGTACAAGTCGTCGGCGACCATGGTGATTGATTATTTCCAAGCAAGGAAAGAAGTATATTGGGGTGATAGGCGGTCAGAAGTGGCGCGCGGGATGGGCGCTTGAGGTCAGAGGTCTTGGTCGAGACAGGAGGCCGTCGGGGGTGATTACATGTACTGCGGGTAATGGCAGAGGAGCGACCGGCGCGTCACAGAGGGAATGAAGCTGCAACGAAGGGCAATAACCAGTCCCGCAGCCTTTCTCTGCAGGACACACCAAGTGCGCCAAAACGGGCAGAGTGAATGAATGCCTGGGGCGATCGCGAGCGCGAATGAAGCTCGAGGGACTAGGCTCAACTACGTAGGGGTGGGGGATGCTTGCACCGTGCAGCAACGTCGACCATACAGCGGGAACGGTAATCTCCAACACTTGGTCCCGGACTTGCCCTACATGGCCCTGGAGCCGGTAGTTGCTGATGAAGGGATGAGTGTGATGTGCGTCTGAGCTGAGCGTTGATGACGGCCAGGGCTGAGATTGCAGAGCTGAGATGGCATTCGTCGGCGGAAAAGAAGCTGCAACATATGCCTCAAGTATCCTTCGAATAGGCTCGTCGACGCCACACGGCCGCCAGAGGCTGCAAGAGGCTGAGCAAGGTCACGTGTCTGGGTGTTTGTTGCGGGTCGGTGGAGACATGCACCGGAGCTGTCGACCTTTACTTATGCATTTGATACTGCATAGGCCTGGGTTCACGCGCATCAAAATGTAGTTGTCAACACCCTCTCAATCTTCAAACGCCATCGACACGCATGCCGAAAAGGAATGTCGTTTCAACTCGGGGTAGATCTGATCTGATCGCCTAATGCAGGGCGGATGCACCTCGTTCGTCCGCCCGGATGACGATGAAACCAAGAGCTCTCCAGCGGCGCTCCCACTAGCATTAGCATCTCACACCAGAGCTGTCTCCAACCCTCTACTATCACCACACGGAATGTCCGTCTCCACTCGTATCAGCTAACACCCTCCCATTACCCTCTTATTGAATTCCGTATCCCATTCACATCTTCTTACCTCCGCATACATCCGCGCCACTCCGCTGAGCACACCCCCCAATACTTAACGTAGGCATCAGCTAGCATGCCCGCGAGCGACTATGACGTCCGCGCTCTTGCGCTCCCATTAGACGACGAGGAAACAGGCCAGACGCCGATATGGAGTCGACGTTCGCAATCATCTACCTTCCGGCGCAATCCCTCGCACCAGAGCCAACAGAGCACATGGCGGCAGCGCGCCATGGACAAGTACGATACACTCTCGCGACGAGTCCTGGACCAATACAATAAACTTTCTCCCTTGCAGAAAATACTCTTCTTCGTTGGGAATTTGGTGTTGGCAGTAGGCGGCATACTGTTCTTGGTTTACAATGAGCGCATATTCGGGGCCTTGCTGCCCGTAGCGAAGAAGTGGAGAGACGTCACAGCCGGATGGCTGATACTCTGGGTCTTGATCTTTGTTGTATCATTCCCGCCCTTGATTGGGTATTCGAGTTTACTCACCATCGCCGGTTTCGTCTATGGCTTTCCTAATGGGTAAGGTTATTAGGACATTCACTACATCCAATCTGACATTAGACCAGTTGGTTCATAGCCGCAACAGCGACAGTCGCCGGCAGCACAGCGTCCTTCCTCCTTTCGCGTACCCTCCTCAAGAACATGGTCCACCGTCTAATAGCGAATGACACGCGCTTCGCCGCCCTCTCCCTGACCCTCAAGCACGATGGTCTAAAACTCCTCATCATGTACCGACTGTGTCCACTACCATACTCCATTTCCAATGGCGCTGTCGCAACCTTCCCAACCGTACACTGGGCGTCATACGCTCTAGCTACTGCTATCGTATCACCAAAGCTTATGCTACATATTTTCATCGGCAGCCAGCTCGAGAAGATTGCTGAAAGCGGAGGTAAAATGGACCCTAGTACAAAAGCTCTATCCTACGTTTCCATATTCATTGGCCTCATTGCGGGTGTTACCACAGGCTGGCTCGTATACCGCAAGACCAAGGCCCGGGCTGCACAGCTTGAAGCCGAAGAGCGTGCGGGTATTCGTCGTATGAGTATCGAAGATTTGGAGAATGAATACGCGGATGACCCGGGAGCGCTGGAAGCTGCCGAACGGTTACGTGAAGAAGATGATGATATCAGTCTTCGGACAACCTGGGACGATGAGTACAGAGATGAGCCTCCGGAGACGGGTGATGCCGTGGACATTGGCGATGACCCGTTCAAGGATGGCGATGCCAGTGACAGCGAGGAGCGAGGACGAGGAAGGCAGAAATAGATGCATTTGCATAGAAGAATCTTGCATACGTCGCTTGGGTATGGCGAGTACCTCCTATAGACTATTAGAATCGAAACCGCATCGTCAAACTCCTTTGCCTTTATCAAACTACCTTGTCATATCTTAAGTGTCACGACCAACAAGTAGCGCCTGACTACCTGCCATGGGAATGTCTACCCTGCTAGACTCGGTATGCTCCACAACTCGGGGACTTCTGTTGCCACTCCATGTCCGTTCTTCTAATAGTGCTGGCTATCTTAGTATCCTCAGGATACTTCTTCCTACTACAATAAAGCATACCAAGAGTCATATAGATACAATAAAGTATCTAGAAGTCTACAATGCTGTTGATGTTTGTAAGCTTTCTAATTAGAAGCCAATGTAAGCTGCAAGGTAAAGCTTGTTATCTCTATACCTGTTCAGTATTACCCTTGTATACGGTATTAGTATTGACCTAACGTTAGTCATTCTAGGTGACCAAATGGGATATCATGTGAGATCAGTGTTCTTGTTAGCACTAGTGTCACGACCATCACACTCATAACATAGATCTAACAGAGGAAACGTTCATTTGTCATATACAGAGCCCAGCCACCCCATTCTCATGAGCTGTATATGTACCGCTAACAAGAGCACAGGGAATCACAAGAGGTATTCGTCGACCAAGGTAGGCGTGCGTTGCCAGGCTGAGGTCAATGCAGAAAAACGAACAAATCTTCCATATTGAGACACAGCTGATGGCGAGGACGCATCTTCTATTATACATCTATTCTCAAAGACCAATCAGCACTTTTTGGCCCCTCAGAACATTGGAATAGACAATACCCACTCTTCCAGCCTTCAACTCGTTTATGCGACGAAGCTCTTGGTGAAGCTCGATGCGACCTCCTTGAGCTTAGCCTCGAGATCCTTGCTGAGAGCACCTTCCCGGTCGATCTGGGCGAGCATGTCGGACTCGTTCGATCGGAGGTGGGCAAGGAAGTCAGCCTCCCACTGGAGAACCTTGTTGACTGGTACGGAGTCGAGGAGACCGTTGATACCAGAGTAGATCAAAGGAACCATCTCGTTGACGGCCATAGGAGAGTACTGCTTCTGCTTGAGGAGCTCGGTGAGACGCTCACCACGGGACAAGGTTTGCTTGGTCGCGGCGTCGAGATCGGAACCGAATTGGGCGAAAGCAGCAACCTCACGGTACTGGGCCAAGAAGAGCTTCAGGGAACCAGCGACTTGCTTCATGGCCTTGACCTGGGCAGCGGAACCGACACGGGAGACAGAGAGACCGACGTTAATGGCGGGACGGATACCCTTGTAGAAGAGCTCAGCCTCCAAGAAGATCTGTCCGTCGGTGATGGAAATGACGTTAGTGGGAATGTAAGCGGACACATCACCACCCTGGGTCTCAATGACGGGCAGAGCGGTGAGCGAACCACCACCGAGCTTGTCGTTCATCTTGGCGGCACGCTCAAGGAGACGAGAGTGGAGGTAGAAAACGTCACCGGGGTAAGCCTCACGACCTGCAAAGTTGAAGATTCGAAGTCAGTGCATGTCTCACAGGCGTTTGATATCGTCATAGCTTACCAGGAGGACGGCGGAGCAACAAACTCATTTGACGGTAGGCAACGGCCTGCTTGGTCAAATCGTCGTAGATGATAAGAGCGTGCTTGCCGTTGTCACGGAACCACTCTCCCATGGAGCAGCCAGAGAAAGGAGCGATGTACTGCAGGGGCGCAGCCTCGGAGGCAGTGGCGGCGACAATGATGGTGTACTTCATGGCGTCGTTCTCCTCAAGGGTCTTGACGAGCTGGGCGACGGTGGATCGCTTCTGACCGACGGCGACGTAGATACAGTAGAGCTTCTTGGTCTCGTCGGTACCCTTGTTCCATCGCTGTCTAGGATACAAAGTCAGTATTTGTCTGGCTTGCAGTTGTTATCGAAATTACGTACTGGTTAAGCATGGCGTCGAGGGCAACGGCGGTCTTTCCGGTTTGACGGTCACCAATGATCAACTCACGCTGACCACGTCCGATAGGAACCATGGCGTCGACAGACTTGAGACCAGTCTGTACGGGCTGGTTGACGGACTGGCGGGGCAAGATACCGGGGGCCTTGAGCTGAGCACGGCGACGCTCGGTGGTCTTGAGGGGACCCTTTCCATCGATGGGGTTACCGAGAGCGTCAACGACACGTCCGAGAAGAGCCTCGCCGACGGGAACGTCGACAATCTCTCCGGTACGCTTGACGGTCTCACCCTCCTTGACGAGACGGTCAGAACCGAAAAGCACAACACCGACCTGGCCGGCTTCCAAGTTCATGCACATGCCCTTGACACCGGAGGCGAACCTGCCACCCGTTAGCTTCCGTGAACGTTTGTCATGTTGCTCAATTGGCGTACTCGACAAGCTCCTCAGCCTGGACGTTGTTCATGCCGTGGACACGGGCGATACCGTCACCGACGGAGAGAACACGACCAGTCTCGGAGAGGGAGTTCTCCTCCTGGACACCGCGGATCCTCTGCTCCAGGATGGAGGAAACCTCGGTGGGGGTGGCCTTCGCTTCGGCGGCGTAGGATCGGGTAGCGTTGATGAACGCGGGAGCGCGGGCCTGTGGCGGAGAAAAGGTATCAGCACTGCATCTCGGTAGAGGGGAGCTCGTTCCGCCCAGCGCAGCCCACGCAGTTCCATCAACGAAGCTCCATTGCGGCACCAATGGCATCGGATATCGGTTCTTGGGGCTACTGGCGATGGCTGGACGGTGCGGCAGGCGCAATTGCAGGCGGTTGCGATGGACTTACCGACGCAATCCTGCTCGTGGCAGAGATTGCAGCGACCCGGCGGCTCGACTGGCGGATGGCCCTTGAGAACATGGCTGTGGCTGCTCAAGAGTCTATTTCGGAGGCTCTGCAACCAATTGAGATTGATGCAGGTATGGAAGAGGGGAGATGGTGATGGAGTGGAGGATGGGGAGCTCTGCTGTGAGGAAGAAAGTCCTGCGGTTCGGGAGGAAAGCGCGGACCTTGGCGTCTACCACTAATCCTAAAAAAGCCGCATCTCAACCGAGCTCCATCACTACAACACCACGTTGGCCGCTCTCGAGGGTGATTCGGCGTGCACGCACTGGGTGAAAAGCCATCAGAGAGACCATGTTTCGTTTATCTGCATCTTGTGGTCATGTCCGGAACTTTGCAGCACATCTCGAGCTTGGCAGATGAACCTCAGTACATGGCCAAGTACCCCACACTTTGATAGAGATAAAGTAGACGATGGTGGATACCTCCGGACTACTTCTCGGTGTACGATACAATTCAGAAAACGGAAGCTTCTTTTAGCTTCATGTCATCACACTCCAAGTACTTACTTCAAAAGTCTGTGTTCGCTTTTCTTGCTTGCAAGCTCTACCCTCACCTACAGCTCAAGAGACACCAACGCCTTGTAAAGTATAACACATTCTAAATTGGTATCCTACTATGTTATATGAATCTCAAGAAACATGCAGCCGTTTATGCAAACTTGAACACCAAAGACAACATATGCCTCTAAGACGCCGCGTACACCTTGCTCCTGCGCAATGCTTTCTTCTCTTGCGGTATTCATACACTATTGCACTGTCTTCTGATCCCCCAACGCCTCCTTTGATTATCTTGCAAGTGCCAATAGCTGGGTGCTTATCTGCTCATACAGTATATATCCACTGTCGATGTCTGTCCTCATTTCGCAGAGCCGTTCTGACCCTTCTCCTTGCTCTTCCTGAACTTTACAATCTCCAGCTCAACGGCCTGGTCTATCCGGCGCTTCAGTTCGGGGCGGTAGCCGAGCTTGAAGAGTATCTCGAACCAAACGAAAAAGGGCGCCAGGAAGATGGCCTGCACGAGGTTGTCCAACAGCGCTGGGGCTCTTCCCTCGAACTTTCCGTGTCCGATGAACTGGGCAATCCAGCATGCGATGTTGACTGCGCCGGCCCAGGAGTTGGCAGTCGCACCATAGGTCGATGTGAGGTGGTTCGCATACGCGGTGCTGCCGATGAGAATTGGAGCCAGCATGGCACCTGCGACAGGCTCCATGAGAATGTACAAGGTCGAGTACAAGACGGCCCCAACAGTGCCGACATTGAACGGGAGATTAGGTACGGAGAGCCATGACGGTAGTGGAACGGCAGGCGTGTTGGTGAGCTACGGGCGTGTTAGAGAAAGCAGCGTGATAGCTGTCAAGATTCTCACCAGTAGGAAAGATGTCAACAGAATCGGAGGAACACAGAGCAAATGTATGCCGACGTTGACCTGACACATGGCATGTTAGTTGACATGTGAAGATGCCCCGTGCAGGTATCGCCTACTTTATTATGGTGGTATGCTCCGTACTACATTCCAGTCAGCTCAGTACAGACATCTGTTGAAGTATGACGTACGAAGACAAGTTGTTTCTCCAGATTGAGAGACATGATGCCGGATGGGGAACTTGGGCGCGTGTCAAAAGAGTGGGATGGCCGTCAAGAGACTAAATCATGTCTTGGAGATGCGGCGTGAAGAGGTCGAGCTCGGATAGCGTGGAAAGACCAGTGCACCGGCCGCGGGAGCCGAGAGGATGATGGCGCAGGGTGAATGGCTATCACGACATGGGTGTGTGGGGGTGCGCAAGCTGGCAGGTGGGAGCTGTGTCGCTGCTCGGGCCTTAGCGAGTGATTTTCCGCGCCGAGAGCCCTGCAGCCTTTGGAAGCTCAACCTTCCTGGCGCGACCATTGTTCTGCTAGCATTCACCACTCGGCCCACATCTGCTACCTCTGTATACCTCGGACTTCTACGAGCGGCGCGAACACTCTGGAAATTGTGCGCATGGGCTGCTGGATATAAGAATCTGGGCTGCGTTGCAGGCCGAAGGCGCGTCTCGCTGAAGCACGCGCGTTGAATACCACACACTGTCGACTCTTCACTGGGCCAGTCAGAATAAAGACAATAGAGTCGCGTAGTAGCAACCAAGGCCGTCTACCTGTCATTCCACCTTCTACCGATCTCTACCGTTGAACCGTGCAACTTCGTCTACCTCACCCCAAGAACCGCGCGCATCTACCTTACCGTATCCCTCGCACAACGCGCAACATGTTTTTCCTCAAAGAACTCGAGAAGACCATCCAGTTGCATCCGTCATACTTTGGTCCTCTCATCCGTCAGCACATCCATCGCGAATTGCTGCAGAAAGAGGAGGGATCGAGTACCGGAAAGTACACCATCGTGTGTATTCTGGACTCGTTCGATATCTCTGATGGCAAGGTCATGCCTGGCTCTGGATCTGCCGAGTACGTTGTGCACTACAAGGCAGTCGTATGGCGGCCCTACAAAGGCGAGGTGGTATGTGGCATTGTCCGACGGGATCATCGAGTCCTCTGCTAACCACGTCAAGATGGACGGCATTGTTACCTCAGTACTGCGTACTGGATTCTTCGTCGACTGCGGCTCTTTGCAGGCCTTTGTGGGACGTAGTGTAATTCTTACCATACCTCAATGCACCTACCCGTCACTGACAGCGACAGATGATTCCCGCTGAAATCAAGTTCGACGCCAATGCTACACCGCCGCAGTGGACAGACGATGGAGAGCAGGTCATTGAAAAGGGTACCAACATCCGCATTAAGATCAAGGGTCTCAGATCCGAGGTGGACAAGATGTATGCCGTAGGCACCATGAAGGAGGTAAGGACGATACCTGTCAGTCTTATTGATTTTCGGCTAAGCAATGCTTCTAGGATTATCTCGGTCCATTGCCGTCATAGACTGACAACTCGACGACCCCTGCCGACGCGCGCGAGTTTATCAACGGAAGCAGAGCGCCAGCGCCCGAGCAGCATAATCAAGGAGTTGTTTTTACTGCAGAACCGAGGTCACTATTCGATGGAACCGTCGACAACCCATCCACAACTCAACCACCGTAGAAACATGAGGCGTAATAGCGAGCTCTTGGCTGTATCAGTATCCGTGGGGAGTATGGCAATCACTTGAATGGATTCAAAAGTCTGGGAAACGCAGGGCAGTTGAGGCTCTGCATAGAAGCGTACGGCGTAAGGAAGCTATGAAATCTAGACTTGGCTCAGCTGGTATTACTACCCTTCCGATAATTCCCCAAATTGGGCTTGAATAGAAGACTATGTCTTGACTCCATTGTGTGCAAATCTTAGTGCAAGAGCAGCCGGCCCCTTGCGTCAAAAGAGTGGCTTGGTATGTTTCGGCCAACACCAGCTCCCGCACCTCCGCGTGAACTCCGCAACTCTAAACACTGTCCATAACTCGCGCCTGCGCCTCGCCACTGTACCCTTTCTTTCAGGCTGACTTTTCAAATCTGGCATTACTTTTCAGCAGGATGTTATAATCGTTCTCACAATTAATCTTACTTGAACTTTACAATGCCGCGACAGCGCACCCCGAAGGAGGAGGAGACGGAGTTGCTGACCAAGGAAGAGAGATCCGCGCGCAGCTCAGAAGATAGCTCCGAAGCTTCCGTATCCTCGATCTCGACCACGTCGCTCGTTCTCGAACATATCAACGATCCAAGCATCAACCGCGCGTTGCATTCGAATCGTGGGGAGAAGTACACAGATGATGACGACTACGCAAGCCAGGCGCGCGAGTCGTTCGACGTCGAGGATGGGCGATACCAGGCCCCTCTTTCCGTAGACAAGAAGGCAAGAAGGTGGTTGTGGATTGTAGGAACAGCCTGTGTAGCAGGATGGGCACTTGCGCTCGTCTTCTTCTTGATGAGCGGGAGCTACAAGCATACTTCGTCGCGGCCACACGACCCTCTCGCTACCTCTACTAAGGGCTCCGGGAAGAAGATTACAATGGACGACGTCTTTGGAGGCCGCTTCTATCCCCAACAACAGAGCGTCGCGTGGATATCGGGACCAAAGGGAGAGGATGGCCTGCTGCTTGAGAAGGGCTCTGGGGACGAGGAATACCTGGTGGTCGAGGATATCAGGACCAAGGGCGAAGCAAAGTCTTCTGCGAGCAAGACCACGCTCATGAAGAAGAACACGTTCGAGGTGGATGGCACATACGTCTATCCCAGTGACGTTTGGCCAAGTAAGGACTTCAAGAAGGTGCTTGTCATGTCGGATTACCAGAAGAATTGGCGACACTCCGGTATTGCGAAATACTGGATCTTTGACGTCGAGACACAGACTGGCGAGCCTCTTGACCCTGAGCAGCCAGGGAGCATGATACAGCTGGCTTCGCTGTCACCCCAGTCGGATGCGGTTGTTTTCACGAGGGACAACAACATGTTCCTCCGCAAGTTGAACTCCAAGGAAGTTATTCAAATCACAAAAGACGGCGGCTCTGAGCTATTCTACGGCGTGCCTGACTGGGTATACGAGGAGGAGGTCTTTCAAGGAAACAGCGCGACTTGGTGGTCCGAGGATGGTCAGTACATTGCTTTCTTGCGCACCGACGAGTCTACCGTGCCAACTTACCCCGTTCAATATTTCGTCTCGCGGCCAAGCGGAGAAAAGCCTAAGGCGGGCGAGGAGAACTACCCCGAGGTTCGCGACATCAAGTATCCAAAGGCCGGCGCACCTAATCCTATCGTGTCGCTGCAATTCTACGACGTCGAGAAGGGCGAAGTGTTCAGTGTCGATATCGAGGACGACTTCAGCGACAAGAACCGTTTAATCACCGAGATCGTCTGGGCTGGGAAGACGAAGCAAGTTCTTGTTCGTGAGACCAATCGCGAGAGTGACATCCTGAAGCTCGTTCTGATGGATGTCGAAAAGCGCACTGGCAAGACAGTAAGAACCGAGAATGTCGCAGAGTTGGACGGAGGCTGGTTTGAAGTCTCTCAGAAGACGACATTCGTACCAGCTGATCCCGACAACGGACGCAAGGATGATGGCTACATCGACACAATCATTCACGAGGGTTACGACCATATTGGGTACTTCTCACCTTTGGACAGCGACAAACCTGTGTTGCTTACACAGGGTGAGTGGGAGGTTGCGGATGCACCTTCTCGAGTAGACCTCACAAACAACCTTGTGTATTACCTCTCGACTGAGAAGAGTTCAATGGAACGACACGCTTACTCTGTATATCTGAACGGTACTGGAAAGAGCGAAGTCTTGAAGGATGGGGGTTCAGGGTACTATGGAGCATCCTTTTCAGCGGGTGGCTCTTATGCCCTGATTTCCTACAAGGGTCCTGGTATCCCGTGGCAAAAGATTATCAGTACGCCATCGAACAAGGACAAGTACGAGAAAGTCATTGAGGAGAACAAGTCTCTTGATCGCTTCGTACGCTCACTCGAGATGCCCATCCTCAACTATCAGACGATCACCGTGGACGGATTTGAACTGAACGTCCTTGAGCGTCGTCCGCCGCACTTCAACCCTAAGAAGAAGTATCCTGTCCTCTTCTACCAGTACAGCGGTCCGGGTTCACAAGAAGTCGATAAGAAGTTCAAGGTCGATTTCCAGTCTTACATTGCCGCTAGTCTCGGCTACATTGTTGTGACAGTGGACGGACGAGGTACAGGCTTTCTTGGTCGCAAGCTCCGATGCATCACGAGAGGCAACATTGGTTACTACGAGGCACACGATCAGATCGCTGCAGCCAAGATTTGGGCTAGCAAGAAGTACGTCGATGCTGACCGACTTGCGATCTGGGGCTGGAGTTACGGAGGATTCAACACACTGAAGACGCTTGAGCAGGACGGGGGAGAGACATTCAAGTACGGAATGGCTGTTGCTCCTGTGACTGATTGGCGATACTACGATTCCATCTACACGGAGCGTTACATGCACACACCACAAAACAACGCTGAAGGATACGACAACTCTACCATCACCGATGTCACGTCCCTGGCGAAGAACGTCCGCTTTTTGGTCATGCACGGCGTCGCTGATGACAATGTGCACATGCAGAACACACTTACTCTGCTCGACCGACTGGATCTTGCAGGTATCGAGAACTACGACGTCCATGTGTTCCCGGATTCGGATCATAGCATCTACTTTCACAACGCGAACCGAATCGTCTATGACAGTAAGTACACGGTTTTGTCAGGATTGCGAGGAAGTTACTAACGGAGCTTTAGAACTCAAGTGGTGGCTTGTGAATGCTTTCAACGGCGAGTGGTCGAGGATTACAAATGCAGTGCCCAAGACACAAGACGATGCGCGGTCAGTAGTACGGTAGGATGTGCATATTTCAGCTCTCGCATGCACATTTTGGTGTGTATGAACTGCTTAGGCGTTGGATGGCGCAGGACATCGTTATCGCCTTGCAATGAAACTTTCTGTTATTTAACCAACAATGCGAGCATTGTGTTACTCTGCAGTGTGAAGGTCAAAGCTCGCGACAAACCTTCGCACATACATGATCTCGTACTTGTTAATTCATCACTTATGAGCACCAGAGCAAAGCTGTGGAACATGCTTAGCACAGGCCCGCAATTGCACATTACCTTGTGCCTACTTGACTATCGTGACTTGGCTACCACAGGCCTCGTTTACTTCACGTTGCGTAAGCAGAGGCGTTTGTCAGCCCGAAAGTGGCTGGATTCCGAGGAACTGTCATCAGCTGCTCATTCCCCTCTTGGACCCCACTTTTGGAAGTTACAATACATCACACACCGTAGACATGACAGCATCTTCGCCTGCCTTCTTGCCTGTATCGCTTCAATTGATTCCAGACTTGACATTTAACTGTATCTGATCTTCAAGATGAGCTTTGAGCCTAGCAATTTAGCAATTTGCGAAACATGCGGTACGCAATTTGATGTTCCACTTGAGCAGCACCCAGAGACATGTCGGATCTGCGATGTACGTCCATCACCAAACCCAAACTGCAGTCGAAAAGTCTGAAGAGTAAGTGATTTAACTCATCCTCAGGATCCTCGCCAGTACGTTCCCGCCAGCGGCCAATCCTGGACCTCACTCTCATCTACCCAACCCCTCCAGAAGAACACTTTCGAAACCGACAAGCAAGACTCACGAATCCACTACATAACCACTGCACCTTTGTCCCCTTCTGAATTACCCCCTGGTCTCGCCGACTCCAGCACCACCCGCAAGCAACTGGGTATTGGACAACGCGCCATCTTACTCCAGACATCCGGTGGAAACATTCTTTGGGATTGCGTCGCATTCTTGAACCCCGATACGATTAATTACATCAAGGAAAAAGGCGGTTTGAAGGCGATTGTGATTAGCCATCCACATTTCTTTACGACTCACTTGGAGTGGGCGAACGTGTTTGGATGTCCGGTATATCTATGTGGGGATGATGAGATGTGGTTGAATCGTAAAGATAAGGATGGTGTGAGGAGGTTGGTTAGAGGGGTTACCGAGATCGAAGAGATTGGAGGCGAGGCTAAGATGATTCAGTGCGGGGGTCATTTTAATGGTAGTTCGGTGCTGTGGTGGGACAAGAAGTTGTTTATTGCTGATACGTTCATGAGTGTGCCTGTTAGTTCCCCTTCTATTCTGTCTAGCTGCGTCATGTGGCTTTGGTAAGATTTCATGAGCTAACTGGGAGAATAGTCTGGCTTCAACAACGCACACCGCGTACCAGATACAACATCGTATTCGTTCATGTGGGCGTATCCTAATATGATTCCGCTGACGCCAAAGGCGATTCACGGGATCTGGAAGGCGATCAAGCCATTCGAGTTTGATAGCACGTATGGAGGATTTCCGGGGCAGAATCTAAAGAGGCCAGACTTGAAGAAGCAGGTATTGGAAAGTATGAAGATATTCTTGAAGAGGAGCGGACATGAGAATGTGGGAATCTTTAAAGAGAGTGTTTGAGAAGTACTACGGGGAACAGTGATGTAGGGGACTGTGAGACTTGCCATGTCTTGTGGCCCTTAGTTGTGGCGTAGCGAGTAAATGCGACAGGACAAAGTAAAAGAAACACAGAGCTTGTATTCAAGGAACCAACCACCATCATTTCTACCACTGGTTTATCATAACACCGTCTAATGCATAATATGGAGAACCACTGTACAATCGTAATACCGTTCAAGAAGAAAGAGCGCCCACGACGTCAAGATCCACATACAGGCTCTGCCAAGTACATGGTACCTATGCGAGAGAGCCCTCGAGAACCCAGATCTCGCCATTGGAGACTTTGTCGGCTATGCTTGTGACCACGACGTCGGCTGGTTGGATCTGAAGTTGCAAGTTAGCTAAAAACTCATTAAGGTTGAAGTAAGCGAAAGAATTAGTGATGGTGAGCAAAAATAGGAGGCAGTGTGTACGGCACAGTCCCAGAGCCTGTTCTAGGCCGATATATTGGCAAAAAAAGAACCTGGGGTATCTGACTGAAGCCAGACGAATGCTGATGAGAGTGGGACTCGAACCCACGCCACTTTCGTGACCAGGAATATGTGTTAAGATAACCTTAACCTGGCGCCATAACCAACTCGGCCATCTCACCGTAACACAGTTAAATGTGATTGGTTGATTGATGGGTATTGTTGGATTTGCAACGCTGATATTTGTGATTGTGTGGGCGGAAAACGAAAGGGCCCGGCGCACTGAAAGGTGGGGCGTGGGCATGTCCAACGAGATGCTGAGACTACCAACATAGCGGCGTAGCTTACCTTCTTTTGGCCGTCCTTGGACTCCCACCAGATCTCGTTTCCGGAAAGTGTCTTGACCTTCTTGCCCTCTTCCCACGGACTCTCTGGTATGATGTGCCGCTGTACGAAGCGCTCGAGGTTGCCCCGCGCGCGATCTTGCCCGCCGGTGCCTTCGTATGCGTCCGCGCCAAAGGTGCTATAGTCCTCGGGGTCTTCCCAAGGCTTTCTCTTCAGATCGCGCATGATGCTGTTGTTCGGTGCCAGCACCGTGGCGTTCTGCGAGGCGTTGTCTAGTCGTCCAGAGACTGTGTCGATGTCCCTGGTCAGGCCGCTGAAGATGGCGATGTTCTGTGTCTTGCCGATAACATCGGATATGATGACACCAGTCGACACTTGTTCCTCAGGGTTGCCCATAATGTAGTCTCGAAGGGGCGACTGTTCGCTGATGATGTTGAACGACTGGATGATGCTCTCAAAGGGGCGGGCTTGCGCAGACGTGGCAAGGAGGAGGGAGATGGCTGCGAAAGGGTATGCGACGACAGATCCGGGCTTCATGATCGCTCAAGGCTGTGCATTAGGATGTCGTTACAGGTTCTGGGTGAACGCGGCGTTGGAAGGTGGGAAGCACAGACGTCATGCCGCGGTGAAGCCAAGACCTCGTGATCGCGCGCATGATCGTCGGGCGCCTTCTGAGCTTGGAAACCCTTTCTTCTAGTCCTCACTCATGTCTTCACCAACGTGATATACCGCGCCTCGGAGCGCGCGCTTATCCCTGCCGCTCTACAAACCAAACACTAGCCATGGAGCTCCAAATTCCCACCGTCACTGTTGTGAGTGCAACAGCCTGGAGTCTGCACTCCAGAAAGTAGCAATTTGCTAACGTAGCCTAGGACGATTTACGCGCCTTCCATACACAACACTTTCCACACGCGCCGGCTCCAGAACACGTCTTGCACGGCTTTGAGCCAGAAGCAGAGGCGGCCGAAGAGTACTTCGACGAAGCAGACGATGGGTTAGGCTACTACCCTGACGGCACGAAGCGCACCCTGACAGACGAGCAAATTGCCATGTTCCGACATTCGGAAATTCATGCTATGCTCCGCAAACGGCGGCTACAGAAAGAGAACGGCGAAGTCTCCGATGGCAAGGCTGTCTCTGCGAGTCCAGCACCACCTTGTCCTCCAACACAAGAGGACTCACACAAGCCCGCAGATGTTGACAACACACAGCCTGATAAACCTTCAGGGTCGAAGAAACAACAGTGGGCGACCACGAGCGCAACGACCAAAGCTAAGAACAAGAGAAAACGAGATAGATATGCGAAGAGGAGAAAAGAAATAAGGCTGGAGAGAGGCTTGCCGCGAAGAAGAAGTGGCCGTGATGGCGCTGACAGCGGTGACAGCGACGATGGGAGCGACGAATGGGATGCATGGCATCAGGCTAATGGGCCTGATGTGCAGAAAGACGACACCCTCGATCTCGACTACTGAAAAGGGCAACCACTACAACGTATTGGCAACCCACGACAAAGGCAACGTCCCTTCCTGCCGTCCCTGCTAGCTGGCAACAGATATCACACCCTCAGCCGACCTGAACTGTAAGTACTTTGTTCTCTTCATTTTCATGTGCAATGATGCAATCTTAGTTATCATCCTTAGGCGGAGGTGGTGCTGGGCTTGAGACGAGAGTAAAGACTGCTTGCGGCCTGATCCCTTGACTCGTCTAGCACCATCTATGATGAGTTTACAATCTTCTCTCTGAGCACATTCGTTCTTGCTGCAGTCATTATAGCCCGATCGTGTACCTGTACTGACTGTCACTAGAGGTATCTTCATGAAATATTGACAACGATTTCTACCGGGAGGCAGTATGAGGCGCGCGTCGGTAAGAGGCAGTTATTGCTATATGATGGCAATGATGAACTCTTAACACCTTGTTGACGTGAGTTTTCTGTCGGCAGTCTTTGGGATCAATGCCTACCCTGTTCCGTGAGCCTCGCGTCCGGTTGGAGGCAATACTGTGTTGATCAAGTAGCAACCCGTATGTAGTAATTCACATTACTCTAGTCATCTGTTCTCACCCGTCTCCAATCCCGTGTCCGCGTGCTTGCCTCCTCGCTCACCGAACGCACGGCCTCACGCTAGTCAGGCGTGATTTCCATGATACGATTAACTGCTCTTTCCTTTCCTTTACCTTGAGTATCAATCTTCGAACATCATCTCACATTGTTTGAACAACACCACGCTCAGATCGTCAGTCGCCATGGCGCCCCGCAAGACCACCGCTGGCGACAAGATCCCGAAAGCAAAGAAAGCATCCATTATCAAAAAGAGCGAAGACAAGGTTATCAAGCGGCCCGCCCGCGGATATCACAAATTTCGGAATGGTCTGCTGAATGTCGCGCCCAAAGGTGATGAGAAGGAACTGTGGGCATACCCAACATCCTAGTATGGGCAACAGCTAACGTACCGTCAGCACCAAGCAGAATCGTACCTCTCCACTTCTACGACTACCGCCTGAGATTCGCAATATCATCTGGAAACTTGTAGGGAAGCTTCGCTGTACGAATCGTATCTGAGACATACACTGACTTCCTACGTCGATGTTAGGTGTTAGGCGGAAATGTATATCGCACGTGGTTGTGTGGCCGCCTTGAGTCTCCATCGCCAGAGCCGAAGAACGTCATGGCGCTTCTGCGCACCTGTCGCCAGGTGTATGCAGAAGCTGCACTCATGCCGCTCACGCTTACCATATTCACGACCGATTATATTCCGTACGCAGCAAGGGATCTGAGGAAGCTGAAGCCACAACAACGCAGATTGATCACGTTCTTTCAGATGGTTATTTCCCATCCCAACAGCATAAGTTATCACTACCTGAAATACGGCTTGAACCTTGCAAAATTACTCCCTTGCCTCCAAGATCTGCATATTCGAGTGTTCGAGGTCTTAGATACATCAACTCAAAAGGTCAACGAGGAGCGGATACGTAAGCATCTCGAGCCAGGTCTTCATGAAAAGCCGATCACTATAAAGATTGAACAGACCGATAAGAAGTGGATCAACGTCAATGATGCATAAGATGGTGAGTAAGACGACGATAATCCGCAATCCTCTTTTGGACATGTACTGACAAATTTATGGCCACACAGGTCTCTTCCGTGAAGTGGACGGCACCTTGAAATTCCTTGTTCTTTCCATTCAACAAGTGACCGGGGTGGTCGCGAGGACCTAAGGTCTCAATCCGTATGATTGGAAAAACAATGCATATGTCAGGCTATGCTGGGGTGCGGGTTTATAAGCTTCTGATTCTGATTCTGATACATAGCTTAGAGATGTAAATCAAATACTCTGCTTAACATTCTCGTTCTAAAAGCACATCTAACTAACTTACGATCGAACTCTCTTTCAAGTTATCCCTGCCATTAAACATGTACTATAAATTCGTACTTATCGATATGTGTTACCGCTTCGACAGGAAAGTGAAAGTATATACCTTCGGGGTAAATTATAGTGTTTAGTAGTACAACTCGGTGACCACTCACCTCCTTCCTCTTACCTTGTCTGAATCACCTCTCAGGGTCCAGTCGGACTTTTACTTGGTAACTGAGCCAAGGTATCTTTGTATTTATCAGCTCAGCTTCCTCGATTTCGTCAGTCATTTAATCACATCTTCCAGAACCATTGACGATATCATAATGGCACCTCGCAAGCTTTACCTCGAGAACCAGAAAGCCTCTACCAAAGGCACAAAGGCCTTTATCGACGCGGGAGTAGTGAAGCGCCGGCACAAGAAGGTTCGCTTTCACGAGAATGGGCTAATCAACGTTGAACGAAAAACTGGAAAGTACTTTAAGATGTGAGTAACTGAGTCAAGGTGTGGTTGACACTTCTTGCTGATTTCAATGCAGGGCGAGAGAAAACCAACAGGGTTCACCATTGCTACGCCTCCCACCAGAGCTGCGTTGCTTGGTCTTCGAATATGCGCTTGGTGGCAACACATATATGATCAGATACCACCGGACAAGCAAGGCAGTAAAGAACACAACAGTAACAAAGCATGCTCTCGCTTTGCTCTCCGTCTGCCGTCAAATCTTTGCCGAAACTGCTCTCCTGTCATTCAGCTTGAACACGTTCTCGGTCTTTCACCCTGTGGTATTCAACATGTGGATCAAGAGCTTTCACCCAGCTTTTGCCGAAGTTGTCACTTCCGTACGCATCGACACGCTAGCCCTGTGGTACAAAACGCATTACAATAAGCATCGAGCTCAATACATTCCTCTTGGCAATTCCAATATACAGTTATCTTCTATGCTCACCTCGCTCAAGGTCATACAAATTGCTTTTATTGTCAAAGCTACGTCCATGGAAGATACAAATGTGATGGAGGAGCTAAACAAGCAGGGGGAAGAAATCAGAGGTTTCTACGAGTTGGCGAATGGCGGTATCAAAGTCAATTTGACCCGAATAATCGAGTAGTATAGTTCCTTCAAGATTTGGTAATCCAAGCTGCCAAGTTCGGTTCTACTAAGAGTGGTTCATGGTAACAAGCGGGCGTTGCGGGAGGAGAAGCAGGATTGGCGTCATGGACTATTTGTTAAAGAACCAGGTATGGAGAGAACAGAAACCTCCACGCAGCTTAATTGTGTATGTCCCTTCTAATACCTACTTCTCTTAGCAGTTTCGCGTACACCCAAATGGAAATGGCAAGACCGCGGGACTCTTGTAACCTCCCTTGCCTACACTTCTTACTCCAAAGATGACATTATCCTTGTGGATTGTCGCAGAAGTAAGATTGAACCAGTTCACGTTGCCCACCTCAATCACGTTTGTCCAATGCGGCTCGATAGTGTCGCGATACAAGATTTCGTATCCTTCTACCGGCAAGCCCTTCGGCGCGTCCCACTTGAATTGACTGAAGTTATCGGATGTTGTGGTATTGATACCAACATTGGTCGGCTCTCCAGGTGCGTTGGCTAGACTCCACATCGTGGACGCTACGACTTTAGCAGCGCGGGTGTTGTACTCGAAGTCCAGCCATTCGACTAGGTCACCATATTGCTTGCCATTGCGTACAGTGACATTTTGACTAGATATGGGTGTATGAAGTCAGAAAATGTCTCACATATAGTTCAGGTACGTAAACTTACTGCTGCTGTGTGTAGTCTTCGTTAGGTTGAACGAATCGGACACCTGTGTATCCTGCTTCTAGGAAAGGGCGATGGTCGCCGCCCCTGCTGTAGCGATCCAGACGGTATATAAGGCGGACTGTCATCTCAGTGAAGGCGTTGGAGGCTACTTCATATATGAAGCGACCTAGGTTGCGAGCAGGGCTGTCATTGTCACCACCAATGCTGAGACGGGAGGTAGTTGTTGTAGAGTTCTCTGTCAGAGGTGTGCCCTGGCAGAAGAGGCGGATGTTGTAAGGATCGACAGTACCGTCTGCGGCCTTAGAGTTACCAACCATATCGAGGTTTATCATACCAGCTACATTCACCGATGCATTCTTGTAAGTTTGCGCCAGATTCTCCGCGCCGAGCAAACCCTGCTCCTCTCCCGCAAAGGCTGTGAATACAATGGTGGTCTTGGGCTTGTAATGCGCAAAGATGCGAGCAAGCTCTAGGGAGACCGCAACTCCCGAAGCATCGTCTACAGCACCTGGAGCATCGCCCTGGTAGTCGATAGGATCGCTGTTGCGCGAGTCATAATGCCCGCCTGTCACGTAGACACGATCTGGGTCCTCGCTGCCTTTTAATGTTGCTACTACTGTTGTAATATTAACCGGGAAGATGATGCGTTCGTTGTCCCCAGGGTATTTGATGAAGCTACAGAGGTGAAGATAAGAAGTTAGTACATGTCTCACATGCATTCTGTACAGGCACAAATACCTGTTCCAGTCCACAGTCATTCTTCCTTCGCTCGCATCAGCGGCTTCTTGGAACTGAGCTGTAAGCCATGTTCTCGCAGCGCCGATACCTCGGACCGGATCGGTTTGACTTGACAGGGTATGACGCGTGCCGAATGAGGCAAGTTTTCGGATTGTGCCCTCGATGTTGTCGCGTGATATCTGCGAAATAATGTCTTGAAGGTCTTCATCCGGCATTTGTTGCTCCAATGGCTTTCCGACGACTGGTAGGGGCCATTGTTCCGTACTAGGGAATGATTTATGAGGATGATGGACGTGGATTGGTGACGAGAAAGCAGTTTTTAGCAGTGCCGCTGTGCAGACTGCGAAGATGGGCGTGGACCGCATATTGGTTGGACTGGGATATTGACCTCAATTATAGATGTCATCTTGCCAAACGTTAAACTACAACTTATACTTCAACGCTTTTGCCATCCCACTCTTCACGACAGGCAGGCAGTCGACTGCCGGTATCTCCAAAACATTGCGATACCGCAGCAGCTACCGTCACCGGAGTAATGCAACTCTTGCTATCATGGCTCTTGACAGCGCAGATCATGATCATAAACGGAAGCTCGAAATGTTACCAAGACGCCAAAAGGAGCATTAGGGAAGACTTCAGCAGCTGTTGCTGCATGCTATGCTTGGCAACGGGTACCGTGTGCGGGGTTCTCCATTGAGCTTCCGAACGTTTGCGACGACGTGCGATAACACCAGTTTTCTCCCAAACCAGAAGACTATTAGTAACGTGAAAATGACTTCGCACGATTTGCAACTTGTTATTGGCTGGTTTCGTGATGGCGCTGGCAGTGCTGGTGTCATTTATTCGTCAAGGAACCAGATGCCTGGAAGTGTCGTTCAGCTTTACCCAGCCATCAACGTTCGTTAGCCTTAGTGCCAGTCTAGGCAGATAGAAGTGTATTCCATCCTTGAATGCACGGGTTTCCAGAACTCGAGTTCGTTTAACACCTATCAAAGAGGCTGGTGTTGGTGCTTGGCATGACATCATCGCATTGACATGGGAAGCCACCAAATTGCAACAATGCGACCTGGGGACAGTGACATGCCACTAACACAATTGTATGCAGCAATGTCTTGTCGTCGAACATACATGCAAGCCACAAGAGGCGGCTGAAGTTCGGCGCTGTATCGAAGTTTTCTCACTGATCGACGCTTCATAGCGCCGCTACAGGCTTGACAGCCTCGGCATAACGAATCGTATCGTCGATGGTTCTCACGTTGCGCAGCGTTGGCTGTAATCATGTTCTCTATTCGTCCTGGAAACACCATGTTCAACCCCACGTGTTTCATAAGCAGCCGGCGGTACCTGGGGTTCACTAACGTGAAGAAGAAGGTCGCGGAGAAACCAACCAGAAGTAGGAGTCCGCAATAAAGGGCCGATGCATCGCGCTGCATGTCATTTAAAGCGTCGGGGGGAAACTGGACGACCACTGGTCAACGTGAATGGATCACTTGTAGTCATTGGGTGTCAATGGCGGTAAACAGGAACCATCAAGGTCAACGACGCGGAGGAGAAGGTCGAAATGGTAGAAAGAGATGTATGGGTAAGGTCTGGTGACAATTAATGCCAATGTGCTTACAAGAGACGATGCACTAGCGCAAAGAACAGTACTGTTGTGGTAATGACCATGTTCGTTATGCATTGGGAGTGTGGTGGCTCGGGATACAAAAGGTTGAACACTGCACCTATTCTTGATGAACCATCGCTACTAGTTTTTGCGGAATTCCTTCGTTTCTTCCCATCAAGCACTGGTAACCTTTCACCATGAAGACTAGCGCTCGTTCCCTCCTCGCTCTTGCTGCCCTTCTCACCACCGCCCTTGCTGCGCCGACACCAGCGAACGGAGTGAGCTTCCCTATCACCGACCTCCTCGACAAGGACCTTACTGTTGAGGAGTATGCGGCACAGCTTGAGAACCAGAGTGTTGAAGAGCGTGGCCTTACCAAGCGCCAGTACAATGGTGACACTTACAACCAACTGACCGATGGTACTGCATGCCGTCCGATTACCGTCATTTACGCTCGTGGCACCACCCAAGGTACGTTGGATCTATAAAAAAACGAACATAAGACATGTGCTGATTTCGATTGCGTAGCCGGCAACGTTGGCGAGGCTGGCTCAGAAGGTCCAACTTTCTTCAATGCTCTGGCTTCTCGTGTTGGAGGAATCAGCCGCTTGGCCATCCAGGGTGTGAATTATCCGGCTAACGTCGTTGGCTTCCTGGCTGGAGGAGATGCTGCAGGAGCTACGACTATGTTCAACTTGATCAACCAAGTGAGTGCTGCGATCACCACGCTCACATTTATAGCGATGCTGACCTGGCATCTAGGCTGCCACTCGTTGCCCTTCAACCAAGATCGTTGTCTCCGGATACTCTCAGGGCGCACAGCTTGTACACACTGCTACCCAGAGGCTATCAGCTGCCCAAGCCGCGCGTGTCACCGCTGTTGTAACATTCGGCGATGCCGACCGTGACGAGACCTTTGGCCCTGTTGCCGCAAACAAGGTTCTCATCATCTGCCATGAGGGTGATAACATCTGCGACAACGGTATTATCATCACCCCCGAGCACAGGAACTACGAGATCGATGCTCCTACGGCTGCGGCTTTCGTTGCCGCACGTGTTTGAGGCCGACAGTGACTAAGCCTGGATGCAGAATAATTTTTGGTTAATTTAATGGTTACGACGACCCATGCCGCGCACTGCTTGACCAAGATCTCCTAAATTTTCCTTGCTCTTCTTTCTAATACATGTGGAACACAAGTAAAGTACACCATGAACGACGAGAACGTAGGTGCACGAATTGCAATTCAGGAAAGTGGGAAAAGTCACCTTGACTAGTACGTGATATTCAGAATTGCGTCTTTTCCCACTGCAAGCTTCTCTGAATCCCGTCCACAGGCCATTTTGTAGTACTGACTGGAAGTTATTGTCAAAACCCGCCTCTACTTTGGCATCAACGACTGCTACTCGACCTGGGCTAGGGACTTCAAAACGATCGCTATATAAGAAGACGGGACACTCTAGTTGACGTTAGTGTCAAGTGGCAGAACAGTGAAGAAAGATTCAGGCTGGCGAAACTGAAGATACATGTGTATAACGACAAAGCTACAATCAGATTTGAATTGATGGGCAGATATACGCTTTGTTATGTAAGGCGCATGCTGTCGAGCTTTTGCACCTTCCCGTTCGACGACTTGGAGAATTTTCAATTCCTACATCCTTAAGCGATCCCAACATAACGTGCTTCCCGTGTCTCATGTCGAAACGACGCATATATCCCAACTTTCGCGGATAAGCATCGCAAACCGACGAAAGCCGCGCTAAACTTGGCAAGCCACACGAAAAGTCGAGTGAAGTCATACCCCAAAGGGTGGAGGCCGGGCACGCATGGAGCGCAGAACGGCGCGCGAGTCAGTTAGCGCAGATGTCGTGCTCGCCCCATAGAAAACACCAAACGTCTCGATTGCCTCAACCTCCATCGCTAAGGGGAAAAAATTGGGTAACAAGCTTGCCAAGGATCGCGGTGTCGTCCGAACTCTTAAGATATGTAGTCTCCACGTTGAACTGAGGCTCTTCACCTCATCCCGTCTTTTCTCCCCTACTCCTTTTCCGCGTCATCATGTCGTCCACCTCCTTGTCTGAGCCCTCGGACTCGCTCAAGGCTTCTGGGCCATTCTTCCGCTCGGTGCCTTTCCAAATCTTGGTAGCATGTGGTGTCTCGTTCACGGCCCCGGGTATGTGGGATGCTCTTGGTGGGCTAGGAGCTGGAGGAGCTGCTGAACCCTACGCTGTCTCCGCTGCCAACGCCCTGGTATATGGACTCTTTGCTGTGGTCTGTGTTGCTGCAGGAGCTATCAACAACCGGATCGGCTTGAAGTATGGTCTTGCACTGGGTGCCATTGGATATCCACTATATGGCGCAGGACTCTACACCAACAATGTCTCTGCGAACACATGGTTCATGTTGTTTGGCAGCGCTCTTTGCGGTATCTCCGCTGGTTTCTTCTGGGCTGCTGAGGCTGCTATCATCATCGGATACCCGTCTCCTGGAGACCGCGCGTTTTACCTCGCTATCTGGCAGACCGCCAAGGCACTTGGACCGATCGTAGGAGGAGCCATCAATCTTGGATTGAACGCAAACAAGAAGACCACCGGATCCGTTTCCTCGACGACATACATTGTCTTCATTGTCATCATGTGTCTTGGTCTTCCGGTCGCTCTGTGCTTATCACCAGCACACAAAGTTTGGCGAAGAGACGGCACACGGATCGTCACTGAGCGCGCCGCAACGTGGGGTGCTGAGTTCAAGGCTGTTGGCAAGCTGTTCGTTAGCCGCCGGATCTTGCTCTTGCTACCAGCTTTCTTCATTAGCTACTTCTACAACGGCTTCATGAGCACATGGTTGACAACATACTTCACGGTCCGAGCTCGCGCGTTCTCCTCGTTCTTCACCAACTTTGCCGGTATCTTCTCCTCGTTCATCATCGCCTTCCTACTCGACAATCAGAAGATTCACATCAAGACGCGTGGCCGCATTGCCTTCTGTTGCATTATCACCCTCTTGGTTGGTACATGGATCTGGGCTACAATCCTGCAAAAACAGAATTACGATGCATCAGAGTCTCCAGTATTTGATTGGTTCCAAGGCGGCTTTGGAAAGAGCTATGCGCTTGTTTTCTTCTGGCAATTCGGTGGTCAGGCTTTCCAGCAATTTCTCTATTGGTTGGTTGGCCAGTATGCGACGGACCTTTCTAACTTGAGCCATCTTACCGGTATTCTGAGAGGTGTGGAAGCGTTGGGTCAAACTGTTGCTTGGGCGTAAGTCTTCTTTTTCTTGAACAGCATTCACGCATCATCGGCTAACAATCGTAACAGTATGCAATCAGAAGGTGGTGCGAACCACTTCGTCAGCATTGGTATCAACTTCGGCATCACAGTGTTGTGCGTCTTCCCTACCTGGGTCGTATTGTCAGAACTGGAGGGGAGCCACGAAGTCCGTGTTACAGAGGAGATAGCAAAAGACAAGACTCTGAGCGATACAGCTTGATGTGTTGAGGCACTGAGCAGAAATATATTACTTATATCCTTCACGTCAATCGTACTAATACTTGTTATCTGTATACCACACTCGCCAACTCTTTCCGCTGTACGGAAAGATCGGCGACATTGACATTGAGATATTCAGGAGCGTGTCTCGGTTCTAGTTTGAACTGAAGTAGGAACTCAATAACTCCAAAGAGCTTCCGTGACCAGATATTTCAGGCAGTCCGCCCTAATTCGATTAGACAGCAAACCGATTCGAGTGTCTAAAACACATCAAGCCCAGCGCACGTACTTGTAGACGTCGTCTTGATAGTGAAGTCAATTTCTGTTCAGAAGACTTTGCGGTAATCGTTTCGTAGCTCTCGACATACAAAAGACAAGATCGGACTTGTTCCCATGTATGTCTTATGATCCAGATCGAAAGTCGCCCTACTTGGAGAATTGTGAGGACTATGTATGAGCAATCTAGATATCTGGGTCTTGATAGTCGGCGGTATTTGCAATATGGTATCCCACCTGCAAGGAGGAGTTCAGGGCATAGGATGGCCGTCCTCGGAGATCCGGAAACACTGTTTGTGAGATAACTGCGACCAGTTGCCGAAAATGACGTACTTAATGTTGAGCATATCGGTCAAAGGAGAGATTTGGAAGCCAGCGCTGGCTAGAGTCGTCGGTAGGCAATCTAACGCCGTCTCTGCGTCCCGGCCTGTGGTGTGAATACTATGTCTATCCTGATGCCTTGATTCGAAGAGTTACGCAATTGTTTTACCAAACTTCAAATGTGAAAAGCTGTATATATCTCTAGATACAAATTCCGAGAATGATCGAACTGTCATCGGTACTATGGACATCTCAGGGAGCATGTGTAGCCAACATAGATGACCAATCGCTTGGGCACACGAGACCGAAGACCAAGTAAACGCATGAGCTTTGCAGCGTCGTTGAGACGGGGAAGTGACTTGGACTCATACATCCAGTTATCCCGATAAATCGTTCTGTCTGAGCGAGGTGATTGATCAGCAGATGTTTCGGTGTTCCATGATCCAGTTGACTGATGAGTCAAACGCGCCGGGGAATGATTATCGAAACAACCTTAGTGGAAGGTGGCTTAGTTGCCACGAGTTGTTGGGTGAGGTTGAAGAACGTAAAAGGGACGCGTCGAACGCGTCGGCAAGTACACCCCGCCATTATCGGACGGCAAGTCCGACCGAGTTATGACATCTATGGTTCGGAGCTACCACCCCACCCCAACACTACTCCAACACTCCAACAAGACCTCCAACAGTACATTGTACATACTTGAGTGTAAAGATTCTTTGGTTGTATATCCTCGAAACTTCCCTCTTTCTTGCGCGACTACGGCAAACATGGCTTCACTGCTGAAAAAGTCCCTGAAGCTCGCGCTCATCCAACTCGCTTCGGGCGCTGATAAGACGGCGAACCTTACATCAGCACGCCAAAAGGTTCTCGATGCCTCAAAAGCCGGCGCAAAACTTGTAGTGCTTCCCGAATGCTTCAATTCGCCTTACGGAACAAAGTACTTTGACAAGTACGCCGAGACACTGCTCCCATCCCCGCCATCGGAATCGCAATCGCAGACATTCCACGCGCTAAGCAAGTTGGCAAAAGAGGCGGGTGTATATCTTGTAGGAGGAAGCATACCGGAGAGGGACAGCAAGGATGCGAAGAAGCTGTACAACACAAGTCTGACGTTTGCGCCCAGTGGAGAGCTGCTTGCAACTCACCGCAAGGTGCATCTGTTCGACATCGATATCCCAGGGAAGATCAAGTTCAAGGAGAGCGAAGTGCTATCGCCAGGGAACAAGATCACCTTGGTTGATCTACCAGAGTACGGAAAGATCGCGATAGCAATCTGCTACGACATACGGTTCCCCGAACTTGCGATGATTGCAGCAAGAAAGGGCGCGTTTCTACTATTGTACCCTGGCGCATTCAATCTCACAACTGGTGCATTGCATTGGGAGTTGTTGGCGAGGGCCCGGGCAACGGACAACCAGGTCTACGTTGGACTGTGTAGTCCAGCGAGAGATATGGAGGCCGAATACAATGCATGGGGACACAGCATGGTTGTCGATCCGAATGCGGCCGTACTAGAACAGCTTGATGAGAAGGAAGGTGTACTCATCCGCGAATTGGAGGCGGGAAAAATCGAGGAGATCAGGAAGGGAGTACCGTTGTATGGACAGAGGAGGTTTGATGTGTATCCTGACGTCAGCGAAGGTGGCCGGTTCAAAGAATAGCATGAGCAATGATATCAAATCCGAGTAGACACGGAAACGTGTGTTTCAGTCTGTGTCCCAATATGCCATTTGCGGATTTGTAAGGCTGGTGGTGCCAGATTAGAAAGTTTTGTGAGATTTGTTGATAGGAAAACGACTTTAGGGCGGTGTTGGGCTGAACAGGGCTCAAAGACGCGCACTGGTTGGGGGAGGTAGCACTGAAGCTAGCCGTATCAACGGGGGGCTTAAGGGCACCTTGCCTCCAGCAAATGGGCGGCGTTCTACATGCGACACGCCACATGCAGTTGCACAAGACGCTGCAAAGGAGATATGCACCGCGCAGTAGAGGCGGAATGCATTGCAAAGGTATGCACTGTCTCTAATATCACTGATTTGCAGCAGCAAACACTGCAACTATATTCAGGGTGTAGTTTCGATAGATGCATCCTGTTACAATTGAGCTTCTTCGTACCAGCAGCGCGTGTAAGAAATAGGCGATAGATTTGAATTTGGGGGGAGTGAATACCTGGTGCCCCCGAAAACGGGCTGGTGACCGCCCAAAATCAGGGCACGTTTGCTGTTTCCCGCTGTCACTTAAGGTAGCAATCCCCCCGACCCCCCGAAATTTCAAGCGCTCCTCCCCGTCCAAGCTGCCGCGCCCTCACTCCCCAAACACCCGCCCGTCATTCCGTCTTCAACCACTTCGCATACAACGTCAACCATCATGGCGCCCAAGAAAAAGGAAACGCCAGCAACTGGCCAGCTTCTGATCTCTGTCGCAGAGTTCAGGAAGACCCGCGACTCGGTACGTACCACAACTTGCTTCGTCTTGTCTGCAATAGCGACGCGCCTGCCTTCAGTTACCGCGTCGCGATGGCACCACGCTCAACACGGCGCCACCTTCACCTCGCCTCGTCTTTTCTTTTGTGTAACCTTGATCGCCTAATCTACGCGACTCCAAATTGGCGACATTTGCCTATGAGCGGCTTCCTGCGCTTCTGCCAGAGACGCGTCGTCAACCCCAGCTAGTCGCAATGGCGCCAGCGCAACCAAGATCGCGCAATCGCTCCAGCGCGAGCAAGACTGTAGCGCACAAAGACGAAGCAATTGCTTACAATCACAATCAGGTCATTTTCAATCTCCACGAACTCCAGAATGGCCTGGTCAATGTCCAGCACGGCATCACCAGTCTCTTGGAGAGCTACAAACAGCACTGCCACTCAGTCCTCGGCTACGAAGAGGGTGCGACAACACCCTACAACAACGATATCGCCACACTCGGCGCTGCCGCTTCTGCCGCCTCCGTCCTCGAAGCTGGCCAAAAAGCCGTCGAAGAAGTAACCCAGGGCCTCGGCGACAAGGCGGGCGACGCGAGCAAGAGCAAGAAGCGCAAACGTGAGAAGAAGGAGAAGGACCCCAATGCGCCCAAGAAGCCGCTCACCGCTGCCTTCTTGTACCACCAACATGCGCGTCCCATCGTCAAGGCCGATCTTGAGGCCGCGCTTCCTCCAGGTGGCCAGATCGAGAAGAACGCAGTCCAGATCGAGGTGAACAAGCGCTGGAACGAGCTCTCAGAGGAGGAGAAGGAGGTAAGCATTCCCCATATAGCTCGATACCGTCTTGTCACTAACACAATCGCAGCAATGGAAGGCGTCTTACCGCAATTCAATGGAGGAGTACAAGACCGCGTTAGCTGCATACGTCGCAAATAAGGGCATCAAGGACGCCGAGCTTATCGAAGAGGATGACGCTTCCGACGAGGCCGAGCCCGAAGTAGAGGCTGAAGTTGGCGCAGCCGATTCTGATGTATCCTCTGAAGACGAGGAGGAAGCACCAGCTGCCAAAGCACCCTCTCCACCTGCAAAAACTCCACGCAAGCGCCAGAAGACAACTCCAGCTGTCAATGGCAACTCAATCCCCGTCTCCATCGCTCCCGCTGCTACCGCTTCAACTCCAGTTCCACTGCCGACCTCCCGCACAGCGCCGCAAACGACAGCCCCTGCCTCCAATGCCGTCGCCGAGACACCTGCGAAGAAGGATAAGAAGAAGAAAGACAAAGCCGCACCACAGCCTATCGCCCCTGCTCCAGCCACCTCCCCCGACGAGCCCAGCCCCGAGGAGACTGGCGGCAAGAAGAAATCCAAGTCTGGCCGTAGCACGCGCAACAACGAGGTCGAGGGTGATAAGGAGAATGCAGCGCAGGAGAAGGAAAAGGCTGAGAAGGCCGAGAAAGCCGAAAAAGCTGGCAAGGAGAAGAAGCGCGATCGCAACAAGAGGAAGAGCGAGGTTGCTTCAACCTAGAAGGTAAAGAAGACACGCAAGAAAAAGAGGCGCGACCACAGGAAGAGAAGGTCTGCCTCAACCCAGACGGGTTTCTTCCCGTCGTGATTCATCCACAGCATGCGCTTCCCTTCATGTTTTCTCTCATCACTTCAGCGAAGGAGATGTGAAGCGAGTTCGTCCCTGACACGAGAATGGTGGTTAGACGCAATATTCTGTACCGTATGCTTTTCCCTGTCGCTAGGTTTTTTTTGGAAAGGCGAATGGTGTGAATAAGCGTACTGTACGACATTGTCTTCGGACGAGCATCTTCCTAGTATAGATATCAAGGAGATTTGCGAATAGCATGGTTTCTTTACATGGATGCTTGCCCCTCATATGTGACTATGTTTATATGATGATGATGATGATGATGATGATGATGATGGAGGTTAAAAGTAAACACTATCTTCTGCTGTATCAGTCGCAGAGGCCGAAGATTATCAAATCACTTCATGGCACACTTTGTGTTTAGAAATACATGCAGATTAAGAATTCTTTACTATACAAGTGGGTTCGTCCCAAGAACCTTCTCCATGCCAGACCCAAGCTTCCAGTTTTACTGAACGTCAATGTGCAGATCCAATAACCAGTATGTCCAGACCTAGTCTCTATGCAATCCCGCTATGCAGTGCCCGTATCCTACCCAGCTCTAGAGGCTCTCTAAGCCTCTAGTGCATCAGCAAATACCTCATCTTCCTCACTGCTCTCCTCCATCTTATTCTCGAACCCCCTCCTAGCCACCGCGTCCTTTTTTGCATTCTTCCCCTCTCCCTCAACCGGCTTGCCAGCCGCAGCAGCAAGCACACCCTCAGCGCCAGCAATACCTTTCATCATCTCCGCACCGTAAGCAACACGCTTCTCCCTGACGTCCTTCAGGTACTCCAGTGTGAGTCTAGCACACTCTTCCTTGGCTTTCTTCTTGCCATATATGTTGCGGACTTCGCCGATGGGTCCTTCGTGGGGGCCTGCGCCGCGGAAGAAGCATGTCACAGTATGGAAGTTGGGATCTTCGGGATGAGAAGTGTATTGCCATTCTGGTGTCGGGAGAGCGAGTATGACTGCTAGACTGGCAACTTGTTGAGCGTAGCTCTTAGTACCAGGCGAGGCTGTTGATGTAGATGCTAGAGAAGGAACAAGGTCTGGTTCTGATATTGATACCATGTCGGGAATACTCGGTTGGGCTTTTTTCTTCTTGATACCGCCCACGAGAGTCACGTCCTCAGGCCATGTGCCAATGGACTTGAAGTACTCCACGGCACGACGGGCGGCGTCCCGACGCGCAGCTTTCTTGGAAGAAAAGAGGTTGTTGATGGAACCGAACTCCATGTCCAAGCCTTCAATGGTGAGGATGCAGGCAAAGCGCTGGCCGGATTGGTAGTCAGTATAGGTTGGCTGGGGTGAGTCGGTGGCGCGCTGAAATTCTGTCGGATATGTCAGTCAGACGCAACGCTCCAAGTAACCGGAGCCCTTGAAAAAGCCTGCCTTACAGTAGTACAAGGATGAAAGAGAGATTAACCTACCGAGAATCTGACCAACATAGTTCTCACCAGGCTCCTTCTCCTCCTTGACCTGCTGCACAGGCTGACTACCAGCACTCTTCTTCTTACTCTTCTCCGCCTTCTGGATCCTCCCCTCTTTCTCTAACCCCTCAAGTACTGTTAATGCCTTCTGGCTCATGGCTTCTTTAGCCTCCTGTTTGCTGTTGAATTTCTTATCTGCGCTCAGGCCTTGTAGCTCATCGGCATTGTCTAGACCAGGAAAGCTAACAGAGACAGTCCATCCAGTCTCACCGCTCCCTCCATACGTGAACAGCGGTTGCGGAGTGCCGAGCGCCTGATACTTTTCATGAAGAAGGATGGTATGCTTGGATGAACGCGCACCCACTGCCACGGGCTTTAGAGAAGCGACGTTCTCATTGTTCTTAGTCTTCTTCGATGGAGGACCAGCAGAAGCCGCATTTTTTGCTTCGCGGACGAGCACCTGAGCTTGGTGTGCATCTTTGTGCTGATTAATGAAGTCTTCGATCTTGAAAACGCCATCAAGCGGAGTACTATTACTCTTGATTTCATCTACGTGTGCCGACTCAAACGCGGGCGTTTGAGTTGGTGTATCGGCCTTCATCTTGCGCTTCTTAGCCTTGTCGTAGGAGCCTTGTTGATCGTGTACAGTATCAATGTTAAAGGGAGCGGAGACTGAACTTGTTGAGTTGCTGGCAGTCAGACTTGATGACAGCGGAGAAGACGAAGGAGGCACGATCAAGTGTCTCTTTAGATCCTCTCCTGGTGCGTACATGGCAAAGATGGACAGGGATGGGGCGAGCGATTGCTGTTGCAAAGCTTGGGGTGTGGAGCTTAACGGTGTTTGCCCCGCTCAATGCATGCATGCAGGCGTGACAGCGCGACAGCGCGTTTGTATATGTAACGCGCCGTGTCGCTTTAGCAGTAAGCTTTCGGGTGCGAATGGCATAGACAAGCATGCGGTGTAGAGATCTCGTTAGGTAACGACGTTATTGTTGGTTGAAGCAAAGGACCAGGCGTGCGGGCTGACGTCTGGGTTTGGAGATGGGCTCCGCTTGCCTGGCGGGTGATGCCGCCGCCGTTGGTAGTCCCCACCTACCACAAAGTCCTTACAGGCCGCCATGCTTGTCGTATGCATAGTCCCCAGGCTCACCGACGATCACAGCTTCTACGTGCATATGCCGCCTATTTTAGGTTTCTATGCAGGTCGATCGGCTGTGCAGCGCAAGGAACGCCCTAACGACCGTTGAAAGCCTAGCTGGCAGCCCTACGCCACTTCCGTTGTTAGTATACAGTCTTGAGTGACTCAAATTCTTCTGTAGGATGCATACGTCAGTAGTTCTAGCATGTTCCAAGTCCAGATAGTGTCAAAGAGCTTAGTAGCCTAAAGGGCGGTTTGAGTCAGTGGGCACGAGCGTATCGCGATCAATGTGTCGAGATGTGCAGTACCAAATGAGCGTGTGTCATTACATTATCGTTAACCTCTAGTCTCTTGAACGATGTCTAATCATGGTCTTCGTATTACAAAAATGGCCAACATACAGTCATACCATCATAAGCAGCAACCAGTCGGCCACTCCCATCTAATAGCCTCTATCCCTTTGATTCTTCTCAATCAGATCTGGCACAACAAACTCGGAAATATGGGCTTGCTCTTTCTGTTGATTCATCCAACTGCTAGTCCTCTCCTCAAATGATCTCTGCAGTCCTTGCGAGTCCCATAGGCTATGATCCGCGTGAGCGTGCACACCATGAAGACCAGTTGCCACCGACTCCTCTCTTTGATTGATTCGTTGATAAACATCGTGGCCATGTAAGTTTTCATGGTCTTGTGCTGGCTTTGTATACTCGCAGGGGTCAATGTAGGGACCATACTGCTCAGTTGTATGCTCGAGATGCGATATGAGGTGTAGGTGTTGCCAGTTAGGTTTGATGGAAAAGCAAGCTAGATCGGTAGGAGTCTGCAGGTCATTTGCGTTCACAGGGACTAACTGGCCATGTTCGCCTATAGCAAGTCCCATAGCCGCAAACTCATCGTTTTCTAAGCCAGCAAGTGCATGCAAACCTTCGAGTCCAGCGCCCTGGCTTAGAAAGCTTCCATAAGCCGATATGTTTATAGCAGGCTCAAAGACATCGTTGGTAGTCATGTGACCATCGCTGAAGTCGAAGTCGCTGTCGTGCGCGCTCGACGACAACGTAGCTTGATTGCGTGGCAGTGCGAAACTTTGCTGTGAGAAGCCTGTTGTAGTGGTAGCCGCAGAGCCCTCTAGACGGTCTAAATCTGATTGCATGGATCCAAGTATATCGATAGAAAGTGGCGGTGGATGACGTTCATGATGAGACTCAATCTCATGTGAGTGATTCGATGAATGTGTTTGTACCAAGTCCGCTCGTAGCTGTGGAGTTTGGTAGTATGGCATGACGTTCGCAGGAGTGGATATCGGCACATCCGTGACTTGCCCATGCTCACCCTCCACATCTCCCAGATCTTCATGGTAGTCTTCAGCCTCATCGCACCATCTCGCTTCTGCAGCTGACCGATTCTTAACGAAATTGAAAGGACGCCACTTCATGCTGTCAGCTTCCGCTGAGTTCCTCGTCCGTTGAAATCTCCAAAGGACGGTGCAGAGACATTGAGCCTCGTTGGTACCAGGTATGATACCGTATATATCCTGTACTGCTGTGAGACGTGGGTCTTGGACACGTCTGTCATCTCTGTAGCTCATATTGCCACACCGTTTCATCCATGTCAACCAAAAGGCAGCGTCGAACTTGACACGCAAAACGCCTTTGGATCCATAAGAATCTGGCCGGTACTCACATGACGTGCGATGTTCTTTTCCGTCATGAGTCATGCTGTCAAGTTCCGAATCGACAAAATCTTGTCCGTCGTCGTAGAATCGCGTCATGCACTCCATATATTCATATCTGGAAAGATCAAGATGCGAGTAGAGATCGAATGCGATGGTCAGGTCAGCCTCTAGCCGTACTTCTGCCATCAGCTTGATGGGTGCGGTGCAGACCAAAACGTTGCGACCGTTCCTCATCCAGTCATCCGTTTCGGATCGCAGGAAGCCAAATTCAGGGTATTGGTGATGCCAGGAGGCAAGATCTGCGATATCCCATTCATCGAGCTTGCTGTTCGAGTGCGCTTCGATCGAACAGTGCGCAGGCTGGTCATCACCGTCAACGACCAGGCTAAGGTCTGTGAGTGTGAAGAGCGATGATAGCGAGCGAATTTCAGGGCCGGAACCCAAGGCGAGGTCCTGGTGTGGGTCGACGAGATACGGCCACACGTGCGGTGAGGCCATGTTGTACTCATATTTGGTAACAGAATCAGTGCGCTGCGCATGTTGGCGGCCACGCATATGTGACGAATGACATGTAAGAATCGGTGTGCTCGCGCATCGGCGCTTCGTTACGTCCTCTGGTGTGGCCATATAGAGAAGGACTATGGTGCTGGTTAGTCTCGTTCCGGTAGGCCCTGGCGCAACCCTCCTGATGACACTAAGAATAGCAACGGCAAAGCCACCGCCACTTCTTTCTAGAAGGACTTTGGAAGATAGGAACTTTCCGAAGGCCTGATGTTTGGTCGATGTATGCAGGGCATCCAATGGAACATTGGGAGCCACATGTGAGAAGACTCATGTCGATTGGTATAATGTACGAAACGGGGACTCACCAGCAGGAACAGCTCTGAGCTTTTGCTTGAGCACCTGGAGGTGACTGGAAATCTGTTTACGGTCGCGTCTGATACCTGTATCCCTGTGGATGGAATCTTGGATCAGCTCGTTTCGCCCTCGCTGTGTGCCCTCGAGCATGTATTTCTTTCGACCCATTGGTGGCCATCTTACGAGTGCTGTAGTATGCTAGTCAGCCCTTTGATACGAGTGTCGAAACAAGGCTCGAATAGAACAATTAGAGGACAACGATCGTTATAAGCAATACAGCACCCCCACGTTAGAACGAGATACAGTAAAAGTGTCATCTTACCTGTCCAGAAGGCATGCTCTATGAAATCGGGCCAGACTGTCTTATCCTTCTCTTGCTGAAGACCCTCCGCTTTTCTCCTTTCCTGCTCCTTCCTCTCCGCTGCATCTCTTGCAATAACTTCAGCCGGTGTAAGAGCGGGCTGCTTCTCTCGATAGGCCTGGTATTTTTCCGATCGTTGAAGTAATTTGTACAGTCGACCAAGTTCACATCTGATCTGCTTCTCCGACCTTTCGACTACAAAGCCCGCAAGCCCAATGTGTTGTGCGTGTACATTGCCAGTGTAGTAGGTTCCTGTAGTGACGCACTGCTGCGCGTAAGCGTTCTCGGACGGACTCAGACTGCCTCGTTGCCGTTGTGGTGGAGCCGTGACGTTGTGACTTTTGTAAGATCGCTCAGCGCGATGCTTTTGAAGGACGCCTTGGTGCTGGGATGGGCCCTCGACCGGATTGCCTTCCAAGAGGGGAAGATGCGCCGACGACCCGCATAAGGGTTGAGGTTTGACTTGCATGGTGGGCTATGGCATCTAACAAAAACGTACACGAAGAGAATGGTAAGAGTAAGAATAGAGGCTGACGCAGAACACAACGAATGTTAAGCAACTGGAGCAATGAGTGCGGTGAACGATGACGAGAATGCAACTGAGTATGTGACGAAGTATGCAGATGGTTACATTGACATAAAGTATGGTCCAGATGACCAGCCCTAGGCAGGAGGACTACATGATAGGCAAGTAGGCCATAGCACCCACCGTAGGGTGCGATACGATATCCGCTAGCCTGAAACTGATAGAGGGGTCAGTCATCGAGGTGGCATGGCCAGTACCATGGGATTAAAATTAACGTGCTTTGTGCCTTCATCATGGCCGCAAAAGACGTGATGTTTCGACTGTTATCCGTATCATCATATCTGTTGTGACTTCTTCGTCTACTGAAATGGTAAATGTAGCGTCGTTAGCAGAGGGATCAAAGGCATGGAGCCGACTGCCATCTACTCAACAGTCATCTGATTGGTTGTGTCCAAGTAGAACCCTCACGGATTGCTCAGAACAAGAATTGATGTCAGTGGCCGCAAACAACAAAGTACGTCAAGTCTGCATGATCGACAAACGTCTCGTTCGTGGCTGTCTTACTCCCTTTGGAGTAGTCTGAAACGCCGTGTGGTGACCACGTCCATTCATTCACTCCGCTGGCGGTATACCCTGCCGAGGCTTAGAATGCGGTGTTCTAGATATAGCGTCGTGCAGATGGTCAAAGCCCTCTACTACTTTCAGCGGACCGTGGCGAAGGGCGGCCTGGCTCGTGTAGTCGGGGAGCAAGGGATGGCGTCAAGCCTGACTGTGTCGCGCGCGCGACTCCTACCAGAATACATTCGCGCTCAGTCGTCAAGATCATCAGTGCCTGCAACGTTAAATTTCTTGCGACCACCTTCTGTAAGGCGTTGCAAGGCGACCTTGTTGGCCTGTGCTCCCACCTTCTGTTGCATCTTCTCCAGTTCCTTCTCGGGATCATCGGATTCGGTCTCAGCAAATGCAAGGACCAACCGGCGACCGAGCAAGTGAGTGTTCTTCAATGCGTTCATAGCGTTGACGGCGTCGCGTTTTGTGGTAAACTCTGCGAAACCAAAACCACGCGAAGACGCATCGAATTTCTTGGGCACTCTGACAGACCGAAGCTGGCCGTAAGGGGTAAACAGAGCGCGAACGTCCTTTTTCTGTAGCCAATATTAGCAATCGCTTTGTCACTATAATAAAGGGATCTTACGCTGGCTTCGAAGGGCAAGTTCTTGATGATAATCTTCGTGCTTGCCGCCTTCTTTGCGGCATCCTCGTTGCGACGTTCTTCAGCAGCATCTGCGCCCTTGTGAGAAGCTTTTATCTGCAGTTTATGTCCTTCAAGATCATGTCCATCCATAGCTCTTAACGCTGCAGTGGCAGTTTCGGGGCTATTGAACTCAACGAAGCCGAAGCCCATGGACAGCACGCCTCGTTTGGGATCGATCTTCGTCTTGACCTTGGCGCTACGGAAGCCGGATAGAGGTTTGAATGCCTCCGTGAGACGCTCGGTCGTCGTGGAGAAGTTCAAGTTTCGCACATACAAGGTAGCAGTGTTCGTTGCCTCGGGCTCTGGAGCATCAACAAGCAGATCAGTTGCAGAAAGCTTCGCGCCAGGCTGCGTAGACTGTACAGGTTGTGCAGTAGGTGTTGTTTGCACAAAATTGGTTGCCACACCTTCCTTGAACAGATCCTTGGGAGCCTTTTCGAGATAGAGAATCGAGTCTTTCATCTTCCGATAAGACAACGACATGAATGCAGTCTTCGCTTGCGCAACATTGGAAAACTCAACAATTGCTGTCATACCGGTGGGTGGCATCAGAAACTTTGTTACGGTGCCATGTTCCTCGAACATCTTGCGAAGCTCATCGGCCGTTACACCATGAGGTATGTTCTTGACAAGGATAGCAAGATCACCCTTGGCGCTGCGCTGGAAGGCCTCCAAGTCAACGCCGTGTTGCGCAAAGTATGATTTTGTCTCTTGAATGATGTGAGTCTCAGCATGAGCCTGCTTAACTGCTGCATCTGCTGACGTAGGGTCGAGCAACTCAGCTTTGCTGATACCCATACGACTTGCGATGGTAGACATAACCGCATCAGCGTTCAGGTAGAGTGAGTTCCAGTTGAAAGTAGCCTTGACAGCATTTTGCTTTCTTCTGATCTCCTTCTGCTTCTTCAGAGGCAACTTAGAGATCTCATAGTCGTCGAGCTTTGTGTCTTTCTTTGCCTTTGCTGAGATGATGTGGAGAAGACGTCCCTGGAAAATGGTATTATCGTTGTCGAGGTATGCTTCAACTGCTTCATTGGGGTTTTGGAATTGTACAAAGGCAAAGCCTTTGCCCTTTCCATCGGCCTTCTTTAGCGGCACATGCACCTGCAGCAGTCAGTAACTGTTCGCATCAACATGTACGTAAGTGCACTCGTGGTGTTTGCCGCTATCAGATAAGAAAGACATCTACTAAAATACTTTCCAAGGTAACCTCAAGTGCCGAAGCATCAGTTGTCCCTATCTTGATGTTCATCATTGCATGGGCGGGTAGTAAAAGAGATGGATCGTTACTTACTTCCTCGAGAGCTCCATGTTTGGAGAACTGTTCCTTGATTTCGTCTTCTGTCACCTCGTAATGCAGGTTTCTGAGATACAGTCGACCAGTTTCACGAATCTTGTCTTCCTCGTCGGGCGCAGCAGCATTGTCGGGCTGCTCTTCCGCTTGAGGTTGTAGCTCCGGCTGCGCCTCAACAACGCCCGGGGAGGACGCAGCGGTTACATGAGTCTGCGGGGCTGTTTCCTGTGGCACAGTTGCGACAGTCGCATTCGATGGTGCTTCATCGTCTTCGACTAGCTCAAGAACCCTGTTTGTTCTTGATCGCAACCAGTCCGCGTCAGACACAGGTCCTTGTTCGACAGCTGGCGCTCCTTGGACGTCTTCCATCGCGTCGCCTCCATCTGCCACTTCTACTTGGAGCTCTGTTGCGCTCGCCTCGGCGGCTGTGGGCTGTGGGTTCGCAGCAACGGCCGCAGGCTCTTCTGCAATCTTTGGCTTTTTCGAAATGACTTGATACTCGTCATCGCTCTCGTCTTCTGGCACAGCAACCTCTGGTACAGCCTCATCGGCGGGAGCAACAGATGTGTCATTGAGCTGGGTATCACCATTGGCCCAGATGCTAGTCTTGGATGGCGGCTGATAGACCTCGAGGAACTCCTTCAGCTTCGGGTCCTGTTCGGCTTCTTCTCGCTTTCGCTTGAGATCGTTTTCTTGCCGTTGCGGTCGGTACTCGTCGCTTGTCGGAGCGCTCTTCTCAAGTTTCTGCTGCCGCCGGGACTTTGGTAGTTCCTTGTCGGCGATCTGCGCATGTTAGCCCCGCTTGTCGCCATCGTGATCGCAAAGTACATACAGGCCGTGCAATTTCGGCATAGATCTTGGTGAGCTTGATGAAGGTCTTGTTGAAATACTTGACCGCCTTTGCAGCATCTTCGGGCGTCTTGTAGCCAACATAGCCTATCCTTCGGTGCGGAAAGTACTTTACGTCAGTGACGGGTAGCTTCAAGCTTCCGAAGTGCCTCCTCACGTCGTCTTCGCTGAACTTGGGAGGTAAGCCACGAACGAAGATACGTGACGACTCCATGCTGGGTGAGTTGTGGTGTAGTGCATGAAGTGACGGATGTCAAGGTCGCGTTTAGAGAAAAAAAGTCGTACGCACGGACTCATCTCCGGTTTAGCGCGCATTAGTCTCGTCGGCCGGGGCCCGAGCGCTGACCGCCGCGCGAGCGCCTGCCCAAACATCATGACAAAGGCATAGCCTCACTCGACCACACGCCTTATAAGACCTCACCTACTTCTAAGAGAACAACAGTTGAATCACTCAAACGCGCCCTCACTTCCAAACCGACACCATGGCTAGCGACAAGTCAGATGCCCACAAGCAGGATGGTAAGACCCTTTGTTCATGCCGGTACTTCTGCCAAAGCACAAGCTAATGCTATATGCAGCTCAAATCAAGTCCGCCGACATGGTACGGGACAATCAGATTGCTTCTTCCGATACCATCCTAACATGTCTCACAGAGTGAGGAAATGCAACAAGAGGCTATTGAAGTCGGTAAGTCATCCCATTCTCAAGTGCGGCTGACAGGAACGCTGACATCTCGTAGCACAGTCGGCTATGGAGCAGTTCACTATCGAGAAGGTGGGTCTCCGACATCCACTCGGTTCGAGACCTTACTGAGACCCGGTTAACCATGGATGTGTAGGACATTGCCCAGTATATCAAGAAGGAGGTAAAGACAGCTCTGTGTAACATCCGAAGCGCGCGCTAACACTTCCGCAGTTCGACAGCCGAAAGGGTGCCACATGGCACTGCATCGTAGGTCGCAACTTTGGAAGCTTTGTCACACATGGTAAGTAACTCTGCTTCACCAGAAACCTTTGAGTAGCGGCATCTAATTGATGCTCAGAGACGAAACACTTCATCTACTTTTACCTCGGTCACTGTGCCATCCTACTTTTCAAGACTCAGTAGACGAACCCGACTGGATCAAGGCGCCCTCATCCTCTGAGAATCTCGTCCCTCTTCACCATCGAAGCCCTTCGTTCTGGGCCCAATTTCAGTCTGGTCTCAAACTGGAGGATGTTGCTTTGTTCTTACAGTGTAGACAACATCCTCTCAATGGGGTTCACGGGTTCTGCGATTCAGCGGCGTTGAACGGCAAAGGCATGATCTTGAGCTTGTAACATCTTACTCCTAACGACTGTCACGAGTCTCTTTTCCACTAAAGTGGCTTTGGAGGCTACCGCTTGATACCATAATGAAGCGTCCATGCTTACTTTTGTTCCATCTCCCATGGTGTCCACGGTGCCTTTATAATTGTGACCAAGTGACTGTCGTCTGCTGCATCCAAACTGATTCTACGAGAACATACACACTCGTAATCTCCCTTCATCCAAAGCACCGCGGAAACTGCGGAAACTGACAAGCTCGTGATACGTATGTGAGTATGTAATAGTGCTGCGGGCTTAGCCGCTAGCCCCATGGAGCCCCATGCCCTGGAGCCAAGTGTGGCTGAGACGCAACATGGATGACGCAGCTTCCTCGGCGCCAATACTCTCTCTACCAGAAACATCGAAGCAGCGTCCCATCCCAACGCCTCTCAGACGACCCTTTTTACTTTCAACTTCGTTCCAAACAGAATCTCCATCATCAAAAACTTCAGTACTACGCGCCGTTACGTCCGCCATTATCATAAACGAACAGCAGTCAACAATCGAACGCGTATCCCCCGTACCGCTTGTCGCACGCGCATCACTCCACCAGCTCGACATCATCGAGACCCGACCCATATCAAAGAGCCACACATCATTGATACCACTGCGCTGTCCGCGCATATAGTCTGCGATCATGTTCTTTTTCTTCACTTGCGGAACACACAGTACGTCTCTCACGGGTCTACATTCAGTCCTCCGCATCCCATCCAATCCCATACCACTCACTCTCCACCTAATCTCTCTCCGCAATACTAACAATCTCACTAGCATTCACATCTCCCCTCAAAGGCGCCGAGCACATAACACTACGTTGTCAAAACTGCAACAACCCCACGGGCAGGGTGATGAAGCGCTGGGAATGGTTTACCTTTTGCTTCATCCCCGTCATACCGTTTAGTCTGAAGCCGTACAAGGAAGTTGGGTGTCATATCTGCAAATTCTGGCAGGACATCGCGTATCGACTGGAGCCTGAACTGCAGCAGTTTGGAGGAGGGACCAAAGCGCAGGGTGGTGGTGCGGTCATGATGAACAATTACGGTGGACCGGGTGGTGGACCTGGTGGTGCTCCGGGATATGGACCCCCGCCGCAAGGAGTGCCGCAGTATAAGTAGGGGCAAGAATATGAGGAAGCATGTGTGGAGTTCGAGAGCGATCAGCGGGTGAAGATCGTACGTATTTTAGCGTTTGAGGTCGAAGGTTGGAGATGGCTTGAGGGGTTGCGGCCGTATCAGCGGAGCACAAGGAACGAACGACGCTCTGATCTGGTCTTTCCTGGAGTCTTTTGTATTACGTCTGGCGTTTGGACATCCTCGTTTAACAGATACCACTCTATTTCCTTTACGTCGCCTTCAATCAAATCGTTTGGGACCCTTTCAAGCATTTTTGAAATATCTTGCCGTAACTTATGCCGTATGCTCAACTTCTCAGTTTCGCTTTATCTGTGGAAGGGTCGAAGCAGGCAAACCCGCCTGTGGAGCAGCCAACAAGAGAATTTTGATCATCATCAATCCTATGTTACTATTCGAAACATCTTGCTTTGGCATGTAGCAGGGTTTTTGACTCCTGTACACGTTTGGTGTATTTTCTTTTGAGAGCAAGGCTGAGCCAAGCGTCTTTGGCTGCGTCCGCCGGCCAACTAGACGATGTGTAGAGTTTCCTCGTTACCCAACGGAAGATCAAACACCTCGTATCCTTTCTGCGTCTCGAATTCCACCAAGCCAATCCGTTCGTAAGCGCATGCTGTCATATTCGAGGGTCGCAGTATCAAAGCTGTATAGAGGTATTTCTTCTTCAACCCCATCTGATATACACTCATGAGAAGCGTTTTCACACGCTGGATGGGAATATCAAGTACAGAACCTGGCATCTCATTGCCAGAGTCTCCTAATTCACAATCGAGATACACCTTACGGGGGCACCTCCTCCAAGCGCGATGGTCGGGGTATTCGATGTTTGCGCATAGCTGCGTGTTGTACTGATAGGTGCCTTCCACGGCTTCGAGTAAACATCGACCTCGCAAAGTAATCTCTGCAGACCGAAGCTCGCCAAATTCATCTACTCCTGCAAATGATATATCTTTGGCGACATAGGTTGATAAAGGTGTGCAGATTGAAATCCAATTGGGCCACGTAACTCGACCCACGACAGATGCCCATGACCATGAAGGGGCACGCCATTCCTCTGGTCTGCATGTTCTGTCTTTGTAATCGGAGTACCATAGTAGGTCATACATTATACTGTTCTCCCATAGTCCAGCCACGTATGCTGACCTCTTGAGCTGATGCATTTGTTTGCTGATTCCCTGTAAAGCTGGAAAGCAGTCCCCTTTGTATGTCAAGGAAGAACTGCTGTACTCGCTGACAATATGATGCCACAGAACCGTACATTGCATCTCATCCGAGGAATGTATTGTTGTAAGGTATTTTGGGCTGCGCAGATTTTTGAAGGGTAATGTCATGGCGTCCCACCAGAATGAGCACTCGCATTTGTTCACAGTCCTGCAAGCCCAGAACATTTCCTCGGCTGTGAAGTGCAAGATTCTTCGTGAGAGCAGGCACTCTTGCAGTGTCCATCCACGGCGTAGCAAGGGATATTCGCCATATCTCCATGCATAATGATTTATGCTAGATCGAACGCACACATCCAACATCGAGCCGTTCATATCGGGATACGAGTAGATGCTGATTGGGCGGTTCGTAGTCTGGCGGAAACACCCCTCCGACGGGCGACTTGATGCGGTAGCAGCAATGGTGAAATCGGCACCAGAATATATCTGCGCCATCTTACTACCCTCGCTTCGCCAGTCCTCTTTGCTATCTTGTACGATACAAAGGCTGTCGATCCAGACGTACTTGTATCCCAGTCGGAAAGCGAAAGAGATTGCGTCATGGAAGGTTTGGGGAAGTTTTTGCCATGGAATGCTTTGCTTATGTGCGGATAGAGTTGCCCTCTCAGTTGTGGTGATTTTATCCGGCCCCCAGCAATGACTTAGACAGACGTAGGGTTCAAATTCGCCATCAGTCTCGTACAACTTGATAGTCTTCGGCCCCTGGATCGAGATAACGCGAGTTGGCAGGCTCGAATTGGCACTTCTGCACAACTCGTGGTTGTCTTCGCAATCTTGCAGCCACGACGACGCTCGTTCAACAGCTTGGTCTGAACCAGAATTCGCAATTACTTCATGGGGCAGATGTGGTATTCGCCATGGATTTTCGAGATCTGAATACGTTAGTGTGCAGTGCTCATTGCAGTTTTCAGATACTTACTTTCCGGCGCGAACACCTCCCACGACGCAGTTGGGTAGCATTCCAAAACCAGTCTTGATCTCTCCACTCTGCATGATACCCATTTATCCAGAGAAAGCTCAAACGGCTGGTTCGAGTTCTTGGAAATCAAGGCACACCTGTTTACGATACCACATAGGGTCAAACAACCTGCACACCCCTTTCCAGCAGAGGAGAGTAAACTACCAACCAAGACGCGTGCACCTGATGTATCTGGCCAGGCATTGTTACAGCATACTCTGCATCGCTCCGCTTTCGCATATGCGGATCTGATCCGTCTGAAACGATCCCCATGGAGCAATCCTGATGCGAACGTACGCAGGTCCGGTTTAGAAAGGGCTTTGGTAATGCCATCGGGAGCCCACCACGATGGTGGTTTCCATGCGAGTATATCTGTCATGACAAGCCTGGTGACAGGCTGCAAAGTCCCTCGAAGATTGGATTTACAGCGGAGTTAGGTGCATCAACGATCAAGGTAAACAAAAAGATCCTCAGAAAGCAATCAACACGAACGAGTCTGGTGCGTACGAGGATTCTGCTCGAAGCTCATCGTGTGTTCGCAGAGAGAGCGCGCGGCAGCTACTCATTTTCGACATCGTGAAGAAATCGGGACAGGTATTTCGTACAGCTGCAGGATTGCTGGGTATACGATTGGCTCGCTATTTCTCATCACACCACATGTCGGCGCTTGAGAGCGACCAATTTGCCTATAGCCAAGTAGATCTCTTGCGTACGACCATTCAGAAGGAAAGATGTGGGACTGGAGATGTACTTGTCTATGTTGGCCGTTTTCACGAAGAGCAGGGCCACTCCCTCCCAGGAATATATGAGCCATTTTTGCGACGGTGCCTGTCTTCTTTGCGACACAGCGCAACAACAAGAGCTATGTTCCTATTGTTCCTTTCCTGGCGGGGGCTCTCCTAGATAGGTACTCTTTGAACGAAAACATCCTTTCTCTTTCGAGGGTATGTTGTTCTTGCATTGCATTGCGTTGCGCAGAGAAGAGAAACGTCGCTTTCACTGTGTAATGTTCATTTTCCCTCAGAGGTGGTGGGCCCGGATCGGATTGTCGCGAACTTGGCAGCAGCTTCGTCGATCGGATAACCATGAGAGGCGAAACGGTCTCTCAATCTGCTAGCAGCGAAATTCGACGAAACCGAACGAACGCGCACCAACTCGATTACTAAATCTGGATATGAAGGAAGTTTGAAGGTACGGCGCACCATCGGATAGTTTGGTGTTTCATAGGCCCGTGCATCTTCTTTGTTTCCGCGAGGGGTCGCGGCAGCAACTGCCCTGCAGCACTTTCTCGATACGACTCCACTATGGTGTAGAAATATTTCGGCCAAGTCGAAACACAGGGACTTCCGCCTCCAAAAATGTCCTCGGCCCCGTTCGTGACCGCTGGCACCGCACCGGCAGTCTCGAATATGCGGATGGCGGAACCCCGTTGAGCGGGGACCCGAAGCCAAACGTCGCAGAAGTCGACGCAAATAGAAGTGCTAGAGTATGCAACACGATAGATATAAAGACGAAGGACTATGTTGTAGAGATACAGTTGAAATATCACAGTAATACAGCAATTTAAACATCTCCTACAATCTTCAGAAATAAAAGCCATCATGTTTGAGAAGAACGAATTGAAGCCTACGTTCGAGGGTTAGTCTTCTGATGCTACCTCTTACGAACGTGACTAACAAGTCTAGATGTTATGGGCTGCCAGTCGGCATGCTACGAGTGGGCAGACAGCTACGATAGCAAGGTCGGTCTACATGCAGCACTACTGAATGATGATTACTCACGCATAGCAGGACTGGGACCGTCTCCGCAAATGCATCGCACCAACACTGAGGATTGACTACCGCTCGTTCCTGGACAAGATCTGGGAGGCAATGCCTGCAGATGAGTTTGTCGCCATGGCGTCGGATCCTGCCGTCCTAGGCAACCCCCTCCTCAAGACACAGCACTTCATCGGCGGTACACGGTGGGAGAAGACGTCAGAGGACGAGATTATCGGGTACCACCAGCTCCGTGTGCCTCACCAGAGGTACACGGATGAGACACGCACAAAGGTCGCGGTTAAGGGCCACGCCCACAGTTTCAACATGCACTGGTATAAGAAGATTGATGGAGAGTGGAAGTTTGCTGGGTTGAACCCGGATATCAGGTGGTTCGAGTACGACTTCGACAAGGTCTTCGCCGAGGGTCGCGAACAGCTGGGCGAGGCCAAGGCTGCTGCTGGCATCCCAGAGAAGCTCACTGGTCAGGCGTTGTAGGAAACCTGGGAGAAGGTTGACATGATAGAAACCTGCTTACTAAGAGATACCAATACGAACAATGATAGGCTTGACCATGTATTGAATTGATCATCAGTAGCCGTTGCCCATGTTTGATGAGTGCCTTGACAGCTCCACAAGAGCACAACGGTCGTGATATGTCTGTGTCAAGCTCATTGGGTGAGTGCCGCAGCGACCAGCCGTTTAGCTGCAGGCGGCGGGGCCACTGAGAGAGAATGGAGAAGGCCATGGCGGTACAAGTGTGTGATTCGGCCGGCGCAAAACTGCGCAGCCTGTGTATGCAGAGCCCAGAGATGCGATGCGGGCATGGGTGGAAAGATGGTGATTGGAAAGGCAATGGAGCCTCTGCCTGAGGAGCACCGCCCCGCACATTGCAACAGCCCAGTGACGACTTTTGGCTGCAAGTCATCTACGGTGCCAGGGGTGGGTCGCCTATTAATAACGCAAAGTAGATCGCAGGCAGCCGGCACCGTTCTTCATCTGGTCGATGCCAGCGTGGCAGCCGTGTTGAGCCTCTGTAGCGAGATGCGATGGGCCACTCGCAATGGAGCCGCTTCATCCTTGGGTCGCTTCAGCGCAATTATCCTTGTATCGATCGAAAGCTTAAACCAGCACTGGTCTACGCCATCCGCGTCCCCAGGTTCGCGCTGCCATCGCTACCAAATCCAAGCGAAGTAAATCCTAGCGGATTCTCGGCGCCGTACATCATCTGCAGTTCTTCGCTCTTCCACCGACCCCGCCCACCGACCGACCTTCCTCCCACACAACCGAGCACTCTCGTCTTCGAGCGTCTTTCCTCTCTGATTCCTTTGCGTTGTGGTGTTTGGATCTCATCTGCTTCTCACGTCCGCCGGTGCCCTTGAGCTTTTTCGGTATGTTTATCTCTCTTAGCAATTTTCATCTCGTCTTGGCGGGTCGCCCACTGCACAATTTCGTGCATCCGGCCATGGTCGCATCACAGGCGGATTGCACAATCAATTCGGACACCACCCGTCTGCTACGCCTGTGTGCCCATCGCCTACTGACGTCGTTGCTCTGCACGGACTTGGTCGCCCGGCCTGCAGCACTCTCCCATCAGCGAGAGCCAGAGTCGCGCATCCCGACGCGCTCTTGCTGCCGTGGGTGTTGCCAGCACCTGTCGTGACCTGGGCCTCGTGCGCCCGCCGCATGTGATGCCTAGCAGCAAGACTCTGCGACTGACCGCCCGCCTAGATTTCATTCGAGCTTCCTCACGGTCACTCCTTCACGCCCCCCCTCACCCGCCCACTCCTTCGTGCGATCCGGAGTTACTGTCGCCGCTTTTCCGACTGTCTCCTTGGCTTATACGCCCAACTGCCTACGCGCCTCCGCAGGCTACGCTTCTCTACAGTGATAGAAGGAGCCGGATCTAATCGGTAAGTGCAGTCTGCCACCTTGCAATACCCTTACCCTGCTCCCGCTGCGTGACCTTCTGCGCGCTCATTCACCGACACTAATGGTTGCTTTTTCTGCGCAGACCATTTAAAAGACTCTACAGTTCTCTATCATAATTAGAGCCCGTAACCTTACTCCCCACCTCCGTTAGCTCAACCGATTACCCCGCTTGATCTATCGACCATGTCATTCAACAACAGCTACGGCGACCAATTCCAGGGCCAGCCCCAGGGCGATATGAACAACCAAACCCCGCAGCCCGGCGACATGGGTCAGCCCATGGACGCCTCCGGCAACGGCTTCCCTCCCCAGGGCAACATGGGCCCGCCAGGCAGCGCTGGTGGCGACGGCCAAGGCCAAGGTGCTGGCAAGACGACTCTCTGGTGAGTCCGCATACGCGCCTGTGTGGCGCATGGTGTATACCAGACCGCAATGCGCGCGCTCCGATAGCTTTCTTCTAGGTGGGGGAACACCAATGCTAATATGGCGCAGGATGGGTGAACTCGAGCCCTGGATCGACGAGAACTTTGTGCGCAGCATCTGGTACAACATGGGCGAGACCGTCAACGTCAAGATGATCCGTGACAAGTTCTCCGGGTAAGCACGGAGATCACCGAGGAAAAAGTCTCCAGGCTAACTACCGCATAGCAGCAATGCTGGATATTGCTTCGTCGACTTCGCGAGCCCTGATGCCGCGTCCAAGGCCCTTTCCCTCAACGGCCAACTCATCCCCAACTCCAACCGCCCTTTCAAGCTGAACTGGGCCTCTGGTGGTGGTCTTGCTGACAGGAGGCAAGTCTCACCCGGCTTCCCATATACGACAGTGATCACTAACGATTCGAGCAGCCGCGATGAGCGTGGTCCCGAGTTCAGCATATTCGTCGGAGACTTGGGCCCCGAGGTCACCGAGTTCGTCCTCGTCCAGCTCTTCCAGAACAAGTACCAGTCCACCAAGTCTGCTAAGATCATGTCCGACCCCATCAGTGGTATGTCGCGCGGCTACGGTTTCGTCCGGTTCGCTAGCGAGGAGGACCAGCAAAAGGCCCTCACCGAGATGCAGGGCGTTTACTGCGGCAACCGTCCCATGCGCATCTCTACCGCCACACCCAAGAACAAGAGCGGCGGTCCCGGAGGTCCTGGCGGCATGGGCATGCCACAAGGCGGCGGCGGCCCCGGAATGGGCATGTACTCCATGGGCGCTCCCCCAATGGGCGGCTACTACGGTGCCCCCCAGCCGATGAACCAGTTCACCGACCCCAACAACACCACTGTCTTCGTCGGCGGCCTTTCCGGCTACGTTACCGAAGACGAGCTCCGCTCCTTCTTCCAGGGCTTCGGCGAGATTACTTACGTCAAGATTCCTCCAGGCAAGGGATGTGGCTTTGTCCAGTTCGTTCAGCGCCATGCTGCTGAGATGGCCATCAACCAGATGCAGGGCTACCCGATTGGCAACTCTCGCGTTCGTCTCAGCTGGGGTCGCTCACAGAACAACTCCGGCCCAGCTGGCACCCCTTACCGCCCTGCGCCACCTCCACCAGTTCCCTTTGGCCCAGGCATGGGTATGCCTCCGCAACACCCCTACGGTGGTGGCGGCGGTTACGGTCCGATGATGAAGGTAAGTCAATCGTCCATCCTGCTACATGTTTGTTTGATGCTAACTTGGCTACAGTAAGCGCATTCTTTCCCTCTGTATTGCTTGCACGGCGCTTCATTCGTGGTTCATCCCGTTGGCTTACTGCAATGACCCCTTTCATGACTCGGCATGATGAATTTCGAGCGATTTGGTCTTTAGTTCTATAACGGGCGGTTCTCCAAAAGTTCTCGACTTCTTCTCACGACACCGATCTTGCGGAGGGCCATAGAAGGGAGTCTTTGTATAACAGGCCATCTATTCTCCCCTTCGGGCTTTCCTTTCAAAGCGTGCCACTCATATTCCTGGGAGCATATGGGATGTAGCTAGTCATGCATGGGTCGGATGCTGCTTTCTGTCGATTGCCTTTCCTTCACGATTGTGCGCTGCTCCAAGCGGGATTGGCTATCATTCCAATCACACGATTCTTCTATTTTCTGCGTGTTTTGTTGCGTGCTTGCTGGCTTGGATGATTTGTCTAACGTTTTGTTCAAAGTGCATTATAGTACTCCATTTCAGCTATTCTTTGTACTTCGCTAACATCGCTCTGTAGTAGCTTCCCGGCGCAGGCTGGCCAGCCCTCGCCTTACCCACCTTCGATGAACACCAACCTAGGTGGCTCGCGACCCAGCAGTCAGAGCGCAGGCCCTCCGACCAACCCCGCCAACGGCCAGACTGGTAACCCAAGCGGTCAAAACGGCACTCCCACCTTCGGAAACTTTGGCCGCTTTGTCTCACCCCCTCCTAACGGCGCCAACGGTTCTGGCTTCGGATCGTCCGACTTCGGCGGTGCCTTCTCGCAGCAATTTCCTCCGCAGTAGTTCAACTACGCCCTCGCATCGGTTATACGCATATCAAATACTGTTTGCCGCTTTAGCATGGAGTTTGGGAATTACTTCATTCAACGATGTGGCTATATTCTTACTGGGCATGAAGGCATAATGCTTTAGCGAGGCGTCTGGCGAACAAGATTATGGTATACCCATGCACAAGAGAAGGCGTCAAGAAAATGTTTCCTTTGTGTCATAGCAAGAAGGTTTGCGCCTTTGCTGTAAAGATGCGCTTCTTTCGGATTTGCACTGCATTGCTTGTCTGGTTATAGGATCATGACAGATGCCTGGAACAGGAAACATTCTAGATTGAAGGTTGAAGTCTTTCTAGTAGAAGGCTCTGCAAAGGGCTTCGAAAGATATGTCACGAACCGGCGGTCGGCGAGTTTCAAGTAGAAGGGTTTTCTAACGGTTCCTATATACTTATTCAATGATATAGGTTGGCTACAATCCAACTACACATTTCTTACTTTATACGCTCCCTTTCGTATGTGCTTGAATTCGATTGCCTTTGTGAGGATTACCCAGGACATGAAGTTGTTCTTGCGATGACGTTCTATGCTGACAATTGTGCCTTCCTCATACTGAACTGTGGACGTGCTCTCCGTCGCTCAGCCCTTGACTCTCATAAACAGTCGTCTTTCACCTCCCCTCAAAAAACACCCATCCGGCACGAATGCCAATTGCTTGTTGCTCTTTTGGACCCGAACAACAGCAGCCCCACACCTGCCATGCGCTACGACGACTGGGATGTGATCCTCTTCCCTAAGGACTCTCACGTACCGATACAGGAGTTCAAGACTGCCTGTTATGTCTCACCTAAAGAGTGTGAGTACCATAGTCTTCGCCATCCACTTGCAAGAGTCTTCCAGAAGTCACCAGCATCAGTACTCACAAGCATGCAGATGGCCGCCAGCTGCCTACTTTGACATGTTACATCAACTCGTTGCCAACGTCTACGCCGTTCCGCATCTCTGTACACTCATGGGCTACGCTATCAAAAGCCTCGCCGCTCATCGAATCCCGACGGAAGACGAACCAGAAGGTCGTATACACTGTTCAGGTCATTTTCGACGGGGCTAGAGTCTTGTGAGCTCTGTGCTTCAGCTTTTGAACATGGAGCCTCAATGCTGATTGGCACAGTCGTGGCTTCTTCGACATTACCTCAAAATGGCCCCAGGAGATCGGTATGCTGACGTAGACTTGGTGCTACACATAATCCGAACTGACCATGTCGCAGCCCATGAGAAGAGGTCGCTTACCATCAATGACTACCCCACAAGCCAACAGAAGCCATACCTCGAATTCCCACCCTTTCACCATCGTACCCTCATGCAAAGCTCGTGGGATGCGCGCGATCCAAATGGACGTATAAGGATAACACTGTCAGAACAGCTGATCACGAAGTCAACCAGCCCTGGGGAAGCGGACCTTGGTGCCACCAACGATATTGTTTGCTTCTCGTTCCAGCATGCTCCAAAAGGTACTACTATCAAACACATGCCATTCATATCCATATACTGATGAATTACAGACATCTTGGAACAAACGGGAATCTCATGGCCGATACGGAACCCCCTGTATCTACCCAATGGCCTTGAACGAGCTACATACCTATCGCAGACGTCTCCAACACTGTCTTGGGCCCCCAAAGTTCGACCTTTCATAGGAGATATGCAAATGCAATCGCCGATATCGCAACGTTCTATGTACAATGTCGACAGGCCACCCAACATCTTGCCAAATCGACGATCCAACGCACACTTGCCATCCATATCGCAGTTTTCGAAGCCAGTTCCGAGCTTAAAAAACAACAGCCGCCTGGGTACATGGGGCGATACTCTCAACTCGCTCGGTGGTTGCGCCGATGACGTGAGCATGGATACTTGGTCAACAAAGAGAACTACGTCAGGTTCAACTAGCGATATGGCTATGCCTGATTACTCGTACACATCGTCACATTTATCAAGACAGGGCCCTCCACCATGGATGCCCGACAAGTCGCAATACAGCCAGAGTAACAGCACAGACTGGGAAAACCATCATCCAGGGAAAGACAAGGAAAGACAACTCGTCGTCACGCTTCGAGACGACCAACTAGGTCAGATCATTGAAGCCATGAGCCCGCCAAAGCAGAATCGTGAATTACAGCATGGGTTTTGTAACCAGCACCACGAGAATGCTGGTAGACCACCAACTGCTCACACATACCATCCGTCGAAGCCAGAAATCGTTCCGCCAGTCAATCGTCCATCTTCAGCATCTATCGTTCGCAAGTCGTCCTATGCGGAACTCAACAACGTCCTACGAAATGCTTCGAACAAGCAGTCACCAACTAAACAACGGTCGCAAGATAAGGTAAACGACAAATCTTCTACCCTGAACCATCTTTCTGTTTCAACCAATAAGGAAAACTACCCTCCTTCGCAGTCACGGTTGCCCACACCTTTTCCGCACGCGAATCGCGTGCCCACACCAAACCCTTTCGCACAGAGGTTGCCAACTTACACCTCAGATGTCTCGATGAGGGACCCATCCATCGCCCTCTCAAGTATATATAGATTCAATCGAAGTGAGGCGCCACCTCTAACCGCCGAACCTGCTAAATTTGGGTCTGCTCACGGCCCATCAACTGTGAATATTAGGGGCAGGAAAGAAGGCTTCACTTCCAGTTTACCAAGGCTATCGGATCAAGCAATGCGCCATGACCAGAGCTCCCCACCATCACCAAATTCAGGGTCTCAGACAGTACATAATTTCGCCTCTAAGGGTCAAGACAAACCTTTACATGACACTCAGGGCGGTATCCCTGACCTAGTTGAAGTAATCGACGTGGACGCTATTGATGCGCATTTAGCCACCAACGCCGCTTTGGACGGTACGAAGCTTTCTCCGTTCAAACCCTGTCATAAGACTGGAGTGTCGCTTTCAAGCATCGACAGTACCGGCCGTCTAGAGAGACAGCTATTCAGCGCCCTAGGCGAGGAACTGGGCAGCTTTGAGCACCATATCGACAACACAGGCATGGGACCCGAACTTACGCAGGCAATTGGCGGCGGAATGGCACATTCTGATGTCAGCGGCACTGTCATGCTGAATCCGACAGCGAGCGACTTTGAGCCAACTATCAAGCGTAAGAGACAGGTTACATTAAGTCATGGTGATAGGGAGAGGAGCCCAATGACGAAGAAGGAGAAGGCCGAGTTGGTTCGTGCTGAGGGTCAGGATGAGGAGGTGGTGGTGTGTTTGAGAGGAGACTGATATCGTAGGGTTGATGAGAATTCTTGAACGACGATGCGTAAGTCTTTCAGACTTTTTTTTCTAAGCACATCAAGCTTTTTGGTGTGGTCGCTAGTCTTTCTAGGACAGAGATAGACATCAATTATTGTAAGAGTAGTCAGCAGTTTGTAGCAGTATCCGAGCACGATTTTCTCACAGCCAAATGAACATTCAGGGCTAATCACAGATTTGTACGATGCAGAATCATGTCTCTGCGACGACAGTAATGAACATCCAATTTTGGACTAATAAACAAAATATCCCTGCGTCAACGGCAACGTCTCCGACGGCTCCGCCGTACAGACCATACCGTCCGCTTCAACCGTATACCGTTCCGGGTCAACCTTCATCTTCGGTCTCGTATCGTTGAACTTCATATCCCTCTTCCCGATGTTCCTGCAATTCTTGACTGCCTCGACACGCTTGCGCAACCCGTAGGACTTCACGACACCCGAGGCGATGGAGGCTTGCGAGACAAATGTTATGCTTGTTTGGGGAAGGAGCGGGGCGAACATGGGCCGCATGATTATGGGCTCGACGGTGGGGATGGAGGCGTTGGGATCACCCTGTTTGAAGTTAGTATGATAGTCCCCAAAAAAGAAAGACGAGGGCGGTACATACCATTTGAGCGTAGGAGCACATTCCACTCTTCACGACTAGAGATGGCTTGACGCCAAAGTTTCTTGGTGTCCAGAGTACCAGGTCTGCTACTTTACCTACCTCTATACTACCGATGAGGTGGCCCATACCCTGCGCTATGGCAGGATTGATCGTGTATTTACTAATGTACCGTTTCACTCTAAAGTTATCGGCATCGGTGTCCTTATCTTCTTCCAGGGTGCCGCGTTGCACTTTGTTCTTATGCGCGGTATTCCAGGTACGAAGAATGACCTCGCCGCAACGGCCCATGGCTTGGGAGTCGGACGACATCATGGAGATGGCACCGAGGTCGTGGAGAACGTCTTCTGCGGCGATAGTCTCGGCGCGGATTCGGGATTCGGCGAAGGCGACGTCTTCTGGGATGTTTCGGGAGAGGTGGTGACAGACCATCAGCATGTCGAGATGTTCGTCCAGAGTGTTTCGGGTGTAGGGTCTGGTTGGGTTGGTGGATGAGGGGAGAACGTTGTCGAGCTCGACAACGCTGATGATGTCTGGAGCATGGCCTCCGCCTGCGCCTTCGGTGTGGTAAGTGTGGATCGTTCTGTCTTTGAAAGCTGCAATCGTTGACTCGACAAAACCGGACTCATTGAGTGTGTCCGTGTGGATAAGTGTCTGGATATCGTACTCGTCACACACAGTCAAACAAGCGTCGATGGCAGCTGGCGTGGTTCCCCAATCCTCGTGCAACTTGAGACCGCAGACACCCGCCTCAGCTTGCTGTTGCAGAGGCCGTATGTCGGAATCGTTTCCTTTGCCCGTGATACCGTAGTTCAAAGGCAATTCGTCGATAGCTTGCAGCATCTGCCTGATATGCGTCTTGCCAGGAGTACAAGTTGTCGCGTTTGTACCTGTACTAGGTCCAGTGCCGCCACCAAGCATAGTCGTGATACCCGATGCTATAGCCTCATATGCTTGTTGAGGACAGATAAAGTGGATGTGGGTATCAAACCCGCCCGCCGTTATGATCTTATGTTCGCCTGCAATGACATCGGTGCAGGAACCGACCACTAGGTTGGGGTCCACTCCGTCCATCACGTCCGGGTTACCTGCCTTGCCAATACCAACAATGATTCCGTCTTTGATTCCGATATCCGCCTTGTAGATGCCAGACCAGTCGATAATCAAAGCGTTGGTGATGACGGTATCCAGCGAGTCCTTGTCGGATCGACCTCCAGCTTGACCCATGCCTTCTCTGAGAGTCTTTCCTCCTCCAAAAGCACACTCATCACCGTACTGGGTCATGTCTTTCTCCACCTTGATCCAGAGATCTGTAGCCCCGAGCCTGACCAGATCGCCGGTTGTTGGACCAAACATGCTGATGTAGGCCTGTCGCTCCATGGTGCAGATATCGATGTGCGCGGCATCGCCATGCGGCTCTGGCTCGTGAAGGAAACCACCAGACTTCAACCTCTCCACGATTCCATTTGCGACGGACATGTCTTCGATGAAGCCTGAGGCGATCATGTTCCCGCCCTTTATAATCTGATTGCCACCGATCTGTACCAAGGTGACCGTCTTCGTATCGCCAGGCTCGAAACGCACCGAGGTGCCGGCGGGGATGTCGAGGCGGTAACCATGCGCTCGAACGCGATCGAACTGGAGTTGCGGGTTCGTCTCGATGAAGTGGTAATGTGATCCAACCTATGTGCCGTCAGTCGCGTACTCTGTCGTTCTGATAAAGCTGCCATACCTGGATTGGTCGGTCTCCCATGCTCTTGACCTTCAGCTTGATCCTCTTGCGCCCCTCATTCAACTTGATTACACCAGCCTCACCCTTGACTGCCACTATTGCGCCTGGCTGCTTCGTATCATCGTATACGTCCGACTCGGGTAGCGGGAACATGTCGTTGGACGGAACAGGCAGGAACGAGCCATACAGCGCTTTCTCGAGGTCTCCATCATCGGTGGACACGGGGTGGTGGACGGTAACGAGGTATGTGCCTGTAGGAAAGGTGCCTTCGACCATCAACGCTGAGAGAGAGTTGACAACAGAGGGCTGTACATGGCGACGGCCAAGCATGGTCGTGCCAATGGACATGAGGTCCGCGACCGTATGGTTTCCATCGCGAATAAGCTGTATGCGTTCAGCATGCGACCCAGGATGCGCGTGGGGTTTTGAGTCGTACTTCTTGTAGATTGTTCGCGATCAATGCCTGGGCGTCTTAGCAGCGTCTACGCGACTCTTTGAAAACTCACGGTTGCTTCAGAATGGTTCAGCTTGACACCCCTGGCCAGTCGGCGTTGCGCGAGGAGGCCAAGCTGCGAGATGACGAGCTTGTCAAGCTGTTACGAGATGATTAGCAGCGCCGCCCCCGCGAATGGCACCGTGTAACACACCTCCTTCGGACACAGCTGCATCTTGCAAAATCACAAGCAGCCAGGAACAATGATGGTATAACGCGTCTTAGGATTGTATTTGTATATCCATTATACTCTAGTCCGGTTCTACCGCTCCGTAGACTTCACCTCTTCCAGCCATGTTGCGGGGTTCGCTTGCGATAAAGGAACGCGCCGATAAGAAGCTTATGGCCGTCGGCCACGCCCTTCACCCTCATCCAGCGATGTACAAGTTGAGGCGCACATCCTCTCCATAAACCATACAGAGGTCACGAACCTCCGCGTGCCTACCCTCATTCAGGCTAACCGCGAAATGACGTAGGGGCTATTGGTTTCAACACCTGCACTACTGAGACAGGTAGATCTACGCCTAATTTGGCCTGTGCCAACCATATTAGGGCTGTCTCCTATCCATCCTTTGGTTTCATGCCTCCATTCCTCCAAAGTGCATCGCTTCTGTATCGTGTCGCAGCCATGACATGCTCAGATCCAAGAACGCCAGAGATACTGCCATAGCCGGATGTGTCGATGACATCTTTGGCACGCGACACGTCTCGGTACCACATGACTGGCAGCCTGAGCATCTAGCAAAAGTCGTCTCCGATAGACTCCCACGATACGATGCATTCGTTGCTGCAACGCTTCAAGGGAGGGAATGACGAACCTGAACCTCGACACCAAACACCTGACCCGCCTGTCAAGAGAAGCCGAGCAAAGGTCAGGCCTGCCCCTAAAGATCCGAACATCCCAAGAAAGCGTCTTCAGGTGAACCAGAAATGCCTCTACGAGCGCCGATTACCTGGGAAAGCGTACATCTCTGCCCATGTAAATCGACTTCAACACGGCTATTACAAGTCCAACGCACTTCACGAACCCACTATCGACAACCTCTTCTTCGTTTCAGTGCACTTCGTCTTCCATCCCCATGATCCGGATTCGCACCGTTTCAAGAGCGCCGAAATTGAGGTCACGGTTCATGGCGATAACGGCGACCCGAACGAGTCCCGAAAGCCAGGCGATTCGCACCCGCGTATCTTGAAGCACGCGCCAGAGCTAATGTTTGGTGCCGTGTCGCCTGAGAACCTGCAGTGGAACTTTAGCTTGTCAAGCTCGCTAGGTGTGTCGCAGGCACCCGTGTCTGCTTCGCTGAACCCGAAAGCAGCTGTAAACAGCAGCTACAAAGTTTTCCACATGATGAGCATCCAAGGATCTGTTCGATCGAAGAGAAGTTCATGGGGACCAGAATATGATGCTGAAGATGCAAAAGCCGTTTGGACACTCACAGAGAACATGCTCCAGAAATCGGGATTGCCACGCGAATTTGACTTCGTGCTGCTAGTGCAGAAGCCAGAGGACCTCGAGAACATATACATGTCTGTTGACCTTAACGCGGATGTCGGAGCTTGGTACGGCACGTATCCCCAGTGGTATACCAATCTGTCCAAGTATCTGCCAAACCAAGACTGTATGCTCAGCTTTGGGAACGACATCGGGCAACGGTTTCTTCCGAGTCATCCAAAGAAGGGTTACAATTTCGCCAACCTGATGCACGCGCTCGATGAATACGTGATGATGCCAGGAACCGTGTACCCAACTAGTGTAAGTCTGCGCCTTGGACGAAGTCGTAATTCAAGCTGACTATCGCAGGGTACGCGGCAAGGAGAGGTCAACAATCCTAACTTGATAGAATATCAACCGCCGGAAGACGTTAAAGCAATTGAAGCTGCGTCGACATCACCACAGCCTAAGCAGCCGAGTACGCCTTCGAACAAGAGCAAGTCACCTAGAGATGCAAATCAGCAGCATCGCCATAGCTGGGCGCCCGAGAACGTGAACGTGCGGGTCATTCTAGAACATCAGTTTCCACAAGGCTCTAATCGGCGCCGCTTCTCGTACTCGCCTCTGGACAACTTGGAGCCTGTACGATATCCGTCAATACGGCGGAGGAAGTCGCGGACAGGACTGAAAGAGTATGGTGCAAAGCAGGCCTTGGATGAATTCGCCCAGGATGGAATAGAAGACAAGGGTGACAGGTCAAGCGGAGGAGACAGACTCAGTGGCTACACACTGAGGTGATTGGCAGTGCGCAGAGTGTATGTAGTGACCTCGTAACCACCAACATACATGCCATATTCCCACGTGATAGTATGTAAACGCCCGCCTCATCATTGTTCGCGAGAACATGCAGTTCCCAAGACTCGGTTGTGTGGTAGATCGCCACACTAGCGTCAGTTTTGACAGCTTTGGGAATTGACAGCCACGCAACCTTCCATCGCTCACGACCCAATTTTCTTCAGCGGTGGAAACTCCGGAACCCCCGAGAACACAAGTCATCTCCACAGTTATGGGCCAGCTGAAGTGAGACTCATCTCTTCCATCGCGCAATGCTGGTCGTGACAGGAGGGGGCAAACGGTCGGCGATGGCTGATTGGGTCCGCTAGGCTTCCGACGCCTCCATGGCTAGGCCATGAAACGAGATGACGGGTATTAGCAGCTTTCCTCGGGGCCGATTTAGTGGTAGAGACTGCTCTCTCGCATCAGCGCGGTCATGTCTTGTGTTTCGGCGCTGCAGGTGTCTGCGAGGTTTGACTGGCCAGCGGGAAGTCACGCTAAGCCGGGGTCATGATACCGATAACCACCCACGATGCCGCATCGCCTTCTCCTCGCACACAACGACCCGGTAAGTGTAATGAGCCATGGCAGCAGACGCGGATGCAATGGAAATGCGTGGTCTGCTGAGGTTACGACTGCCCGGTGGTGGCCCCGGAGCTAACGGCGGGCCTGAGCCTGAGGACGTCTTCTAGCAATGTTCTGTTATTTTGCCGTCTCGTCATCGTTCCTTCCCAAGTACTTGGTGAGAGAACATCGTGCCTTCCTCGTCTATCGTTCTCAGACCATCTTGCAGCGTCCTTTCCTCTTCTTGTCAGCGGGATTGATTCTCGTTACACCGTCTTTTCTATATCGATTCTAATCTTAATACCTCCATCGCCGCTCCTTCTTCGCTGCCGAGTCTTCGTCTTGCATAACCGGTACTTCTGACCTAGCGCCATACCACGTTCTCCTCAGACATAGACACACCACAACGTGTGCGTTCAAGAACACTCGGCTGCGACTTCATCCTTCGATTTATCTCAAGGAAACAATCTCCTTCAAGCATCATCAGTCCACTCCGACACAGTCAAGACGTCCACATACTGGGTCGTTGGATCTAGCCAGACGGCTGGAGATGCAGCAGGCATACCCTGTTGACTAGAGCACCATAAACACACCGTCTCTTCAGTACTGTTGGATTTCATGGCGTAGGCGCCGCGATGCACTCATTAGACTTCCTCTCAAGTCCGATCTCAAAGCAAACCAACGAACCAAGAGCCTGGGAACCTTTTCTATCCGTGATGTCGATGACAAACTTGTAGTCAAAGAGAACATTGCAAACTTTCCGTCTCTTTTATCAGAGGAAAACTGGCAGGCGGATTCACGATGGCAGCATATCCCCTCCACTCGCAGTCACCGCGACTTTCTGAACGAACATCACCGCGGATGCACGCTGGCAATCCAATAACGCCCGTACACTCCCCACACCACTCGGTTACGTCTTCGGCTTCTTCTCGGACTCCTGTTCACATCCTCACCATCCACGAGTACCGCAAGCAGCAACACACGCCTACACTCTCGCAAACAGGCACTCCGTTAGGCAAGACTCTTCGAAGGAAACCTGCGGCACTCGCATTGAACGACATTGAATGTGCACCATCTGTATCGCATTCTACACGGTCAGGTTCTGGTCCTCCGTTACGTCCTCTTCACTTTTCGCAGTCGGCGCATCAACTCAACTCGGACCATCCGCCCTTCCGGCAACAAACACCGCTCGAACTATCGCATCGGTCGCAGTCAGCTGAGCCTCGCGTACAGACAGGCAGTATATCCAGCATATCCACTGGCAATTCGTCTAGTAAGGTGCGTCAGTTCAAGTCAAGAAAGAGGTTACCGAAACCGCCTATCGCCAGAGATCCCGTACCCTTCCCTCCCCCGCTTGCAAACGTGAAGTCAACCCAACCACGACTGTCACCGCCTCCGGCTGTATCGAGATTTTCCACAGAGCGCTCACGCTCTAGTGGTGCGCAAACCACACCCACCGCTTCGACCTTCTCGCTGTCCCGCTTCCCGCACCCGCCCCACCAGATCGATCCTTCACTGTCCCCACCCCACGATGAAAGAGAGCCCGCGCATGTAGACGCGCTTAGCTTTGCGACTGCCGCACCTGCGACACCGCCCGCAACTCCCGCAATCATCCATTACCGTGGCGCATCCTTCGATCTGGTCAACCCTCACGATTCGTTACTGCTCCACGACATTGTCACACCTTCGCGAGACTTCGACTCTAGTGAGCATCTCACTCTGCGTCCATCTGGAGACGCGTTTGCAGAGGTATTTCAACCCTAATTCGACTTTCAGCTTGACTAATAGCGATGTAGATGGCACCCAAGCGAGCTGTGTACGGCGACTTCCGCGCAGCGCATGCAGGTATTCTGAGACGTCCCGAAGACTCTCCCAATCAATCGCATATGGAGCTTTCACTGGCTCAGTCACCCGCCGCCGTTAGTCCTAACTCTTCGTCGTACACATCTCCATTGTACAGCCCAGAATCAGTCAATGCGCCTTCTCCATTAGTCGTCAAGGCGCCTGCACGCGAATCACGCTTTTCCCTCAAAGGACTTACCCGCAGTTTGACGAAGAAGCTCAGTAAAAGCCCGGCTGTGCCACAGAGCGAGGAGTTGCAGGATATGCGTGATCAAAACGTGAGCGTGGCATCGATTAGCATGGATGGAGATTTCCCACGTCCGCTACATCAGACCTATGTCACCACGCCGGAAACATCGTACTTTCCAGTCGGACCAATGTCGCCAGCTACGCCCACTAGCCCTATGTCGCCCGAGAGTTTCCATGCCTTTTCGCCTGGACAGAATGACGTTGAGATTTCACGAAGGCATCTTGCAAAACTGCACGATACAGAGCCACTGGCATCTATGCTGCCAGATGACCATTCTACTCAGATCGGACGAATCGACGATTCTCAGTTACCATACTCTACAGAAGGTGGCTTTTCGAAACCCTACTACGATGATCTCGACTCAATATACCCTAGTTCATCTATCTACACAGCGGATGGCCATCGGAAGTCGATCTGTCAGCAGGGCCTTCTGAGCAACCGCAACAGTAGTGCCAACCCGTTCGCCCGCTATAGTGGCATGCACGCCAGCGACTTCGCGAATGAGTATAATCGCGACAGTCTGTATGACCATAGTGCCTCAAGTAGAGTCAGCCGTCAGGTGTCACTTCCATTCGTCCAGGGCATATACCGCCCTCCGATCGAAGAAGGGGATCCGAAGACGGACACCATCAGTAAACTCATTGACGAGTACAGCCCTCATAGTGCAACGGATGCAGCTTTGGCTACGCAATACGAAAATTCTGGAAAGGCACAGGGTACGCACTATGCACCAGCTGTCGTACCTTCAAGGCGGCCTCCGATCACTCAACACCCAGGGTCTCCCCCTCGTGAAGCAGCTCCTCTAGCACCAGCCTTTGATTACAATCAAGCTCCTTTCGTTCCTTCGCGTCCAGGATTGTCAAGTATGTTTTCTTACGGCTCGGACTACTCATACGGCGATACTCGGAACTTGCTGCGAACCTCACAGTTCGAAATTTCAACTCAGCCTAACGCGGCACACACTATAGAACCTTCTTCGTCGTATTCTCAACCTGAAGCGCGACCTCTCGAACCGTCGTCATCCTACTCCCAAGTGGATAGCCAGCAGAGCCCGCATAGCCCGCATACACCGAAAGAGGCTCTCGAACAAGCTGAGCAGATTTTTCAAGAAACGGTCAACAAGCATCAGAATAACAGTACCATTCCTGCCATGTGGGGAAGACGTAACTCAGCAAGCCTGCTACTAAGCAAGACAGCCACAAATAGATCATCTGGCGCCCCAAAAGATTCCGATACACTTCTTCACGATGGCGATGAAGCTGTTTCCGGGGACAAAGCAGACTGGGAGACGGTTGGCGGCAACAGCCCAAATTCGAAACGTCATGAGTCATTGAGCAGTATCGCAGACTACAGCAGCAGCGAAGGTACCCGGAACAGTCTCGGATTAGACTCGGATGGCTCTCTTCCGTCATGGGCTAAACAAGCTCAGTTACCAGCTCGGTCGAGCTACTACAGTCATCCTAGTCCGATACATAGCCAACACCCCCACCCGTTCGGTTCATCACCGCCTCAATTGAGAACTCAGGCAAGCGTTCGCACTGCACCGGACACATCGTCTCCTTCGTTGGCTACCAGCCCTCCTGCGTCGAGAACAGCGCCATTGTTTCGATTCTCCACTCATGCCGATAATGTTCTGGGACGTGGTGCTGTTGAGCAGCCATATGCATACGCCCCTTGGGCAGATCCGTACGCTTTTAGCGACAAGGAGACGCAAGAACTGCTGGCTTCTGGTCCTAATGATAACATCATTATCAATGAACCGCGTGTTCCGCCTAAGAATCCGGCCCGTCAACATCATCGATACCGAAGCGATGATACCATACCGACCTCGAGTACCGCTAACGAGAACGTTTTCGACAGCAGTCCTGTTGCTCTACAACGCCAGAACACATTCGAAAAGCTTTCCGTTGTTGGGCCCAAGGGTAATCTGACTGGCACTCCTCGCGGGACTGGCATGCACGAGACTGGTAGCAGTGTCGCAGATCACAGTAGCCCTGGTAGTAGGCTCAGCTCAAGCGTTGGTCGCCAGAGCTTTGGTTCAGACTACAATGGTTTCTACGCTTCACCATTCCCAGCCACAGGCAGCGTAACTCGCATTAGCCAATCTCGGCCAACGTATATTCCGACATCTGGCCGAACCCCATCAGAGACCAGTTTCCTTCCCCACACAAAGGAATCGGAAACACTGCGAGAATCATGTCCACTTCCCGGGGCTCGCAAACACCTTCGTAATTCGACCACGTTCCCGCGCTCGCAACGTCGCACAAGCCGATCTGCTGTGCCAGGGCAAACAAAATTACGCCAGATGTTTCTCGCACCAGAAGCAGCTCGATCCACTGTCTCGACTCAAGGTACCCATATCACGCACTTCCTGGCCGGCAGCGAACGTCCGTCTACTAGTGACACAAACACGCCCCTTAGGACCTCGTACCCCAGTCTCCATATCTATCCTACGACTGCTCGTACCAATATCGCACACGAACACTCTCCCCACCTTCTCTGTGTAGAGCGGAAGCCTAACCCAGAGGATGAAGCACGGCGACGTAAGCTGTCATGGTACATCTTCGCAGCTTTCTGCCTCGTGCCACCCTGCATTCTTCTCTTCCGTTTCTTTGCAGACAATATCATCGCCTCGTTCACGGAAGGCCACCTGGGTTACTGTACGCCACACTCAAAGAGAGTAGCGCTTATTGCCGGTATCGCCGTTAACGTTGGCCTTGTCACTGCAATCCTGGTCCCGGTCCTGATCGCACATGCACTGAACGCTGTATGATCAGAGGTCATCGGGGCCAGCGGAGAAGAGTAAGTAGTTTGTCGTTTGGTCATAAAGTACGCTAACAGTAATCAGTAGCAATGCTAGCGATATTGAGCACAGTCAGGAGCGCACTGAACGGTATCAACGAAATGCACCCACTATGGTGTGACAAGACATGTTAAAAGTCTTATATTGGCACTCACTGCACATTCGTGGATTGAGTTGCCAGCAACGCCTTTGTTGCTGTATTCATTCCCTCTGAGTAAGTCCTTTTCTTTCTCTATGTTATGTTTTGCATGAACTGGCGTTCTTTTTTTTTTTTGCATTGGACAGAGTCATCCGGCTCATCTTACCCGTGGAATGTGTTTGTATGGATGCATAATTTGGCGACGGGGAACACTTTGGCGTGTATGTGGGTTAGGATCGGCATTTCAGGTTCGGTTATCATAGCTCGCTGGCATTTTCCTCCAATGTCTTCCACGCTTCGTCGTAATCAGTCTGGTTTGGCGATATGGTCTTGGAGCATGTCGGGGGCGCTTTTGGGGGATATTGTCTACTAAGGCGAACGATACGAAGAAAGTAGTAGCAGTGCTGCTCCAGTGGTTGTCTGATGCTTGTGTTTTTACAAGATGATACCTTTCTACTTAAGAAGGAAATTTACTAGGCGAATCATGTAATTCTTTCCCACGCCATACCTATGTGCTTCTACGATGATCGGCTGTTTCCGCAGATATAAAGATTGCCGCGTTGTGTGAGCGTTTATGAGTTGACTTTGAGAACTCTCGTCCAGCCCATCGAACAGCAGATGCAGGTTAAGACTCGCTTCATTATCATACGTGCGAGCTCATTCGAACGTCCGGTGCGTTCTCGTCGCAGTCGATTGTTTGTATGCTGTCTTGATGATTGGTGGATATGTCGATGGAAATTGATTTTGGTGTACTATGGGGTATGCTCTCGTCAGACGTGCTACGTGCAGCTGGAGGCGACTGCATCATAGTTTGCTGAGTCTTGCGTGACCTGATCTCTTTCCACACAAATCGAGCCTGGTTGACTTGTCGTTTTATGGTGATGGTCATCTTTGATACAGCCCATGCCACAAGGATAGCTATCAGTACCAACTGATAGTTTATACTACCCGCTACAACCATCAGTGCGGTGGCTAATGCACTAAAAACTAGGGATATAATCGCGACTTTCCTGCTCACTTTGGACTGGACTTGATCCGTAGGGTCTCCGAACGGGTTCGAGTCGTCAGTTTGTGCCGATTCCGCTGTTCGGACCTGTAGCTCGGATGTAGTATTGTTCGGAGGTGATTTTTTTGGGTCATCTATCGGCTGCGAAAGTTCATGGCTTTGTGGAAGGTGGAGTCTAGACGATGTGCTTTGCTCTTGACTTGGTCAGTAGAGCGGCCATGAGATCATGGAAGGTACTCACCATTTATGAGTTCGGTTAGAGTAATTAGTGGAAGGACGAGTAAACCTATAGCGACGACTTGACCGAAGCCAAGTGTTGTAGTCTCATCCTCGACGTCGGTACCCCATGCATCAACACCCCATACCGCTTGGATCGTATTTGTCGTCCCATAAGCAAACTGGAACGCCCATACAGGAAGTTCAGAAAGATACGCCTCATGATACTGCTCGAGGAAGTACCACACCGATATGCGTGTTTTGGTGTTCGATGGTCTGATTGCGATACCATAAAGACGACGCGCATCTGCGACGATGTTTGCGGACTCTGATATGGAAATGTTGTTCGTCCAGCTCCAGAAGTACATTGACATGCGATCTACCATTGTCGTAGTAACATGGCGGTGGTGAATGGCTTCCGGAGCAATCAATCGAGCCATAGCTGAAAGATGTTTGCCCCATAAGATTATCAATACAGGGACGACATTGATCATGAGGGTGCTGATCTGCAAAAGTCCAGGTTGTGACCTCCAATCCAACAATAAGCAGTGGACGATCTGATCCTGCCACGCCGGCAGATGATCCACGAGAAATGCGAAGGTAAAGAAGACAAGAAATATAAGCGTGAAAGTTATACGACAGTACCTGACCCAAATGTGCTCAACTAGGTAGTTTCGTAGTACATCGAGTGATAAACTGTGCGTGGTAGCTGAGAAATAAGCTAATGATGTAACTATGTGCCACTCACGTTGAGATATGACACATTGACTTGAAAGCGCAGCAATCAGTATGGACAATCCAGTTATGAGTTGTTGGTCGCTCAGCATCTTGATGAAGCTGACAAGAACATCGCTGCGCCCCTGTCGTCTCGACATCTGTATTGGTATTGGGGTTTCCGCGCCGACATGCCTTTTATCTCGCTTGAAGGGCTTCTTGAGCAGTTTGAGTGCATGCTGATCAGTTTCCTGTAGCAGACCTGTAGGTAAGGTTGCAGTCAAGTACCCCCAAATCACCACTAAGAAAACGACCAAAGCGCTGAAGTAGAACGATACGAGGACCTGTCTCTCAATCAGCACAAAACTTGAGTTGAGAATGCATCACTCACCCCAATACCTGCGATATCTGCGTTGAACTTCAAGTCCTTTGTGCACTTTCCACCGTTTCGGATGTTGCCACACGCAGCGCAATCCAGGGAACTACCGCAGTTGCCCATGGTCGTAGTTGGTGAATCAGTCTGCGGATAAACTGCTTTGCTGCTGCGTGAGACTAGGGTCGCCGGTTCGCGTCTGACGGCAATCCTTGAGGGGCTGAGAAATATCGGCAGCTACAACGGTAGATCTCAGCAGTAGCTAGGATGTGTGACGACCACAATGTCATCATTAGTGAACTGAAGAATGTGATGTTACGGCATGGTCTTGTTACACGATGTGTCGAAAGGAGCTGTGGAATGAACTTATGGGTTGTTCCCCATCAGCATCTCTGCAATCTGCTCAACAAGGTTGGACTTACGTGAAATGAGGCCAGGCCGTGCACGCTACATGTAGGGCCGCATAGCTGCGATTGGATGATCCAGGCCCCAAAGTCTATTTCCGACACTATGTGCTAGCCCAGCAATGGATTTAAGATTTCGATAGGTACCTCGACTTTATTAGTTGATATGCAAATGATCTGCGTACCGGTAACGTAAATATCGCCTGAGGTCACGCATCGGAATGCAGTGAACACCGTTACAGTCCGATGCTAAATGATCGTACGGCTCGTCTTTATGTACCAAAGGATTGCGCTGTTTGGACAGACTCCTAGAACGTCGGTTTGGGAAAGCGTGGAAGTGGAGAAGGATTCTCGAGCAGGTAAAATGGCTCGCTTCCTCATAAGATGCTGAGTAGCGCGCCTGCTAAGGAGGGTAGGCGGTCGCAAGAACGGACAATATGCTTTTAGGTCTGCTGGAGGCCTGATTTGTATGGCAAAAATCATTGGTTTGTGCTTCGGGTAGACGGCCGCTTTGTAAATTCGCACGTCTCGGGGGTGCAAAGCCATGTTAAGACACTATTTCAATCAGAAAGAGAAAAACAAACAAACCCGTGCATAGCTGTCAGCTTCGCAACAAACCTTCATTCCTCCGTATGCTAGTGCATCCGCCTGCGTTCAGGCAGTGTATGTATAGCCCACAAGCTGTCCAAGGGAAATCGCGGAATGACGAGATGGTGTAACATTTACAGAGATACAACTCAAAGCATCTGGCAGCATCTGGCCGCATTATGGTACACGAGAGACTGATGTGCTGAGGGTTGCGATCGAGAAATCCTCCCTTCAAATATGGGAGGATGTGTTTTCCGTCGTACCGGCACCGGCGGATCAAACCCAATATCCGCTTCAGCATCTTTCTTGCATGGGAAACCAAATTCTACTTTTCTATCTCTCGCATTCGATCTCTGCACGGTTGTGCCTACTAATTGTGTGGGCGAGATGATTCGTACACTTGTGTCGCTCGGTTGCGCCGAATAATCCGTGATTTGACTGCTTTGTTGCAGGATACTGAGTTGAGAACTAGATCGCTGTTTACGACACTCTTGGGCCTTCTAGGTGATTGGCTCTGGCGAAAGGCTGTGTCAGCTGGGTTACAAGGTGTTTGAAGGCTGGGTCGGTAAAGCAGGTCGCATATTGAGCCAGCGACCCAGAGCGATCGCGTCATCGCTGCAGGTATACACGCAACATCTGCATCTGTCATCAATGCCGTCATATGCTTTGAACGAGCCTGTGCCAACAAGAACTGTGGTCCCTCTTGATGTTACGCATATGAAAAAATTGGAAGTTGGGGAATGAGGAAAGTACTGGCGATCGTGACGTCAGCGATCATGCGAGTCATGCTAAGAGGCAGCCGTTATCGTGACTGCAATGCACATGTTGATGAGAGATATCTAGAAATAGTGTTACTGTGCAAGCTTAGTAGGCTGAAATCACAAATTCAGATTGCAAATCATTCCCTGCATCACTGGTTTCTGGCACAGATCGTCATGGTTGTTTGTTCATCAATTCATTGAAAACAGCGATAACGCTGGCTCATTAAAAGCCATATTGGGTATTTAACATCTTACTCCTTGCTCAAGTCCGCAATCTGCAGCACAGCCTTACCAAAGTTCTTGCCCTCTAGCATGCCAAGGAAACCATCGACACCGTTGTCGATGCCCTCAGTAACGCTAATCTTGGCCTTGAAGGTGCCCTCGCTGAGCCACTTCTGGAGCTTCTCCTGGTGATCCTTGTGGTGCTTGGGGCCCATGTTGTCGTCGCTGACAATGAAACCACGCATAGTGAGGCGCTTGGCAACGACTTGCATGAGGTTACGGATGGGGTATTGCTCGCCGGGCTTAAGGTTGTATTGCGAGATCATACCGCAGGCAACAATGCGACCGAAGTTGTTCATGGCGTTGATGGCAGCCTCGAGTTGCTCACCACCGACGTTCTCGTAGTAGATGTCGATACCGTTAGGGGCGAGGCGGGCGAGCGCGTCGGCAGCCTTCTCCTTCTTGTAGTTGAAGCCATGGTCGAAGTTGAGCTCCTTGGTGATGAATTCGAGCTTCTTGTCGTCACCGACACTTCCAATGACAGTAAGACCTTCGTGCTTGGCGAGCTGGCCAACTAGTTGACCGACGGCACCAGAAGCGGCGGAGATGAAGATGGTTTCACCCTTCTTCGGTTGGCCGATCTCGTAGAAAGATGACCATGCGGTAAGACCAGGCATACCGAGGGGGCCGAGGAAGTACTTAGGGTCGAGGTTGTAGGGGTTCTTGAGCTCGATGCAGTTGGCGACAGCATCCTTGTCGAGAACGGAGTACTCCTCAATAGGGCTGATTCCCATGGTGATAAGGGTTTGGCCCTCCTTGAACTTGTCGCTGTTTGACTTGACGACCTTGAAGATGGAGCGGTTGGTGATGGGCTTGCCAAGCTCGAAAGGAGGAGAGTAGGACTTGACGTCGGGAGCACGCATGCGTCCCCGCTGGTAGGGGTCGAATGAGGCATAGAAGTTCTTCACGAGCAGAGCACCCTCTGGGAGCTGCTGCTCGAGGTCGATATCGCGGGCCTCAACAGCGAGGTCCTGCCCCGCCTTTGGCCATCCCTCTGGCACGTTCTTGAAGATGACTCCCTTGTTCTGAACCATGGTGATGTGTATGTGTCGTGTTTGTTGAGTATTAGAAAGGGATATGTGGGTATCTTGGACAATGTTGTTATAAGGTAGTGTGATAGTTTGATGAAGAGGGAGACGTCAGTAGCAACGAGCACCTGGCTATATAGCTACAGCAGTTTCTAGCTTAGAAATTGTGATTTCACCGCCGAGAGAAAGACCCTGATTGCATCATGAGGGTCCGGAGGCGCCGTCCAGGAAAGCCTTGCCGTAACGTTGCATATCGGGCAGTTACCGGCAAGGGGCGCAACAATTCGTCCGACTCTAGAAGCCACTCTTCGGTCGAGTGTCTCGACGCGGGGCACGAAACTTGTCGCAAATGCAGAATCTTCGAGACAACGTTGAACGACGCGAAGCCATGACGAGGGTCGCGCCGGGAGTCATACGCATTGGGGAAGGTGCCCGCAGCGCTGGCAAGGCTGAGCCGAGGCAAGTGGGGCGAGATTGGTAATGGAGGGGTTTAACTGAGAGTAACCATGGGTTCAATGCACCCAGCGGTGAACATGGCAAAACAAAGTGTTGAGACGCAAGGCCTGAAGGACCGTCGAGACATGCTCATGATTTGTCCCTTGCATTTACAATCACTTCAGAAAACAACATCGAGAAGAGAGAGTCGTCTGGAAAGACGTTGTACGAGGAGCTTCATAGGAATCGTGTACAATTTGTCTGACATCCAGACGTGCATGCGGCGATAACTCTCGAGCTTATATCCGGCGAACATGCAAAGGCATGTTCCGAGTATTCGTAAACCATACTAATTCTTCAGGACCGTACCACGACTACCCCTAAGATGTCTGACCGGGCAAGCCTGGAGGCAGATATCGGCGCCTCTAATAAGCGCAACCTAAAACAACCCACTTCTCGTGAGACAGTATACCGCACGCTATCTTCAACAGCTTATGCGGAGATGGATGTATCGGGTATTGACGCTATCATGCGGATGCTGAGCGGCTCTCACTCGTCGTCCTCCTCTTCTCTGCTATCCACAAAGAAGTCCCCCTCTTCCTCCTCAGGCTCCATAACCTTTTCTATCAACTTCAGTGTCTGCCGTAGAGGTAGGCCAACAACGTTGTCGTATGATCCTTCTATACGCTCGATGAGAACAGAACCAGCTGTCTGTATACCGTAGCCGCCCGCTTTGTCGTTACCGTCGCGTGTTCTGACGTATGCGAGGATAAGCTCATCGGTAACTGTGCATGTTAGCGCTCAAGTCAATCGTAGCCAGAGTGGAAGAAGTACCAGTAGAGTCGAACTTGACCGTCGTCTCCTCCACATGTGTTTCCATAGCATATCCCGGGTCTACTGCTGATTCTAATGGCTTCATCACCGCCACAGCCGTCATGACTTTGTGCTCGCCCTCATCCCGCAGCATCTTCAGTGTTGCTATGTGGTCTGCCTCACTCTTTGGCTTCTCTAGGATTTTGCCAGCGTGCGACACTACGATGGTGTCGGCGGCAATGACTATGGCTGGTTCGCCGCGCTCGCGGTTGTTGATCTCGGTCTTGTATACATCGTGCGCTTTAGCCGACGCGGTTTCGAGGACGTAGTTCAACGCGCCGAGCGAATGGTCTAGGTTTTCGGCGAACTTAGAAGGGCATACGTCAATCTTTGTAAGGCCGATCTAAAAGAAGTCAATCTTTAATGAGTCTAAATTCAGGTGGATATGTCCTTACCTGCGCGAGAAGTTGTCGTCGCCGTGGTGACGCACTCGCAAGCACAACTCTAGACCCCCTCAATTCATTCAGTGCTGGCAGGTTGAGTGGTGGAGGAGGTCCCGGTGGAGGCCGTTTGCCTAATGGTACGCCCGACGCCGATCTGTTGTGTGGCAATGGTGACTTTCGTGCATCTTCGTACGAGGGCGGAGGTTCAGACGGTAGTAGGGGCTCTTTGACGTCCATTGTGGCAGTTAAATTATGTGTAGTGATCGGACAGTGTTTGGAGACGCAAATTCAACAGTAAAACCCTAAAGAATTCAAAAGGGGCTGCTGGTGTAGTGATGTTAACGATAATCTCAGAAGGAGACATCGAGTTCGGAATGCTCAAAAGGTCCAAGCTCCTGCGCCACTTGCCTCCCCCGACGCCGCTCAACTGTGCAACTGCAGCGCAGATCTCTACTTCAGCTCTTCCTCGAAACTGGCACCACGTTTCATGACGATCCATGTACTCCAAGAAACAACACAACCTCCGAGGAAGATTTCTGAATGTATTAATACTAACGATAGTACTAGGCAACGCGTACGCGACGCGTTTTAGGGCCGAGTGTCATGACGATCAACGTACTCTGCCAGAGTATGAGCATTGGTGAATATGTAGTGTCCAGATCTTAGCCTATCAGCTTCTTCTCATCAACATGAAACATCTTGATGATTGAGTCGTATGCTTCTTCAAAGTCGATCTTGTCTATCTCCTTTTGCATCTTCGCCCTGCTCGATACGATCTCTTTGGCAATGACGGCCCAGTCCAGAGTGTCACCATCCACGGTCGCTCTCGCATTGCTGTCTACTTGTATTGGCAACAGCCTGCCATCCTTCTTCCTCACAATACCATCGACAATGACGGTCTCGATGTCTGCCGGGCTCGAGTGTAGGATAATCGCAGCGACTGGGTCATGTTGTGCCGCGCCAACCATGCTGGGACTGAGAGCATCAAAGATGGTCAGATCTGCCTTGAAGTTTTCTGCGATGCGGCCAATCTCGCCACTCATGTTTACAGCCTCTGCACCTTTGATCGTTGCCAGATTGAATGCGGCCTCGACGTTGAGACTTTCTGGAAGTGGTTCGGGGATCTTGTCTTGCTTCATATGGTATTCGTTATAATGGTTACGCGCGTCTTGCAGGCCGAGCCTTGCCTCAGAAATGATGGAACCGGCAGTGCACGAATGGCAATCAACGCCAAGCGCGGCGTTGTCCTGCAATCCAATCGAATTGCCGCTTATCCCTCCATCTTGAAAGGACGCATCGAAGCAGTAAGGTCTCGCCATGGCCATCTGGAGTTCGGTGCTTGGAGTGGAACTGACGAACGCCCCAGCGGCCTTCAAGAGCTCGGCATCAGCCTTCAAGATTGTACCACCATGCGAAATGATGATCTTCTCATCCAGTAGATCGAGATTTGATGCTTCTTGTATCACGTTGAGCCCCAGTGATACAGACCCGTGGCAGGTAATTGTCTTGACACCCTTCGCATTCACTCTGGCAAATATACCCTTGACCATGTCCGCGGGTAGAAACCAGAAATCGAAAGCGAAGCCGAGGGCTACTCGTCCATCTCCAAAAGGCCCGCTGTCGGCAAGTTCGTCAAAGGTTTGCATCACCCAGTCTTCGAAAGGATTTGGATTGAAGGTGAGGGGATTGAATTGGGTGATGAGCATCAATGGGGTGTAGCAGAATACAGATCGGATGCCAGAGGATGCAGTAGCCGCAATGGCAGACCTGACGTGCTCCGGTGAGCGGGTGATGTGTGCATGATCAACCACCGTGGTTGTGCCAGCAGCTATGCTCTCCAGCATACCTGCGAGTTGGCCGTAGAAGACATCTTGGGGCGAGTATTGAAAATTCTGTGAGTTGCCTATCCTTCGTCAGAGAGAGACGTTATGATTGAGCCTCAAACTTTACCAGTAACCATGTATTTTATCAGTCCCTCGTTGGCATGTCTGCCCTTGAGCTGCGTTTGCCAACCATGCCGATGGGTATCGACGAAGCCTGGGCTGATGATCTTGTTGGTGCAATCGATGGTTTCGACTCCCTGGGACGACGTAATCTCAGGCGCAACTCTTTTAATCCTGCCATCTTCTACAAGTATATCGGATCTGGTAGGGACTATATGGTTGTTCGCGTCATGAATCAGGGCGATACCGCCTTGAAGCAGAAGAACGTTAGGTGCCATTGCAAGGGTTGCAAGATCCAGGAGTAGTTGCTGCGCTCGCAAAGCTGTTCAATGCCAGTATTTCCCTTCGATAGGGTTGAACATCTGCTGGTAGTTCCGTGCTCTGTGTAAAGTTGAAGTTCTTCAGCTCTTATTTAATGAGGTGAGGTTCTGCCCGATCTCTTGACAAAGTGAGATGCCGCCCGGCTTAAGGCTGAGGTCATCATGAACAATTGGCCCATAGCCCCTCATCTCGCTATTATCGGGATGCGAAGAGAGCGAGGACCGGGTTTACATGGCGTTAAGGTAGCCGTTGTACAAACACGAACTGGCTTTAACAAAACAGAGTAAGCATCTTCAACTTGGATTGTTGCCTGGCTAGCTTCTAGAGCGGTCATGGGAACTGTGCTTCGATCTAGTGGTTTCTCATAACTCGAAAGCTGATCTAAGAGTTACACTACAGATCCTTTGTCGACATCAAAGCATGTTGTGGCCGCATGTTGGTGTTGAGATCAGCCGGTGTTAGTTTTCGGACAGGATCGATGACGTAATCGGGTGGTCCAGTAGCGCATCTTCTTTCGCGCGATCGCCCGAGGCTCCTTTTCCTACGATGGATCCGCGACGTACGTCTACCCTTCGCGACGCCCTGTTTGCGCATCTCGGAGACCATTATTGGGGACCTATCCGTCGTGTCAACAACTAGTTATGCCACTGACAGCAAAGGATGCTTCAACCTGCAATTTCACTAACATTTGCCAGATCACGCATTATCGATCGTCGTTTGCGTTATCAAGAACCTACAAGCACGCCATGCTTCACCTCCCTTCTTTCCACAATCATTTATCTTGATTAAGATATACCAAGACACTTGCCATTTCCAACACTCGTGTGCACGCCCATTGCTTGACCGGGCAGTGACCGAGATGAAATCCCACGAGAGACCATAGTCAGGCCGTCGTGGAAAGGCCGGGGCACGATCTAGACAAACTTCAGAATCTCCTCGGCGATGTATAACCAGTGGCGCATAGGGCTGGGTTGGCCAGGTGTCTGGGACAAACCGCCACTCGCTTCTCCCAGTCTTATGGGGATTGGGCTTTCTACTGCGTCGCGATAGCCGCATACCATGCAGGTTCCTTGCTGTTCCAGGCGTTCGGTGCCTACCTGATCTCTATCGTTTGCCCTTCTCGCGTGCCACGGACTGTGCCGAAGACCAATGGCATCCAAGAGTCTAGGATAGCTATACATTGGAACATACGGGCTGAAAAGGCTAGCACGGGCTAGCCTGTAAGTAATCTGAGGATGTGCTTCTTTTACTGAAGACCATGTCGATTCACCGACCGGCGCGAACCTGACCAATGCTTCGGTTGTCGTACTATTGCGATGTGAATTTACGTAACACGGGGGTTTTCAGCGAGTTCAGTTGGATGCTTCGTCCTAGGATACCATCAAGTTGAGCTCTTGACTGCGCAGCATTCAAGCTTGAGTCAATCTGAAGCCTGCCTTTTACTGGAAACGAGGCCGGAAACGATACACAGACCATCGACCTCATAATCACACTTGTAACCTCGCCAACACTCAGTTCTTGCAGAGTATCCCGGAGCTTCGCTGCAAGTCCCCCAAACGCGTATACACTGGCTTCCTGGTTCGCGTTGCCATCAGAACATTGTGGCAACCCCCACATTCGGACGGCACGCCCCGAGCTTCGCGAATGCGTACGGCAGGGCATGCTTAGAGAGACTTTTAGTCGGTTGCAACACATTAGCTCTTCCAATCTGCCAGCTTGTATGTGACAACCTACATTGCCGCTCTTCGGGCGCTAGTGTGGCTGCAGGCATCTGATGCCAATACCGCCAACCGAGATGTCGCAATCCTTGGCATCAATTGCGAACGTTGAACGAACAGTACGCAGACGCCAGCCTCCGCTGAGATACTGCAAGACTGGGCGTACCCACCCCCTCTTTGTCTTGTTAGCAATGCTCCGACCACAACGGTGGAACGTGTTAGATCAAGAGGAGATCGTATGAATTTGTTGCATGATGATATGTTTGAACACTTACGAAGTAAATGTACTGCAGCCATGGCCAACCAGCGACCCCGGATCTCCCACGCGATCCACCAACGCCTCAAACGCCATATCTCCGCCTTCGGAAGCCCAGACCTTACAAGCTCAACGCTTCGTGCAGCCCAGCCTGCCAAATTCCTCGTCTGCCATCTGCCAATATTTAGGATTTTACTCAACGCAAGCACGTCATGATCGGGCGCTGTTCTGTGATGGTGTTGCTGCACTGTGATTTGTACGGAATGCTTCATTCACGTAGCCTGCCCACGCCAAGCTACATGTGCCGTCTTGTTGCACGTCAAGTTCTTGGAATGGCGTCGGGCCATCGCAGATGCGGCTGTGCCTCCGCCTTGAATCTGGAACGATATGGTACTTCTATTTGACCGAACTTGACGTTTGCCCATTACTTCTCCACGGGCGCTCATCCACAAAGCGTAGTATAAGGTCACCCTCTTCTCTCGATCTGTCTCAGCGCCAGGTCTTACAGATACTCCAATTCAACATCCGCGATTTTTGGGGGTTATTTTGATTCCATCTGGAAGCTTCCTTGTCACCTTGAATCACCCGCTGTTCACGGAACCTCGGGAGCCCAGGGCACAGCCTTCACTGACAACGTCCGCCAACATGGCTTCAGCTGGTCGCAACGCGGCCAAGGTCCTTGGAATAAATCTTGACTACCGGAAAGAGCCCGAGGTGTCTGGCGCCGCGTCAATATCTTCTGTGGAAACATGTGAATATTGTAGGACTTATCGATCGGCAACAGCTAACGAAATTCAGACGTCGAACGTGAACCTACCGCGATAGAATGGCTCTCTCAGTTCAAGCCGTCAGCGGCCGCCACAACGCGTTACCTGAGGAGTTTGTTTCCCTTCTTGGACTGGATATTCCACTATAACTTGACATGGCTATTTGGAGACTTTATTGCCGGTTGTACCGTTGGATTTGTTGTCATTCCTCAAGGCATGGCATACGCTCTGCTTGCGAAACTGCCTCCCGAGTATGGCCTCTACACAAGTTTTGTTGGCTTCATCCTCTATTGGGCCTTCGCTACATCCAAGGATATCACCATTGGTACCGTCGCTGTCATGAGCACCATCGTCGGAAATATCGTTACCAAAATCCAGGAAAAACAACCAGAGATTGAAGCTGTGGACATTGCTCGAGCTCTATCCGTCATCGCTGGTTCTGTTCTACTTTTTATCGGTCTTACACGGCTTGGAAGGATCGTCGAGCTCATTCCTCTTGTTGCTATCACCTCATTCATGACGGGCGCTGCTATCTCGATCGGAGCCGGCCAGGTCCCAGCACTAATGGGTATATCTGGCGTCAACACACGCGGTCCTACATATCTGGTCGTCATCGACACTCTTAAAGGCCTTCCACGCACAAAGCTCGATGCTGCTATGGGTCTGACTGCTCTGTTCATGCTATACGCCATCCGTATATTCTGCAACTTCATGTCGAGGAAGCAGCCTTCAAAGCAAAAGGTCTGGTTTTTCGTAAGCACACTGCGAATGGCTTTCGTCATTCTGCTATACATTATGATCAGTTGGCTTGCCAACAAAGACATCAAAGGCCTTCATAATGCTAAGAACGATGTCAAGATGGCGAAGTTCAAGATCCTCGGTCGTGTACCAAGGGGCTTTCAGCATGCTGGTGCTCCGAACATGGACACGAAGCTCCTCTCGGCAATTGCACCCGATATCCCGGTCACGATTATCGTATTGATTCTCGAACATATCGCAATCTCGAAGTCTTTCGGACGAATCAACAACTACGTCATCAACCGTAAGCAACAATAACAACTATCTGATTACATGAGTGTACTAACCACATATTCTAGCCTCGCAAGAACTGGTTGCTGTGGGCTTCACGAATGTGATCGGTCCATTCCTTGGCGCCTACCCTGCTACCGGGTCATTCTCGCGTACTGCTATCAAGTCGAAAGCAGGTGTCCGTACCCCACTTGCTGGTATCTTCACAGCGATCATTGTCCTCCTGGCTTTATACGCTCTAACCGCAGTCTTCTTCTACATCCCTTCAGCCGCTCTCGCTGCCGTCATCATCCACGCTGTCGGAGATCTCATTACTCCACCCAACGTTGTTTTCCAATTTTGGGAAACGTCGCCTTTGGAGGTTGTCATCTTCTTCGCGGGTGTCTTCGTAACAGTTTTCACGAATATCGAAAATGGTATATATGTTACCATTGCAGCTTCATTCGCACTTTTGCTTTGGCGCCAGCTGTTCACCCACGGTGCCATTCTTGGCAAAGTCCGCATCTATCGCGCCACCCCGGAGACGATGGCCAACAAGCAAGACAGCCATTTCATTCCAGGCTCTGATGCTTCTGTCCGAGAAGCCTTTATTCCAATTGACCGCAAGGATGGCTCAAACCCGCTTGTTGATATTGAGTCTCCGTATCCCGGTATACTGATCTACCGCTTCACTGAGGGCTTCACATATCTCAACCAACAAGGTTACATGGACGAAATTGTGCATCACGCGCAGACAATCTCTCGTCCAACAGAGCTTAACAAATACACAAAGATCGGTGATCGACCATGGAACGACCCAGGTAGGTGGACATATGCATTGGGTGCGATTCAACGTACTGACGTTTACAAGGTCCGCGTCGCGGAAAGCAGCTGAATCTCGATGATAACCGACCTATCCTCCGTGCGATCATTCTGGACTTTAGCGCTGTCAACAATGTCGATGTTACGTCGATTCAAGGTCTCATTGACGTGCGCGCACAACTAGATCGTCATGCAGCACCCGAAACTGTAGAATGGCACTTCGCGTCGATCAACAGCCGCTGGACTAAGCGTGCTTTGACAACTGCTGGCTTTGGTTACATCGACCGCGAAAGGTTCGCAGCACGTCAGCATTGGAACCCAGTATTCAGCTATGCACCTCTCGATAATTCGGGCGCGAAGCTACACGACGAAGAGGCGCAGGATGAAATCCATGCCGTCAACAGGAGCAAGGGACTACCGAGTGGCAAGGTCACCACTGTGCATGGACAGAACAGACCGTTCTTCCATATTGATGTAGCGGCCGCTGTTGAGAGTGCTATTGCCGGCGTTAATGGGAAGCTGGCACAGGTCAGCTCAGGAAGCTCACACGAGCATGAGGTCGGGCAGACGGAGTTGACGACCAAACATGATTAGTTAGGTCAACGAATGTATCATTATCGTTCTTTGTGTCATAAGTTCATATATATACAGCGAAAGGCGCGTCTAAGCGTGCTTAGCATCATCATCCATCATCTACTGCCTAACGCAGCCGGTCTTGTCGGTCAAAGCTTTGGGGCAAGTAACCTCCTTGAAAGAAACGCTTGGGTTATCCGCGTTCTTGAACCAATCGAACCTCCATTCGCAACCTGGCTTGAGCTTCTGAGGGAAGCTTTCGCACTCGGAGCGGGAGGAGATACCGCCGTATTGCTGGCCCCATCCGTTGGGTGGCGCACCGAATTGTGCAGTGCAGGCGTTGAAAATGCCTACGCCACCACCAGGAATAGCGAGATCGAAGTGGTTGTCTCCCAAGTCGCCGCCAGTGTTGGTGGTTTGCACGACCATCTTCTTGCCTGAGACAGGGCCGGATGTGAATGTCAGTCTAGAAGAAAGATACATTAGCCTTGATTCTTCGGCATCCTAAAGAGCACTCAGATAGACTCACTCATAGCATGCACAGCACCAGTTGCTCTCAGTCTTGCCAGAAAGCTTTACTGCTGCAAAACCGTATGCAAGGTCGTCGCTGACCGCCCAGGGTGACTGGTCAGTGCACATATATGCTGACCCGCCGTCACATCCACTCTTTGTGTTCACGTCGGAGAGTGGGTTGTCGTTCTTGTCGCAAGTCTTGATCGGTGAGCTCACGGGAGCTTTACCAGACCATGCGCAAGAGCCTTTGCAGCAGTCCCAGTATCGTGTGGTCTTTCCAGTGGACTGAGCGTCAACGGTTGCGAGGCCGGTGGCGAGGGCGAGGAAAGTAAGTTGCTTGATGGAAACCATGACGGGCAGTTGTTTTCGATGATTGTCCTTAGTATCGGTAGTTGCTTTGCTGAGCTTGTGGGTGTAAGTAAAACTGATTGATGGCGAGGCATCATAGGCTTTTTATATATATGTGTGCCAAGTTCTTCTCCAGAGAAAATGCCATGACGAAAGTCTTCTAGACTCCCTTGCACCCCACAAATTGCCTACTATGCCTGACCTTGAGCTCTTCCCGCCACCAGGTACACCGCATATGTGGTATGTACTAACAGCCCTAACATCCCCTTGCAACCGGTGGCTCAAGACGGTAGCCGAGATGATTAATGGATCGTCAAGCAAGCCCACCACGTAACCACCTCATCACTGACGGTGCATACTGTGGAATCAGCATCAAACATGCTCGTGTGGTAGTTTTGTGTTCAAGTTGAAAAGCGGTCAGTCGGGCTTATGGTGGTAGTGGACGAGCAGTGGACGAGTAGTGTACAACACATGTTACACTAGATTGGAATTTTCATATATTGCGGCAGTATTGCGGCAGCCGCTTACTCGCTGGCTAAGTGCCGCAACGCAATTCCTGGATCATCAGTTTTGACGAGACGTCCGGAGATTTTCTAGCTAGAAGCAGTGTATGGCGGGGTGCATACACGAGCTTCACAACATTCCGCAAAAAGCTTGATTCCACAAGCTGAGGATTGAGGTGCCTGCTCCTGATTGTGGTACGAGAATGTCGTTCCTGGGTGATTAGGGAGTTGAAGGACAAAGAAAGTCTTAGCGCAGTTTCAGAATCATACCGATATCCTTCCTAGCACGGAAGACGGGAAATAACGAGGGTGTGGCATGCTACTAAATGAGAGGTGCTCATTGGCCGATCTGTATATTTAATTTACTGAGGCGTCATTAATCGGCTGGTCGGAATGCAGATGAGGTACAATGACGGCAGTCTTCACGAGCATGAAATTGTGTCTGGAATGTATGCAGTCATTGAGAGAATTGGTAGATGTCATGCAAGCCATTCAGGTACCATGCCTCCTTATTGGTATTCGGAACGCACTTTACCAAACCCATCAGAGGCAATGTGCAGAGTAATGTAGGGAGGCACTTACCTAGCATAATCGCTGCTCACTCAGTCTGACATTTGACGGTGTGACTACTGTCCAAAACTTCGTGGCGCCCCACTGTCTACTCGGCTACACTCCGCTCGTCCCGCTAACCCCCTGCGCACGGAACGAAGATTCTCTCTGTATTCCGTAATCTTGATTCCCGTCTTGGGCATTGTTCGGCGAAGTACAAAGTACTCGGTTTTGCTGTTGATACGAAAGGGTTGTCGTTGCGGCGCAACTTGGGCAGCGGTTCGATAGACTACGCTGCATTTGCTCAATCACCCCAGAAAACGGAAGCGTTGTTGGGAGCAGACGTTCGTCAGAGGTTGAGTCTCATATCCGCTGCATGCACGCCTCGAGGTGATCAGCATTGGAATGACTTGATGGCGGTGCTAAGCAGCATAGCTCACCTAAATCTGACGTGCGTCAGTACTGTACTGAAATGGTAGTAGCATCATTCGTATTTTGAGCGCATACGAGCCATTGTTCGTACTCTGCCAGTCACAGTGACCACATAGAACTAACTCAGTTGCTCCAGTCGGTAAAAAAGGAAGATAACATATGGACGACGTTACGTATTGAACGAGGCTCTTGCAGAAAATTGTAGACAAGGGAGCTTGAGAAGCTCAATGTGTCTTGAAGATTCCAATCGTGGCATCAAGCGGCCTATCAGTATTCTTACACTAACAACTAACAGCCAGTCTTCTTTGTATGCGCTGCTACTTTCATAGACTTCTCGAGTGCATATGCAGATCCCTCAATTGAATGCTTATAGGAAAATGGTGGAAGATAGAGAACAATGTAGTCTGTAAGCTGACGCTGGGAGCCACAGGCTCAGCGGAGAGGGAAAAATCATCGCACCTTCTTGCACCAGTCACGGCTCCCCAACCAATGCGCGACAATGTCGCTGTTCCACGTGTCAGTTGTAGTCACTGAGAAAGCGCAACACTTGAAGCAAAACATAGTACAAAGCCGGCAGCCATGGCTCACACTTGCCGCTGAGTAATCTCGGCACGTTGAGTAGTGATGCCGGGCTGCTGCCGTTGAGAAGCATGCTGACTCGTTATCAAAGGTTCCGTAGTGTGACATTTCTTTTGTCGATGTTTTGCCGTTGCTTCGCCGTTGCTTTGATGGTATTTAGACGCGGTTCGGTGAGGAGAAGCGTCGTATGAGGAAGTTACTGTGCTTTTTGGAAAATAGGAAAGAAGACTGTGCTCAGGCTAGCTGTTATACACATCTAACGCATGCAAAGTTATCGAACTGAAAAGCAAGACTGGCATGAGATACAGTGAAGCCCGCTCGAAGAAGTTGTGTGAAGGGAGGCATCGAAATGAGAGACCCCTTCGTGGTTTACTGCTGTTCTTTTACAGACCGACGTCGGGCCTGCGAGCGCGTTGTTTGAGCCATCGTGTCATCGGCAGAGCCTTCGTATCATGTCCCGAACTCTGTTGCGTATAGTTTCTTTTCCGTGTTGAATAAGCTTGAATGTACGGCCGCAGCAACGGCGGAAATGAGTATCGTGAACGAACATGGACGCTTCAAGCATGGATATCCCTTGAAGGCGTCAGGTGAGCGTACTCCTTTCGTCGACGCGCGTTCATTTGGTGATGATGGTGATCAACGCTGGGATACAAACTTCCACAATGAGGCAGCTACAATTGCCGATCGAAATCCGCCATACCTGATGCAGCCACTTGAAACCGGCCATGACGTAGCGCCAAAAGCGGTAGGCGCAACGCCTCATGCCCCAGGTTACCGACCCCCCGGCTCCGAGCGTTAACACACCCATAACTCTGACACCATGCAGCAGCATACTCCAATACCACGAGAGCAGCCAAGAACGCGCATCAACAGACGGTTTGTTTGATGCAGCGCTTCTCAAAGCGCTCCATCAATTATGCCATTAGTACCGAGGTTCGTGACGATCCTACTCGTACGGCAATGACACGCCGTGACAGGTCCGGCGCATTTCACGAACCCACACCGGAGGCATTGATCGCCATGTCGCTTCGGCCACTCGCGCACACGTCCTGACAAAAGGTTATGATCGCCGTAAGCTACAAGTCGCTCAAGAGGGCATGCATCCTCCCTGAACCTTCTTCTTCTTTCCTTATTCAAACGAACTACTCCCCGCTTTGCCAGACTCCGCCGCCATCCGATGGCTACGGCACCGCATCTCCACTCTCTATCAGACCACTAGCGAACCCATAAACACATTCATTCTCTTACTACTGTCCTTACCACCAACAATCACACTCATTCTTTATACCTGCGGTTCAGCCCGGTGCTGTGCCTGCCCTTAATAACACCGCCATGCCTTACCGCTCCTTCATATGCCGACTGCTCTTCTGCGCCGTATTCTCCGTATCCGTTCTCAATATCTTCACCAGGGCCACTCAGCCCCGCTTTCACGCCGGAAAAGCCTCCAACCATCATCTTACTGAAGAAACTTTCTGTCCAAAGTCCAAGCTCGCTGATGACGTTTTGGTCGTCTTGCGAACCGGAGCCACCGAATCACAAGAAAAGGTGCCAGTGCACTTCCGTACCACCTTGCGATGCGTTCCCCATTTTGTTGTGCACTCGGACCTGGATGAGGACATAGAGGGACACGCTGTTCACGACGTGCTCAAAGGAGTTAGCGAAGAGACGAAGACGACGAATGAGGATTTCAAGTTGTACCACCAACTCCAAGAGCATGGAAGACGAGGTGTAAAGCAGCAGCAGGTTCTCACATCATTGTCCGGCTCGTCGCAAGGGGATTACTTGCGAACTGACAATGCTGGATGGCAGCTGGACAAGTGGAAATTCTTACCTATGATCGACCAGGCGCTAGAGGAGAAGCCGGATGCGAAGTGGTACTTCTTCATGGAAGCGGACACGTACATGAACTGGAACAACCTTTTGGAATTTCTTGGCAACTTTGACGACAGCAAGCCCTACTACATTGGCAAACATCTGTTCATCAATGAGGTCGAGTTTGCGTATGGTGGCGCCGGATTTGCCCTTTCAAATCCAGCCATGCAGAGAGTCGCATCGCGACGATCTGAGCGCATTAGTGAATATGAGGAGTTCACAAAGACACATTGGGTTGGAGACTGCGCACTCGGCAAAGTACTTGAAGACGTACATGTTCCTCTTCATCGCGCATTCCCACACTTCCAAGGCGATTCCCCAGCCACCCTCGACCCCGCAGTCTCCAAGATTGACCGCGATCTATGGTGCTTCCCTGCCGTTACCTACCACCATGTCGCCCCTGCTGAAATCGAAGAGCTTTGGGATTTTGAGCAAGACTGGTATAAACGACATCAAATTCTCCTACGCCATCGAGACGTGTTCATGGAGCTTGTGCGACCAAAGATCGACGCATCAGTCCCTGGGTGGGATAACATGTCAGCAGACAAGGAGTACAATGCGCACGATCATTCGGCTGTAGAGAATGAACTTGAGCGAAATGCCTGGAAATCTTTTGAGCACTGCCGTGCATTGTGCGAGGAGCAGGATAACTGCATGCAATTCTCCTTCGACGCAGGGAGCTGCGGCATATCCACATCGTTCAGATTGGGTTACGCGAAGCCGCAAGGAATGATGAGGAGTGGATGGATGCTGGATCGTGTAGACGACCTATTCAGGAGCTTAGAAGAGCAGTGTGGCCTGCGAGATTGGTTCGCGCCACAGGAGAGTACCACCAACACGGAGTTGAAGATGAAAATGAGGCGGAAGAGGACGGTCACCTTCCCTACACAACCCTAGGGGACGAACACCGCTTGCATAACAGCATCAGAAAGGCGTTTTAGGATTAGTTTTTTTTTCTGGAGATGATACCCCCCAACAACACTCGCTTGCATAGATTCATAAGTTTCACTACATAGTCAAAGGCTGCACTGCGCATGACCTAAATGAAGAAATCAAAAAAATAATCAACTAAGCAATCACATCTCGACTTGTTTCTTTACTACTTCATTGTCTTTAGATACGGAACGTTTTCAACTTCTTCCTAGACCTCGACACTGTCTATCTTGTTGTCAAATACTTCGGGATCGTTTGCCATGTCTTCAATTTAGCATAAACCCTATGGCCGGAAGCAACAGCAACACTAGATGTTTCAGACGTCTCTTGCAACCACCCTGCTGATGATCAGCTAAATGAAGGTGTTTCGGCGCAAATGGCAGGGGTGTAGATCGTGAGCCGTGCTTTCCTTACTGGGGCGGGAAGAAGAGCAGTGGAGATGAGGCTGATGAAGAGGTCATAATACGAATCATGAAGGTATGCATGCGAATGCAAATGTAGACGTTGTTGTAATGAGGCTGGTGAGCACGAACCTTCTGGGATGCGATGAAGAAATTGTTGTAATGCCCGCGTTGGAGTACTGATAAAAGCGTTGATGGACTTACAACTTGTCGTTGGGGACTGTATAGAGGTGCTCTTCCGAAAGGTATGGTACTAATACTGCTAGTGAATAGCAATGCACATCTTCTGTCAGCAGTCCACAACGTTCGACTTCATCTCTCACAATTACTCAGAGAAGCTTGGATCTATCAATCGTACTATTACACAGTTCATCTCCACGTACCAACTAACTACGTGGATCCATTGCTACATCCACATTACGCAAAGAAAGAAGCTCAAGCTGTAAATCTCGCTTTTTCCAGTCAAGTCTCCCAAGATCATAAGGGAGAGATTTCGTCATCAACATGCTAATATGCAGATAGTAAGCGGGAATATATCGATAAAAGAAAAGAGAGGGGTATGTTGTATATAAAGGACGACTGTTCAACCTTGATGACGGTATATGATGAGAAAAAGGAGATATTGTGGGCTTCGCCATGAGAAGAACGCCTCCAGAATCCCACTAGTAATTGCTTCCATGTCCTAGGTAACAAATGGCTAGTGGGAAAGTATTAATGCATGTACTGAATTTAGAAGATGGTGAATTGGTGTCGGAAGAGAAGAATGGACATGCAATGCGTTGAGGGCGGTCACATTGCAATTGCCGTAGCGGTACTGTCGGGCCTGTGATCCGGGTGAGGATCCGCACTATCGGCATATGCGAGCAGAGCTTTGGCATCATCGAGTCCCGAGATTGCGAGGCCTTTTTCGTCTTCTTCGTGGATAGTGCTCTCTTGTATGCTCTCTTTCGAGATCTCGCTCTTCCTCTCGGCATCCTCCGTTCCGTCTTCGTCCATGAGGTTTGGCGGACGTTGACGCATGGCGCGCGCCTTCTCGAGGGAAATGGTCTTTTGCTGGTATGTGGTCGTAAAGGGGAGCGCCTCGTCGCGGTCGATGGTGGCTTTCATCAATGCAGCCATCCAGAGTCGTCCGACAGCGAGGCTGTCTACGGCAAAGTAGTGCACGATAGGTTTGGTGAATTGGACGCCCTTCTGAAGTCCTGCTCGAGGAGGTACGAGCTTGAAGATGAACATGCCCGAAACGTCTTCCTCTAGCCCTGGAATACCTTTGGCGCTATCTGCAGAAGCTGTTGTCTGTATTGTGGCATTATGCGGAGACGTAGGTGATGAGGCGGCGCCTGTGAGAGAAGCGTGTAGACCAGTCATTCTCTCATTGTTCGCTGGTAGCACACGATGTGATGATATGTCGATGAGACCCTTCTCTTCTGTGTCATTTTCAGTGTAGTAGTACGCAAGACGGCGACCACGTAACACGAACAGACGCGTTTTCCACGTCGTCATGAGACTGGAAGACTTCTTCTTCATCCAACCGCTGTAGTCGCAATTCTCCATGGCCTGTTGCGGGGTGATTTGCTGACGGCCCTTGAGATATGCGCTGGTGCCATGCTTTTTAGCCTTCTTCTTTCCTTCCTTGGAAGTAGTGGAGCCGGCGGTGAAACGCCTGTTAGCATCTGCTTTCTCCAGTTCGAAACTCTTCGACAATGAGGTACCAGAAGGTGTGCTAGAACCTGTCCGTGAAGGCGACTGCATGGGCGAATCCTTGTGTTGCGAGGCTGTCACATCGGCGGAGCTCAAATTTGCCTTCTCACCACCAGTGATGGCATCTGATATCGCTCGGAGACCCCTGGGTTGTGAAGACTTCTTGCTGCTGAAGAATGAGCGTGTATGTGAAGGCGCAGCAGCGGGCGAAGGCGAAGCGCGACCTGTACTTGAAGTCTCGCTGCCTGCGATATTGGGTGAATTCGCAATAGCGTCGATGCTGTGCGAATCGTACGCGAGCTTGGTCACTGTGGGATGCATGTCGCTTGCTGGCTTAAGAGGCCGTACAAAGTCGAATGCACTGGAGCTGCGCTCACTTTTGATGCTGGTGCCGTAGTACTTTTGCGCGGCAGCCGACATGGGACTTGCTGGCCTGAGAGCTGAATCTGCGCTGCCGATTCTGCTGTGTCGGCGACTGAAAGAAGCACGCTGGCCAGCCTCGGTGTTGTGACTTGCGGTACGCGAATGGCCGCCCGTGCTTTCCCTCTTGCGTAGAACGTTCCTGTTTTTGCGATTGTCGACCTCACCACCGGAGAAGTAGCCGCGGTCAAGATCTCCAGAGTTCAGACCAGCCTCGCGAAAGTCAAACGCAGTTCCACTGGTGCTAGAAGCATGCATGTGATGGGATGAGACTGGCCGCATGAGATCTTGTGCTTGTGCCGACTTGGCCGTTGAACCCATAGTCCAATTGCGATCGAAAGAAGGTGTCTTCTTGTGCGCGTGCATAGCTCCAGATGTGGAGGACTTCATTAAACCGGATGTAGTAGGCGTGGGCGGCCCCTGATTGTAGTCAATGGAAGAGTGCCGCCTGCTGTGATTCATGCTCCGGACGGAAGCAGCGGAGGGTCGAACGGGCGAACCGAGCGTAGGTGAGGCGGGTGTGTGCTGGATGAGTGGAGATGTCGCGTCGATAGTTGACGAGCGGCCTGCAGACGAGGCTGCACGCGGAATATGCTGGCGGCTGGTGTTGCCGCGAGATCCAATGCTTTCCCTCAGTGTTGGTATTCGAGGAAGGACGGCCCCAGTGGACGCAGCCCTGCTCCTTCCCATGTCCGCTGGGAACTCGTCGGGACTCTCGACAGGTGGCAAGAGCAGCGTACTCCTCGCAGCTTCCGCTTCCTTCGCGTTCTTGACTTCCGACTGCAACGCGTTGATCTTCATCCAGGTGCGCAGTCGTGGTCCCATAGGGCCCAGGTCAAACTCCTGCATGAAGATGAAGTTGCGATCTACGCCCAGCAGCGCCTCGCCGTCAATGTCTTGATCTCGGAACACATCGCAGTGCTTCTTCTCCACGCCCACATCTTCGAGGTACTCGGCGACGCGTGCAGGCGACCATGTCTTGACCTCCTCCTCTGTGTGCCAGTTCTGCTCCTCCTCGTCCGTTTCCTGCCCGTTGATGTATGACAGTCGGTGGTGGCTGCTGTATTCGCTTCCCGAGTCATTGGACCTTAGCTCTTTCCCCACGGCGCTGTGCCTCGGCGTGCTCATGCCCGTAATGTGCTCGTCGATGACGCTCAGAGTCTCGTGCATGACGGGGCTCCCTATCGTCTCGTCTTCGGTCGGCGCTTCCCCACTCAGCGCCATGCTGATGCTCCTCTGGCCATTCTGTATTGATGTCCTTCGCGCAATCTCTGGCCCCGACGCGATGTTCAGGGGCTCTGTGGGTGCTGATTTTAAAGGTGGAGAGGCGCTCGTGGTAGCCGGTGGCTGTGCGGTCGGCGGCTCAGAGATGGCCATTCCGGGCGTGACTGAAGGTTTCTCTGACCGCACAGACAGCTGTGAGGGATTGCGCGAGAGCATGGTCGGAATAGGTGTTGGTTTTGGTGCTGGCCGTGTGTAGACTGCTAGGGCATTAGCTGTGTTGCTCGCAAAAAAGAAGCATACCAGCCAGATAAGGGGCGTCTGCACGACTACGCTGCCTACGATAGGGGAACATACCTTCGGGAAACAGGCCATTCTCTCCCGTCTCGGTGTTCTTGCCTAGGAACCAGCCATCGCCAAAGTCGTCGTCGCGCTCAATAAGCTCGATGCGGTCTCCTCTCCTTAGACTCAGCTCGTCGGGACTCCGGGCTAGAAACTCGTCTGCGAGCGCACGTCAACAGCGGGTCGATGGGATGTGCAGCACAGTGGCAGCACAGGTGGGGGGGGAAAACATACGCACTACGACGAGGGTGTCGCCAGGCCGGCAGCCCTCGGTGTGGGAGCGTTGCGCCATGATTACAGGTGCTCTGCAAGACTGGTTCGGGTTGGGCGTGTATGCGAGCAGTCTCCAGTCAGTATCGGTGGTTCATTCTCGTGGCAGTTCGCGCTATCGGCGGGCGAGGCGGGCGCAACAGCTCGACGTATAGCAATGAGTTTAAATGTTGGCTCCCGAGGCCGCCGCTACTTGAAACAAGCAGACAGGTCCGCAGTGAAACAAAGTGGCGATGTTGTTTGTGGGAAGGGTGGAGGTATATTGCTTGATCCCGTCGTCGTGCGGCTGCCGGGGGTGTCGTGTCTATACTTGGATGGTGGGACAGAAGGGCAGGAGACTAGTGATGTGCATCCTTGGATCAATAGGCGACCTAGCCTTCATGTGATATGAATTACGTCGGTACGCAAAACCATGGCCGTACCAGCGCTACAAAACGAATGCCGCTTAGTAGCCGCCCATGCATGTTGGCAAAGTGGATTTTACCGTCGAGCCCCCAGCGGGCAGCCCTGGAGCGGTTCTGACTTGGCCAAAGATTAATTGCCGTCCAGAAGCGCCCATGTCCTTGACCCAATGCGACCTGGCATGTTCGCGAAACATCGCTGTCATGGCTGTCCGTGCGCCATGTCTTCGCAGTGCCATGACGGCGTGACGAATTGGACATTCACCTCATCCACAACGCACCTTCCCTTTTCCACATCTGGCAGCGGCCTGGACAACAAAGACGCACTTCCTATCGAAACGCGGCAGTCACGACCCACCACCTGCTATGCACTGAAAATGCGCCCACGTCTCCGAGCGCGACATGAACACCCCACACCCGGAGTCACCCATGTCAAGCAGTCGGAGGCGTCCAGCGCGTGCATACAAAGAAATACCCCAAACATAGCGCACCGTCTGCCCCTAGGATAGCGCTATGGCTCCTGAGGGGCACCCTCTGCCGGAGGATGCGACGACGCAAACACTCAACTATGCACTGGGCAATCTTGGGGGGAAGCAAAAGAGCTGGATGACACTGCCCTCCAACGCGCCAGCCCTGCCGCCTGTCGTTCCTTCACAAGTCACCACAAACTCGCTACCCTCCACCGTGCGCGGTCGTGGAAGACCTCGCAAATATCCCGCGCCGGCGCCCGCTCCCAACACTAGCCCACAGAACCCGAATACGACACCACAGATACCTTTGCAACCGCGCCCGACCGTCGAGACAGAACGACAGCCGCCCTCCAACTCCACGTCTCCCCGGCTCCCCAATGTCCTTGTCCCTCAGAACACTGCCACTTCTGGGCCTTCGGTTGCCCATGTGTTTCCGTCCCCCACTCCAAGCGAGGAGACATCAGCGTATCCGCCACCACACGAGAGCGCCTCTTCAAAAAGACCAAGCGAAGGACAGGAACAGCAAGCAGAGAAGCGGCGACGCAGTCAAGTCTATGGACAAGGCCGGCCGCTGTCCATAGCAAACACGACAAACGCCTGCCCAGACTTACCTCATAGACCGTCTGGGCAACTCGACAGTCGCAGCCCATCGTTCGGGATGATGGCTTCGCCACAAATACCCCAAGGCATACAAGTTCACAATCCGCAACCCAGCAGAACACCGCTCCAACCACACGGGCCTTTGATGCCACCACCGACGACTTCGCAAGCGCCAAACTCCCAGCCTTCATCCTGCACGACGCAGCCAGAAAACAGGCCCATGGCACCCTCGGCGCATCATCCATCGAATGATGGTGGGTACGCAAGGAACGATTGTCTGCAGACTCTCAGCAATTTCCAGACCTCATACCCTCCTTCGCCAAGTCACCCCCAGGATGCAAGACGCCTGCGCGTTCTGTGGGATGCCACCATGGACGAGGACTGGTCCTATGTTACTATGCATCAATATTACTGCATGCTCACCCATGCTCGTCGTATGATACCGGAGAGTTTGCTGGAGCTACCGGGTTTGCATCAAGCGCAGAGCATGTTGAGAGAGGTCCTTGACTTGAATCATAATCTTTCACTTAATTACATTAACTTGTTCATCAACTTCCCGTATCCGATGCAGCAGACTGCAGTACAGTGGTCGACCACGTATGCACATCAAGCACAACGTTTCGGACATTTCGTTGTTAAATCACAGAACTACCGCCAGGTGAAGACCATGAATCGGACACTCCGACGCCCGCCCCTCGCACGAGATCTCGCTGTCCAACTCGGCATTGCTTCTCCCACATTTCAGCGTCTCTTATTCACGGCTCTTCTGCGATCTCTCTGGCGCGCGGTGGTTCCCAACCCTAGTTTCGCAAGCTTCGAGGCTCAGGCTCTTGCTATTTTTCGTCAGAATCAAGACGACTGCCACCAGCGATCACCTGTCGAGTCGCTTGAGCTCCTGAGAGCCCGCGAGGATCAACTATGGGGCACTAAACTGAGAACGTTAACCGACGCATTCGAAGCTACACTTCAACAGCAAGGTCTTTCATTGGCTGACATCCGCAACGGCGTTCCCCAACAACAGCAACAACAGCAGCAACAGCAACAACAGCAACAACTACCTGTAGCCCCCCAATATCACCCACAACAGATACAAAGCAACTATTCTACTGCAGATACCAATGCAATGCCACCACGTCCGAATAGTTCAGTCGATCCACGCTCAGCACAGGCTGCCATCCAGCAGTCTCGTGGGCGCGGTGGTCTTCCCGCACGGCCTACCCGGCTGGCCGCTGTATCGCCGGCTGCCGTCTTACCATCCAGCCGGCCAGAGCGGCCTTTACTTCCTGCTCTCGACTACCAACAGCCACAGCAGCGAGTACCTAACCCTACACGCTTTGCTTTACATCAAGCCCATCTGCGAAGCCCAGATCTCCAATCACAATCCGAATCCTCGCCGTTGTACATCTTCTTGTCAAGATTCTTGAAGCCTCCAGCTCGGCTATCCGCACCTGCCTGTACCATCGAAAAATGGACTTTCACGCTCTCACCCTCCGATATGCAGAAGATCGCAACAACTGTTCGAGATACAATCGGTGGGCCCGGTGCTATGAACATCAATGAAGGCAACAATTTCGTGCGTCTGCGTTGTGTTGAGTGGCCGCAATCTAGCCCAATGGGTACCCCAACAAGCGACCTTTGGGCAGTGGCTGATACCCATTGGATACCTCACTCTTACTATACTTTCAACGGCACCCCTCTTGATCCGCGGAAAAAAATTCACTATGGAAAAGACCTCCCTATCGATCTCACGGGCCTTTTGAAAGAAGGTGAGAACGTCCTGGAGTTTGTGGTAATGGCTCCATCTGGAGATACATCTCATCTCAATTACTTGACCGCCATCGAGGGGATGGATGTCTCATCTCATGAATCTATCAAGCAGCACTGCCTGAATCAGAGTTGCGTTGCGGCAGATCAAGTATTACAAAGCATCAAGAAGAAACTCGCTGGTGTCGACGATGATGAAATCACCATTGTCCAAAGCACACTCACCATTGGGCTGTTCGACCCTTTCAGCCAAGCCAAAATGTGTGACATTCCAGTCCGTAGTAAAGCATGTCCACACAACGACTGTTTCGATCTAGACACTTTCCTCCAGTCCCGTCCACGCAAGGGCGACGCTTCGGTAGCTGATCACTGGAAATGTCCTATTTGTAAATCCGATGCTCGTCCACAAATGCTTATAGTAGATGGCTTCATTGAGGATGTGCAAAAGCAGCTTGAGCTACAGGGGCTTGCCAGCACGCGGTATATTCTCGTTCAACAGGACGGATCTTGGCAACCCAAGGCTGAAGTGCGCGAGGGTGTGTCGGACGAAACCCCTGAACCCGTCGCTAAACGTTCAGTACTAGCTGACGCTGACGTAATTGACCTTAGTGACTGAGAAATTATTACCAGAATCCATCTGGAGGTTCTTCAGCTTGTTTCTAATTACATACGCACCTACTCGGGTCATAAAAGTCTGGCGTTCAAGCGAGGCATGGAGTTCGTGGAGATTATACCCCTGGTTTTCGACCCTCCTGGGTGTCCCTGTTATCACTGTATTTTTTAGACATCACAGTACTTTGCATATGTGGTGGAATCAGCTGGAGATACAGTCTTAGCTTCTGTATTTATCTCAAAACTTAAGTTCAAAAACATGTAGGTATCTGAAACAAAACCCAAATCCTCATAGTAAGTCTGGCTGATATAGGGATGTTTTGTTTGGTTTCTTGATCAACTCAATGACGGTGCACAGAGAACCTTTGGCTGTACTGGAGCGTTCCGTGGTTCATTTCAGAGACCCCAAATCATAGGTGTTGTTGCACATACACACCGTTCGTGACGGGTGACACACGAATCTTAGTAGCGATGCAAAAAGCCCTCCTTGTACGAGCGAAAATATTTCGCTGTTCGACACAATATCCTCACATCAACCGGAACGTGAATCTCGTTACAGCTTTAGGAGTCGCTTTCGCATGGCCAGGCGAAGATGAATCAAGAAATGGTGGAGGCAAAGTTCTGGGACTTACCAGGCCTCTCACCGACTGACACGGCCACCGGACCGACTTAGATCCCATTGCGATCTCCTGGTTGCAACAGTATGCCCTCCCTAAAGATCACAGTGTACGAACGCGAGGTTGTCTTCCACGTGGATTCATGAGCTCTGCCATGCCTTTACCTTCCTGGACGACTGTCAAATATGCTGCCAGATCGGCCATGGTGATGCCTGGTAGACGCTGGTTCAGAAGATGGAACAGGTCAGCTCCAAAATGATGAGTATGAATATCGACTTGGATCGTTGCTCGTGCCTGTTTGGCGACGAAGAATTTCTCTCGGGAGATTGCAAGGGACAGGAAGCTTGAAGAGATAAACCTTGATGACACATTCGTTGGATGTGCAATGACCAAGTGGCCTGAATTGTTTGGCATGGAAAATATGAAGGGATATTGCGAGTTGAAGTAAGTCCAGTACATCAAGGATCTACCTTTGCTATCTGGGTGCGATGCCTGTCTGGAATTCCATCCTTGCAGCTGCAAAGACAGAGACCACGAACGAATGCATCGTCATAACCAGCCAGTCCATTGAGATGTCCTCTGAAGAAAGCAACAACCGGTAACGCAGCATCGTGACAGCGGCCATGACGACAGAGGATCTCTGTGCTAGGAGACGATGCACAAGAAACCGGATACAAGAGCGCCATTCACGCTACATGACTCACTCGAAGAGATGCCGCATGTCCGGGTGCGCGTGCGCGACGTTTCACACGCAGGGGTCGGATAAGCGGAACCTTGAAGACCCTGAAAACGTTGCGATGCACACCCCAAACTGCGCCACGTGGCGGCAAGAGATCAACAGCCACACTCTAGCATTCGGACCGTGGCCCTTGTGCAACACTGTCACAACCAGGCAGGATTCCCGAGATACCCATTCGACTTTGGACGCGCGTGCTCGCGATAATCGGCAAGACTAAACATAGCCTTGCGTGCGTCGACATGCAGGAAAATATGTTCACGATATCCCGGATTCAGGCAGTCTCCAAACCTGCCTGCTTTGTATCGGCATCATCTGGCATGCCCAACCCTCGTCTCGATCCTCAGACCACCCTGACAGTCTGTGCGCGGCATGCCTTGTATCGCGAGATAGCAACCCCTGTGTAAATCGGAATCCTTCAATCTCTTACCGCCTCACTGTTCGGTTAAACATGTCCCCCATAACGGCTGTCACGTCTCCCAATGGCCCGAATTTCAAATTCTTTCTTCCTTTTCCAGAACATGCCGATTTTATAGCCCAGTTTTAATACTTCAGCCCCATGGGGAATCCTCCTGTTCTTGAAACGCACAATGCCAGTAATAATACTGCTACGAAGAAGGAGAAGAGAAGAAGACGGATCCATCCTATCCGGCGCATCGCAAGGTTGATTCTTGGCAGTGGAAAGCAGCAGAAGAAAGAGGATGTGAGACGACTTGGTGACCAATTAGAGGAAGGAAGGACATGCCATGGCGCATCTAGATGGCACAACCTGTTACCATTTCTCGAGCCGCTGTTTGCCCTGGACCCAAAGTTGTCCTTCATTGAAGACCGCATCCTCGGTCGAACCGCACCAACGACAACGCCTCACGATGACATCAACTTCACTCTCCCGAAAGACCTCGCCTCGCTGAAGAATGCAGTTGAAGAAGCAGACCTCCCTTGTACCTGCGACGAATGCGCCCCCAAACTCTACAAAATCAGCACTCTAGCCTCCCATGGCACGATAGAAGACCGGCGGAACCGACCCTCACAGACACAATCCAAGCACAACCGGTCGTTTTCCTACCAGAATGACAAAAAGACAATCGGTCTCGGACCGCAACTCACACTCAGATTCCATGGCACCTACGAAACAATGACATTAGTACGGCATCACATCGCTTGGCTGGACGCAACGTATCTGCATCCATCCGCACGCCCCACGCCATCTGTACACCACCTCCGCAGCCTGATAGCGACCTGGCATCCGCACATCACGTCACCTGATCTCCGAAGCTCCCTCTCGACAAGTCAACTAAGCGACCTTTTTACGCATCTGAACCGCATTTTCTTCTCGGATCAAGTACCGCCGCATAACAAGACGTTAAGCGCGGGGTTCAGCTATCTGGATGCAAGACAGACCGAGTGTTTTGGCAAGAGTTTTTACAACCCGTTAGTCGGGACACAGGTGCTTTTACATCCGGTGCTGTACCGCGGGTGCTTTCAATACCAGAATCTCGGTCATCACGATAGTCTCGACCCTACCATACAGCGACGGCAACAACAGCAAATATCAACACGTCTGCACAACCGTCTTGGGACTCTCCTCCATGAGATGTGTCACGCGTTTCTCAAAGCATACACGTGTCGTTCTTGCTCGATGCACGATTCTTGTATCGGACCGCTAGGCCATGGACGCGCGTGGCAGATGCTGGCGAAGAAGATTGAGCAGGTTGCTACTGTAGTTTTAGGAGGGACGGTAGACATGGGGAGGTTTCCTAGTCTGCTGAGGGATTGTGAGGGGAGTGGACGGTTGCCTAGTGTGCATGATTTGGAGGTTTTTGGAATGAACGGTGGCGGGTGTGCGAGTGGGGTAGGGTTAGGAATTACAGGGATTAGAGGAGGAGGAGGAGGAGGAGGAGGAGGAGGAGGAGAGAAGATGACGATAAGGACTGTTGAGTAGGGATGACGAGGAAAGATGTGTATCGAGTATTGTATGATTGTGCAGCATTAGATTACGACCTTTTTTTAGACCGCCTGTATAGCTTTAGTAATGATACCCTTCGATTTTGATAACAAGTGTTGCCCACAAGCTGCCATGTCACTTTCTTCAGGGAGAGACAACATGACTACTATCTTCTGTATCCGATATGAATGAGATTGGAGGTTGTCAATCCTGAGACTCTCATAAAGGCGCAGTGTGCTTGGTTGCCTAGGTCATACACATCAAGTGAAGTACTCTGCACGTCGACGCAGTACGTTAAGATGACCTGCGGTAATGACTGCGGTTGAGAAATCTTAGAAGACGATAAGCAAGGGTACGCCGCCCATCTTTGGATTGGTGTGCGAATTTGCTGGCACGAAGAGGAGCTCTAGTGAGAGATGGCGTTATGGTATCGTAGTACTATAGCACTATGAGAAGATGCCCGTTGTCTATCGGTGATAGCAGATCATGCTATCTAATGATGTATAAGACAGGCAGAAACAGCGTACCAGATGTGCTCTCTTTGTATCATTTTCCTACACACACACACACACACTGGACCGTATTCTTCGATCGGGATGCCCGACGTATGCAACAGGCGTAGTATAGAGTAAGATTTGGCGATCCAGTAAGACCGTATGGTACATCCAGCGTTCAGGAACGTCTTCAGCTTCGTCTGATTGAACGCTCGCTCTCGGGGAGTCCGAGGACGGCACTGCTAGTTTCCTAGTGACATTCACAGCTGGTGCATCCAAAACTGTCTCTAATGGCCTTGTTTCAGCAGGTTAGTACCGCAACCATACTTCACAGCTTGTCCATGCCCTCATACAGTACACGAGTCCCTGCCATAGGCCAGTTGCGATGGGTTCGTTCAGCCCCCGATCACGGCAGGCATCGGCGACGCCGGGCTAAGGCAGAAGAATCTGAGGAGATAGTAGTCGGCAGGAAAGGATTGTATCACACGCCGATGCTCCAATTGGATGACTGTATCTCTCGATCCAACTACATCTAAGAAATCTTAAACCGATGGAAGTAAAGTCGGCGAAATGGTATATGGTATATTCCGTTGAAGATCATCTAAGTAGCTGTTTAGCGATAGTAAGACGTATGGCTCTAGGGCCAGTACCTTGATTTGCAATGTTCACCGGATGAGACAGTCTCAAGTTTGAGAAGTGAGATTGTCGAACGTGGTTTTGGTCAGCTCGGACAGAGCGATTCACCGTCACATGCTGTACTGTAGTAGTCTAGAAGAAGACTGTGAGATACATAATCAAGCTATGGCTAGAACACGATGCTCATGATTCGTTGCATTGACCGACGCAGGGACTGTTACTAACGGGGAAGTCGGAGTAGATCCAAGATTCAGGAGGGTGCGAAATTGGGGGTTGCAGCTCAAACAGGAACGCTCATTCCGGTGGAGGCCTAAAATGTCTTCCGCTGTCGGGTTGTCAGCCAAACGGTGGCCAATCACAAGCGTCGCCCCCCAGAGCTTCGGGTACCTCAAACTGTGGCTTCGCTGGGTTAATGCAAGAGTCAGCCACGTCTGACGGGAGAGCACCCTGATCCCCAATCGAACCATCAAGGGTCCCATTCCGCATCTGGGGTGGATCCACACGGTGGCGAATGCCCCCCAAGGACGAAGGGCCGAAATTAGGGAATTATTCGCATGTAACGTCGAGGCGGATACTACCCAAGGCTCTTTTAGCGCCATGGTCCCTACGGTTCGGAATATTGGATATAGGGAATAAGAAAAAGGAGCCTTGCGATAGGAGAGAACAAGACAAAAAGCAGTAGCGAGTTGCTAGAGCGATGATCAGTCGTGGCATGTCCCGGCACGTGGTTTCACCAAACGTGTGGATGACCCATTGTTCAAACTTCGAAGCAGTGTGCGTGGGGTACTAAGGGTCATGTGTACACTACGTGTTATTACCAGGTGCTCCCTACAGCTGAAGCCATCTAACAACGCCGATCGGTTCGTTGAGTGCGCCCAGCGGCGATAGTGAGCAGCTCTAGCGACGCAAGGCATGGGAATAACGATAGCTCGACACGTAGTTCGACGCTGGGGGTTTCCGGGAAAAGTCAAGATCCACTATCAAGAAGCGGCGTCTTTGCACGTTCTGCCTGTCCTTCTGGATCGAGGACTAGACGCAGCAGACTGCGCAATTGTGGAACTGTGGGAGAAAAGTCGGCAGCCAGTCGATGTTTGCCGATCCCTTGTCGAGATTGTGGCATCGAATCAAGTGTCGAATGGGAGGTGCAGCGGGCTTTTGGGCTGTGCAGGTGTGCTTGGAGGCTTCGAGAAGGCAGCCCTTGGTGTTCGCTTGCAGCTGCCCTCACTCAGCCCTGACTTCTGCCGTCATGTAAGCCGGGAGTGAGGATGAAAACACGGCAGTTTGGGGGCGCCTGACGACTTGCGTCAATTTGCAGCAAATGCCATAGTTTCCTGATGGACTTCTGCCACGCAATAAGAAAGGAGTATAGCCAGGGAATGGAGATGAGTCGATGAGCTAGGCCGGGATATTAATCCTACTCGAGTGGAGCGGTTGAGGAATGAGGAGTGCAGCGCCAACGGCAAGTGCCTGCTAACCAGAAGCACGGTAAACCTGGCCCCGGCGCCCTAGTCTCGCCTTAGTCGAGCGCCCCCAAGCCGCGGAACGCCATGGGCAGCGCCTTATAGCATCCTTCGCCGCCGTCATTTGGGACTGTTTGGATCACATTTGCGACTCTCGTCTTCACAGCCAAACCAACACAATGGCCATGTTTCGCGACTTCTCCTTCGACCCGGCGTCGTCTCCCGACTACTCACTCTACGAGGCCGAACGGGCGGCCATGAATGTGTCGCCCACGTCACCAGCCATGGACCCGCATTACTCGCCAAATCGGCCACCCACTCCACCATGCACCATGGGCGACCTCGCCGTGCAACTCAACCAGCAAAGCCTCCGCATCGACACCAACACCAACACCCGCTGCTATCCTCCTGGCCCCCTCACTCCAGCGAGCGACGATGACGAGTGCGCCCCGTCCACCAAGCAAGAACAGCAGGCGCGACCAACCTACTCGCGCGTCGCAGCTTCCGTCCTGAGGATGCAACGTCAACAAAACTCGCGCATGCAGTGCAGCCCATCGCACGCTCGCGATCTCTCCAAGCTGGTCAAGATGATCGAGGAGGAGCAGCAATGCACCGTCAACGAGCCGTCGTCGCGGACAAGCTCCACATCGTCAACATCTACATGCCCACTGGTCCCTTCAAAAGACGACGAGGGCGTCGACATGGACTACGACGCTCCCGCGCAAGCCGCTGAGGGACTCTTCGGCATGCCAGTATGGAGAGCAGGCGACCGTCGCGACAGCTGCGTTCGCGTCACCAGACCTGTGCGCATGCGAAAGCGGTCCAAGGGCAACGGCGTATGCAAGAGGACGTCATCATAATTTTTGTTTTAGTTGGATTTTGGTTACATGCATAGCGACGGCGTTTTTGGGGTGTCACTACGGGCGCATTATACCACTTGATCTTGCTGGAAGAGCTCCCTGCGGGTTGAGCCTGGCGTTATAGGGTGCGACAGGCTTAGCGCTGTTGGTACACCCGTATACTTTGTAATAACAAATCTGATCAAGATGCAAACTACTCTTCCGCCCTACCTTGTTACTGTGACTATCGTCCCGACCCAGCACACTGTTTCCCACGAGACGCATGTTCCGTGAACCTGAGCATTGGTAAATTGGTGACCCACTTGATTGTCGCTGATCCCAAGTAAATTCGTGCCGCATCCGTCCCACCTCCAAACACAACCACAACCACCATCATGTCTGCCCGCCGAGCGCTGGCACTGCGCTCCATCCACTTGCGCATAGTACCACGTCCTGCCAACCTATCCGAGAGTCGCGAGATATTCCGCGTGCTGCAGGGTTTTGGAGAAATCAGCACCTACCAGAGTCTACGGGTACGTCTTCCTCGCACACCATGGCTGCTTCTTCTGAGCGATTACTCATGTCAGTCTTAGTATGAGTACCAGAATCCTGCAGACAACGTCGCCTTCGCCATCTACCGCCACGAATCCTCCGCCCAGAGCGCTCTCGATGCCTCACCCATTCGCTTCGCCCTCGAAACATCTACGGCCACCGAAGACAACACCAGCACCCAATCCCACTACACCGGCGAAGAAGACCAAGAAGATGCGTCAACCGACCACATGCCCCAAAAAGCAGGCATCGACGAAATTCTCCGCCCCTCCCAGCTCCTAAACCGAACCTCTGCTGAAACCCACCGGTCCACTCCGTCAGCGCCACCCAAACCAATGCCCTTCGACCCACCACCCGTCTCCCCAAAACAAAAGAAATGGACAAAATGGTTTCAGGTCACTGTTGATCGTACGCGCGCGGTCCATCAAGATTTCATCGAGCGGCAGCCGTATTGGAAACAGTTCAGCCCTATGAGGAGCATGGCACAGGCTGATTTGGAGAAAAAGGTGCCGCATATTGGGTTGAGCGATATCAGCAAGAGGCCGCCGAATGCGTATCGGACACCTACCAGGGTGTTGAAGACTATGAACCAGTATGTCGAGACGGCCATGCCAACTTTGAGGGGGGTTGCTGAGGGGAGCGAGAACGAGAGGGCGTATCTGGAGAGGCAGGAGAGGAGGGTTTGAGATGGAAACAACAGACTACCGAGTCTACCACAATCGAACCTCGAGCGATAGCTATAACCCCGTCTCCCAACCATACGTATCGATCCAGACCACAAAGACTCGAGTCTTCCAGCATACCTCCACCGATCTGGAACAACAGTCGGATGCTATACATGCAGCACGGCTCTTCGACAAAACAACAATGTGGAAATGTGCGACTACATGAACCCAAACGCTCATAGAGCATACGTCTGCGCCTACACATTGCCTTCTCTGACATTACTCAGAAGACCTTCCGACCTGCCTAGATCGACTGGAGTTCCGAGCAGTCACTCAGCACTTTCCTCAGTCGTCTTGACAGCCTTTTGGGAGAACCACCCATGTCGATAAGTACCATGGAATCGCATCGGACAATTGCGAACACTTTCGCCCATGAATGCTTATATCATGAGCCGTAGCAGAGCATCCAGCCGCTCAGCATCTGGATAAGAGCTGCGCAAGTCCAACTCCCTGATCCGGTCCATCTCAAGGGCCTCTCGACCAGCCTGTTCCGCTCCTTATGGAATGGTTTCATGACCGCCTTCTTAAATTAAGCATGTTCTTTACAGGCCGTGTAAAGAAGGCATCCGCTATCCACACAGCTTCGTAGCTACTATAACTTCGTAGAGGCGGTTCAGAGTTAGCACGGACTAACAGATCCGATATGCAATATACGTACGTTGCGGACAAGGCGCATACAGTATGTAGGCGTCGAGCTTACATTTGCGGCACATGCGAGAAGGCGGATTCTGTGCCACCCGATGTTGAAGTTCAGAGAGTGCTCGTCGAACATGTTCGGGCTGGGACAACGATCTGAGATTTGAAGCGCGCTGATCGTCGAAGGCACCAAACGCTCAAGATATGAATGAAACACCTGATAGTTGTTTAGCTCAACGACGCCTGCTGCGCATTTTACATCCATCGGACCCAAACAACAACACATCTGACAATATTAGGCCTCTATGCTAGCTGTACCAAAGCCCATCTTTTCTCACAAGGATCACACAAATCCGTAGACCTCCAAATCATGCATGCTCGGGTGGTTGTTTCCAGTTGCCTGATTCGTCATATCCATAAAAATGCCATTTATCCTCCCAAGGTCCAGCGTCAATCCCAGCAGCTGTGGACATATCTCTTCAATAGCCATCGCCATCTTCTGAAACGCGCGACCATGGTCAACAAGATTACTGTACGAAGTCTTGCACATCCGACAACATAGGCTCTTAAGCACAGCATGGATCAGCTCGTGCATTAATGTAGAGAGACGTTGCAGCGCCAGTGACTTGGTTCGGTTGAGAGACCGTAAGGTGACTTCTGTTTGTTGCGTGGGATGCATCGTGATGCGTTCAAAGACCAGATCATCGCGAAGTATTGTCTGAGTATATCCTAGCCAACCCCTCTCCTCACAGACGTCGAAATCCCAGAAAAATTCGATTTTAATTTTCGCTCCGAGAAAGAAGATGGATAACAATTGCGTGCATAGTCTTCTCATCTTGCCGAAAGGAAACGTGACTCTCGCATCAGGAGAGCCGAGTTCCTTGAGAAGATCCTCCATATTCTCCCGCATGTCTCTTAGAGCTACTTGCTGCTCGGAATTCATTTGATTGTATGGCCTACTAAAAAATGTGGTTGCGCTGTCGACAAGATGGAGCGCCTCGTATGGCCTATTCACGGAATCGGCGATGATTTCGGGCTGTTCATTTGGCAGAATAGGTATCTGGTCCCGACGATGTTCGATGGCAGCGCAAGAGTATGGATAGTTGAAGTAAGAGTCTTGTGAGCACTTGTTACTGTCACAGGTACATGGGCCGCAGAACAAATGGTTTAATGACTTTTTGTAGAAGAAGTCTTTCTGGGGATCCGTCATTAGGCCTTCTATTGAAGGCAACCGGCCTGAAGCTACAGCTGTTAGATCGGCAGTGCCGGACAAAGTGGGTGTTGAGAAGTCATTCGGAGAAGCAACGCCATTCTGATCTACGCTCATGGTGGAGATTTTAGTGGCCGATAAGGTAGTAAAGAGTAAGCTTTTTTTGTCCCTTATCATCAAAGCATTTTTTGTCATTTCCTTTCGCTTCAGTCATCCTACCCCTGCTGCTGAGAGGCGATTGATTGCATGTGACTCTGCCTATAAAGCTCATGGGATTGAATCTCCAGAACTAGGGGTTATTTGCTCCATATAGTAGGATACCTAACCTTATATCGGTTACTATGCTTGTTCTTACTAAGCTTTCCACGAAGAAGATGCGGCTTGGTTGGACGAACATGGGAGAGCATAGTAAGGGATCGCAAGGTCTGTGAAGTGGTTCGCCGTTCACAGATTTCATCTTTTGCTTAATTTGTGTCGTGTTGAGGCCATTATTCATGATTGAGAGGATATGTAGATCTAGCCCACTGGAAAGAGACAAAAGAAGCTGTCAGCTTAGATGGCGATGAGATGCATAAGGAAGCCGCGTTGATCCGAAATGCTGCGAGTACTGTTGGCCACGTTTTCACTATTACTGGACGTGATCCAGTTATGTCGAACTTACTGTATTACCTCCACCAGGTACTGTGAAGTATCGTACCATGATTTGTGACATTTTGAGGAACCGAGACTGACAGGTTTGTGTATTCATGGCTGCGAACGGCTTTCCCAGCCAGAAGTGGAGGAATTCGCAGTCCCAAATTTACCTAATGAAACAGCGCCCGCACGAAACTCGTCCAAACCAGTGAGTGCAGCATTGTCTCATGAATCTAGGCTGATTTCACATGCCTAAAACGCATTGCAATGTTTCATGTCATACAAGACTTCTATGGCCGAGCAATATAAAGAGTAGCCACGCAAGAGTGTTGCGAGTAGCGAGAAAACCACAACCAGTGATTCTGGTAGCCTTTCTAAACAGGAACATAGACAACCAAAATGTGCCGAAAAGTCCCTCATATGTACAAGCTTGTGGATCCACAGAATCTCGAACCTGCTCCTAGCACACCGGAGGAATTCATTGATATGATTCGAGATCATCACAAGAGAAATCCTGGGGCACGATTTGGCAGTAAGAAACAGGGAATATGTACAAACTCATGTAACAACATCATCAAGCCACAATATCGAGCGCGCATATCCTTACGTACGGCCGGTCACCATGCTTTTCGACTTTGTGACGAGGTCAAGCGTAGGATGGAACTGGGCTTTGATGATTTCAGCTCCGAACAATGGCAAGCCCACAATCTGTTCAAATCACTGGTTGAGGATAAATCAGACAAAGCCCTGTTGAAGAGGCTAGCAAAGACAGATGGAAGACAAGTCTCACAAGATGAGATGAAGCTGCTGATCAAGACCTTCTCAATGATTTTCTTCCCAACTACGCCGTCGGACGTTCAGATGGAACTGGACTTCCAGTGGGAGGATTGGAGAAACACGCCAGGTGAAATCGGCTTATACTGCACCAATGGTACCGACATGCCTTGGATCAGCATGTGTGCTTTTAACGTTGACAAGAAAGTACCGAGCTACGGTCATCTGAATGGCTTAGCTATGGACCGTCTGTCCACAATCCTTCACGAGATTGTGCATGCATATTTGGATCGTTACGCCTGCCGTTGTATTGGGGTGTTCGGATCGTTTGAAGAGAGTGTTAATCAACTAAGTGGACATGCATGGGCGTGGCAACGGATAACAAGTTCTGTGGAACGCGCTGCCCCTGACCTCACTGGTCTCCCTATAAGTCTAGAACGGTTTAGAATTATCCAGGGCTGTTGGGACAAATTCAGATATTGGCCGACTCAACAGGAAGTTAAGGACTGGCAGTTGTAAATTCATGAGGCCTATGGGTAGGCTGCGTCAAAGTGGAGGTCGGAATAGTTGCTGTCATGATGAAGTCGCAGTTGAAGTTGTATGCCATGAGTAGGAGAATCAATGAAGTGCTGTATTCGAGGTTTGATCAAAGGCATCCGTTTTCGACCGTGATACCGATGGAATAACTCGATAACTCTGGATATCTGTGATGTGAGGATTGGTGTAGTTATCGAGAAGGAAGTAACAATAATGGAAGTCTTACGACAGAACACTACTAGCGCGTTGGCCGGATCAGCAACTATGATAGACCATCCACGTGGCAAGTCGCAAGCAGCTAACAGAGACCACTATGTCACCGCACATTGAGAACAAGGAGCTATCTCATCTTTCAATCTAGTACCTAACGTTGATGAGTACAACAAGCATGAGTTGCCAGTGTTGGAACGAGATAGATCGCGTAGCCAACCAGATGCCTTCCGACCCAGAAGACGAAGGGTGGGCCCAAGGGTACACGAAGCGAAAAACACTTCAAGGGTGGCCGCCTAGATGCTACGATGAAGGCGTGCTGCGACGTGCGCATGATCACCGAGTGCAGCTGCCATGGGCCGATTTTATAATCCGTTCAGTCCTCGCCGATCCACAGTCGCAGTTGCAGAGACCATACCTGGACCTACCGCAGAGGAGCCACCGCCAGACGACCACACAACGGCGACACGAAGCCATCACGCACCTCACCCCTCAGTCGGTACGATTCCAGACAGGCTTGATGACATACGAGACTATGTGCGTGGTGTCAGCACCTATATCCATTGGTTTCAAAGCCTCACTGAACACGAACGATCAAATGTCGCGCGAGTTACGGAGGTCAAGCGCGAGTTGAAGCTTGCACACCGAAATCTAGAGAAGCTTGATGCTGACATGTACTGCGAACTTGGGGACGAGACCGAGGCGCTGGTTAAAGATGCCATGAGACATGCTTGGCGGTCGTACAGAAGCGTGGTGAAGCTCGAAGAAAAGTTGAGAGGTTCAAACGGCGGCAGTGATTCCGGTGTGAAGTTGCGTAGGATATCGGGACCGCAGAATGAACGGAACACATCGACGGATCATGGAAAAGTCGAAGCATACACCCGCAGCGATACGACGGAGGTAAAGCAAGCGCTCTACGAGGCCCTTGATGTGCGACAGCAACCTGCCGAAGGCAACCGCGATGAAAATCCATACCTTATGTCTGGTGAGAGATGTCCCTATACGAACTAGATATGAGACATATACTGACTTTGTATACCCACATTCCAGGTGCTCTTCCGGTCGAGGATAGGTCTCCGCAGATCGAAGTTCAGAGAGCAGGGCGAGCTCATGCTTTTGAAGCGCTGAGGCAGTTACCGCATCTCCTTGCCCACGGAGCGCCGTCGCAATGCTCAGAAAGCCTCCACCTACCTGCAACGAATCCCCAAAAGATCCCACAGCCCAGAGACGAAGTCAAGGTTCGAGTTCAAGAGGAAGAGGCCAACACGGACTCTGTCCTGCGCAACCCATACAAAGTGCGACGAGGCAGCTGCAACGGCTTCATGATTACAGAGATGACGATGCATGCGATCGAGGATACTCGCTTCGTTTTGCCTTACCTGCACTACATGAAGGTCCATGAGCTGCGAGCCATCAAGGAATGGCTGGGTAATGCGGGGTTCATTGTGAGCTCTGGTTCAATGAGGTAAGCCATGACTGTACGAGATGTATACAAGATATACGCTGACTTCATATCTCCACCTCAATAGTCGCACGGAAAAGGCCCTACTCTGCATACAGCTCCTACAGACTGGCTGTCGATACGAAACGTTGGCCGTGATCCACTCGCGTTCGCCACACGAGGTCATGGAGTCGTGCAACGAAGTCATGCGAGCTTTGTTGAAATGGCATCGTATGACAGTTGATGATGATGACATAGGGAACCAGGCCGCGTATATTGTTCTCTGGGGCATCTGGCATAAGTACACCGTCTCGGATGGAAAGGCAGGAGAATACTTTGGGTTCGACTGGACGTGTCTTGCCAAAGTCCTGGTGTCACTCAACGTGTACATGGGCCGCTGGCGCATGCAGGGCAAGTTTGCCATGGACGGTCCGGCATTCGCATGGGGCAAGTTCTTCGTGCCGAACGACAGCAGATGCGTCCTGGATACGAGAGACGGGGACCAAGGAGGGCGTAATGACGCCGAGACGAGTTCCTTTTACGCTGTGGCTCGGCGGGGTAGGCTGAGAGAAAGCACAGACGGGTGAAAGACTCTTTTTGGCACGGTCAAACGGCCTCTTCCCTCAGGTCGCAACACGGCAGTTCGGCTCGTAAAGAGTGGCGCATAATCCGACGATAGTGGGCCACGATGGTTGCGGAGCCGGTAAAAGGATGCGCGCATCCATTAAGCGTTCAAGATTTCATCTCCACATCGTATCGCTATCGCAGCGGTATCTCAATGCTCGGCGGCACCAGTGGCGTACAGAGCAAGCCGTCGCCTCAAAGGGTCGCAGCGCAGAGTGCCTGGTGTTTCACAATCTCCCTTGGCTCCCGGCCTGGCGCAAAGCCACCCGCGGTGTGCAGACACGAACGGGAAGGTCGCAAATGCGGTTGGGCGCATCGTTTGCGACCGTCGAGGTTAATCGAGCGCGATTGACGGCAGTTGAGGCGGGAATAACACTGCATGATCAAATGAAATCGAAGACAATAGTAAACAAGTCATCTATGGCACAAAGCGTTCAGGAGAGTCGCTATTCTCGGCGATCGACAAGCGCCGTTTGTAGTTTAAGGTCCGTCGACCAATAGCGATCCGCAGGGAGCATTCGTGCACTAGACGACTCCTTAAATCTTCTTGCAGGGCTGCACCCAATTGCTCTTCACCACCGAGTCTCTAAAACGCGGTCCTGACGCTCCTTTGAACGACTTTCCCCTCGTTTTCCTTTTCTCGTCGCGAGAATCCACTCTTTACTCAACCCTCACTATCCCAGTCACTCCTTGCTACACCCACCTACAGCGCGTCTGGTCTACGCGCGAATCACACTCTTTCAGTACTCATAGTGCTTACATAGCGACATAATCCGCCGAGATGAAGTCATTCGCCCTTTCCACGGCTGCACTTATCGCAGGCCTTATCTCTACGACTACTGCGCAAACCCATACCAACTGTATGTGACGTGTGGCGCATTGCCTGCGACTGATATACTGATGCATCGACACAGGCTACCCTCTCAACACCACAGGATGTCCAGACATGGAGGCGCTCGGCGGAAACGTCACCTTCAACTGGAACAAGACTGGCATCCCGAACGATGACAAGGTCTGGAAGATGCCTAACCAGGGCAAGATCGACTGGGTCGAGAAGGGTGCAACCTTCACCATTGAGCGATCGGGCGACTCCCCCACAGCGAACTCGGTGTTCTACATGCTCTTTGGTCGCCTCGAGATTGTCATGAAGGTGGCCACGGGCACGGGTATCATCTCCAGTGCTATCCTGCAGTCCGAGGCGCTCGATGAGATCGACTGGGAGTTCCGTGGCGACAACAAGATGATCTTGACCAACTACTTCGGCAAGGGTGACACGACGACCTACGATCGCGGAAAAGACTTCGACCAAGGCTTCAACCCACAGGACGACTTCCACAACTACACTATCGACTGGAGAAAGGAACGCATCGAGTGGTGGGTCGACGACAAGCTCGTCAGGACACTCACCCCCAGTGAGGCTAAAGATGGAACACGGTACCCGCAAACGCCTATGAACGTCCGCCTTGGTTCATGGGCTGCTGGTGACCCCAACAAGAACGACCCTGGTGTTGTCGAGTGGGCTGGTGGCAAGACAGACTTTACCAAGGGACCATACACCATGACGATCCAGTCTGTCTACGCGCAAGACTACACAAGCGGCGCTGCGAAGTACTCATGGGCTGACATGGATTCGTCTGGTGACTGGGAGAAGGTCAAGGTCATCGAGTATGTTTCTTCGCGCTCCTATGCCAATATGATGTGAGACTAACAAAGGCTAGGGGAAAATCCGAGGTGCTCGAAGAGATCCAGTCTCCCCACGGTGTCAAGAACCGATTCGAAACCCTTTCCAAGGGCGCCAAGATTGGCATCATTGCTGGTGTCCTCGGAGCTCTAGCAATTGGCGCAGCTGTCTTCCTGTTCTGCTGCATCAAGAAGCGTCGCGAAGGCAAGAGAGAGCACCAGGCTCTCCTCGCTGAGGAGCAAAAGGAGGCTGCGGAGCTCAGCGAGTACAAGGCTCAGATGCAAGCCGGCAGGTTTGCCATGGGGTCCAATAACCGCGTCTAAGGCTCATTGCGAGAGGAGATGTTGGAGTTGCGGATATACAATCTCTTTAATAGGATGGGGTTTTTTCCTTGCAGCTGGAAGGCAGCTTGTTGAATAGAGGCTGTTGTTCCCTTGTTATGTCAGTGTTACGATCAGTTGTTTTTTTGTTTCATGCATGCTTTATATACCCTTGCGCTGCTTTCGTCGACCAAGGCTATACTGTAGTGCCTAGTTTGCAATATACCACGACTTGATGTCGCGCGGTTAAGAAGATTGCGGCTCTGCGGCGTGCTAGTGAAAATGAGCTCTGTGTTAGTGTTGGTTGGCATGTGACGCATGCTTCTCCGCAAACCCCGGACACACGGCATGCATCGGCTAACTTTAAGCTGCCTCGGCATGTGAGCGGTCCGCCGTGTCTGATGTGAAAGACATGCCACACTCGTTCTTTCTGCTTTGACACAATACTGCAAAAATGGCATCCTTCTCACGATCACTAAGACCCCTCACCCGCGTTGCTACTGCCTCATCGCGTTCGCTGCGACCGGCAGCCCGCGCCGCCCCGCAGTATGTTTATGCACCCACCATCAAGGCGAATGAATATATTAATGCTAACACGACGACTCACCAGACTACGATGCCTCTCCACGACTGCCGTCCGCCGGGAAGCCATTGACATCTCAGATGTCCCACCGACGCCCATAACCCACCTCTCCGAGACGGAAATGCTTATGGGCGAATCCGTCTCCAAGTTCGCCAACGATGTCATCCTCCCCAAGGCGCGAGACATGGACGAAGCCGAGTCGATGGACCCCGCAGTAGTCGAGCAACTCTTCGAGCAAGGCCTCATGGGTATTGAGATTCCCGAGGAATACGGTGGCTCAGGCATGAACTTCACATCGGCCATTATCGCCATCGAGGAGCTGGCGCGTGTCGACCCCAGTGTCAGTGTCATGTGCGATGTCCACAACACACTCGTCAACACTGCAATTCTCAAATATGGATCCGAGAAGATCAAGAAGGAGTGGCTGCCCAAGCTGGCCACAAATACAGTCGGCTCCTTCTGTCTCTCAGAACCCGTGTCAGGATCCGACGCCTTTGCGCTCGCCACCAAAGCCACACGAACCGACAATGGATACAAGATCAGCGGTAGTAAGATGTGGATAACGAACAGTGTCGAAGCCAACTTCTTCATTGTCTTCGCCAACCTCGACCCTAGCAAGAAGTACAAGGGCATTACTGCCTTCATTGTAGAGAAGGGCACACCGGGTTTCTCCATTGCAAAGAAGGAGAAGAAGCTTGGCATCAAAGCCAGCAGTACCTGCGTCATCAACTTTGACGATGTTGAAATCCCCAAGGATAACCTGCTCGGTAAGGAATTTGAGGGCTACAAGTACGCCATTGCGCTGTTGAACGAGGGCCGCATCGGTATCGCAGCGCAAATGACTGGCCTTGCGCTCGGCGCCTGGGAAAATGCTGCAGGGTGAGTACACTTGTTACCTATAGACATGTCGGACCAAGTACTAACAGCCCCAGCTACGTGTGGAACGACCGCAAGCAGTTTGGCCAACTCGTCGGCGAGTTCCAGGGTATGCAACATCAGCTCGCCCAGGCCTGGACAGAGATCCAAGCCGCTCGCGCCCTTGTCTACAATGCTGCGCGCAAGAAGGAAGCTGGCGAGGACTTCATCATGGACGCTGCCATGGCTAAGCTCATGTCATCGCAGGTTGCAGGACGTGTATCCGGACAGGCAATCGAATGGATGGGTGGCATGGGCTTCGTCAGAGAGGGGCTTGCGGAGAAATACTTCAGGGACAGCAAGATCGGTGCCATCTACGAAGGAACCAGCAACATCCAGTTGACTACTATTGGCAAGCACCTGCAGAAGAAGTATACCAAATAGATGATGAAACAATAAAAAGTATAGCATGATTGATGCACGTCGTCGTCATTTCCAGAAGCACAAGATCGAGTAGCAAGGCGGCGCTCGCAATTTCGACATTCAGAAGCAATATAGTTGTTGTTTTGTGCTCACAAATATTGGAGCACTTATAGGCCGACGCGATGAAGCAGATCGTGGACTCGTTTAACGATCCTGGGACGATCGCAGCGGGGGATGCATCATTACCTCATGCACCGCAAGCAGCCTAGCGCAGACAGCAGCCACTCTCGATCTTGACATCGCTGCCATTGGGACACGGCTTGTTCATATGCCCTACGAGTCAAGCCACGCGTTCACATGCGACTTGTCACCCGTTCCGTGCCCGCGCGCATCCGCAGTTGGTGAGCAAGAAGCATGGCCATTGCACTGAAGACGATACCGTGGAAGACACCTTCCGGAGGGGCATGTCTCCCCACTATCGACCCACCGTCGGCGCCGCCTGGGAAGATCCATGCTACCCAAGTGCGCCAACGCTCGCGACCGGAAAATATCGCAAGAACCATGGTATGCCCTCCACTGACGGCCGGAGCTGCTCCAGCGTCATAATTCACCCTGGTGCGACGGCTGTCGCCCATCCCGTCCTCGAAGCCTGAGGCGCGTGTCTCGTCGTGTCAGCCCAACCCCAAACTTCACACGTCGTCTATAGAGTCTATAGCCGCATCCGAATCCTACACTCTCTCTCGCATCCTTATCATACCCCTGTTTTTCTTTCTCAGGCCCGCAATCTCGCGTGACAGTGGCCCACTACCCAACTCTCCTTTAGCCCGTTCCGTCACAGTTGCCCAGCGCCAACGCAATTCGGCGGTTGCAGCAGTTCCCCCAGCCACATTGCATACAGAGTTTTGATCATCCTCTGGCGCACGTCGCGTTCTGGTCACCTCATGGTCGCATAACCCACCGCCCACCATGGCGTCTGGCTCCAAGGCTAAGGACCAGGACCGTCCAAGTGCCAACGGGCGCATACATTCTGGCCTGGAGAACATCCTGCCAGCAAGCTTCCTCGATATGCAAAAGTGCGCTGGCGACTTCCCCAAGGAGAGCAAGTCGATATCGTCTCCACGCTCTCGGCCGTCTTCTACCCCACTCTCCAGCTTGTCGCGTTCTGTATCGTCCATGACCGACAGCTTCATGCTAGAACACTGGGGTCCCTCTTCTTCAAAGTCCACGCGACCTGAACACGATGGCAGGGACAGCACAGAGGCTCCACCCAAGGAGGAGGACGCGCCTACTGTTATATCCAATTGGGCGCATCTATCCTATATAAAATCCCAGCGGAACACGCTTCGCGCCGAACTCAAGGCTCACCAGGTTGCTGGAGCTGAGGCAAAGCGGTCTGTTTCCTCTTTGCGGCGTCTTGCCTTCCGCATGGCCGTAAATATATCTGTCAAGGAGAAGCAGATTGCAACTACAGCGCGGAACCTGGCCAAGAGTAGGACAAGTAACTACCTGGAGGGCAAAGATGCACAGAAGCGAGTGGAGGAATTGAAGAGGGCGTTGAGAGTTGAAGAAGGACGGAACAAAGAGATCCTTGAGGCATTGGAGAGGGCCTCTATGCTGACGCTCCAATGTAAGTATACTATATCCAGGTACTGTCTTTTGCTGATTAATTGTGCAGATTCGTCTCCCAAATCTGAACCTCAACATCAACCTAGAGGTCTGTTCATCTCACCACCTGCATCTCCGCCGACGCAATCAAGTGTCTTTGACAGTCCTACCCTTGCGCCGAGGACTCCAACGCGAGCGTCTCCCTCGCCATGGCACGATCTAGATCTCGAGCTCACCCCTCGCTTGTCGAGTCCTTCCGAGATACGTACTTCTGACAGTCGCTTAATACGAGCGAAACGCGAATCCGACCAAGCTCTTGCTGCTTGTCGAAGCCGCATTGAGCAGCTACAACGTGAATGTGCAGCAAGCAAGGAAGATGCTGGGCTTCTAGAAGCGACAAGAGAAGGTCTAGAACAAGAGATCCAAAGTCATCAATCCCGCATTGCTGCCTTGGAGCGTTCGAGATCTGCGGTACAAGAAATATTGGAGTCGACCAAGGCGCAACTGAACATTACAGTAGGCTCAGAGGAGAAACTGAAGCAGGATTTGCAGGCTAAATGTGCTGAAATTGCAGATTGGGAGCAGAAGGGTGGGGACATGCAGCACACGATCGAAGCGCTGCAAAAGGAGAAGGTAGATCTGGATGACCGCCTCGGCACACGGAATGCTCAGACTAGGGAACTTGAGATTCGCACAACAACTCTGGAGGAAACACTACATTCTTTGCAGAATAAGGTGGAGATTGCTGATCGCCACGAATCGTCGTTGCAAGACCGTCTCGCAGAAAAGGAAAGCGCACGCCAAGACCTGAGCAAGCGACTTGACCGAGGACTGGAACATATTGCACGTCTAGAGCAGAAGATTACTGAGTACGAAAAGGACGAGGCTGAGCACCTACGTAAAATCGAGATCGGTGGAGGTGTTATCTCTACGCTGCGCGAGCAGCTCCATGATTCGCAAACCACGAGCAAGAACACTGAAGACGCCTTGACGGCTCTAAAGAAGGAAGTGGAGCAGGTCCGAGCCAATTTGCGGGCTGAGAGCGATGCGAGTAAAGGCTTGACTGCAGAGCTTGAGGCTATGCGAACCGAGAAGGCCGATATTTATAATGAATTGCGTGCCACGTCAGAGAACCTTAAGCGAGAGACCGAATCGAAGACCAACCTCCAAACCGAGCTAAGAGATCTGCGTGCCTCTTACGACGCTATCACGAAAGAATTGCAACAAGTTTCCAAGCGCACTCAATCATTGGAGACGTCTAATGCTAGTAACCAGGCCAAGTTAGAGAAACTCCACGACGAAAAGGCATCGCTTGAAGCCGATCTCAAAGATGCCCGACAATTGCTCTTCAGACTCCGCGAAGATGTACGGATGCGAGATGCCGAGCTTGCTGACCTACAGTCTGTCAAGTCGAAGTTGCAACAAAAACTTCAGACGTCAGAAGAGCGAGTGTCGCACCTGGAGCAGGAGTTGAACCAAGTACAAGTGTCAAAGCAAGTAGCTGATGAGCAACATGCAGTCGAGATCCAGAAGAACGCCGAACATCTTCGCGAGTTGGAATCGTCCATGCTCAATCTCCGGTCAGTTCTCGAATCATCACAGAAGCTGGAGGCCTCTTTACGACAAGAGTTGGATAGTGTGCGGAGCTCCAAAAATGCGGTTGAGAATGAGCTCAGTCAAGCACTTCAATCGAAAACAGACCTTGAAGGTCAAATCGACCATATACAGTCAAGACTCACATGGACGGAGAGCGACCGCGACAGCTTGCAGACTAGGATCACTCAACTCGAGGGCGACCTGGACACAAGCGCTCAGGCTAAGAGTCGTCTCGGTGCACAACTATCTGCCACGACAAGTGAATGTGACTCACTGAAGGCTCGCATTTCGGAGCTGGAGATTGCGCTCAAAGATAACCTCGAAGCAAAACTAAAATCTGAAGAAGCGTTAGCAATCGCGCAGCTGGACGGCGAGACTTCTGGAAAGGATTTGATAAACCTTCGTGGACAGCTAGCGGAGGTGAAGGCTACTGGAGACCAAGTGCAGCAGGATTTGCACAACGCCCACAGCTCAAAATCAGATCTCGAAGCTCAGCTCCAGTCAGTGAAAGATCAACTGGCTAAGAATGAGTCTGAGAGTGATGAAGTACGCTTGCAGATGTCAAAGCTTCACAATGAGATAGTAGAACTCCAAAGGTCGAAACGCCAGCTCGGGGATCAATTGTTGGCCGACGAAGCGTCGCGCGAAAAGCTTGACGAAGACTTACAATCTGCACGCTCCCAACTACTAGAGGTTCAAGCCCAGATTCCACAGCTGGAGGCAAGACTAGCATCCAGTGAAGAAGAGCTTGAAGCCATGTGCAGAGCGAAGGCAGTTACCGAGAAGCGACTCGAAGAGACGCAGGCTGCCAACTCAGACCTGGAGAAAGAGCTGGATGCTGCTCGAAAGACCAACGAAGACATCAAGAGTCAATTTGGTAGTATCGTTACCGCCAATGCACAACTGGAGAAGGACATCAGTACAGCTCGTCTTGAGAGAGACGAGGCAGATGCACACAACGCTGAACTCACGTTGAAACTAGGAGATTCGAAGGAAGAGCTGGAAAGCCTTCGAAAGCTTAAGGACGAGGTTGAGAAGAGACTGAACGAAGCATTGACTGTCTCTACAAGCACAGAAGAGAGCCTTTCATCCACTCGCTCCCGTCTTCAAGAGCTCGAGTCGCAGAACTCTTCCATCACTACTGAGCTTACAGAGACAAACGAAGAGCTATCTGTTCTTCGGCAGCTCAAGGATGACGTCGAAAAGAAGTTGGGCGAAACATTGACTGCCTTCGCAAGTACGAAAGAAGGGCTTTCATCGACCCGCTCTCGCCTCCAAGAGCTCGAACACCAGAACTCCTCCGTCGCCGCTGAGCTCACGGAAAAGAACAAAGAGCTAGTCGCCCTTCGTCAGGCTAGAGCCGAGCTCGAAAGCAAGGCAGATGGCGCTGAACAGCATGTTGGGTCTCTTGAAAAAGACCTAACAAATATGCGCCGGCGTCTTCACGAGCTCGAAGCACAAGACTCGGCAATTACTACAGAGAAAGATGAAGAGTTAGGCGTTCTTCGAGAGGCAAAAGCTGAGTTGGAGGCTAAGGTAGTCGACGCCGGAAAGCGTGCTGAATCTCTCCAAGACGATCTAACAAACATGCGCTCGCGGATAGATGAACTTGACTCAAACAGCACTAGCTTAGTCTCCAAGCTGTCAGCTACCAACAAGGAGCTAGAGGATGTCAAATCTGCTTACTCACGACTCGAAGAATCTTCTCAAACAACGTCACATCGAAACGCAGAGCTTGAGGCCGAACTCCAAGCTGCACAGATGCGTCTTGACATTGCTGAGTCGGAAGGACTCAGCTTGGCTTCCAAGTTGTCGGTTAGCAGCAAAGAGCTAGAGAACCTTCGACTGGCTCATGTAAAACTTGAGGAGTCGTCCCAAACAGCGTCACTTCGAAACGGGGAGCTTGAGACCGAACTGAGAGCTGCCCAGATGCAGCTGACTATTGCTGAGTCGGAAAGCCTAGAAGCTGCCAACAAATTGATCGGAGCCGACAAGGAGCTTATGTCTCTTCGGGAGTCGAACGCCAAGTTAGATTCCTCTGAGAAGGAATTGCTCGCTCGTCTTACTTCGGCGGAAGAAGAATTGGATACCGCGCGTGAGAAGAATGCACAGCTGGAAGCCTTCCTTGAGCGTGTAGAAGCAGACATGGCTGATGCTCACTCTGCCGTTGAGGATACTGAAAGGCGTTACCATGAGCTCATGGAAGAGTCACAATCAAAGTTGGAAGCTGCAAAGAGTTCGAAGCAGAAATACAAGCGCAGACTGGATGAGAGGAATAACGAACTTGAAATCCTAATCAACGAGAACTCAGATCTCCATCACCAGGTCGGCGACCAGACGCGCCAATTGGGTGCGCTCAAGAAGGGCAAGGAGAAGCTGGTTGAGGAGCTATCGAAGAAGGAGAAGTACATCGGAGAGCTCGGGTCATCTTCAGACAATCGCATAAGATCCCTAAACTCGGCGTACGATGGTTTGAGGAAGAAGTTCGAAGAGCAGCAACAGCAACACCGACAGTTAGACGGTAAACACGACAAGGCTGTTCGCCTCGAGGCCGAGCTAGAGAGGAAGATGACTGAGATTGAAGAGATGCGACATCATCAAGACGAGTATGCGGCTTCATACAATGCATTGGAGAAAGAGGTGCAAAGCTTGCGGGATGATAAGAGGGCGTTTGAGAAACTGGTTGCCACGCTGCAAGAGAAAATCAGACATTTGGACGTCCTAGAGGAGTGGGAGGAGCCGAACGAGCTCAACAGGACTACCTCGCCACGTCACATCACTATCCAGGACGGCCCTTACGATACTGCACCCTCTAGCCCCATCTCTTCTCATGCGAGGAGTTCTATTGGCCACGTTAGCGTGCAGCTTGAAAGGCCACAGACGAGCGCCAGCACCGTCTCCCACGAGGAAGATCTTGACTCGTGGGCGATGCAAGTCGAGAAGATACGCATGCAACGCAATGATGCGGCAGTCCAACTCAAAGGCATGAAGAAGTCGCGACACAACCTCAAGAAAACTCTGAGGGACACCGATGCGCAACTCCACCGGCTAGAGAAGGAAACGAAGACGTGAGTGTCCCATGGAAGGATCACGCAATAGAATGAATGACTAACAAACCTCCAGCAAACGACCCCAGAACCTTCTCCGAAAGAAGAGTCGTCCAATGACTCCTAATCCTCTTATTACTGACCAAGCCCGCACCTCACCCTCCCCGCGCATTGGCTCTTCATCCCCCCAAACACCCACTCGCCAAACCACCTCGAACACATTCTTCTCGCCTCGAACCACTATGAGCGCCAACTCACGGCACAGCACATATATTGCTCCTACCAATCCCGATAAGGGAGCTACACCTTCGACGCCTGAACGTCCCAAGACCAGTCATAGTCTGCGCAACAGGCTGAGCTATCGCCCTACGACTAGTGTTGGTGATGAACATGCGGGCGTGTCGCCTAGGGGGCATGGACACGTGAGAAGGTGGAGTTCTGGATTGCGGAGTTTGTTTCATAAGGATGCGTGATACCTCTGTTTTCGTCTTTGATGTTTTGTTCTTTTTAGTCAATTGTCTCTTTCCACTTCGTGCTCTGCCCATGCTCTTTCTCCATATAGTGTTATTCTTTCCATTGCTGTTGTTTTCGTTGTTCTGCTTCTTGTACACCGGTTATCGTTTCGTCTTTTGGGGTGTTTCTGTGCGTTTGAGATTGGATGGGTCGACTCTCACGGGTCAGGTATTCTGGTTACCAACGGTTCTATGGGAGGTCTCTAGCGTCGCTTTTACATTTGTACAAGAAGTCATGAGGCATTTAGTCATAATCCGTTTCCTTTCTCTCGATCTCATCAACGCCTTCTATCTCGGATGTACTTTAAGCCGACACCAGGGCTAATTCCGATAGCGTATATCTGCCTCGCATAACCACATTCTAGTTCGCCAGTTTTGAGAATCATGGAAAGTCTGATCGCTAGTACTTATTGACGTAAATAACTAAGCGAGCCGTGGAAATGATGAGTATGGCCTGCCACTGGGGTCTTCACCAGCATCTTTGACCCACTAAGCCCAAGCTGTGTAAGACATTGTTTGTTTCTTGGTCCTCTATTGCTGTCTATATGTATCATGTGGAAATAGAAAAGACCACCCTCGCTGAAGCACGACAGCTGCATGGTTCATCTTTCGCCTGACGAACAGATGTCCATCTTGGGCTTTCGCAAACCTTGGAAGCCTGCACCCACAAAACTACAACCCCACTTCAACGATTGGACCGACATATGTCTTCTTGCCTCTGAAAAAGTACCAGGCGATAGCGAAGATTACTGTCCCCCCAAACGTGACAGAACTAAAGTTCATCGATTGTGCATCGACCTCCACAGAGCCTGGCCAGAAAGAGAAGAACCACAGTACGAATAGGTACACGCATGCAAACAGATTATTGGCAACACCGAATGCGCCGGGAACCTTCCAAGGCCCCCACTGCAGTGTATCCGGTCCCACCATGGCAGCCTGTGGATTGTGCGGGCTGATGCCTTTGAGACGGCGCCAAAGAAGCAAGGCGCAGACGATGAAGTATGAGGCGTAGAGCCCACCGATGCTGAGGTTGACGATGTTGCTGAAAGCAACGAACGAGCCAAGTGCGATGAAGGATAGAAGTACCGAGATCCCGGCCGTAATCATGATTGTATTAACGGGTATGAGTGTGCGGGGGTTGAGCTGTCGGCGTTAATATAGCCATACTGAAATGGTCAGAAGAGAGGCATTCACCTTGGTAACTTGAGCGGAAAATGGCACGGCATTATCTCTCGCGAATGACCACATCTGTCGTGAAGTGGCGGCCATCAGGCCGACTAGGCAGCAGACACCCAGAGTCCACATGATCATAGCCATGGTCGCAGCCCCGGCAGCAGAGCCGGTACCCTTCAAGAAGACGTATAGGTAGGGATACCCAAGCGTCGCTGAAGACTCCAGTACATCATCTAAGTCTCCAAGACAGAAAAGATACGCGATCAACATTGCTAAGCCCAGCGTGCCATTCAACAATACACTGATCTGAATGGCTCGCGGTACCACCTTTGACGCATTCTTGACTTCTTCGGCCATCTGTCAGGAATTAGTACGCTGACGGGCAACCAGCTGAACGACGACTTACGTGAACACATGAATCGACACCTGCAACGGTTAGCACTAAAGCCCAACAAGTCTTATGAAGAATTTCGCTTACCAACAAGTGCGAAGACTGATGATGGTAGTCCAACCATGAAAGAAAGCGCTTGTGTCGACCAACCTCCGGTGTTGACGAATGTGGTGAAGATTGAGGCATCGCTATGAGGAGCAAGATACACAAGTGGAATCAAGATTGCGAAGAAGCCTAGTAAATGCAGTATCAAGATCAGTCCTTCGAAATGTGCGAGGGTTTTGCTTCCAACAGTGTTAATGACGACTGCAAATGCAAGCACGGCCCAACCAAGCAGCATTGCTTGGTACGGCTTTGGCGAGTAAGACGAGTCGCACATCAGAATCGTGCTTTGCAGAATAGTTCCTGCGAGGTATGCCGAAGAAGCGGTGGTGGCCTGCCAGCCGATGAGTGTTACCCATCCAGTGATGTAGCTTGAAAACCTTCTGTACGACGGTGGGGCCAACATGGCGACCCAACTAAGAACGCATCAGCTATGAAGGTCCATAAGATCGGGTCACTTACTGGTACTGCCCACCTGCGGTGGGTGCCATCGAGGACAACTCGGACAAGACCGTATAGATGGAGATGGAACCAATCCATATAAGGATGTAGCCCCAGAAGACACCCGCAGGACCACCATTCAGCAGACTAGGAGTGGAAACTTGGAGTATACCTTCCCAGGTTACCAACACAGTACATGACTGTAATGGTGAAGATGTATAGTCAGTGTATGCCTCTGTTCATCCCATGCACTCAAAACTTACAAAGCCCAATATTTGCATGAAGCCGAAGTTACGCTTCAATGCTGGCTTCTTGCCCAATCGCATAAGGTCCATGTCATCTCGAGTGTAACCATCGTGGCCAGCTTCTTCGACGGCAGAAGCGACTGCTTCAGCCTTCGACCGATTGCCAAGTTCCATGGCTTCAGGTGAAGTATTCAGAGAAACAAACCTACCACAAGAGATAGTGATGAACACTGCAATGAATGCGAAGAAAACAAAATATGATCGCGGCCTCTTAAAGTCGCTGTGATTAGTGGCGTCGCGTTCACACGTCGGTTATGCGAAGATTCATCCAGATTGTTTCGCTAGACGAATCGAGCAGGTTACATGCTGTGCCGCAACTTGTGCCGCATGAGAAGCCGCGGGGTGTCTTGATAACGGAGTTTCCATGATGATTAGATCTTCCGTTCTTGTGCGCAACACACCTATCGACAAAGTGATGTGAAACCCAGGTTCGTAATTTTGCTTACAAACCGAAAACACTTCGAAAAGTCGTTCACACATGTAGTGTACTGCGTGAGCTGTCGTAGACTTCTCTACTCCTTCCAGCTCAACAATATAACCCCCACCTCAATGCGACGATCTTGACTCAATACGCATCCTGCGGGATTCGGGTGGAATTGGCCCTAGATACCGCGGACGCTACCGTCCCGAGCGGTACCTAGTGTTGGCTGCGCCCAGAGTAGCCGCTATGGTCGTACAAAGATCCCATCCTCTTCACCAGAAGCCTCGTGCCGCAACCTGCCGTATTGCTTCGTGACCGCAACTCGTTAAGGTGTCCGTGTCCTCTGGTTTTCGTCTGATTGGTGCTCCAAGATGACAGTCCTGCACGAATGAGGCGTAGGCATCTTAAGCGACCTATGACACCGTGCCAAGCATATCATATGCTTGTCACGAACGCGCAAGCTTGTCCGTATGCTAAGGACAGACAGATAACCCCCCTTACGTACTCGACATCCTGCCTGTTGCCCAGTTATGCAGGTTTACAAAAGAAGTTGGAAGATTCACCTACATCCGTGGGGGTGATGCCAGTTGTGTGGACATAGGAACGCCTCTATGGAAGAGTGACATGAGATGCGAGCAGGATCATGTTGTGGCACTGGCATCATCCATGGGCACCATGTGATTTGGGAATGTTGGAATGAGGCACAGAGATAACGGCAACAAGGAGTTGTCCCCTATGTGCTGAACTATATCCTGAGATCACGCTGCTCCAACAATTAGACCATCAGTGCCACCACTGGGATCAGCATTTCTAGCATGTTTTCTAAGCGCAAAGCTATGGACGCTGGAAAGCGTCCTGCATTCCACGAAGGCCATGCAGCGCCGTTGATTCAGATTCTGGCATGGCTCTTTCTCGTCTTCTCGATATTAGCTGTTACAGCGCAGTTTGCCACCAAGAAAGCTATGGCTCGGCAATTTGTACGAGCTGACTTCGTACTGTTAGCCGCTTTGGTAAGTGTTTGAGAAGAAGGGTGACAAGTTTTCTCACTGACAGACACCGTCACAGGTTCTGTCCGTAGGACAGGCAGCTACACTTCTTAGTCCTGCTGGTCAGCCTATCGGGAATCTACAGGCTGGTCTCTCACCAGATCAAATTGACGGGGCCTGGAAGGTGAATAACGTGAAGTCATTAAAATGCACCACTGACAATTTTAGGCTTTGTTCAGCAGCGAGATATTGAGCGTGCTTACCATCATTGCCGCCAAAGGCTCACTGCTCGTCTCTCTTGGGTCAGTGACACCGGTCGCTGGACACCAGATGATGATGCGCGCAACGGGCGTTCTGACACTACTATGGGGATTGAGTGCTGTCTTTCTCTTCGCCTTCCAGTGTCCATCGCCACAGCGATGGGATATTACGAACCCAAAATGTATGGATATCGTGAGTTCGACCGGTAGTTCTGTATAGCTCGTATCCCGAATTGACTCACTTCAGCGCGCCATACGAACGTACAATGCTGTCATGAATATCACGACTGACCTTGCGCTTGCAATTGTGCCGACACTGATGGTACTACCGCTGCAGATTACATCGGAGAAACGCCTGACACTCGTCACTGGCTTTTGGTCACGCATAGTGTAAGCCACATCCCCGTTACATCCTTTTACCACCGAGCTTGCGCTGACATGGAAATCTCGTAGTGTCGTATTCGCCTCCGCTGCTCAGATCGGATATATCCGTAGCCTACCCCAACAAAGCGACCTTCTTCACTCGATCTGGCGCATCGTCGTATGCGGACAAGTAGCTCAAGTCGCTAGCATCATGACCACAACGATCCCCTTCCTGAAACCTTTTATGATGAGCCTCGACTCGGGCCTCTGGAGCGCCAACCATGCTGGTGTTGCTACTACGTCAAGCTATGCATCTGCAGTTCGTACAGGCCATTTGTCGAGCTATGTCAAGATTGCCAGTCAACAGAGTCGAGATCCATCGATCGTGAAAGGAGACAAGGATATCGATATCTGGGTACGCAAGGAAATAGTGGTAAAGAGAGAACCGAGTATCGAGCTGCGAGATATCGGAGGGATTGGAAGATAACTACGAAAGAAGGGTCTCTTTTGTTACGGTACCTTCAGCTATTCATTGCGAGCAGGTTTAGTGTCCCATTATCTCAGAAAGTTCGTTGGACTCCAAATCATCTTGTTGTATGTTTTTGGCGTGAATCTCTCATTCACCTTCACTCCCACGCAGCACGCTTAGACGTCCCGCGTAGTCCACCTGACTCTTTCCTCATCGAGAGCAGTGACGTAGCGTCAAAAACGCGCTCTTACCTCGCAAGCCAAAAACTCTTTCCACGACTATACCTCCCACCTTCCTTCTCTAACCATACCACCTCAACCAATACCCGAACGTCACCATGAGGCTCAACGCCATCATCCTCGTTACTGGTCTTCTAGCTTTTGCAAACGCTGATCTAGTCGTCCGCAAGGACATTGATTACAACAAAGGCGCTCCCGAGTCACACGGCGTTATTGGCAAGGCTGGTGACGACGAATGCGTAGCACTGGGCTGTGACGCCAGCTTGCCAGCTTGCCTCGAGCAGTGCGCGCCAGGATTGCATTGCGAAGATTATTGCGCGTGTTACTTGCACTCTAACCCAGAATCGATCTGTCGTCAACAGGGTATGTGAACAGCAAAAGGCTTTTGACGCTTCCAATTATGCTAACAGTAAGACAGGATGCGTCAAGGCTCCTCAAGACTGCGACAAGTGGGAGCTTACTGAACGTGACACAGCATCTGCTGGTTCCGCGATTGCCGATTCAGATAGCATTGCTGTGGGCGACCAACAGTCTCCTCCGATCGACCATTGTCAAGTCTGCCGGGCCGCTGTCTACACGTGCCAACAGAACTGCCGCGGTGACAAGGCTTGCGAAACAACATGTAGTTGTCCCGTCACCGACCAGGATAGCTGTCACAAGTGCTCGACTACCACCTGTTCTACCACTGCTCAAGTAGCAGACACCAATGACCCCGAGTCACCCCCAATTGACCATTGCCAAGTCTGCCGGTCCGCCATCTACGCCTGTCAACAAAACTGCAATGGTGACCAGGCATGCAAGACAGCGTGCCTATGTCCTAGCACTGAGCGGGAAAGCTGCGGCAAGTGCCAGTCCTTCAATTGTCCAAGCTCTTAGAGTCAAGCGGCCGTTGATGTTCCTTCGTTATGAGCGGCCATAGGGGCACCTCGTTTAAAGTAGGAAGTCCAACTGAAACGAGGCATGTCGATGTCCAGTGAAGGTGATCCTATAGGAGGGAGGCGTTCGGCAGTATGTACATCCCCGTAGGCCCAATATCGGATGGTAAATTTCTTTCAGACGTTGTTTCCATCTTTCACACGTGTATGATCAGTGCCCAGCCGGGTATATGTGCATTCGCTCCTGGACGGTCTAACGGCATGTGGCGGGATTGCGGTGAGGCTAATTCGTATCGATGCGTGGGCAGACTGCAATATAGGCACAGGCAGCGTCTTGGAATGTCTGATTAAGCTTTGCCAATATTGCCTTAGCGCAACATGCGAAGCACTTGTGTTCATAGGGGCTTCCGGGCATAGACAACGGTTCCAGGTAAGTATGCGTGAGCGCGGTAGCTCTTCAGCTCCTTGCGCATCTGCGCTAGATGCACTTGTGCTCGTGCAACGGACCACTAGAGTTGTTCAGTAATGCCCACGATAAGCTCGTCGTTAATACTCACACCTCCGACCTGTGTCAACAATCGCAGCATGAAGCCTTCGACCCCGTCCATCAACCGCAACTGGTTCCATCGTCCGATATTCTTGAGATCCTTATCCTTTGGCCAGCCGTTCATAGGCCATTTATACTCCATGACCGTCACATCCACAAAACCGGCTCGTTTGATCCTCTCGGCACTCTCTTCCCATATGGTAAAGGTCTTGCCGAAACGATCGCCCATCTCAACAACAACCTTCCCCCACGTATGGTAGAAGTGATCTGGACCCATTGTGTCATCGTCGGATATAGGGCACACCGAGTGCTCGACAATCTCTATCCAGCCACCAGGTTTAGTGTGTCGGTAGGCTTGCTGGAAGAAGAAGTCCCAGTCTGGTATGCAACCGAAGAGTTCGCGAATGTGTATGAAGTCGAAGTGGTTCGGCGGAAATGTCCACTCGAGCGAGACATCGTCGATTTCAAAGTGACAGTTGGGTGGGACCCATTCGGGTTGTATGGGAGAAAGGTCGGTACCGGTCACGATCGCAGAAGGATATTGGTCTGCCATGTCCTGAGACTGTCAGTATGAAATAATACTGTAAGCGAGGTATGTCCTACAATCGCCCATATGCCAGTACCTGTGCCGCAGTCTAGTATTGTCTGTGGGTTTTGTAGAGGCGCAAGATGCAATTTCTGGTCAAGCGTCAAGAGATACATGTGGTGAGCAAAGTCCAATATCTCCTTGGCGAGCTCATCGTTCGGTCCCCAGTATGCGCCGTCTCGGTACGCGTGGTACTGCCGTCCATTCTCAATACGATGGTTAAGAATGGATGACGCGAGCGAATTCGTCTCGTCGCCAAGGAGACTTCCGCTGTCGAAGGCTGAGTCTGAAGAAAAGCCAGCCTCGTCGTCATTGTTAGGTGGTGAGGGCTCGGAATCCATCGACAAATGGTGGTGTTCAGGGGTTGGTTGTTGTGGGTATGGCGACGTCGAGCCATCGCCGAGATGTATGGCACTATCTTGATGATGCATGCCGATGCCCTCGGATGGCTTTTGCGACGACGAAGATGCCATGGCTGCGCGATTCGCGGGTGAGGTATGGTGGTGTGGAGAATCAAGGCCTCAAAGCCCGGAAACCAACAGGTTACATATTGGTGACTCTGGTGCCGATGTACTGGGAATTTGCTGGTGCTGACTCTGGTCCCTCTTTGGTGGCTTTGTCAATGGGCGAGGGGTCTCTGAGAAAGTGGAGCTGTGCAGCGATGGCGTCGCCGCCGCGTCCGCGCAGCATCCCCGAGCAGATCAAGCGGATCGGTCTGCTCCTCCGGCTGCTGCTATTCGTGCGTGCGCTTCCACAACGCGCGCCAAAAGCATCGTTGATGCATCGCATGCACGTCAGTTGAGCGGTTCAGGGTAAGCGAGATCATTGCTTCTCTTTGCCGATGTTGCACGAACAATTTGGGCTCAGGAGGCAGGAAGTCGATATTAAACATAACAACTACCTCCAGAAGCTGTATATAGGTGTATACGTCCCGTATCAGATGGGTTGAATGTCGTGGTGAACGACATGATGGGGCGACATTCAGCTCACCGTTCATGTCCTATTCGGCCCGTTCTGGGCCGCAGCGTGCGTTAAAGGTGGTGGGTGGGCCGAGCGGCCTTCCACTGTGGAGACTCGAACTTAGTTGTAGAGAATGCGAAGAACAGGTTGAGAGATGACCCAAACATCGCTGATCTCTGGCTATTTGCTATGGAAAAACCAACTGCCGACGGCGAAGCGCGTGCGGCGCAGTTGCCCATTCTCGTAATTGGCTCTGGTAAGCGACGCGTACGCCGCATACCTGCGCATGGTCTCACTCATTCGCAGGAACCTCTGGACTCGCACTCGCTCAAGGCCTTCGCAAAGTACGTACTCGTCTGTGTAACGTAACGTAGATAGTAGCCTTATTGGAGAACCAGGCGAATATTCCGTGTATCGTCTTCGAGAAGAATGGCGCAAAGCATGGCGAGCGCGACTGGAACATGGGCCTTCATTGGGGCGCACCAGCATTGAAAAGCCTCATGCCAGACGGCTGGTGGGATCGCATCCAGAGCGTTTCCGTCGACCCGAACGTGCCCACAAAGGAGCAGGATACGCTGAAGTGGCTGCGAGGCGACACCGGAGATCTGGTCGCAGCCATTACCTTCGGGCCTTTCTACCGCCTACGAAGGAGCAAGTTGCGCGACATGTTAATGCAAGGCCTTGATATACAGTTCGACAAGCGCTTACAAGACGTCTCATATGCAAACGACAATCAGTCAGTCACAGTACATTTCGCCGATGGCACAACGGCAACTGGAAGCATGTTGGTAGGTGCCGATGGAGCTCGCTCTTCGACCAGACAGATCCTATTGGGTCGCGAATTGGGTGCCATCAACCACATACCATATGCTGCCACTTTTGTTCAGTGTAAGTTTACCGTGGAACAAGCTCTCTTCTTGAGGTCTTTTCACCCGCTGTACCTAGCATGCGCGCATCCCAATAACAACTTCGCCTTCTTTGGCATGCATGACGCACCGGATGCAGATGATCCGTCGTCCTGGACGTTCTTCTACTATATCTCGTGGAAAAGTAGTTTGGAAGAGCAGGAGGCGACCAAGAATTGGACTGGTGCTCAGCGACTGGCACAACAGAAGGAATTCGCCAAAGAGTTCTGCGACCCGTGGAGGAGTGCGCTTGAGTGGACACCAGATGGCACCCCCGTGTGGTATCTGGGGCTCAGTGACTGGGACCCCGGAATGGAAGGCCATCGTTGGGATAACCACCACGGCTTAGTTACCATGGTTGGCGACGCTGTCCATCCAATGACCTACCAAAGAGGGCAAGGCCTCAATCACTCGGTCACGGACGCTGGAAAGCTGCATGAAGCCATCACTAAGATTCAAGCTGGAGAGGATAGAAAAGCTGCGATAGATGCATTTGAAGAGGAGATGATCAGGCGTGGGGGTGGAGAGGTTAGAGACGGTACGGCGAATACAATGATGCTTCATGATTGGGAACGCGTGAGGCAAAGTCCTCTTTTCACAAAGGGTATGAAAAAGGTCGATGCTTAGCAGAGGACAGCTTCGGTATGCTCTTTCCTTCAACCCACGCTCTCTGTCGGTCATACGAACAAACAATATCATGCATGACCTTTTATTAGCCTCATCCCAAATCCCTGGTCTATCGTTATTGCGATTGATGCAGCTATGTGATTAACAACGCCCTGTCGATACCTGGGTATACATATGCATTACGGTGCTGTGCTGACTGTTGGTTTCGCATTAGCGGCAATTTGGGCATTCAGTACTCACGATTACCAGCATCACGTATAACACCAACACTTCTTTACCACTCTAACATCCTGCGATGATTTCATGTCGCGATGCTCAATTCACTGCAGTCTTTTGTGATGTTGTTGGTGCTGTCTCTGGTGAATTATGGACCCCTCATCTGGCGTTCAGAGATGCCTCGGATAACATTGTCCAAACAACATGACGTCGGCCATCCTCGGTCCTGGCCACAACGCGATTCCAAGTCAACGCTTGACATATACCATCTTTACAGCCTTTGCAGCTGACAGTGCGACGCGTTGCTTCATCACTCCTAACATAGCTCGACCAATCTTACCTCGCTTTCAAGTTCCGAAGGCCTCAGCATATCAGCGATGACTTCCCCTTCCGAGTTCCATGGTTGGCTAGGCCACGATAAGAATGCCGCGCAGGGCAACATGACCTGGTCATCCTTCAAACCCAAGCCGTTCAACGACATAGACATCGATATCAAAGTCTCCCATTGTGGTATCTGCGGCACCGACATACACACTCTGCGATCTGGCTGGGGTGCGACACACTATCCCGTATGCGTCGGTCACGAAATTGTAGGAAATGTTGTGCGAGTTGGAGACAAAGTGAAGAACCTGAACTTGGGCGACAGGGTTGGCGTAGGCGCGCAAGCTTTCAGTTGCTTGAAGGACGACTGCGAGGAATGTAGCGCAGGCATCGAACAGCATTGTACCAAGATGGTTGGCACATACAACGCCAAGTACCCGGATGGAAGCTGGAGCATGGGTGGATATGCAGACTATGTTCGCGTCCCAGCGCATTTCGCCATTAGGATACCAGCTGGGATAAAGAGCGAAGATGCAGCGCCCATGATGTGCGGCGGCATTACAGTCTATGCGCCGCTGAAGAACAACGGCGCAGGCCCTGGGAAAAAGGTGGGAATTGTAGGCCTAGGAGGCTTGGGACATTTTGGCGTCTTGTTTGCGAAAGCTTTAGGCTGCGAAAAGGTCGTAGCGATAAGCCGACGAAGGAACAAAGTCGACGATGCAAAGGCCATGGGCGCAACAGACTATATTGCCACGTCTGAAGACGAGAAGTGGGCGCGCAATCATAGCCGGACCCTAGACCTTATCATTAGTACGGTATCCTCTCCAGACATGCCTCTTGAGTCATACCTTCGCCTCCTTCGCACGGGTGGATCCTTCATACAAGTCGGCGCGCCCGAGGACAAACTCCCTCAAATCGCTGCATTTGGTCTCATTGGTAAAGGATGCAAGATTGGAGGTAGCCAGATCGGCAGCCCCAAAGAGATAGAGGAGATGTTAAAATTCGCTGCTGACAAGGGGGTTAAGCCATGGGTGCAAAAGCGCAACATGAAGGACGCGAATAAGAGTGTGGTTGACATGGAGGAGGGACATGCGCGTTATCGTTATGTTCTCGTAAATGCCGATCATGGAGACAGGGCGAAGATGTGAGCGTATTAGGGTTGTCACGTCATCTAGGCGAGCATATACCATCCACGAATCAAGCCACCACATCAACTCTACTATCGACTTGCTCAAACACAAATCTTACCAGACGATCCGAGATTTCTGACGCTGGCGTTTGCTTCACAAACCTACACTGTCTCGGAGATCCTCGTCTTCTTCGCAAGTCCTCTTGTAATGTCTTACACCACACAGGTTGATTCACGATGCGCGTCAAGCCAGTGCTGTACTACCACCATTGCCTCATTGTGCACGCAGTGAAAGTGATTCCGCATTGCTTGGGTCATGCGTGAGACGAATCTCCTCCGCTGCCTCAAACCGTTACCCCAATGCCTTCGTTCTCACTGGCTCAGATCTCAGGGCCACCCAAGGTTCCACGTCTGCGCGAACCAAACGGGTTGAGTCGCACAGTAAAAGCTTGCGCAACACTCTTCACGTCGTTCATCTGGGCTCCAATTATGTCTTGGTTTACGAAGAAAGCACCCAAGGCGCTTATCATTGGCATGCACCTAACGCGCGATGAGGTCCAAATCCTCATACAAGCCTGCCAAGAGCTCGAAGGCTCTATGACCCGTCAGAAAGAAGAGATGGAAGCCTTCACAAAGACCAAAGGAAGCGATCATGCGCGCCGCGCCATGAAGTCGATTCTAGAGCGTCACCACCGTATCTACGACCGACTCGATAACCTCACCCTTCGCCTACGCAATAACCACTCGAAAGGGTCATTCAGGGTAGAACTCGAAGAACTCGCAAGGATTATGGCGCGCCAGCGGTCACTCTGGGCTGAGCACTCAGGACGGTTGGACCTGGGCTGGAAAGTCGTCTCAGAGCGATACTGGCCACTGATAGCTGATAGCTATGCGATCCTCTTCGATATTCTCAGTAGCTTCAAACAAATCCTCAACAGCAGTTTGCTAGACGACGCACTCTGGTCTGACGAGGCGATGAAGCGAAACCGTCGCATTTGCCCCAAGTCCTTGAAATCGGCACTCAAGGGCTCTTCCCTTGGCAAGCCAAAGTCAAAGGACAAACATGTCGTTTTCGAAGAGACATACCATTCGCGCATTTTTAGCCAAAAAGATGCGCCTAAGGAGGTGAGCGAGGCGCATGCGAATGCTGAATGGCAAGAGTATGGGCGCGGCACTGATTTCGTGGGGAAGCTTGCCAGTGACGGAAAACGTTCGGCGAAGCATTATCAGACCAGGGTGCATAAGAAGAAGACAGACACGCGAATTGCGGTGCCTTATCGGGGGTCAATAAGGAGGGCCGAGATTAGCGATAGAGAGAAGCGACAGGAAGAACAGAGGAGAGAAATACGACCGGTATTTGAGCGACCGAAAGTAGAGACGGGGCGAAGAATGACAGGAACCAGGATGTTCTTTGACAATTTGCAGGAGACGAGAATGTTTGTCCCACTTTGAAGAGCGAGACACTGTTGGCGAAGATTGAGAGCGGGATCTGAGGATGAGATAGGCGTCGATGGATTTCTTTGACATGGAAGTAGACATTTAAGCTAGTGATTAAACCTCAGCGATGAAGCAATGTACCAGTACCGATGTCCCATCCTCATCAGATCACCTACTCCAGATCGGTCCAGTCATCCTTTCTACGGAGCGCCTTTCCAAGTTCCTTGATTGCATCACCCAGCGGCTTCTTGATTTGCCGTTGATACACCGCCACGACATCCCGTACACCCTGAACATCTACCATCCCGTTCTCCCGTCTCCCATCTACCATTACCTTATTCAATTCCGTGAACGCTTCAAGAAGAACCTGCACCGGCCCTTGAGCATTTCCAAACCGCTCTAATACCTTGATACCATTTTGAAGGACGAACTGACCACGCGTGGTGAATTCGTTAACTATCTCTCTACGCTTCTTCTGAGACGCAACACCCATGTCGTGGAAGCTCTCGATCTGAGCATCAATATCGGATTCGAGTTGCTTTAGCGTCCCCAAAGTCTGTTCAGTGTCTTTGCGTGTTAGGACGGTACTGTAGATACGAGATACCTGACGAGCGCGCCTAAGCTCTTGTTGCAAACGACGCTTCCTGGAGGCTTCAGTTTCGAGCTCGTTGTCGGATTCAGGTGGTGTAGAGTCCTGGACAGCGGCAGAGAAGCGACCGTGACCGAGCAGAAAGGAAGTAAAGCCTGGCATGTTGGACTGTTGCGAGGTTGATTTGGTTTATGTGATGGTTGAAGAAGTTCGGTACTTGTGGTGGTGATGATAAAAGTGAACGGTGACGACAAAATGTTCTGTGCTGTTGAAAGGTGGTAGAGATATAGGCACCAAGCTTCAAAATGCTGCAATATCTGGTCTTTAATTTAGTAGTAGGGATCTTACATGGCGCACAAAACACGCCTGCCCTCAAGTCACAGGGGCTTCTGTATTCACAGGGGAGTTTGCTAGAACCTGCACAATTACATCAATGGAGTTGCAATCACGTTTGTTTCACTAGCAGCACAGAATTCGCGTAGACAAGTGAGAACGTACAGTGCGTGCAGAAACATTCTTGTCCTTCCGCGACGGATGGAACGCTTGTAATATTATGAATACCCACAAGTAGCAAAACAATGCGTCATGACAAGTGTTGCAAGTGTTCGCCGACCGATTTTGATCAGACCCAACAGTCTAGTGGTAGTGTTCCATACTTGCCTTTTCAAAGCAACTCCAGACTTTTGCTGCGAAGCCAAGCCGAACAAGGTTTCAGATCAAATGCCGATGTTTCCCGAACCAGCATGCTTGTTGTGCTTCGTCGAGGTGGGAGTAGAGCAATTTAGACAAAGTCATCCGCGGGCAAAGGTGTACCAATCTGAGTGCGGTCGCAGGTCGCTTTCACCGTATCATCCAAACGGTCCAGGTAGTGATCCAAAGTCCCATTGGGGTACTATCGAAGGCGATCCTCTGTCCGAGAAGTCAGCTTCAAAGGCCTGTAACCATCTTGTTAATCTTTTCCAACTCACGCATTTTGTTCAGCTCGTCCAGAATCAACTGGAGCTCTTCCTCGTCCATGTTCAGCGAGGGAATGAGCGTGGTGGCTTCCTCGGCGGTATCCGGAGTCAGCGTTCCTAACACTGTTGTCAGTACAGCGCTTCCTCTCTTCTGGCTCATGTATTACCCAGCAGCGCCTTCTCGACAACGGAGATCTCGGGGTGGGCATCGAAGAGGGCAGCAATGGAGTGCAGACTGTCTTCTTCCTTGTATCGGGCGAAGTTGTCGAGGTAATCGAGAAACTGCGTGATGGTTCTGCTGCAGTCAGCACCGGCCTTTGACCCTGCAGCTTGTGCGCAACGACTCACATGCTGTCGTTGTATATCCTGTCGCGCAGCGGATTGTTCTCGGGGTCCTTCTTCTTTCGTGCCTCGTGGACGGCTGTGACGACGGCGCGCGCTTCGGAGACGGACAGCGCATGGACATCTTCAAAATCGCCCAGCTTGATCTCAGAGCCCATCTCCTCCTCTTGCTGCACCGGGGGCTTTGGGCGAGAGACTAGCCTTGGGGCCTTAAACACAGGCGGCTCCTGCCTCTGGGTCGGCGCATTTTCCGACTCTCCTTCCATGGTGAAGGTCGGCAGTGAGTGGTATGACGCGGTTGGGGTGAGTGGTTTAGAGGTCTTTGTTTTGGATGCAACGGGTTATGGCGGCCCGGGTGGTGAGTGAGCTCGGTCCTGCTAGTGAAAGCGACGAAGCTGGCGTATGCGTGAGGGTGAGGGACGGTTCTGGCAGTAGCGACGGGCGTACCTTGCAGTCGCGAGCAACAGGCTGGACTGGGTGGAAGTCGCGACTGTCGAGATCTCGAACGCCAAGGCCCAAGGACGCTAGCATGTCAGCCATGAACCTTGAAACAGGCGGCTTGAACAGCCTTCCCCGCTGACTTCCATCGGGTGCCTAATGCTCAAGGAATAGCCTGCCATGTGCCGAGGATGCTGTGGGAAATAACTCGTGTGTGCGTGTGTGCGTGCAGACGACGTAGTGCATTTTGTGAAGGCTGCGTGCGTATCGCGTATGGCTAGCTGTATACGCAGCCGAGGACAGAACAGGTGCATAACATGCCATCTAATGCCGGCTTTCTTCAAGGCTAAACTAAGCTCAAGGGGTCGATGCTGCTGCCGGGCATGCTCATGTGCATCGCAATCAGCTTTTCACCAAAGCGGCTTAGCCCGTTCACCGACATGCGTCCACTCCTCGAACATTGACCACAGCCGCAGTGACACAGGAACAACCACCAGCCTCACACCACACGACGCCTCCTGCGAATCTTCCGCCAAGCACACAGTGGTTGCGCTTCTTCGAGTTGCATGTTCATTGTCGTTCAATCCCTCTACTTGCCCTACCCGCCCTGACCGCGTTTCATCCACCGCTCAGGGTCCTCGTCCTATGCCCCCCATAGCACGTCGGGCCTAATTCACCACCACGCCTCCCTCCTCCGCGGCGGCCGCATGCCGAACGAGTTGCTTTTGCGCCCATTGTACATAGCATCCCTTACATCCACCACACCCGACCGAGCCAGCAGCTGCGCATCCAGACACAGAGCGCGCTCGCCAACGCACCGCCGCCGCCCTTCGACCCTTGGCCACCTGCCTGGATAGATCCACCCGCGACTCGACACCCCTCTCGTCGCCAGCACCGCCTGCACGACACCGTACACCATACCGCGATACCTGCCCTCAGGCCCTCTGTACGCACCCTCGCCTCTCTGTCACGCGCCCCTCGCACCTCGGCTCCCACACGAACCTGTCACGTACCCTGCATCACAGAGCACGACTACCGAAGCTGGCGTAATTGGACATGGGAACACCGGCGGAGGGACCGCCTCCGATGGATAATCAGGGCGCCCAGTCACAGTACACTGCCTACGACCCGCGCAATGGTGGCCTCTCGAGGCGAGCCACCGACGAGGCCGCATCTTCGTCCAACAGTCTTGCGCCCTATGACCGCACCAACTATCCCCCGCGATCGTCGACCGACCCTGGGGAGCAAAACCAGGCCGCCCCGAAACCAAAGCGTAGCGGCAAGATCTGTGGCAAGTGCGGAGAAGGACTGACTGGACAGTTTGTGCGGGCTTTGGGCGATACGTACCATCTGGAATGCTTTACCTGTCACGTAAGACACCCATGTTGTTTCTTGGAATGGAGGAATTGGGCGCTTGCGTGTCTTTGTGCCCTGCAGTGGCTGGACTTGGCGCATTGCTGTTCAGGGTGGACTGCTTCCAATATTCTTGAGCGCTTGATTTCTCCATGTAGCTTTATTGATCATCTTGCTGACCTGCGTCTAGGACTGCGGCAAAATTGTTGCATCCAAGTTCTTCCCCGTTCCTGACAAGCCCCCCGGGCAGTACCCCCTCTGCGAGACAGACTATTTTCGACGGCTCGACCTCCTTTGCTTCGAATGTGGGCAAGCCCTGCGTGGCTCATACATCACAGCGCTCGACCGCAAATACCACATTGAGCACTTTACCTGCTCCGTATGTCCCACAGTGTTCGGCGCATCCGACAGCTACTACGAGCACGAGGGAAGCGTCTACTGTCACTACCACTACTCCACCAAGTTCGCTCAACGGTGCAACGGCTGTCAGACATCGATTTTGAAACAATTCGTTGAAATCTTCCGAAATGGGCAGAATCAGCATTGGCATCCGGAATGCTATATGATTCACAAATACTGGAATGTCAGGCTACATTCCACAGGCCAACCAGTCATCGAGCGGTTGCAAGATGCCGATGGCGACGCGACCGACGAGGTGCGCGAGAGTGTGCGCCAACAGGAGGAAGAGATCGAAGCTAAAGTCAATTGGATCTGGAAGACCCTGTCGGCTTTCGAGGAAAAGTCCGCGACGTGCATCTCCGACATGCTGCTCCATGTCAGTAACGGAGCTTACGTTGACGGTGTCATGGCAGCTAAGAAGTTCATCGTGCACGTCGAACTGCTTTTTGCGGCTGCAGATGCGCTCGACGCGCAGTTAATCGTCAGGACGCCCAAGGGACTGACCTACTCCCGCGAATCGAAGCTACTCTGTAAGAAAGTGGTAGCCTTCTTTGCGCTTCTTACCCAGTCCCAAGGTACCGGCGTTCGACGACTGGGCGTGACCCAAGAACTGTTGTCACTGGTCACTGGTTTGGCCCACTACCTAAAGCTCCTCATTCGCATATGTCTGCAGGGTTCTCTAAAATTAGAGCGCGAAACCCGGAGCTCGACCGGTTTGACCAACTTCCTTACCCAAGTCAACTCACTCGATGCACGGTTGGAAGATGAGGCCCAAAGGGACCAGGCCGCTGAGTCCGCCCGGCTTGTCCCAAGATGGGCCGACGCATGTCCCATTTGCGATGCACAGGTCGAAGACAAGTGTTTACATCTAAACAACATGTCGTACAACTACAGCTGTATGGTGTGCCGTGGGTGCAATGCTGACCTGCGCCATAACACTCAAAATGCCTATTGGAGTAAATCCAAGCGAAGTATTTTCTGTCCAGCATGTGCTGCAGCGCAGCCAGACGCTGAGAATGGTTTCGAGCAAGTCACCAAACTGCGTCAATATGTACATCTACTGAACGTAGCGCATGCGCGCCTCATGGCGACTTTGCGATCCAGTGGCGCACTGCCACACACTTCAGGTAAGAAGAACTCTCCTATAGATCACACTGTCACCACTCATCTTGACACCTCGACTCAGATTTCTGGAGCCGCTTCCGAGATTACATTCGTCCCACTAATGACTTGTAGATGATCCTAACCTGACAGGCTATGATTCCACACAAGGACATCGCCTTGGGGATGATCCACCTCACTTACGACCCGACAATCGCTCCAAGTCGTATGGAGGGACATCAGCGACAGATAGTCAAAACAGCAACAATGCCGCGTATGAGCAATCCATGTCTGATATCAAGCGCCTAAGATCAACGCGACTTGACAAGCATCTTTCCAATACCATGAAACGTGCGCGCCAATCGCGAATCATTGACGGTCCGGAGGGTCTCGGTTCTGGTGGAGACGGACAGCTTCCAGGAGGCATGCAAATCGTCCAGGAACGCGAAATTACGAACGAGGCCGACGCTGTAACACTCGCCGTAAACTCTCTTGCCCTGGATGATATCGCACGTATGGCCGCTTTGGAACAGCAACGAGAGCAGCGTCCGAATGCATTCCGTGCCGGCGGAAGCGCACTACTAGGACGGGATGACCAGCCGAGGCTACAGAACGGCCATCGTCGTGATTTCTCTGGGGGTCAGGAACTCCAACAGATATCAGAAGGCCGCTCGCGAACCTACTTTTCAGAACTTTCGCCGCTTGAGTACTTCAAGCTGAAGGGTCTTGCGGTGCTTCAGCTTGGACTTTTGCTCGACGACAACCAGTACAACCAAGGCGATCTTCTAGATCTCATCGAATCGAAGAAAAACAACTTCTGGGGCAAAATTGGGTTCGGCAAAGCGTTCAAGGCCGACAAAAGCAAACCGAAGAAGGGCGTTACAGGAGTCGAGAAGCCGGTTTCCGACAAAGCAACCTTCAGACAATCGCTCGAGTACCTCGTCGAAAAATATGGCGATGAGTGCACGGAAGGTGTAGGACCGGGCGCTCTCAAGGTTCCAGCTTTGCTTCAGGATTGTATTACCGCGATGAGAAGTATGGATATGTCCATTGAGGGTGTGTTCAGGAAGAACGGTAACCTCAAGGCTCTGCGCGAGCTTGAGGAGGAAATCGATGCCAATGGTGTTCAAAAGGTCGACCTCAACACTAAGAACCCAGTCATTCTCGCCAACCTCTTGAAGCGCTTCCTTCGATTGATGCCTGAGCCGGTATTGACATTGAAGCTTTACAGGCTGTTCATGGTAGCTAATGGTAAGTTTCTCTTGATTGCGCTCACGATGTTTGACTAACAGAAGCAGACATTGAGGACGAAGCGCAAAGAAAGAAAGTACTGCATCTAGTGCTTTGCCTACTGCCCAAGGCCCATCGCGACACCATGGAGGTTTTGTTCTGCTTCCTGAATTGGGTGTCGTCTTTCCACACCGTAGACGAAGAAACGGGCAACAAGATGGACACGTGGAATATCGCCACTGTGATGGCTCCGAACATCCTACGTGAGAGCAATGACAAAGAAGTAAAGAGCGTGGATCAGGGTGCTGTCAAGGTCGTGTTCGATCTCATCGAGAACAACGATGAGTTCTCAGAGGTATGTTGCATCGTCGTTCTGTCCTTGTCCAACTCTAACGCAGCCAGGTACCCCCCGAAATCATGGAACTACTCAGCGACGAAGTGTCCGACATGAGCGCAAAAGAAATCATGCGACAATGGGAGCAGCGGGGAAAGAATCCTCTGTCGGCACCTACGCCGTCGCCTAGGGACCAAACTGGCACTGCTTCTAGGAAAGACCAGCGTAATGCGCCTCAGATTACGACAGCAGACAACAACCCCTCGGCACAGGCTGGTGAGGCGTCAGTCCGTCAGGTCCCGGGCGCAGGCGCAGGCGCAGGTCAACCAATGCCTTCCGGCAGCAATCAGCACAGCCCCACCCCAGGATATGACCGGAGTGCACCTAACCCTGCATTCGCCCAGAACACTCAAGGTTCGCCTGACGGCCATCGCACTGCATCTCCTCATCGGCACAGCTATCGCTCGCCTGGCTTCCAAAAACACACACAGATTGGCACCGCGGGCGCTGGATGAGACACGACAACTCTCTTTTTGGGACTGTACCGGAGTACATGGCGTTGATTGCATGCACCGTTTTCATGGCTTGAGCGAAAAGCATTCAATGAGCGGTGATTCTATTCTATACCCCTGGCCGGAGTCTACGTTATGACATCTAGACTGGCCAGTCATCTTCACGCATTGGCTTAACATAAGTCTGACGACTGTTTGACTGCATTGTAGCATCATGTGCTGCTTGATGCACACTGGAGGGACATTTTTTGCAGCATTGATATGGGCGTTTCTGGGTAATCACATGTGCCATATACGATCTTGGCATTGTTTACGGTGGCGCGAACACGCGCGTGGGAATGCCTGTAGAGGAAAACGGTGGAAAGCGCTAAGAGTACCTCAGTTGGGGATGGGTAGGCTTTGACGGCGAAGCTGCATGTGAGGCATATAAACTACTACTGTAGAGGCCGAGTACGCAGGTGTGGATAATGTATGGAAGTCGCCCGATGTAGTCTTCAAAGGCTTCTGTTGCCTGCCTTTGGTAAATGCTTCAAGGCCTCATGTAGGTATCTGATGATTCTATCCCCTCTCTTCACCTCATCCTTCACCTCCCCGTTGTTTTGATTACGAGGGACGCGCCTTCCTCATCTCCATCATGCTTGGCAGACACCACAATCTCGGCCCACCTTTGCAAGACTCATCTCTCATCGCCTGCGACAAACCCTCCCTTCGGTCAACGGTTCTTTCTTTGCTCTTTCTGCATACACGTCGTAATTGTTACTGCTCACGTCCAAAGTGCATCGTCTCGCAACAGCACGTATTGTTGAGTGCCTTGAGGCGACGCCTCCCCTTACCTGCCACAAACGTGCTCACCTGTTGCAGCATTGTCAATCACTCCAAGATGGATTCTGCGACTGCCCAGGTTGTATTGAAGCTCCAGCTCGACGACGTAGACGCTATTCTGAAGACCTTGCCTAAAACTGACAAAAACGGTGCCGTCAACAGCGAACGAGTCGCATTTGCGGCGCTTGGCGATGAGCTTCTGAGGAAGTGGAACAATCTTCGCGGCCAGGCCTTCGCTCGCAACATTGTTCAAGAAGAAAACTCGAGTCGAGAGGCGTATAAGAAGCTCTTGGGCGAGGAGCAGCAAGCTGAACGTAAGTACACACGGCTTAACCATGCAACACCAAGCCGTGCTAACACGATCGAGGCGACCATGATTTAGCTTGCAGACTTTCCGGCAAGCCCGTACCTCAGCGCCCTGCAGTCCAACACGCGTACGCTATGTACAAAAACGTGGCTGACCAGAAGTCTGAGCCCGTCAATGATAAGACTCTCGCAGACAAGGACCTCCGCTCTGATCTCACTAGCATGCAAACGAAACCTTCGAAGAACGGGCTCTTATCTGGCAAAAAGCGTCTTGCCGAGGATGATTTGAAGCCCGATCTTGGACCGAACAGCTTTAAGCGTGCGCGTGTCGATGATGCAAAGGACGAAGACGATAACTCCATCACACCGAACATTCGTACGACTACGTCAAAAAAGCGCACTGTTTCTCTTGATCCGGCAATATTCAGGGAAAACGAAGATGGAAGAACAAAACGAGCGAAACTTGATAATCCGACAAATGAGTCTTTGCTCAGTGGCCATGATGGGACTGCACAGACAGGAACCTTGTCAGCAACTTGCTCTTCTTGCCTGGACATACACGCGGCGTGCAATATGCTTCAGCTCCCATGCAGGAACGACGGCGATGTTGAGGCGCATGCATACTGCCGCGAATGTCTCACTCGCCTCTTCGAGTGCTCTATAACAGATACTTCGCACTTCCCACCCCGATGCTGTTCCAAGATCATACCGATCTTCAATTGCATTCCATTCTTACCCTCAGCAGTCTTTTCTAGATTCGTGGCTAAGAGAGAAGAGTTAGAGATGGTGGATCGCACCTATTGCAGCAACAAGACATGCTCGAACTGGATCAGACCTGCCAGTATTGTAGCAGACACAGCTACGTGCGCAGAGTGTGCTCAGAAGACGTGTGTTACGTGCAAAAACGAGCGACATGATGGTCTCTGTCCAGAGGATAAGGATGTCAAAAAGCTCATGGGCGTTGCCAAAGCCAAGCGTTGGCAGACGTGCCCAAAGTGCAAAGAGATGGTTGAGCTTGAGCGAGGCTGCTTCCACATCACGTAGGTGCTACGTTAGTGAGAGGGATCAAGCTGATAGTTCAAGGTGCCGCTGCCAATACGAGTTCTGCTATACATGTCTAGCCAGGTGGCGAACGTGCAAATGTCCACTCTGGGATGAGCGTAGAATCGTTGATCGTCCTATTCCCGCAAACGACGCCCCTCAAGATGCTGTGAACCTTGCCAATGCTGTTCCACCCGTCCCTGTGGCCCACCCGAATCTTCTTCCTGCTCAGCCAACCGTACGCGCAGCTCAGCCTCAGCCTCAAGTTCCGGCTCAACCTGCAGTTCAGCCCACCAGCAAGCACAAAGACAATGGCCGTAGAAAGAGGCAACGAAACAAAAAAAAGAATAACCGGAGCCACGTCCATAAGTTCGAGCGGTATCATCGTAGTGACGGGCACGATACGACATGTAATCGCTGTGGCTTTGTGGACAGATGGGCCAACGGCTGCCAGGGTTGTGGCTTGATGATCTGTCGGATCTGCACGAAACATCGTCTCTGAAGGGGGATTGGATCATGATTGTCTCGGACTCGAAACTTATCACATCTGACATCGAGACGAGACTTGATAGGCGGTCGAATTTGTGGCAAAGATAAAGAGACTACGTGGGAATACTTCCATAACAACGTTTATCGTGTATGTATATTGAGCTATCATGGCGTTCGATACAAACCGCTTCGTGCTCTCCCATCATCCACTACTCTATAGAAATCTACTTCTTCACAGCAACAACAAACAACCTCGGATAACCCAGTAGCACTTTCCCGTCCTCCAACGCAGGATACTCGCTCTTCAATTTTTTCTCATACTCTTCCAAAAATTCCTGTTTCTCATCTTGAGTCTTAATTAGATTCAGATAGGGTTGCAAACCTGTTCCTTTGACCCATTCCACAATCGCCCCCGCATCCTTCAACACATGCATATAATTCGTCCTCCAAATGTTCACGTGACTTGCATATGGGATGAGCGCATTATAGAATGCTGACGGTGGCTCTATAGGATCGAGATCAGGGCGCGTGGTATCTGCCAGGTCGCCGATGACGGTCGAGGAGAAAGAAGAAGACCAAGGCTTCTGAGTTTGGGATGCGACTTCGCGCATAGAGCGATGGGAGGGTTCGTGATAGTTGTCTGGTACTTGTATCGCTATGACGCTTCCTCTTTCCAAAGACTCGAATAATCGCACGAGAGTGGGTATGCGTTCTGGGGAGCGGAGCCAGTGGAAGACTGCGTTGCTGAAGAGTAGATCTGGCTTTTCATCTGCTTGAAACGTTGCTAGATCATCGGGTATGAAGTTCACGGCTTCTTTGTCGGAGAACTCGGCGTTGGCTTTTTCAAGCATGTCGGGTGAACTATCCATGCCCGTGATGCGTGCAGAAGGGAAGGCATCGAGAAGAACCTTTGTGCTGTTTCCTGGACCACAGCCTAAGTCGTAGATACGTGGCTTTGGCCCGGCGATATGGGGTTGGATCTGGGCGACCAAATCGTAGACAGCGCGGGTGCGTTCATTATTGAACTTGAGATATTGGGTTGCTGACCAGTCTTTCTTTGCAGATTCGGGGCTGGACATCTTGGGAGAGGCGTGATATTGGTTTGTGTGGGAAGGATTTCGATGGTAAGGTTTGCGTACTGTGTGCCGTGGGTTAAATGGATAAGTCAAAGTTGATACACTACGGAAATGTATCCGGCTGTGAGTCGTATTGAGGCGGGGCGATCGCAATGAGGTGCAAAGTCCTTGGGAGGTGCGGAGAGCTGGTACATTCATCTTGTTCAACGAAGTCAGTCACTCTAAGAAAAGAAAATGATGTTATCTGAGGGATTGAGCATGTAGGAGATGCAAGGCAAGCTCATGTAGAGTTCATGGTTGTGAGGCCTAGCAGTTAAGCTCAGCGAATCAGACGTCATGTGTGGGGTACATATCCAATAAGTGGGGCTAAGCTCCTGGCCGCACATATGTCCGGGGCGTGCTACTGCCGAAGAGCTTTGTACCTTCCGTATGTCAATGCAACATGATATGGCGCAACACGAAGAAAGGTAAAATTTGATTGATAAGCTGAAGAGAAAGCCACTGCAAGGTGAACCTTTGACGTTTTGCTCTTAGACAAGGCGAGAAGACTTGAATTATGTACTTGTACGTGAGACCAAATCCACTACGTAGCACGTGCTTCGAAGACACCATTTTCCAGTGACATTTAGGGAGGCATCATACCTGGCGGGTTCTTACTCACACGACCCGTTCTGCCTGCCGTGATTTCTGGGTAAGGTATGGCGTCACCTTCGCTGTACTCAATCGGCGCATTGGGGTCGCCTGGTAGGCGCGCGGGCGTGCCGAAGACTTCTACTTTCAGTGTCTCGGCGTCGGGAAACGGAATGCGATCACCACGTTCCTGAAAAAGTCAGTGTCGCTCATAATCTCGAAGGTCTACAAACTTACATCGTGGACGTTCCATGTGAGGTAGGAGCTCAAGTACGGTACCACGTCATTCGGATCCAGGCTGGACAACTCATTGGCATTGACTCGATCAACGAGATAGGTTGTTATACTCGTTGTTCCGTTCATCTTGTTCTCTGACTTTGATTGAACGTCCATTGTGCGCACATCGTCGCGCTCGGGCATCAGCATCATCCAACTTCCCAAGTCGATTATAGGATCGGACTGGAAAATACCGATCAGCGAAAAGCTTACCATAAACGTCGGGGGCAGCCTGGAAGCAGTAGCTTGCGTTTCGATAGTCCATTCTGTGTACGTGTTGTTGTTATCCAATAGTGCTTGTCCGAAAGCCGTCATATGTTGGGCGGTAACTTGGACTTGAGCTTGTGCGCGTGTACGTCCGCCATAAAGGTTCGTGATGGTCGCTGCAACGCTTCTCTGATACGCTTCGTCCGATGCAAAGTTCCAACGCTGTGTTTCCGGATACGCATAACCAAAAATCGAAGTGTTGCGACAGTCGTTGAAAGTGAGGAACTGACCGGGTGCTTTCTTGAACGGCACAAGTTCCGTGTCTGCACTGACAGTCTGGTAATCCTCGAGATATACATTGCCATGTGGACCTATATTGGACGGTTGCATCCATCTATCAGGGTATGCTCCTTGGTATAACGCAAGCAATCGGTCGACGTTGCTAATAGACGAGGTTAGCCGGACACCATTTCCGAAATGGAGCAAACTTACGCATGATGCAACATGAAGAGAGGTTCGTAAGATGAGTATTCTAGTGGCCACATGTGACCAGCCCAAGGTTCTTTGGCGGTATAGCCGCCACCAATCACACCGTGCATCCAACCATGTGGGTCTTCTAGTATACTTGAGAACCGTGAGAAAGTGCTGGATCGGAAGGCGACTCCCACTTGAACTATCAAGTTGATGGACTGGGCTCTAAAGGCATCTACAAACTTGGATTGCTGTGACGTCGCATTAGGGCTGTCGTTCTCAGGCCATCGTATCGTTGTGCTCATTTGGCGCCACTGCAGATATAGTCAGATAGTGTAAACTTTCGATCTCTTGCCTTAGGTTTTAGCTCACCTTCATGTCGAATCCTTCGGGTACAGGATCGAACGTGTATGAATATAGCGGGTTTGAAATCACAACTGGCGTGCGGTCTGTATCGATGATCGTCAAGTAGGGAGCTGTAAAGATATCTGGAACAGGGCCAGCGGTAGTGCCCTGAGCCCAGTCCCAGTATGGTATGCGAAACTCGTTGGCTGCGGTGAGATATCGTTCCATTTGATCAGCGGGTGCTTTTCGAGCGATATTGAGAACATGTTCAGATAGTACTTGCTGCGCTTGTTTAGTCTTTGTCTTATCCAACTCTTGCAGAAAACGTGGCGGTTCTGGGGATAGAACACTCACTTCGAAAAGCGCAAGGTATGGGCGGTGCCAGCCCAGGAACAACTCATTACCATGTGGACAGTAGCCTGCTTTACCAACCTTGGATGGGATTCCTTTCGCATCTCCCCAAACCTCGTAAGGTCTGCCGTGTATCGCTAAGGAACGAACTCAGCAAGCTGTAGATTACGCTTTTTGGAGACCATACTTACATGCGAGACCGTAGAACGAGTTGGGGTTATTTTGCGGAGTTTTATGGAGCTTTTGAAGCGCCAATACGTAAAGACTCCATTGGTCTGGAAAGTTGTTCATCAGATCCCTGACCTCACGGCGAATATGAGCGTTTCCTATCAATGATCAGCGGTGATTCCTGGTCACGGAGCTTCGATGCCTCTTACCGCTTCCATCTCGCGTTTTCACTCCAGTGACCACCCCCACCTCAGATTGTCGGATCGCATGGCTGCTCTTCTGCGTCGGAAAAGGCGTACACGTGACATATGCGATTACGAGCCAGAATAGAAAGCATCTAAATGGCCGCGGGACAAACATGGTGAGTGACTGTATAATTGATTGAATGTGTTATCTGCGGAGAGCCGGTCAGAGGAAAACAGTGTGATATTTGAACATCATGGCTTGCAGTCCCTGCGTGATAAGGTACAGACTAGCCACGAATAAGGGTCATGTGGGTGAAGAGTGAATGATGATCATAACTATAACTCCTAGTCTTGATGCAGGCGACGTGGAAGTCAGAAATCAAAGAATAAAGGACAGCGTAGCAGAGAAACGCATCGGATCTCCGATGCGACATCTAAAAGCACGGCCAACAACAAGGTGTTGGTATTGGCTCTTGGTGTTGTCGCTTTGATGACGACAGGTGTGATAGCGATATTGTGCCCTGAACCAAAAATCTGCTGGACAACACGCGATACACTTACCTTATGATGGAGACTTGCGAAAAGCACACAGAATATCAATTATGAGCTGGTGTTGAAAGGAATGTTTTGGAATCCGCAATTTAGCAACAGGCTACTTAGCAACAGGCTAACAGCACGAGGTGTGAGTTGTGGTTCTAGCCTCCTTATTAGCATGTATGAGGAAGTGGTTAGGGAGACCGCGTCGATGACTGCGAGGAGACTAACATGCCTGTTAATGCGCTGGGGAACAGATTGAGAACGAGCGAGTGTAAGCTCAAAGACGAAGAGACGTCGATGCAGAAAGTACGAGTTAGGGGCAGTGCTGAAGTGGTGAGATCGTGTGCTTCTGTCCGGCCACGGCTTTGTAGCTCCCGTATTCGGTTTCATTGAATTATATCCCAGGAGTACGGAGCTGTGCAAGTTCGATATTCCCGTAGATAGCCCTTGTGTGTTACGATCGGATGCATTACCACAAGTGAACTGACAGACTTTCGACTGCAGCGATAGTATACCGTGTTGGCTGTCAACGCCACACCGGGACCACATAAATACAGCCTGATATATTTGCTACTAACCAGACGTTAATATCTTAGGCCTAAGAATTGGTGGTCAGTTACATCCGCGGATTGCTGCAATCAATGTTGCACGACGCGTGGGGAGATACGTAGTATGTTGCGTGTATCGCGCGCGGCTACGTGTCCAGGTAACGGAGGGTATTTAATACGATCCCATTAGAACAATTCGAACAATGACAGTTTCTGCAACTTCTAAGTTTGCTGTTCATACTTCGTGCTGGTCAAGGTTTGACGGGCGGTCGACCTGCCCAACACTTGCTCTAAGGCATCTGCTCATTGGAGCCACCATAGAGTGGTTCGCACATATGACAGTGAAACGTTGCAACAAGCCAGAATTAGTTGATTGCTGATTTTAGAGGCTCTTAAAAAGACGCTAGTAAAGGTCATTCGTGCAGCTAGCCGTAGCTGACTGCGTTGCGTATCCCTATGCCGGTATCTCGAATCGGGTCGCCTGCGCGGAACGCCACAATAGCTCTTCAGTCGTCTCGCTCATGACGTCGTGTGTATCATCAAAGTGCCATTCAATTCACTGGCGCTAGTCTTCCAAGCCTTCAGATATCGTTGTAACCAAGAAGTCTCTTGTCCAAATCCTTGTCTGCGACCGCCCACGCCCAGGCACGACCTGCCTCGCCACACCATAGTGCAGATGGATCGTCCGACTTCTCCAACATACCATCTTTTGCCATTGACTTAATTTCGTGGCCTGTGGTATAAGTCAGGAAGTGCTCAAATTGCTTGCCGTCCAAAGCAAGAGCATTTCCAGTGATTCCGTGACAGATACAGGGCTCCTTGGTCAAGAGGCCTCTCTCCCAGATGCACTCCCTGGCCTTGGCGATAACTCTGTCAATACGTTCGTGAAGGCCTGGGAAATATTTTCGAATCGAGAGAAGAGAAGTGACTACACCAGGCGCTCCATGACAGACTTGTACGAGCTTGTCACGGCCTGGCGGCAGAGACGATGGGAAGTTGCCGCTCTCGTACTGATAGCTGAGTAAGGCACCCAATTCCGCTTCCAGCTTAGACGCCCATGAAGGGTCAGTAAGCACGATCTGTGTAATGATACCGATCGCGCCATGCACGGCACCAACGTATGCCTTCCCATGCCATTTCCAGGGTCGCGGGCTTTGCATAATGTTCTCGATGACCTCATCGGCTGTGTCCTCAATGAGTTCGATAACGTCCTTGTTATGGGCAAAAGCTCCGCGTACGAGGCGAAGGAGATACAGATAGCCAGCACGACCAAACAGCCATTCGTTGGAGGTTTCGTCCTCAAGCATGACGGCAGCATGATCGCAGAGCTCTTTCACCGTGTCTGGGTCTTGCGCAGTCACGGCGTACAGCGCAAGCAGGGACATGATGTCGTTGGAAATGCCGCATTTCTTGGGAGATGGCGCTGGGAATTCCTTGATATGGGCTTGTGCTTGTTCAATGTAAGCCGCAGACCATGTGTTCAAGGGATATTCATCCAGTGTAAGGTCAGGATATATGTTGTGCAAGGCATAAAAGAGGTAGGCTACTGATATCGGTCCATAATATAGGCCACCACCTGGAGGAACATGATGTGGAGGATAGTCCGTGATCAGTCGGTCCAATGACGCTAATAGTTGCTTGTGAGGATCTCGTCGTGCCAGAGGCGCATCATTTCGAAAATAGCGGGGTATCGAGGCAGGTGCTGCTTGTGTTGACGGTGCTGCAGGCGGCGCAGCGTCTTCGGACATGGTGATGGGAATATATCGAGGCGAGCTCTGTTGAATCTCTTGATGGAAAAGGAACGGTAAAGTTGGCGCAGACTTAGGTATGCGCGAGTGACGAAAAGGTATGAGATCGTAGGTGCCCAACTGTGACGTCAGCGGGGCTCGTCTTCTATGATTGGTCGGCTGCGGTATATGCAACTGGAAAGGATTACTAGTAAACATAACACCATGGTGCTTACGACTCGTGATGTGAGTATTGGAAAAGTAAACACGAGATTTTCTTGTCATCGCTCAGCACATGTTGTGCTGAAGCGGCATTTGCATTATCTCTCCTCAAACTATGTACTCCAACAACCAGTATTTGGCTTCTCCGCTACCCGAGCGATGCGACTTTAGATGAACCGGAGGGGCTATTATGTGGTCTCTTCTCTGGAAGATAACGCTGGGGTTAGCCATTCTAAACTCCGGCCATGACCTCTGGTGTCTGGCTTGACCACCCGCGTCTCCGGTGATTGTTGATACGCACCGTTTTTACATACAGAACCGGGAAGCTACATCTCACTATTGCCATAGTGTACGTATGGTCTAACCGTGCGAAGAGTTACCTGGCCACGGCAGTGGCTCAGCAGGAAGCTCAGCGAGATTCCCGACAGAGCCGTTACAGCGATGTTTGTCCCGACCTATCTCTCGACTGTCTAGTTGTGCGAGATCATCTTGTTCTGTTATTGACTCTGCTCTGCAAAGTGCGGCTATCTTTTGCTGAAACTGCGAAGATGCTTTGTCTAAACTGATGTTAGTATCGTGCATAGTGATTGGAACTCAATGTATCGACTCACTCGTTAATTGCGGTGTCATGTCGCTGCCAACCAATGGAGACGGATAATCCGGCGCTTTGTATATCTTGGTATGCCTTCTCTTCCTTAGATATAGCAACATAGAGATCAGCAATACACAAAAGACCGTAGTACCCAGCACCGCACCAACGATAACTGCTACAGGCGAATGTACATGGCTTGTCATTTCTGGTGCGTCACCAGATGGTGTTGCTGTGGTCAAGGCACTCTGTGTGACAGTCTTGTAAGATGGCTCTGCTAAGCTGAATGTGATGTCTGAATCGAGAGATGGTGGTGATGCTGTTGTAGACCTTGATGGAGACCCTGTCGTGGTGGGCGTGGCCTTCGAAATTGATGTGATTGGAACGAGAGATGGTTCTGAGGCTGTATATCGTCAGCTTGAATTATCATGTAACATGCTGTGTGAACGAACATCGCCCTGGAGTTCGGTCCTTGTCGGCAGGACAAGTACTACCTGGCATGCATGGATCTATAGTACAGCAACCACGGAAACCATTGCACATGTAGAACACGCCCCCCCATCGGACAGTCATGTTGTGGTATCATGGTGTGAGGTTTGGTGTCTTAGTCGATAGACGGTGATGATAGGATCAGAATGAACAGATATGTGAGAACGACTAGAAGCACAATGAAGCTTCATAGACACGTTTGCAGCAAACCATCATCTAAACACAGAGGCAGTGCTGTGGGCCGCCGCCCAATCCACGCAAACAAAGCGTCGCATGGCAAGGGTGCTCCTTCGATGCGCCCCCACGTGAAACGTGCTGCCCGATGCAGCCATGTGGTCAAAGGATTTGTGAAGCTGCGCCCCGTAGATCTAGAGTCGTTGAACGGGAGCTAAATGTATCTCAAGATGCCGCGCCGTGCGATGTGTCGATGGAGCGAAGAAGCAGAAGAAGGGGCCATGGGGTGCTGTGCCCAGCCTCTCGCGTAGGAGACAATGACGCCATCACCGCCTCACAAACTCCCACTGTGAACAGCTCAACTACTCTCCCAGTCTTCATCCATCTGCATCACTCGTAGAGACTAACTGGATAGCCATACGCCATTTTAGAGATACGGATCAATTATCTAGACGCGTTGTCACCCCTTACTGACAGCGTGGCTGTGTTCTCCTACGCGACTTAGCTTATCATCTTGGAGGGATGGAGTACGACGCGACTTCGCTTCAGATCTGAGGGGGGTTCATAGAAATGCTAATTTACGAGAGCAAGGTTCTTTTGGTATCGCAGCTGCTAACTATAGGAGTCTGGCAGGTTGACACGATTTCAGATATTATAAACAATCTTCTCGGCACTGACAGGCCGCATCCACGGTTCAGCGCGAACGGTTCGTCTTTCTTCCATACCACCTGCACCAAGCAACTGGAAGCCATCATGAACTACGCTTCCCAAGCCGCCTGGCATCAACCTGATCGGGTTTGGACTCAGCTCGGAAGCTATGGATTCGCCGAGCCACGCGTAAAATGCTACTGCGAACCCACGAGCAGCCGGTGATCGTCGTACAGTAAAGCCTTGGTACTGAACCTCTTCGCCCAGTGCCTCCCACACCGCACCATAAATGGGTTCGACAGAGATGTTGTGCGGCTTCCAAGCTCCACCTTCACGAGATCGGACGATGGCTATCTTCCCATCGCGTGCGAGGGTCGAACAGGTACGCTCGACGGAACTAGCTTCAGAAATACAGTCGAATGCATAGTGTATCCCAATGCCGCCAGTAAACCCTCTGATTTGCTCTGGCCAGTCAGGGTCTTGGTAGTCAACGAGAGCGTCATACCCGTATGGCTCTGCTTTGAGAAGCTTCCACCGAGCCTCGCTAGCTGCGCCGTACAGCTTGATAGCTTTGCCGCTCGATTTCGCACTGAGCCGTATCATCTGCGCCGCAAACAATGCGACTGATGTAGATGCACCATAGACGAAAACGTTGATTACATCGGCTTCGTCCCATCGGCTCGGTGCGGCGGATTTCCACTCTGGGTGCTCTTGGAAAACTTGCTCGCGATCATACGCAAACGGCGCTTTCATTCCTAGCCGGTACCATATCGCTTGGGCAGACGTAAGGGCTACAAGACTTACACCCGCAGCCTGCTCCAGAGTCACCGACTTGGGTACCTTCCATACTAGATCCCATGGGACCACAACAAATTCTGCAAAGGCACCCGGTCGTTCGTTGACACTGCAAGCACCTTGGAGAAAACCAGCAACCTCGTTTCCAACGCAGAGATCGGCTTCCGTGGGTACATCACCGCCAGTTTGGATTATGGTACCTGCGAAATCGCTCCCAACCGTCCGTCCAGAATCACCCAGCGGATGCGCGACATATAGTGGGTCAATGGGATTGAGCGCAACCGCCTTGACACGAATGAGTAGTTCGTTCGCAGCAGGCTCTGGTCGAGGTATGTCGCCGATATACGCTGTTCGGTCCTCCGCGGCGAGTATGAGGGCTTTCATAGTGGTTCGCGTTGGTTGGTTGGCCGGTTGGTTGGTGTTGTCTTGAGTGCGGTTACGCTAGTTTACAGCAGTCTGGAGCGGTGGATACAACCGTCAATTTTCAGTTTGATGTAGCTTTTTCTGGCTTCGAACGGAAGCATCTTATTTATGGAAGTGGTGCATGTCAGTCGCAAGGGCGTGGATGACTAACATATGCATGGTAAGCGATAGTCCCCGCCCTGGATTACGTCTTCTAAGGAAGGTTCCCTTTACCAAACACCCAAAAGCGCTTGGAATCACAAAATTATTGAGAATCAAGCTTGAAGATCACGGGACGCTGCTACCTTGGTTCAAAATCTTGATAAGGTCTCGCGCGACCTATCAGAGGCGAGAGATACAATCGCACGTTCTGGGTTGAACAAAAGCCCTGGAACTCCTTTGTGAGCCATGGTAATGTGATCAAATCTGTGTATTGCCATTAATGATTTCCGTGGTAGGTCTGCCAACAGGTTCATGGACGGTCGTAGGCTATGCAATACGGAGTATATAAGGAATCTCTCCCGGATGTTTTTTCCTCTTCAACTACAAATCTTTTCCATTACAGTCTCAAAGTCTTGACGCAAATTACTTCTACCAAGCACTGCGTTTTCAGCATGGAGTCTAACAACATCTGCGGCAAGGTCCTTTCCAAGGCCACAGCAGAGCATTACCTCGAACTCACCCAAAGCCTTCATAACCTCATCATTTTCACACTCGACTGCGACAACAAGTACTGTCTAGCAAGCCAAAAGCAAGATACTTGGTCCCTCCGCTCTGCTCGTCGTCCAGACCCCCTGGACGAACACATTTCCAATATCAAGAGCAGAATACATTCACGCCACGTGGGATTCTACGAAGACCGGAAAGAGATCAAGTACGAAGCCGCATTTAAGTGGCCTGTTTCCGAACACGCAGGCTCACTGTGGACGATCTTCGCAAGAGCCATCGACCAAGACAGATCCATCTACGAGATGAGAAACTGGTTCTCGCACGACTTTGGTAAGCGTGGTGGCACTCTTGAGGTGGAGAACGAAAAGTTCAACGGATTGCAAGAGGCATATAAAAGTCTTCTTCCAGGTCTTACTGAACTACTAGCGAAGCTTGAACTAGCACTCCAAGATGAGGCGGCTTGGGTGTCGGAGTCCAAGGTAAAGGCTAGGAAGTATGAAGAGAACCAGCCTGAGTATACCAGGGATACGATGGCGGTTCAGTTGGAGCTTGTGGCACGTCAAGAGAAGTTTATCGCAATGACGAAGCGGATTGAGATCAATGACGCTGCTGAAGCGGAGTGGGTTGTGAAGGAGGTTGAAGGAGAAGAATGGGTTAGTGACACAGAGGAGGGTGTAATACCATGGGCCAATATCGGTGAAGTCAACGAGAGTCTTTGGGACTACGCATCGAACACGGACGAGGACTCGTCGGAGTGCACCGAGGATCTTCCGGCCTCATCATCGCAAGACCCTGACGACTGGGCATACGACTCTGGATACGAAGACGACGAGGGGCTCCCGGATCGCTTGTGCAAGGCTCCCGCATCCGACGCCGGATCTATCAGCGCGACAATATAGCACCACGGGGACGAAACTACATATATGACATCAAGGCTCGGCCCGTTAGCGGCACAGAACTTCCGACTTCCTCACTCTACCTGAGAGCGGTTTGTGGCCTTTGCGCAACTGTCATCCCTGTCTAGTCTGTTTCAAGATCGGCCAGACCGCAAATTTCCGAGAACTGCGTAACTTGTGGTACGTGGATGTGGATCTGGTAGTCCTTCCTCATGTTATGGGAAAATTGATTACCGTGAGGGATACGGCAAGGGATGGAATTGGTGTTGAGCTTGTATAAGAAGCTTGATCGCTGTGGCCAAGAGATATTGCTTCACTCACCACATCACATCTTGCATCTTGACAACCTGCTCGTTGATCGAAATTACCTTCATGATGATGTTCTCTCAGTACTCCGTCGCTACCGTCTTCATGCTGGTCACAGCCATCACTGCCACACTGGATCCTGCGACTTCGAACACAAACGGCAGCTACCCTTCAGCTCCCAGCTGTTCACGTATGCTTCACATTCGTTCATCCCATGCCAACATAGAGGTTAACAATGAATACAGCCATCAAGACCAGCAAAGCTATCCAAGCCGCCGAGTGCAGCCACAACACACGCACATCCAAGCAGACCTTCGCCGTCTTCACTCAAGACCACCAGTACGATGGCAACCATGGCTGGCCTTATGGAACATGCGAAGCATACAACTGCGCGCCAGGATCGGCGATGAAGGCCAAAGCCGGTACCTGGACATTCTTCTGGGATGCAGCAGGTGTAAAGGGTGAGGAGAGCGGTGACGGTGCGGGATGCATCAAGAGCCCTAAGGATAGCACTTGCGGATGTGAGAACTCCGATGGTACCTTCGTCTACAAAGGAACCAACTGCAAGTAGTCGAACTGGGAGTTGCTATTCGAGGTTGTTGGCAGACAGCACATTCTTATCTCATTCGATTGTATATAGTTCCGAAGCGTCGCAAAGATGAATCTTATCCAGCCTAGAGCTTCTTGTCCATGGATTCTCCAGTGACATCATGTGTTCAATTCATGTTCATGGTTTGATGTCGCTTCTCAAAAACCAGTGCACATGGAGACACAGCGCTTCCGTTTTGGCCGCCTTCGTACACTTCGAATAAGACGAGACAAGCTTACAAAAACTCCGAACCGTTTTCTCTGGGCGCAAGAAAACTACATGGAGAATCTCCAATATGTTTCAAGTGCTTGAGGACTGGAACTTCTGGGTAAACCAAAGAGTAAGAGGCTACATGCAGAGATTGCAACCTTCCATGTAAGCCTTTCGCGACTAACCAAGTAGGTGCGCTTGTCGTATTCAACCTTTGCGACCAGACTGTTCAAAGAACCTTGTCCATATCTATGGCATTATGAGAAGGGAGACGGGAAGACATGATTTCGGGTTCATCCTCTTTTGGGACGAACAATTCGACAGCATGATATCGCAGATTAGCAATTTTAGCGCTAACCAACATAAAAGAATTTGAGAGAGTGAAGGTAGAAAGATGCAGTACAGTTTTATAGTGATTTTATAACTTAGCTCTCAATCGTTACATGGACTTCTGGAATTCACTAGCCAGACATAAAACAAGTCGAGATAAATTTATGACTTTGACGTGCTCGCTCGGGTAGCCCAGCGTAGGCCAATGATCTCATAGCTCGAATCGACCACCTTCCGGGACCGACGGTCGCTTCACTCCATGAAGGATGCATAGTCGTGTTTTGATAATAGTGGGCGTCTTTACAGCATGATATTTTTCGTGAAACTCTCGCGCTTGGTCCACAGAACCATGAATTTCTGTTCCTTCTTGTTTGATGCCGTCATCTGTGAAGGAACGGCGTAATTCGAGTCGGCAAGTCGAAAGTCATTTTGCGAGAAAGAGCGGGCAGCGAGCATGGATGTTTATACCTTCGCTTTTTGGTAGATTGAAACACGTATGGTGAGTGATAGATTCTTCGTCCTGTGAATCAGTGGTTTTATACACGACAGCGTAGTAAAGCAACTCAGACGCTGAACAGAAAAACATGAACCTTCAGCCCGATGATTTTGGAAGCAGAAAATGTAGTACAGGATTTCCATGTCCCATACAATTGCTCAAAGAGTATGTTTCCGCATGATACTCATGTCGAATTTTGATACGCCGGCCACAATAGATCTCATGAAACTCTCGCATCTCTATTTTGGAGATTTTGACTGAAGAAAGGCAAGACAGTCATGACTTGGTGCTGATCATATCTCGCGAGGCACCGAACGGGCGGCAGACATTGGAACAAATCATGTAGTTTTTGGTGAACAAGATGTAGCAAGTGTTTTGTAGGCAGAAAGAAGGAAATAGGGGCTTGAGGCCTTTTATGTAGACTCTTCCGAGGAGGCTAGCGGCTGCAACGGTGCGTCATGGTGTGTCCGACAGGAATATCGAGCGCGAAGGCCTAACGAAATGTGGGTAAGACTAATGGAATCTAGCAGCTCTTCACTCTAGGTGCAGTTATGAGTTTGAATCTAGATGTCATATCGTTCAGGCAAATCCCATCTATCGTCGCCCGTACTCCCAGCACGTCGTCATACATAATACATCCCTCCCTGCATCGTGTACACGATAACGCGCACCACATACAAAAGCTCCTCCTTAAGCCTCGGGTATCTTCCCCCTCATGCCTGGGGGCAGCAACGCATCTGCCTTCCTCGCAGCTTCGACCTCCTCAGCCGTAGGCTCTTTCGGTACATCAACTATGACGCTTGGATCTTTCGAGCGCGAGGCTAGCATGGCTGCGCGTTTCTAGTGATATGTCAGCTCAATCATTTCTAACTCTCTGTCATGTCCTGAGGTAGTCACAACGTAAATTACGCCATTTGGACGACTTCTGCGCATAGGTGTGAACATACCTCCCTAGCATCCCTGCCCAGATTTTCTCCCTCGCCGAGAAATTCGGCATCGATGCCCTCTTCATCCGGTGACCGCATAGAGCCCCTGACTCCACTTGCCTCCTCTGTCGTTCGTCTCCTCAGTTCCTCCGGGGTCACTTCGCCTCCGTCCAACTCGACGGGCGCGTCATTTATCGCAGGTGTGTTCGTGTCGATGAGCGGCGTTTGTGTGACGACTGCTGGGCTAGTCTTGTGAGGGAAGGTGCCGCTTCGTGAGATGGGCGAGATGGGGTCGGCGCCCGGCGGAGGAGGTGAGAAGCCGGTCGCGGTGAGAATGGGTGGAGACATGGTGGGCGGATTTGACATGGTGAGTACGGAGTGATCGAGTGCTAGACCGTTATTCGTGGTGTAAAAGGTGTTGTTACGGGTTCTGCAGGGACATGCGCAGCTCTCAGCGTTCAGCCTGGAAGGTGGCGGGGGTGAATGACGCGTGAGAGGAAGACGGTAGAGACGTAGGAGGCACAGCTGCTATGGGTACAGCCCAAGGCTGAGGCGGGTGGCCGTCGCAGCCTCACGGCCAAACAAAGGCCCGCGAGCGCGTAAGCTGTCGTGACTGCGATGACGTTTGCCAGGCCGTGATCCAGGGTCCAGCGGTTCAAGTGGGGCAGGAACGCGGCAGCTGGCCGGGGTCGAAGCTTGGTATGGCCTTATCGTATCGCGCTATATTTGGATACGAGTTGAAGCAAGACAACTAAAAGAGACAAGTTGGCCAGGTACAAGTAACAGACACGTCAAAGTGGGTTTTTTGATACAAGCGCAAACTTGAGCTGAGTTCATTTATCATCTCGTCGTGGGGCACATGGCTTGCTGCGCCTCCTTCCGTCCGCCTATACTTCCCTTTCTTAGATCAACCAACAATTGGGGATATCTGGTAACTCCGCCGTCTTCGGCTTTGGAAATCCACAGACCATGCAAACGACATAGTACGCTCAAAATACATATTCATGTCCTCATGACCCATACCGCAAATAACGTCAGCGCGTGAACTACGAGTTCGATCGTTTAGGTAGCATGAAACCCAGAGCATACCCTTCACCAGAGCTCGTCTTCGGATCAGCCTTGTTGCTGTCAGCCATCAGAATAAAGCAGTAAATGTGTGAGACAATACTTACGCCCATATAGACATCGTGTCCAAACACATTTGTCCGAGGTCCTTGCGCAGGCTGCTGATTTGGTGCTTGCCCCGTGGCCGGCATTCCTGCTTGCTCAGTTTGCATAGGCATATTGCTCAAGTCCATAGGGAAGAAGTTGTTCGTCGACTCAATGCCTGGGCCCTGGATGTAAGAATCCCATGCGTCCTGATCTATTAGCAGACTGTCCTTATTCAAGATCACTCTGAGTACGTACCCAATTGATATTGTCCGTCGGCGGAAGATCCAAGTTTTGAAAGAGGTTTGCCCCAAAGAGGTTTGAAAATGGACTTGCTGCGTTTTCTGGCCCCGCTGTTCCGCTTGTTGGCTGGTTGTATTGAGGTGTCAAGCCCGTTGATGCTTGAGGAATAGGGTCGTTTAGTAGATTGGCCATTCCTGCCGGGTATCGCTGATCAAACATGTTAGCATTAGGCGTCATACCACCCGTGCTAAGCAAGCCCAGGGTCATTGCTGCCGAATGTTCAGGTGCGACGTTGGCATCTTCCATTGGTGCCATTGCGGGGTACGCTGAAGAAGCCGCTTGGAAGCCGTTCGGAGCTTGCCTTGCTGATCGGCTCTTCTTCAACTGGTCCAACATGACGCCGAGTGTGGTGTGCGCTTTGTATGCTTCCATAGAGTGATCCTTGAGGCCATCCCAAATGCCTACTGCTACCTCTATCGCTTCGAGCATTTCCTCGCGCCGATCTGAACTCCACACAAGCGTATCTGCTGATGGCGGAGAACGAGCCGACCCTTCGCGCGCGGTGTGGTAGAGGTCGGACGATATGATCATTGCAGCGAGAAGAAAGTCGACGGTGGTCAACGACGAGATGAACCATTTGACATTGCGCAACCGACCGCCGGCCTGACACTCCCGATGCAGAGTCGCTTGGTGCTTGAGTAGCATCATCGAGGCTTCAATGACAGCTTTTCTGGAGTAAGCAAAACGCGATTGCACTCTCGCATAAGACAAGTACTTCCGATGGAGGACGCATATTATCTTGAGGAAGAGGAGGTCCAATGTGAAGCGTTGCATAATCAAAGTAGAAGGGTCGCGTGCCGCTTCATCCATTCCTCGCATCTTGAGATGCGGCGAAATGTTGTCGTGCAACTCTCTGGCCTCCGCGTCGAGCTTCATAACCTCCTCGTACGATGCGCACGTCAAGGTATCTGTGCACTCGACTGCTTCCCCAAGCTTGTAGACTAGCCTCGTTCGATTGATTAGGAAAAGGGTCGGTGTAGCTTCCGTCTCCGGCCTTGAAGGAGGTAGTATCTTCATGTCTTTGTGCAGTTCGTCATCGTAGATGTTACGAGGTATCTCAGTGTTTGTGTCTCGCGGTCGGACGATTGGTGGCAATCCAGCCTGGGCTGAAAACAACAGATCGCATGAGCGTACCGCAGCCCAGATGCGTCTCCGCATCTCCCCTTGGAACACGGGTATGCCGGGATATGGTCCTGGATCTCGATGCAAACCCATTCGCATTGCAAGTCGCACGACGATGCCTGTGCTAATCAGAATACCCACTTCTGCATCCCTACTACGAGCATACTCAGCATGGACGTGCAAAAGCAGGGTCTCCATCATACCCGTGATGGGCTGTGTGATGTCCGCCATGATCAAACATTGCGCTGTCAAGTCGCCATACTCCCTTGACATCTCCCAAGACTTATTGTGGTACTCGGGAGGCTCATCACCAGCTCGTGTATACGACTGCAGCGCGATGCACATCATGGCGAATACGGTCCCAAGCCAGATGACGGGCGTCTCTTCCGGTTGTGCCCAATGTCTATCGTACTCCTCTTGGAACGTTGGGCCATGTATGATGTGAATGCCAGGATCGTATGTGTTGAAAAAGCGCGAGACGAGGAGATCGGCTGTGGGTTTGGGCGGGAAGCGTGATAGGATTTCGGCCTTGGAGCTAGGTTTCTGTCCACCCGTCAAGAAGGAAGTACCCGGTGGTCGATCTTCGACATGCGTCGCCTTGTACCGCTTGAGCTGATCTTCATACTGTTTCTTGTGCTCGGCGAAGTAGTTTTTGACTTCTGACAATTCACCCAATATTGCATACCAATGTGCTTCTGAGGCAAATATGGTATGGTTGTTGTGCACCTTCATGACCCCAATCGACTTTGTGACAGTTTCCATGTCACTCTCTTCGTTCACGTCTTCTTCGGGTATCGATTCAGGCGCGCCGGTGCTCATAGCGGTGATCATCGGGCTGGCATCAAACTGCTGATCCGGGCCAACATTGCCCAGACTGTGTGCGATAGCGGCTTGAGCAGCAGCAGGTCCAGCGCTCTGGGCGCCATTGGTCATCAGGGAAAGAACCAGTCCTTCAAGACGATCAATGCGATTTTGCATGTCATCAGGCGTAGTCGCAGAGCCGGTGCTCGCTGAACTCTTCTTGCGGTTGCCTGGGGCAGCGTACGTACATGATGCCGTATCTCCGCGCTTGGTGCAGTTGTCGCAGGGATGGCCTCGATTGCATTTCAGCCTACAATTGTCAGCATACGACGATCGTCTCTTTTCGTTTGAGATGTATGCCTACTTTCGATGCCTGCATGCTCCACAGGACAAAGGAACGCGATTCCGTTTGCGCACAACTCTGAATTGTGGATCTGGCGGCGAGTGTCCTGCGCTAGAGGAAGTTGTTGAAGGTGGTGTTGGCGGCATGGTTGCGATGGTGTCGCTCGCTGGTGTGATATGAATTCCACGGAGAATACGGACTTAAGGGTTAAGTCCGTTCGAGATGAATGATGAAATCTCACGCGTTGGTGGCCGCCTGAGACGCAAAGCCAGGGTATTCTGTGGTCCAGAGTCGTCTCGTGCAGATCCGGTCCGTCGCTAGTGGGCGCGTTGCAGAAGGGAGTGTGTCGAAGGTCGCAAGGTGCGCGATTGTGCAATCGCGGCCTTGTGCGGTCTTAAATCTTCGGGAACTGAGCTATCTCCAGACGCCAAGTGGTATGACTCTGAGGCCTGGGGATTGAAATGGCTGCACTGCCCTGGTGTTGGCTTGTATGCGCTCTGCTTGCGCTCTCCAGCCCGTGTTTGACGTCAAGTACAACACACCTTGTGGCTCCCTCTCTGTGAGTATGTCACCTGTGGTGCACGAGCGTATGCTCAGAAGTGTTTGGGGTGTTCGCGATAGGCTAGCCCTCTCTGTGGTGGCTGCCCACGGAGTGCTTCCTCCTGCTGAGGGGAAGACGCAGCTTACGCAATGGGCGATCGAGCGCGCAGTGGTGGATATGTGGTATAGTGCTGTACCGAAGACCTGTTGACGCCTACTAATCTTTGTCAGCAGCTGCTCAATGCCAAAACCATGCGCTGATTCGCACTTTCTCACATAGGCTTGCACGCACCACCAGCTCTCTCGTCGAACGCGCCCACCTCACGATAGCACGCTCGCACAGCGCAAAGTAGTCAATTGTCGCGCAGTTGGTATGCGCTAGCTTCGGCGACAGCTTCGGCGACTCGGATACCGCCACGCTGAAGAGTTTGGAAGGGGTCGTTGCGGTGTTGTAGTCGAAGCCTGGTACAGACGTGGAGAGAATTAGGCGGCCTTTAACTCCGACCACACTCAGCCATCATCGCCAAGATGTCCTGCGACATGCGATCCTTCACCAAGTCACTATCGCGTAGGCCCACCGCAGCTTTACTAATACACGCGATATCTTTCACAGTGGCGACAACATCTTCACGGTTCCCACCATCTCCAAAGCTGAAGCCTCCTCATGCTTTCTTCCCCAGGTCAGGATTCCTCGTGATTGCGCTTCCCCCAGGCGGGGTCGGGCTAGCCCACGCTCAAGCCACCTGCTCACCAGCGCCGCCTTAATCATCCGCCGCCTCTCCGGGTCGCGCTCCATGGAGCACGAGATGGCCACCAAAGTCTATCTACGTTGGTGATGAAACAGGCGTTCGTAGACAGGACCTGTCGTCGGCAAGCTAAGCATGCATCCTGCAGAGCCTTTTGAGGTCAAGCTCATGGTCAAGCTCATAGTCAAGCTTTCCGTTGTATTTAGGCGATCCTCTTTACTCTCGTGACCAAATCTTGTCGAAGTAATCATCGGAAAAAGATAACTTCGATTACATACGTTGGCTAGATCATGATGCTAACATTTGTTTGTTTTAGTCGTCAAAATTACCTGAACCAATCCCTATAGTCCATTAAGCTCTATTACTTGCTCCAGCGCCATCAACAGGAGCACTTTCAGTCGCTATGGTTTCCGTCGCCGTCGACCAGGACACCATCTTCTCAAGCTTCGCATCCCACTTGTGCACTTCCCCAGTGCCGACATTGTACTGGTAGTAGTTTTCCGTACCACCTTTGATCATCGCCTTCCTGAAGGTAATATTGATCCTCCCCTTGCCCGCCTCCGGGCCTGCGCGCTTCGGTATACTGTGAAGCCAATTCGCTTGCGTTTTGCCACGCATCAATACCATATCTCCGGATCCCAAGGGCAGCTTGATTCCCTTTGGCTCTTCTATCACAACGCCCTCTTTGGGAGGGATAGGCTTGTGCTTCATCAGAAAGTCGCGCTTTGCACCAAGACTGAAAGATGCGATTGCTGGGTTGGGGCCGAGAAATCTCTCATCATCCGAGTGGTATGATATACTGTCTTTCCCATCCGCGTAGTAATTGACAAGGCAGAAATTGAACGTCTCGTCAGTGGTGCCCTCCGTCACCTTTCTCAGTTCCTCCAAACACTGTGGAATCGGACGAGGCGCGCACTTGTATCGGTTCTTCTCAACTGGCTTCCCCGTCTTTGCATCTACGATACTACCGTCGAGGGCAAAGCGGGACGTATCATCAACACCGAAGACAGTAGTGAACCGTGGAGTATTGATCTGAGTTTGCACTCCTCCGCGGGTGATCTTGTACTGGACACGGTAGAACGGGAGTTCCTGTCGAAGAAACTCAAAAAGTCCCGGTGCGATGGCGGAAGGGACATAAGGCTGATAGTACACGAGGTCCAGATCCAGCTGATCGTTCATGATCTTCCCCTCCTCGGCAGGAGCGAACCCCAACTGCTCCGTGAATGAAGTGGGCAGGTACGGAATGGCCAAGGGGTAGGATGCATGGCTAGACTTTTGCGAAGTTGCTTCATATTTGGGTTTCTTAGGCTCAGGACGTTTGAAGAAAGAATCGAGGGCACCTCGCTTCATGATCAGAGGTCTTACGTGCACGGTGTGCCACACCCGAGCAGGTCTTCCTCCAAGTACAGCTCGACTGAGCAACTTTGATGATCCCCTTGCGATACACAACACTTGGTTTTGCCCACCAAGGCACCTCGGCTTCGACGAGTGAAATCTGCTGCAATGGATGCGGATTCTCCCCAATATCTCCAGTTGAGATGCGCTGGGTAGAGGATAAGCGTGTCAAAGCGCTTTGAAAGATGAGATTGACGAGCTGCTCCAGCGTGGCGAGACAGTTGAACAAGGGCGAGGACTTTAGCGTATCGTAAGTCTTGTGCACGACGACTGTGAATTTGCCAAGCTCTGTCAAGAACGCGATTGCGAGGTATCGAACGACGAGCTTTAATTTGATCCAGGTCAAATGATGAAGAACGTGTTGTGACCATTGTCGCGACGCGTTCACTAGCTGATACTATGTTAGTACGTCGATGACGTATGTGACTGGTCTGCACAGACTTCAATCTGATTGGCTAATCCTCCACGTTGATGCGCTAGGGGTTGGAGGCGCGCATAGCGATGGTGAATAGTCATCTTATTCAAAACCCTCGTGTCGAGCACAACCTCCGTTTGTACTACTAATCAACCCTCCGTCTTTACGCCGTTGCCGTAGTTACTAATATCACGGACAGAGATAGTAGTGATCAGCTATCGGGCAGCAGCTGTCACTATGGCATTGGAAGAATGCTCGAACGCTCATCCCAAGCTTCCTGTGTCGAACGAAGAAACGCCGTCGATGAACGACCAGCATCAGCGGCTCTGCTTCGGCAACTCGACGTTCGGAGTCTTCTACAAGGGCATGTATTGGAGCAACAGAGGTTTGAATCTCTACTCTATTAATGCCATGGTACGGTAGATAGCTGAGCCTTGCCATCGCTAGGAAAACACCACTTTGCCTTGGAAGTGCGAAAGCGAAACCCAACGGGGATACTCAAAGTCTAGAGCGGGCCGTTAAAAAGTACCCACTGGCCAATAAGAGACAACTACGGAATGCAGATCTCGGCAAGGTAGAGCTGGAGTGATCTTCTAGCTAGACCTTTTTGGACTGGTTCCAATCTTATCGTCGGTCCATCAACTCATCCCTTTAGGACTGTCGTCTGGATATCCCGCTGCACGTTCGATTTCAATGCATCAGTAGCGATGCCTCGGCGTTGTCTGCCTCACCTGTCACACTTAGAGCTGCAGCGCTACACGCGTTCTCACTCTATTCATGGTCTCCCTACGCTCAGTTACGATGCCGGGGTACAGGAACTCGCCGCGAAAGTGCGCGTCGTCTTGCTTGGGACCCCTTTGATTGACCGATCTTCCTCTGTTTGAGCTGCACGACCTACTTGGCAAACAGCATGGCCCGAATGCATTCGTGTTACGGTCAGCTGGTTACTCGACCTCAGCAGATAGTTGACCGTGCATATATCCTAGATAACATTCCTTCTACTCAGAATTGACCACAATATCGCTGCGACTTAAGTAGAATTACAAGTCTTGTCGGCGAAGAGAGATTTATGAAGATTTTAAAGCTCATCTTTAGTCTTACGACCGTAAACCGACTTGTACAGAGCTCCTCTAGATGTTACCTCGACTAACACAGCAGACATGAATGTGGCAGCGCGCGAGCACGGTTCTTTGTGAAGATAGCCAGTGAAAATATTCCCGACTTTCGGACTGATAGACATGGCTCAATTGTGGATCAGTACCAGTTGCTGTCGCTAGTCATGGTGAAGATACAGGATACATGCTGTTTTTTTAGGATGGTAGGATTCTGTGTCCATCACGTCGAGGAATTCGGTTTGTTTTCATGCTTTGTCTTCACATACGCAATGCAAAACTTCCACTAATGTTGAATTCGAGGATATAATGCTCACTGATGTAGATTTACAGGGTCGCCAAGTCACTTCTCGGTTGTGCCTAAGTACCCTGTAACCGCAGTCGCGTGTTAGTGCTGGCATCTGGCAGGATCGCCTCACAGAAGGTGCAGCGAAGTCACTGAGCTGCAATCTTAGAATACACCGCAACGTACTCCGTGTGCTTACGATCACCACCTACCTAGATAGGAGGCCACTTGGCTGTATAGTAATACGAAGGTCCAGAGAACGCACTGGACCTAATCATCTCAGAAGCATCTTGGCTCTTTCATCCTCATCTCGACGGCGACAAAGCTACACCGAGGCTTTATCTTGTATTTAAGGACAGCATTTCCCCGTACAGATACCTCTTCACAGCACAATCACTTCCAACAGCCACTCCTTTACCTTTCTTACAACTTCCCACAGACGATTCTCAAATCTCGATTCTACTTCACCAACCCCGTCAACATGCATTCCAACACAATCATCTCCACGGTCATTGCCGCCATTGGCATGTTCGCCACCATTACTTCCGCCGAATGCACAGTCAAGTGGACAGACACAAACTGCTGCTTTCACGACAAGAAGGCGCGCACGCTTCAGGATGGATGGACTACCGTCATCCCCGGCACGAAGACTGGCGGAGAAATCCGTTTTGCAGACGGCAATCTGTGTCCAGACTCAGTCAAGGCCACTTGCAAGGCGAACTGCTGCGACCCGACAACTGGATGGGGCAAGGGTTGCCCTAAGTAAAGGTTTTTTAACATCTTTACTCGAATTTTACTATAATGTGAGTTCTTCATATTAGCTTGGTCCTGATGATGTCTAACGGAATTCAGATCTTTCTAATCAGTGTTGATGAATACTAGACGCGGTAATTCCGTATGGTGGCTACTGGAAGACTATGGATATCAGCTAGGAGTATCTCGAGCTTAATTTGTAACTTGTGGGGTTAAGGCTTTTGTACTTTGGGAAGCAGAGTTCGATTTGAACGCTCTTCCATCCATTCATTAGGTATAATAAAGAGTTCGATCTTATCAACGTGTCTGCATAGCCAGATATACTGGTGACTTGCAATACAAAGGAAAGAATATACTAACAAGCAGGAAGATTTGAGAGAAACAGCGTGTTAGAAAGGCTCACAAGCCTCAGCTCACAAGCCTCAGCTCACTGCCGATTACGAAGGAACGATAATAGACGCTTGATTGTGCTACGGCCACCGATTCATATGACTTGTTTCACGTCGACCGCTTTCTAAGCTTTTATCTTGTCTCAAGCGATGGCGATTTGACACGAGTCACAAACCGCATTCCAAAACAACGGGTGACTATCCACGGATTTGGAGAGTGCACATTGAATAATGCTTCTATTGCTGCTTTCGACGATACACCTATCTCAATGCGCCCAACATGCTGCTGGAAAGGTTCCTGCCCTGATTAATCGCCTAGTGTCCGCGACCCTCTTTGTTCCGTTAACACTGTCAGATTATATGGCCAGAGAGACCTTGGTTCATCTGCACTCGATAGATCGGCTAGAGCTTTTGGCAGATGACAAGTAATTGATCATAAAGATGCATTCCTTGTTGCAGTCGATTCAAAAAGTGTATTTCGAGGTATGCTCGGACCATAATTATGGATAATGATTCATTCCCAGTTTACTGAAGAAACTCCCAAGCATGAATAACCTAATCTGCCTCTCGTGTCTTGTCAGCCCATGATAGCCTTGGTTTTATCCACTTCGTCTAACCACATCACTCTGCCGCCTTCTTGATCCCACATTTCTCTTCTATTTCTTCCTGCCCTTTCCCGGATTCCAGAATGCTTCATCTTCTTTGCCTTTTTCAACTTCTTCCTGGTTCTTCTTTGCCTCCTTTTCCTTTGTTGCTTCCCTTATAAATCTTTGCTTGCACTTCAGACAGCCGTCCTGGTTTTTTAGATGAGCTCTGCCTTCGCAGCCATTACGGCATGGCATCTCGTGCTTCTTGCAGTAGTACATATTGCCGATGTGATCTTCATCACAGCCTCCGGGGCTCTCGTCGCCGACCCAGCCTGACTTTCCGGGGCAATGATGCTTAGTCCCCCTGCCTCCAGTAGGATTGCCGTTCTTACCCATGGTACTAGTGTGTTGAAAACTCCGAAAATGCTTTGTAGTTCTCCTGGAGCTATATGTCTATTAGTGGAGTTGAGAGTTGGATTGCGCAGACGTTGAATGACTTGCGGGAACATTTTATACGTGAAGTTCACGAAATGCATTGTAGCAATATGAGACCTAAAGTTAAGAAGGTGAATCAGGCTGAGCGTTCACACCGTTCGCGCAGTGATGATCCAGAGGGAAACAACCCTGTGCACCGACAAAACTTGTCACTAGCAAACAAAGAATTACCAGCATAACAACGCGCCCAGTTTCAAAGGTACATAACCACATCAAAACACTATTTTCCCCACATCACAACGCTTCTTCATGTCCTTCGTCAGAATCATGTCACCTCATCTTTCTACTTCTTCCACTTCGCCCGCATACGTTGTAGATGCATCTTGCGTCGAAACATCGCCCATAGGGACAAGCACACAACATGTAAATGATCTAAAAGATGGCGTTGATCAGCAGCAACAGAAAGCGCATGACGGTGTAGCCTCGGAAGTGGCAACGACTCTCTGCGGACAGGAACCATTCGAGACCTTCCAGCACAAAGTTGCTGAATTCGTCACGGAACATTTTCGCCGAAGCCTTAAGGATATCGCGATCTATGAGATGACGGGTGGCACATATAACCGAGTCATTGGAGTCACGATAGCATCATATCCAAAGAAGTTTGGATTGCACTCGTTCTTGACTTGCTTCTTGGGCGTACGCAAGAAGAAATCGGTCGCAAAGTTCGATTCGTACATCGTGCGCATCCCACGTATGAGTTTCAGCGGCGACGATTCGGATACTCATATGGCCAAGAAAATGAAGCACGAAGTTTCAATTTTGGAGGCGGTCGGCTCACGGCTACCCTTGCCGATTCCTAAGGTCTTCAGCTATGACCTTACGACCACGAATATGTGCGAACGACCGTACATGATTCAGACGCGCCTCCCTGGCCGTAATCTTGGTCTGGACTTATGGAACCACCTCAATATGCAGCAAAAGCAGTGCATTGCCAAGCATGTCACCAATCTTGCTTCCATCATCGCCTCAGTCGAAGGCCCTACTGGTGATATATCATCCGAAAATCTTTCGCAGTCATCCACTTCCCCGATCTGCGTCAACACATTCTGTGCACCAGCTTATGACGATCAGCCAACATGCAAGCCGGCATTGGCACGCAAGCCTATCGATCATCTTTTGGAGCAATGCGAGCGGTGGCGCGCATGGGAAAGGTCCACTGGATTTTGTTTCGAAGAAGTCTGGGACGGGTTCGAAACAATTTCAAGAGCTCTGGAAATGCGCGGCTTCTTAGACGGCCCGTGTGTTCTGGTTCACGGCGATCTCAAGCCTTACAACCTTCTGGCGGAGGTGCGTAACGAGACTGAAGTGGATATCACGGGTGTCATCGATTGGGATTCAGCTATCATTGCGCCTGAATTCATGGCCTATAGAGCACCATTCTGGCTTTGGACACCGGAAGATATGGATAGCGACAAAGAGGACGGAGAATGTGTGGCGGATGTTGAGCCTGTTACAGATGAGGACAGAATGTTGAAGCAAGTATTTCTTGACAACGCGTCCGAGAAGTACAAGCTCTATGCCTTCGCACCAGAGGCGATGCTGGCTAGACGTATGTTTTTTATACTAAGAGAGAGCTTGCGCAGTGATTGGGAGTTCGAAGAGGCGAAAAGCGTGATACGGGAGTGGATTGAACTTCATCCCGAGGATGGAGTCCAGCCCGTCCCTTCTGATACGGATTCTGAACCTGAATCTGGATCTGACGACGACCAGGACGACAATGAGTAATCTGAGGGAATTGGGTATTGAAGAAGTACATGCCTGCTTCGCACCAGAGTTTATGGCCCTCCGCACTCCATTTTGCGACTGAAAGGAGGGTTATGTCGATGAAATAGACGAAGGCTTAGCTACATACGAGCCGCCTGTGAAGGTTTGTAAGACACTTACAGACACTTTCCGGCCTGAAGCTTACATAAGCTCATCAGGTTCGGCCTACCGTGAGAGGATAGCATTGCAAGGAAGCTGTTAAGTGTCCTGTCCGCTGGCATACTAAGCTACGATCGGCGTTGCCTGGTTCTTGAGTTGGTGAAACAGTAGGATGCTCCTTCACAGAAGACAACTTTGGGGCTTATGAAGCAATAGGAACTTGAATGTCTCTAGTAATTCTGCTTGCTGTCTGGTGTATGTTGACTGAGTTTCATGTAATAGTATTGACGATTTGTTATCTTTCATCCGACTACGTGCGACTTCGCTCGCCGCACAATTACCAGGAAATGAAGGCGGTTTTTCAATCCCGATAATAGAATATACACACTGTCGCTGATCATTTCAAGGTGATGTAGCAGTGGTGTCCTACAGGAGAGATCAAAAACCTATTGTCCATCTCCATCATCTCGTCTTTCATACATTCGGAAATTTTGGCGCCACGACATTGTCGGAAGAAGAGAGCTGCTGCTAAGCGAAGCTCTATGTATGCGAGATGAATGCCAATACACACCCTCGAGCCGCCTCCGAACGGCATGTATGACGCTTTTTGATGGGCTGACAGGGTAGGTTTGTTCAGGAATCGCAGACCATCGAATCGAAGTGGGTCGGCGAAGGCTGATGGGTCTCGGTGATTTGTGTAAGCCTGGGTACTGACTACAGCACCGCCGGGAATGTGATATCCATTTATGGTTGTGCCTTGTTTGGGAACAGTTCGAGGTAGCGCTCCAGGCGCAGCACCATAGAGCCTCAACGTCTCTTCAATGACGCTGTTCAAAAGAGGCGCGTTCTCAAGTTCTTCTTTGGTCAGTTCATCGCTTAAGTGTGCGATTTCGTCCTCGAGGCGAGTCTGCAGGTCCGGCTGTTTTAGAACTGCCCAGACGAGATAGGTCAGGGTGACTGCGGTGGTGTCTGATCCCGCAACAATGAGGTTTCCCGCTTCCTCCCGAATATCCTTGTCTGTTAGTGAAACCTTCTCGTTATTTTCGCAAGCAGCCAGCATCTGACCAAAGAGATTCATAGCGTTCCCGTTGCGGTTGCGCATATTCTCGATCGCACGCCGGCCGTATCCATATACGACATCATCAGTGGTTACCATGGTCTGTATTCGCTTCAAGGGTATGAGCCGAAGGATATTGTATACGATCGGTAGTTCGGATCGCAACACCGATCCAAGCAGCGCGGCCTGGATAGCGTCAATGTAGGGTGTTTGCTGTTCTGTTTGTCAGACTGTCTAGCTATATTATCATGAGGCCGAAGTAGATCACATACCTTTCCCAGTTCAAGCATGTTAAAGCTTTCTCCGAAACAAAGATGTGCAATCACATCGGTCGTCATGAGCGTCCACCACTTGAAGATATCGGCCCCTTGCGATGAACCAGAAGCATCCTGGCGGATCTTTTGGACAGCTAAACCCACTTTTTGTCTAACTTCTACATCCCAGTTGCTGTTCAAGCTGCTATTACTGAAGGCTCGGGCGAACAGCCTCCTTCGGGCGGCATGGGCATGTGGGTCGCGCATAGCGAAAATTCCAGGTGTATCAGTTGGCACAAGGACCGAGTAGAAGTCTGACTTCAAAAACCCGCCACCAATCTTATGTATCTGAGTCACACCTCCTGTGTCCGAAACGGCGGCCTCGTTTGGTGCAATCCGTACGACACCGCCATATTGCTGGTGAAGCTTGTCCACGTAGAAGATCCGCCTGCCTGAGAGGACCTGGTAACGAAGGATGAGGTTGGTGTATCTTGAGTACCAAGGCCCTGGTAGCTTTGCAAGTGGGGATGTATACCCTGCCCACACGACCTGTACTCCGTCAGCCTTCAGTGAAAGGAGATCAGGTTGGGTTATCATACCTTGGCGATGTAGGCCAGTACAACCAGGACCGCGATTACAATGCCTCGCTGAAGCGACATGGTGTCTTGATTTCACTGAGCTTGCACTTTTGAGAGGCACTGATCTCGTTCAAACAGGATACTCGGCTCCCGGTGAATATGCACAACGGCAGATCATAGTTTCAAATCAAGGGCTGCGCGCTATATACATGCTCGGAATGTGGAGACCGGCCTCTAAAAAGCCCTTCGTTCGTCGATGGCTCCGTCCGGAATCATGGCGACGCATCGTGCCGCAGTACCGCTCTCAAGCAGCCCTGCACGCAGACAGAAGAAGGACCGTGTGGGCCAGAAACCCTGTCTCACAAGAAATCAAGAGATCAAAACGTAGTTGCTAGTTGGAGCGGAGTGGTGATAGGAGCGGAATGGTGAAGAGAGCGGAGTGATGGCATGCCAAGTTCCGCCTCTCCCCACATGAATCCTCGGACGTGCTTTCGCCCGTTCCGAACGGCCCGCGCTCTAATGATCTACACTGCGGTTTCGTTTCGTGGGGATGCGGAAGCCACGGTCTCCGAGGCTCTAACGCTGCTTTCGTTTGCGCAGTATGCTGTTGCTGGCATGGTGCGATCTTTCTTGATGAGGCAGGACATGACGTAAGCGTATTCGTGTAATCAGTACCCAGGTGCTTGTAAGCTAGTGGCCGTTCATACCAAATAACAAATAACAGATGATGACGTAAGCGTCTATGTGCTCGATCCAAGGATTGTTTCATCAATTTCCATTCTTCCTCCCCGCCTCGCGTCCATCAGTTCCCACATTACTAGCAAGATGACGAATCAAACTGGACCCCACACAGTTCTGCAGCAAGGATTTGCGAAATTACCTTTGGAGTTGTTTCTCACTGTCCTCGATCAACTTGTGGGTACCCGCAACGGACAGCAGCAGCCCGTAGCATACGAGCCATCAGGCATCGTCACCAAGACATTACGCGCGCTCACACTAGTATCGCGCAGTACTTACCTCATAGCGACAAAGTATCTTTACTCACACTGTCTATACTTGGATAGCTGCACGACCTACGCTCGTTTTCGTAGAACATTGGGATTGCATCTCGGGCATCATCCACAAGCTCTTGATTATGGAGAAGCTGGGCGTAACGACGAATTATTTGCGGAAGCTCAGGTCTTACGAAATATCACATCTCTCTTCGTCTCACCATCGAAGGTGCAAAGGTTGATAGAAGGCAACTATACGCCTTTGGTGCGACTGCCACAGATCATCGACCTCTGCGATTTGATTGGACCTACACTCAGGAGGCTGGCTTTAGACCTGTCTCCGATCTATGCGACACCAACCGAAATCGAGCAGATGAGACCGCATGTCACTGAGAATAATGTCTTCATACACATGCCGCATCTGGAAGAACTGATCATCAGCTACGACGTGCTCAATTACTTCCGACACCCACCACCCAACTTGAAATGGCTGGCTATCACTGCTCAGGAGCTCACGGATGTTGAGGTAGCTTTCTGCCTCAAGATACCGTCACTACGAATGCTGGTCATGATGCGACCCGTCAATCTGGAAGCCAAGGACATCGATATTATATTTACAGCATACAATGGCAAAAGCTTGGACACTGTTCTAGTTGATGTTAACTCAAATCATCGGACACCTCAGGGGACGCGGAGTTGGAAAGACAACGATACAGTACGCATTTGGGAAGTGGATGTACCAGTGAGCTTCTACGGCGACGAAGACGACGTCGTACTGTGTGATGGTTGGATATGGACACACGGTGTTCAAGGAACCTTGTGGAGTCAAGACAAGCGACGTATGGCTTCCTGGGAGGAGATTGAGAGACGTTTGGCCGGGCCAGTACATACAATCATGGAAGTATAGCCCTAGAACTACTGAGAACCTAGACCATACTCATCGAGTAACCTTGACATGGCATGAGTGCCGGTTCTACATCCAAGTCCGCACGTTGCTCTTGCCTCACAAAATCTCTCCGTGCAGCGCTCCGCTGACTGACCATCAAGCCTTCTACGTCTGCTGCCATTGAGTTCTGCAAGACGCCGCTATCCCGTCGTTACAGCCCCCGCTAGACCTCTCTTTCAGCCCAATAATGAGTCTTTCCTCGAGAGATTTTCTGATTGCTTCTCCAACTCCCCCACATTCCATGTAACATGTACACAGGTTCCCTTGAGCTTGTCCGCTCTCCCTCCACCCAACCACACCGAAAACATCCCAATGAGCTCCAGATTATCGAATGCGAATGGCTCGAACATGTCGAACATTCTCTCCGTTCTTATGCTTCCAACGTCAAGCGAAAATGCTTTCATCTCTGGGTATTCGGTGTTGAGGAACTCTATGAGGCGGCGATCGGCATCTTTCGCGATCTGGTGCGAAGAGAGGCCAGAGCTTACGACGGTATCCGTTCCAGATGTGATAGATATGAACGTTCCAGTGGGTGCTGGACCAAACGTACGGATGTATTGGTGGGCCGGGAGATGTGTGCTGCGGAAGTTCGTCGTCATATCGGCCCACCACTCGTCGTTGTCGTCCGTCTCCCCTATCGTGCTGGAATGTGCGGTACCGACGTTCGCTATAACTATATCCAGCTTCCCAAACTGCTCTCTAATAGCAAGGAATAGTTTGGTGACATCTGCTGATCTTGTGGTGTCGCAGGCTGTAGCAAAAAGCTTTCCCGCCGGGTTCAGCCTTCTGAGCTCAGCGATCACCTGCTCTAGATCTTCTGCATTTTGACTGCAGATTGCGATGCCTGCAGCCCCTGCTTTTGCCCATGATAGAGCAATTGTCCGGCCAATATCTCTCGCCGCACCAGTGACGAGTACGTACTTTCCTGCTCCAGTACGTTGCACTGCTTCGAGAGCAGCACATGGATGGCGATGGTATAGACTAGTGGTCTCGGCCATCTCCATGGAATAAGCTGGGCTGATATCTCAGGCGGCCGTGTGGAAATGTAGATGTTGGCCGACAGATGTTGTGGAGCATGTCTCAAATATCACTGTCACTCATTTCACCCCGGAACTTCTAATGCTGCTATGACACCGTCAGCGCTCGCCCGACGCGATGCCGCTTTCAAGGCATTCTACTCTTTCTCTGGTAACGAGTTCGGGATGGTCCGGTCATTAGTCCGTCGCTATCATCCTTCGTGCACCCAAACCCACGGCCAAACATACTCAAAAGACGATGTCAATGATCCCTATATGCGTCTCAATTCTGAATCACACTCTTGGGCTATCTCGCATGCATGTGTTTCTTGATGGTAGTGTAATTCTATACGATCAGACCAGTCAAACCTTGCCTTCATCCTACTCGAACCTAGATCGGCAGGCCTCGTGCACCCTGACAGGTGGCAGGTCGGTACCAGATACTAACTCTTAAGCGTCTGGTAAAGCGAATGTCTAAGTATAGAGTCCTTCTAAGGTCAATATGTACAAGATGCGCTCGCTACTACCCGCGAGCTATTAATAGGCCACCAACATGCAGATTGGAAGGTCCACAGCATGACCGAAGGGCCGATAACATACCGATTGGACATAGATTGAACGCAGGAATGTTTGCTCTTCGCTTGGAGTTGAGTTGAGCCAATGCGAAGCTTTCGAGCACGTTGATAATCTTACATACACGTAGTTGGGGGCGAAAACTGCGGCCAGTATTTGCCGACCCACGTCGATGAACGGCTAGATTCTGCCGGCTACTTGCGTATGATAGCGAGATAGAAGAGCAACGTGAACATCGTCATATCATGTATAACCATAGGACACAAACTCAGATCAATGATATCATTAACGACATTCTCAGAAAATGACGCGATCGTAACAATCTTCCACTCATGGCCTGGCTCTCCAGCACTAAGCAACGGCTACCTCCTGCACCCCAACAACGGTCTCGCTTTTCTTTCTCGCCTCTTCATCTCTCTTCCACTTCTCCGCCCGTCCATAAGAATCCTTGTACCCACCCAAAATTGCCTGTTCAACTGTAATCGGAGGCCACTTTGGTTGTTCCCCGTCCGCCTTACAATTTGGCAGACAACTAACCACATAATCCGGGTTTCCAGAGAAGAAGACAGGAATGCTGTACCTCTCCTCGCCACTCACGTTAATGACGCGATGGAGATTGGATATGTAACGATCGTTGCTCCATCGCATCATCAAGTTACCTAGGTTCACGACGAAAGCGCCAGGAGTGGGGGTTACATCGAGCCACTCTTTTGTCGTGTAGTCGTAGACTTGAAGACCAGAAACAGTATCTTGGAGTAAGATTGTTATGCAGCCAAAATCTGTGTGTGCGCCGATTCCACGAGTGAGTTTTGCTGGGCTGTCGGGTGGCTGCGAGGGGTAGTGGAGGAGCCGCATTGTTGCTACTGCGCCGCTGGCGTATTCGTCGAAGTAGTCTTCAGATAGATCGAGGGTCAGAGCGAGTACTTTTAGGATATCTTTTGCGAGCTGTACGACTTGGGCGTAGTACTCTAGTGATGTGTTCTTGAAGTCTTGCACGTCTGGTAGAGATGACTCCGAGGGCCACATGTTTGGGCCAGAGTTGAGTCTTTTGTTGAGAAAGTAGGGATGTGTTTTGGGAATTTCATCGCCGATGTAGTATCCTTCTTTGAGCTCTGGCGATGTTCCTTCTTCCAACATCTGGGATTTGAGCAGCTCGTAACCGCGGTTCCATGTGTTTGATGTATCTAGACAAAGGTATCAACAAGACGTCATGTGCAAAGGTCGCTCTACTTACCCTTGTTTACTTTGTTCTTCTCTTCTAATGGCAGATTGAAGAACTTCTTATTCCAGTCCATCATCTTCTGCTGCAACTCGATGGGTACGTTATGTCCGGTAATCTGGAAGAAGCCATTGTGCAGACAGCAGTTTCGCACTTCTTCTACAAGCTGTTTCTTGGAAGTCGCATCACTCTGGTAGAATTCTGGTAGTTGTTAGCGGTGACTATAACAGAACAAGTTCAGCATAGTTCGGGCCTACGAACTGGAGAAGTCCAGAATGGGAGGAGCATCGCCGGCGCTAGGCATGTTGAGCCTTTTAGTAGGTCTATGAGGTAAGCAAACAGTACAGGTGGTGTTGTTGATAGATGCTGGATGTTTTTGAGGTATGAATGTAGGAATGAAAGATGTTTGCGGTGGTTTGCAACGAAGCATCACATTACATCGAATGGTATTATATCCTAGTTTCTCGCCAGATCCGCTTTCCATATCCCCATCTCTCACCTACCCCTCACATGCGCGGCGCTATCGATAGCGGCGTTGCGCTGGAAAGATGGCGCGAGTGGGGTTTCGAAGTCCTCCCAAGGTTCACCCCCACCCTTGCTTTCAAGTCACGACTGGCCAACTGTAAGATACGTCAAGTAGATGGTGCATCCTACACACCTGGAGGCAGACCCAAAGAGTAACAATTCTCCATTATCCGCAGGTCACCGCGGAGCTCAAGGCTTACCTAGGTAAATTCCAATCATGATCGGAGCAAGCTGAAGTACTCTACAGGGTTCTCATCTTGCCGTCAACCCACTCTAGCATAATGATCTTGCAAGTTGACCAACTCTGGTCCCCAGCTGGTCTGAGTTGGAAGGTCATCTATGACCACACTGTCCATACTCGATCTGTACCGTTCACCATGGTCATCCGGGAGTGTTGTCGCGAGCCTCTGGTCGTAGTGGAGCTTTTGCTAACCATCCATCATGTACTCAGTATCAGTCCTGTCACCGATGCGACACATGCCATCCCATAACACCGTGTACAGGCTCCTTACGATCATATACTCGGGTGAACAAGCATGTCATTTTGGTGCATCACCGGCCATTGTTTTCCACGATCTCTTTGTGTGTTGAAGCTCTATGTCTGCCGGCTCGTGTGCAGCAGTCATCACATCGTATTCTTTCCGATCTTCTAAAGCGCACGAAAGTCGAGATGACAAAACCCCGTGAAGGATAGATGTGTCGCAAATCCATAACGGTCTGTGCAAGCCCATACAGGATAGAGTTAATCGGTAGTTTCGACGTGCCGTGGAGACAGACAAAAAGGGATCGCTGAGACTGAGGGAGAATTGCTACCTTGTTTACGGGCGATGGGAGCAAAAGAGACAGGGCTGAAGGTCGACACACGACGGAAGGCATTCCGTCATTGCCCAGTCGCTGATTGGCCAGGGAAAACTCGACCATGGGCGGCTGGCCCCACCTTCCCATTAGTAGTGCTTGGTCATGCTCGACATAAGCAGCCCTTCCCTGCCAAGCCTCACCTAAACACCCACCGGATTGTTAAACCTTTACCAACCAGGCAAGCCCACGATGGCACCCACGCCCAACTGCCCTGGACCGATCTTCGAACATTCTCGTCACCCTAGTCGCGTTTTGCATAAAGCGCCCCCTCCCGACCCATGAAGACGCTTTCCTCCATCTTCATCGCCCTCATCGCAATTGCATTTGCCGTCTACAACAACGAGTACATGCTTTCGAGACTCACACAGTCACTCAAACACGTCACATCCCTTGCAAAGACCACCAAGCCCTTGTACAACACCACCCAAGACATGACGACCATGTTCCGCGGACTGCCCGTCATCCCCGACGAGGCCTTTACGACCGATGCGCCCCGCAAGATCGCGAAGTCGTTCCTTGCGATTGAGCAGTCCGAAGGCGCGGGAGCCAAAGTGAGGAGGAGTGTCGGCACTCCAAAGCTCCGCAACTTCTCCCCATTCCTCATGCTCGACCACTTTGCCATTCCACCAGGCGCAGGTTTCCCAGATCACCCACACAGAGGTATGCAACTTCCCCTTCTCTCATGCCTAGTACATCTGCGAGCACTATACTGACTTCTCGATTCGTACAGGCCAGGAAACCATCACATATCTTCTCTCGGGCGCTGTCGACCACGAAGACTTTGCAGGCAACAAGGGAACCATCGAGCAGGGCGATCTACAGTTCATGACAGCCGGCCGCGGCATTGTCCACGCTGAGATGCCACGCCAGAACGAAGACGGTGCGCCCAACGTTGGAATGCAGCTCTGGGTCGACCTGCCCAAGGAACTGAAGTCGTGCGAACCGCGTTACCGAGACCTACGAGCCAAGGAGATCCCTGAGACGACTGCCGACGATGGCAAGGTGCACGTCAAGGTCATCAGCGGACAAGCCTACGGCACCGAGAGTCTGAAGGAGTTGGCATACACCCCCGTTTGGCTGCTCGACTTCACAGTCCAGCCCGGTGGCAAAGTCAAGCAGCCCCTACCAAAGGGCTGGAACGCTTTCGCCTATCTCCTCAACGGCACCACCATCTTCTCGTCCGACGGCGTATCGCGACCTGTTGAACAATACCACAACGTCGTTTTCGACAGCAACGGCGACAGCATCGAAGCCTCAGTCGAAGAGGGCGCCGAGAAGGAGTCGAGATTCATTCTCGTCGCTGGTCTTCCCCTCGATCAGCCCATTGTACAATACGGGCCATTTGTCGTAACATCAAGAGACGAGGTCATGCAGGCTATGATGGACTACCAGAGCTATTCAAATGGGTTTGAAAGAGCAAACAACTGGGAAAGTGAGATTGGAAAGAGTATGGTTCACTAAGATGCCTACTTCCGCCTACCTTTTCTTTCCTGGTCACTTCTTATGTATATACTAAATTACGATTCCATTTTTCTTTGCCTTACAACCCCTGGTCTCATCCCATTTCTCTAGGATTTATCAATCGGTAACATACGTTCACCAATATATGGCCACGCACCTGACACTGTTCTGCGCAACTCACATACTCACGCACCCAGCCGAGCTATCTTCTACGAAAATGCCTCCATAAATCTGTCCTTCACCGCGCAGTGGTATGTGCTCTTGGTACCCATCGAATACCACCGTCTCTGTCTCTGTAGGTTTCTTTGCAATACCGATCTGCAGCTGACCTCCTCCAGCATTGTCATTTGGTAAAGCCTTGCTGACCGCTTTCAACGGCTTGTCGCCTGTGGAGTAATAAACCTTGATCGTACTATACATCTCGTCAGCTTTCCCAACAATCAATCGAGCCTCATGGTATGAGCAAATGCAAGATACTTACTTCCGCACATAATCCAACTGCACTCCAAAATTTTGCCATTCCCTCCTCGAAATCTTCGTCGTGAAGATGAATTCATTCTTCGCATTCTGGATCTTCCAAGTCTCCCTTTCCCGCTTCGTGTCCACACCCGTCCCACCATCACCAACAAGCACAACACCACCAACGAACATGAACTGGTTGCCCGAGTAATCAGCCTTCTCATGCCACACATTCATATACTCGTGACTCAGATTCAGCGGCCTCCGTTCGTCTTGTTTAATGCTCCAATGAAACGTCACAATACCCTTGTCTGAAGCATCAGCACCAGCGTCATTCTGGTCGTCTTTCAGCAGAAGACCTGCACGGCGGAAGCCAGTCTGCAGGTTTTCGCCCGCACGAAACAACGAGCCGTCATCGATGGTCACTTCGAGGGGCTTGTGTTGACGCGGATTGTCGAAACGGGATTGCGGGGCGGTTTTGGGTGAAGGGAAGAGAAGGATGGAGGACCAGGTACGGTTCTCACCTTTGACGAAGTCGGGATTGTAAGGGGTGGATCCTTGAGCTGTGTCAAAAGACTGGAGAGTCAGGTTGGAGGCGATGCGACCGTCGAAGATTATGGGGCATTTGATGTTGGATTTGGGTTGGTGTGAGTGTGGCAGTAGCGGAGTTGCTGCTGTTAGAGCCAAGAATGGAAGGAAAACAGAGAGATGCATGGTTAAGAAAGGTTGACCCTATAGAATCGCCAAAACTCACACAACCATAAGTCTAGGCAAAGAACTCATTTATATGGTTCTACTGTTTAGGACGCTAGCCAGCCCTACGGATATTGGCTAATTAGGTAGAGCGGCAGAGCACTATGGGCCAAGATCTAGTGCAGCCACATTCCCGGAACACCATTGGCTCTAGTCCGACGGACCTGGAATCCGGTCACCTTCAGTGGTATCTCAATGCGCTAGTTCGAGACTTCGTTTAGCAACTCATACACCGGTGACTCGAATCGAGTAGAGAGAGACGACAACTTCCTTCTTCTATCGTCATAGAACGTCTTTCCATCCCTTCCAGATCTTTGCGAACTGGTCTTTGCATGCTCTTCCGAACAACAGGTAATTGTGTCTTCGGGCGCCGCATCACAACGACACGGATCAAGATTACATGACCTACCGAAACCGCAGTATGGACAGTGTGATTTTTGCGATTGAATGAACCAGCTAGAATCGGTAGAGGCCGGTCGATTTTCTCGTCACTTTCCCCGGCACGGGTTGTTCATTGTCCCAGAACTTGAGAGAGCGAATCGGCTTCCATGTCCACTGCGCTTCGTCGTTTAGAGCGCTGTCCAAGACCCAGGTAATGGCAGCAGTAAAGGCGACGACTCCTATGGCGCTGACCCAGTAGACCCAGAAGTCGCTTCGGTTCTGAGGACAGACATAATATATCAGCGTATGTTTCACGGGCCTTTGATGCATACATAACTCACTGGTGCATAGTTGTCTTGCATACTGAATAAACTGCTTGTGTATGCCAGTGGAATGAAGAGTAGGGCAAGGAGGTTGAGTCGTTTGACTCGTTTGGCCTCTTCCAGGTTTTGACGATTGCCAGCAATTGATGCCAGTCCGGTCATGGCTTGCATGAGGTTATCAGCACGTTCTTTTAGAATCTTGAGCCGGAAGTAGACGTATTGAAAGTCTTTCTCGCAATCTTTCCATGTTGACGCCTGCAACCTGGCAGAGCTATTCACCTGACCATCTAAAGGATAGCCAAGACTGAGCATTGCGTCCTCGATATCGTCGCGGTAGTTGCCGCACCGACGTGAGATGGTTTGTAGACTCTTCCATTGGCCTTGCTCTTCGACCCATGCCGTAGTAAGCCGAAGTTCTAACGAGGGTAGCATCGCTTTGATATAGTCAACAAGCTGAAGATAATGCGCAGCAACGATCTTCTTCAGATAGATTGCTGATGTCTCGGGCGTAGCCCACTCCTCTTGTGAAAACAAGTCAGAGTGCTGCTGGTAGTAGTGAAGCATGTCGCGCAGCATCGACTTATGCTGGTGTTGTTCCTTATCCCTAATCTTATCATGAGGTACAGGTGGGATAAAGTCGACATAGCCGTCTTGGAAAGGTGTGTTTTTAAGCTCTTCGCGGACGTTGCTGATCGGGCGCAGTGTGCCGTCGCCGGGAACAACTTCTTTGGGCGCAGGAGAGAGATGAAATAGTTGAGGGTCACACAGGATTACAGCTAAGCGGGTCAGCCAAAAGACATTAGAGCCACAGCTTGGTTTGATCGTCCTCAGAACGAACAGCCGGTTTTCAAAGCGGAGGGGCACCCAGAGAGCCTTCTTACGGTCGACAGTATGAAATCACGTACCATCCCAGCCCCCATTCTTAGTCTCGCGAGACCACCACCCCACTTTGCGTCGCAATATACCTACCGTGCTCTCCTCTTTCAGGCGCGACGCTGTCATGCCAACATGCCGTCTCGTTCGTTCACAGAAGAAATAACGATTCTCAAGTGCCTTGTTGAATTGTCTCAATTCGCAGTATTGGAGATGGAAAGCCTGCTTTGGGTCTAGTAAACTGGGTTGAGGCAATGCATCGCTCACTGGTGTAAAGTCGTTGCTCCAGACGCACGTCCTCTCCTGTCGCTGGAAAAATGTAGGATCCATGAAGAAGTGACCCCCGACAGTTGCGATGTAATCAGGAGCCAGTCCTTCCATAAGGTAGATTCGCCGGCGGTTATGGTCATGCGATGTTGTCTGAAAGTGCTTGCGAAGGTCTTTCTGGCTCTTGAATTCTGTCGTTTGGAAACCAGGTACTCCAGTGTTGGGTGCATCCAAGAGCGCAACAAGCGCTTTGCCGTTCATCAGCGGTCCATTTTCATTGTTTGGATCGGCTTTCTTCAGGCCAGGATTGGAGCCGCTCAGCGCTTCGATGTATTCGCGATACTCGCCTATTGAGAATTAATGACACCTGCAAACGGCACCCTGACAAGAGATGTTCTACCATCGGCGCACAGCCAAGATCCAATCAACGGCCCTTCGTCTTTCGAAATGGCTGGGCTCGGAGTGATAGTCCTTGAGGTCGCAGCAACGGAGGTTTTGTTGGCCGTGGAAGCCTCGGCGAGGGTCGCCATCTGGACTGTATCGACGCCTTCGTTGGCCATTACAATGGCTGTGCGTGATAATTTGATATTAAAGCACAGAAAAACTATTAATTCATCTTCATTTGACAAACTGGCAAACGATGCAGTAGCCCCAGAGTCTCAGGGTGTGTGGTCGTAACTGAGACGGGACGGAGGAAGCGATCATTCGACATTTTCAAAGGGCCGCGGCTCTGCATCGAGGCGGAGCTTTGTCTGCGTCAACTGGGGGCCAGAATCGCGCCACGTCATCCGTGCATTCGAAGAGTTCCGCTTGTGGAGGCGTGCTCAGATGCTGTGTCTGGATCGTAGGCACGTTGAGGCTGTGAAATGCAGCCGGTGAGTTTTGGAAGGCGGGGAAAGCAAGCCTAAGGCATTCTAGTTGGCGCGATGCTCGCAGCTAATTAGTCTTGGCCATCCACGGTCCACAATCTTATTGTGCTAGTGGCAGTGCGACGCACGACGTGAGGAAGCTTCGTAAGGCACCAGCAATGAATATGATAGTCATTTGATGTCAGTGTGCTCAAATTTAGTCCTAGTGGCATACCTCCAGATAGCCCTCACGACAGTGTTTTCTACTTGGCCGGTCTCCTTTCATCACGTTTGTTAGGTAACTGGAGTTCACTCCAACGCAGTGCTTTGGAGAACCATCACGACATGGTAGGGGAAAGGTGTAGAGTAGATTGGTGTGTGATTTCATAAGTCCCTAGCCTTGACCGTCGGCATCCGAGAGTGATTCCTCCCGCCTCTGTAAATGCTTAATACGCCTGGAATGCCCAAATAGATACGCGCCTAACCCAGATATCGTGACATGAATCATACGCTCAGCGCAGCAGGAGCTGTCATCTCCTGTGGAGGAAGGGCCATAGTTGCTTCAGGCTCCACCTCAGGTACCTTGATGCGTTTAGCTTCGGGCTCTTCTTCCTCCCGCTCCTTGCGCTTTTCTGTCTTCTGAGTATCTCCGTCGGACTTCTGGGCTTCCTTGACTCTCGCCCGCTTGGAAGCGCGCGATTCGTTCATGGGTATACCCAGATGCTCGTCAACAGTGTTTGCCTGTTGCAACAAGTCATCCACATTCTCCAAGCCCAGCGCCTTGATGACGTCTGTGTAGCACTTTGACTTGTTCATAGCCGCATATGCCTTTTCCTTCCCAGGTATCATCTGACTGAGCAGATACTTTGTGTTGCCCCAGCGGTTCTCCACTTGTAGTGCAAAACGCATGTATTCGGTGACAACGGTCTTCCACTGCGACCGCCACTCGTGAGGGCCGCCCTCTGCGTCGGGTCGGAAGCAGCTGGGGTTCTTTTCGGCTTCGGTTGCAATCATTGCGCCGTCGACGTTGAACTCCTCTGCGAGCTTGAAGGCTTCGGTGCGCGATGTGACGTCGCCGTTCATGAGGCATGCGACGCCTGCTTCGTGGCATATCTCTCCAATCATCTTGAGTTGATGTCTGATGGCGCGCTCCCTCGGTCGCATGGGTGTCGTTCGGCAGTGTACGGTGAGACCCGTGATGCCGGTGCGCACAAGTCTCTTCACCAGTGCCGCGGTTTCTTCAGGCGTGTCTAGGATTCGGATCTTGACGCTGATGCCGATCTCGAATGGCTTTCCTACTTCTTCAACCAAACTTGTCAAGATGTTACAAAGCAGATCTGGCGTCCTCAGCAGCGCTGCGCCCATACCACCAGATGTGGAGAAGGGCTTGGGGCAGCCGGAGTTAACGTCAATGCCCGCGACATCCGCTGCCACCATCTTGGCTGCCTGCACTGCCAGCTCCGGGCTCGCCGTGCCAATCTGGTATATGAGCTTTCCCTTCTCCAGCTCTGGATGTATGCGGTATATGACGCTCTCGCGGTTCTCGGGATCGAGCGTGGGGTTTTTGATCTTTGAAGTGGGCAGGCGCGAGAACTCCAGCGTCTGCGTGTGTGGATTGAGTCTCTTGGTGGTGCCAATCATGGCGCGGTCGATGGTCTCGGGTCCCCAGACCAGGTCGGCGCCGTACTTGAGTGCGAGGAGGCGTGAGGGCAGCTCACCGGAGCGCACCATGGGCGCAAGCACCACTTTGCCACGGTAGTCGACGCCATTCTTGGGGATGGGGACGCTGGCGGGCTCGTTGGAGGCCATGGTTCGTGTTATCGATCGTGAGAGGGCTCGAAGCATAACATGCCTTGACAGGATGAGGGCCGAAGTTTGATCAGACTGAGTGGGGAAGGGAATGGCAGCGGCCTTTGAAAGTTTAGCGCACGTGCCATGGCTCGTGGGGCTAGCGCGGGGGCGTCTCTGCAGGTACCATTTGATAAATCCATCTCTTATATCCTCTTACTCTTAATCGGAATTTGGCAGGAACTTCGAACCCTGGTATTACGTATCAACCCACCATATCATATGCTTTTGTGGACTAAGTGATGCACCTCATTAAGTTCCTGCGCTTCTTTCTGTCACCCCCATTTTCATCGAAACTTTGCCACGTTGGCAGTTTCCCACTCAAAACCATTGATGACACTACACAAATATCAAATCCTCTTCGTTTGCATTTATATCATCCGATTCTCCGTTCATCAGGCTGTGTACGTATGCGCCTCCTACGAACTCGAAAGCCATCATCTCTGCATTATCTTCGGTAGGTACGCGTCTTTGAACGTGGAGTACGGGTGATCCATTTAATGCAGAGAGCATATCACCTGGCCGCACTCCTGTCGTCGTGAATCCAAGTCGTCCTGCCCTAGTTACGAATAGTTGCTTATAGTGAAGGATGCTCATGAGAACTAAAAAGTCACAGGCGTTCTTGTATCGCTTGTTTTGGCTAGAGGCCTCTTGCCAACGCGATTCCGCCGTGTGCGTCTCCGGATGTTGTAGACTCGTATACGATCTGAGCTGCGTTAGTGATATGCATCCATAATCGTGATCTGGATCACGAGAGATTGTATTACCTCTCAGTTTCGTAAGCAGTGTCGATCTTCCTAAAGCTTCGGCCTATGGCTCGGAAGTCATCATACCAATCCTGCATGACCGCTTCATCCTGCACAGATGCGTTGTTGCCGATCAATGTACGCCAGTACGTATCGAGGGTAATGTCACGATTGAGACCTACACAATCTTCTTGTCTCGTCTCGAAACTCAGACTATGCATTACGGCATGAGCCAATTTCTCCTCCCATTTCGCCACAGCCATCAGTATCTCGTTCTGTCTAGCTGAAGACCCACCCAGATAAGATCCACCATCCATGGGTATCGGTTCAAATACAGTAACAACCTCGTCCAAGATTCTACCTCGGAGTACTAACTGCCCAATTTTCAGGCCGCCTCGTGGTTTGTTGTTCCACCTAGTGGCAGCTTGATAAGAAGGTACTCTAAATTCCAAGTCGGCTCCTGAATGTATCGTCTTACTGATAGCGTGAAGGTCCGGGACCCAAGATGGAAGACCCTCACATTTCTCAGGTCCGAAGGCCAGACTGAGCCATCTCCACCATTCGATTCCGTTTTGAGTTGGGTACTCCGTGAGTACGTAAGCGCTGAAGCGCGTGAACAGATCTTGATAGGAAGTATAAACTATTTCGGTATCAAGAGAAGTGCCCAGCAAGTCGTCCTGATCCACCAAGCCCAACAGTCCAAAGATACGATCCTCGGGCCAAGTACATTCTTGTGTCTCTGCTACAAGAGACGCAACATTCATCAAAATGGATGCAGGACTAACACCAAGAAGCTCCGCGTCATTCCAATACAATTGCGCCCACGACCGAGCGTAGAATGTCGTTGATGAGCATTGCTCGTTCATCAGGATATATTTTTCTGTGTTAGCCATCGCCTCCTTCATGTCTGACCATTGCAACTCGACATCTCCACTGATAAAGCTGATCTCTCGAGCCAACGCCGCTTCTTGCACGACCCAAAGTCTTCGGAACCAATCGTTCATCATGAGGTGGCAGATCGTTGATCTTAGTGGAGGATGAATGCTGTCAAGATCTAGTATCCGATTTTCCTTGGCAAGCTTCACAACGAGCAAATCCATGGCCTCCGAGATACGCTCTGGATGCTCAGAAATGCCAAGCCACACCCATACCTTCGCTGCGTGTCGATAAATGCGGTTCATTTCCCGGATTTGGATCATCTTTTCTTGGTGGTGCGCTTGGTTGATGCAGATAGCATCGATCCAAATTGGCAGTACAGGTCGAGCATTCCCTCGCTCAGCAAGGCAAGAAAGTGCAGAACGTAGATTGCGGTGCACATACGAGATGCGCCCATTTAAGGTGATTGGGAATAAGTCGGCTCGTGATCCCCAAACATAAGATAGTGCATCATATGCAAGGTCTGGTTGCTCAAGGCTGACAGTCTGTAGGCTCCAGCTTTGGTCATCTTTGGATAACGAAGATGTGGGCGTAAGTAAACGGATATGGCCGGGGGGTAATTGGTCGTAGATAAATTGTGGCAGTTCGGTCATTGCGAATACAAAGGGAACAAGTTATGGCATTGGATACTAGATTTGCGAGGTGCGGGGTGCAGTGGTCTCATCTTGGGAAGAATAGCACAGTCAAGAGCATGCTAGCCTCGATCAAGATTAGGCTTTACACCAGCGATATTCACGTGGCAACACCAGCTTGAATTCGTTCTGCGGCCTCAAATAGATAGAGAAAATTCCTTAGTGTACACGCTTCCAAGTCACTCGAGTTCTGCAATTAGCCCTCGTAAGAGCTCACATACTGGAAAGGAAGGCGCACTCGATCTTATTGACTTTCTGCTCGTGAGCATGGAAAGTCAAAGACAATTCAGCAGCCTTGACTGGTTGCACATTCACTCCGACTAGGACTGCATATCATAGAGTAAAAACTTGTTTCATTTGATGTTCCTCTCGCCTCTACAGTTTTGCCTTGACAGCTTCTGGGTCCGCCACCTGCACCATGATTTTGCCTGTAGTCGTTAGTGATTTCACTCCCCAGTTGTGACCAGACATGCTTACCAGTGTTCTTTCCCTCGAACAATCCAACTAGTGCATCCTCCGCTTTGGTGATACCTCCCTTGATGACTGTCTCCTTCCGCTTGAGCTTGCCTTCTGAGAGCCATTGAGCAAGTTGTTTCCTTGCTTCCGCGTACTTGTCTGCGAAGTCGAAAACGATGAACCCTTGCATACGAATACGCATGGAGATGATCATCATGTAGTTCTGCATGGGAGGTCAGTAACATATTCGGCATGTCAAGCATTGACAGGTAAAGTACCTTTGGACCCTGAGGCTTCTTCTTGTTATACTCTGAAATGGCACCGCACATGACGAACCGCGCGAAAGGCTTGGCTCGTGAGAGAGCGAGGTCGAGAATCTCTCCACCTACGTTGTCGAAGTAGACGTCGATCAGGTCTTTGGTGGCATCTCTGAACTTCTTCGCGAATTGGGGGTCTTTGTAGTTCAGTGCCTCGTCGAAGCCAAGCTCCTCCTTCAGCCACGACACCTTGCTGTCCTCGCCAGCAAGACCCAAAACCTTTGCGCCCTTCAACTTTGCGATTTGACCAACGACAGTTCCAGTAGCGCCAGCTGCGCCGCTGACAACCACAAAGTCTCCCTTTTTGATTTGACCAATCTCAAGGATACCGAAGTAGGCAGTGAGACCAGTCATACCCAACACGCCCAGCGCGTCAGTTGGCACAGCACCTTCTGGCAGATCCAGTGATTCGACATGTTTCTCGTTAAGTACGGAGTATTCAGACCACCCGCACATACCAGTCGCATATGTGCCAACCGGGAACTTCTTGCTCTTGCTTGCGACAATGAGGCCAATTCCACTACCGCGCATCACTGCGCCAATCTCCACAGGAGGAATGTAAGAACGCGTCGGGTTCAGCCAGCCGCGCATCGCTGGGTCAAGTGATAGGTAAAGTGTCTGGAAGAGGACCTCACCATCTTTGAGGGACGACGCCGATGGGATTTCTTGCTGTTTTGGTGTGAAGGTCTTGCCGGCGACAACAGCGTCCTGTGGCCGTTCGGCAAGATGGATTGATGTGTAAGTGGGCATGATGGTAACTCCTCTGGTTTTGACAATGAGATGGGAATAGATCTATAAAGAGAATCCAGTGGGTTTGCGTAGTAGTGACCTTGAGTAGGGTACTGAGAGCGATCGTTCTTTCGGTGGAAGATTGACAGCTGAAGAGATTGGGAGTGAAGCCATGGCTCGCTCGTGTTATTGTAGTTCGTGTCCGCACAGATCCCCCATAGGTGTTCTGCGGAGAAGATACCGAGGTTCGGACGGTCGTTTCCCGATTAGGATGCTCACGTGATACAAGGGCTGAACATAGCGCTGTCAATGGCACAAGAAGGCAAATGGTTACTGATCATTAGTATGCGCTTGTCGCTTTGCATTCCAAGGTCGCTGTCTCAGGCTTTGTATCGTCTTTCACCATATCTGGTGTTCCAGGTTAGGATATCGCTACAGTGCTAACGCCCTAACTCGTAGCTTATGCAGTGTTCTTGATGTCACAGAGATGGTAGTTCACGTGGACTAACAGTTTGTCTGCAAATATTGCTGCTATACATCTTGCCATATCTCATGCTTGCAAGTTTGGGAGCAACACCACCAACAGAGAGGGGTTGCTCACTAATCGTGTCATTGCCTGCAAACCTTCATACGTGCTATTTGCACACATGATTTGATGCAACAGATGTCCGCATCATCTTGAGATGATGCAACGAGGCGGCGTTGAAAGATCACCTTCGAAAATAGCTCATTGCAACCTACCATGAGTGATCAAGACCAAAACTGGTAAGTCGGCGCACAGACTTGATTTGACGTGACGAACCTCCGGAGAACCCTTTGTTTGAAAGATTTAGAAGAGCTACGAATCAGAACATAGTTTCATGGTTCGACAATGCAGAATGCTGCCCATGCAAGACTGGGACGCAGCTGTGAAAATGGTTCACAGAGAAGCGAGCCGTACTGCCAAGCCACTAAGGTCGCATGACTAAGCGGATCTCGAGCTCAGCATCATCGCGAACCCTAGCGACATCAACGACCGCCAGCAACCTCACAATGCAGTCACTACGTAGAACAGCAGTGGCTGCTGCCAGGACGAGCCGAACCTCGCTTCCGCGCCAATCGCGCCGCTTCGCCCACGATGAACACGCCCACGGGCACCCGAGCCCAGCCGTCGACGAGCCCATGGGTGTATGTCAACCACTCTCTACCCCTCCCGAATGGTCCCAGACCTCCCCCACGATATCGCAATACTTCAGAAAGCATATGGCTAACCTAATTGGCATGTAGTACGGCTTCTATATGACAATTGGTGTCATCCCCGCGGGAATGGCTGTCTATTTTATGTCGCGAACGGACGGCGAAAATAACGAGCCGTACTTCACCCGCATGATCGCCAATGCTACGGCCGGCCTACACGAGAAGTGGACTTCGCAGAACGACCACCACGTGCGTATGATCGAGCAGGCGGGTGAGGACAGGGTGCTGTTCTTGAACACACGGCCGCAGGAATATGTCGATATGAAGTTCCCTGAGTACGTAATTTTCAGAATGTGGCATACTAGGCTATAAGAGAAGAAGGCTCAAGCCGAGATCAAGGCGAAGCGATGCAGATGGAGGAGGCGTTAATACGAACAACCGAGGCTAACAAGCACAGGATCATGAACGTTGGATCGCCCTACAACGTCCCCGCCGGAAGCCAAGTCCAGATGGACAAGGTTATTGAGAAGTACAAGAAGCTTGCAAACGAGGATAACGAGCGTAAGCTGGAGAAGTTGAGGAACAACCAGATCTCTTCTGAGCAGCCATTCGAGGGCAAGACCCGTGTCAAGAAGGCGCCCGACATGTTCTAGATAGAACGAGAGCTGGCTTGTTAGATGTAGATACACAAGGAATGATATCCGTTTCATTTGTAGCTGTCGCCGCTTTGTTGTGGTACCTACGTGATGATGTTCAGATTTGCTACTGACGTGTGACTCCAGGTGCTTCTCCGGGCTGTTCTGCCGAAGCAACGCACTTAGCGTAGGTTGCCAGAGAACATGTGATCCTTCTGCGTGTGTGTATACAGACAAACCATGAAGGACTGGCAGAAGTCCGGTTCATGATAGAAGTCCAAAGACTTTGCTTTCGTATATACACCCAAATCACCCCTGCTATAGCCTACTGGGAACTCAATACAGCAGTACGTTGACTAGATGACTGAGATTGCAATTGCCAAGTCCGTGTTGTTTATCCAGTACCTGCCTTTCACGCCGGCTGCACTCTTTGGGATTCCAGAAGAGTGCTCGTCTAGTCGTTGTTCTAGTCCGGTACACTTACTTTCACTGTGACGCCGTTAGTCCCGATATGGCCTTGGAGCTACGTGAGCTACCATGGCAAAGGGCCTCCGTAGTACAGCCGCGGCGTCTACTGCATATAGCATTCGTGTTATTGATATCATGGAACTGAGAAGCTGCAAAGAACAAATACTTAGCCACGACTCACGATGCAGCAATGTTCTGGAAGCGGTGAGTTTAGCCACGTCGGTGATGTCGTGTGGGGTATATTACCCCCGATATCACCATGGCGGAATAGAGAGACATTTCGAGTACGGTCGGTGTTAAGATCGTGAGTGAGTGATTAGCAGTGGCAAGAGGCGTTCACGACTAGATCAAAGATCAAAGCGTCGAGTCATGGGGCATCGAGGGGTCTCCTAGGATACTCACAAACTTAGCAGAGGTTCCCGCATAAACGCGTAAAGGTGAACGAGCCTAGGCGTATTGCGGTGTTTCGTGGTAGTGGAAACGCACACGTCACGTCCCATAAGGCTGTTGCCAGGGTTTCAGCCCCACTTGACAGCGGGTACCTGAGCGGGGATCATCGTTGATTGGCGAACGGCTACACCAGCATAACCAGTTCACGATGAATCTTCCTGGGGTGAAGTGAAGGGGATGTTTGCAGGCACTTCAAATGGTTAGGCTGGTTTTCACTCTGAAATGGACTTCTTTTGAGCGGGCTGCTCCCATTGCTGGTCGAACAATCACCGCCAGCCATCTCTCGCCCGTTAACTTGGTCGCCTGTCTGACACACTAACCAGCAAAGAACAAGAAAACAGCTGCTAGGCCCATGAAGATCCTTTACTTGCAAGAAGAGCCGATCTGTAAGGTATGAGTCCCTCCAGCTACGTTGTTAGTCATACGCTCCCGTCGACCAGCCTGCTGTTCTGTCGTTGCTTTTGGTGGGCGTTTGCTATACACTGCAGCATTGGTCCTCGACTGTCGACTTGCAGAAAACAAAGCCTGACTCATTTACAGATGTCGTCTCCCATCGAAGTGCGCACTCGAAGCATGCCGCTGCTTCCCTTTCGCAGAAGGAAGGTAGTCCCGGTTACTGCGGTTCTAGGTAAGGTTTAGCGCCCGGGTGGACCCCTGGTGCTCCCAAACACGGCGCATCACCCATCATCCTGATTGACGGCGCTGCATAAACATCTTTCCCACCTGCGCCGCACATTGCCATTGTCTGCACTCCCGCATGCATCTTTCTGAAACGTTGTTGCTCAACGTTCGATGCTAACCCCAAACACAAAGACACGGCACCATTGCTCCCCGAACTCTACTTCACCGCCCGCAAGAGGAATGACATGAACGGGTCAGCTTGGACCACCGACGACACTTCTCGCACTGCGAACGCCGCACCAGCACGCACGACCTCGACCACCACTACCATGCCCTCGTACACAACGCCCCGCAACGTCTCAGGCCCGCTAGCCGTCGACAAGGCGCCCATGAGCCCCGATGAGAACAGCTCGTGGAACCGCCCCAACCACTACAGCACCCCCAACTCCAAGACGTCGCAATACATTGATAAGATCACACAAGAGAATGACCGCCTGCGACGAGAACTCAGGGCAGAGAAGCTCGCCCGGGAAGATGAAGCCAAGCGTGTGTCGGCTGCACAAACCAAGGCCGAAGATTCCCGCGCCGAGTATCAGCATCTCCAAGTGCTCGCCGACACCAATGCGAGGGCGATAGAACGGAAAGACCGGAAGCTGGAAGAGCTGAAGGCCACATTGGACGCTGAGATACAAAGACGGAAGTCAGCAGAGCAGCGAGCCGAGGAAGCGCTCAGGATGCTGGGCGACACACGATCAGAGACCCAACGACAACTCTCACAAGCATACGAGATGAGGGGCATGGCAGACACGAACCTCGAGACTGCACGAGACGGCTTCAAGCGCATCACCGACGGCTACGAGAAGAAGGTGCGCCAGATCAACGACGAGCTCAACGAGCTCCGGAGGAAACGCATCGAAGACGCCGATAAGATCAAGCGACAAGCCATCATCAGCGATCAGCTACAACACGAATCGTCACGATCGACGCGAACGGAAGCCAAACTGACTAACATGATGGAGATATACAAGAAGGAGCACCGGAAAGAGATGGAAGGCCTCATACAGGAAGCCGAGAGGCTGCGACGCGCACTACCAGAGAAGGAGCGAGAAGCGCAGAAGCTTGTCGACTCGTTGAAGGAGACCCGCGACAAGATGCGATGGGTCATAACTCAACATGAACGACAAAATGGGGGGAAATAAACGCGTCGTCGCCATACTCCACACACTATCCAACAGCCCGGTAAATAGGGCAACGAGCGAGACGCAGTATAGAGACGGGCCAGCCGCTGCACTAAGCACGACCTGGCCTCTGCGCTCCCGCACCACACGACTATAATGACCAAGCTTTGTTTCCTGGGTTAATTGACAATCTGTAACATATCTGGATATGGCGTTGGAGTTAGGCATACATCACCACATAGGATGGGGTGAACAGGCGCTTACTGGATATCATGGTCAGGCCCGGCATTGCACGCGCAGGTCATTGTTTAGCTGTTCTCTGAGCAAAGGGCGTCTCACCGCTGGATATCTACCTCCCTAAATCCATTCGTGTATTTGTTCGTCGCACGATCCTGTTCAAATCGATTGCTCTTCATCGTTTCTCAATATACAAACCACAAAATGATTCTTCAGGCAGACGGCAACGCATCTCATCAGCTCCCACCATTGCCCTGAGCGCTGTTAGCTCTTGCACGCTCTTTCCCGGACCCTGAGACGCCAAGCAAGACCTCGCCCTTCCACTTCTAGCTTTGTTTACTCCCACCAGCATCATCATGACCTGGACGGTTTTCAAAACGTCCACTCTCATTGTGTAGAACAGTAGATTGTATACATTGCTGTCTCAACAGTCGACAATCTACGCTTCACGTATTGAACTCTCACCTCAGACAGCTTCATGGCATTCGGTAAGACCAATCACGATCGTTTCACATTCTTGCTGATTATTAGGCTGGCACATATTTATTAAGCTCGAATCTAGTGTCCATAACAGCACCAGCTTGCAAGCCACCATCGGATATGAATACAAACTCGCCAATCCAAGTACAAGTACAACGTTGCCAGACCAACACTCGAAAATGCAGACTAACAACCCCCAAGCGCAATATGCGGAAGTCACTCTATGCGGGCCATACCGACCGCTGAAAGCAAGCAAAATCTCAAGTCTGGAAGCGACCTTCGTCCTAGCAAGCAATCAGTAACAGTGTGGGCTTGAGCGACATACATCCTCACCGTGGGGAGTCCTCATCAGTTGACGGGGGTACCGCACTGCGCGCAGCACTTTCCTGGAACCACCCAGACAGTGTCTCCACGCTCGAGACAGGCAGGGCAGCGACGACCAGGTACCTGTAACAATCAGCCGATGCTCCAACTCAGATGCTACTCCGAACTTACCGGCATGGTGGTGATACCTTCGGCGTCGCTCATACAAGGAATGGCGAATCTGTCAATGGGCGCGTGCAGCCACATAACGCTTCGTGGCAGGTGGCGGTGTTGCAACTGAGTCTTAGATGACATGTTTGGAGCGAACGAGGACGAAGTGTCGAAAGAAGAAAGCAAACAGGAATAGGCTGAAAGATCCAACGAGTGTAGTGAAGAGCACTAAAGAAACGGGCTGGAAAGCGTGATGCATTTCCACGTAGGCCCTACACGCGTCTTTATAGCTCCAATGCTTCCCGGGCGGCTTCGGTACACCAAGTTCCATATCACTAGCGCAACTCTTGTGTCTTGCGGCACGCTTGTAACGCCCGCATCAGTCTGCAATCTTCCGAAACGGAGGAGACGACTCGCTCTCGCGCGTTCTCTCTGCACAATGTGCATGGGTCGTTGTGCATCGTCACCGATAGCTGATCAGGAATGCTTGCGCCATGCAGTCCCATTTTACTGGGGACATACGGGCAGATACATGTCGACCATTGTCTTGGAGACGCTAGCCTTCCAGATCACCTGCCGAAACCCAAACGGCGTTAGAGCAGGGAGGCCGTTGTATACACTGGAACCACAAAAGACACAAGCGTAGAATGACCCCAGTATACAATTACCTCAACACCAAGTTCTGCTGCATCTTCTTGATGACATTGACAAACAGGCAGCTTCTGCACCAAGCAACACCGAATAGGACAAAGGAGCAGAGCTTCCGTCTAACTCAGTCTAATCTGAACATGGTACTTTTTCGTTATTGCGCAGAAACACGATTGTACAACTTGACCCTTGGCGTACATCCGTATCGAACTCGACCTTTCACGTCTGAAATGCGGCATTGGTAATCTCGATGAGCCTCGTCGTTTTTTCATTTTGTCACATTCGGCGCTAAAGAAGCCACGACTCTTCGAGCCCTGCAACATGCAGCCGCAAGCAAACAGACGCGCTTTCCCCACCTTCCTACACGATCCAGGCTTTCGTTGCTTTTGCGGCCTTGCGTGATCCAAATCATCCTGCGACGCATTCGATGAGCCACCGTCCGTTTGCATTGCGATCGTTGCCTCGCTTGTCAGACCAGAGGTATCGATAGCCGTCCTTCCGTGATACGGTTGTTTTCAACCGTCGTGCATGATCAGTATAAACCTCATTCGCTCAGTCTGTGACAAGCTGCAACATCGCGTCTGTGATAACTACTGATTATACTTATTACCTCAAAGTCTCAAACCCCGGTCTCCTGTTCGCCGCATAAGGATGCACCTCGCGTCCTGCATAGGGCTGACTGTCTACAATTACGAATCATGCTTGCCGATAATTCGGTCATCATCTCACACCTCTTGATGCCAAATTTATCCCGTCAGACATCTCTGCGTCATTTCTCCGGTTAGCAGACGAAATGAACTAGTCCTGGAGCGTTGCAACCCCTGATATCCAGGTCTCGGTAAAATACTGGTTGTATGGTCTCCATCAGCCTCAACTTAACAGACCTATCACATATTCGTTTCGCGTTTGTTGTGAACGAGAATCTTCCGACTCAGCAACGATAGGTCGGAAAGACTGCACCCTCCGACAGCATGGTTCTCGACCTAACAGCCGGCGGGATGCTTTCGTTCGTGAGATCAAGCGGTTCAAGTGACACAACGAGTGGTCGTAGCCATATGGAAGTGGAAATCCTCTCCCCCAATCTTTTCCACTTGCGCAGCAGTTGGTGCCGGTCATGTTTACTGAAGAGCTCCGTGTCTATCTCAGACGCGATGTCTTGTCGCACGTGGAATTGTAAGCATAGTCAACTAAGCCACTACTACGAGATACAAGCCTTGCAATTCCGAAGCTACCATGACTCTCTCTTAGTACAAGCACTGGAGATTTGGGCCGCTACATTGTAACTGGTGAAACGAAGCCGTCGACACAACCAGCCTAGTGTTATCATTTACTAGGCTGGGCTAGAGGGCCGTTCCGTTCACCAACCCAGTCGAAAACCGCAAAGTGACTATATCACTGTCACCCTTCTCTTGGTGAGCAAGCCGACAAGCGGTTTCCGTTGCTTGCCGCCATGACGGCCGTGCTCGTTGAGACTACCCTAGATTGACCAAAGCACAGATACCGATAACGTTTTCCCGCTTGGTAAGCGCCGTTACCTCATAGATGAGCGATCTAGTCCTGAGGATGCGCTACGATCATCGAAATATGCTCATAATGTCAAGGGGTCACCGTCCAAATCTCGAAGTCAGTGGACCAACCACATCGCTTGCTATGAGCTGTCAGTCGCCTCACGAAGGCGCTAGCTATGCACATCATATTTCGTGCTTTGGTCCCCACTCTCGACCTGGCGCACGCACGGCACACGCTACACCAGTGGACTCTGAAGCCTTTCTAGCAATAATCAAGCCTTCGCATCACCCGCTCGGAGTGGCCTGCTTCTATCTAGCCCGTCGTTCTATATGAATGAACGCCCAGAGAGGTCAGTCGACAGACTACACATGACAGAGACAAACTACCGTCCTCGGAGCCTCTGATCGCATGTGTTCTCGCCGTCGATTGTCTCGTAAGGCAATACACGTTTCAAGAAGAGCGCCGTACGATTAGAGCAATGACCTTGCGGAGAAAAAATAGCAACTTTGTTCAGGCGCTTCATGCAAGACAAGATTGAGATCTCATTCCGACGCCACGCGACGATCGCTGCAAGATCTCTGTTACACGACATTGCGCAAGCCACGTACAACGAACGCATTGAATTGCTTTCTCCATTCCACTAAAACAACGTATCCGCGTCTACCCGTGCTGCAGGTCCGCAACACTCAATTCAGATCTGACTACATAGTAACACGCGGCCGCTTTACAATAATGCCTTTGCGTTACAATCGTGAGAAATGGACATCGCACCAGTACCACGGTAGCCTCTTGAATGGCTTTCACTTGACCGTTTCGGGTCCGACACAAGTCTACAAGAGGCAACCCGTAGTATCATAAAATACCGAGCTTGCGGATGAAGCGGCGCACTACATTCCTTTTGGCTGACAGTCGGAAGACGACTCCCGACCAGGCAACTTGCACAGTAACCATCAGGAGCCGCATGCGGTTGGAAAGGCGGTCGGCGTTGATTATCAGCCTTGCCCGCCTTGCAGAGTCGCGCAACATATCTTCGCCTGTTTTTGCCCGAATAGACGTGTACGAGGCGCCTCGGCTGCCGTCTCAACGGACGTCCCGTCGTACAGGTAACGGCTGTCTCTCAGACGATGCTGCCGAGTAAGACGACGTGATGTCAGCATTCATTGTGTTTAGTGTTGTACCTGCCACCGCAGAACAGTCCTAGTCTTATCTCCAGCTGGTAATTCTCGCCGTCTTCACCGCTTGGTTCATAGATGGACGACTGATCGACCACTTCAAATGTGTGAACCGACGATCTGGCACGACGATGTGAATCTTTGTAAAATGTTTGAGTTGCAGCGCTATATGACTTGTAGTAAAAAGCAACGGCACATACAATATAAGCAATCTTTGTAGTATCCATGTTCACTTGTCCGGAAACAGGCGTCATGATTGATCTAACCATCACTGTTACAACGAAGCAAGTCTCCCGCGTAGACCACCACGCTGCCGATGTCTCTCATCTCTCAACTGGTGGTAAAGACGCTGATGACGATGTAGACTCTCATGATCAAATTGTTTCCCACGCTGAACCCTCGCACCTCTCGGAAACAACTAGCAGTGCATTAGCATGGAGTCGCACCAAGAAGTGCACCGGCTCCAAGGAAAGAGACAACAACAGTAGCGGTCAGGAATAACGAATAGTTTTTCAAGCCGTACTGACCGTCTTCTTGATGCGGACCAACAGCACACCCTTGGTGATGACACCATTTGAGTCGTATAAATGCAGCATGCGTAAACCCGTCTGCAGGCGGTCGAGACGGAAGCATGCCCAAGCCGCTAGATCGTCGCTAATCCTTTCGTCATCCATAACTTTGAACCTGGGAGAAGCATGTCAGCATGGCTCAACACCAAATAGCTAACAACCGGAGTCTACAAAAATACAAGCAGTGCTGTCAACAAAACAACAAAGCAATGACGCTGCAGTGATGCGAACGGGAATATCGGCGATCCGCAAGCCTGGTGATCCCGGTCGTGGCCCTGATCGTAGCTGCGTGCCACGACCGCTCACTCGAAATCTCCGTTTCGAAAGCTGTGGAACTAGCGAACCTCGCGTATGCAGAAAAATGATGCAGACTCATCCAGATAGGGTTGAAATACCAGCATTCGACCACCTTTCTCGGTAGACCAGTAAGGGCATCCGTGCATGCGAGAATGGTACTTGCGGCTCCCACGGCGACCTGCATGTACTTGACACGTAGCGAAAAAAAAAAAGATGGGACTTACCTGACAAATGTCAATTCTTCTGTAACGCCGGGTACACCAGCGAACTTGACAACTTCACCGCCAAAGTCGGGATCCGTGGTCCTGGTTGTCTTCGTCTTTTGCTTGTACTCGCCCTTCTGGCTTCTTCCATTTCCGGGCACGGGTTCAGCGTTGCGCTCCTCGTGCGACTCAACATGCAATTCAACCTTGACGTAAGGCTTGAGGTCCTTCGGGTCGTCTTCCTCAGGGGGCAAAGGGATGTCTTGTCCTGCGAGGAACTCAATGCTCAAATCGAGGTCGTGATGGGGTATCGCAGTCTTCTGTGTCGCTTCTTGGCTCGTGCTACGATAGCCTTCAGGCTTGAGAACCCAGCCACCTGTACCCGCGAACATGGCTTCGTTTTGCATCATTCCGCCGTCCCAGCGCTGCCAGTTTAGTGCTACTATCTGAACTCCAGCACGCCAGAAGACGGAAGGGTTCAAGTTGGACGAAGTCAGTCGCAAGCCCTTGGGGTAAGCGCGCATGAAGAAGTGCTTATTGTGTTCAAAGAGTCGTACAGGATCGGACTCGTGAACTTCCATCAAGGTTCCTTCAGATAAAGAGAAGACATGAGTAGGTATCTTGGCCTCTGGAGCGTCGAGAGTCTTGTATGAATAACCCCCCAAGTAAACACCCAATCGCGATAGCGCTTCAATGATCTTAGGTTTCGGCGCGGGGGGTTTCTTTTCTCCATCTGGGCCAACCTCGGATGACTCAGAAGTGCCAGAATCAGCGCTTGTGGTGTGCTTTAGTGGTGGTGCTGACGCTGGTGCGGCTAGCGTTGTAGGCTGAGGCTCGGCTGCGACTGGCTTCATGTGCCCACGTTTGACCTTGACCAGAATCTTATTTTCCAGCTCCTTCAAGGTCGGTAGATGAGCTTCATCTAGACCCTGGGCGGGATCTAGAGGTAGCTCAAGTAGCATGCCTTTCCAGTACTCGTTCATAATCTCTACCATAATCTCCTGCTGTTCTGGGCCAGTGTGTACTTCGAGACTGACTATCAGTGGCAGGTTTGATGCAGCAAATGCGTAATCCCTGATGGTGGCACATACAGCGCGGAAAGTCATATCCTTGGTCAAAGTGTAGCCGTGAAGTACCCTAGGTTCGGCCCTTGACGTGTATGAAGCAGAATGCCAGGGCTTGATCTTGTTATCTTCCTCCTGAGGCGGCTGGGATGTTTGTTCTTCTTTCTCCTCGTCGCCCTTCCTGCCAAACTTCAACCCTAGCCTTTTGCGGATGCTAAGCCCCGACTTGGATTTCTTCTTCTCTTTCCTTGCGTCATCCGATCCTGGGTTTCCCATGGCAGCTTCCTCGTCTGAACTGGAATCTGAAAGTTCATCTCCATCCCAGACATCAACCTCGACGCAACGGCATCCTCGCATCAAGACGTTCTTGTAGGCATCGACGCTGGAGTCACTCGACAGCTGGTTGCCGGTGAGGTATGTGTTGTGACTTGAAGAGATGAAATAGTTGGAGATTGGATACGACTCGTCTACAGGCTGTGCAGGTTTCAAGACACTTGCCGAGCCTGACATGAAGTAGTTGGCGAAGTGTGAGAAGGAGCCGTCGGCCAGAAGCTCAGCGTTCTGTCCTGAGCATTGCTGCTCCTCCGTCAGCCACTTCAATTGTCCTTCTTTTGTCGTCAAGTCGTATCGCTTCGTGATTTCGTCGTAGACTGCCTTGATGTATTGCGTAAGGAGCGGTGATAAGGCATCGACCTTGCGGGCTGTGGTAGAGGCCGATGCCGTACCACCACCGGCCTGAAGCTCTGGGTTAACGGCCTTGGGGGTGCCCAGCTTATTGTCTTTGGTGGGCGTCATGTTGCAGCGCGAAGATGTCAGAAGAGGCGGTGGTAGGTTTATAGGCGGCAGGAGAGTCTAAAGTGGCAGTGTGCCTGGATAATGGCTGAGCGCAGGCAGCTCAGCTCGCTGATGGGTGTTAGTGCTTCCTTGTGCAATTGGACGAGGATATGCGCAAGCAACCAACGTACTTGTAATCTAAAGTAGGCAGCTGTATGTGCAGCTTACTGTTGGACTACAGGCCAAGTGTGGAGTGGCAGCGGGATCTAGTTGTAGAGGTATGAGGAGGTGCGGCCCGCGACGTTGAAGCGGGCGCAATAGCCTCATGGTCAGCTCGTGCCTGCCTTGGCCTGCCGCACTGGCGTTTGATCATCCAATTGGTGGGGCGCTGACACGCAACACTCGACGTTTGCTGCACGCGCAACGTGAAAGAAAGGCGGGCTGCCCTGTTTGTGGTGCTGGGAGAATAGGGTCTAGGCTTGACATGTGCCGTTCCAGCCTTGCCAAGGCCGCCGACGTCACTCAGGGTCCAGCATCCTAAGATGCCATCGATGTATTGGAGACAAACATTTTCGACGCAAATCGCTAGGTGCACATTCACCATGGTAAAGTCACGAAAAGAAGCAGAAAGCCAAGTCCGTTCCTGGGGATTCGGTCACGTATTTACGTGGACTGATAGCCCGTAAGTCCATCACATTCCCACCACTGTGAATGCAGCCTGACTTTGTTGCAGCAACGCGCACTACTCGCCACACAAGCACAGCGGCAAGACCACACACCTCGTCCTCAATGGCTCCATAACATATACATATCCCGACGATCCTGATGCGAAAAAGGAAACAATAGGCCCTGGCGCAAGATGGGACGTAGATGCGAACAAGGTACACGAAGTATGGGTGGGAGACGAGGGATGTACATATGTCATTGGAGAATGAACAGACTCCACTCAGCCCAAGAAGCCATTCTGTCCCAGGTACTTGATCGCATCGAGTGCCAGTTGATCTGCCTTGACCAGCTCTTGCTCTACCATGCGCTCGTACAGTCCCGGTAGCTTCTCCTCTTCCTTTGGAGGATGCTGATATCTACATTTGCTAATATATGGGCATCTCCCGTTCCGCTTCCAATTCGTACACACACTCATACTCTTCGTTTCAGCTTTCTTCGGCGCTCGCGCAGGAGGTGGGACCTTGATGGGTGGCGGAGCAACCTTGGACGATGTGGTTTCGGGTGCTTCGTCGCTGTCGCCTGATTCCGACTCGGATTCGTCCTCTTCGGAACTCGATACCACAGATGACTCTGACAATACCGAACTCTCTGCCTCAGACTCCGTCTCGCTTTCGTACCCTAGGCCTAAATCTACTACGTTTGGCGTAGACTGCTTCTTCGTCATGCTCTCGTGAAGCTTCTTCCGCAACGCTGCAAGTTCTTCCTGCCTACGATTGTCGGCCTCCTTTTTTACCCTATCATCCTTCTTCACCCTGCCGTCCTGTCGATTCTCGCGAGGCTTCGTCTCCGGGTTCGGGCCGTCGTTCTTGTGCTCTCTGGGTGGCTTGCCACTTACTCTACGCAAGAAGTCAAGCTCGGCTGCTCGTTTCCTTGCAGCCTCTTCTGCCTTCTCCATGGCTCTCTGTTCCGTGGGAAAGTTCTTTCTTCGGTCTTTGATCCATGCCGCGACCTCTGCCCCTGTCTGTATGCTGATTGTCTCTCCGTTGTGCTCAAACGCGAACCCTCCACCCTTGAGCTTTTCCGTATATGCGGCTTCTTCGTCAACGTCCTCCTCATCGCTACTCTCATCCGGGACCTGCTGGTGTGACAGTCCTAAATTGACCTTGCGCTTCTTGTTGTCCGGTCGTACTACGGGTGGTGGAGGGAGAGAGAAGCCGAAGCTAGGGACCTGTGGGGGTACCGCAGCCTTAGCCCTCGGTGGCTTCGAACTTGGCTGCGGTCCGTTCGACTGGGATTTTGGGTTGTTGTTCCGATCGTTCAACTTTCTCTTCTGACCGGCGTGTTGCTGAGGCGAATACCGCGGGCTTGATTGGGTCTGCTGAGACGGTGAGGACTGGGGAAAGGAGGAGCTGCCCGTGCTCGTCATATGGTTTGCATATGCGGCCATTGACTGTACGCCGCCCGGTGTAGACATGTATGACATGACCTGAGCGAGGGCATTAGGGTCATACTGTTGCGCGCCGCCAGCGAAGGTAGAATTGTTGTTGCCATTTGCAGAAGCACTGTCTGACGGCGCATTCGTCTGGTACTGCCCGTTGCCAGCATTATGCCCTCCTCGATGATTTGCGCCGCCCCTGTTGTTCTGATAGCCGCCTCTTTGACCGCCTCTGCCACGCGCATCTCCCCGTCCGCGGTTCTGTCCATGGCCGCCTCTGGCGTTTCCACCCATGCTGTTGAAGCCACCTCCTCGATGCTGATTTCCACCTCTCCCGCGACCTCTATCACCACCTCCTCGGGCATGGCTACCTCGTTGACTCGCGGATGGCTGCTCGCTGGATGTAGCCTTCGGCGGCGGTGGAGGAGGTGGAGGGAACCGGAACGACATTGTGTTGTTCGTGTATTTGCGTATCGTGTGATTCGAAGGCTCAAAGTATTACAATTATTAATTACCAGAGAACGTACATGATGTGGTATAAGTCGCGAAAAAGGCAGTCGAGAGAGATGCGACGCGCCTCGGGGGTCCGCAGACCAAAAAGTTCCTTATCGATATTACTAGCGCGGCGCTAGCCGTCACTCAGAGGAGTCTCGCGACTGACTCTACTGTTTATATCCACCATGTCTAGGTAGCGGCCGACCCTTTACTTTTACATCCATGAAGCCTCCGAAACTGCGATCATGTTCATACTTGTAAGTCTCTGCCCGACCCGGGGTCTGATACGTCCTCTTTGCGCTTTCGCGCCGCTTGACAGAAAATTTGAGCAGCAAGAAAAGATGAGAGCATTGGACGCGACTACGCGTATACCGAGTCGTTGATGATCGCGTTGTGTCATAGTGTGGACTCGCTACTAATCGCACTGTAGACCACGATTCAAGACTTGATACAGATCAAGCCGCAAGACTTTGAGAAGCCTAGCGCACAAGCCATCAAAGATGTAGTCAACGACAAATACAGCAATAGGATAGTTCCCGGCATTGGTCTTTGCCTCTGTATGTGGGACCTCGTTTCAGCGACCGAGGGCTTGATCGGTCACGGGACAGGTCTTGTTAATGTGAACAGTAAGTCCAATTTGACCCATCAGGTAATCTGTTCTCACACCCAACTCAGTCGAATTCCGCATGACCGTCTTCCGTCCTTTCCGCGGCGAAATTCTTTATGGACGGATAAAGTCTTCCAACGAAGAAGGCATCATCATTGACCTGGAATTCACGTCAGAAGTCTTTGTCCCCTATCAAAACCTACCAGAAAACTCGTCCTTCTCCAAAGCTGAGATGGTCTGGATCTGGAACTCTGAAGGCACTGAATTGTTCTTCGACAAGGGCGAGCCAGTTCTATTCAGGGTAGAGCATGAGGAATGGTATGATCAGAGGCCGACTATTGTCGAAAAGGATGAGAAGGGTGAGATCATTGAAGAGAGACCGACAGCTTGGAAGATCATTGTGAGTTAATCCGAGTCATGAAATTCTTGGGCGTGTCTAATACCCTTGACAGGGCTCGATGGGCCAACCTGGTCTCGGGCCAACACTCTGGTGGGCCGAAGGTGGAGAAGAGGAAGAGGGCGAAGAAGGTGATGTTGAGATGGAGGGCGCCGAGGAATGATGCCTTCCAGCCAGACATCGAATGCTGCATTTTAAGGCTGAAATCATAGCTGCCTCAAAAATGCAGTCTGATTTTGGATTACCGAGCTTCCACATCCGAAGCATGGTTACCAACATTCATAGGAAGGCTCCACACTCAACAACCATCTATTGCAGAACCAAGGTCAACTTTCGGTGGCCTCTTTTGATACATTCCGTAAGACTCCTGAAATCGACTTTGCTAAGAGGCTGGATCGGTGACATCATCACCTCGCTTAGCGCCTTTGCGTCTTCACCAGGGCATCCGCCGCATCAGCGTGTGCATCTATCTTAGCAATCCATCAACATCTTGCAACAATATAACATTCTGTGCCACCCATCTCCATGCCAATGTTTCGGGAAATATAAGAGTGGGGTTGCGGTGACAGTTTAACACATTTCAGGCAGGTGCTATCGATCTCGACCCAATCGGACCAAAAGTCCACGATGGTGCGATGCCCAGCCTCAACTCCGTGATAAGATGCCGTCACTGGCAGTGGAGTTCATATGTAAAGGCGTCTCGGTTTTCAAATGTGGGTGTTGCATGATATCAGTGTCTTCATAATGTGGTTCACTACTCTTTTCTGCGCTGCTGTCTTGACAGCAACGACCATAGCGAATCCCATATACGCGACGAACGGCACCAACACAACCTATGTTGGCCCAGAAAGTGGTCATCTCGTGATCGTTGGAGGAAATTTACAAAGCGAGAGCATCTACCAGCGCATCATCTCCCTCGCTGGAGGCCCCAATGCATCCATCGTAGTTGTTCCCACTGCCGGCGGCGAAGATACCTATGACCAGAACTTTACCACAGCCGTGGCTTTCCGAAAATATGGTGCCAACAATGTAACCGTCTTGCATACGTATGACCCCGCCGTCGCCGATACCGACGAGTTCATCGCTCCTTTGTTGGGTGCCAAGGGTATCTTCTTTGGTGGTGGACGACAGTGGCGGTTGGTTGATGCATACGCTGGAACCAAGACTGAAGTGGCTTTTCAGGCTGTTCTGGATGCAGGGGGTGTTATCTCAGGATCGAGTGCTGGCGCGAGCATCATTGGCAGTTTCCTCGCACGCGGTGATACAGCGAATAATACCATCATGATAGGTAGGTCGCTGATCATGCTGTAATCTACCAGCAATATATCGTCACAAACGAAACTAACGCGGCTCCTCTAGGTGATCACACTGTTGGCTTTGGATATCTCAAGAACTCAGCCATCGACCAGCACGTCTTGGTACGCAACAGGCACTTCGACATGTTTGAGATTCTCAACGCCTACCCAGAGCTACTTGGGCTGGCGATTGACGAAGACACTGCTTTAGTAGTCAACAAGAACGAGCTGGAAGTCATCGGCAGCACGTATGCGCTGATCTACGACGGCGGCTTTTGGTCCAGGGAAGGAAGCTGGGAGAGGCCTCTACCACCGCCCAATGCGAGGTTCTACTTCCTACGGGAAGGCGATAAATATGATCTCGGAACAAGAGCAGTCATTGAGCCGGAAACGACAGGCGGTGGTGACGATGTATGACGAGGTGTTGTGGGCAGCTAAGAAAAGAAACACTGTCATATTTTCAAATGAAGACCTGCAAAGCCAGCTTCAATGTACACGTTAGAATCGAATCTGTGTCGGAATCTCGAGTGATGGACCTTTGAGAATCTGATGCTTCGCCGGTTTCGCAATTAGTGATCATCTGCGGAGGTTCATCCTGTTCTTTCAACTGCCGTCACACATGTTTCGAAAAGGTATGCTTTCATCGAATATAATGTTTGCGACCACAATTGCATTGGTGAACGGAAACTCAAGTAATAGATTCTCATTGCATTAATTTTCAGATAATGCAACCATGATGAGAGGGAGAGTGAAAGTTCAGGACATGCCGCTAGGTATGTTTGGATCGTACCTCGGCATTTTTCGGCTCTACCGAAAAGGAGCGGAGCACTCTTGCAGACGGCAACGGCGTCAAAGACGCGACTTGTGGTATCATCATCTGTCTCGTTTTCTCAAGTACAGAATCTCATTCCTTACTCGGAAGCGACATCTTGGAATATTTCCATCTTCGCCAGCTACCCTTAGAACAATTGCGTGTTGAAGATTACTTCACCATGTCCAGCCCCTTCGATGTCATTGCAATCATCACTCCCAAGCCCGGCAAGGCAGATAGGGTATGCCTCGAAATCAGCACCAACACTATCGTTCCAAACAAGCAGCTGATGTTTTCTAGGTCGAAGAGCTTCTGACAACCGCAGCCAAAGCTGTAAAGGCGAACGAGCCTGGTACGCTCCGGTATCATATACATCGTCAAACCAAGGGCGATGCGCCAATATTCGTGATGCTTGAAACGTAAGCTCTTTTTTTTTTTGGTATCTGAGCAGGTTCAAAGCTGACGATCGTTAGATATGCAAACAAAGCGGCTCTGGAAACACATGGAAAGAGCGAGGACTTCAAGAAATTGGGAAAGACAATGAAGACGGAGGATCTGCTCGCGGAGCCGATGAAAGTGCTCTTCACTAAAGAGGCAGGCGGATATGCTAGCAAACTATAAACTGTGTTACAGAAAACTCTAGCATCCTGTAGCGAAAGAGTCGAGGACGTCACGAAGAATTTAGAACGAGAACGTTGCATGGAAGATCGTGGTGTCGTGTCACTTGAAAAATGCTAATGACTATTCAGGTGAAAACCCTCCTTGTTTACATCGTCAACGTTCACGAATTCTGAACGCACATCTTCTCAAAAATTTTGTACTAGTGTACCGCGCTGGCAGTAGTCTAAATGTCGTAAGGCGAGATCTGCTGCACCTTTGTATTTTCTGATTGCCTCAACTTCCAAGCCACATAGTACTCCTGGAACTTCTCTTTATTGATCTACTTCATAACCCACTCCTTGCCTCGATTTGAAGGTAGCTACCCATCGGAGTGCATACCTTGAGACTCTTCCCCGAAGACACGCATGAGATGATGCTGGTGGTATTCGACAAGCGCGTGAACATGTTCAGGGAGCAGCTTCTTCTTGTCTTTGCGCACGACGACGACAGCGCCAACGGATGTCTGCCATTCCGGTGGTGCAAACCCCCAGTCGAAACCGGATCGCTTGCTCTGGGGCTTGCAGCCGATATTCAGGAAAGTGCCCGCTGTGTTGACCCAAGGGAACTTGCTCGAGGATGACTCCGAATGCTTCTGCCATTTCTTGACACTTCCAGGAATGCGCTGAACAACCAGAGGGATTGCGATGTGCTTGGAAACGTCGGTAGCTGTTTGTTCAAAGATACGATGGAAGGCAGGAAGCTCTATGGGCTCGTAACGAGGACGACCGTCGGTATCGACGTCGCCATTGCAGTTGATGCGCACGCCAACCACATTACTCAATTCTGGCTGTAGGTCCTCAATCGTTCGGAGATTTCCGTACTTGAGATAGTAAGTGTTGAGCCAGTGTGCGAGAATCCGAAGGTCGCAGGGGCCGAGATCTTGACTGTGGGATGGGTTGTAACTGTGGGGAACGTCGTCGAAGACGTCAGTGCCATAGGCGATCATAGGACCTCTCCAATCGTGCAGGTGAACAGAGTTGAGATCAACGATCTTATCGCTGGCTTTGTTGTGCGTGGATCCGTCATGAAGAAAGTCTTCGCGGGAAGACAAAAAGAGGGTGTATGGAAGTAGGCGGGCGAGAGCGTAGTTGTGTCGGATTTGCGTATTTGTCATATGAATGAACTCTCCGGACTCGGACTCCATCTTGTTTATAGCTGCAAGTGGACCAGGAAAAACGCTAAGATAGCTACACCCGTACTCTCCCATCTCATCCTTAGTCTTGAGCCATATGAAACGTGGGGCGTCTTCGTCGGGGTGGAAATAGATAGCTCGAGTGTACTTCTCACCAGAGTGTTCGGCTTTGGGGCAGTCTTGAAAGTCTTTGAAAGTTTTGCAGAGAATTCTGTGGAGTGGCCATGCCTTCTTTTGGCACTCTTTGGAGCAACAGCAACTCGCGCTGCAACCATTGCAACGCAGAGCGCCTTCGTTGTCGCACTCGTCGCACAGCGTCATGTTTTCTTCGCTGTCGCAGACCGAAGTTGAAGTGATCTCCAGATTTGTTGAAGGAGGAGTATATGTGAAGGGTGCAGTGCGCTGACAGTTGGAGCAAACAAAAGCGATGGTCCGAGCGCAAGTTTGATATGAAGGTGAAGGTGAGAGGAGTAAACATACGGGAATGCAAATGCATGTAGAAGGAGTCATTAAATGACGTCTCTCCACAAGTTCCATTACATTATAAACGGTAGCTCATTTACATAGTGTTCTGTAGATCTGCAGGCTCCTCTGCATACTCGCTTCCATATCCTCCGTACCAGTAATCACCAACACCCTTTACTCCCTCAGCAGTGCGGTTAGCAGGCGGCTGAGGCCACATGTCTAGCATAGCTTGCTCGCCGGTCAAAGTGAAGTTGATACTTGCAAGCGGGTGGTTGTCGATCAACAAGGTGTAGTCACCAGGGTAAAGGACCTTGTTACCCATCTCGTCGACCCTGGCAAGAGATGCAAGAGTTAGGTTGAGAGTTGCAGTGTCAGAAGCTCCACCGGTGATGTTGTGGAGACGCTTGTAAGAGACAAGCGACTTCTTTGGATGAGGCGCAGGACCAAATTCTCCGGCAATATAACCAAGAGCGACGTAGTCGGATGTGACGTCGCCGTCGTTGGATACTTCAACATCTACAGCAGCGAATGGGCAACGCTCGAGGAACCCTCCGGTACTGTTGCAGTTCTGTGTAAGCGCAGAGATTGCGTAGCTGTTCTGCATTTGGGTGGTGATGTTGGCAGAAAAGTTGGTGTAGTGCAGACCGTGACCGAACTCGTAGACAGCACTTCCATTGTACCACTTGTAGGTGCGGCCAGGGTTGTTTTCACCAGGGCGCATGTTCATGTCCATCATAGAGACCTTCGCGATGTAGTTGGAGGGGTACTGAGTCGTAGGTAGACGTCCAGCAGGAGCAGTCTTTCCGGTGACAATATCGATGATGGCCGAGCCTCCATCCTGACCAGGGTACCCAGCCCAAAGGATGGCGGAGATGTTGGGATTGTTCACGAGAGGAGTGCTATCGATCTGACCTCCTCCAGTGACCACAACGATGACTGGCTTTCCTGTCTCAGCAAGCTCGGTGATAACATCAAGCTGGGCTCCAGTCCATGTGAGGTATGTACGATCCTGGTCTTCCTCCTCAACGCTGTTATCGATACCTCCAACATACATGAGAATGTCGCTAGTAGAGTAGGCGCCGTAAAGATTGGACCAGCGGTTTGTCGTTGGGTCACCTTGGCCGCCAGGATTTCCTCCAGCATAGTTGATGGTGACGTTGAGCTGCTCCAGGGCGTACAACGGAGAGTGCAGGTACGTAGAGACACCGGCGTAGTTACCAAGGAGCTGAGAGGTTGCGTTTGCCCAGTCACCGAAAAGACCAATCGATGTGGACGAATCGAGTGAAAGAGGCAGCGTACCATCATTCTTCAGCAAAACGATACCCTCAGCAGCGGCTCTGCGGGCAAGCGCCTGCGAAGCATTCGTGGCGACTGAGTCCCATCCAATCTGGCGGTAAGGCTGGTTATCGGGAGAGTCAAAGTAGCCCAGGCGGACAAGCGATGAGTATTGCCGGACGAGGGCCTGGTCGAGGACAGATTCTTCAAGCAAATCTTGCTGGAAGGCAGCGGGCAGATGTTCCTGCATGTAAGTACCGCAAGTGAGATCGGTACCAGCTTTCAAGGCGTCGGAAGCAGCACCTCCACGAGTTGCAGACCATTCATGAGGCAAGTAAACGTTCTGAACGGCGTCACAATCGGAAGTAACCCATTGCTCTTCATTAGTCCAACCCCAGTGTTCACGAAGAATCGTCTGAAGTAGGTAGGGATCGGCGCATGTTGGCACACCATTAACCGCGTCTAACTTCTCTTAGTTCCAAGCATACACACAACGAACGGTTGACGTCAGACTTACTGTAGCTGCACATGAAAGCACCCACGTTCGCTTGAACGCAGGCCTGGAAGGGAACGAGGTAGTACTCAACAAGGTCCTGCTGAGAAATCTGCACATCGTTCTGGTAGCGGAGGTTTCCGTTCCAGTCCTCAATATCATAGCCAGCGAAGTGCTTGCAAGTTGCGACGACACGTTTGTATTTGTCAGACGCATCGCCCTGAAGTCCGTGAACCAAAGCCTGGACGTAAGAAGACAAATGGTAGGGGTCTTCACCAGGTGTTTCTTGACCACGACCCCAGCGGGGATCACGGAAAGGGTTGATGTTGGGCGTCCAGAAGTCAAGACCAGTCCTGTTGGCGTTGTTGAACGCACGCGCTTCGGTTGAGATGACCTTTGCAACCTCGGTGATCAGATCATCGTCGAAGGCCGCACCCATCAAGATGGGCTGAGGAAAAGAAGTCGAGTAGCTATACTCTCCCTCATCGCTGAAGTTGGTGTAAGGACCGGCAATACCATGAAGACCCTCGCTCCACCACTGGTAAGGCGGTATACCGAGACGAGGGACACCTGGAGAGCCACTGCTCGTAGCATTGATCTTCTCCTCGAGTGTGTAAAGAGCTACGAGAGACTTCGCGCGAGCCAGCGGTGCTGAAACAAGTTAGTATTATAAGGTCGATGTAGCAGCAAATAGATCAACGTACATGCTGAAGCATCGCAAATGGTCTCATTGCTCAACCTTCCACTGGTGCAGTCAGGGAAAACGAATTGAGCATAAGCTCCTGTCGCAGCGACGAGCAACACTTGCAGCGAACGCGTCGAGGTGAGCATGATGCCGGTTGTCTGGTTCGGATGGTCCGGATACTTCTCTTTCACATCTCTTCACCACATATCTTATAGCAAACTAAATAGCCGTAGTCGGTGACCCTGCGTCAGCACACGGTTGGTAAAGACATAAGCCCACGATGTCTATACGTCATGGTTATGATGGCCACGCGGTTGAGTACCGGTCGCCAGTCCACTTATTTCCGACCACCGAGCCACTCTTGTGTCCGAAGCCACTCCCGATGCTTGGCCCAGAGGCATACGGCAGCCAAGAGTATACCCGAGCCGCATGCGGAGCCCCATGGTACTTGCAAAGTCTGTGAGGGGTTTGCGCTAAGTGGAGCTAACTGCTCTCCGATTGGCTGCGCATTCAGGCTGAATGGAAATCCACGACTGTCAGCGGTAGGCAAGGCACGGCAACAAGACCTGGACGACTTCGGTCAATATTGAGAATACATGACAAGCTCGCATAAGCATCGGCCGAAGAATTGCAAGGGATGCGCTGATGCGGGGTGCGGGGTGACTGAATAACGGGATGGAAGCATGGATCATATTTGCTTATGTCTCAACAATAGTAATTTCCGCATGTTTCGTCATAATCGCTCAGTGGCTCACAACTAAGACCTGCAATATGGTATTGACCGTATAACTGGCCGCGGAATGCATTGCCAACTCCCGAACGTATCTCAACCTTACTACACTGTCGAAGTCTTGCGAATCATCTGTACATCCACCAGTTTTGAACCGATATTCGGTCCGAGACGATCCGTTCCCCAACTTGCAAGTGAGCTCGTATCTTCACCCAGAATCTTCTGGCTGTCTTTGTGCTCAACTTGATGGATTCTGTCCTTCAAACCTTCGGCTGTATATCGTATCTCGAAACCTTGGAGAATGTGAGTTACCGGGATGCCCGTCTAAGATGGCTGTCTGCATCCAAGATCGGCAGTATTTGATACGACTACGAAGGCCAGTTGGATCTCTTGACTGTCATTGGCATGCCATCGCGTGGTTTCGCTTCAAACACGAACTCTTGAAAGGCGCGGTCGCCGAACGTTAAATCCAGGTCGAACCAGTCCACTCGAGGCGTCTTGTTAGGTTTCAAATCTGCGCATGTAAAGTCGAAATCTCGTATCGTCAACAAGAACGTGATCAACAACTCGTCCATAGCCAGAGGTTGACCAAGGCAGGCACGTGGACCTCTTTCAAATGGACGCCATGCGTGACGCGGGAAATCTTCTCGTGCATATCGATCGGGGTCAAATTTGAGCGGGTCTAGGGACAGGTTTCAGCAACTGAATACGCACCAGGTACGAAGCTTGACAGGTGCTACTTACCTGGAAATATCGCAGGATCCATGTGCATAGCCAGTTGGACTGGGCAAATCATGATATCTTTGGCCGGCCACTCTCGGCCCTGGTACTTAAGAGTATCAATGCCCTTACGCGCAGTGTTGCCTATCGGGAAGAATCGGAGGATCTCCTTGACAACATGGTTTGTGTACGTAAGCTCGTTCACTCTATAAGGATCCGTTTTCAGCATCTCGTAAGTCGCCTCAATACCAGGGGTGAAGACGCGGTCGTGCTCTTCTCGCATCTTTTGAACTACTTCAGGGTGGACGCTGAGCATCATAGCTCCAAAGCAGACGGTGTCAGACGTAGTTCCGCTTCCAGCGATCAATAGCGTTTTAACTTGCGATAGAGCATCTTGGACAAATTGGTGGTCGAGCTCCTTCACGTCGTTCTGTCGCTCTGCAATATAATCTCGCAAGATGAGATCCATGATTCCTAATCCTCGCTTTTCGGAGAGATCGAGCTTATCGCCTGCGAGCTACACGTCAATGATGTACAGTAATGCTCCAATACATCTATTACTTACGTTTTACAATCTCGAATCTCTCTTTGATGAGATCTACTACGATGGCATCTAACTTGTCTCGCTCGGCCGAAACTTTTCTGTTGACAAAGAAGTTCCGGATGTAGTTGACAGATTCTCGCGATGCCATGTAAGCACGACACATATTCTCAAAGTGCTGCAGAGCAGGGCTGCCCTTGGTTTGTGCGTCGAGAGATCGCCCAAAGGTCGCAGTCGAGATCACATCGAACGTCAAGTGTTGAGTAGGGTCTTCCAATTTGAAAACCTCTCCAGATCTGGCCTTCTCGTGGATAATCGACCGAAATTTCATCACCTCGTCAGCAACCATTGGTCTCATGTTGGTAATGTGCGAGATGGCGAAAGCAGGACTCAGCATCCTGTGGAGATGCTTCCACTGCGGCCCATTCGCTGTGACAATGTTCCCACGACCAATCAATGGATCAATCATTTGGCCCTCTGCTTCGTGTTTGGGGTGGTTTCGAACGGCTGTCATCTCAAGTGCGACATCTGGATCTGTAACAACAATCTGTCCCCATGCGATGGGCCACAGATCAAGATAGAAGAGACCAGGCATGTTGTATTTCCTGGCAATTGTAACGGCCGCTGCCTGGTAATGAACGTCGCTTGGCAGTGACTTGAAAGTCTCGCCTAGCAGTTTGAGATGACCAAAGAAAAAACTGTGAGGCGGCTTGGGCTACATGGATCGTCAGTGTCGCCTCGATAGCAGTCCGCAATGGATACTGTCCACGTACAAGGTCCTTGTAGAAGTGCCGTACTTGAATCAGCCTCATCGTCCCGTACGCGAGCGCCGCGACGACACCGGAGAAGAGTATTGTCACCCATGGTAAGTCGCGGAGAGCCATGATGAAAGCCTAGAGGTTGAGGCTCACTGAGCTTGGGGGCTCCAATGTTATTGAGGTCTTGCGATTCAGTAGGTCTGGGCCCCGATCTTGGTGCCATGGATGCAAGTGATCAGCACTAAGCAACTAGCGCATAGTTGGACGCCTACTGTCAATGTGGAAGCGCCTCATCGCCTGATGCGGCCATAGATGCATCAGCTAGGCTATCATGTGAAACATCGAGAATGAATCGTCGTGTTGGTGGTGGTATCAAGCCTTGATCAGAAGAAGTCAGTGTTGTTGAGTTGGGTCATGACTGCTGCCTCACAACGTGCAGGTGTTTCTTCGGCCATGCCTCACGCACTAGTAGTTCAAGTGCGACCTGACCTATAACTCGTTCATCTCTTTGACAACCATGATTTATCACTAGCACACTTATCTTTAACACTTTGGTATCTCAATGATTCAAAGTCATCGAATCCGAGCATGCAAACGCTAAGCGTAGCATATTGTCACGCAGAATATCATGACGGTGTTCTTCCTTGGTTGCGTCTCTAGCGTGGTCGTAGCAGTTGAGGCAACCGACTACCGCAACCGCGTCTCCAAGCGTCGCACAACAATTTTGAGTTCTGCCTCTACTTCTTTTTCATGTTTGCTCACAGCTGAATTATTGCTATGTTCATGCCTGAAGGAGTGGTATCGAGGCATCCCGTTGTACGCATACCTACCCCATCAGCAATCACGTCACGAAAAACGCGTAACCGGCGCGTCGCCGCGCTACTTGAATATCAGGCATCCAACCTTCGGACACTAAACCGGACTCATATCTCATGTTCGGTCTATAGTATCTCATGTTCGGTCTATGGTATCTCATCAAACGGTATCTTCTCCTTGGCTGCGACGCGCATCTTGCTGTCCAGCAGCGACATGAGCACTTGATCTGTGCCCTGCTTCAACCACGACGCGTCGTGCGCGAGCGCGGTGTGAACACCAAAATTGGTTTCCAGCTGTCGTATCTTGGCAATGGTGTCTTTCGCAGAAGTGAGGTCTGTATGAAGAGACATGCTCACTGCCCCTGGTCCCTGAAACTCCGCAATTTCTCGTAGGCCGTCCAACAAATCCCTAACCAGTCAGCAAGCGCCCGATCGTAACAACCATGACGGTCAGCATACGCCCAGCCTATCCTAGGACAACGTACCGCGAATGACAGCCTAGTTTGCAAGGTTAGCGAAGGCCAATGAAAACAACGCGACGCAACGTACAATCGCTACCAAGCATCACCCACTCGCCGCCTTGCAGTCTTGCTGCAGCAGCCATATTGCCTGGCATATGACCAGGCGCATCGAGGACCCAGAAACTGCCGTCACCAAAGTAGTCCAACGCTCTCTCAAACGGGCCAAAAGGTCTCCATTCACCTTGTAGCTCGTCCCATTTTTCGGTCGAATGCTCCGGGTCGAAGAAGCGGCCATCCCACTGCAGACTTGGATCCTTCATATGCCCTGGCTGGCATGCTGCCCTTGTTCCTGGACCGAAGTACGCCTTCGCATTCGGAAATACGTCGCTGATGGGTCGCGAGTGGTCCCAATGAGCGTGACTGTCTTCTGTTCAGCGAACATGAGCCACATTCAACCTTGAGCTCATACCTGAACAATACGGTATCAATATCTTCTGCGGACACCCCTCTTTCTGATAACTGCTGGACGATGGTCCTCCGAGGTCCAACGTGATTGACATGCTCTAGCATGAATTTGTTAACCCATGGAGTATAACAACTTCGGTCCTTCAAAAACAAATCAGTCACAAGAAAACTTCGGTGTTTCTCTTCGCCTCCAGTCCACGTACCTCGTCCAATCCAAGATCCCAAAGTATATGTCTTCCCTGGTGCGAGACATAGAATGCCCAGTTATACATGCGAAACGTACCGTTTTCGCCAGCATGCATACGGCTCAAATCTCCTAAAAAGCTGCCGCCATCGAGAAGAGCAAGTTCAACGCAGGCATCGGTATGAGGTAGGTTAGCCTTCATAGCTGGGATCAATGGTGCAAACAGCTGGCTGCATATAACATGGACGTGGATAATTCCTTTTCTAGCCGTATACGTGCTGGCTAACTGCCCAGCTCAAAGCCCAGACTACGATGTCACAAATCACGATATTCTCGTAGATGCGAGACCTAATCGTTGAATTACCCCCACATCGCGCAGGCCTCTGGTTGCTGGTGATTGCCCCACTGCTTGAGTGGCAGAAACAGGTGCGGGGTAATTTGTCGGGTCTTCGTTACCCCACGGAACTATTTGCATACGGACAGCTCCAAGGATACGTATCCTTACGCCGCCGATCCAAGAATACGCTAGAATATACTAAACACTTTGGTGATCCTTGGATAACCGCCAATTTTCTGTTTCGCACCATCTCTTCTCACGCAACGGCTAACATGTCGGCAACTCTCAAACACGAACACCTGGGTGAATTGAAGGGCAAGAGTGTGGATGGGATAGCACAGTTCCTTGGTCTGAAGTATGCTTCGATAAAGGATCGCTTGGCCGCACCTGAGCTTGTTGAAAACTATGGAGCTGGCGCTACAGACGCTTCGAAATTTGGGTATGTCGGCCATGGAAATTTGAACATCAATGCTGATTGAAGTAGACCTCCTCCAGTGTCTCCAATTGGTGCTATTGAACGTGAATTTGGTTTTATCCAGAAATCATTGCCACTCCCAGAGGTTCCTGCGCATTCCGATCTCGAAGGCTTGAATCTCAATATCACTGTGCCAACGAACAAGGATGGCGCTATTGACCCGAACGCGAAGCTTCCTGTCTTTGTCTTCATTCATGGAGGCGGATTCGCTGTCGGAAGTAGTTGGTACCCGCACTATGACCCGGCTCCCATAGTTAGGATGTCTGTCGAGAAGAAGAAACCCGTCATTGGTATCACCATAAAGTGAGTGTACTGGTGTTCTACAAAAGTTTCATACAGGTGTTGATATATACAGCTACCGACTAGGTTTCACAGGCTTCGCAACTTCCGAAGAACTGCGCAAAGCAGGTTACAAAGCAAACAATGGCTTTTACGACCAGCGTACAGCTTTTCAGTGGATCAAAAAGTTCATAGGCGGTTTTGGAGGTGATCCGGATGAGATCACTGCATGCGGAGAGAGCGCCGGCGGATGTATGTGGGCGAGAATATCGACGTAGAAGCTTGACTGACATGTGCAGTATCTGCGACAGTCTTACTTTGCTCCAAGGAGCCGCTGATGAAGCGCTGTTTGAGCACTGGAGGAGCCGTACTACTTTTCAAGCCTATCCCGGAATTTGTGGCAGAGTCATCGTACCAACAAGCCATAGACGCGTTTGGTCTGAAAGACAAGTCACCAGAGGATCGTATCAAGGCCCTTTTGAGTATGCCTGTGGACGACCTTTGGCAAAAGGTTCCCCCTACAGCGCCGATGCTACCTTCTATCGATGGCGTTACTATGCCTGGTTCACCCGACTTCCTTACGGTTTCATCTCAGGAGGATAGCCCAGCCTTTATGATGCCAGGTAGGAGGTGGTGCAAGGCTTTCATGATAGGAGAGTCAAAACTAGATGTAAGTATGACCATTTGGCACTTGCGATAAATGAGCTGATCATATGTAGGCCAACATCCTTGCATATCTAGGTCTCGATGGCCGCAACCCCGGCATCGCACAAAAGTTCATCGACTCCTGCAAGGCTACACTATCCAATCATCCGGATGTAGCGGAACAACTTCTCAAAGCCTACAGTATCACTCCAGAGACCCCAGACGACGAAGGCATTCTTTCGATTCTGCGTTTCGCCTCCGAAATCTCCTTTTATGCGCCTTCTCGTGCCTTCGCTAAAGGCTGGCCCAATACCGCCGACTCAAAGTTCTTCCTCTACCACTTCAATGAAGGTATACCTTGGGAGGGTCGTTTTCAGGGTGAAGCAGGCCATATTCTCGATGTCTCATACCTCTTCCAGAACTATAACGACCACCTGGACGATGCGCAACAGAAAGTGGCACGGGAATATGGAGAAGACTTCATCAAATTCGTCAATGGAGAGGATCCTTGGCCGCCTGTGCAGACTGAAAAGCTGAGTGCTAAAGTGTACGGACCGAGTGCTGATGGTGTTACAAGTAGGTGGGTTCCGGATGGTGATCCAGCGAAGATTGGAAGAGACGACAGAATCCTGAAATTGGGAGAGATGGCAGGATTTGATACTATTCAGGACGTTTTTCAGAACTTTTTCCAAGGAAAATAGGTAATGTGAAATACATATGGAAGCCTCAGCACACGCATCGCGACAAGATCATATTCAATTCGATATCACAATGCTTCAATCAGCAAACTCCCAGGATCCATTTTCCTGCTTCTTCGCTTTGTCCTCGTGCCCTTTCGGCAACACACCCCCAACATGCAAGTAAATGCTACTACCGTCTCTATCTATACACCTCTCATCCTTCGCCGCACCTTCCCAAACCTCCAACGCTTTCTCTGCCATACTAGGTCTAATGCCCACCTGATTCGCGCTCTCAATACCCAGTCCCAAATCCTTGAGCATCATCTGCGTCTTGAATCCTGGCCTATACCCACTGTTGCTAGGCACCCAGTATTCGGTTTGTACATTGGGTATGGGCATGACATGGTCGCACATCCAAGACTGGCCAGTACTGTTCTTGATCACAGAGTATAGGGCAGCGGGGTCAAGACCATGGGATACTCCTATTGCGAGGGCTTCGGCGGTTGCGAGAAGAACAGTGCCAGAGAGATAGTTATTGCATATCTTTGCAGTTAGGCCTGCGCCGAGGGTATCTAGGTAGAAAGCTTTTGATTTTGGACCAAGCATGGACAGCGTCATTTGTAGTCGGGTATCTGAAGAGGACAAAGAGGTCGGTGTTTGTGCTGGTTCTGGATGACCAATCAACATCGCTAGAGTACCTGCTTCCGCAGCTGGTACTCCTCCGGAGACGGGCGCGTCAATGTATGTTCCTGTCCCCGTTTCTCTTAACTTTTGACCAACTTCTTTTGTTGTGTTCACATCGATCGTGCTGCATTCTAACATGATCCTTTCTTCGTCTTTCTTTGCCGCAATGACCCCGTCATTCTCGTCTAGATACACTTTCTTCACATCAGCTCCTCCTGGTACGATTGATATAAGTACTTTTGCGTTTTCCGCCGCTTCGCGTGCTGTGGCGACGATCTGTATGGGGCCGTACGAAGAGTATTCATCATTGAAGCGAGAGCAAGCAGACGCGTTGATATCATTAACATAGAGGGTCGAAGACTGGTTTATCTTCTTTCGGATATTAGCAGCCATTGCGTAGCCCATCGCTCCGAGACCTGATCATTATTAGTGGATCGATACCAGATATGATCTGTCGTCTCCCACTGACCAATGAACGCATAATTGTCTGCCAATGCCATGCTGCCAGATGATTCTGTTTTTTCGAAGATAGGAAGTTCAATTACGAGATAGTCTCTTTGGTCAAATAGGTGACTTCGAAATGCTCACCATATGCTTAAGCGTGTCTCGTTCAAGCAGTTAGCGTCATTCGTCCCTGCATGTGCGTTTACCAATGCCCCACATTCTCCCCTCACTTCCCCAGCTTCCTTACCCCAACTCAATATCCTCGGCGCTACCACTCCGGCCTCACTGTCATCAGGACCCTGTGAGAGGACAAAGATATGGGGTAATACTCATGTGCAGATTCCCATAGGTACTTCACCCTAAGGTTTACAAATCGAAGAGCCATCACAACATTGACATTCGATCAGATCATGTCATCCTCGTCGTTACGCGTGGGTGTAATCGGCCCTGCAGGCTTCGGCGGATCTTACCTCTGTGTCGAGCTATTAAATCGAGGCCATACCGTCTTTGGTATATCGCGTAACCCAGAGAAATTGGGAAAGCATCCGCGCTACGTTCCACGTCCCGTAGACATCGATGAGGTTTCTACAGAAGATCTAGCAAAGCAATTTGAGGGCATCGATGTACTGGTCAGCGAATTTGGACCACACACAGCTGGTGCAGGGGCGTTGTTGTACAGTATGCCTTCAATTGACCACGGACATGTACAGAAAGTGACTGACGCACGACAGTGCCGTTCTTGGAATCCGTTAGGAAGATTCTCCTAGCGCACAAGATATGCCCATCGTCTTACTTTCTCTTTGTCGGTGGCGCAGGCTCTCTTCACGTTCCTGGCACTAGCCTTCCGTGCGTCGACCATCCTGACTTTTTTCTCGCCTACCGCCGGGCGATTTCAACGTCTCTCGCACACATAGCATATATGGAGGAGCGTCTGGGTATCATGGGTACCTCTCTGCGACGGTATCGTGAAGCCAGATTAGCAGAGAGCTCTGGGAGAGCCACCGAAGAAGACAAAACTGTGATCGCAGACTACGAGAAGCAGATCTGCGTGAAAGACAACGCATCGGATTTCATCAAAGCGGGACGGACGGCGTACATGTTTTTTGAAGACCGTAAGACTTTCAACTGGAGTTTTGTTTCGCCATCTGCTTTGTATCGTCCGGGAAAGAGAACTGGAAAGTATGAGGTTAGCGTTGATGATATGGTGTTGGTGGGCGAGCAGCAGGAGGGCAAAGACGTGTTCGAGGGAAGACTGACCGGGATAAGTGTTGCTGACATGGCCATTGCGATCGCAGATGAGATTGAGCAAAGGAAGTTGGTTTGGAAACATTGGAGTGCTTCGGGGGATATAAGTGAGGATGTGCCGGCGCCGGCGTACGTAGGACTGGATGCTGTGGAGGGTGGCAGTAGGTGAGGTGGTCTCGAGAGCCTCGAAATTTAGACAATTCTGAAGTGAAATTAAAATGGTCCTTTATTGGTATCTTTTCCTAGTCTCGCCTATACGCTCATCTCCTTCAAGTCCTCGCTAACCTTGAACGGCGCTTCCGTCTTGCTTCTGATCTCATCGACAGTAACACCCTTTGCATGCTCCTTCAGGGTTAGTCCTTCAACGCGATCGCAGTCGAATACGGCCAGGTCTGTGATGATGGTGCTGACGCACTTCTGTCCGGTGAGGGGGAATGTGCATTGATTTAGAATCTTGGGGTTGCCCTTCTTGTCGACATGTTCCATGGTGATGACGACTTTGGTTTGTGTAGGGTTTGCGACCAAGTCCATGGCCCCGCCGATGCCTTTGACCTTTCCGGGAAGCATGAAGTTTGCGAGATCTGGAGAGGTGTTTAGTAAACGGAAAGGCAAACAAGACTGAAGTGTAAAACAAACCTCCGTATTGGTTTACTTGCATAGCACCCAACATGGCGACATCTATGCGTCCTGATCGGATCATACCAAAAGACTCGTGGCTGCCGAACGTTGATGCGCCCTTGATCAGGGTAACAGTCTCCTTTCCGGCATTGATGAGGTCAGGGTCCTGATTTTGTTAATGATATTAAAAACACTTCACTGTTATCGCAGACTCACCTCTTCACCCGGCTTGGGATACCGGCCCATACCCAAGATTCCATTCTCTGACTCGAGCACGATCTCGGTGCCCTCGGGCAAGAATGCAGGCGCTGCTAGAGGCATGCCGATACCAAGGTTGACATACATGCCATCCTTCAATTCTTGAGCTGCGCGCTTGATGATGCGCTCGCGCTTCTGTGATGCTTCGGTTGAACCTGATAAATTTGGTTAGTGATATGCCTTTCGTGGTATAGCATGAACACAACTTACCACCTTCCAAGAGCGCCTTCTTCTGCTCCTCTGGACTCTTCCAGAACACCTTCCTCTCGATCTCCTTGCCAACTGTGCTCTTGATCACTCTCTTCACGTATATTCCCTGGAGATGAATATCTTCTGGTGCAATCTCGCCGTCCTCAACAATCTCATCTGCTTCGACAATCGTCATCTTCGCATTCTTGCCCATTGCTTCATTGAAGTTGTTCTGTGCTTTTCGGAACTGGCAGTTACCGAGCCGATCGGCTTTTGCGACTTTGACGAAGGCGTAATCACCAAAGATGGCTTCTTCCATCACGTAGGATTTGCCGTTGAATTCGCGTGTTTCTTTTGGAGGAGCCATTTTCGCGATGGTACCGTCGGTGTTGTAGCGCACAGGAAGTTCACCAGTTTGTACTGCATATTGTTAGCCGTGTCGTATACGTGCAACTGTTTTGTTCCCATACCAATTGTTCCGTATGCTGCTGGTGTGTAGAAAGCTGGCACACCAGCAGCACCAGCAGCGCACTTCTCAGCAATCGTGCCTTGAGGAGTCAATTGCAGACTCAGCTGACCCTTCAAGTACATCTGCTCAAACACCTTGTTATCTCCGATGTAACTCGCAATCATCGTGCCAATCTGCTTTGTCTCCAAGAGTTGTCCCAGCCCAACACCCGGCATACCGGCGTTATTGCTGACAACGGTGAAGTTTTTGAGGTCACTTCGGTCGCGTAGAGCATTGATGAGAGTGTTTGGTACTCCTGAAAAGCCAAATCCACCAACTAAGACTGTCGTATCGGACTTCATGTCCTTGATGGCTTCTTGTGCGGAGGAGACGATCTTGTTGATGGCTGGCCGAGACGCGCTCGCAGAGAAGAACCGCAAGCCCGTCGCTGGGCCGTGGCGGCGTGCGGAAAATAGAAGAGAACGTTGCATCGTGAGAGTCGTGCTCGTGAATCGCAACGCAACGAGGAAAAGAAGTCGAACCAACAAGCTTCAAACTGTTCAAGACAGTTTGAGATGGCGCACAAGGTTACTGCAGGCGTGGGCTATTTTCAAGAGTGTAATGAGAGCTCAATCGACAACGATACCTGGCTCAGCCCTCCGCTTCTCCGCAAAACTCAATGCACAAGGACAGCGTGTGAGAAATGTGGTGTACAGTAGAGTTGACGCTCCCCACACGAGTACCATGGGCATGCATCATAGTAACTAGCCGATTGGGTCAGACCGACCCAAATGCCGTGCCGATGGCGGGTAAGAGCAAAGCTCCACAATCGGAGGTGGATAAGGACTTAGCCGGCCAAGATGCGGAGGTTGCGGCCAAAACGCACGTTCATTGGATCGTTAGAGAGGCGGAAAAAGGCACTGGGGCTCGGAGATGGAAAACATTTCCAACAGCAAAACGACCTGGACTGGCTCACGTGTCCACGCGCTATCGCGTCTCAAAAAAAACTTGCCGCCAATAGACACTCTGGCAGTATTGCGCATTGGACGTGGTTTTACATTTTGAAAAAATTGGTAAGAGTACTTTGCTATAGAAGCTACCTATCGCTTGTGCTTAGGGAACGCATTAGTACAAGTCGTGGACGATTCGCTTCACTGTGTAGCATGTCAGTCGATGGAAGTCCCTAATGCATACGTGATAACTCACAGTTCGCAAAATCCTTGTGGTCTTTACTGTGTAGCGCACGTGACGCGATGGCTTCCTCTTCTGCATCGCCGGTCGGCACATTGTACTATTGATCGACGATTAGCACAAGTCGTCCTGGCATGCCTCAGATACTTACAGCTGTCAAAGTGGTCTTGTGCCCTAGCTCTTCAACAAGTTCGGCGATAGCGTCGGCAACGAGATGCGAGTCCTTCTCATCGCTGCCTGTACTTTGCTTCCCAATGTAAGGAATGATCCTCGCGATCTGCTTTGCCTCCTCTGGGTTGCTAGCCTTGAAGTGTACTGTCGGCGCTAGACTGAGACAGCTGGTGATACCATGCGGAATGCTATAGGTAGCACCTATCGCATGACCTATGCTGTGGCTGAGACCGACTCCACCGGTGTATAGAAAAGGGAAAAGTGAGGAATAACACGCAACGAAGAGCTTTGTTCGCACTTCCGCGTTGTCGGGGTCGGCTTTCGACTGCGGCAAGTACGTGAACAGATCTTTGATAGCCTCCAGAGACATGCGTTTCGTGGGAATCTCAGCAGCGAGAGGGTGGTACATCAGCTCAACTGCGTGGTCCAATGATCGGATTCCTGTGCTTGTCCATAGGTTCAAAGGTGTGTATATGGCAAGTTCACCATCGTATACAACAGCCTTGGGTACAAGCTCAGGGTCGCTCACAGCGATCTTGTGCTTTTCCTTGGTGGTGAAGCCGGCGTTCTGTGTCGTCTCTGCTACACTGAGCGTTGTTGGTACGGCGATACTTGGTATCCACTTCCCGGTCTCCTCATGGATATTGTACGCGATCGCTTTGGCCGAATCGATAGGCGATCCGCCACCTATTGAGATGAGGACGTCGCATCCTGACTTTGCCATCAAGGCTGTGGCTTCTTTAATATCCCCAATTGGCCTACGACATGTCAGTCTCCACTGCTGAAATCAAACTGCATCTCACATACGCATGCTGTCCAATCTTGCTGAATGTACCACCATGTGCAGAGCCAAGTGCTTTCTCAATGTTCTTGATCACAGGCGTCTTCTCGTACAACGACCGCCCGGTGATGATAAAGGCTTTAGTAGCACCGAGTTCGGCAATGACATCCGAAAGCTGGTTGCTGGTTCCTGTGCGAAATAGTAAGTTATTGTCAAGCCGTAACCATAGGCTGCTTACCATTTCCGTAGATCATGAGCTTGACGGGCGACGCTCTGTACACCCCCTTGGCAGAGGAGTCAATGCTGCCATTTTGGTATTTGGTCGGGAGCGCCATTGTGTAGTGTTTGGTTGAATTCAGTTTGCGTGTGAAAATGTTCAAAGTGAACAGTCGCGTCTGCATGCAAGCTAAATCCGGCAAGCATCATTGCGGTGTTGCCCGAGTTGTCATAGAGGGGTCTTCCCGATCCTGCCCCACACATACACGTCGCCCCGCCACAGCCCTTACCACAATCACAATGCGGCACATTCTCGGGCATTTGATATAGTACAATAGGTAACTACTCTTGTAGTAATGCAACGCGTATCTTCTCAGTGTATACGTCAAAATGGCATCCTTTAGCAAAGCTGCGCGAAACGTGTTGCACAAAAGCCCGAACGATGTTGTGTTACTTTCTACGGTCAGGTCGCCAATCAATCGTAGTTTCAAGGGCGGTTACAAAGATGCTCACCCAGAAGACATATTGATGCCGGTGAGTGTCGGCATAAGAATGCACTACGCTGTTGCTAAACATGTCAGATTATGAGAGCTGCCGTACAACGAGCTGGCATTGAAAAGAATGATGTGAACGATGTCATGATTGGGAATGTACTCGCTGAACTTGGTTTCGCAAAGACCGGGCGCATGGCACTCAATCATGCTGGATTTCCAAACTCGACGACTTTTCACACAGTCAATCGTCAATGTTCGAGCAGTCTGCAGGCCATCACCCACATTTCGCACTCGATAATGGTGGGCCAAATTGACGTGGGGCTTGCTGGCGGTGTAGAGAGCATGTCAAGGAACTACGCCTCGCGGGGCCTCCCGACCGATGTTTCGCCCACACTACTAGGATCAACCGTCAAAGATGCTCGCGACTGTCTCATGCCGATGGGAATCACGTCAGAGAATGTGGCGGAAAGATACAAGGTCGATAGAAAGTCACAAGACGAGTATGCGGTACGAAGTCATAGTCGCGCAAGTCGCGCCCAAAAGGAAGGCCGCTTTGACTGGGAGATAGCGCCAGTGACGGTTCAGAGGATAGACGAAGCAAGCGGTCAGCCTGCAGGGCATGAAGTAACCAAGGACGATGGTATTCGACATGGCTTAACTTTTGAAAAAGTGTCGACGCTCAAGCCTGTGTTCGGCGAGAACGGCAAGAGTACTGCAGGCAACTCGTAAGTTGACCTAGATCAAAGCTACTACGTGGCTAACCTACCAGGTCTCAAATATCCGACGGCGCATCCTCGACCATACTCGCTCGGCGTTCATGGGCTGAAGAGCGTGGTCTGAAGCCACTCGGCCGCTTTGTCGGTACACAAGTCAAAGGCTGCGCTCCCGATGAGATGGGCATCAGCCCAATATACGCGATACCTGCATTACTGGAGTGGACAGGTATCCAACTAAAGGACGTCGATGTTATCGAGCTGAACGAGGCGTTCGCCAGTCAAACCATCGCTTGCATTCGGGAGCTGGGTCTCGATGAAGACAAGGTTAACCCGAATGGAGGTGCGATAGCTCTCGGACATCCTACTGGGGCGACAGGTGCTCGGCAAACTGCTACACTGTTTGGCGAGCTGCGACGTCAAGACAAGGAGATCGGCATTGTCAGCATGTGTGCGAGTACCGGGCTAGGCCTTGCTTCTTTGTTCGTTCGAGAGTCATAGCATTGTAGAAATCTAACGAAACGTTGATGGTGATGATCTAAAGATGATGGTAGTGAAGCTCGGAACACGAAACTGTCGCGCGCGTCACATGTCCATTCCGCCTAGCCAGTTTGGGAAGCGGTAAACACAGGGGGCCGCCCGCATTCTAGCCCGGCAGTGTCTTCCCCACACGATGCTGCTGCATCCGCGTCCCACACGTCCACCGCCTGGGAGCCACCAGCCATGTCTTGGGCATTGTTGAAGCTCTCTTTAGAGCCTCATATCCCCTTCATGATTCATTGAGGTGCTTTTGCCATTACAATCAACATCATGTTCTTGCTTCGACGCGCCCCACTGCGTGCCATCCCCCGGCAAACCACCTTCCGTCCTCAACGACGATCACTCGGCAGCGTGAGCGCCATCGACTCAGTCATCTTCCGTACGCTGTTTGGAACCGATGAGATTCGGAAGGTGTTTGACGACAAAGCGTACATCAATCGGTGCGTTGATGCCGAGACCGCATTGGCAAGGGCACAGTCAAAATGCAATGTGATACCTTCACATATCGGAGAGATTGTGACATCCAAAGCCCGCGAAGTAGAACTCGACTACGACAGGCTGCGCAACGAAACCGAAATCGTCGGATATCCCATATTTCCTTTGGTCCGACAGCTCTCCGCGTCATGTGGTGACGAGGCCGGACGTTATGTGCATTGGGGAGCAACAACACAGGACATCATGGATCTGGCAAGCATGCTGCAGATGAAAGAAGGCCTTGAGATTGTTGAGCGTACGCTTCGCTCCGTCATCAAGAACCTGGAAGATTTGTCAAGAAAGCATCGGGATACGCCCATGGCCGGTCGCACCCATCTTCAGCATGCTCTGCCCATTACTTTCGGACACAAGTGTGCTATATGGCTATCTGGATTCCAAAGACACCTCGAGCGCCTCGAGCAGCTCAAATCGCGTGCCTTGATGGTCCAGTTTGGAGGAGCTGCAGGCTCTTTGGCTTCACTAGGCTCAGGCGACGATGGCATCCGTGTTCGGAAGGAAATGGCGAAAGATCTAGGTTTGACCGATCCTCCGATCACATGGCATGTCGCCAGAGATGGAGTTGCTGAAATTACAAACTACCTTGCACTTGTTGGTGGTACCTTAGGCAAGCTTGCTCTGGACATTATCATCATGTCTTCAAACGAACTTTCAGAAGTCTCAGAGCCTTTTGTGCCGCACCGCGGCGCCTCCTCGACTATGCCACAGAAGCGGAACCCCATTTCAAGCGAAGTCATTCTGGCGGCATCGAAGATTCTACGATCAAATGCCGGCTTGGTGCTCGACGGTATGGTGTCAGACTTCGAGCGTGCTTCTGGTCCATGGCATCTGGAATGGGTGGCTGTCCCAGAAAGCTTTGTGATTGCTGTTGGAGCGCTGAACCAGGCTGACTTTGCGCTTTCTGGCCTTGTAGTAAACCCCAAGCAGATGCTCACAAATCTGTATTCTACTAGGGGTCTAATCGTCGCTGAAGCTGTAATGATGGGCCTTGCTCCGCATGTCGGTCGATCAAAAGCGCACGATGTTGTCTACGAGGCATGCAAAGAAAGTATTGAGAACGATACCAGCTTATTAGAAGCTCTGCAGACGCGGTCCGAGATTACCGACAAGATTTCCAGCCAAGAGCTCAGCTCGCTGTGCGATGCGAAGAACTATCTAGGCTCGTGTGGATTGATGGTGGACGAGGTCTTAGCTGCATCCAGATAAACAACATGAGAGCACATTTGCCATGCATAGACATTACTTGACAACCACATTGTAAATGCGTTTCCTGAGTCAGCACTATACTTTCGATTGACCACCTTATCATGACCGCCAAAGAACCCCGCAAGTGAGCCACTAGGTCCATGTTGCGACAGCCTTCATGTGGGAGAGTGCATCGCACGTTCATCTCACGGGTCCCACCAACCCGGTCAAGATAATGACTCTTTGCCCAATGATATCCATGTGGGCCTCCTCACAGCTCCCGTAGCTACCGAATTGGTAACCCCGCTATTATGTGTATCGGGCCCCGCCACCACATCATGCACAGGCCGGACCACCTAGCTGCGGCAGATGTCGGCCTAAAGTTCCATAGCCATGGATAGTCCAATATAAGGCTGATTCTTGACATGGTAAGCTTGATCACACCTACAGTCCATCGTCATACACTCAACATCATGCAAGACTTCAAAGAACGCAAGCTCGTCACCGATCCCCAAAAGGCATTCCACTTCACAGATCTCCAAAGACTGAAGCCAACACGTGCAAACGACCCCTACGACTATCAAGCGGGATGGGGAAATCGACATCAATCAGAGGTCATTCCAGGCACTTTACCCGTTGCTCAGAATAACCCTCAGGAAGTTCGATTCGGACTTTATACTGAAGGCATCACATATTCAGCATTCGCAGCGCCCCGCGCCCACAACTTTAGTACTTATATGTACCGATGCCGACCCGCAGCTGCTCATAGTATGTGTTGCTATCAAACTTCCTGCACGAATATACTAACGTATCACAGAGGGCTACATTCCGATTGAGACAAAGTCGAATATCACAAACTGTTTCTTGTCCATCAATCCTAAAGTCGAGACGCTCCCTGAGCAAGCAGAATGGCATCCATTTCCACTGCCAAAAGAAGATGAGAAAATTGACTTCGTCGATGGCCTGCATACACTCTGCGGCAGCGGAGACCCAAACATCAAAGAGGGTCTTGCGCTATACGTATACATGATCAACTCGAGTATGGAACAACGAGCATTCTGTAACACCGATGGCGACTTCCTTATCTGCGCGCAACAAGGCAACCTTGACATAAAGACTGAGATGGGGAAGATCTTCTTGCAACCTGGTGAGATCTGTGTTATACAGCGTGGTATTAGGTTTTGCCTGAACTTGGCTCCGGATACACCAGTGGCGCGTGGCTATATCACAGAAGTCTGGGGGTCGATGTGGGAGCTTCCGGATCTTGGCCCACTAGGTGGCCATGGTCTTGCCAATCCTCGCGATTTCCTCTACCCGGTAGCCGCTATCGATGATGATCTGCACGTAGACTGGCAGATCGTCAACAAGACCAACGGTCAGCTCGTGGCGATACAGCAAGACCACAGCCCCTTCGATCTTGTCGCATGGCACGGTAACGTTGTTCCGTACAAGTATGATCTTACGAAGTTCTCTTCGCAAAACAGCACATCCATCGATCACACTGACCCATCGATCTTCACAGTCCTCACAGCCAAATCCCGTGATCCTTTGACACCATTAGCAGACTTCCTCTGGTTCGGTCCCAGGTGGGATGTTGCGACCAACACTTTCCGACTACCCTACTTCCACCGCAATTCCGCCTCCGAATTCCTTGCCTGTCTATACGGACAAGGTCTTGGAAGAAGCGACGATTTCCGACCTGGTGGAGGTAGTTTTGAGGGCGGTCACACACCCCACGGTGGATTTCATGAGGGATACCAACATGGTATGCGTATACATGAGAGCCAACCCGAGAAGATTCTCACTGGTAAGCCACACTCATTACCAAACAGTCGGAAGATTGCTAACGTCGACTTAGACCAATTGACCATCATGGTCGAATCAAGCCGTCTCTTCCTCTTTACTGAATACGCTCGTAAGGGCTGCGGGACAATCGAAACACGGGGAACCGACTACAAGGTTTGGGATGCTCTTCCGGATCGCTTCTCTGCCAACAAGAGAGCCCAAGAGTTACTGGCTCGAATCAAGGACGACAAGATTGCAGAGAAGAAGAGGCTTGCACCGTACTACTTCGGTGGGTTTTCGCATGGCGCCAACACCAGTAACACAGAGGGTGTTCACGCTGAAGAGCTGAAGCAATATCTCACCTCCGACTCGAAGGCCAACGGAACAAACGGCGTCCATGCATAAATGTTCTTTTGTGTTCTCAATTTCGTGTCTCAGTCAATTTAGCGATGTAATTGTGCGAGTTCCAACACTACATGTACATTGTATATACCGCATTCAATACTGTGCAATGAATACTGTCTCAACGTCTGTCATATCAGAAAATGTCTGTGCATTCACATACGGGACCCTTTGCGGACCCCACAAGCTTCATGTGGGGCAAGAACTTTCAGACATCAAGCTACGTTCTCTTAATATCACCGTTGACGGACATGGCGAGCCTAGAGCAGGACCATGTATTCTTTCAGGACAGTCGCGAGAGCGGCACCACACGCGTACCTTCAACCCATAGCCAGTCGGATCGCTACCCGAACATCGCAACCACAGAGAAGAAGTATCGCGACCAAGAACAATGTTTCCAAACAAATGGTTGAGAAACTGCCTTTGGCAGGAATCAAAGTCCTGGACATGACCCGAGTATTAGCTGGGGTATGTGATTGACTCGGCGAAATGGAAACGCAGTCGCTAATATCAAGTAGCCATACTGTACACAAATACTTGGAGATCTTGGGTTAGTAATGAACACATAGCTAGATAGAACAGACGCTGATGAGTGATCAGAGCAGACGTGATCAAGATCGAACACCCCACACGAGGCGACGACACACGATCCTGGGGCCCACCAGATGCACCATATACGGACGGTGTCGAGCGTCAGTTCCCTGGCGAAAGCGCATATTATCTTTCCGTATGTCTGATGAGTTAACCGTGTATGTGACTCTCTGACTTGATGCAGGTAAATCGTAATAAGAAGTCGATTGGGCTAGCCTTCAACAACCCCACAGGAATCTCCATTCTGCACAGGCTCGCGCAGGAATGCGATGTGCTTGTTGAGAACTACCTCCCGGGATCGCTCGCAAAGTATCAGCTCGACTACGCAACCCTTGCGAAGCTCAATCCTTCCCTTGTTTACGCTTCTGTCACCGGCTATGGACAAACGGGACCATACCGCGATCGTGCAGGCTATGATGTGATGGTCGAGGCTGAGATGGGCTTGATGCACATCACTGGAGAGAGGGATGGACCACCAGTCAAGGTTGGCGTAGCGGTTACGGATATCATGACTGGCATGTACACTGCGATTGGCATACAGGCGGCGTTATATTCGCGTAAAGAGACTGGTTTAGGCCAGTGGATCGATGCGAGTTTGAGCGACGTGCAGGTTTCGGGATTGGCAAACATCGCGAGCAGTGCGCTGGTAACAGGCAAAGGCGACAGTGGTCGATGGGGAACTGCACATGGTAAGCGCAGACTTGAGATGTAAGACCGAGGATCATACTGACTTGGCCATAGCGACAGTAGTACCCTACCGAGCTTACAAAACAAAAGACACGAACATCGCAGTTGGCGGCTGCAACGACCGCCTCTATGGCATCCTCTGCGACAAGCTACAACGCCCGGAATGGAAAACCGATCCTCGCTTCCTCACAAACGCGCTCCGCGTCAAACACCGTACGGAGATCGATACGCTTGTCGAAGCCGAACTCATGACCAAGACAACACAAGAGTGGCTGGAGATCTTCGACGGAAGCGGAATGCCATACGCGGCTGTGAATGATATCAAGGGCACGGTTGAACACGAACACGTTCTTGCGCGCAATATGATCCAGGAGATCGATCATCCAGCAGTGGGCAAGGTGAAGCTTGTCAATCATCCGGTGAAATATTCGAGAGCCGAGCCGCGGATCAGGAGTCCACCGCCGTTACTGGGGCAGCATACCGATGAGGTATTAAGGGACATGTTGGGATATGGAGAGAGCGAGATCAAGGAGCTGAGAGATAAGAAAGTTGTTGCGTAGATGTTGATGTTGCGCGCTACCCCTGCATTCCAAATCCTCGAAACAAGAACGCGTGCCAATGAATACGGTTCATCAACTTACGCGTCATCACATGATTCGATATCCTTGCAAGCTTTTAGTCTTACGCTGCACGTTCTCAAAGACCCAACCACCGAATTTCCCAAGCCGCGTGTCCGCCGTCAGCAAACCTTTGAGAGTGACGTTTCGCGAAGCCCCACGTGGCTCCGCTTTCTTCGACGCGGATCACCGGATAAGTGCGCTAGCCCCACATGCGCCATCAGCATGCACCCCACAACGTCCTTCACGCGACATGCTCTTGGCCATATCGCGGATGTATTGTGCCCTGCATGTGCCATGTGGGTTTGATATTGCGAAAGCCAGCCATGTGGTATACGACTAGTGGGGGTAGAATGCGTACTGAGAGTGTTGTGCGAGGATGGCATGGCTGGTAAACGCATGTTGAACGTGTAAAAGCCAGGCACGGTTAAGTAGATACCTAGGTATCTTCAGTATGACAACTAAGACTATTGCAGTTGAAACAGGTAACAATGCAACGGCACTGCCGTTCCGTTATCAGTTCGCTGCTGGGGCTGTTGCTGGGATATCAGAGATTTTGGTAATGTGAGATTAGGTACCTTCATGTTAGAATTCGAGAAAGCTACTAAGAACATTGACAGGTACCCGCTTGATGTAGTCAAGACACGGATCCAACTTCAGCATGGCAAAGTCATTGATGGTGAAGGGTACAATGGTGTCTTGGACTGCTTCAAAAAGATTATCAGGAATGAGGGTGTGTTGAGATTATATCGCGGTATTACTGCGCCTATATTGATGGAGGTACCCAAGCGGTACGATCAAATCTTCCTCTCAAGTTGACAACAGCTGATCAAAGGCAGTGCTATCAAGTTCTCGGCGAACGATACTTTCACACAGTTTTATCAACACCTGTTCTCTACTCCGACAGTAACCCAACCTCTCGCAATCCTCACAGGTGCCAGCGCCGGCGCAACAGAATCCCTCGTAGTTGTTCCTTTCGAGCTACTCAAGATTCGACTACAAGATAAGACCTCTGCATCACGATATAACGGCCTCCTCGACTGTCTCGTCAAAGTAGTTCGCCAAGAGGGGCTATTGGCACTATACAACGGTTTCGAAGCCACGTTATGGCGGCACATTGTATGGAACGCCGGGTATTTTGGCTGCATTTTCCAAGTGCGGGCTCAGCTACCCGCTCCAGCGACATCGAGCAACCCGAGAAGACAGAAAATGGGGAACGATCTCATCGCCGGGTTTGTGGGAGGTGTTGTGGGAACGACATTTAACACCCCGTTAGATGTAGTCAAGAGTCGAATACAGAGCGTCGCTAAAACACCTGGTGTAAGGCAGAAGTACGCTTGGGCGTGGCCGAGTCTGGAGGTCGTTGCAAGAGAAGAAGGGTTCAGAGCGTTATACAAGGGATATGTGGCGAAAATACTTAGATTTGGACCAGGTGGAGGTGTATTGCTAGTCGTGTATTCTGCAGTGTTGGATATGTTCGCGAAAACAGCATAAGCATCGCTTGAATTGAAGGAACGATTGCTTAAACGCTGATACAAAGAAATATCGGCTTCATGTAGTTGGCCTGGCCCTCGTAGCTCAAATATCTGTGCCAGACTTGACGAAGATGTGCAAACTATTCAGTGCAGATGGTAGTAACTGTCATGTGCTTGTCATTGGCTACTGACCAACATTCCAAATCTCAGTTCTGGTATTTCCCTTGAGCCGACAATGATATGTCACACGCTCACTCTCAACTGGCCTTGTCCCTTCAGTGAATTCATGTACGTTAGTCGTATACCCATCCGCTTACTTATCTGAGACGCGATCATCCGATGTGCAAACCTCTAGCGGAAGATTGACAGAATGAAACATGGCTAGCCGACATCTAAAGTAGCAATTGATTGATTCAATGCGCCAGATCAAGCAAAGCTAGTCACCTAAATGAGGCGAATGAGACAGTCGGAGATTCCAACACGGTCAGCAGTCAGGGGAGGCCCCACTAGCGTACGCCTCATGGTCCCACATGAGAGTCGATCCGGGGTTGGAGCAGGACGGAATCCTTCGAGAAGTCTTTGAAATTTGAGGCGTGTCTTCGGGTCATCTATCTCGTCATCCAACAAGTGCGACAAGGCACGGTGCGATTTGCGGTGTTTGGTGATGGCATGGCGTTAGACGATGGTCTGAGGGTCCTGCACGCCGGAGGTATCTCCAAGTGGCGATTGTGGACCACCAACTTGAAAATCAGCTGTATCCTTCGGAGGCACACATATGCGCGCGGCGCAATCTGCAGCAGCAGGATTGCAGGTTTATATGCGTTTTGTAGATGAAGGTTGAGATGAGCCTATAATGCTTAGGCCGAGTCATGGTCTTGCTTTCCCCCGCAGTCCGCGATCTCTTGGCAACCTAGACAGCACCTGCAGACACCGACCTTCGAAGGGTCCTCCGACATCCGCCTACACATCGAATCTTTGCGACGAGCGACATGGCGTTAAAACAGTGCAGCATGTGCGATCGCACATTCACCAAATGTATGTCGCGGCCGAGCGCGTCAAGAAAGTGGGCTGACCTCTCCTCCAGTAGAGCACGTGAAAAGGCATGAGCGGTCGCGTCCGTCTATCATAAACCTTCATTATCATCGTTGACTAAACATCATCTCAGACACACGAGAACGACCTTATGAGTGCCCGACATGCAAAAAGCACTTCTCGCGCAGGTGAGTCCCCCAATGAAAAACCTCCGTACTAGCGTCCAACCTCTGCGAATAGCGATGTTCTGTTCCGACACTGCAAAGGCCACGCGCAGAATGCTATGAACCGGATGAAGAGCAATGAGCAACAAAACACCAACGATCAGCAAGAGTTCCGTCACAACTCGATGGACGAGAACCAAACATCACGACCATCTGCATCACGAACCGCAAACGGCCCGACTCCAGGACCAACGCCATTAATCCGTGAAGATTCCAACTTCTCGCCTATGTCCAGGAGAAGAGAATCCCAAATACCGCAAATCAACGTGAATGATCAGTACAACGCGCATATTTCTCCGCAGACTCATGCCCGGCAACCTCCATCGCGATTGCAGCCGCCGTCACCCGGTGAGGACCGAATAGAAGCGCTCATCAACGCGGCGCAGCATCTCGAACCCGGAACCGACACGCCATGGCGATCGCCATCACCTATGATCATTGCGCGTGCAGAACATGCTCAGATGTCCAATCGAAATCCTCACGAAAGTATGGGTCCACCGATCGACCCGGCTATGGAGGCCCTCACATTCTCACCAGCCGGACACGTATCGAGTTTGGATCAGTGGGCTTTTGAGCTTGTTCAAAGCAACAACCCAGTTCCCAACCGTACTCCTGCGGACGCCTTACAAACATGGCTGTTTCCCCTCGAAGGTGATATGAATACTCCTCATGGATCACACCACCTGGGTGTAGACGGCTTTTTCGACCATGAGGCGTTTCGAGCAGTCCCAGAAAATCAAGCTAGTCCATCGGGTAGCAGTGTTTCAATAGCAAGCAGAGTCCCACGAGAACGGTTTCAGCGAGTCCAAAGTTGCTGGCCGTCCAGGAATCGCAAATCTACGCGGCTGATGCCAGACCTATGGCAGAATCTAGTGGCGTGCGAATGCACCAACATACTCTCAGAAGTTGGTTCTGGAGCTATGGAAACTCCAATGAGCGAAAGAGAACGGCGAAACTCGCGTTGGGGGCTGGACGAAGAGTGCAGGAGCAGGCTCCAAAGCACGCTGAACAATTTACCATCATCCGGACCGCCGCGGTCAGAATCCTATGGCGACACTGCGTCGTCGAGCGGCGATGCAGCAGGAAGTCCAAGTATCGAGGGTGTGCAGTTCCCACCTGCTGAAATCTTGGATATCGCATTGGAGATGTATCTCTATTACTTTCATCCTACCCTTCCAATCATCCATATTCCTACTTTCTCGGCAAAGAATGCGCCCCGGCCACTGCTACTTTGTATGTGTCTTATTGGACTAAGCATCCTTGGTACGGCAGGTGCAGCAAAGTTTGTTACACGCACATTTCCTGTAAGCAACATTGCAGTGGTATATGCCCTATGACGACTAACATATGCTTAGGCTGTGTTACAACTTGCGTTGGCGGAACTGCAATCACTACCGACAACAGACCATCCGCCGCATAGGCAAATGCGGATAATTGCCACTAGCTTGCTTGCGCTTAATTTAGCATCGATCACAGGAGTGAGTAGCACTAATCGATAGCATACATTGTTGGTTAACATTCACGTAGCGAAAAAGCCGTATTGCACAAGCAGAGAAGATGTATGCAGAGCTCATCGAGGTACATGGCCGCTTACATACACTGCTCCCAGTCATTCAACTAACTGTCCCAGTTTTCGCAAAGTCAGGGGCTTTTCTCCGCTAATGAGGGTGTAAAGATCGACCCTCTTCTCGACGAGATGATCGATATCGACTCCAAGTGGAAGGCTTGGTCCAAGGTTGAATGCGGCAAACGTATCATCTTTGGTCTCATAGAAGCAGATTGCTGGTGGGCAGGCTATCTATCAACGTCGCCAATGATCCGCCCCGAAACAGTACAAATTTTGCCACCCTCGGACTACTCCCTATATCACGTCAACAGCGCAGCGAAATGGTTTAATCTTGTACAGCGTGGCGCAAGAATTCACTCGCAGAAGATAACACCGTCATTCCATCCGACCCCGGGACTGAAGCTCGATGCATCAAGCTTTCGCTCACTATTGACCCTTCTCCTCCTACGCATCTATGAGAGCAACGATAGGCTTGCTCAAGTGACAGGAAATCAAAAGCAGCTACAGCCCTGGCGCATATACGCTGAAGATGCTCGTAGTCGAGACATCCTGCCACTGTTGGTGAACCTCTCCAGTTCTTCGATCGACGCACTTCGAACAGCGGACTTGAATTCCGCTGTCCTTTGGCATGCCTCTTGCATGGTGCTTGGAGCAAACATACGCTATTTCGAACTCGCAGCTGGACGCTCCGGTCCCGAGCCTGCCGTCAACGCTCTGGAAGACATCTCAGTATGGTGTCAAACACCAAGCGCAAGAAGGAGCGTGCTGCACGCCGCCCACATCTACAAACTACTCTTCGACCGAAAAGTTAGTGATATCGTCAACCCACACAGCGTGGTCGCTCTGTTTCACGCTGCCCTCGTCCTAGGCTTATACATCTTCGCCCTTCCCCCAACGCCCAATTGTCCTATCAACGACTCGTGCATCGAGCTTCTCGATCTTGTAGACTGGATATCTGTTGGTCAGCTTGGTTTTATCGATACGCCGCAATCACCTGTAGCATTCGGCGACACCACGCAAGTCGTGAAATTCATACACCACGGTGGGAGCTTTAGTATAACTGGTATCACACTCGAGGGCGGATATCTCGCGGCTCGCCGCACCTTATTACATTGTGCAGATCTCATGGAAGGCATGGGTCGCTGGAAGAGCAGAACATTCAGTCAGATACTACACATCATGAGCGATGATCTGACAGACTATGAGGGTCATGATAATGATGATGGGGAGGATGAGGTAGATGGCGGTGGGGAAGAAGGGGAGAGGAATACGAGGTGACGGTTAGCATCCTCTTCCCAGCAGTGTCTTTCGATTACCCAATTGCAAGGCCTGTGGGGAAGAGGATGATAATCAAGATAATCACGGAGTGATTTTTGATATCGTTTCAATTCGATGGGAATTGGTTTTGCGACGCTTCAACAGCGTGATCTGGATAGGTGCAGAGCGTGCCAAGGTAGAGTTAGTCAGGGATGGTATACACAGTTTGCATTGGGTGGCGTTGAACCGCATAGCCAAGGTGTTATGCAGCGGCAGGCAGAGTCATGAAGCGGAATCGCGACCTCGAAAAAGTGGTTTGTTCTTCTTAAAGATTTACGTAATATATCATGTTTGTCGCTAGTAATGTACAAAGACCTTACATGCAACGTATGATCGACACCTGCATGTAAGTGCCTACTATCCTCTCTATAGTCTCAACCCTGAGGAAACAACCATACTCTTCTAGTAGAAAGCTTCCGTGACTGTGTTCCTAGCTAGTGCTCTACACTTTTAAACCTGTCAATCTCTCGATGAGCACGTCGAACACCTTACTGCTGCAATCGACGACTTGTGCAATAGTGGCCCAGAACATTACCGCTGGAAGCATACCGATGACTGTGATGAAAGTAGGTCGTCTGGGGAAAACAGAGAGTTGCTGCTGCGTCGAAACGGACGTGGTATTCGACTCTTCGACACCCGCACCGTTCTCTCGATCCTGCTCGATGAAAAAAGGATTTCGGCGAGGTGGAGAGATCGAAGATTGCCAGCGTTTTATATGATTCCAACCCTCAAGCTCGGAGCCAGATCCATCAGGTGCCCTACGTAAAAATAGTTCTTCATCTTTTGCCTTCACCGGAGTCCCATACGTGATCAGGTCTCCTGCTGATCCGCCGTCCATGACCGTCTCTATAGGCGCAAGGTCCATGTCCCTGAATTTATCTAGCTCGGCCAAAGCTCTCTGCTCCGCTACTTCTTCTTTTTCAACTCTGGCCTCTCGCGCAAGCTCAGTGAGTTTTCTTTGGGGAGATGCGTGACCTTGATGTTCCGATGGCGAGATTTCGTCGCTTTCTTGTGCTTTGACGCAGCTGCGTGTGTGATCTACGGGCGAATCTGGGATGGAGTCGCAGGTTGCGAAGTCGACGTGCTTGCCATTAGGGGTCCGTACGACAGCGCAAGCAGGGGAAGAGAAGTTGACGGAGAAATTCGATGCTGGTGGCGTGTCTTCTAAGGCTTTGCGAACATTCTTGGGTGAAACGACCATTTGATGACAGTCTCTGGAAGCTTCGGAAGACTGCTGTATGGTTAGCGGAGGCTGTGTAGACTCACGTACATGATGCCTCACATCATACGAATTGGTGGCCATCTGTTGTCCTTCCACTCGATGCATCTCTTTATCTTTGTAGAGAGCTTTGAGGTCAAAGGTCTCCTCGATAGCTAGCCTGTGGTCTGATACGCCATCGATCGGCATATCAAAGTTGTAATCCCCGTCTGCGGCGGCTGCTTTCTGCACTCGTTTCTGTTGCCGACATTGCTCCTTCAAACTTCTCTCGATTGAAGCGCGACGGCGCTCCAGTTCTCTGGCCCCGTCGGAGGCTTGCTGATTGTGAGGATAGGATCTGCTGTAGTCGCAAACCGGCACAGACGATGCCATCTTGCCGGGCATGTTCATGATGTCCTCGATCGTATCTCTATCCCTCTCACCTGCTCCAAAAGCATCTTCGCCATCGCTCAGCTCCATACTGTCGTCTTCATCTTCGTAGCCGTCTTGTCGCTCGTCACCGTGAGCTGATTGGAGGTTTTTGCAGCTCATATTGTCCTCATAGCTTTTGCTGTTGGGAGTTTCAGTCAAAATTGACTGACTTGCTGGTCCATTGCTAAAGTACGGTGTTGGGGAAAGAGGTGAAGGGCTGCGCACGTCGTGCAGCATCCTCTGGAGGGTGCGACAGTCAGCTGGCGAGAAAGAAGGGCGCTGTGGATCAATGGACAGTAACGGTGATGGCATGCTGGTGTTGCCTTTGGATAGCGGACGTTCGTCTAGTGAGGTTGATGTTTGTGCAGTTGGCGTCAACGGTCTTGCAGAAACCGGTGAGCTCGAGTGATTCAGCAAGCTGTGATTCTGGGGTGACGACATGAATAGAGCATTGGGCGAAAGTGTCATTGGTTTATTGCAGTAGTCGCGATCGAACGAGGGGAACGAAGTTGACAGGGAAAGAAGTGCGATTGAGCAGGTAACACAAGCACCTACCCCAATTGGAGACGACAAACGACAAATGGAAGCATTGACTAAACAATGCACTGCAACAAGCACACCTGATGAAGACTATGCCGAACGATACAAGTCGCACACGAGAGCGCCACTATCAAGCTTAATACTCAACACCTTCCTCACCAACACGCACGCCTCTTAGAACATAGCCGTCTCTCTTAGCTTCGGCTGCCTCTCTTATGATCGTGTCTTCGATATCCTTACTTCGCACCTTCCATCTCACCCGGTACGGCTTCGCCATCGTAGTGCTTCCGACAGCGTCAAACGCTCCATCGCTAGTATCTACCTGCAGCTCATTCCCCTGTTGATCAAGCGGCGGCAAAATGTCGAAAGCCCATAGTAGCTTCGCCAATACGATGAACATACTATTCTCAGCTAGATGCACACCCGAGCAGATCCTGCGGCCCGCACCAAAAGCCCAGTGATCGCGACTCGCAGCTGGGCCAGCTGCGTAGTGTCCGCTGCCACGGGGGTAATTGATGTATCTCTCCGGATTAAAAAGTTGGGGATCCGCAAAATGATCTGGATTGTAGTGAATCGGGTATTGTTGGAGACACACGACTGACTTGGCAGGTATGTGAATGCCTTTGTAGGTTATGGGCGCGGTAGTATAGTGTGGCGTACCAATGTTTGTGACGGGGCGTAGACGTAGGGTTTCCTTGACGATGGCGCGGATGTAGGGAAGTCTTGACTCATCCTCGAACGTTGGGGATCGAGAGGACGAGGTAATTCCTCTTATTTCCTCGACTGCTCTTTGTCGTGCAAGTGGGTTTGCGCTGAGGTACAGAACGGCCGTATTGAGCGCCGCCGACGTCGTCTCGCTTCCAGCTTCGATCATGCTGCCAGCCAAGAATGCTGCCTGTAACTCACTGATACCCTGCTTTTCATAGTCGCTCTCGATGAATTGCTTTACGAAACATTCTGGGGCTTGTTTGGTCTCCATCTGAGTTTTAAGAGTACTCCAAAAGGACATCCATAGATTCGCTTGCTTATCAAAATATGGTTTCACTCCTTTACGCCACCATTGTAGTCGTGGTGGAAGGTTACCGAGGAACGGAAGCGTGTCTGCCAAGTAGGTACCTGGTTTTGCCATTGTAGAGAAATCGTTCATGATATCGTAGATGCCGTGAACTTCATCGCAGTCCTAGTGCTGATTAGCAACCCATGTTTGTACTGTTGTATGTGTCACTCACCCATTCCGGTATCCTTCTCCCATATGTGCTCGTCATGATAACGCTTACAGTATATCGTCTGATCGCTTTGTAACTCACTTCATTTCCTTTCCCTGGGTCCGCACCCTTCAATATCTCTTCAAGCAACATCTTCGCCTCGAACTCCTGACTTGGTTTAAACGTCGCACTTACAGCTGGTGTCAACAGCTTATGGCTGATGCCTCTTAGCTTCCTCCATTCTGGACCGTACTCCATGAACAGGAACCTCATTCCGCCGCCTAGTGCATCCCCGGATACCGGCAATGGTGCTCGGGAGCTTGTATGCGCTGACTGCTTGTCTAGAATCTCTTTACACGCATCCGGCGAGCATATCATATACCAGTCGTTCCATCCCAAACGGATCTTATAGACTTCGCCATACTCGCGGGCCCAAGCGGTAATTTGCTGATGTGGTTGTTGGCCCAATTGATGTGCGTTTCCAATGACTGGAAGACCCGCAGGTCCGGGCGCGACTTTTGTTCCCGATGGTGCCTTATTCTTGTATCGCGTGTAAAGGATGAAGACTACGAAGAATAGTATGACCAGGACGATGGTATACATGTGGGGCTAGCTGAGGAGAGACAGTCTCAAGGTGTATTTGGAGGGAGACAACAAAATAGAAGTAGAATCATGCAGTACGTTTAATGAATCATCTTGAAGATTTGATATACGGGGGTATGTCCATGGAATATTGCCGCATCTTGAGGCGCGGCGCATTGAACGTGCCATCATGCAAGTTTCCCCACATGTTCGGTTGGATGAATCCTACGCTGCGCATGCTTAGTGCAGAAGAGGGGAATGCGGAGTAGGTGAGCTTACCTTGATCACGTATTGTACTTTACTCCAACGTCCGACGTATTCGGTCCGGGACAAGACATTGTTTCTGGCGTTGGGGAAGATGCAGGTGCTATAGCGCCCTCTTGCGCGCTGGCGCAGCTCCACCAAACACCCGCCCCCAGTACGACACGAAGTCTTTCCATTAGTGTTCGCTCAAAGACTTCTTAGCTACCTATCCAAGTCCTGACATTATTGTCTGTAGGTAATGACATGTTGTAGCGGTCTAGAGGGAAGCCTGTTGTTTGATCCTGCTCATGAAAGGAGTGCGACAGAGGCCGAACCAGCCTTGTTCAGGCGGCCATTTAGTCAGCCGTCGCTGTCGGCTCCTCCCAAACCACCGAGCGTGTCCACCTTACCAAAGAATCGCGATTCAGGCAAACAACAGGCTCAAACAGCGCGTCATGAACCTGTTTCTATTCGATCTATAAAAACTGCGTGCATAGTCTCATAGCTAACATTACAGAACATGCTTACCCGCCTCGCAGTTCGTACGCCGCTGCGCTTTCTTACATCCAGCCTATATCTGTCGAGTCTCCGCCCATCGAACTTCCGCCCATCGAGCCTTTCCACTACGTATCAGCGCACCATGTCTACGTCTACTTTCACGCTCGACCCTGCGATATTCAATCGATCATTATACAAGAAGATAACAGACTTGTGGTTTTCTGGCGTTGATACGACTGGTCAGAACTTTGACATGAGCGTTGCAAAACGCTGGTTCGCAAGCAGTCCTGAAGAGCGAGACGTCTTTGATGGACAATGTAGAAGCACATGCGTGAATGCGCTTGAAGCAATCGGACCAGACAAATTCCCAGAAGCGAGTGCGCAGCCATTTCTAGACGAGATTGCGCGCGTTGCGGAGGAGGAAAGCAAGGCAGATGCTGCGACAGGAGAGGAAGCTGCATGGACGGCACTGAGTTTCGCACTGCTGCTAGACCAAATGCCACGGAACATATACCGCACAGAAGACGGTTTGCGACTGGTGTACACGCATTACGATCGTATTGCTCATGCATTCACTCGCAACATTTTGTCGCACTCTTCGCCCATTCCCCGCCCAGATACACACCCAGTCATGCGTCTCTCTGCTGCGCACAGGACTTGGCTTTACATGCCTCTGATGCACTCTGAAGATCTATCTGCCCATGACCTCGCCGATGGGATCCTGACGGAGTTTTCTCGAGAACTCGAAGGTATAGATGGGTATAATGGCACGAAGATGTGGGTTGAGAACTACCAGAAGTCTGCGAAGGAACACAGGGACATACTGGAACGGTTTGGTAGGTATCCCCATCGGAACACTGCCTTGGGTAGGACTAGTACAGACGAAGAGCGTAGGTTTATTGAAGAAGGGGGAGCAACATTTGGTGTTGCACAGAATCAGAAGGGCGACACAGAGAAGGTAGATGCAGTATAAATTCGCAAAACAATGTCAATATTCCACTATACTTTCATATATCGGCAAGAACCTGCGTAGTAAGTATTATGCCGTGGCACTGCATTTGAAATGACTTGAGCGTAAGCATGCTGTCGTGCAACAAAGTCTGTTCATGGAGCATCAACATATACACTTGTCCACCCACCCATCTAAGCTACTGCAAAAAGAACATAACCACTTCCAGCATTCCTAGTGCTACCCAGTCGTCCACAAGAGCAAAAAATGGGGTCTTACCGCGACTCGAACGCGGGGCCTCTCGCAAGCTGTGCTTGGGTTTGTGTCCTAAAAGGGCTCCCTAAGCGAGAATCATACCACTAGACTGGTTTTGGTTAGCTGGTGAATGAGCTGAATGAGTGGTTGTGACCACATACCCATAAGACCGAAGCACCTGAGTTGGCGTTGTTGTTGATGGAATATTTCTGGACTTTTCTGTTCATATACTTATTCAAGATCCGATTATGAAATGGTGGGTCTGCAGGGAGGTCGAAGTGGCCTCCGTGGATACCACATCACGAATACGAATGATGTGGGGTAACTTGACTAGCTTGCAACAGCAGCCAATTACAATCCTCATACTCGTGCGCTCGATTCGACAAATGTTTGTTAAGATCTATGAGCATTCGAATAGTGCAGGTTGTAAGGCTGGCATGATAACGTTATATGACATTCTCTTTTTCGCCACCTCTGTAGTCCAAGCAGCATTGCTACGCTGGATCGGAGAAGCGTACAATCGACGATGCACTAGTCTAAAGATTTGCAGGAAATTTTGGAATTATCAGGAAGATTCTATACACCGACATCATGCTCGAATATGGCTGTTGAATCGACAACCATCATCAGTACGAACAAGGGTAGCAGAAAAGCTTCAGGTTGCGATTGTCGCGGCGGATGCGCTACCGCCAGGGTCGCGCCGCATCTCGCTTCGACATCATGGACGCGTCCCTCAATGTTGGCCAGCCTTGCATTACGCCTCTACTGTTTCCGCCAACTTTGACCTTGCAACGCCAAATTCCGATGGCTTTCGCGGTCGTACCTCCTCCTCTACACGTTTCGTAAAAGTAAAAATCCACAATGGTGCGATTGCTGGTTCCTGAAGGTGAGCACTTGGACCTCCCAGAGATACCTAGCTTCAGATCTGACAAGGACAGGCGAGGGACAACTGCCCTCCCTTCTCAAACCGCCTCCCGCCATTGCCACACAAAGCGACCTCATCGCAGCACCATGGAGAGGTTGTGTAGGCGCTGCGGTCGTTACTGGCAGCCTGGCTCTTGTCGGCCGCTCCCGACCTGGCGTGTTTCTCAAGTCCGCCGCCTTTATCAGCGCCGTAGACCTTACCTGGACAGCATCTGGGATATACGGGCGCCATGAATTGAATCGAGGTGTGTTCAATATGGAGAACATACAACCCAAGCCTGGCAAGCTATGGGAACAGACAAAGCATTGGACTTCTGAAGATATGGCATTGGTTGGTGGAGCACTAGGAATATTCATGGCATTGAATCCGCGGGCTTTGCCAGGTGCCTATGGTTTCTCACGATTCTTTGGAGCGGCTATGGTTGGATCTGCGCTTAACGTCAAGGTCAGCCAATCCGTGGATAGGCTCAAATATCCCCCAACACTCCTCCAGCTCTTCGATCAGACGGTTACTACGGCTCGACAAAAGGAATATGAAAAGCTACAGAACGACGAAAGGGCCAAGGCATCCCTCTCTCGAATCGGCAAACTCGCACTCTGGTACCACTCATCTTCGTTAATGGGAGTTCTCCGCAGCCCTCTGCAAATTGGGGCAATGGGTGACATGCCTGGTGGACCGATTCAAGTGGGGCATGGAGGGAGTTCCGGGCCTGGTGGTGGCTCATTGGCTGCACTAAAAGCTGAAATGGAGAGAGAAACTGTCATCCAGATCCAGTTTAAAGAAAACGAACTTGAAGGACCTGATGTGGAAAACGGATATCGTGCGTACAAGGACGATCTCAAGTCACGAGATGCGAGCAAAGTACAGGATTGGTTAGAGCAAGTCCAGGCTCTCAAAAAGCAGGTGGGCGCCGAGCTGCAATATGTTTGGCCGCACCTTGCGCAGAGAGAAGATGAGTTTTACCAACATGTGCAGGAAGACAGGGAGAAGGATATCATTCGTCGAGAACTACAGCTGCTCAACAACATGGCTTCTGATCTGGTAGTTCGGTATGCGGCCCTTGAGTATCATGAATACGATGCGCAAAAGCAACTACAACAGGTTACACAAGCAGGCTCCATGGGCACAGAGCTAGATGTAGTTTTCCAGGACGTCACAAAGTCGTACAAAACGCCCCAACATCCAGCTGAAGATATCCAAATGAGCTATCACGGTCCGAGAACTGTAACGGAACGAATACGCACAACCTGGTCAAGACAAAAGGAGTTACTACGCCATCTGGACCATAGTATCACCCGGGTTAGAGCCTTCGAGCCCGAGGAAGGGACTCATGTCGCTGAGCACGTCAAGCGTCTTGTGCAGGATGCCGAGATGATGGGACGGAACATCGAGGCCACTGAGCGATTGTTGCAATGGTTTGAGGAGCAAGTACGACAGGCTGATGAGGTAGGAAAAGACGATGCTCGTCGAGACGGAGCTTGACCGAGGTCCCTTGATTCCTGAGCGAGGACTTCCTTCGTTCTGCATGTCGCATGACGTTGCATGCTTCCAACAATCAACGTTACGATGGCTGAATCCTGTCAAGGCGCGCGCGTCGATAACATTCAGCTCTTCCGAGGTCATTTGAAGTCAGACACGCAGCATTTGCAGTACATAAGGTAAGTTGCCAGTACTACTTAGACGTGATATCAATCAAGCTAACAGAATGTTTTAGATGTAGAATGATATGAGCATATTAGCGAAGCATCGTCCCAATTCGATAACTGTCCTGCTTATGAAAACATCATAGGTAGGATGAATATGTATTGTGGAGAAGACAGGTGAAGAAATAGCCACACAGTATGCTCTAGATGGCTCAACCAATTAGCGAGCGCTCATGTTTGCTGGATTTTCGGATAGAGTTGTGAATCAATTGTTCGTGACCAGCTATGTACAAGATGGGTAGCGAACGAGCTTCGTGGTCCCATTTGATCGCTTTTTTAGCATCTGTTCCGCATTTGTGCCAGATGAGTGTCGGCGATGGATGACGTAACCGGTCGGGAGTGGACGCGGAAATCTTTCGCCGCTGCGCTTCTAGAAGAGTCACGACAACTGCCAAATTCGCTATCACCACCACCACTTTCCCGTACCGACTGCGTTCGTAAACACGCTCACAGACCCAAAGATGCGCTCACTACGTCCATCAGCAGCGCGCAGAATCCGCGCATCGCTTACTCCGGAAACAACGACACGGACATTCCGCGCACGACAGAGCCCAAGACCATGTCTCCTTTGCGCACACCGCATACCGACCCAGGCGATATCGCGCAGATTGCAGTCGACGTCTTCGTCGTCCAATACCGTCGAAAAGCCATTTGATACGCAGAGTGCCACAACACAATCGTCGCAGGTCCCGCAAACACACTATTCCTTCTTCCCGAATGCCCTTCCAGCCGGACCACCGCCAGACGGCCCCTTTGCTATCGATCTCTCTGCGCTCAAGAAAGAGTTTCTCCAACTCCAAGCCCGTGCCCACCCCGACCTCCATCCCCAGGCAGACAAGAAACGCGCCGAAGCCCTCTCAGCACGCATCAACGAGGCCTACAAAACACTCCAGAACCCGCTTCTGCGCGCGCAATACCTGCTGTCTCTGCGCGGAATAGAAGTAGCAGAAGACGAAACGGCCAAAGTGGATGACCCAGAGTTATTGATGGAGGTGCTCGAGGCGAGAGAGAACATAGAAGAGGCAGAGAGCGAAGAGGACTTAGTGGAGATGAGGGAGAGGAACGAGGAGAGAATAGCGGAGAGCACGGAGATAATCGACCAGGCGTTTAAGAGGGATGACCTAGAAGCTGCCAAGAGTGAAGCGGTCAAGTTGAGATATTGGGTCAACATCAAAGAGAGTATTGAGAACTGGGAAAAGGGGGTGCCGGTTGTGCTGCAGCATTAGGTGCATATCACAACTATCAGGACCGACTCAATGCCACAATCTCCACGCTCTGAACACGATTTATCCACCCTAAACGGGAACAGTAATGGGGTTCATCACCCCCGCTCCGCCATCGACCTTCAACTCCGCCCCAGTAATATAACTACTGAACCCACTCGCCAAGAATCCCACCGTCCTACCTACCTCCTCTGGCCTCCCTGCTCTCTCCAAACCAATCGTTCTCTTCTGGCTCTCCTCTCCCTGCAGTGCAGCGGGAGGAAACTGGCCCTGTGCCATCTCTTTGACACCACAATCCTTCAGATCGACGCCGACATCAATCTGCCCAGCCGTAATAGCATTGATCCGCACACCGGTTCCCTTGAGCACGAGCACACCAGAGCGTACAACACCAAGTGCAGCATGCGAAGCCATTGTAAAAGCAGGAGCCCAACACCCACCATACGTGCCCGCAACGCTGGTGACGACGATGATACTCCCATACGGAACGTCCTTTGGTGCAGCATTAGGATAACTCCCCTTGGGCGTTGTCTTTTGCATTGCAGCGGGCGCATACTTGAGCGCGAAGAAAGCAGGCATGGCATTTGTATCAAATGCTGCGTACAAGTCTTTCGGCCCTGTCTGGTTGATAGACGGGGGTCCTAGCAAACCGGTAGAAGATGTCCAAACATCGAGTCGGCCCCAGGAGTTTAGCACGTCATCAATCAGGGCGAGAGTATCTTCTTCCGAGTTGATTTTGTAAGGGTAGCCGATGACTTTTGTGTTTGGGTATTGCGCATTTATTGAGTCGGCGAGTTCGGTGTAGGTTTCTGAGGGGAGGCTAGAGCATGCATATATGCATGCTGCGCCGTGTGCTGCAAAGAGATGTTAGTGAGTGGCTGTAAGGTGGATATGGACGTGACTTGCCTGCAAGCTCAGCGACGATTGCTTTTCCCACGGGTTGGGTTGCTCCTGTAACTACGCATACGAAACCATACTAGATCACATGGCGACGTTAATCATCACTTCTTCCCATGTTGCCTATAGTCCTCAAGACTTGTGTCCAAATCTTGCCAAATCTCTTGCAACAAACCTGGGAACTTTTCTTGCAAAACATACCAGTTTTCCATCTGCTCTATACGGCGAAAAATGCTCCGAGTCCGTAATTCCAGCATCTCGTGTTCCATTCCCGTTCGCAGTGGCCATGTTTGCAAATATGCTCAAGGTGCCGTTGCGACAATTGATAATAAACAGAGTTCAGAGGGAGAAGAACAGAACGCGCACAGCAGCGCGTCTGCGAACCATCACATCATGTCATCAGATCAATTGCCAGCTACTTGCTTGGTTGGAAGGTATTATGTCAGGGTACATATCCACGGGGCGCGGAGATGCGAATTACATGTGCGATTGTTGGCTGAGATGGGGACCTTATCGGGACCTTATCGGGCTGCATGGTGGCTGCCGCGGGGCAGGGGAAGGGTCATGGTATCTATGTGCTTAGACGACTTGGATGGATATGCTTTCAATACAAAGCTCGAAACAAGCAGAAATTCGAATTTCATATAACAGGGTTTCAGAACTTGTCGTATCTAGTCTATCATCTAGTTCTGGTAACCAGAGAATACATCAACACTTCCGAGGATGACATGCTTCACGCCGTCTTCGCCTTGTCGTCTTCCTGGTTCTTCCTCAACTCCTCCCGCGGTGGCAGCACATCGGGCCCGAAGCTGAGCGGAAGCAGCTCGCCCATGGTTCTCACAATCCACTTGCCCTCCTTGTTGAACATGAAGATGGGTGTCTCGAGCTTCAAAAACTCTCGCAGGAACTGTCTGCACATTCCACACGGCGAGCAGAAGTCGTCAATGTCGGTCGTTACACCAACGGCTTTGAAGCTTCCGATGCGATGGCCTGCCATGACAGCTGTACCCATGGCTACGCGCTCCGCGCAAGTGCCGACAGGGTAGGACGCGTTTTCGACGTTTGCGCCGATTATAGTGTGGGCTGCAGATGTATCCGTCGCCGAAGATGTGGTAAGGAGGAGGGATGCGCCGACGCGGAAAAGGGAGTATGGGCCTGATCAAACATCCTGTCAGCATGGCATTCTATTGAGCATCTCTTCGATTACTACTGCCACATACAATAAGCTCTGGCCCTCGCATCAAAGCACTGTTCCCCCAACACCTGCAGCTCCTGCGCCGAAACGCCATGGATCAACCCATCTTGCTCTGTCACAGCTTCACCAGGGCTGAATTTTGGTATCGTGACTGTTGACATGGTGGAAAGAAGGGAAGAAGAGAAGAGGCGACGCGACGTGGGGGAGTTTTGCCAAACGTGATGACGCGGGCCGAGGCTTGCCGCAGGGTCCAAACTATGGCGACAAAGGAAGGTCCGGCCACCTCCGACAGCTCTCGTCAGATACAAACATACTACTGCTCAGCTCCTAGCCACTACCTGGGTTTGCTGAAAGATACCGTCTACGGACTAACAAACATGCATCTTGAATCGAGCAACCTCCCTATCTATGCCACGTCTCTCACTGCCGCGTCCCTCTCAGCGATACTAGAGTGGGATGAAGTTGATGGACCCAAGTTTCGCTTAGTAGAGCATCTTCAGACACCGAGTCGTCTACAAGTGATTAGAAGCTTGCATAGTGTTCTTGTTTGACAGTGTTGAGTTCAGCAGGTAACTGCCACAAAGAGCACACAGATGACGCTGTTGCTACTCAAACAAAGACATACACGTCGTTTACCTCAACAATGGAGCCTCAGCTCAGCTTGCTCACAACACCAGCTGTTTACTCTTCCGGTCAACCCATATAGTGCGCAACTCCGAAAACGGAGCGATGCTGGTTGTCGGCACTCCTCCGGAGGATCATTACAAGCAGCGTAATCCTTCCAGAGATCTCACTCAGAGCCAACACAATGGCTCATATCATCCCTTTCAGCGATTCGCACGTCGAGAACGAATGAATGGAACGCGATGCTGCATTTGTGATCCGGGAGAACCAAGAGATGAATCATGTCTCTGAGAATATTCCAATAAAGTCGCCAGTCAAAGAGCAACAGGAAGAAGGGGAAGGAGGAAACGAGTTAGAGCCTTACGAAACCATGCGCTACAAAGTTAAACAGCTCATGCTCGATCTCTTCCCTGATTACTGCACCGATAACGTAAAGATATACCAGATGCGTGATGGTCGACATAACCGCATCGTCGGCGTCAGGCTCTGCAAAAAGCCGCCGGGAGCTCCTTGGTATTCGATTCAGGCTATACGTGAAATGATTCAGCCATGTCTTACAGGTCGAAAGAAATGTACAAGCCATTCAAGGCAATTCGTGTTGCGAATTCCGCGCGATCCTACTCAAAACATGCACCATCAAGTCACTACCCTAGCATACTTGGGCTATAAGCTTGGACATCCTGTCCCCAAAGTCATCGTTTTTGACGCAGGCGCAGAGAATGCTCTAGGTTACCCATACATGCTTCAGGAGTGGCTACCCGGCCAGCCTCTCGGCAACCTATGGCCTACACTGAACCAAGCACAGCAACTCAGCGCCGTCCGAGCTATCTCCAACATCATTCTAGATATAAGAAAGATCAAGAACAGGTGTCCTGGCCTCATTAGCACCCGCAACACCACCTACGATCTCAAGCACGATATCATCAGTACTGAACCAATACCTGTCCCTCGCACCCGAGCTACTACTCATTCGACGGGCGTCAGCACCTCACTTTCCGAACCTCAGAGTACAAAAGATTTCTTGCTCAACCTCTGCACCCGTCAACGTGCGTATGCTATTGCGGCAAAACAGCCCGCTTGTGACGATCTCTGGGGTAGGATCATCAAGATGCTCGAGATACTACACGCTTTAGCTTTTATCCCTGATTCTTTGCCGTTCCATTTCTACCACGGCAATTTCAATCCGCGCAACCTCCTCGCTTCCATTACGTCGGAATCGACTGTGGAAATCACGGCTATCATGGATTGGGACCTGGCGCTCTTTGCGCCAGCTTTCCTGAGCACAAGCGCTCCGTCCTTCATGTGGAATGGTGAAGCATTGGTTGAACCAGAAGAAGCAGGATTGTTAGAAGCCAAGCGGACGTTCGAGAATGTTGTTGGTGAGAGCTTTTCGAAGGAGGCATACTGTTCGGAACTGGTGCTTGCACGCCGGTTGTGGCCAATCCTGATTACGGGGTTTACAAATGGCAGAGACATTTTTCTCGTCGAGGAAGTTGTGAGGGAGTTTGAGAAGTTACATCCAATGACGTAGAGTAGGGTATGAGTAGTCGCGGATCTTACCAGTACGTCATCGATCTGTTTTGCAAGGCAGTGATTGCTGGTCCTGAGGATGTTATTCCACGTTCTCACGATACCAAGTCCTGCGGTAATTCGCTGTCGCCTTTGTGGTAGCACCAAAGAGGCTCCTATGGTATGAAGCTGCGCATCATCGGCTCCACCCCAAACTCGGGCATCTCGCCTGTTGTAGTCTTGCCTAATAATCATGACAGTCCTCGAGCGCATAGTGTTTCTACGTATAGAAGAAAGCAGGCTGTGTGATGCTTTATAGTTGTCAACCCGTAAGACAGTAGCCATGTGCAGCGCACAAATGTGATTCTGGTCATCACGTCTTGATTTGCCTTTGGGATTGGGAATGGGTTTTGACTGGCTAGCTTTGCAATTCCCAAGTATTGAATGATTTAATGTAACCCGGTTCGGCCTAATACGTCATGACGCGCCACTTTCGCGTTCCAGGGACGCGTATCTGGATGACAACTCCATCTCGACAAGCAAATTGAACGTTGGCTGCAAGTCTCACATATGCATACATTCATGTTTTGGAGACTGCAGTTTGTTCTATCAGCACGCAGAAAATGCGACTATCATGCTAGCGCCACTAATGCATCGTGCCCAGATAACCGCTCAAGCAGACACCGTCTGCGCATAGAAAGGATAGTCCGTGTACCCCTTTTGCGGTGGATCAGCGCCGTAAAATGTGTTGCGATCGTACTGATTTAGTTCCAGACCTTCAGCGAGGCGCTTGGGAAGATCAGGGTTTGCGATGAACCACCGGCCGAAAATAATAAGATCAGCATCTCCAGACTCGACCTTCGGCGCGGCGTTGTTCCTGTCGAAGCCACCAGCCGCGATGAATTTCACACCACCCTTCTGCAGGATGTTGCGGAAGTTCACCAGCGTATTGCCTTTAACTTTCACAGTTGCTTCCGCTTCTACGCCCTTGCCTCCTTTTGTGGTGTATGCGGCTAGAGCGTCCATCTTAGCCTGTTCGTCTAGGACTTCGTCGAAACGCGGTTCGACCCTAGCAATTGTCAGTATTGATTTGGCTATCGAAGTTGATCAGCTCACATATGAACATAGGCTGGCTTCTCGCCCTCCGGAAGCGATGCTATCTTTTCACACAGGTACTCCCAGTGTTCGTTAGGGTTACTGTCCTTGGTATTCTGAAAGTAGTTGTATGGGCTGAGACGAATACCAACTCGGTCAGCACCGATGGCTTTTGAGCACGCTTGGATGACTTCAAGAGGAAAGCGGCTCCGGCCCTCTATCGATCCGCCGTACTGGTCTGTTCTTCTGTTCACGTTGTCGTGCAGAAATTGGTCCAGCAAGTATCCGTTCGCGCCATGGATTTCGATGCCGTCAAATCCAGCCTCGATAGCCTTTTTCGCAGCCTCAGCCCAGGTCTTTGTCAAATCTTGAATCTCCTCGACAGTCAGCGGCTTGGGTGGATGGTCAGCGCACGCAACGCCGTCAAGCCAATTGCCCTCCATGGGCACGTCGCTTGAACTGACAGTTGGCGCTCCGGCCCGAAACGACGGTGGACTAGCACGGCCGGTATGCCATAGCTGACAGAAGATGTAACCGCCCTTCGAGTGGACGGCATCGGTTACCTTCTTCCAACCGGCGATTTGAGATTCAGAGAACACGCCCGGTACACCTGGGTATCCGCTGGCCTGCTGCAAGTCAACACGTTTGCTCCAACGAGTTGCGAACGACTTACGTATTTGGCGATGTCAGTGGCCTCTGTTAATTGCAGCCCCCCCTTGCTCGCGCGTTGGCTGTAGTACTCAACGTGTAGTTCTTTGGGCACGAAAACGCCTTCTTCTTCTTTGGTGGCTCGCATACGTGTCAATGGTGCCTGCACGATTCTGTGCTCAAGATGCAGAGGGCCTAGCTTGAACGGCGAAAAAAGCGCAGTCTCTTTGAGTGGCTGGAAGCCAGTCGGGCTGTTTGCTTTCGGCATATTTGCAAGTTCCAAACGTGTACTAGAGATTGTGAAAGGGGAAGGTATGGGATCGTGGCTACCACAAAAGATTTTGAACAGCTACATGGTCGCTGCTCAGGGTCTCCTATGTACCTGACGCTAATTTCAAAACCAGTCGTCTTCATCATTGCAGATCCCATGTTAGTAAGTGGTGTTTGCAGATGCAGAAATGGGGGAGGGGCAGATTCAGCAAGAGATGTGACGAGGGTGATGTTTGCGGTGTGGGCACAAGCAGCCATCTGTACTACACGGCTGAACTGGGGTCCAAGAGTGGGGTATTACGGGTCTAGCCATCGGAAAGGCGAAATCGTCTATCATCGGAACATTCGCCTCATGTCCAATCAGCGATAGCATTACGTGAGGAAGGTGTGAATGCTGCAGAAGCGCATGTTCGCTGACCATATCATGAAGTCGGTATCGTGTTTTTGACCGTCTCATCGCTTTCTGTCAAGGTTCGACTCCAATCATGTCTCTGCCGATTCCACCAAAAAGCAGTGCAGCCCATCCACCACGGGGCCTTTCCGCTACGGAAGCCCTGACGCCTCTCATCGAGACGACTTTCCGAACACCAGATATCACAACGTACATCAACGGACGGAAAACGGTCATCAGTAATCCCAACCCGCACTGGACGTTGCTAGACTACATCCGCGCTCAGCCGAACCTCAAAGGTACGAAGCTGGGATGTGGCGAAGGCGGATGCGGCGCATGCACCGTTGTCCTACAGGTTCCAGACTGGCAGTCTGAGAAAAAGAGAATCAAACATCTGTCGGTAAACGCATGCTTGTTTCCCCTGGTTGGTATTGATGGCAAACATGTCATTACGGTCGAAGGTATCGGCAATGTCCACCGACCACATCCTCTACAAGAAAGGATAGCGAAGTTGCACGGCAGCCAATGTGGTTTTTGTGGGTTATACCTAATCGCGGTTCCAGGATCTGTGCTGATGTACACATAACAGGCACACCGGGTATCGTTATGAGTCTCTACGCAGTGGTACGCAACGCATACAACCCGGAGACAAAGAAGTTTCACCTCAGCGCTCGTGAGATTGAGATGGAAGGTCACCTTGATGGCAACTTGTGCCGATGTACAGGTTACAAGCCGATACTTCAAGCTGCGAAGACTTTCGTCACTGAGGATTTGAAGGGTCAGTTGGCAGAGGAGGACGAGCCAACGACTACCGAATCTGAGAAGTTGGAGAAAGATGTCCTCGATCTGACCCGCAATGGCTGCGCTGGTCCATCCAAAGTTTCCTGCGGTCGACCAGGTGGCTGTTGTAGAGACACACCATCCGATAGTAGCTCCACAGACACCAAGTCGGACGTCTCATCGCCTCCAACGGAGCCTACATCGGCATCGGAAGACGAGCACATGCCAGTCATCTTAGATGCCAAGAAACAGCCTCAAGCAGATCCTGCTATCAGCGGCGCCGATTACGCAAAACCACTGAAGAGTAAGGAGCATGATGCTGCTGCCGAGACGAAGACCACTACATCTACAGTGGAGGCACCAGCGGCAGACTCGGTTAAAGGGATACCCACGATCGAGTTTTTAGAGTACGTTCCAGATACTGAGCTCATATTTCCTCCCGCGCTATGGAAGTACGAGCCACAGCCGCTATGCTACGGCAACGACAAGAAGATCTGGTTTCGACCTACCAAGCTTGAGCAGCTCGTAGATTTGAAAGATGCGTACCCATCAGCCAAGCTTATCGGTGGTGCTAGCGAGGTTCAAGTGGAAGTTCGCTTCAAAAACTCCGATTTTGCTGTTTCTGTCTACATCTCGGATATATCAGAGCTGAAGCAGACAAAACTGCCAATGTATGCAGAGCTTGAGGCAGGGAACGAGCTTGTCGTTGCCGCAAACACACCGCTTACCGAGCTGGAAGAGATTTGTAAGAAGGTCTATGCAATGCTTGGGAAGCGTGCAATGGTGCTGGAGGCCCTTCGTAAACAACTGCGATACTTTGCGGGTCGCCAGATTCGCAATGTTGCATCATTAGCTGGCAACATTGCGACTGCATCGCCCATTTCGGACGCTAATCCCGTGCTAGTCGCAGCCGGAGCGACACTTGAAGCTGTTAACAAGAAGGATGGTCGCGTCGATCTTCCAATGTCAAGTTTCTTTGTCGCTTACAGGACTACAACTCTCCCGCCTGATGCAGCGCTCCATCGCATTCGAATTCCTTTATCTCCACCAGGTTCACGAGAGGTTCTCAAAGCATACAAGCAAGCGAAACGTAAGGACGACGACATAGCAATTGTTACGGCTGCATTTCGAGTGCGTCTTGACTCGGAAGGCCTAGTAGAGAACGCTTCGATCGTGTACGGTGGCATGGCGCCTATGACGAAAGAGTCACCGAAGACGCAAAAGGCTCTCTTAGGAAAGCCTTGGTTTCACTCGGGAACTCTTGATGCTGCTCTTACAGCATTGCTGCAGGATTACGATCTTCCGTATGGCGTTCCAGGAGGCATGGCTGACTACCGGAAAACGCTCACCCTGTCGCTCTTCTTCCGCTTCTGGCATGAGTCCGCCGCTGAGTTCGGTCTGGGCAACGTCGATGAGCAGGTGATTGATGAGATTCACCGTGAGATCTCCAGTGGTGCTCGAGATAACTACAATCCTTACGAACAACGTGTGGTGGGCAAACAGGTAGCACACTTATCTGCTTTGAAGCAGTGTACTGGCGAAGCAGAGTATATTGACGACATGCCGCGATTAGACCGTGAATTGTTTGGTGGACTCGTCATGTCAACAAAGGCACATGCTAAGATCTTGCGCATCGACTGGGACCGAGCGCTCGAATTGCCTGGCGTTGTCGGCTACATTGACCGACATAGCATCCCCGCGGATGTCAACATTTGGGGCTCGATCAAGAAAGACGAACCTTTCTTTGCTGAAGATAAGGTACTTTCACACGGCCAGGTCATTGGTATGGTCTACGCTGAGTCGGCTCTGGAAGCTCAAGCGGCCGCTCGAGCTGTGAAGGTCGACTATGAAGAATTACCTCCAATCCTGACTATCGACGAAGCCATCGCAGCCGAGAGCTACTATCCACATGGAAAGTTCCTAAGGAAAGGCCTCGCGATCGACGACAAGATGGCAGACGCTTTCGCTCAATGTGACAGGATCTTTGAAGGTGTGAACAGGCTAGGCGGGCAAGAGCACTTCTACCTCGAAACTAACGCAGCGCTGTCGATACCTTCCGGAGAAGACGGAGCTATGGAAGTTTGGTCGTCGACGCAGAACACCATGGAGACCCAGGAGTTTGTGAGCTCAGTCTTGGGTGTGCCGAGCAACCGCGTCAACGCACGTGTGAAGCGTATGGGAGGCGGCTTTGGTGGAAAAGAATCGCGTAGCGTGCCCTTCGCGGTATATACCGCAATAGCTGCCAGAAAAGAGAAGCGACCAGTGCGCATCATGCTGAACCGCGATGAGGACATGCTACTTAGCGGTCAGAGACATCCCTTCCAGGCTCGTTGGAAGGTGGGAGTCTCAAAGGAGGGCAAGCTCATCGCCCTTGAAGCTGATGTGTACAACAACGGTGGCTTTTCCCAAGACATGAGCGGAGCAGTTATGGACCGATGCTTGACGCACTTTGACAACTCTTATGAGTGTCCACATGTGTTCCTGCGTGGTCACGTATGCAGGACCAACATCCATAGTAACACCGCGTATCGAGGGTTCGGCGCGCCTCAGGGCATGTACTTCTCGGAAACCGTCATGTACAACATCGCAGAAGGTCTAGGGATGGATGTCGATGAGCTGCGGTTGAAAAATCTATACAAGCCTGGGGAACATACTCCGTTCTTCCAAAAGATAGACGAGGACTGGCACGTTCCGATGCTCTTGCACCAGCTGAGCAAGTCGGCTGATTACGAGAACCGGAAGGCGGCCATCAAGGTTTTCAACTCGAAGAACCGATGGAGGAAGCGAGGCATATGTCTCGTTCCCTCGAAGTTTGGTCTCAGCTTTGCCACAGCTCTGCATCTCAATCAGGCGGCTGCATACATCAAGATCTACCACGATGGAAGTGTGCTGCTACATCATGGCGGAACGGAAATGGGTCAAGGACTCTACACTAAGATGTGTCAAATCGCAGCGCAAGAGCTTGGTACCCCACTCGATGCGATCTACACCCAAGACAGCCAGACCTACCAGATTGCAAATGCTTCTCCTACCGCTGCGTCTTCTGGATCTGATTTGAACGGCATGGCTGTCAAGAACGCATGCGACCAGATTAACGAGCGACTGAAGCCGTATCGCGAGAAGCTAGGGAAAGATGCACCCCTCAAGGCACTCGCTCATGCCGCCTATGTCGATCGTATTAACCTTGCTGCAAATGGCTTCTGGAAGATGCCTAAAGTCGGGTACACCTGGGGAGATACAAACCTAGAGACTGTCAAGCCCATGTACTACTACTGGACACAAGGAGCGTGCTGCTCAGAAGTTGAGCTTGATCTTCTCACTGGCGATCATACCGTGCTCCGATCAGACATAATGATGGTATGCCTTATCCTGATATGTATCCATTCCGACATGCTAATAATACTATAGGACGTCGGCAACTCCATTAATCCTGCCATAGACTATGGGCAAATTGAAGGTGCTTTCATTCAAGGCCAAGGTCTCTTCACTATCGAAGAGACGCTATGGACCCGAACCGGTCAGCTCTTCACTCGAGGCCCTGGTACATACAAGATCCCCGGCTTTAGCGATATCCCGCAGGTCTTCAATGCCAGCATGCTCCGTCATGATAACGACGGCAACCCACTATCATGGAATCACTTGAGAAGTGTACAAAGTTCTAAAGGTATTGGTGAACCGCCTTTGTTCCTGGGATCAACAGTCTTCTTTGCGCTGAGAGAGGCGGTCGTGGCAGCAAGGAAGATGAATGGAAAGAAGGATGATGGAGGCTGGAATCTGGATAGCCCGGCTACATGTGAGAGATTGAGGTTAGCGGTTGGCGATGATCTTGTTGACCGGGCGAGAGCGGTAAGAAAAGAGGGAGAGACGAATTTCCTGGTCGCTGTGGCGTAAGCAAGTCCTTGATTCAACGCATTTTTGTTCGGGTATCAGAGAAGCATCCTTGAATGTGAAGTCTCCTACAGTAGCGTTCGCTACAACGTTATCGGTTGAGACATGCCTATCGCGCAGCAGATCGGAAAGCAGAGCCGACAACGATGAGCTCATTTGTGCCATGACTAATGAGTGCGCTGCAAGTGTGTCAAAAACGTCGTGTCGCGTCGGGCTTCGATAGAGTAACAACTATCACCAACCATGTTGATTATCTTCAATGCAGCTCACATAAACCGCCCCCTGCCATTGGCGTATCCTCCATCACGACAACTCCACATTAGGCCTCCATAGTCTGCCCGCATGGGAACCACGCCCAGCGGAGATAACCGCAAATTCTCCGCGCTTTCCGCCTTGTCAGCCCGACTATCAGCCATCTTGTTCGCAGCATCTTGGCCACGCACTTGCTTCGAGTTGCAAGTAGGACATATGAAAAAAAGAACAAATCGGTTGGGAGAGTTCCATGGCTGTTGTCTGCGATGGAAAACCTCACCCCCACTCTTGAGGATGCGTTCCCAAGCCTACGCCACCACGCGCAACCCCGCCCACTAGCGGCACGACTCAACTCCACACTCGGCCGCGATAGTCGGACTTCTCGACTCCGATAAGCATGCCTCTTTCCGACGCGCGCTATCGTGTAGTATTCCGTAATGCGGCTTCTTGAGCCTCTCTTCACCCCATTTCATCCCCATTGCCCCCATCCTTCTATCAGACCATCGAAACAATTTGTCTGATCCTGCGCTATGGCATCCACTACTGTCGACAGTGCGAGTTCAGGAGCCCGTGGACGCAAGAGAAGGAATCTTAGCAAGAATGAGGGCAAGAAGTTTGTTTGCACGAATGACGGATGTGGACGGTCTTTTACGAGGGCTGAGCATTTGCAACGACATTTGCTGAATCATTCGACTGGGGAATATACTTGCGATCGATGCAGGGCTCACTTTAAGCGGAGAGATCTTCTTGGTAAGAATGATGCACTGTTTCCTTGGCCTGTAGACTACATTGCTTCTTCCTCGCGCATTGGATGCTTTCTGCTTGGTTGCATGATTTCCTAAACCCTCAAGGCGTTACGGCCTTATCTTGAATCATGAAATGCAAATACGCCACTCTTTGGTCGCTAACATATATGCGCAGAGAGGCATATTAGTCGCCATCGTCAAAAAGACGAAGAAGCTGGTGCCGAAGGCTGCGGAATACTGAACACTCGAAAGCGAATGTGGAAAGATGCCGAAGGCAAAATAGTTACTAAGAAACCTAGCTTATCAAACGACGGTCCGAAGACGCGGTCTGTTTCGCAACCACAAAGTGAAGACCTACTGCAGTCATTGCCGGACTTCAACTCTTTCTCACATCAAGGTCTTCCTATATCGCCACCAACATCAAACAATCCGTCGGTATCTCATTCCCTTGATGACAACGACTCCGGCATCGGAACTCATTACCCATCGATCACTCTCAATCCCAACAGCATCTCTACGTCCAGTTCATACTCGCCTACAGATCAGCGTTTCTGGTCTAACGACAACACGCAGCCTTCAAGCGCTTCAGGTGGTTCAAGCGGTTCAAGCGATCCTTTCGTCTCTGCAGTCTTCGACAATGCGCCATTCGACGAGATATTCAACCCAGATACGGCAAGCTCTTTTAATGCGCCCTTCACAACCATGAGCAACTACAATTGGCTTTTTGACATGGACTGGACGAGCAACGATCAGGCTCAACAGCCCATCGTAGGAGATCCATTTCCTGCCTTGTCCATGGGGAATAACAATATCTCTCAGCCGAGTCATGCTCTGGATTTTCATTTGGACCATATGGATATAGACGCATCGCTGTCGACAGTTGGCCAATTTGGCTCGCTTCCATCCCAATCCAATGGACTCCCTCATCCCCACTCACCAAGTGCACCAATAATCACGCCGCCACTCGACGAAGGAGACAAGTTGGCTACTGATACTATCATGCCTTCCGGTGCCAAGGCTGTTTCTATGGATGGAACATCAAATGTCCTAGTATCAGCGATAGACAGCAATTCTGTTTTGGATGTGGAGCGACCCATGTCTCTACTCCAGCCATCACGAAGCTTGCCAATTATTGACGAGCTGGCTCGTCAGCAGCTACTCGATCTCATTGACATCATACAACCTACCGTACCAGATGGTAGTATAGTCATGCGAGATCACCCGCTACTTTCATTATCCTGCTTGCAAACATACTGCGATCTCTTTTTCACACGCTTCAACACCACATACCCGCTGATTCACATGTCTACGTTCGATCCATCAGAAGTTGATACTCTACTCCTTGCATCAGTGTTGCTGCTGGGTGCAACATATGGAGAGAAAGATGCACACCAACTTGCTGTAAGTATACGCGCACCTTCACAGCTGAATTCTAGCTGACCCATATCAGGTATGCATTCATGATGTACTACGACCTCAAATCTTTGCAAATGCTGGCTTTTCGGCGAAGCCAGATCTCTGGGTACTCCAAACCATCTTATTAGTAGAGTGCTTTGGTAAAAGTAGAGCCGGTCAGAAGCAACACGACATGTCACACTTGTTTCACGGCCTGCTCATCAACCTCATTCGTCGAAGCGATTGCCAAATCATCCGGCCACCAACACCGGAAGAGGCAACAGATGATCTTGAAGATGACTGGCGGACATGGTGCGAAGCAGAGCAAAAGAAGAGGTATGTATTCATCAACTGAACCCCCATGGCGCTTTGCTCAAAGTGCGCAGGTTGGCGTTTCTATGCTTCATGTGGGACACGCAACATGCAGTACTTTTCTGTCAGTCACTATGCATGTCCGCCTTTGAACTTCGCTCCAACATGCCCTGCGATCAGGCTATCTGGGAGGCCGACTCAGCGGAGACATGGCACCAATTAAGGCAGAAGCAACCAACAACTCCGTTGTTTTTATCATGCCTGAAGATGTATCTTCATCCAAACGCTGCCACCATTCCTAAGAACTTGAATGCGTTATCACGATCTCTACTCCTTCATGGCCTGATGTCAGTAGCATGGGACATGCAACGCCGCGATCAGACATCATTAGGAGTCGTCGAGTCAAATCCACTAGGCGATTGGCAAACTCGTCTCGCGACCTCTTATGTCGCCTGGCACGCGGATTATACAGCTTTCTGCACTACATATCTTTCCTCCCTTCCCTCATCCATACACCCTCTGGCTAAAGAATTCCATGTCTACCGCACCGCCACACTAGCGCTGTACCACTCCGCGCACATACTCCTTCATACACCCTTCCTCGACCTACAAATTTACGCCGGCGCCCGCCACATACTAGGCCGCCCGGTGGCCCGCCACGACTACGCGCGCTCTCAACGTGTGGTCAAGAAATGGGTAGCGGAAAACATCCAAGAAGCTGGGAAAGCAGTCTGGCACGCTGCCGCCCTTGTAAGCGAAGGGGTGGATATTCTCGACGGAGAACTCAGCTCCTCGGATATCGGGGGAGGAAGACTATGGCATCACCCTTGGGCTGTGTACCTCGGTACGTTGGTAGTTTGGGGAGTGTGGTATGCTCGACCAACACCACCTCCTTCTTTTGAAGATCAGCTGCCGCAGCACCTCCAGCATCTAGATGATGACGATGAGATTATTTGGGATCCTGTTGCGGAGATGAAGACACTTCTTGACACTGTTCTCGGGGCTCAGCCCGAAAAGCTCCTTGAAGCTGGCGGTGACCGCATTGTCGCTGGCAGTGTAGGCAAGAGGGGTACAAACGGGCTTGCAGCAGTTGTGAGCAGATGTTTGAGTAAAGTGCGATGGGCCGTTGTCCACGATGGTATGATGGTGCTGAGAGGTCTAGTGCAGTGGCGGTTAGTTGGTGGGGGCGCAGGTCTTGGTGGCTTATGAAATGCCATCATCTAGTACTTGACAATTGCTCTACCTTCGTCTTTTGCTACACAATTTTCTTGCCTTGCATTAATTGAATGACTGAAATCTCCATATATGCTGCAAACTAACTAATGAGCCAGTTCCCTGGTATCTAACCGCGCGGAGAACATAGAAGGTAGAAGAATATTTGGAAGTAGTAATGATGACATGAGTGTATAGCGTTCTGATGAGTTGATAGGGAGTATGAAACGATTCACGGGTGGATGAACGAGGTTCATACGCGCTGCTGGTGGGGCTTACCTGGTTTGGCGACTGTTGCGGTACATTCCATGAAGACAGCAACGGCTTTTGCGATGGGCTAGACGAGTCGAAGTTTCACTCTTCCAAGGAATATTTGAGACCATAGTACCCAATGTAGAAGATGAGCACAAAGCACGTATATGGACTGAGATGTGGAAGTCTTTTGTGGTCAGCCACGCAGCCATGCTACCTCGAGCTCTACAGAGTTTGTTCTAAGTAAAGTATCTCCACCTCTCACTATCTTCTCCATCGCCCAGCTCACTTGTCTTGACGTCCTCGGCTCTGAGCACAACACCCTGCGATTTGTTCCTCCTTCGATTCTCCAGCTTCATCCACCCGCCTAGCCACAATGTAAAGCAAATACACGTAACATTGCATGCTGCCGTTGCATACAGCGTTGGCAAATACTTGGGTGCGTACTCTTGTCTGAAGGTCGCGGCGGAAACAATACCCCCAAGGTTTCCGAGCCCAACCATGAGACCCGTTGTCGCAGCGCGAGCATTCTCGTTGAGGTTGTTGTTGTTATGCCACGAGTGCACAAGACAAGAAGGGACGTATGCCCCCGCGCAAAGCAAGAAGCAGGCGAAGTATGCGACGGCTTTGTTGCCGAGAACATCGACTGTGGCGAGGATGACGAGTCCGACGAGAGAGATGCACAGAGCGCCACAGATGTGGAAAGTGCGTTCCCGGAAGTAATCACTGCTATAAGTTATACAGAGCAAGATAACAAATCCCACAGCATTGGGCGCCACGGTCCAGAGATTAGTTTTGACGACAGAGTATCCTAGTCGCTGGACAATCTGAGGCAAAAAGTTCGACGTTGTGCTGAAAGCGACAGGGTAGGTGAAAGCGACGACACACCAGGGAAACATCTTCCACGTGTTCCACTCTTTGAAACACTCTCGCATGTTGAATTCGTGAGAACCGGATGAAGACAGGTCACGCAGTGTGCGACGTTCAGCCACAGTACGTTCAGCATCAGTCAAGAACCAGGCTGATTGAGGGGTTGCCGGTAACCAAGCGTATGCTATCAGAGCGAGCACCACCGTAAGTGCTCCCTCGATGATGAAGAGAAACTTCCAGCCTGGGATCTGAGCATGGTCAATCTGGAAGACTCCAAAGGAAATTAGACCACTGAAAGCCCCCGCGAGAAGTGCACTACCGAAGAAAAGCGCAATGCGAAAGCCGAGTTCGCCACGCGTGTAGAACAAAGTGAGGTAGAAGACGACGCCTGCGAAGAATCCGGCTTCAAAAGCACCAAGCAGAATGCGTATAACGAGCATTCCAGCGAAGTTGTGTGCTGCACATTGGAGGAGGGCCATCGCACCCCATCCCACCATCACTACAATTGATTGTTAGTTGATGTCTTATTTAGCTGATGGTGCTGGAACGCGAGGATATCGACTTACGGGATGGAAGCATGACCCTACCACTCCACTTCTTCGTCAACATATTAAGCGGAAGATCGCACAGTCCGTTTGGGATGTAGAACAGCAGGATCAACAAGCTATACTGTTCGCCGGTAAAGCCAAGATCTTTGTCCATACCATCCGTTTTCGCATTTCCCAGGTTCGAACGGTCAACACTTTGGTCGAGTCAACTAGCTGTATAGAACAGAGGTGGGTTCCAAGGAAGTGAACTTGCCTATTGAAAAAATACATGACTGAGAGAAAAGGCAAAAGGTAAAAGTCTAGTTTTCGCACTACACGACATGTCAGAACATGATCATTGCTCGATGATAGCCTGGGAACGCCATACCGTAATTGCTCTCAGCCTTCTTGTCAATGACATCAGTTACCATACCGGCTTCTTCCTTCGAAAAGCTGGACTCTGATAGTCTCTGAGCCTTCTCATCTGCCATGGTGATGTTTCTTTGCTGTTCGATCGGCATGGTGTATGGCGCCTCGGGGCAACTGTGAAGCTGAAGCAATTACGGATATTGCACAAAGTGTCGGATGCACGCTGTGTTCGACTGGATTGTGGAAAAAACAATATAGTCCGTCTTTAAGTAGCGTGCTGTCATATCACCTCCCGCCCTTTACGTGGGTATGTATCACACGCCTCGTAACCTCCCATTCTTGACCCCAGTCTGCATGCATCTCTGTTGCATACCTAGGTAACGCTGGCTAGACACATCAGCAGCGCAGCACATAGCGGCATTGTTCGAGATGAGTCGCATATCTTAGAGCGAAGGATTACGCTCAACAAGGTCATCATTGATAGGATGATAGCGAGAGCGAGGAGATGTTGATAAGAGTGGGGGAACTGCTATGTGCATGACATTGGCTAGCTGCAGCGGAAATATGCGGAAATAAGCATGTAAGAAAATGAGTCTTCGTTGTATCACACCTACAATACTGAGCCTTAATGGAAAGATTACACGACGTTGTATGAACAAGATTTCCAGAATCGGAGTATGTGTGAGTCAAGTGCGAGAACGAAAAGGTGTGGGGTCATTGAGACAAGAACACTGCTAAGTCATACATCTATTCGCGTGAAGCCAATACCCTGGCCTCTCCTTGGAACTCCAAAGCCATGCACACAAAACCGAAAACAACCAACATAACCGAATATGTAGACTTTACGTGTCTTTCAGAAATTGCTCGTAGTACTGGTCCATCCATTGCACAGCAGCCATGCCATTCTCCTTGGTGCCATCAACGAATCTCCGCACTGTGCCAACATAGCCATCTGGACGTACGTTGACCACAACAACCTCCTTCTCATCAAGTCCATCAAGCCACTTGTCCATGCATGTTTGCTTTCGCGTGTCCTTCTCGGGAATGTCATCGAGATATAACGTGAACGCAGACTCACGAAGTACCGCTGGTAGATCTCGTATCTCGAAGTTGTTGCGATCCTCGTCGGTCACCAAGGCATAGGTGAAGACACCGCTGACGGGTGTGTACCGTTCAGGAAGGACGAATTGATCGTGAGGTGCTGCGAGAGGTGGCTGGACGGTATACGAGGCGTTACCAGCAGCCGTGACACGCCCAACGTATGAGTTGTTTCCTGAATGCGCGTGGCAAACTGTCTCTAAGAAGGGCATCGACGTGCGAATATTGTGAGTGAAGAAGTAAATACGAAACTGGCCAAGTGCAGGAATGTCGGTTTGCACATCGACTGGGTTGGCATCGATGTAGCGCGTAACCTTTGCAGGTGGCAGTAGGTAGCCTGGCTTCAGATGACCTCTGTTGTAACCTTTCGCTTGAACGTTGAGGGTGTTAAGGTCGTAGCTGACGCCATAGCCAGAAATGAACGCGACGTTCTTTGTGAAATTTGCCGCGAGCGCTGCCGGGTCTCCGTCATGGAACGCATTCGCGTGCTCGTAGTCAAAGTCGATCAAATCCTTCGCGATTTTCTGTCGTTCTTGCTCGTAGGAGTCGAGTAACGCAGGCTTCGCAAGACCACGCGTTGCAAAGTTGAGTTTCCAGGCCAGATTCCAGGCATCTAAAGATATTAAAGTACCAAGTCAGTGTATGTCTCACAGGCAGGTTCGTACAGGGGAGATTCTACCATGCATTGATGTGTTCATTCCTTGTGCTGCCTTGGGGGAATGGGTGTGACTAGCATCACCGGCAATGAAAACCCGTCGCTCGTCGTCTGTGAAGCGCGCCGCGACTCGCTGTCCGATCTTGTAGCGCCCAAACCACTCAACGTTCTTCCACTCGAGCCTGTATGGCTGTAGTATCGCCTGCGCTCGCTTTTGCACGAATTCTTGTGTGGTTTGCTGCGCTCCAATCGCCTCTGTAGATCCTGGCCGCAGTTCGATGTAGAGACGGGTCAAACCCCTCTCGCGAGGAATCATCAGTACGGAGCCTAACGCATCTGACTGGATAACCACTTTACTCCAAATATCGGGAAAGTCGGTATCGAGTACACCGTCCAGTACACCCCACACAGCATCGGTCGACGATCCCACTGGGGTCGCACCTGGTATTGTCTTTCTCACTTTGGAGTGGGCGCCGTCACATCCAACTATGTATCGCGTGGCGAAAGTCTTCTTTGCGTGGTTGACGTCTTGCTGACAATTGACAGTAAGTGGACGAATGGACATGGGCGTATAGTCAAAGTCGACGAAGGCCGTGTTCCGGGAGACAACAACGCCTCTTTCCCGTAGATCGTCTTCCAAAACGCCTTCTACCATGCCCTGGTGTACCAACAGTATGTATGGATCAAGCAAATCGACTACGGGTGGGTAGTGAATCTCGCGACCAGTGCGGTGAAGCGACTTCTCGGCCGACGATTTCCAGAAAGCAATGTCATAGATCTTGACACCCTTGCGTAGCAGCGGCTCAGCGATTCGCATCTGGCGCAAAGTCTCGATGGTCTTTGGCTGGATCCCGTCGGCGCGTCCCGTTGAAGTGCGGTCGGGTCGGTCGTCGATGATGCGGGCTTTGATACCATATCGTACCAGGTTGTCACTGTTGGTGTCAGATTGCTCTTTCTACTCGGCATGACATGACATACGCAAGCATCAGACCAGCTGGTCCGGCGCCGACTACCATGACATCGCTCATGAAGCTGGAGTAGTCATCGTTCTTGGTGTACGAGAACTGCGACGCGACCTCCAAGCTACTTCCCGATGAACGGGACTCGGCGTCTGGGATTGCAATACCGGGTGCCATCTTCTGTCTTACCGATGACGGCGGGCTGTTGGACGTTGAACGCTTCATGAGGTTCCATAACGAAGGAGCCATGCTATAAAGTCAATTGTTGTCAGGGACGGCCAGCCACTAGGAGCAAAGATGGGGGTCCGCAGGTACGTGGGAAGGATGGAGGGGCACCGTCCGATTGTCTGTCGAGCATGCGTCCATTTTCAACCCATTGAAGAATGCCATGGCGTCTGGGAAAGTGCGTCAACGTGCTGCTGCATGCGAAAATGTTTTCGGTGATGGGGTGATGCGACGCAAGGGGTCGCAAGAGACGCATGCACTCCGCCGTGAACGCGTTCAGTCCAGCGGGTGGGAAGTGCGCTCCCGTCCACCTCGGCATCCCTGCATCGTTCCCCCCACCGTTGACCAGCAATACGGTGCGCCTCCGAGGAGTATCAGAAGCCGATGGGTCTGCAGATGCCGCTATCTATACCATGTCGACGTCGTGTACCTGTTTTAGGCTCGCGGGCGCTGTTGATGTGTGCATGATTGATTTCCAGACCTTCAGAGCTGTCTTCCAGCATCACATCTACAGTCAACATGACGACTTCTGAGATGCCGCAATGGTTGCAGACAGTCACGAAGAAGCGAATAACACGGGACGATGCCATCCAGAGATTCACGAATGCTCAGGCAACGCCAACCGAGGTACAATGCGCCTGAGTGCAACAAAGTCACACATTAACAACGCCAGCAACCCCACGGAAACCACGAACCCCGAAGCGATCAAACTTTGACGGCCATCGATGATGCCCAAATCATTCCAAAGGCCATTCTGTCGCGTGCTGTGACGGCATCGCAGCTGCTTTCTGCCTACATCAACCGGTGAGGTCCGCGGCTTGCTCAGCTATCATACCATTCTCACGCCACATCTTCCAGCGCTATAGACGCCCACCAACGAGTACGGCGCCCCACTCCTATCCCAAGCTTCGAACTTTAGTCCCTGAACGTCGCTAACATCTACCCAAGACGAATTGGCACGTGCACAATCGTAGCCCTACCCGCACCACGGAGCAATTGCTGACTTGCGCAGCCTTACCGAGATTCTCTTCGACGATGCGATTCAGCAGGCAAAAGCACTGGACAGCTACTTTCGCGAAACCGGTCAGCTTCTGGGACCCCTCCACGGGGTACCCATGACGCTTAAGGACCAGTTTGATGTCAAGGGCTACGACAGCACTCTAGGCTATGTTGGGCGCGCTTTCAAGCCGGCCCAACAAGATTGCGTGCTGGTATCTTTGTTGAAGGAGATGGGCGCAATCATTGTTGCAAAGTCCAATCTGCCACAGAGTATAATGGTATGTCATGCCACAATTTCCATGTATGAATGGTAGTTGGACGCTGAAGCTTTCTAGTGGTGTGAAACCGACAATCCCTTGTGGGGCCTCACCGTTCATCCGAAGAACCCCGACTTTACGTCTGGTGGGTCAACTGGCGGAGAGGCTGCGCTTTTGTCGCTCCAAGGCACTGTGATCGGTTGGGGTACGGATATTGGAGGCAGCGTGCGGATACCTTCTCACATGAATGGCCTGTACGCACTGAAGCCTAGTAGCACACGCCTACCGTACCAAGGAGTATCCGTGTCGACCGATGGTCAAGAGCATGTTCCATCCGTAATTGGCCCAATGACACGGAACATGAACTCGCTAACGGCAGTCACCAAAGCTGTCATTGATGCAACTCCTTGGGAACAAGATCCAAAGTGCTGCCCAGTGCCGTGGCGGTCAGAAGCCTATGAAGGTGCGCGTTTGAAACCACTGGTGGTCGCTATCATGCGTGATGATGGGGTTGTGAAATGCCATCCACCTATTGCCCGCGTACTAACCGAAGTCGCCATGAAGCTTGAGAAAGCTGGACATGAAGTGATCGAGTGGGCTCCAGGTAGCCTTCATCAAGAGTGTATTGACATCATGGTAAATATCAAGACAAATCATTCACTTCCAAGCTGACCAGATTCAGGATCAGTACTACACTGCAGACGGTGGCGAGGACATTCGACGAGACGTTGCCGCTGGCGGAGAACCATTCATTCCGCATGTAGAAGCTCTTGTCAACAAAGGCAAGGCGATCTCGGTTTATGATTATTGGCAGTTGAACAAAATGAAGCTTGCATTGCAGAAGCGCTACCTCGATCTCTGGAACTCAACAAAGTCTGCCAATTCTGGCAAACCAATCGACGTCCTTCTTACACCTGTCATGCCTCATTCTGCCGTCCCTCATCGAAAATGCAAGTGGGTCGGATATACAAAGGTGTTCAACTTCATCGACTATCCGGCTGTCGTCCTGCCTGCTGGTCAAGTTTCGAAAACCCTTGATGGAGAAGCTGCGAAGAGGATGAGCGAATATGAGCCAAGGAATGCACTGGACGACTGGAATTGGCAGACGTTTGATTTGGATGGCATGGATGGTATGCCGATAGGTGTGCAGGTCGTAGCTCGAAGACTGCAGGAGGAGAAGGCTCTGGGCGCGGCTTCAGCCATCGATGATATACTGAAGAAGCAGGACTAGGCCCGTTCCTGTAATATCCCATGGAATTTCGGGTATGCAGTCTTCTGAACATCACGTGCCATCTGCCTGTTCACTATTGCAGTTGTTTTCGCCGTCCAAATGACTTGACGTATCCCAATCTGCATAACAGCTTAGGTCCAAATGTTGGAAGCATTGAACAGAATTCTGAAGAATGGGCTGATGCGCACGTGTGCACGCGAACACGCGTTGATAAGACCCTCAGCAGCCGTCGGCAGGTACGATGAATCATAAGATCCCCCCACCTTCCATTTGAGCAATCAGCTTCATCAAGTGGGTTACCCTGCATCAACAATCCCGAAAATAAGCGGGGTAGCTACACGTGCTATCATGAGCTATGCGACTGTCGTTCTTGCTGCGCGTTTGGGCCGAACCTTACATCGACTCTTTCTACCTATACAACTGCGTTATCTTCCACCAGGCTGCGGCATTGTTGAATCTTGAACGTTAAGCACCATGGGAAAGAAGAAGGTTCTCGTCAGCTATGGTGTTGACATTGACGTAAGACATCCTGTACGTAGTGAGCATGAGCGTGGTCACTGACTGGGCGATTCACAGGCTGTTGCTGGTTGGCTCGGTTCGTACGGGGGTGAAGACTCTACGAGCGATATCAGCAGAGGCTAGTATCCCGTCTGAGACAAGAATTTTGACAGTAGCTTACAGAGCACAGGTCTCTGGGCTGGGACGATAGGAACCCAACGCCTGCTGAAGCTCTTCGACAAGTACGGGATCAAAGCAACATGGTTCATCGTAAATTCCACATTCCCACGAAACCGATGTGTCTCGCTAACGTTCTACAGCCAGGTCACTCTCTTGATACCTTTCCCGAAGACTGCGCCGCCGTGCGGGATGCGGGCCACGAAATCGGGCTCCACGGTTACTCACATGAAAACCCTGCCGACATGACCTTCGAGCAACAGCGCGACGTTCTCGATAAGACCTACAAGCAACTCACTGCTTTCTGTCATGGCAAACCTCCACGCGGTTCTGTAGCTCCATGGTGGGAAACTTCCAAGGAAGGCACGGAGCTTCTCCTCAGCTACGGCATCGAATACGATCACTCCATGTCGCACGAAGACCACCGCTGCTATTGGTTGCGTACGGGCGATGAGTGGACCAAAATAGATTACAGCAAAAAAGCAGTAGACTGGATGAAGCCCCTTACCAAGGGGCAAGAGACTGGACTGGTGGAGATACCGGGGAGCTGGTATATCGACGATTTGCCGCCGATGATGTTCATGAAGAAGAGTGCAAACAGCCACGGATGGGTAAATCCAAGGGACGTGGAGCAAATATGGATGGACCACTTCGACTACTTTTATCGCGAGTACGACGAGTTCGTCTTTCCCATGACAATTCATCCCGATGTTAGTGGAAGGCCACATGTCGTGCTTATGCATGAGAGGTATGTTCAGTGAGGAGTCGTATCATTGACAAGGGCGCTGACAAGGGTTACAGGATTATCGAGCATATCAACAAACATGAGGGTGTCGAGTGGGTGACAATGGAACAGATGGCGGACGACTTTAAGAAGAACAACAAGGTGCCGGAGAACGCGATGATGCCGTCACCGCGTGGTGAGATTCTCAAGCTACAGAAGGAGGGGAAGGCATATTCACTGCTTGATTACGATGGTCCAATGCCCCAATAGCGATGATAGAGAAGCCAATGAGTTGCGAATGTCACTAGTCTTTCTGTCATTGTCTGCGTTGGTGTGACCACTGTCTACGTTCCCGCCTGCCTATCTCGGAATGATCGGAACACATATCGGAAGCTCAAGCTCGGAGCTATGGCCACCGCGTCACTGCTACTGCATACCCCTCACGCCAGCCACGTTCTATCCATCTACCATCATCTTTTCCCCCACTCTTGCACAAGTGCATCAATGCCCGTCCGTAGACGCAATCACACTTGCGTACCCACCAATCGAGTGTTCCCCCATTCTGGTCCTAAACCACACCATGTCCTCGGGATGCCAGACTAGCCCGATAAGCGCCAATGCCATGGCGTCGCGCATCGGTCCAGTAATCATCAGCTAGCCAGCTGTCACGCGTATGGGTCGCGATAGGTGGGCGAAGATGGTGGTACGTGATGCCATTCAAGTAGTGACTGTGTACTTGAAATGTTTACACTGTTGATGGACGACAAACCGCTACACTAGCATTTGCTTTTTTCTCTCCGTCATTAACTGTGAGGTTTGCTTTCTTTCTCAGACAGCATCATACTCGTGACATCATGACCGGCGTTAAACCTGAGGTTATTCAGAAGCAACATAGGGATGAGTCCAGTAGGCTCGATGTAATCTCTTCCTCCCGAATTTCTCGTGCTTCGACTAATGCTCATTGATAGGTCATCATTGTTGGCGCCGGCTTAGGTGGTCTTGGGGCTGCCATATCAATTCTCCTCGCCGGTCACAACGTTCACATCCTCGAATCTACCCCCGAGATAGGCGAAATCGGCGCTGGGATCCAATGTTTACCCAACTCCTCGCGCGTCCTCATATCTTGGGGTCTAGAAGAATACCTCTCGAAACATGCTACTTCGCCACGGCTGTGCAACATGATCGGCTGGAAGGGCAACAAGATAAGCGATATGGATTTCCATGAATATGAAAAGGAGTGTGGTACACCCTTCTGGGATTTCCATAGAGCAAATCTGCACATGGGGCTACTGGAGCGGGCTGTGGAGCTTGGTGCTAAGCTCACTACAAAAGCGCGAGTGGTAGACATCGAATATGAAGATGATGTTAGCGGCAACGCTGCGAGTGCCATCGCCATTTGCCAGGACGGGACAAGATACAAGGCCGACTTGGTAGTCGGTGCCGATGGCATCAACTCCAAGTGTAGGGAGATATTACTAGGCCATGAAGACCCACCCCTGCTCACTGGCGATCTGGCTTACCGATTGTTACTCAATACAGAAGATATGTTGAAGGACCCTGACCTCAGGGGCTTCGTAGAAGACCCGCAGGTCAACTACTGGATAGGTCCAGATGCACACGCTGTCAACTACGTCCTCCGTGGTGGCAAGCTGTTCAACATGGTGCTATTAGTACCAGACGATATGCCTGCTGGCGCAAATACATTGGCTGGAAATGTTGAAGAAATGCGTGCTCTGTACAAAGACTGGGATCCGCGGATCCCAAAGTTGCTGGCACTTTGCCAGTCGGTAGCCAAGTGGCGTTTGATGATCCGACCAGGCCTCGATCCCACATGGTCTCACGAAACTGGAGCATACACAATACTCGGCGACGCTGCGCATGCCACTCTCCCATATCTTGCGTCAGGTGCTGGCATGTCGTTGGAAGACGGACACGTCCTCGGTCTATGTCTAGGCAGGATAAGGAGCAAATCTACGGCCGAAAAGAAGCGTGCATTAGCGGTCTATGAGCGCTGTCGTCGTGAGCGCACAGAGCGCGTCGTTTCACGTGGTAATCGTCAACAGTACCTCTACCACGTCCACGACGGTCCTGTGCAGCAAGATCGTGATCGCATGCTTCGCGCTTTTGGTGAATATAATGGCAAGGGGAGGGTGACCCAAGAGCAGTACGAGGAGAAGGGACTGAACGTGGGCGACGATCCTTTAGCATGGAGATGGGGTGGTGTCGGAAGCTGGCTCATTACATATGTCTGTGAAGAGGATGTTGAGGTTCGGTGGAGGGAGTATGAAAACGAGAGGAGAACCGAAGCTCGAGGAAGCGGTGAGTTAAGGGCTGTATTGTAGAGTATTCTGAAAATGAATGGGTTGCTCGAAGCCTCCAGCTTCGCAGACGGAGTTGCATAACCAAACGACGCAAGCTAATTCAGTTGCATACCTCACACTGTGCTTCAGTGACTACGGCGACGTGCCAATGGCTCATCAACCACAAGTCTAGCACAAGATCTCAAGACCACTTGCCATATCTCGTTTCGAAGAAACATGCGCAATACTAGCTGGCGCCACTGACGACAGGGTATTGCATGAGCTTGCAGGCATCAGCGCCACCACATCGCCATGCACAGCCGCAGGCACTAAAATCGTCCAGGTAAGAAGAAGGCAGATACACCACGTCAGTCTCCAGGTGAAATCATTTACATGGCATCAAGTGACCTACGTGTCAGGCTTCTCATCCCGCCCTGAAAACGACGTGGCGGTTCAGCAGTGGTAAACATGCACAAGGCTGACCCATCTACCTCCGCCTCGTCTGAAGTGGGGTGCTCAGTTGACGCCGTCGATATGCAGCAAGAGAAAAGCAGTACTTCGCAGCAACTCATCGTTGCCCAAACAGTGAGGCGGTCGAGCAACTGCTATGAAGACTGATGCCCAACGTGGTTGGTATAACATGATGCACGGTGCCGGCAGCTTTCTGGTTCATGTTAGCTCCCGTTCACTATGTTGTGCCCTGTGGGGCACAGTCTCTAAGTACGAGCTGCTGTTGTACCGCCACAACATATCGAATCCGATCCCCGCTCAGCCACGACTACCCGCTCGCCGAGGGCAGCCCTACCCGCCATAGGCATCACAGACGTTACCCTCGCCAGCTGCGCGATTAGCCCTGCTTAGTAACCGGTAGTTGCGCGATGAAACGGGTAGCTGAAGTCGCCCCAGATGCCTGGCGGAACCGGATGCGCTCTCCCCGCCTGTGCGACATTGTTACAAAGGACTAGAGTAGGCAGACGATCTAGGTTGATCCCAGGCGGTCTTCAAGACAATCCGATCCGATTCTGGCACCATGGACTCGCCAACACATAGCCCACGCCGAGACAAGACAGGATTCGTTCCCGAGGCCTCCCTCTCGAGTTTTGTATGCCGCCTTCGGCGCTATCTGCCCTTTTCGAGGACTTGGGATTCGTCCACGTATTATCAGGACCGGTGAGCCAGAAGGCAACTAGTCGTCAGCACATCGTGGTAACGAGGCAACCAATACAGCCCAATTATGAGTGGATAGCATCCAGCGAGATAGCGACATCGCACCACTGCTCTCGCCTCAGAATACGTCTGGTTATGCGTTGTCCACACGAGGCACATATGATGAGTTGTCGGGGTTCTAGGTCACTCTTCGATTGCGGCGGCCGTCGAGCGTCTAATAGCAACGAGCTTTTTGGTCCTTATTCACCTGGTCAAAAAGCACTGATTGATCGACTTCTAATCTTCAGATGGACTTGCAATCGCACGCTTCATTTTGTGCACCCTAGTATCCTATCGATCCTAGACAGGTTGTCAGACGCGATTTAGGCCTACGATGCAAACATGATGCCAGTACAGAATACTCGATCGTACAGGACCACATATGGCTTTGACGATATGGTGAGTAGAATGATAGAGATCTCATCAAAATGTGGTGCAGAATATTGGCGTTGTTTGCTGAGCTGACTCTGTAGCAGAGCGATTCAAATGATCCGAATGACGAGACGTACCTCGCCTCACACACCGCTGACGAGCGCACACTTGCGTGGGCCTACCAATCAGACTCATTGCCATCAGAAGAGATCGCTGCCTACATCTGGCCGCCTTCAGTCTATGAAGCAGCACAGAATGTCCACCTAGCGTCTCTGCCACCAAGGTATCCTCACCTTCCTATCGATCATCGCACGATGTCTGTAGGGGAGTCCTGGCAGCCATCGCTTGCGGCAACCTCCTGTTATTCAGACCGGAGGCGGTATCTCGAGCAGCAGCAGGTGAACAGCATGAACGGACCGGACGGCAGATATCTTTCAACATGGAACTCTACGGATTTGGATCCAGACTCAACGACAGGGAACCTAACACCTCCAGCTTCTGATACCGCCAACGATAAGGAGGATAATAGCTCAAACATAGCCAAGTGGGTAGGCCAAAAGACTTCATTCATCAACATTGCTGACCTACGTGAAGTGACAAGTCGAGTCTGCGCTGTTCTATCTGCGTGGATAAGCCGCCATTCACTGGTCAATACGCACAGAGAAACCTGAATCGTCATATGGCCAGACACGAACCCTGCCTGGGACAGAGAAGCAACAGACATATCCGTTGCGAACAACCAGGATGCACATCGACATTTGGGCGTGAAGACGCACTGCTCGTCCACCTCCGGCGAAGCCATCCGGAGCTGAATACCCCACCGGCAAGGAAGCGGAAAAGGTGATGCCAGATCTTGGATGCAGCTTGCATCTGTTTCGGAATTCCGGATATCGTTGCTAAAGAGCCTTTTTGCGGGTTGATGAGTTGCGTGCTCAGGCGTTTCTTTGGTGTTCGGTCTTCGCTTCATGTACAAGAAAAGGCAAAAGATTTGCGTGCTCTTAGGCCTTGCACGCTGATTGATCACTTGTACTACTACTCTGTAATCCCATGATGTCAAAACAAAGTTAGCGTAACGTTGCCTCTCGATCATCAATTGCTGGTACGACGAGCTCACTCCATACTATCTAAAGCACCTACTATTATAGGCTAACCTATCGAATGATTGATCATAGCTGCATCGAAGCTACGTGCTAACGACCCGGGGCTCAATCACCCGAAGAGCCCTAGGTAATGTCGTCTATTCGACAGAAGATGTATTGGTTCCCGATTCCAATAGTGGAAGTCTTCTTCTTCCGGTGCGACAGGCTGGTCTAGGCAGGCCTCAATGTCAGTGCGACGAAAAATGCCTATCGCAGCACAGCATGTGCAAGGTTCCGGATCGACCTGCGAGGGTGATCTGAGTAGCTTCTAGCTGCTGTTGCATTGGAGTCTACTAGCTTCCTCTTAAGGGTTTTGCGCGCAAGTCACCACGGTTGATCAGATCTGTTCATGCATCTGCTGCCGACGGTGGCGGGGGCCAGCGGCGGGCGATTCGCCACCAAATCCTCCAAGCGCATTGACTACCTTAGCAACATGGTCGATGAGCACTGCTGGCTTGCAAGTCGATTCTCAGTCGTCGGGATATGTAGTCCCGGATCTCATAGCAAACACTGTAGTATATGCCCTCCAACAGAGGCAGATGTGTATATCTAATATGCTCATGTGCACACCGCTTCTTCTTATGTGGCGTCCTTCTAGAACTTGTCCCGATGCAATGCATTGCAGACTGTCGACGACGAGTATGGTTGCTCTTTTGAGGGGTATAAGAGACTTAGGAGGTACCAAGAGTAATATAGTCGATTTACCGCTGCCAATATATCAGAAGCCCCTGTCGCTGCCGATCTCAGCCAATACTTACAAGCCATCCATGCGCGTATTGCACCATGTAACGGGAACCTTGTCCACGATGGTACTGCGTTTTGGAGCATATTCACATAGATGTGAGCCAACGCATGCCGAAATGGGACAAGAGCCGTAGCCTATTTCACGACCTGAACCTCAGGTGTATGTTGGCTTCCGCTAGCCAGATTTCATTTTTAACGAGTCATGTTGACATGCAGCCATGTTCGTCATCACCATAAAGAAATTTAGGTGTGGGAGAGCGCGAACGGTTTTTCTTTGTTCCGTAGAGCTGGGTCAAGACCATTGCTTTGAAACCAAGTGGTTGGGTACGTGTTCTTGTAGCGGCGATGAATTGAACCACATTATCCAGGAGACCGTTGCTCAGCAGGGTGCCCCTCTGGAGTTGCGTTCTCCAAGCCCTTGCAGCCTGTACATATTGATGTTCATTGGGTAGCGAAGATGGGCGTCTGACTCGAGTTTTGACATCTAGTCACATATTCGTCTTCATACAATCCAGAGTCTTCTCTTTGCTGGTATTGTTCCCCTCGAGATATACTTCATCGTGCGGGAAAAAACTCCCTGCCAATAGGGAAACCGTCGGGCCGGTCGGGTTTATCGGTAAGGTATCGAAGAGCGAGAGAAGTTTCCACTAATAGCCGGCGTTGCGCCGGTCGCGAGCCGTCCCGTCAATCCACTTTGTTTTGCAAGAAAGCGTTCTCGATATCGTGATACATGTGTTCGAACAGGAGATCCCTTGTTAAACTTCCAACGTTGGCGGAGCGCCACGCAGCTTCGTATTCGTCACAAACCCGCTGCAAGTCAGACGCGCAGGAAGCGCAAAACGTGACGGCATGGGTGAACAAGGCTAGAACATATGACTTACTCGCCCGTTTCGTCCGTCATTATGCTTGTTGCTGATACCCGCGATACCGACAGGATAGCTCTGAAGGTCTCTGGAGATTTGTGGGAACTATGCTTTCGATGAGCTGGTGAAGTGACTATCTGAATCCTCAGGCATAGCTGTATCTGCTCGTTGGCTTGAGAAGTCGAGCGCCCTGTAGTCCTCGGCGATGTTAGTGCGCATTGACCTTCAATGACGGGAAGGTGCCGGACGAGTGTGTGGGCGACCAGGTGTGCACATGGCATCACTGTATCCCAGCAGGAAGTGGCCGTATCTGCACGTCTTAGGACATTTGCCTGCTTCCTGGGGTGGTCTTCGAAAGAGGCGTACCATCGCGGCAGCCGCAGCCGCGCGCACACTGTAATTTTGAAGTACACCTTAGGCGGCAAAGGCCATGGCATAGAGGCCAACGACGCTTCTCATGCGCTGTGCCACATCCGGTGCCGCTCTGGCATAGCTGATTGGCGTGAAAACCAGCTAAGAAGTGTCGCACAATCCCTCGCCCTTTAAGCTGAGACGCAGCTATGTTGACAGGGCAGATCAGCGTTCCGGTTTGACAGACAAATACACGGTGAGGCGCGATATGCCCTGGTGTTGACCTTTCCGGACTGCTCGTGCAACAGGCTGTCGTGTCTCAGCCGAGGGTCCTCCAACGTCTGCAGCGTGTCTTCTAAACCACTCGTTACTAAGTACGTATAGCAGGATAAACACTGTGCGTATCCTGGGTCACTCGAGAATTCATTCTTATGGTGGTCATTCCTCTTTGCATCTCATAGACGCGGACCTGTAAGCCGTTTTCAATATATTGATCTTTCGCCGAAGAGTGGGAAACTGACAAAGACATAGCGCACGCAGGTGCTTCGCTTGACTTGACAGTTGGCTTAGCGACCACTAAACCAGCTTCGCGTCATCTTATGGGAGCCATCAGAATCATATTGTCGAAGAGGTTGTTCTGCTTTGTACGTCTGTACGGGCAAAGTCTTCTCAGATAATTTCCAAGACGGTCTCGGGTAACCTTGGCTTCATGGCGTACGATCAGACACAGAGGCGCGACGAGGTGCCTTGGTCACAAGAAGACAGAGAGTATAGGAGAAGAGCACCGTTCGCATCAGCAGTTGTTTGCGATAGTGGAGCGGAACAGGCAGGGAGGATAACTTCTCCTGGATCTGGATCTGAAGAGTACATTCAGCAGAGCTGGTCGTCAGTACCCACGTATGTCCAGCCTCACGAGGCCTACTACCACAACAGCAGCTACCAACAACCTCTCTTGCCAGGACACAACAGCGCATACCAATATCGTACTAGCACAGTAGCTGTCCCGCAGAATGGTCCAGTGCCAACATTTGGTTGTCCAACGCCGCAGCCCTATGCAAATTCGTATCAGTACGTGCATGCCACACGATGAATGTCAGGCATCCGCTGACCAGGTGACAGATACGAAAGTACTTATTCAGCAGCCAGTTACCCAATAGATCCGGGGTACACTACCGTAGGACCGGCGCATGTGTCCCTATCGCCTTCGTCCCCTACGCCAAGCTAGTATGTGGTACTCTCGAGACTTGCTGGCTGGTGCTGATGTTGGCGTAAAGCCAAAGCCCGCAATATTCTTATGCTGCTCCAACGACGAACGTCTCCGCATCACCTCCAGACGTCAGATACTCCATGCCACTGGTCCAGTCACTAGAGACATCTCCGATCGATGGCGAGTATAGCGTACCCTGTCCGTATCGCTGTGGCACTGTCTTAACAGGTGTACACGCATTAGGAAATCTAACGCGTCACCTCAAGACTCAGGCTTGTGCAGGATCCAGTCGGGCCAAAGTTCGATATCCATGCCCCATTGAAGGTTGTGAAAGGCAATATGCTCGATCAGATGGGCTAAGAGTCCATATGCGCAGACGACACGGTGCGCCTCCTCCCGTACCACGAACCGATGGCATCGTGGATGATGACGAACAATAGGCGAGCTGTGGTAGCAACCATCCCTATCGCGGGTCAAAGCGGGCCGGTAGAACCGGCCCCGAGCAAGGACGAATTGTTTGGTATGCTCTGAGTTTCTCGTCGATTGGCTCTCTCTTTCACGTCTCTTTCAATCTTTTTCTATATCTCTTTTGTTCGATGGCAATACCTTAGAGTGGCATTTCTCGAGTAGACATCGACATTCGTGTTGAGAAGAGTGATCTTTCTAGGTCGGTACTCGGCAGAGGGGCCGTGTCGTTAGCTGCGTTTTCAGACGTGAACCCGGCGGAATGCGTTTAGATCTGACGTTGCTTGTTCGTGAGAGTCGTAGGAACAGGGATAGAACACAGAAGAAGCGAGCCGTTCGTCGTCATTGAGTGCTGCCCAGTAATACGGCGATATGAAGATGGTCTAAAAAGCAAGTTCACACGATGACTGAGGTCGGTGGCAGGCGCTGGTGCCGACGAGTCAGGATCACCTGGTCGTCTTGGGCAAGAGCGGTTAGTCCACCAGTCGCGCTCCATAGTGAACTCGGTTTCAGCTGCACCCTAACGCGTTCGGGGCAGAATGTCACCAGGCATTGTTTGAGGCAAAACCCCGGAGTGATCCGTGGTTCGTCAGTTCTTGCATCTCATCTGTGTAGCTTAGTGATGCACAAAGAAAGAGAAAGAGCATGTTGCTGAGTTGAACAGCCTCCTCGACTGCAACTTTTATAGAAAAGATGATGAAAAGTGTATTGCTTCCTTCTGAACGGAAGGTAGCTGTTTGATGTCAAGACAATGCATGCTAACGCATCGAGTGTATTCGCAACCTTAGTATGTGCATCTCGTCGTAAGATATTACTGGCTCTTCCTGTCACGTGTACTGCGGAGTACCAATAGCTGTCTTTTGCTACCAGAATGTTCAAGGATGGTGAATTTCCCGAAACCAACACTCGTCAGCCACGTCGTCGCGTGCCCGTGATCCAAGTTTCCCAAATGCCGAAAGACGACAGAGCTAGTTGCGAGCTCCTCAGAACCGAGCTTGTATGTAACGATGTTGATATTTGTCATTACTATTCTGTGTGGGTATTCTGACCACAACATATGCGTTATAGACATTAGTCCTGCGACTCCAAGGTATGTGATAGAAAAGTAAATGCGACCGCGGCAGTGGTATAGCGTAAATGCCCAGAATCAAATTGAGACCCGATGTGCGCCAAGAAACAAAGCAAGCGAAAGAGATGCTACATCTGGTAGCCGGAATTAGTCCAAAACGGTTGACAAAAGGAACTGATGCTTCAGAGACTGGTAACTCGTGCGCCGGCTGGGGGCGCTGAGACTCGGTGTGGCCTTAGATTTATGACTGACTCCAATTCTCGCAGCATGTTGGTATTCGACTCTCGCTGTTCACGTAACGAGGCTTGACGAGCGCGGTCGTCTTGGATCTTCTGCATGCGCTCTTCTCTCGACATTGTGGCTCGTGTCTTTGGAAGGGCAATAGCTTCGAAAACTTCGTCGTCGGACGTGCTGCCCTGGTCGCTCGATGGAGCGCTCTGGTGGGGACTCAGCAGGTCGCCATTAAGAGCGCGCAGAGCATCAGACGGACTGCCTTCATCTACAGCAGTCAAACCGCCTAGACTTGGAACAGGCGAGCGCAGGCCGCTGGATGCTTGGGAGATTCTGCGCTCGTGCCGATCGATATTCAAGGCGAGCGCATTCTTGCCTGCCTCCCAAGCTTGCACCAAACTCTTGAGATCTGCACCGATTGAATCGTATTGTGCGAGGAGGGAGTGACCCAAGTCGGTTACGTCTTCGGTATCTTCCAAGCTCTTGTTGGTCTCTTCGCGGAGTACTTGCATCTTGGCTTGCAGACCGCGAATACCGCTCGACAATCCAGACAACTTGCGCACAGAATTGCGAATCTTGTCTCGAGCAGGAGTTGGTGCGACCTTGGCCGGCGATGGGAGTACGAACTGCTCTTCTTCAGCGAGCACGCGGTTGAACTTCTCGCTCCACTCTCCGACGGGACGAGCCGTATTTAACATGGAGTCGACCACTGTCGACCATCGCGCGAAATCGGGTTTGCCGCCATCTGCCTCCATTGCCAGGAGAGAACAGAGGTATACACGTCGTAGGATTGATAACCGATACTGCAGGATGCGCAGGACTTTTAACGTTTCGGCATCGTCGAATTCAGATTCGCCGTAGCCCAGGGCGGCCTCTTGCATGTCGGGATTGCTGATTTCGTATACGTCGAGATACTTTTCCAAATCATCTTCTTGAATTAGCTGTTTCAGATTACGGCACTGTTCAGCGAGTATGGGAACGATGTCGGCGTATGCAGCTCGGAGGTTCTTGCGCAGCCGCTGGCAGCGACGGGCCTGCCCCTTCTCTTCGATGCGGGAGATGGGAGGCAAGGGACTGCTCCTGCGTGGTGTTAGCATTCGGGCTGCAGAGTTATGGCGGAAGGCAAGGTCACGTACAGGCGATAGCCGCGTGACACAAGCTCCACTTCTTGGATCAAGGCAAGGGCAGATGACGTCGAAGCCTCGAAGGCTTGTAGATTTGTGACCAGGTCCGAGGCGCCCTTTACGGCCTCCTGGCGCAGATACTGCAGCCACTGCCGCCGCATGTACGTGTAGCCGGCGGTAAAGACAGCAGCGAAGACCAGCATCACCAGCAGGGTTCGGCTCTTGCTGAAGACGGGCTGGCGGCGCGACCAGTGCACCAGCCATGCCAGCGCGAAGGCCGTCGTGCCCGTGGCCGCTGCGCCGATGGGGTTTATCCGGGCGACCTTGAACTCGTGAGGGCCGGGGCGTCCGTCGGTCGCGAAGCTGGGAATGGCGGATGCGCGCAGGCCTCCTTGCTCGCCGAGCAGCTGGGAAGCGACGATGAGGTAGCGGAACTGCTCGAGGAAGCGTTCGTTGTCTGCGCGGCCGATGCGGGAGTTGACGGCTTTCTGTGTCTTGTTAACGAGCATATAGGAGACAACCAAGGCGCACACGTACCGAACAGGCCGTGTGGATGCGGGCGATGGAGCCATGGCGGGCGTGGATGCGCAGCGGCTGTGGGAGCCGGTCTCTTATCCTCGACTGCAGCGTCGACGGTCCGCGGGGCGCGAAGCTCTGCGGGAAGTTGGTGGATGTCGATGTCTCGGTGTCGTGGTCGTGGTCATCGTAGGGTGATGGCGCAGTGCCTTGTCCTGGACGGCGGTTAGTGCCCACGGCGCATGGCATCGTCATCGTGCTAGGGGCAGCCCACCTTCAAGCAACTGCGCAAGAGGCGAGTCGTCGGATATCATGTTCTCCATGTCGCTACCGCCGCATGGTGCGATTTTGGCTGTCGTCGTCGGTTCCCGCTCAATCGCTTGTGATGGCTGCGGGTGCTCTAATCCGGAGATGGAAGGTGCCCGTGATATGGAGATGGCGGGGATGGCAGCTGCAGGGGCGGCGGGCGCGTGGTCGGCGTGGGGTCCAATGGTGGCCGTAGGAGACGTGGATGAGGGCGATGCAGGTGTTGTTTGTTGTGGGTAGGGCAAGCAGCTGGCAACGAGGGTTGTAGACACATGTAGTGGTTCGGTTCGGATGGTCAGCTAATAGTAGTACTAAGCTCAGGGTCCCGGGAAATGAGCCAGTAGTCTGTGATTGGCATGAAACATTCATGGGGAACGTTCGCTCGTTTACGGTTTACGCACCGGCAAACACCCCCCCTCAGACATGTTTACCCCTTGTTCCTTGCATATGCGCGCGTAACCTCGAGGCGCAATCGTCGTGGCTGCCGTCTTTACCAGGAAGCTGTGCATGCTCGTCGCTTTGGCCTGTATACCACTGCCTCGGCCGACGACCATCTCAGCCAACTGTGTGTCCACTGCACCCGTCGAGGACGCGCCCCTTCTTGAGCTTCCGGAGCAGCGGCGAGTCAGTCGCATAGCCTCACATATTCTCTGACCATGCCATCCTAGACGCTGGACGGACCAATGTTCCCCATCCCACCTCCGACCCATTCAATCCATACTAGTGGATTACTCGCTGCTCGGCTGATTAGACATGCTCGGCTTCCAACACGTCCGACATGCTGCGACGAGGCTCAGGTGTTGTATATACACCGCAAGGTACGGGTGCCGTCGTAATCGATAACAGTGCCGATGACGTACCTGCAGCATGGCATCTGCAGCGTGGCCGGCTTGCAGATCCCGCAAAAGCAACTCTGTAGTTCCATCTCAATTCTCCGTGCTGAGCTAATCGCGACGCGGGCTTACCAAGCACGACATGGTGACCTTGTACACATTTCGAAAAGAAGGACTGACTGTCGACAACGCTTCGCGGAACAGGACCGCAGGCGACGGAGTAACTACCCTGTATCTACAGCAAGATCCCATCATCTTTCGCCTACTTGCCACCACTTCCCTCATGCTCGGACTTAGCTGCTACAGCCATGAGCATGGGGGTCGTCGCGCCATGGTACTGCTTCGGCGCAACCCGCAGACGCGCATCTAGCTACTTCTGTTTACTTGATCCAGTCTGGTCTATCCGGATAGCTTACACAAGATCCGCTTATGACAGCGGTCAGTCGCGTTTTAACCTCCAGTGTATCCGGGCACTGTGCAAAATTGCTTCGCCTGTGGCGGGTACAGTCACAAGTATGAGCCGCAGCCTTCCAAGCAGGGCCGTCTATCAAACCATGTCTATGTACATGTACTTTGGATGGCTGCCTCATATACTTTATTCATCACGATTACATACGACACACGCACATTGTTTTTTCTTCTCTGGATTCCCACACTTGACATTTCTTTGCCAACATGGATGATAGCATGATACAAAGGTTGATGGAAACTGTCCAACTCATAAACACCAATCTCGATACCTCACCTGCTTCGTGGCGGGACCAACTACCAGCAATCCGCAACACGATAGTTTCTTTCGAAATAACTGATAGCGTCCCGGAAGAAGAGCGCAGGAATTGGCAGTTACCTCTTATTAGCGTCTTCCAGCGTGTAGCCTTCGCCGATGCTGATAACGGTGTTATTCAAGACTTAGCAGATTGGTGCCTGCGTCAGCTAGTGACCTTACTCCAAATATATCCCGACAATGTCGACATTCTGACTCGTAAGTGCCTTTGTATATATATATATACCCATTACCGCTAATCATTATAGTAATCGGTCGAAACTGGTTGCTAAGAGCGCAAAAGGCTCTGTCAAGCATTGCGCGTACAGAGAGAAATTCCTTCAGTAGCGATACAAGCAACTTTAGACTGCTAAGCTCAACAACAAGGGGGTTGGTTGAAGCCGAACAACGACTACACCAAGCAGTCTATATCGAAGCGCGAGGATTACTGTTGCCAGCCACAGACTATCTCCAGCGTGCGGTATACGTAGCAACAGAACAGGGCGTCGTTACTGGACATCTCTTGTCTATGGTGAGTAAAGTTTCGGCCAATAGCTCGTCTTGTTAACCTTGTGTAGGCTGCCGAGGCGTTTATGAGCCTTGGAAACATCACGTCCGTCATGGCGAACGTTCGGTATTTCCAACAAGCAATTGCTTATTTACGAGCCGCAAGAGATACCCCGAACTACTTCCTATCACCGCATCTGGAACAGTAAGGACTTAGTCTACACGATAGAGCAACGGAATAAGCTGACACGCCAAGGTATCTGGACGGGTACGGGCCTCTCTATGACGACGTGTGAGTGGAATTAGTAGAAAGTCTCTAGCTAGCAGGTACACCATAATGGACATGTTCTCGAATCGCGATACCTTGCATGTCGATGCATGTTGGCAGGCGCTCAGAGGGTTGGACAGGATGCTGTCAGGGTCTCGGCACGGACCACAACCCACTTCCGTGCATCCAACACCGTCACCCCATAACGAGAGGTATCACAAGCAGCCAACATAGCGTCACCGCACATCTTGGAGCCTTTCCGGAAGTCCCGCTCTCGTCGCAAACATCTCCGACAGCTGCACATCGGCGCGACGTCACATCCGAGCATCCATCGAGCCGCCCGGACGAAGTAGCAACCGTACGGCCGAATCAAACACCCCGACCCTCGACCGACTACCTCCGCAACAACCAGCGGAACTTGTCAAGTTCCAGGCGCACAACACACAACACTAGATACACAATGGCGGCATCAGCTCTGGACCAGGAGCGACAACTTGCCATCGACCCAATCGTCGGCACCAGCGTCCAGCACAATACCCAGGTACGCCTTTGTCCAAGCCACACCAGTCTTGCGCTGTCCACTAACTCGTTCGTGCTATAGGTTGTCTCCAACATCCGCAGTCTCACTGCATCGCTCTTCGGTGTCGCCGCCGGCACATTAGGCCTCGAGTCGTATGCAGGCTTCATATTCTATCTGCTGGGCTCGCTAGTGGTGTCGGTGCTGCTCTTTGCGCTCAAGACAGATGGCAAGCCAGGCGCATACTTCTATCGGCCACTGGGTGACTTGTGGTTGGGAGATGTGTTTGGAGGGTTGATGGGATTCGTGCTTACTTGGACGTTGTTCTATGGCTTGGTCAGGGCGTGAAATCATGGAGCTGCATACTGCAACTTGAGTTGACCATTAGAATTCGGACATGTGGTAACCACAGATGCTGTGGTCTTGACAACATGGAAGAGCACTAGCCTTCGAAGTTCACAAGCTCTGGGATACTCCGATATCACCGGAGAAGACGCTCTCTGCCATAAGCCAGAAAGTGGGCAATCGCTACTATGCGCAAAGGCAAGGGTGTCAGAAGCCCAGCCAAAGAGAAGACAGCTTTTACGTCTATGAACAAAGTATTACGCACCTATCAAACCGTGACTTCTCCTGCTGCATCCGGCACCACTCAGGCACACAATGTAAGGTCTTGGCGGCACTTTATGCCCTGTGCTGATTTAGCGCGTGGCCGACGCGTTTGCCAACCACTTTCGCGTTCCCCTCCATTGATTGTTGCCTCCACCGCAATTGTCTCTTGCACAACCACGCTTCGTATACCCCCTTTAGCGCCATCGTACTCACTTAATCTTCCTCCACATTCAAAAGTGTGTATTTCCTGCCATGTGTAGCGAACGAAACTAACCATGTACAGTGCTTGAGGCACGCTTAAACCAGGCCAACGTCCTAAAGAAGGTACACTCGCGCAAACAAAGCTCGCCGAAAGCTGTTCTAACGATGAACAGGTCGTCGACGCTATCAAGGACCTCGTGCAGGACTGCAACTTCGATTGCAATGACTCGGGTATCGCGCTCCAAGCCATGGACAACTCCCACGTCGCCCTCGTCTCTATGATGCTCAAGTCCGAAGCCTTTTCGCCCTTCCGCTGCGACCGCAACATCGCCCTCGGTATCAATCTGGGATCCCTCACAAAAGTGCTTCGTGCTGCTGGAAGCGACGATATTCTCACCATCAAGGCCGAGGATGCGCCAGATGTTGTCAACCTGGTCTTCGAGACCAAGAGCGCAGCCAGAATCAGCGAATATGACATTAAGCTCATGGACATCGACCAGGAGCACCTGGGTATTCCAGAGACGGACTACGCGGCCACAATCACCCTGCCTGCTGCTGAGTTCCAGCGCATTTGCAGAGATTTGGGTGCATTGTCCGAGTCGGGTACGTCTTTTGACATTTGCGACGGCGTGGCCGGAAGTCGAAGTGCGAGCTAATGTCTATCTAGTTTCAATCGAGTGCACCAAGGAGGGCGTCAAGTTTGCATGCTCTGGCGACATTGGTTCGGGTTCCGTCATCCTCAAGCAAGACCCTAGCCTCGAAAAGGAGTCTGAGGCTGTCCTGATTGAGATGAACGAGCCCGTCTCTCTTACCTTCTCGCTCAAGTACCTGACCAACTTCTGCAAGGCCAGTGGCCTGTCTGACTCAGTCAAACTTTGCCTTTCCAGTGAGGTGCCTCTGCTGGTCGAGTACGCTCTCCAGGATCAGAGCTACCTGAGGTTCTACCTCGCACCCAAGGTAAGAACCCACTTCTCACTGTTACAGTGCCATGGCTAATTTGGACAGATTGGCGACGAAGAGTAAACGCATCATGATTTCATTGACACACGAGCGGCATGTTTTCAGGATAGATGTGGGGGATTTGCGGCGCAATGGCTTTGATATGCATCGAGCGTCTGTTAGGTTCATGATTCTGGTGTGCGACATTGGCGAGTAGGCGGTCCCGCGTGGTGTTCCGCGCCCTAGGCACAAAAGGAAAGTCACTGCCCCACCAACGCTTCACGTCATACCGCGTGGAATTTCAGATAAGGAAGATCAACATAGTAAATCAACAACATACCCCGCGTGCACTTTTGTACCTGCATTCCACCTCCTCTACCTGCTAATTTCTCTCTCTGGTGTAAACATGGCCTCCGACACGTTAATACCGGACACGCGCGTACTTGCGATTGCCAGTCATGTAAGACTCACAGGCGGAAGGCGTGTCTTGTAGCTAACATGCGACAGGTAGTCCATGGGTGAGTCGCGTGCCGTCGCGATATATGCAACTCACTGACATTGAGCTGAGCTATGTCGGGAATAAAATGGCCACTCTTGTCATGCAATCGCTAGGTTGCGACGTATCCGCAATCAACACTGTGCATTATAGTAGGTGCACCCGGCATCCTTCTTGGACGGGCGCATGGCTAACAACTCAGGCAATCACACGGCATACAAGCAAATCAAAGGCACCAAAACATCCGCGACCGAAATCCTCGACCTTTATGAAGGACTACGTCAATCAAACCTCACCAACTTCGATGTACTCCTGACAGGATACATGCCCAGCGCCGAGGCCGTGCAAGCAATAGGGACGATCGGCAGGGATATCAAGCTCAATGCTGGCACGAAGCCTGGCAGTTTCTTCTGGGGTGAGTGACTGCGCGAGGTGACAGGTACAAGACTAACCAAGATAGTGCTCGATCCTGTCATGGGCGACAATGGCAAGTTGTATATTCCAGAAGATGAGGTGCCAGAGTACAAGGGGCTGTTGCGCGAAGCAGATCTCATTCTCCCGAACCAATTCGAGGCCGAGTAAGTAAATCCCGAAGTCTTGCGGAACCAAGCGTGGCAGTTGTTGATAGAGCATAGGTTACTGTCTGATACGCCCATCACCGATCTCAAGTCCCTTGCCGCTGCGATCCAAGTCCTTCACAAGACCTACCAGGTCCCTCACGTAATCATCACGTCCCTTCGCTTGACGCGCGACAACCAGACTATACCCTCGAGACCAGTGTCAAAGGCTGGCACAGGCACGAATACTCCCTCGGATCCTCAGCATCTCGATTCAGCAACATCCCAACCAGGTTCACAACCCCAAGCGCCGCAGATCGACCTCAACGATGTCGAAAACCTTACCATCATTGGCTCCACCGCAACCTCGGACTACAAACCGCGTCTCTTCCGCATCGACACCCCGCAACTACCTCTCTTCTTCTCAGGGACAGGAGACATGTTCGCAGCGCTGACAATTCCCCGTCTGATTGAAGCTGTACACGCTGCTTCTACGCCTGAGTTCAATCTTCATGCGAAATCAAGCTGGCGGTCACCCGACCATGTGTCGGCTGAGGAACTTCCTTTGGCGAAAGCCTGCCAGAAAGTTCTCGCGTCTATGCAAGCCATACTCACGCGCACAACGTCGGTCTGCCAGGAGAAGATGGCTGCATATGATGCTCGCGCTGCAAAAGAGGGCCGTGGTGAAGGGGACGAGGCGGATGAAGAGATTAGCAAGAAGCGTCATTTGGCGCTCATGAATGCTAGTGAAGTCACAGTGCCGCGGTACGTGAAGGAGATGTTGGATCCGCCGGATCTTGAAAGGTTCAGACCACGGACAGTGTACGAGGGCGAAAGTGTGCCTGACCATGTTGGCGAGAGGACGCCTGACGAGTTGAATGTGCTGCATTTGGGTGTTGGAACGAAGGACGGTGGTGCGATGCAGGTACTACAGGAAGGCAATCAGGGCAAAGCTGTCAGGGAGGACGAGAGTTCATGATATTTGATTGCATAGCCGTTTCGCGTTAAGCTTCGTTGGCCGAACTATCGGTCGCTCCTTGATTCGATGATCAAATAGAGACTGGAACCAAGTTAGATAACAAAGCATCCATCTTCTTGCCACGATCAGCACGGTGGCTCACCAGCATGCCCTAGATCATAGACATATGCAGACCTAAGCCTTGGTACCATCTGTTGCTGCAGCAGCAGCCGCACCAAAGCCACCTGTGCTGCCGAAGCCTCCAGCACCCCTCACTGTATCCTCTAGTTGATCGACCACAACTACGTCGGGCATGACAACCCGCTCGACTATAAGTTGGGCGATTCGGTCACCAATCTTGACAGGAAAGTCTGTCTCTGAGAGATTGGCGAGGATGACACCAACGGGGCCGCGGTAGTCTGCGTCGATAACGCCGGCCATGGTATCAATGCCGTGTTTGTAGGCAAGGCCGGAGCGAGGTGCTACTCTGCCGTCTGTACAAGAGATCAATCAGCATCGTGCTTCTAGATTGCCCACAAACTGCGAGACTGGAGAGTGGATGTTTGAATATAGGAACACGTACATGTCCCGTCCGGCACCGAGATCTTAATATCAGTCTTTACTAGAGCCCTTCCCCGTGCAGGAATCATAGTGTCCTCTGCACTGTACAAGTCATGTCCAGCAGCAAATGCGCTTCCCTTGGTCGGCGCCTTGGCATTTGGGCTCAGCAATTGGACTTGCAATTGTTGTTCTGCCGCTGCTGCTCCAGCTGATGAGGGTGCGGCGATAGGCGCTGAGGGTTGTAGTGCTGCCATGTTGTCGTGGCTGGGGAGATGTGTAGCCGCCAAGGGTGTGGGTGTTGCGGCGCCCGAATCTGTTCCTCGTGGTAGAGTGGAGGCGTGGGAGAGAGGTGTGGGGTCAATGACTTTTGTTCGCTTTGGGAGGGGTGATGAGGGCAGAGATGGCGGCTCGTGGACTGGAACGGGGGTTTCTGACATTTTCTTCCTGGACGTCAATCTGAGGTTGTTTGGAGGGGCGGTGAAGGTGGTGAAAGACGCGTTCGGTGGGGAACAGACGACGCGTTGACATGCGCTTTCATTGGCTGGTTGGCGAGGACTGCTTTCCACTTTCCACGTCTCTTGCCTCTTGTCTCTTGTTCATTCTGTGGCAGTACCTCGATGCACCATTTCGCAACCATCTGGCTACCATGCGACGGGAGTCAACGTTGCTCCGTCGGCCATCGTCATTGCTGCCACCCCGCGAAGGAGAGTGCTAGTCGAAGCCCAGACGTTGCGCGCCTTGAATATGCGCGTCGGAGCAGAACTCGTCATCTTCTTTGCAAGCGAGCGAAGTATTCCCATGGTACCTTTTGGTGCTGCGTGCGCAATGCATTTCAGCTGATGTCGTGTCCCTCGTGACCTCACAGCCACTCGTGGGAGGACTGTGCCAAGGGGAGAGGTGGCTAACGTCGATCCCCCGCATTGAACACAACGGCATCGATGAATCCCAGACGTTGTCGTCATGTCTCACATGGTTATGTGGAGGTGCCCAGGGGCTTGCAGATTTACAATTCTTGGTTGAGGAGATGCGACCAGATCGACTGAGCACACTATGGCAGGGTGTGAAGACGTCCGTCCACAACTAGAGTGACGGCTTGCGAGTCAGACACTCCGATCCGACACTGTCGGGCGAAGTGTTGGTCAATCACACGGCGACACCGTGACTTCGCCAAGCTGCCTTGGCCTCGGAGCTTGAACAGCGATCTTGGGAGCTTGACATGACCTGCGACTTTGGCTCCGACTCGTCATGTCTGCAAACTCCCCTTCATCACGGCCGTGCACATCACGAGACTGCTAATAATTGAGTCTCGTGATCATCTTGAAACTGCTGCTCCATGGGGAAGATTGCCGGGAGGAGGCGGCGGCTCCGACATTACCAGTGCCCCATACAGCGCTACTGGTCAGACACAGTCTCCAGGTATTTCGGGGTGACCTTGACCTGGCTCCAGTCCACATGACCAGCCGTGCCCTGCTTCAACCTTGGAACCTTAGGGTATTGAATGGACCCCGATTGTTGAGCGGAGTGGCTGACAGACTCCGTGCATACAGAGTACGAGATTTTCGCCTCCAGATGCATTGTGCAGCTAATCATCACCGCATCGTCAGTCCGGCACTGGTTAGTTTAAGAAAATCCTCCCGATAGTTCGACCAAGCGCTGGGTGCATGGTTCGAGGCTACTGTAACCGGCTCATATGGTTGGCCGAGATCACGCTAGCGTGATCAAGCATGCTTGTTGAGCCTCACGGAGTGCTATGGGAACTAATGTACCCCGTTTACCCTGTCGTTCCTATGCGACTTTGGCGCGGCCCAGAAGCAAAATCCTGCCACGCTACCCTTTCCCCACCTCTCCGATGAGCGCTCCGTTTCTCACAGACCGCTGGCTGGTATCAGCTCGTCGGCCAATGTCAGCAATACCGAGCACCAAAGCAGCGATATTCCAGAATCCTTCCACGACTATACTGCATACAGCTCGATGCCGTCTGTCTAAGCTATCGTCCACGAAAAGGCTTGTCTGAGCTTGGGGAGCCCATCGGTAATTGCAACGGCCAGACACTCACACACCGCAGACGCTCGTTGAAGAGCGATGCGTTGTGATCGTTTGATGATCGAGGGATGACGAACAGCAAGCCCGCATCTCGATCCTACACATTGCTCCACAGTCATGTCTATCAAGCAGTAGCGATAGACGGTGGCTGTCTGCACATGAATGCATTATCCCCGGTATGAGGTCAGTGGTTCACGACATAAACGAACCCGACTTGACAGGTCGCGTTTGCTAAACGCAGCGCTACTGGCCTAGTGCCCTATCAGCAGACTGCCCACACGCCACATCTTCGCCCCAGCACGCGAATTGCGTATCACTGTTGAGCGCGCGTGTCAGAAGACCAGCCGCGTCTGGCACGTCGTCTCTGGGAAACTGACAATACTCACCATCGTGTTCCAGTAACACGGGCATGGAATCGCTGAACAGCCTTGCGCTAGTTGAATCTCGGCTTCCTAGTTTGCCAATCTGGCCAAAATTGGCTCACGATGATTTGAGCGCTTTGATAATCACAGTCCTACGACGTACGAGTGGTCCCCATCTCGTCTGCTCTAGGTCCAGCACTATCCTGGCTAAGACCACACACTAAGCTTCCCCAGCACCTTCGGACCTATTCTTACTAGCTTGTTGGCCAGCCGCGGGACTAGCGCGCTCACTCCATGCTTCCAGTCTCCAGACTAGGCGGCTGCCCATGGAGATCCCCAGGCTCGTGGAAACACATCCCCAAATGTACTTAAAGATGGTCAGCCCGCCGTGAAGTAGCAGACATCCTCATCCGAGTATTCTACTCTCTAGACTTGAGTCTTCCTTCTCCATCGCTTTTACATATTAGATCGTTGCCAATCATGGGTCTGATGTTGAAGAAGCCTCAGGGCGTAGCTGGCTCGACAGCGCCCGCCATCCTGGTCGGCTTGTTTGTTGCCTTCGGTGGTGTTCTGTTCGGGTATGCAAGTTCTATCTCTTACCAAAGGACTATGCTAACTTTTACAGTTATGATACTGGTACCATTGGTGGTATCCTAGGAATGAAGCACTGGCGAGAGCTTTTCAGCACTGGCTTCAAAAACCGTACCGACGGTCTCCCCGATGTCACCGCCGAACAAACCTCGTTGATCGTCTCTATCCTCTCTGCTGGTACCTTCTTCGGTGCTCTGACTGCCGCACCCACTGCCGATTTCCTTGGTCGCCGTCTCGGTCTTGTTGTCAGCAACATCGTCTTCTGTGTCGGTGTCATCCTCCAGACTGCTGCTACCGCTATCCCCATGTTCGTTGCTGGACGTTTCTTCGCTGGTTACGGTGTTGGTATGATCAGTGCCACTATTCCCTTGTACCAATCCGAGACTGCACCCAAGTGGATTCGTGGTACCATCGTCGGTTGCTACCAGCTTGCTATCACCATCGGTCTGTTGCTTGCTGCTATCGTCAATAACTCCACCAAGGACAGGGACGATACCGGCTCGTACCGTATTCCCATCGCTGTTCAATTCGCCTGGGCTATCATTCTCTTCCTTGGTTGCATCTGGCTTCCCGAGACTCCCCGCTGGTTCATCAAGAAGGGTCACCCAGAGAAGGCTGCTAAGTCTCTTTCCACCCTTCGCCGCCTTAATGTCGAGGATCCCGCTCTCGTTGAGGAGTTGGCTGAGATCACTGCCAACCATGAATACGAACTGTCTCTTGGCAAGGCCACCTACCTCGACTGCTTCCGCGGCAACCTGGGAAAGCGTCTCTTCACTGGTTGTGCTCTCCAGTCCCTCCAACAGCTCACTGGTGTCAACTTCATCTTCTACTACGGAACTTCCTTCTTCCAGAACTCCGGAATCAGCAACCCCTTCGTCGTCAGTATGATTACCTCTTGCGTCAACGTTGCCTCAACCTTCCCTGGTCTTTACCTCGTCGAGAAGTGGGGTCGCCGCAACCTTCTCCTTTTCGGTGCCATCGGTATGGCTGTCTGCCAATTCATCGTTGCCATTACCGGTACCGTTGCTGGCGTTGATAACCAGTCTGCACAGAAGGCTTTGATCGCATTCGTCTGCATCTACATTTTCTTCTTCGCCTGCTCATGGGGACCCGTTGCCTGGGTCGTCACTGGTGAGATCTTCCCTCTCAAGGTCCGAGCCAAGTCTCTCTCTATGACTACAGCATCCAACTGGTTGCTCAACTTTGCCATTGGATACGCTACCCCATACATGGTCAATGACGGTCCCGGCAACGCCAACATGGGTGCTAAGGTCTTCTTCGTCTGGGGAGGATGCTGCTTTATTTGCATCTTCTTCGTCTGGGCCATGATCTACGAGACCAAGGGACTTTCTCTCGAGCAAGTCGACGAGCTCTACGGCAAGTGCTCCCAGGCCTGGAAGTCCCCTGGCTTCGTTCCTTCCCTCTCTTTCCAAGATGTCCAGGACATGCACGCCGACAACCGCCGTGCTAGCCTTACCGAGATCGAGGCCGATGCTTCTCGCAAGAGGAGCGCCACCTACAATGAATACCCTGAGAAGCACACTGTTTAAGCGTCTACCACCGAGACGCATTGAATTCACGAAGACTAATGAGAGTCGCTACTACCCCTGTAAATACGCAACTGGCGGTTTGAGTTTCGCATGATAGCGCTGCGCACTGTATATATCCATCGTCCATGAATTATGATCTGTATCACTTCATCCACGTCCATAATTGCTTTCCTCGTGCTCTTACCCTCATTTACTTTCCAATCCACTTCCAATTCTCTCTGACGGAAGGATAATCGGTAACTACTAGTCTAGATCCCGCCACTCAGGCGATCGCTTCCCGCGTCTTGATCCCAACGATCGATGCCCAACCGCCAGAGGCCAACCGGTCATCTTCCGCAACGCCATCGTGTTTCCCCAGGTTTACCCCAACTCTAGCGTCGCGGGTAGCGCCATCGTAGCGGCTGACTCGGATATAGCCACCCGCAACCTTGATTGGCATCGTAACAGACAACGTCTGGTCATGTATTCAATTTGCAGTCGACCTAAGTGGTGGACATATGGATGTTGTGTGATGGAAGAAATTGCCGCACGTCACAAGTCTTTATATCAGCTTAACATCAGCGACTGTCTTGCTTCCAATCTGCGAAGGATTTTGCCGCTCCATCTTCTCGACGTTTGCGATATCATTCGGGGCAAACGGTGATAAGTAACGTCCCCAGCTGCGCGTGGGCTTGTCAAGCTATTCACCCCGAAATCCACATCATATGATCTATCACGACGATTTGCAACGGTCCGACTGTGCTGGGCTTCCATACAAGATGCTTTTTCCAAACAGGAAGTGATACTGGTTGTGTAGGGCCGACCGTAGCGATATTACGCCCTCGTTTGGGTCGCTGGGTTGAGATCAGGCGTGAAAACCATGTACAGAAAGTCAAAGCAGGGAGGCCGCCTGGCCGAGAACGCCTGCGGATGATGTAACCATAGCTGTAAATGACAAGCTCAGTAATCAGGAACGAAAATTTGCTTGTGGATGCGATTATCGTGATGTCGTTGCCAAGTGGCTATTCGTGAAAATCTCAGTCTGTGTCCGGAGAGAGGCGGCCGGTTTTGGAGAGTGGAAAATTGACGCGTAACGCGTCAATATTCTGAACACAGTCCGGCAAACATACTCTACAAGTCAAGAGAATGTCAATGCAAAGAAACGATAGTTTATATCGTTACTTCAATTCTGTACTCCATAGTTCGAGATTTGCTCGAAGGTATGACATGATTCTGTATATGGTGGTAGAGGGTCTTCTGCACCGGGATTTGGTACGTGACGCGTGCCAAGAGACCAAGCGTCACCTCCGCCTCGGTCTTTCCGACCCGAACTTTCGAAAGCCTTCACAGTTTACAACGGTGACCTTCCAAAGCTTGTCGCAACATAGCTCTTGCTCATGATTGTGTTTGACGTTTTCAGTTTGTCTTCCGCAAGAAACTATCGTGCTTCCACATGAAACGCCATCCTCCAATGATATGCCGCCACGCCTTTTGAAACGGGTGTCCTTCTGTGAGCAATCATGGTTTGGGTGATTCCAGAAAGTCGGTGAGGCAAGAGGACACTCACCCCATGGGTGCATAGACAGGGTGGCCACTGCGCAGCTCCAGACTTATTCGCGCGCAAGCAACACGCTCAGTCTCGAGATCATTCACTACTCCCTCACAACACACAGTCTCTTCTTCAATACAAGGACTTGCTAGGCTTTTTTCCATGTCTCCGCAAATGCTGACAGCCTCCATGAGATTAAGCACGTTCGATGCCCTGAACGAGGCATTATACGGCTCCGCATACGGTTTCGGCGAACGTGTACTACCCCTGGAATTGAGATCCCGCACCCCACGATTCTTCCTCAAGCTACCAGTCACCTGCCGATACAAAGACGACAAACTCACTCTTTTGTTTGAGAAAGTTACAAAACCGACCTGGAACGCTCTTTGCGAACATGTCGGAGAAGAACGTACCATCAGAGTCATACTGGATGATGGCACGCAATCATACGACGCAAGGCTTTCATTGCCAGGAAGCGAGCCGCTCGAAGACAAGAGGACAGAGGTGGACCTTCGGTGGCAAGAATATGAAGAAGCGGTATATGTGCTCAAGAAGATCCTTGCGTGGATAAAAGAAAAACTACTGAGACGATAAATCAAGAGGCTTCCTCAACGCTGATTGAAAGAGTGACATCTTATCATCCTCAGATTGCCCGGTTCTCTTGGTTGCTGCCAGCATGCTAACCTGTTATGATGTAATCTCCGATCATATGTTGATCTTCAATATACCTCTGGTATTGATCAAGAATGCCGAGTGCTGAAAGCTTGCGGCAATGGCATGACAAAGACTTATGCCGAAGAGCGGGTTGATATTCAGCACGCCGCCCGCCGTAGAAGATTTCGTCTCGAAAAAAGGAAGAGTTGTCATAACAACGCGACTGGCCTAGAAGCCTGGAAAGATTCGAATCGATTCCAATTCCCGACACGTCAACGGGAACTAGATTAGTGTCGCGCAAACGCCTTCCTTAATCGGGTTTCCACGTGTCCCGGCAGATCGATGATACACATTCTAGGACTCGCCCCAGATTGACGTCTTCACCGCGAGCCTCGTCCGAGAGTTTTGCAGACTTGTCGCCTCAGACCCATACCCTTATCGGACCGGTGAGTGCGGGTTTAACGGATATGTTGTGCACGCACCGCTTGAGGCTCAAAAACGTCGTCAAAGTGGGTCCGATACCAACGGCGTAGATCGGCAAAAGAGCAAAACACTAGGATAGTGATACGGTAACCTCATACCGTCTCTTGACATATTACAAATGCTGGAAAACTTCTAGAAAATGCGTATAAGTATAAGACTACAGCTGGACAAGTAGGGAGTTTGCATCTCACCAAACAATTGTACCTCTCTCTCACATCACTACATTCATCACCTACTCAAAAACATCTCCAAACAACCATGTCTTCATCACCAGACTTCAAGGGATGGGTCGCTCACGACCCCTCTGCCGCCGACGGAAACATGCAATGGGGTGACTACACCCCCAAGAACTTCGAGTCCACCGACATCGAGATGGAGATCAGCCACTGCGGTGTCTGCGGCTCTGACATTCACACTCTCCGCTCCGGCTGGGGCCCCTCGGACTACCCTCTTGTCGTCGGTCACGAGATCATCGGAAAGATCACCCGTGTAGGAGACGATGTCAAGGACCTCAAGGTCGGTGACCGCGTTGGTGTTGGTGCTCAGAGCGACTGCTGCGAGAGCTGCAGGCCCTGCAAGACTAAGCAGGAGAGCAACTGCAACAACTTCGTCATGACCTACAACGGCAAGTACAAGTCTGGCGACAAGGCCATGGGTGGTTACGCAAAGAACTGGCGTGGACCTGCTTCTTTCGCCATTCCCATTCCTGAGGGTCTGCCTTCAGAGTACGCCGCTCCTCTCATGTGCGGTGGTGTCACCGTCTACAACCCCCTCGTCTCCTACGGTGCCGGCCCAGGAAAGCGCGTCGGTGTTGTCGGTATTGGTGGTCTCGGTCACTTCGCCCTCCTTTTCGCGAAGGCTCTCGGATGCGACGAGGTCGTTGCCATCTCCCGTTCTTCAAGCAAGAAGGCCGATGCTATGGAGCTCGGCGCTGATAAGTTCATCGCCACTGGCGAGGACCCCGAATGGATGACCAAGAACGCCGCCGGCCTGGACATCATCATCTCCACCATCTCTGGTGGTTTCCCTCTGGACCAGTACCTCAACCTCCTTGACGTCAACGGCACTTTCGTTCAGCTCGGTGCTCCTGACGACCCATTGCCCTCTTTCTCCCCCATGGGCCTCATCTTCAAGAACTTGAAGATCGCTGGTAGCTTGATCGGCACCAGGCAACACATCCGCGACATGTTGGAGTTGGCCAAGAAGACCAACCTGAAGGCTTGGGTCCAAGTCAGGCCCATGTCCGAGGCCAACGACGTCATTGTCGACTTTGAGAAGGGCCTTCCCAGGTACCGTTACGTGCTCAAGAACTAGGAGTTTATGAATGAATTAGACGATACCCAGTAGATGTAGATTTTGTAGTATAGAACAATTCGAGTACTTGTCTCCTCGATCATCTTCCCCACATCACGATGTTTGCTACCCGTGTTGATCCCGGCGCAGTATGACAGAGCGATCCTTGTCGACAAGAATCTGCTTGCACTAGACGAGGAACTAATGTCCAATCATGATCAGATCTGGTCACTAAGTTGTTGGTTGCACCGAAAGACTGATATCCAGGTTTCGAACACCACATTTCGGGTTACGGCGACATTTAAGGAGGGCAGTGATAGGCGCAATATTCACGCTAATTTTGAGGCCTACATCCAACCAATCAGCGCCTTGTTCGCTTTTGCGAGCATATAGTCGCCTTCGAGACCTGTTTTCATGCTGCTTTTCTTCTTCACCGTGGGGCCTGTGGCCGCCTCAGTGTCCACTCCTTTCGTCTTTCATTTCATCGTCTCGCATCGCTCTTCTTCGTGTTCTTCCTTGGAAGCCTGGAGCGTACCTACAGAACACAGGAGCCACTGCTACGTTCTTGTTGTAGCGTTCAATTTCCGAATCTAGAGGAAGCGCCTTTCAAGACCAAGATTTACATTATCATCATCTTTTTGTTGACCCGCGCTTGCTCGACCTTCGAGAAACTCCATCCTGTGTTCTACCAGCGCACCAGTCTTCCTTATCCGCGCAAACCGAAGAAGAGCATCAACCACCATCCGAGATAAATGGATTTCCCCATTTAAACGATCGCATCTCATCCTCCCCATGGTCACAACATTCTTTTGCAGCCCTATATAATGACTACGAACCAACATCGTCAGCATCACTACAACCTCAGCAGCCTGCTGCTATCTTTCAGAACCATATATGCCAGGTCTGCGGAAAGACATTCCAACAGCTCTCCAAACTAAGGTTTGTACAGTGTTGAGCAATCTATTCACAATGTTAAGTCTCAGTAGATTGCACTTGCGGACACACGATACCTACAAATGCGAACCTTGCGATGCATATTTTCAAGACAGCAAGGATGCTAGAAAGGATCTAGAACGACACAAGCAGACCAAAGCGCATCGAAAAAAGCTTGGTCTAGACACTAGTTCCTCGCCGTTCGTGTGTCCGGTTGAGTGGTGCGCAAAGAGTATGCCGCGCAAGGACAATCTGAATCGGCATATCAAATCTCAGCACCCTGGTCACGGGCGATTAAAGTAGCAGTTATCTAAAGACAATGTAGAAGCTTGATGCGACTTATGATGCTTTGATGTTCATGTTGATCTTCGCCACTTGAATGACAGTGTAATTAACCCTAGGGCTTTCGCTAGTAAACTAGTAAACATACTTTTGACTCCCAAGTATTCTTCGTCACAGAGTGATCATTAAGACCACGCACATGTTCAGAACTAGAGACCGAGTACGCTCATCTGATTGCCTAATGACTGGAGGGCGTATGTTGCAGTAGATAGCCACATGATTTCATATCGCTCCATTGAAAGTCGTTTTCAGATCCAACACGGCTAGGCCATGCAAGATGAAGTCAAAGCATCGGTAGACCTCAAGTGTGCATAAATATCTTCTATTGGCCGGTCAAAATGTTTTGGCGAATATAAAAGTATCACATCCTCTGTAGATTTCATTCCTCAGCTACAAACACGCTTTCACCGAAACTTCTACCATCGCTTCCATCACTAGTCATGTCTCCCATCTTCTGTTGTTCCAATACTCAGGGGTACAAGAATCGTATCCTGTCCTACGAATCCAAGTTCCAGACTTTTATGGCTTGGGCCAACTATCCTAAAGAGAGCAACGCAGTCTCACCTGACACAGTGCCGTCTTCAGCCGACATTACGTTCGCAATTCAGGTTGTTAAGCAAACGAACTACGGTCCACTTGATAGCAAGCGATACTTCGTCACCGGCTCCGATGGGGTTTTCGTCGAGGTGACTGAGCAATGGCTCATCGATGCGAACTTCGAGAAGCTGAACACGTAAGCATACAAAGAGAAACAATGATGTGAGAAGGCGTTGTTGCTTACAGTGATGAAGGTTCAAGAACTTCAAGTGTGCGACTCACAACAAATTCTTCGAAGTCAACATCTACCAGAAAAATCCAACGAATGCGCACCATTGGCGAGCCAATATCGCTAGACCTGCGACGGAGATAGACTTGTGAGTAGTAGTAGCGAAGAGAGAGGTTGTATGACGACGACACTGTTCTCTCAACATTTGGAAACCCTTTCGTATGAACAGAGGATCTAGTGAGATATACGAAAGTTTTTCTTACGTTGGAGATGTGACAACTGCGGAATTTGGTCACATGGACAGAAAGTTAGTGGAAGGCAATTACTATACTACTTTGATTATCATGTCAATGGTTCTTCCACAGGATGTTTCGTTTAATTACGATTCTGAGTTTACATCACCTCGTTAGAAGCTCTTTGTGATTCCAGTCTTGATACCCTCAAGTTTCTCCACCAACTCTTTCCAAACCTTCTCTTGACCCTTCTTTCCGTCATCGCTTCGCACGAAAGCGCTCGGTTCAGTAATCTCGCAGTCGCTGAGATACTTTCCATGGGTCTCGACGCCTGAAGTACCGGCGTGCACAAGAGTTCTTGATCCCACTTCCGTCGTACGTGCGAGGAAAAAGCGCATGACGGCGAGAAACCCTGGACCTTCCCGACCAAATTCGCTGTTTGCTCAATTAGTATGGATGACGAATGTGAGAAAAAGAGATGACTCACGAGTGGCAGAAGCCAGGGTTAACGAGATTCACCGTCACTGGAATATTCGATTCCGGGTATCGCTCGCAGAATGCGCGGACGAATAGTACTTCCATGAGCTTGCTGACCTGGTATCGATTGCCGAGTCCAACTTCCTTTCCATCGACAACCTTCTCATTCAATCTCTCGAAGAGTTTACCCTCGGGTGCATTCCTCTCATCGAACGGTGTCCACTCATGCACCTCGGAGCTGACAATGGTAAGTGTGGGTCTAACGTTGAACTTGTTCGCCGTTTCCTTGAGCTTAGGTAATAAAGCGAAAGCCAGCAGGAATGTAGACACCACGTTCACGGTGATGGTTGATTCGTCTTGTTCGAAGACCTCCCAGACGCCGCGGTTCACGCCGGCGTTCAAAACTGCAATATCCACTCGTTCCAACTCTTTGCTAGCTTTTTCGGCGAAATCGAGAACTGATTGGTAGGACGACATGTCCAGTTGCATGACTCTGACTACATCGTTGCGGCCTGTTGTCGATTCAATATCCTTACGCGCCGCTTCACCCTTCTCGATGGAGCGCACGGCAAGAATCACAGTCGAAGCATTGAGCTGAGTGAAGTGACGCGCGGCCTCTTTTCCAAGACCGACGTTGGAGCCCGTGACGATAACAGTCTTTCCAGTAAGATCACCGCTGGGCTTTACAGGTGTGACGAAAAGCTGGGAATTGAGGAAACGGACGATGCCTGCCATGGTGATTGTCTTGTAGTATTTGTGAGTGATGTCGGAGCGGACGAGAGGGAAGCCCGTTGACGTTGAGAGCGCTCCTCCGCTTTTAACTTCCTTGTATCAATGTGGTCGCGCTTAACAAGGGCCGAGCGTGCTTTAACAGACCGCGGGGTCTGGGTTTCAATCTCCCCGTCCCGCAACGCGAAGATGCCTTTGGAAGGTCTATGATGTCACTTACTTCTAGACCTTCCCAGTCAGCTCCATCGAGGCTGCACGCCTGATCATACCGTTACAGGGCCGGACGAACCTTTCTGCACTTCTGAACGATTTCCTGATCGTCATTAGTGCCGGCTAACTGACGGAAGCTATCGTTTAGCTACTGCGGAGTTACACGGATTTAGCTCTCAATCCGTATCTTCACTTGGTGCCTACACCATGTAGTAGCTAGATTGCGCTGGCCACATCTTGCCCATATGTCTTGTCCTTGTGACTCCACGAGCCCAGTGTTTGTAGGTAGCCGAACCTTGGCATGGACTTCCCAGCTGTATCCCAAGCGCATGTTGTGCAGTGTAAGCACGGGACGTTCCGTTTATGCACGCAAGCATCAGCACTTGATCTCAACATCCATGTCACAAATTCACACTCATGTAAGACTACAGGGCAGTCAAGTTCATCGACTGTAATAACAATACGGCACGATATCTAGGCAAGCTACATGAAGCGCATGCAGCACTTCAGCCCAGGTATTCAAGACACGAGCAAATGCCTGCGCCAACTCGCTCATAATCATGCGAACTTCCCCTAGAACCAAATTAGTGTACAAATGCTCAGCTTCACTCTCCGATTTTGGTATCCCCCAACGCAACGATAATGGCGTGCAACTGCACAAGCTAAAGAAATCGAACGCGCAACTCGAACAACCCTAAATCTACCAGGCATCGACGTCGAAGCCTTCCTCGGAGAACTCGGTCGCAACAACGGTTCTCCGCGAGAACTGGCGACCAGCAAGTGCCTTGATAGCCTTTTGCGCAGACTCTGTATCCTTGTATTTGATGTAAATCTTGCCAACACCGAGGTTGACGCGGGCACCGGCGGGACGGGGAATCTTGGTCTCAACGATGGGTCCGTACTTGCCGCACTCCTCTTCGATGTCTTCCTTGATTTCTAGATGTTGTTAGTATCGTGCGATGCTTTCTGGGTTCTTTTCAAGCTTACCTTCGTATTCCTCGTCGTTCAGAAGCTCGTCCGAGGTAACCATGTTCATCAAGCAAATGACACGGCTGTGCTCGTGGTTCTCGGCCGCGCTGGCTCCTGCCAACATGGAAATGGCACCAACACCACCATCGAGACCAGTCGTTTGCTGAAGTCCGACAGTGGCACGTGAAACCTTGAGGTTGCCATCACCAAGCGGGATGTCGTTTAGACCTTCGATGACGGCATCGATGACTCCGTTGTCCGCGTACTCACAGAATGCGATACCCTAAGATCTGTTAGCTTACGAGTCGTGCTTGGTTAGAAGAGTATACTTACGCGGTGCTGGTCGGTGCCGGTGTCCTTGACGAGGGTGAAAGCCTTCAGCTTGCCCATAGTCTCTACGAGTTCTCGAATCTGCTCCTCTTCAATGTACGTAGGAATGTTGACGATGCTCAGCTTGTTAGGGCTATCCTTGACAACAGAGGAAATCTCGTCGCCAGGTGGGTATGCGTTCTCATCGGCAGAGGGAGTAATGTAATCCTTGGGGCGGCGGATGGACAGACCCGACCTGTCGGGAGCTCCTCCGTCGTCGCGCATAGAGATTCCGTTCATAGCCAAAGCAAGGGTCGCATCTTCGGGTGCCTTGAACTCTAGCGCAGCGTACTCCTTGCTAGTAGCAATGTGGGCTGACAGGCACGGGTCGTTTCCGGACACGACGTTGAGACCGTTGAGCTGGTTGTTGAAGAACTCCATAATCTCCTGAGAAGTGCAGCCCGAGGGCAGATTGTGGACATAGAGGCGCTTCGATTGCTTGGCGGCTGATGTTGCGAGAGCGGCAGCTGTGGCAGTTCCGGAAGAGGGCGAGATGAAGGCAGCCAGCTTAGACGGGTCCATGGGCGCAGCGCGGGGGGCACCGGGCAATGGAAACATGCCCGACAGCTTAGCCTGCTCTGCCGTGATGTTTTCGTAGCCTGCAGGCTTGATGTCCCATTGGGTCATGCGACGCTGGCGCTTCTGGATGTTTGTGAAGCTGGCAAGATCCGGTGTAGCCTCGCGCGGCTTGTTGAAGGGCGGAGAGTCTTCCTTTGCCTGACGCGCCCTATCACGTCCGCCACCGAAGCCTCCATCGCGTCCTCCTCGTCCACCTCTGCGGTCTTCGCCGCCAAATCGGTCGCCGCCTCTCTCATTGCGGTCTCCACGTTCTCTTCGGTGGCCACGGTCATCGTCGCGGTCGCGGTCTCCTCGAGGTCGGTCGCGTCTCGAGTACGAGTCGCCCCAGCCACCTCGGTCTCCTCCCCGCTCGCCGCGCTCGCCCCGGTCATCGCGGCGTTCTCGACGTGCGTATGTGTCCTCGCGTTCGCGCTCACGGTAGTCGCGGCTAGAAGAATACGTGTCTACCTCGTAGTCACGGCGGGAGCCTCCGCCGTGGCGGGGAGAGCGTGAACGACGTCGCCGCCTGTCGCCGCCACGGTCGCCGCGGTCGCTTCGGTCGCCGCGATCGCGATGGTCATCTCTCGAGGACTGTCTTGTCAGCATGTGCCCAGTCATGTCGCGACGGGTGTGTGCACTCACGTAATTCCGCGATCCGCTCTGTCGGCCACCGTCTGCTTATGTTAGTCTTGATTCTGGGAGCTGTACACTAGTCAGTACATGTACTGATAGACGTCGCTTACCTCTGGAATAGCTATCGCCGTTCATAGTGGGCGGTTGTGGGTGCTAGAAGCTCTCGCGCTGGTCGTAGTGTTCAGCCGCGTAAGATTCTGCTGCTGCTGGAGGTGAGATGGCGAGACGAGCTGCAATTAGCAGATGTGGATCAAGAAACGACTGATGAATCTACCACGTGCAATTGTCCAAACTTTGGGACGCGATGCTTCTGCGGTGATTGCAGTTGCCGTCGCGGAAAACGTGTGAGAGAAAGTCGGGGCTGCCTTAGCGTGTCCTTGGCGTGATCACCCCTGTCACCTAGGCCGGGCCATGGTATATTCACTCCTGCTCGCATGGGCTTTAGCATGCACCCTTCTCCTACTATTGTTGACCATGGCTTTGCGCGCAGCTGAATGGCACAAGCTGCCTACAAGCCTCACGGAACTCTGCATCAACACCACCCTGCGATGTGGGCAATCGTTCAGGTACCTCCCATGTTGCCCCTTGTACTCGAGTCGCAACAGCTTCTAACGTGCCATCAGATGGCGCAAGTCCGCCGATGATGTCTGGTCAATGGCCCTTCACGGTCGCATACTTTCCCTCCGCCAAGATGCCGACTACCTCCACTACCGCGCAACCTACCCACCTATTACCACCGCCCTTCCTACTCCGCCCCCATCCAATGCGCCCTCGGTTGCGCCCGAGGAAGACGACACTCTTGCTCTCGTCAAACACTATTTCAACCTCGCGCCCGACTTGGGCCAGTTGTACGAGCAATGGGCGGCGTCTGATGCCAACTTCAAGAAGCGCGCTCCCAAATTCACTGGTATAAGAATATTGCGGCAGGATGCCTGGGAGGCTCTGATCGGTTTCATATGCAGTAGCAACAACAACATCAGTCGCATATCTGGCATGGTGCATAATCTTTGCTTGCACTACGGTCCGCTTATAGGAAGCATCGATGACGTACCCTACCACGATTTCCCCACGCCCGACGCCCTCTCAGGCCCCAACGTCGAAGCACATCTCATGAAGCTTGGGTTTGGTTACCGTGCCAAGTACATTGCGAAGACTGCACGAATGGTATCAGAAGATAAGGGCCTGAAATGGTTGGACAGTCTGAGTAACCCCGAGTGTCCACAATTTGGAGTAGAAGAGAAGCTGGCTGGAGACATGCTTGAGGGTGGTCGTGAGGGATATCGACAAGCACATGAAGAGCTTCTTGCCCTGCACGGTGTGGGCCCAAAGGTCGCAGACTGTGTGTGTCTCTTTGGGCTCGGCTGGTCCGAGTCTGTACCTGTCGACACACATGTCTGGCAGATAGCCCAACGCGACTACAGGTTCGGCAAGGGCAAGCACAGTAGCCTAACTGCTGCTACATACGCTGCGATTGGGAACCTGTTCCGAAAGCTGTGGGGAAAGGAAGCAGGATGGGCGCATTCTGTCTTGTTCACGGCGGACCTAAAGGCATTCTCTGACAGGGTTGTTGCAAAAGTTGAGGTCAAGGAAGAGGAGGTAACAATAAAGAAGGAGGAAGAGGATACCACCATACAACAAACGGTCAAAAAGGAGACCACGAAGCGAAAGCGCATAAAGCAGGAGCCTGAGGAAGCGCCCTCTGTTGTCCAAGTAAAGCAAGAGACGACGACACGTAGGAGCAAGCGGCAACGAGCTTAGCTCGGTTCCTGAAGCTAGATACCATCACAAACGAAAATTCATTGCTGATCATCTGCGGGTGACCTCTCTCCTACTACGACTTGGACATGTTGGACATGGGCAAAAAAATCCCCGTCGATAGGTTGCACAAAAAAGACCAAAACATACAACAGCGGGGATTCGCTCGTGGTCACCCACCTAACTACTAATCCGCCGGTACACTGCTTGTATATGGCTGAGCGGATGGGAAGCCTAGCTTTCACTCATGCTACTGTCACAAAGTCCCTTACTTTTCCTGTATTCAGTAACCCTCTTTTCTGTATACAGGCTATTAGCACACAATCTGGTGTTAGTGGTTTGCTCCGCCTAGGTGCCATACACTGGCGCGTAAGCGCTACAGAGGCTCTTGAACAAGACCTAGCCCCTGCAACTACAATCTGCGAGAGAAAGGACGCGTTAAGAAGGCGGGGGAATAGGAGAGGTGACATACATCAACCTAATACAATGTGTATCACTCTGTTACGAACACACACAGGATGAATCCCTTCAGCAAAGGATGCGAGGTTAAAGGCCAACCGTCGCACGAAGCAAAGGATAATGATCAGCGCAGGGTGCTCCAATCACGTGATTGATATCCCGCTAAGGCTAGCTGTCCAGAATAGTTGTGCATGAAGGGATAGCAAACCATCACAAACATCCCCAACATCTAAGATAGATAGGATAGCAGTAATAGCAGCAGACACAGCAACGAGATGTGAAGATCGTCCTTAGATGGTTTAGGGTTGGTTCTCAGGGTATGAGTGAGTTCGAGTGAACGGATTGGTTGGTGTGTTAGCACGATTGGTAGATCGATGTAACAACACGGTGGTTGAGAAACAAGTAGTAATCATTAGATTGCTACACAAGGATGTTTGCAAAGTTGAACACGATGAACTATGAGAGTGCATCGTAAGGTCTATATACAAGAGTACCGTCCATTTCTGTCTCTGCCATCCCTCTCTTCACGTGGCTGGTGTTGCCATCCACAGATGGTTCTCCCTAGACTGTATGGTAGGCCACGTGACTGGTAGTTACGCCAAGAATTAGCGATAGTTCTGCGCGCGACTTTCGCAACTATCACCCTCAATATATAGGATTAGGCAAAGAGCTCTTACAGCTCGTTGTGTTCAACTTCGATCTTACGTCAATCTAAGGATTACTACTTGATTCTCAAACCCTCGTGTTATTACATTGATCTACCAATCGTGCTAGTACAACCCTCTCGTCCATCGTCGCCCACTCATTCCCCGAGAACCAACCCTAGATCATCTTCGGACGATCTTCACAGCGCAGCGCGCAACATAGCTATTGTTGCGACCACAACTACCCTACTTTGATTATTACAAGATGCAGGGCGATAGAGAAAGATCTAAAGAACAAGAGTGCATACGCTGCTAGTTCATAAGTGAATGTGGTGGGGACTGGTTTAGGTCGAGATTAGATTCATCTCGCTGAGGGGCATTTCTCGCTTACGGGCAGGGGACGTTGATGATCACAAAGAACCAACGTGATACGCGCGAAGGATTGTTGAATTTCTGGGAGGGATTAGGCAAATCATAATCATGCAGACCCCTTGCATCGTCACTGAGGTGATGTTATTGTGCAAGAGCGGAATATCTGTTGCCTGGTTTTTGACTACCACAGTTTTGGTCAGTCAACTAGAGAGTATTGAGACATCAATCGCGACTTGATAGATACGCCGCACATGGAAGAAATGTTACCTGAAACAATACTAGTACATTTCTGTTAAGCTCTGTTGTTGCTCTTTAGTCCTGTAATCTCAACTCCCGCTCAAAGATCTTTGTTAAGATACTCTACAGGCCCAACATACACCTTGCGCCCCTTGAGAAAGAAGTAGACCAGCGAAAAAACCACAACAACGCCGTATATCAGAATATTCCAGTTCATTAGGTCAGGTGTTGGGTGCGGAAATGTAGGGAAGAAGGCGAATACCAACGCTACACATAAGTAGATGACGGACACACCATTGACCCAGATACCAGCGCGACCGAGCGAGAACTTGCAGGGAAGGAGAGGTTCTTTGTTCCACCTGTTGATAAACATGCATGAGATGCTGACGATGTAGGACGAGAGGAGAGCACATGTGCCTAGCGACGCAACGGAGTTGAACGCTACGGTGCTGCCGATGTTGATAAGAGAGAGTCCAACGGCAATACTAAAAGACACAAGAACGCTGTTGAGAGGGATGTCCCAGCCTGGTCGAACTCGGGACAGAAAGGCACTGAAAGGGACGCCGTGGTCGCGAGCAAAGGCGAAGAGCTGGCGCGAGCATGTTGCCACATTGTTGACACATCCAAACACTGCCATGATAGTCGTAATTGATGCTAGAGCTGTAGCCCCTGGGATGGACTGCGTGGCGTTGTACATGATCTGAATGTGGGGCTGCCCTGTCGGCGATAGGATGGCGCTTTCCACGTCGCCGAGGCAGAAACAGAAGGTTACCAGCATGAGGAAACCCAAGCTGCTGTTAACTACCGCTGTCCAGATCATGGCGCGGGGAAGTGTGTGTGAGGCGTCCTTTAGTTCTTCAGACATATGGGTCGCAGCATCCGCACCTAAGAGAGAGAAGATAGGCGAGAGCTGTCCCACCAGCACAGACAGACCTATGCTGCCCCATCCTGCGTTATCTTGAAATCCACCGAAAACCTGTTTGGATGGACTACGCGGCCCCAGAACCCACATTGTGATGAAGATGGCAAAAAATCCAAAGATGTGCAGGACTAGGACAATGCCTTCGACTAGTGGTAGCTTACGAGCTAACAGCGTGTTAAACAGGATCGAGAACGTTGCTACGGCAATAACCAGGAGGGTACCGTGCCATCGTTCGGGGACGTAGTTTGGGTTGTTGAGGATGACAAGTCCTTGGACCTGACCGCCAGCAAGGAAGGCGATAGATGCAATTCCGGTCTGCCAACCTAGCACGCACAACCAGCCGCTACTATGTGATCAGAAATAAGGCTCGTGGATGTGCTCAGGGCAACGAACACAAGATAACTTAAGAACTTCTGGTGTTTCTTCGGCGCAAACTCAGACACCCAATGATACTGTCCTCCGGAAGTAGGAGCCCTTCGTTCTAGTTAGCAATTGTCTCGTCTCGAAGGAACCCCAGCAACGGGCCGCCACGCACATTGAAGCCATCTCAGCCATCGAGACGATGACAAAGCCCATGCCCACCGCTGTGACGAGGAACATGACGATAGCGCCACCGGTGCCACCATTCGTTAATGGGATGATCAGAGTTCTGCTGGATGTCAGACAGCGCAGATCAAATGCTCATACGTACTCACGTCAGTATGGTTTCCCACGTCGCCATCAAAACCATGCTGTATCCAAAGATCGACACAAAACGAAAGTTTCGTCGCAGCTCCTGCTGCTTTCCCATACGATACATGTCCTTTTGGTCGCCAGCGGTCCCTTTCTTTTCTGAAACTATGCCATCCTGTTGTAACTCGCTGTCAAGAGGCTGGGCTACGGCAGCAGCTTCATTCTTTAGGTCTGACATAATAGAAAAACGAATATGAAGAGTGTAAGTTAACAGGAATGAGTGTGCGAGTTAAAAGGAATGATTGCGAATGTTAAGCTTCGACCAAGCGACACGACAACCGAGAAGTCAGGAAATTGCTTCCATAACACTAAGAAGGATGGGAAAGATGGCGCAAATGCACCTGGCTCAATAGCACGGGAAAGACTTGAGAAGCCAGCTGCAAGACGAAACCACTCAGAGGACGTGATGGGTGGATACAGGTTGGTGGTACAGGGGACGGGCCGGCCAAAGCCCTCGGGGAGGCTAGCACGCCGCCCGGCAGGGTAAGCGGCATTCGAGCCGATGCAAGTTGGATCCTTCACATCCTCTGGGTCGTCGCCTTGGCGTTGCCAGATTGCTGCGCCGATAATCTTCTCATGCTCACTACCCTCGGCGGTCGTGACGGCAACGATGATCTTGTTTCGTGGATTGGCCCAATCATTGCGCACCCAATCGTGCCAAAAGATTTGTACGTCATTAGAATACTGTGCTCGGTAGGGGTGAATTACTCGACCAAAGAGGTCTTCTTCCAGGAACGCACGAGCGCAGATGTCGACGATGACCGGTTCATCTGAGGGCTTTGCAAGGCGTAGGTGCATGCTTGGAATTTTGAACAAGTACTGATGCTGATGGGAAAAGACCCAAACAATCGGGTTTTATCTAGTCTTGGAAGCATTTCCTGACTTGGACTAGCAAACATTCATGTAACTTTCGAGCCGTTCCATGGTCCCATGGCTTCCTGAGCGTCGCTCATCAGCAGCATTCTCGGGTTGTCCACGCCGGCGATAGCGAGCCGTCGCTGATGCTACGGCTCGTACCATGCAACGCTGTCTTCCTTCTCCCCAAATTTCTTGTGCCCATGACAAACCTTACGGTTTACACCTATGATGCAAATGTCGCGTTCATCAAACCAGCACATCCCGCCTCCGTCGGGATTCATGCGCCTATCTGCAGTGCGTACTCTACTTAAGTAACCGGGAGTCTTAACTATAATCAGAATGGCACGGAAGAGCTCCTATCCGTCCTTCCTGTTTTATAGTGTAGTTACCTAAATTACGTTTAGTGTAGACAGCGTAAGCTGTCGTACGGTTACCGTATACGTGCACACCATGCACGCCGTCAGTCAAGGCACGCGCATCACCAAAACAGGCTACACAAGATTGAGGCTGTAGAGCCACACACAAGCACTTATTACAAGGAAACTTACTAGATTACTCTATAGGCCTATGCGTTAAGCTTTTTCACGAATACTTTCTTGGCCGAAGGATTTTGCGGACGCGAGTGTTATTTTGGTGTGGCGGTGTTAGGGTACGCGATTCCTGAAACGGGTAACCGAGGACGAAACTCAGTTAATCGACCTCAACACGGCACCGCGAGTTTTGACGGATCGCGAGGGTGAACTAATTTTCAGTGTCCTATGGTCGTATGTGGAAGACGAAGAGAACACATCACATCATAATCTTGCTATGAGTTGTAGCTCCGTCAAGTTATGAGCTATGTAGCTCGAGCTACACTCAGCATAAAATTGTGGGAATTCGGTAAAATTTACCCCAAAGGCTGTTTATCCCTTTGGCAACAGTGCTACCTCTCTCTACCGTCGTTGCATAATTTTACTGCTTAGCAGTGTTCATTAAGGTGTTTTTACAATCCGGCAGTCCGCGTTAGAGTCTCACGATCGGAAACGAGACGACTGCAACCGCTAACAGAGCTTCTCCAGCTATGATAGACTTTCCTCGAGATGGAAAGATTCTGGAACTTGCGCACGTTGCTACGTCTCGCACTACCCCTAGTTTGATCTCTTGAAAAAGAGAGGTAGCATAGGTGGTCGTCATCAACAATGCGCTACGGCATGGCATGTATTTCCACAAGTAAATGAGCGATCCAGAGTGTGGGATTCGATGTGGTACATAATGAAGAGATAAGTATGGTATAGATGGGAAATAACAAATTTGTGGCTAAAGTGCATGTTTGAGAACAGCAGGAAACAACCAACCTCACTCAATCGCAATCCATTGACACTCGGCGTGGTCCATGTCGGAATCACTCCAAGTACCCAAGTCCCATACAAGCTCTCTGTTATTCGGAGCATTAGCATTACAAGCGAGCCGCAAGTTGCGCGAGCTGTTGAAGTCCATCTCGGAAATTGCGACGAATGTCGCAGGCTGGTTCTTGAAAGGTTGACCGTAGAAGGGCGCTTGGTTCCGACTGCCGTTGGGTCCCTGCCCGCGGGTTACTGTAGTCCTACCTGCCTTAACTCGCTTTCCGTCTTCTTCACTTGGGTAAGCGAGGTACTGCACTCGTGCCTGCCTAAAGTATCTGTCTGCCCACGATTCGATGTAGAGGTTGAATGAGTGAGGAGTAATTTCCGCAGCTCTACATTTGAGGGATAGGAAGCCGCCGTTGGGATAGTTGAATTCTTGGAACCAGACAGCAATCTTGGGCGGCGACGCGAAGCTCTGGCTGAAGAACACCTGTTGCACATATGCCTTGCGGTCGCCGGAGCAGCAGATCATGCCAGTCTCCAGATGGAGGTCATTGGGTAGCGTCAACCAGCTGCATCCAAGTGAGTATCCGTAACAATTGTCAAATGATGCAGCTTGGACGCTGAAGCCGCTGGCATTGACCTCCGGCTGTGACAGAGACAGAGAACGCGACAGGCTACCTTCAGCATCAACACGGCTCAAGCCAAACAGCAATTTTGGTGTTTCCGGGTAAGATTGACGGAATGTGGTCGAGCATCGCATAAACTTGTTCTGGCCAGGAGTCCAGCCGTTGTTCTCTGCAATGTACTGGCCGTGCTGTGCTCCCCAGATGCGTTGGCTCTTTTCTTTCTCCATCTCTGCAATTCGATTATCCGCACGCTCTCGGTCGACGGCAAGTTGCTATCATCAGGTCAGCGTCTCGAATATCATGGTCTAGTGTAAAAAGACTCATACCTTTTCAGTGGCGTCAAGTTTCTGTCTCAATGCTGCAAGAGTTTTGCTACCCTCTGTCTGGTCCTTCTGAAGTGACGCGAGATCTTCGCTGTCGACTACATCTCCAGAATCCGTAAAAGCAACCTCAGCGTCCGAAGCCTTCGTCTCGGCGAGGCGACACCAGATGATGCCCAGCTGGTATATCTTCCCATTCTGGTCATCAGTTCGACCGAAGAAACCTTGGAGAGTACCTGAGCTGAAAGGCAGATCGATGTACTGTATCTTGACGTCCTCGAAGGGGACGCCGTCCCGGACAACAACACCGCTCTTTTCTCCAAGTTGTGAGTGAAGAGCGCGTGCGATCAGATGACGGCCACGATTGGTGAAGAGGCGAAGTCCGAGTACCAGCCTTGTTGGAGTTTCCTCTTCATTTGTACCTTTGCCTGTACCAGACGCGATAGAAGACGCGACTTGAGGCGCACCATGCTCGATGGATGCAGAGGTGATGCGCTCACCACTGCTGAAGTCCCCGAATATCTTTATTCGTGCCTTGTCCGCTGACTGCTAAGTTTTAGCTATGTCCGATACATCGCAAAGGGCAGACACGAAAAACTTACCTTGCCTTTCTCGACGAGCAGTCCGTTGGCATATTTGACTGCCAAGTACACAAGAGCGCCGTTAGCCATCTCGGTGCGAATCGCACTCACTGCCCAATCCGACTTCACGAAGTCGAGGTTGTCAAAGCCCTGTCCGACAAAAGATCTATCTCCTGCAGGATCAGATTTGAGGAAAGCCTCCTCCTCTTTAGCGAGCGCCTGTTCCTCAGCTTCAGTCAATTGTTTCGTCTCGATGACCTTGCCAGACAGGGGGCTGCCCTTGATACGCAATTTCTCAGGCACATCGATCTTGGGAAGTCGGGCCTCAAAGGCGACGGGATTTTGATATGGCTCAACGTGGTCTTCGTCTGTCGCCAGCTTCGGGTCTCTTTCCATCAGATCGACCTCGTTTACGATGCGAGCCATCTGGCGGCGCACGGCGGTTCTAGCGTCGCTAAGGCCCTTGATAGAAGCCTCGAAGTTGGACTCGGACTCTTGGAAAGGGTATAATCCGGTGTCCTTGTTCTTGTTGCCCATCTTGATCACGGCAGTCGAATAAGATGAAACCTTCTTCTGCTCCTCGTCGCTCCAGGGTGTGATTTCCAGCAGCTTGCCCTGTACCCCGAAGATCTGTTCACCGAGGCGTTTGTATAGTGACTTGTAGCTGACGAAGGAATCTAACAAGGTGCTTGTGTATACTTGGGCGTTTTCATACTGCAGCGCAGTGTAAGACGCGGGCTTTTCAGCAACGAAGCTTCTCAACGAGTCGTATTTCGTTAAAATCGCATATGTTCGCTGAGGACAATCAGCTACGAGATCTGGAAAACGCGCTGCCGCTGCCATCAGACTCTGGATGTCCCATTGCTGCTCCATTGGCTTGATGTGGCCACCTCCTGACCAATTTACCATGATGGTAGTCTCCGTGTTAGTCTCGATGTTGCTTCGAGCGATCCCAAGACTCGCTTCTCCCGAGACATCGACTGGACCAACTGTCAGAGCGACCTTGGCTTGGGCTTGGATATCCGACTTCTTGGCCTTATTGAGGATCTTCATACTCACAAGCGCATTGAATTCGCCCCCCTCAACAAACCCTGATATGAAGGAGTCGCCATAGATCTCGCGGAAGTTGTCCTTGTTGACGGAGCGCAAGGGATTGTAGACGAGCGGGTCCTTGAAGTTGATAGTCTGGTTGACCACTTTGACGGAGATGTAAAAGTTGAGATCGCTCTCCTTGAACTTGTCAGAGTCCACGAAGCTACCTTTACCAGATCCTCCGACCTTTCCAGCTTTGATCGATAGCGAAGCCGACACGCTCATGTCTTCGGTTACATCGCTAAGGCGATCAACAAATCGAGATGTGTAGGTAACGCTCTGGCTGGGTCCTCGAGGAGCTGTTGGGTCGAAGTCGTACTTCTGGGAGTTCTCGGCCATACCGCTAAAGCGTTCAACGAACTGGTTCTGAGCCAGAATCTTGTTCATCTCTTCCTGGCTCATCGCCTTCACTTCTGCTGCCTTCGAAATAGCTTGACGAGCCTCTTGACGTCTCTGAGCGTCCCATGCTCGCTTCTCTGACCGGATTGCTTGCTGTTCCTTGAGATCTTCTAGGCGTCGGTCCGCCTCTTCTTTGCGCTGTTGCTGCATCAGCTCTTTTTGGTAACGACGGTTTTCGGCAAGGATCTCTGCCTCCTCCGCCTGCTGACGAGCTTTTTCGGCCTCTTCCTTTGCCGTTATGGATGGGTCGGGCGCCCCCTTTCCGGTGAGAGCCGCTCTGATTGCAGCACGATCAGGAGGGCCAGTAGATGATTTTGCTGAGATTTGACGTGCTCGGTCAGCTGATGTACCTCTTTGTGTAGGTTTGCGAGAGATAGGCTTCTCGGCGTTTGATCGGAGATTGGCTGCTATGGCATCACGGTCTACCTTGTCGTTCTTCGCGCCATTCTGTTGAAGATTGGCCATGATAGCCTCTCGATCGAACCCATCACCATCTTTCTCCAGGTCCTTCGACTTCTCCGCAGAACTCTGCTTGGCTGGCCTGTCCTCTGCGATCTTAGGTATAGGTACGGTTGACGAGGCCCTGCCTCCCGAAGCTTCTGCAGAATTGCTAGATGTAGATGTGACTTTTGCAGCCGGAGCCTTCTGCTCCTCCTTCTTCGATGTAGGTCTAGCAGAAGAGGGTTGTGGGGTGTTCACCTTGCCTTCTTCTGCGACGGCAGCACCTGCTTCAAGCGCCTCATCCGCATCGACCACTTCTACAATTACGCGTCAAAAGTTTTGCAACGCTAGCGCCAAATCTCTCCCCCACCATCACCACCACCACAACAACAACCCACTATAACTATGTCAACACCGCGTGTTTTTGGACGTGAGATATCGCAAAATGTACGGCGTAAGCCAAATATGAGTCTTTCCGAGCGCAATATAGCCATCAGGATGTGGAAAGCTGGCTGTACGATGGTAGAGGTGGCGGACGCGTGCGGGCGCTCGAAATCCACCATATCGCGCCTTATCAAGAAGGCCACCACAACGGGCACAACAGAAGACAAACCA